CTCTGTCAGCAGAGCATCTAATGACAAAGGTATGAGGAAAAATTTCCTGAAATCAAAACAAAACTAAGAAACACTGACATAGCCTGTAGCTCCTCAGTACCTTGTGGAAGACCATACAGGTTGACTGTGTTCTCATGTCAAAGCAACAGTTACTGAGAGGGAGGAGAGTGAGGCACAGGCCACGACATTATTCAAGAAAAAGAGGTGCCAGAACTCCCCATGTTCTCTTGTAATGGCAATGGCGCCCACCTGAGAGGTGCCAGAACTGAGTTCTGGCGAATTCTGGCTAGAAAAAAAAGCCCTGGGCACAGGGAGCTCAATACCAAGCACCACTGCTGGGTACCAAGAGGGGGCGGGGCGAGGAGCTCTGTGTGGTGCGGGTGCAATGGCAGCAGTCTGACGCGGCACCTGCACTGCGCTGACCTCCTTGCACCTCAGTCCTCTCCGTCTCGGTATCTGGCAGCGACACTTGGCATTGGAAAACCAGGGGCGCAATGCCACCCTGCCTGTGCCACCCCGACAGCAGCTACTGCAGTTGCTATTCTGATGGTAGCCTAGAATGAAAAAGCAGCTGGCTAGGCGCCAATTGCCTGGAAGCAGGGCCCCACAGGGCCAGATTTAGGTTTGATGAGGCCCTAAGCTACTGAAGGTAATGGGGCCCTTTATATGTCCAGCTGTCCTTTGTCAACAACAAATTGTCACTCTTTTTGTGTTGAATATATGCTATATGGTAATTTATGGCTTAATAGGTATCTGAGGGACGAAGGTGGTGCTGTGGGTTAAATCACAGAGCCTGGGGCTTGCCGATCAGAAGGCTGGCAGTTCAAATCCCCACGACGGGGTGAGCTCCCATTGTTCGGTCCCTGCTCCTGCCAACCTAGCAGTTCGAAAGTACCGCTCCGGCGGGAAGGTAAACGGCGTTTCTGTGCGCTGCTCTGGTTCACCAGAAGCAGCTTAGTCATGCTGGCCACATGTACGCCAGCTTCCTCAGCCAGTAAAGCGAGATGAGTGCCACAACCTCAGAGTAGTCCGCGACTGGACCTAATGGTCAGGGGTCCCTTTACCTTTACCTTTACCTAATAGGTACCTAAAGCCATTTGCACATAACAAAATATGTATTTTATCAAAGTAATTGCTGAACTGAAATACAATTAAGAAGTATATTATATTTATCTTATATTTTGGAAATGTACACCCAGTTTTTGTTCCCTTTAAATTTTGGGGGGGCCCCAAGAGAGTTTGGCTCTAAGCTATGGCTTGTTTAGCTTATACATAAATCTGGCACTGCCCTCACAGCCCCCAAGGTCATGACAGCACTCTGGTTAACACACCATACAACTATCCTGCTTTGCAGGGCCTGTAGGAGAGAGCAGCTTTTGTTTGTTTTTCTGCTGCATGGGCATTTAAACTTTAAAGTCTTAAATAAATGAAGCAGTGGCTAGAAGGTCAGGCCCTTCCTCAACAAGCCTTTGAAGAAATGAAGTGACGACTTATTTTCATTCTCCGGCCTTCCTCGTGTTCCAAAATAACTCCCATTTGCTGAAACATCTTTAAAACAAAAATGCACGTGCATTTTAAAAACAACAAAGCAACTCAAAAAACTACATCAGCTTATGCTTGATAGTACCGGAATAACTTTCAAATCATTTTTTCTGCTTGTGGAGCACAGCTCTTGCTTTGATCAACGCCATAAAGGGAACAGGGACATTTATTATTCTGTTATAGTCAAGGGCGAGTGCAGAAGGCCTTCTGCATCGCCTCTTGAGCTAGCAGAACAGACTAAGGCTGTAATCGCAGCCCCACTTACTGACAAGTAAGCGCCATGGAACAATTTGGGGCTTACCTTTGAGCAAAGCATTATATGATTCAACAGACACCCCTGCAACCTAACATTTCCGCCACACCTTGTTTGCTTTGTGGCAGTCTCACATATGCCCAAAATGAAAAGACTGACCACGAAATGGGAGCATGAGGAGGGAAAGACAAGGAATAATTCCTACTTCAGATATATTACATCTGATGAGGAGTAAAATGATTAAGGGTTATTTATTTATCTTATTTGAAAAATGTACTTGCCGCTAAACATTTCTGGCAGAAATCCCTAAGTAGTCTACATAAATTTATAAAATCAAAATGCCAAAAATGCAATTAAAATACAATTAAAAGATCACATGCATACATTGTTCTGAAAAATGAGCCACACTCCCCCCACCCCCACCCCCAAAATCATCTGGCTTGTATAATTGCATTTTTTTATAGATAGAGAAGTGGTGACCTCAGGAATTGTGCAGCATTTTGGTAGTTTTTGTAAAAGGGTCACCCATGCTTCTTGACAAGGTGCTGCTGGTTGCTCAGTGAGTTATTCATTGTGAGATAAGTCTAGAGGTTGCATGTGATTTTAAGATTATAAAAAACACTGGATGCTACCAGAGATTTATGGGTGGGTGGGTGGGTGTGTTCCATTTAAAAATACCTCATTATAGGGGTGCAACCTATATTCAGGTTTGGCTTAAAATTGAAACAACACAGTACATTTAAGACCCATAATTTAAAACAAGTCAGTTGCTGAACAGGATAAGACTCTCAAACTTCCAAAATAGGCCTGGGGAGACAATTGGGTTTTTAGGAGATGTTTGAAGGACATTCCAGAATATCTTTTTGGCAAGGGTATTCTACACTGTTGGCGTTACCACAGGAAAATAAAGTGTCTGAGAGGCTGAATGCAAAAAAAGAAAAAATGAAATGTATTAGCAGAAACACTTTAAAATCCCCAAAGGGAAAGCTTTGCCAAATCAGTTAACCCATAACTGTCAGGTGTCAGGTGTGAATTATACTACCCTAGATGGTTGCTGCTCATCAGAGGAACACACTCATTGGCATTTACTTATTTTATTTTTTATATATTAAATTTATATACCACCCTTCATCTGTAGATCTCAAGGTGGTTCATTGTAGGGAGGCGATGAGAACCTGAGCTTCTTGAAGAAAGGGTGGGGTAGCTAGATTACACAGCTATTTACGAAAAGGCTGAATCCTACCTGGTTTTTAGGGGGAGCACAAACTCCTCCAAAATAGGCCATATACTTACTTCTAGATCACCAGCATCTTTGTCTTATCTGGATTAAGCTTCCGCTTGTTTGCCCTCAACTAATTCAAAACTTTGTATTAACTCTGGATGTTCAAGATCAGGAATGTAACCCAAAGCTGTTTATGAGGCAGTGGTTACGCTGCAGATCCTCATTTTTATGAATTTGGTATTTGTGCTTGCACTCTCTCACCTTGCATAGTAGTAGCTGCTCTTGATTTAAAGATCAATATGCAGCAAACCTTCATAGACCATTCTAGGGGTACATGCAGAAACGCAAGAACTGTGCATTTCCTGTACCGAGGCCTAATTTTAATAGAGATCACTAAGCGCCATTTGCCTTTCTTCTCTGTTAATTCTCCTAACTGAAATGTCATTTCAAACCACATGGAACAAATGTGTCTCCCAATTTCAAAACACTGCTGGGAATTCCCGGTTCAACAGTGCAAGTGCTCCACCTACAGTCACCATGGACAATACTGTATTCCGATGAGCAGAAACTCATTGAGGTGTTGCTAAGCCTGTGTCCTTCTCCCTGCTCTTCTATGCCCACAGCGGCCCCTGGTGTGTAGAGCAAAATGCCTGCCCAAAGATGTTTCTGTCCTGCTCAGTGCTAAGCCCCAGAGAAGTCCAAAACAGTTTTGATTGTCTCACTGGAGATAATTGAACAGATTGTTCCATAAGCCTCTGGCATGCAGCTGGGACTCGGGTGTGCTTATCAGCAAGTCAGGAAAGATCAGCAAGCTGGCACAAACCAGATGGAGAGCATATTAAGTCACATAACCTGTACATGATGGGTCTAGCTCTGCAACTTGGAAAATGGAGCTAAATACTCGATGATAATAATGGACCTACTAAAAGACAGAAATTCCCCCAAAATTGGCCATATACGCCCCAGTTTCTTTGGATCTATATGCAGGAAACTGGAAGATTCCCAGGCTAGCTGTTAAGATGCCACTGCTTAAATACTGGTGTCTGGAAAACAGAGCAATAGAAACACTTATTTCCTGCTCTGCAGTATTTAAAACTCCAAATGAATAATCAGCAGTGCTTCCAACCCTTGACTAAATAGAGCAGGAGAACAGACTTACCAGTGTACTTTAATAGTTTATGGTTTCAGCTTACAGTTAACTATATTTTAGTTAATATACTGGCAACTGGGTAATCTATCCCAACTGGGTAATAAAAGTAAAGCCTATCTTGGACATGAGCACTACATTGTGTAAACTCTTCGTCTGACAGAATACACTGCATATAGTTAGTTACCTTTGTTTGGTTGGATATCTAGGGCTGGGAGCTGGCATTTTCTGCCTACACATACTCTCTCTGAAAAGGTAGCAGTAGGAGTGGCATTTGTATAACATGGATGCAATTTGCAAATGTACACATGCTTATTAACATGAGAACTAGATCCTGGCTACAAATCATTAACAGAGCATGCAATATTGGGCAATGTAATGAAGAACAGGTAACCCAACACCTTTAATATTTTATTATAATTGCTGAATGGGAAACTCCATGATACTTTTCAGTTCCCTGCAAGAACTGGGTACAAGTGTGAATTCTAAAATATTTATCTCTGCTCTTTTATGGTTATATTCCATCTTTTGAAACCTGCTCTCATGTGTTCTGTCAAGTCATTTATTCATTTAAATAGTAGTCTGAGTTATGCATTCACCCTGAGCCCATGACACAGCAAGGACAAAAAACAAATAAAACGTCTCACCTGAATGGCCAAGTTCCTTTGATACAGTGGGAAGGGCAACATTTTAACTACTGGAATACCTCATACCACTTTTCAGTGGCTACCAGAAAACCCTGACACACTGCAAGCCTTTCTCAGATAGTTAAATTCTGTAAATTCTGCAGACCCCAAAAGTAGTACATTATCAGAACCCAATAAATCAGAACAACATTTGTTAAAGAGGAACAATGAAAATGGCTTTATTGTGTTTAGCAGACCTGGGAGGATAAATTATAACCTGGTAACATTCTGAAGGTACTGAACATTTTGTACATCAACAGATATGAGGAGCTTCACTCAGCACATTATTATTGAATGGGGACACAGCTGAAAGAGAAAAAGGTACATAAATGCCGCAAAAAACCCCTTTGCTCATTCCCATTTTAAGCCCAACAGCTAGCTAACAATTACTTCCATCTCTGACTTTCATGCTTTAAAAAGAAAGGGTGGGGGAGAGAGAAAAGGAACTGCTGAAATTTCTTTGGGGTGGGCAGGGGAAAGAGAAGAGCAGAAATTACTTCAACACAGGCAATCTTCAAAACAGAGTTTACAAAGCCAGCTTGATATTTAAGTCTCAAGGACATTAAAAGTACAAATAGGGACCTGTCTATTTGTGCTTACTGTATTCTGTACAATGAAGGTTCTGTAGTGCTTTTGTAAGCCAGCATTATTCTTCAACCAGTGTGATTTAATTATTACTAGTGCCGTTTTTCCAGGTCTGATAGATAGGGAAGCCTATAAATAAGCCAATATAAATAGTAATGTACTTATAACCCAAGTAACCCAGCAGTGCCATCCTTTTAGAAGAGAGTGGTTTGTGCAGGGACATGACCACCATAAGCTGTGTAACTACTGTAAACCAAATTGCTTAATACAGCCATCTAGGTCCCTTAGCTTTGTTATCCCTTTCACCCCTCCAATACCTGAGCCACCCCACTTTATCTGATGGGCCTCCTGATGGGCATAACTACTCCAGGTTTCTAAGCTTCCCCTCCATACTTAAGGGAGAGAAACTGAGCATGAAAAGCAATGACCTTATGTGGATCCTTTATCGGCTTCCCTCACTACCACCCTGCACACCAGATATCCCCGGAATCCCTTACTAGTTAAGCACCTAGGTTCCCCCTTCAGCCAGTTGTCAGGATGCAGTAACCTTGATAAGGAGCCAACAAATACAGATAAGGTAAGCATTTCATAGGAAATCTGCTACGGTTATTTTTCAGGCAATGCTTTAGATTTAGATTTAGTTAAGCACTGAGGTTTAATGTGTGTAATTATGTAAAAATAAAACAGATTTTATCTGTAAGTCAGCCTGAATATTTGTGTTCTGCACTGACTGGCAGAGGCTGGAACTTTGTGTTCTCCAAAGTCTTTAGGTGAAGGAAGTTCCCTCATTTGGGGAGAGCCCTCTTCATATAGCGTCATAATGCACGGATGGTGAGCAGAGACACTTTCTGTTGAACTGCAGTCTTATAATGGGACATCGAGGTGGCTGTGAATCTGAGCAAATATGAATGTCTGCTACCTTTCAGTTGCCACAGATCCCATGTGCTGCAGAAGAAGCAGAGAGAACATGGAAGAGGCAACTGCATCAGCAGCCTCTTTCATTTTCTTTTTCCTTTGTCCAAGTTGTGAAACCTGACAGAGGAGTTATCTCTTAAGGAGCTTCAGAACCCACAAGTCTAAAGACAGAGCATTGTTGCTTGATCACCACCCAAACTGGGGGCAAATGAATGTTAAATAAGGGGGTGGGGGAGAGAATCAAACTGCCAATCCTAAAGAAATGGCAGTTTAAAAAAAATTGGTTTCCATTTCCTTATTTTTCTACTTCAATTTTCTGGAATGCTAACACAACCTTCATACACAACTGGAAAACATTTCACACTGAACTTTAAAAAATCCTCTTTATGAAGCTAAGCAAGCATATAAAGCTGTCTCAATAGCTGCAGCAAGTTTAATAAATAGCTTTCCAAGTGCCTGCCTTTAAAATAGCACAGTAAGTGCTATACTTTATGCTCTATTGGTGGCGCATATGTCAAGAAAATGCAGTTCAATTCTGTTCTTGTTGAAATCATGTCACCCCTAGCTCATTCAATAGCTAGAAAATTACACATTTCTTCTATAATTAAATAATTGCTCACAACTAGAGGGCTTGGCATATCACCCTGACTAGAGCATCTGCAAATCTTCACACTGGATCATGTACACCATATTTCAGAAGGTAAATGTGTTCCTTTACAATCAGCCCTCCTGGTGTTTCCATAAATTTAGCACTACATCTAGTCATTTGTGTACCAGCTGAATTACCTTCACTGAAAGTTGGATACACCTAAGCCTGGCCACTTACGTTCCACACACTTTGTGATGTGCATGGTCAAGTATCAATCAGAAAAGCATTTGGCAGCAAGGTGACATAGTATCCATGTTGTGTAGAGAGTGTCTGGTGTGGTGGTGAAACTATTTCACGAAACTGCGATAAGCAGCTCTATGCTGAAGGCGAGATTTAGGTCCATCCTACATTACAGGCTACATGAGAAGCACTCTATATTTACTGCTTAAGTCCTCCACCCTCACCCCAATGTGGAGAACCTGAAGAACTTCTTTCTCCATTATCAATGGACAGATAATTCTTTCACCCAGTCAGTGAAGGCTCATTAACGTCTGTTCTCTCAACGAAGCCCTGCTCACTGGTCAATCTTTTGGAAACAGCCCAGAAAAGGGCATGCAGCATGACATTTGGGTAGAAGATATTGGAGAGGGTCCATGTTCCTCAAGGCTGTGGCCCACCACTTTGGGAGCCTTACCCTAGGGATATTTCTGCTCCTGCATATCCCCACTTGTGTAAAGATTGTCCTTTGGACTCTGGATTAAAACAAAAGAGATGGGTTAAAACAAAAGAAAAGCATGAATTCTGGGCATCCAGAGGGCTGTCTACCCTATTTGGCCTTGGGTGTTTCTGGCCAGCCCTCACCTTTTGCAGGTTAGATGTCTTAGGCAGCTCCTGGGAGGTAGGGGAGGAGAGACAGCCCCTGTTCCCTTTTGGAGGCATCTCCCTCCTTGTCCCATTTATTTTCAGAAAACGTATTGATACAGACAATATAATTTCCCTTCCCCAACTATCTGGTCACACTGAAATAGTGGGGGGAACAATAGCAAATACTCAAGGAAAAAGTGAAAAAAGTGAAATCCGAAGACAGAAGATGAAAGAACTCTGAAAAACACCCTGCTTCCTTGCTATGAGACAGGGCCAGTCAGGGAAGAGGAGCTTCTGCCCTTAGTGAAGTTAAAAGAATGACCTGGTTTGATACTTTCTGTGGTGATTTGACAAGATTTTACAATCACAAGCGGCTGTTTAGTACATCTCAAACATGGTGCTTTTGTGCCAGACTTGCCTACTTCATATGAAATGGAGATTGTGGTGGTGGAGGGAGAGTTATTGGAGATAGAAAACAGAGTAAAGTACAAGGTCGGTTATCTCCTTCAAAGGTCAGTTTTCTAGAGGGAAATGTTTTCCGCAGCTGGAAACCTGGCCAGAACAGAATTTGGAAAGTGTGAAAGCAAGAGAAGACTGACATTTTATAGTAAGAAGCATTTAAGGAAAAACTGAAATGAAGCAATTAGGAAGGGCATGGAGCCCACGAGAGAAGGATTAGAGTGTAAGATATAGGAACTCTAAGGCTTTTTTGACCTGAAATCACTCTTGTGTTTGAGGGAAAATAAACTTATGAAACTTACAAAATCATAAAGCTTCCACAGATTTGCATAAACAAAAGTACATTCATGAGAGCCACAAATTCACAGAAGTCTTAATGCCCTACTAATTTTGCAGTCTTCAGTAACAACTCTCTTAGGTCTGCAATGAAAAAAGTATTAGATGCCACACACAGTTTGCTTCATTAAAATATGCATTCATTTGTAATGTATATTTCTTGAAGTTGGGTGGGTTGCTTTGAAATTTTGCCTTACAATGAATGAGTTATTCACAATGCATTTTAAATAGACGGAACTGTAGTTCTTCCAGAACTGAAGGTGTATTTTTTTTTTTTTGAAAAAAAACCTGAATCCGTTTGACATCTATACCTGTGTAATTCGATTCAAGGCATGATAACAAGCCCTGTTCAAACCTGAAAGAGTTGGCCCTACCTCAATCCACAAAGGAGGGAAGTGCCTGTGTATTCTCAAGGTTTTACCCTCTAAGAGTAGTACCTTTCCTCTGGGCTCCTGAGAAAAGCAGAGGTGACCCAGAATCTCGATGTCCAGTGGTGCAGTAGCCAAAAAATAGATGAAGAGACTTGCTGCTTTTCAGCATACATCAATCATTTCCAAAATTCTATATTCCTCTGTGGGCTCCTCTATCTCTTGCAGGCGTAAAGAAAGATAGTTCCGCTAATCCCAATCATCCAGATTCTATTCCATCAGCCAAAATCAAATTTGAATCATGTGTAATACAGCTTGTCACCGTCCCCTTCAGTTTTTCTTAGCAGTCTTGCAAACATACTAGAAAAAACTAGCATTTGATAGAAAAATTGTCTATGAAATAGTCTCACATGGTGGGTCACCATAGATCATAATTCCACATGCGCTGCCATTTCTGTGGAAGAGAAGTGGAGAGGGGGAATATGTATGAATGTTGCATAACCATGACTTTAGAACCACTTTTTAAAAAGCATTTAATATACTGATTTTCCAAAGGTCAAAATAACTGAGGGACTGACTACCATTTCTTCTAGTGCAGACGCCTCACCTTTGGCACAATAAAACCTGCATAGTCAGTTATCACAGGCTGAAGTTTAAATGGCTCACTATAGTATATTTTCTGCATTTATGCCTTAAAATGGTCCAATTTGAGCTTTTGTGTCTTAGGAAATGGGCAGACAACTCCATCAGCAGGCACACCTGACCTCAGTGTACAGGTAACAGCTGCATCTTAAAAGCAGTGTGAGGGAAACCAATTACCTTCTCGACTTTGTGGTTTAGTTTCATTTGTCTCAAAAAGCGCTCCCGATTCTTTTTCTTCGTGGAAACGCCTAAAAAGCTGCTTAATTTCTTGATCGTAGTCCTGCCACTCAGGGACGATTCTCATCGCCGCCTGCAGCTTTGGCTCTTTGGTCATTGGGTTATTGCACTGCAACACAACACAACACATAAGTCATTGCCAATAAATCTGTGGCCTTTCATACATACAGGGAAAACTTACTGAACAGTGCCTGTGTAGCTCAAGCCCTGAATATGATTGGACAGTGAAACTATGCTGCTCATTCTATTTTAATTTCACTGTTATTAGTCTGATTCACATGCCACGTTAAAACCATAGTTAAAGCAAACTATGGTTTAATAGGAATATCTGGTGTGCTGGGAAGCAAGTCAGAGTCTGGGCTTGAGCTTGTTCTTTCCAAACAAACCTTTGTTACTAAATTAAACCATAGCTTGTATTTAAATATGGTCTAATGTGATATGCGAACCAGGCCACTAACAACGGTTGCAGTTTTTCCAATTTAAACACTGTAGAATTCCACAAAATTTAGGGGATGGGTCTGAGATCCCTGAACATAGTTTCATACATATGCATTGCTATGCCAGGTTGCATATGGTCCACAATTGTGAAGCACTCACTGCCTGAAGGCAACAACTTTACTAAGAGGTCACAATTGATGCTTTTGGTTCCCAGGCCAGTCTTTGGAGATTATATTACCTCCTGGGAATGCAAAATCTGAACACAACACCCCCCTTATTTAACTGATGAAGTTTTTCTTTGAAAAAGTATGAAAGCAGGAAAGCTAGAGAAAGTATCCTTACTGCTGTGATAAAATTATAGAATTTAAACACATTGAAATCTTACTGAAATGTGGCACGTGCCCCTTCCTGCTTTGTTGTGTACAAAGGAGTCTTACCAGATCAATGGTTTTTGCTCTTTTCTTCGAAGCATCATCGCACCACGTTTCACACCAAAGCCACTCTTGCGGGAGTGATTTAATGGGCACCTGATGGATCATGTTGTTTGGCAAGTCCTGTTGGAAGGAAAACAAAATTGCAATTCTTTTAACCCAGTAATCATATGAAAACTAAGAATAGTGCGGGTACAAGAAATCCTGGAAAAGCAAGCATGAACACAAACAGCCCTCCAAACTTTAACAGCAAAAACATGACCAAAAAAAATTATACGCTGGAACACAAATCTAGCTGAGATCACCCCATGTGGTTTTCAGACCATAAAAGATTCATGAAGAAGAGACAAGAATGATGGATTACAGTTATAACAACATGAAGACATTGGACAGAATGAGAATTTGTAAGCCCACAGTATCTAGCTGTTTTTCTTTTTCAAGCCTGGCAACTATCAAACCATAAATTATTGGCTTTTAAAAGCAAAGAGCTCTAGTTCCATCTAAGTGACCACGTTTCCTCCTGTCCCACAACTGATACACTTGGTTCTCACACCAGTCCTAGAGCCTACATGCCACAGAAGGTCCCTTCAGTTTATGGATATTGAGTTCCACTTGGCCATTCACCTGCCACTAGTGCTTTATGTGTCCTCTTTTGCCTCCATTCCAACCTCAATATATGTCCTCCCACCATCAAGCACCCATCTTAATTACGTACCTATGTGCTGACCCTGCAGCTTCCCAAAAGATAGAATTCTGCAGATGCCTTAAAAATTAAGTTGTTTAAAATTATTTTTAAAAACACAAAACTGTAATGAAAGCATAACAAGTACCTGATCAAGGTTGGAGAGACTGTTGGGATCCTGGCTCAGGCCTTGATATTGTCCTCTAAGCCGATCCCCAGCAGCTATCTTCCGGAACTTCTTCAAATCCACAACATAGAGAGCACTAAGAACAAAGAGAGCAACTGTTTCACTGACTGCTACCTGTCAAAGGTAAACCCATATGTCTTGTGATAAATTAACCTATGACAATGAAGATTTTGTGTCTATAAAAGGAAAGCATACAAGAAATAGACTACTATTGTCTAAAATGTCAAATGGACACTCTTCATTTTGTGATGGAACTTCCAATACAAGAGGCACAAATCCTACACACAAACACGTTTTCAACACCATGTCACCATCACTAGACAGCAGCAGTTGGATGATGCAGCGCTTTCAAGTAGTACTATAAAAAAAAGCAGAAGCAAACAGCAGCACAGTATCAGGAACAACAAACATCTATCACCTGATGTGGTATTTTCTTCCTGCCAAGTGACTTGCCCAGTATCCTGACTTCCAGAATCTGTATCCGTCCATTTCTCTGCGACTTTCACAGAATGGTGTGTAACCGTAAGGGGCCCCGTCCAAGTTGAAGTCTCTTAGCTCCTTAAGGTCTGTACGCACAATCTAAAGAAAAGTCGTTCATACCCCACTTTCAATTTCAGTTCTGCTGAGAATGTGGGACTACAACCTCCAAAAGTTATGAGAGTTATTAACTAAAGGCCCGTCAAGACTGACAGGTGACACACACATGACAGTCCTGGCTTCTCAACTTCGCTCTCATCTCCACTACCAAGGCCATTGCCATAGATGGGAACAACGCCAGACCCGCTTTACCAAATCAGGATCTGCCCTCTGTTCCTCTGTACTGAACATGACCCAAGATGACAAGGAACTCTTCCTTCCCTCCTCCTGGGAACTGTACAGCCCTCCTTCCACCATCCTAACATGGGCTCTGGGTGGAGAGAAAGAGCAATCAGCAACAAGCAGGTGTAGTAGAAATATGGGATAGGCCTAACATCTGCTGAAGGCACAAGACTTGCTGTGTTTTGCCTCCCAGAGCATTTATTCCCTGGCTGCAAATTTCTCCATTTTACTGCACTTTTCTGAGAGTACCCTCTTGCACATGCCAGCAAAGATGTATGGCACTGACCCGGTAATTTTTGAAGCTTGAAGACCACTTACCTGGTCAGCATCTACAAACAGGAATTTATCAACAGCAAGGGGGAACAGCACATCCAGAAAAAGAATTTTGTAACCCCAGATGATGCGCTGCTTCTCTGTTTGCTGGTGAAGCCATCGTGGCCATTTGTACTGGACTAGTTCATACTGGAAATTGTATTTTTCAGCCATATATGGGATGAATTCCTGGAACAAAATAATGCTTTGTGGTACCAACAGTTTCTGATACAAAATGATATTTAAAGTACTTATGCTGATAGAAACACAAAAACAAAACCCAATAAAAACCTTAAAGGAACCAGATATTTAGTAGTCATATTATTAGATGATGCCACTCTGGGCTGCTTTGGGAGGAAGAGCAGGATATAAACACGACGGCAAGCATCTATTGTCTCTTGTATATTTTAAATGTTTTCTAAGTTGGCTGGGGTCTTGTTTTTGAGAAAATAACTTAAGAAATTTAATAAATAAAATTACTACTACTAATCTCTCAATGATAAAGGTGCATGTGCAAGTAGCTGAAGATACACAGAAACAGACATAGCAGAGGGAGAGTGGCTGTGAAGCTTCGGGCTTCCAACAAAGAAAATATGAAGCAAGTTCTTACAACAAACCTTAAACGTAGGTGACAAATAGTTCTTCAGGAACCAGAACTTCACTGGAGTTTGTGTGTGTTTCAGCACAGATAGCATCATTATCCTGTTAAGGCAATAGACAGGCAAAGCTGATTTAAAATAAATAAATAAATCTAGAGCTAACCCAAATTAGCAGCCTACAGTGTCCTCCTCTCACATCTCACTCCTTCAGGCAATTTGTATTCATGAAATTACTGATGGCACCACGAGAAGATCAATATTATATGACCTTTGCTATATCAGCATACTTTGACCAACTGAAAAATTGTATCTTAATAATACATACCATAAGGCAAGTTATGTTGTTGGTTTTTTTGGTGCTGCATTATGGCTATATTCATATTGGGGGGGGGGACCACAAGGTTTTTACATAAATGGTCTTATATTCCAGGTACACAGAACCATAGAGTTGGAAGAGACCCGAAGGGTCTCAATTTGAGTTATGCACTACTGATTCTAGACTAACCGGAGAAATCTCTCATATAGATGCCCTGATGCCACAGAAAATATGTTGATCACATCATCCTTTTCCTGCTTCACCTCTTCTTTCTTCTGTCCGCCCGTGAAGCCCCTTAAAAAGGAAGGAGGGGGGGAAAGAGCAACGTTTATACTGCAATGTCACATAAGGCAGCCAGGTTTACACTTCCACTCTATATTCTCCACCTAACCAACACTTGTTGGGACTGTAGCAGGCATTGCCTGTCTGCCTGGGGTGCTTCATATTATCATAACCTCAAGATGGAAACCTAAAGACAGAAAATCCAGCCTCTTTTGAATGTGAAACATTCCATTCAAAAACAAATGTGTTGATCTCATAGAACTTTCCAATGGAAGCTCCTGCCACCAAACGTTAATCAGACTTGCTTAAAAAACAACGAACTATTCTGCAGACAGCATTACAACTCTTCTCAAATTTATTCACACTTGATTTAGTGGCAAATCAATACCTACTCCTATGAAAGGATGGCATCAAGTCATTCTTAATAAAAAAATTAAAAAGTACTCTAGATTTAGTGATATGGTATTTAATTATAATAATACACATCAGGATTATATGTATTTTGTAGCAGCTACAAGGATCAAGGAATCTTTCAGGTTAGCAAACCTGAAGGGCAGTGAGGTACAAGATAGCCCTTGCTCACCATTTAAGAGATTCCCAAAATCCAGATTCGTTTTCGTTTGTTCCATCACTTAGCAAATCTTCATTCAGCATATCCAATTTCTTCTGAACCTGTGAAGAAAGAACAGTGAATTAGCTTAAGCTTCTTACTAAAAGCTTCTTTTGAAACACCATCTGGCTAGATACATTTTGTGTTTTCCCCAAAATTGGAACTACCAAGCAAATTGTACACAATGACACCTTGAGGGGCAGGGAGATATGTTTGACTAAGAAATCTCAAAGTGAAATTCCAGCTAGCTCTTTGGCTTGAAGGAAAGGTGAAACATTCAATTCGAGTAAACTGCATCTCCTACAATATCACTTCCAGATTACCTCACATGGTGAGAAATACTAGAAGAAAAGGTGGGTGCACTTCCTCTTTAATATATGTCAGGGGTGGGGAACCTGTGACCTCCAGGACTGCAGAGGCTTTCATCCCTGATCAGCTCGGGCTGAAGGGAGTTGGAAGCCATCACCTGGAGGGCCACAGTCTCCCCATCCTTGATGTATACAAGTAAACTCAGAAATGCAGGTTTGGCAACTATATTCAAACACAAAAGGTTATTAAATATGTTCTAGGATATGCAGTGTATAGTTCTATACATATAAGCCACCCTTAAGGTTGCATCTTTCCCTACTCTCTCCTGTTCATGGGATGTGTGAAAAGTTTGTTTCCAGTGACTCCTTCTCCACATCAGCATCCAATTCTGTGAGCTGGGAGAGCATTTGTAGGGCAGATGCTCCTACCTAATAGACACATAAGGAGCCAAATGAAGCTTCCTTTTACTCTTCTCATAAGCTGGGAAGTATAAATTCTAGTAAAAGGTATTGCATTATGCAGCTTGGATGATTATTCAGATGTTGTCCCATCTCCTAACTTACCCGAAACTTTAAAGGATTGCATTTCTCTGTTTTGTCCAGAAAGCCCTCTATAGGAGGGCAAACACTGTCATATTTTTTATAAATATGCGGTGAGTGTGTGTGTGCATTTAAACAAATGTTGCTGTAATTACTACTTTTATTGTGTCCTTTTCAAACTCACCTTCACTTTAATAATTTTGCTCTTGAAGTTGTTGATAACAACAACAACATCGCTGGCATCTGGTGGAGAATCTGTACCATCGTGGCTAAAATTGATCAGAATAATTAAATTAAATTAGCTCAATAATCACTGTAGGAGGAGTGCTGCTTTGTTACTAGTTCTGCTAATTCTTTCCTAGTTTTCATCATGGACCTATATTAAACAATGCTTTTCCTTCACAGAACGCCTCTCAAGTATTTCAGAAAGAAATATAAACTGAAAACATGAAACACATTTCACACAATTCCTAATTTGTTAGCTGAGGGAGGTGAAGAGAACCCAGATGTGAACTCATGTGTATTGCCAAGTAAGAGAGAAAAAAACCCTGCTCAACACAACCAATGCCATGCTGAAAGACCATACTAGCCCAAATGGATTTTAACCAAAAACATACAAACCCAAGAGTAATGCTTTTTACCACCTCACCTGTAAATTCTGTAGATATCATCAGACCTTCCTTTTCTAAGTCTCAGAAACCAGGAACCAGGATTGGCTTTCAGCTGGAAGTAGCCCTGTGAAGGGAAAAGAGAAAAGACAAATACCAGTGATAGATAACTTGCTTAGTACTGAGCATCACATCAAGAGAGAATAAAATGCTTCCCTTAATTAGCAGTGGTTACACAGCAAACAAGCTCTCAAGAATATGATGGCCAATGCACAATCAGAAAAGATGCTCTGTTAACTCTGCATTCAAGTTAGACCTCAGGAATTAGGCACTTCCAACACCAGAAAATTTAGGCTTGCCTCTTCCCATATTAAAAGCATAAGTCACTTGAGTGGCCAATTGGAGCACTCAGATCTGTTTCAACAGGTTTTCCACTTTAATTCAGTGAGGAAAATAGTTGCTTACTAAATTGGCCATAACAATGGTGTCGACAACCACGGGGTTTGTTGATGTTCCCAGTGTGAACTGGAGCCCTCGCGGGGGCTGCCCTGTCGTGATATCATAGCAGTGCCCTTCCAAAAGGAGGTGCTCTAACTCATACTCAGCTGCCACAACACTCTCCACCTGGGAAAAGGAAAACACACTTTTTAAGCAGTCAAAAAACATAACAAGGTAAAAGCTGAGGCTGGTGGCAGATAAAGTCCAAGAGCACCTGGAGGTCCCCAGGGCCCCCACCCCTGTCTTAAAAGTAATACAACAGCAGCAAAATTGCTTATTAATAAGAACTCCCATATGCATGGTGGGGAAACCTCATGCAAGAAAGTGATCTGCACTGATTTCAACTGAGCACAACTGGCTTCAGTTGCTTGTGGTTCTTGCTGCTATCAGGCAAGGCACAGTGGTTTGCCCTGAAACAAACAAACAAACAAACAACATTTGGCAAAGGGAGGAGTGTGCTTGTGCAGTTTGCTCTCCAAATTTAGCCGCACCAGTTAATCAGAGCAGTTTTAACCTGAAATTAAGGCTAAAGTTGGTTAAATGGTTTTGTTTGCAACCCAGCCAGATGCATGGGGTATAAATATTTTTATTTATTATAATTACTAGTAGTAGTATTATAAATTCTGAAATGAACCCTCCTCTTCAGATTGGGACACACACATTGACTGGACTTACCTCCGCTAAATAAATGTTGTCAAGATCATATGGTGTCCTTACAGACTCCACCATCCAGCTCTCAGGCGTGTTTAGATTCAAAGTAAACAAGGGGGACTGGGGCATATCCAAGAATTTGGCTACTGGGCCAGGAACGAAGAGTTTCTCTGCACTGAAAGTTATTTCTGGCTCCAAAACGTAGCGATAAAAACTAAAATTTAAAAATGACAAGTATCAGAATGTTTTAATCTCAAACCCTGCAGGTGTCACAGTCAATTGTCTTTATGTTATGCCTTTCAAATCTGTAACCTTGATAGCCTCTGCATGCCTAGCATTTAAGACACACGGCTTTGAAAAAGCATACTGTTGGAACCCCACAAGCAAACAACCTTCTAGGTTCTGGTGCTTGAAGATGTGCCTCAGCTTTTCCTTTTCCTAACAAAACTCAAGCCAAGCATTTTAAAAAACTATGCTCCTCTCATATTACTCATTCCTTTCTGCACCTTTCTGTGCTTCTATTAAAAACAAAACAATGACTGGGGCATAAAATAGAGAATTGAATTCCTATGTTAGCAACACCACCAAAGCAACAGAAAATAGAAGACCGAAATGAGTCAGAAACTTCACTCTCTTTCAGCAGCCTCATGTGTCTCCTGAAATGCCATCCTGAAGGTCAGTGGACCCTCCAGATTGGCATTCCATTGTGCACAAAAAACTGCAACCTGAAGAGAAAAGTCCCTACCCCCACTGCATGAACCTAAATTACAACAGATTAATTTTCGCAATTTCTGCAAATCCACTACAAGGCTGACAGAACATAGGATGGCTTTTATCACTGTAATGAAGCCTAAGACCACAAAACAAGATTTACGTGGAGGCAATATTCCTTCTGATATGGAAATCACACATCAACTCTCTTGCAGCTCACACAGCCCTGCCCACACAATTTGAATCTACAGTTTTCTAACAGTAGCATCAATAGTCAAGCTTTCAGTATTTTTAAATAAGCAGTGTAGTTTTGCTTCCCACTTAATTACATTTTATAAATTTAGCCATTCCTCACCTTTTCAAAGGCATGTCAGAGAGTTTGGACTGGCAATTCATAAAAACTCTGAGGTTCATGTTTATTAGTTTGTTCAATACCTTAAAACAAAACAAGGGACATAGAAAGTTAAATTCACAGCTAATTGTGTACATTTCTTGCAATGCCCTACCTATCCTATATCTGCAAACTTGTCTCTTTCTACTGGCTAGCTAAAGCTGAAATGCTCAGATAACTTTCTGTGCAGCAGCTACACTAAGGTTATTTAGAAACAATTTGGGATGAAAGAGAAAGGTTAGAAGGATTGATTTTTAAAAGGAAGAGATTAGAGGGGAGAAACAGAAAATCTTCTTACATGATGAGCTGAGGTTCCCATTAAACAGGTTATATTTTATTTAAATAACCACCTTAAATGTTTTAGTCTTCTCCATACTGATAATAATTACTTTCCAATGTAAAACAACTTAAGTTCCGGATATTAAAGTTTACACAAAAGGCAATGTGTTTTCAAGAGTGATGAAAACAACCTTATATATCAAGATTAGGAAAGGTAATGTTTGGTATTTTATGGAACATTCTTCAGCTACTGGTTATACTGCAAACTACTAATATATTCACACCATTAGTAGTGGAGCAAGTCTTTGTGCATCTCTGGTAGCAGGGTCTACAACAGCCACAACGTCAAAATACGTCTCTCCTTCCTTTGGTCTTAATTTAATTGCGCTAAAGAAAAAGAAAAAAATACACACTGACATATGCATGTTATGTTTTAGCCCATGAGAGAAATATAAGATATAAATATAATATTAAAATATATTAGAGCCAGTGTGGTGTAGTGATTAAGAGCAGTAGTCTTGTAATCTGGGGAACCGGGTTCGCGTCTCCGCTCCTCCACATGCAGCTGCTGGGTGACCTTGGGCCAGTCACACGTCTCTGAAATCTCTCAGCCCCACTCACCTCACAGAGTGTTTGTTGTGGGGGAGGAAGGGAAAGGAGAATGTTAGCCGCTTTGAGACTCCTTAAAGGGAGTGAAAGGCGGGATATCAAATCAAATAAAAAATAAGCAAAGCCTACCCCCACTCCCACCAAGAAGTGCATAATATATTCATCAATGCCTTCTATAAACAGAGATTGAATTGTCAATGCATAGGAAGAAGGAATCAATTTCCTATTTAGTCTTACATCCCAAATGATGTATTAGCATTATCTAATTCTAGCAAATAAAAAAAAAACCAAGTTAATGTGAAGCTTTTTGAAGATTATAGAGAAAGCGAATTTACATAACCCATATACATAAAAGTAGAATATCTATATCCATATATTTACCTGTATCGGTCCTCAAAGAAGTGGTATTCAATTCTTGCCTCTCCTTTTGGCTGAGCAGACAGAAGAGCATCCACCTTCATTACAAGATCACTTGCACTACAGAGACAAATTCCGTCTGCTCAAATATTTGCTTTCCATGCTAAAATGGCCTAATCAAGTGATATTTTTAATATGGAAGCCAAAGACACACTAGATGCTTTAGCAAAAGATAAAATAGTAACTAGTTTGGATCCAGCAGTGTCATGCACAAATAGAATGACCCTGCCTTTGTACTTGCACAAGAGTAGCCTACTTCTGTGAATATAAACCTCCCCCCCTCCAACGCTGCAAACCCCTCCTGAAGGTTTCCCAGTCTTCAAGTACGGCTTGGGAGGGGAAAGGCAGAAAGGCCCTGTTCTGCAAGAGGAAGTCTGTCCTCGGTTCATAGAATCCAACCCATTATGAGAACTTACTTGGAACCTAAAAACTGGTATTTTGTACTAGTACAAAAATAAAAAGAATCTCCCTCATCTACTCTGTTCCTACTTATAGAAATCAAATGAACAAATGGAATCCCCAATTTTCAAACTGTCATTGCCTCTTTTTTACTTACAGATCTTCCTCCACTCCTAGCTCCTGAACGTGAGATTTTATTTTCTGCCCAGAAGTCTTTAAAATAATATTCTCCAGCAAGTGAAAGTCATCCTGGTTAAAAAGCTCACCATCTTCCAATGGCCCAATGATCTAAAGGTAAAATGGAAAATTAGGTTGCATTAGAGCAGTAAGACGGTCAAGGAAAGTGAAGAAAACTGTGGCGGGACCATAATTACTCACCCCCTGTGATGCACACAGTAATCCAACTCATATTACTGTTCAGAATTTAACCAGTCAAATATTCACTACTTCGAAAGTTCACATTGTCCGTCGTTGCACGAGCAACTGTGTCAATTGCTTCCTACCATATGAACCTTCCCAATGAGGTCAACATCTGAGGTCTTGGCTTTCACTTCATGAAAGTGAAGTGGTCACACAAGACAGGGCCATTTTGGTGCTGCCTCAAAGGCTCTGTAATGCGCTCCTGCGAGAAGCATATTTGTGCTTTTCTACTACTACTACTACTACTACTACTACTACTACTGCTACTACTGCTACTATTATTAAATTTATTACACACTCTTCACCAGCAGGTCTGGGATGGGTTACAATAATTTAAAATTCAGTATTAAAAAGGCTTAAAACAAATTATAGTCACAGGGATAGAATGGATGCTGAAAACACACATCTCAAGTGTTGAAGGCCAGAGATGACAAGACACACCTCTGTGGGGAGGGAATTCTACAACTTAGGGCTGTCACAGAGAACGCCCTCTCCCAGGCCATCTTTGTCTTACTCCCTGCCAAACGTCTGAGGAGGCAGAGGTACCAAGAGGGCCCCCTCTGCTGATCTTAACATCCAAGAAAGTCCACAAGAAATGAGGTGGTTTCTCAAACATTTGGGGCCTAAGTCATTTAAGGTTTTAAACACTAACATGAGCACCTCAAATTGGGCCCAAAAACTAACTGGCAGCCAGTGCAGCTGTTTTAAAACAGCAGTTACAGATAATGCATTCTTATTTATCATCTGGTTGGTTGTTGTTTTTTGCAAAAGTTTTTTTTTAGTACAGATATTGTCAGAAGCCCTGGGGGCTTTGTTAAACTGAAAAGTATTATATAAATATGGCAAGGAAGCAAATTTTCTTATGATCAAAACCATTTCACTGCCAATCAGTTAAGAAAAACCGAATTTCAGGGAAAGCAAAATAGACTGCTTATAATTGACACTGCTGCCTTTTTTATTCTTACCACTAAGACAAATGCAGTACATTAGAACAGCCACCAAAGTGCTCTTTGGATCCATTAGTTATGCATTCCCAGAGGACTGCTGTGGGAAAGTGTTTCATTCTGAGAAGCTGAATGCTGCTGTTAATTATTCAAGGTGGCTTTCTCTCTCTCTCACACACACACACACACACACACACGGATGTGGGGCTTATTAGGATAAACAGGTGTAAACAATAAAATTCCAGGCTCCAAGATACATTACTCAAATATATGGAAAACTCTGTTCATTTCCCAAAGTATGAAATCATACACTTCTATGTAATACAACATTCAACCTTTTTTGGGCCTTCCATTACAGGACTTTAAAAATTATATGGGAAGTAGCTCAATGAAAGTAAAGTGAACCCAGCTATTAATGCCACCCTAAACAAAGACCTATCATGTACTGGTAATTTTCAGCTCCAACTAATTTTCAAACACATCTCAAATCAAAAGACTGGATCCCATTATTTTTATTGACTAATATGCAAAGTTAAAATTCTCAACTCCCTCAAGTGTGGAGAATTAGGCGGGCTAAGCATGTTGAAACAGTTTCCTGGAAGTGAAACAGCTCTCTTTGCGGGGGGGGGGGGAATCCAGCTTACCCTGCCATTGCTGATCACTGCCCTCTGCCCTTTTTTCAGTTTAAGAACATCCCTGGAGTACATGGTATGTGAAAGAACAAAATCCACTTTAGGAGAGTCAAAGGCTTCCTTGAAAATATCAATATCCATACCCTGAAAGAAAAGAGACCCTGAGTAAAAGTAAGTTCAGAGACAAGACAGGAAAGCTGTAAATTAAAAAAAGAAATGGGTACTCCATTTTACTAGTGTGCCACCTCACAGCAAAAGCCAGCTTGTACTTACTCCAACAGCAAATTCCGTAATATCAGCTCCAGCCTCCAGCATCTTTGCATTCTCTTCCTTGGCTAATTTTGTGATGAAGTTCTTGGCATTGTTAGATGTTTGCGTCTGTAAGGCTGCCCATATAGCCCTAGCAATGATTGTGTTGTTGCTGGTTGGGTCTTCACTGGGGTTGCTGATCACGCCAATCCGGACATGGTTGCTGGATTTCTGCATAAAAACAAAATGTGCATTAGAACACAGTTTGTACAAGCACCGAAGGCCAGTGTTTAAATGTAGAGGAAAGCTGATTACGCCTGCTTCCTGCTTGTGCTGGGTAGAAACAAACCATCATCCCTGGGCTTAGCACTATAGTTGAACGAGGGTTTGTGCAAACAAACCACGATAAACAAAAGTTTGTTCTCAGCTTCTCTATTTTTCTTTGCTATGAGAAAACTAAGCTGAAACCCTGGCTGAAACATAATGCTAAGCCAAGGATTATGGCTTGCTCCTCTCCAGTACTCAGATCTTAGGGTGCAGCAAGGCATGGTGGTATGAAAGAACAATTGGTTACTCTTCATTTAAACACAGAGAGCCTAGCAATTAGTCATACCTGTCCCTCAAAGGCACAAAAAACAATCAGGTGGTGTAACTCAGTTCCCCAGGTATACTGACAATACTGCTTCCCTTCCTTCCCTTCTTCAACAAAGGCCGCTACATACCTGGTGTTTGATAGCATCATACAAAAGCTGTCTTCCAGATGGCTTGTCAAAGTCTCCCACAATCCAGAAAGTCACTGGTCTAACAAAAGAATCATCTGTAAAAGGAACAACAACACATTCAAGAAAGAAAATTGAAGTTGATAATATCATAATGTGCATTTCCATTTCAACCTGGGCACATGCAGCGTTTCGAAAAGTCATTCAGGCAAGATACAAAAAGATCCCAATGGTATTAGTATTTATCAAGGGTAACAGCATGTGTATATATCTCTGTTAAAATTATCTTTTAAGGTACACAAAATAAGGCACATGCATAATTCTGTTTATTATCTGGGGTTTATTTAGCTATTCATTTAAGATTTTTATTCTTTTTATCAAAGAATATTTAAGCAACTTAAGTTTTCCTGTTAGCAAATAAACAAAACTTTTTAATGTGGACTCAAATTATATTTCTGGAAATATTTTAAAACATGCATCTATTTTTCATTCCCTACAGATTCTAAGGTCAATAACTAAGGGCTCTGAGCATGATTTAATGTATTTAAATTAGTAATGCAAAAAAGGAAAGAAATGCACTCAAGCTCATTACCATAAATTTCCTTGGAGGACATGCCTGACAGAAGTAAAACAGGAAAGAGTGGGAAAAGATATAATTAGTTTACAGAATAGACCTTGCAAGTACCCAACAGCCACAGCAGGGTATGCATGACCCTTGTAAACAGTGACTAATGTCAGAGGCAACTATGAATTAATTCATTTCCAGCAATAGGAAACCACAACATCTCTAGTATTTCTCTAATTTTCAGAAGTCATGCACCCCTTCCAAATGAAATGGATCTGTCATGCCTTGTCCTCTTCACACTGAAGCCTAGTTGATACACCTGACAAGATCCTATATGACACATGATTTTCCAAATACCCCCAGTTTCCAAAGACAGCTCTAGTCACAAGGAGTGAATCATGATGGCAGGTGTTAATTATCAATAACAGGGCTTATTGAGAAGGCAGCTGGGCCACAACTGGCCCCCAGGCCTTAGGTTGCCTACCCCTGCTCTAGAAGGTAAGATTGCTTGCGCAGGGGCAGTTCCAAGGGGATGGTTTGACTATACACGTTTTTGCGTATACGCTCTATAACCCCTGTGCAAGATGCATACTGTATACTGAAGATACTGAAGTCAAAATCTCTACCACATTTCTCACACTGATTTTATGTAGTTATCAAAAAGCATGGGTGACAGAATAGAACCCTATCCCATCCCAAAGGGTAACTCCCATAAGCGCTCCCCAGCACTGCCTTCTGAGAACTACCCAACAGGCTAAGTGGGACTGTAAAAGTAGTGTGTCCTGCATTTCCAATCCCACCAGGAGGATAGCATGGTTGATATTAAGTCATTGAGGGGTACTGGAAAATGAACAGGCGCACAGTGCCCCATGCTACCTTGCAACAAAGATGATCCACTAGTGTGACAAGAACATTTTCTGTAACAAACCAAGGCCTGAAGTCAGGTTGTCTCATTTAATCGAACCTAGAGCTAGCTGCCCAGCTACTATCTGCTCTTATCACCATACCTAGACAATACACATTAAACTTGCCCATAATTGCCAGGATCTAAACTTTAGACTCTAAAGGTTCCAGGGAGGCTTTAGCTGTTGCCTAACTGTGGCTGTGTAAGGGCACCCAAAACCACATTTTCACCACAGGAGGAGATTAGAACCTGCCAAGTAGGACAAGGTTCTAGATTGCAGCTTGCTGGTCAGACTATTCCAAGGTTTTCACCTAGATAGTTGCAGCTCAATATCCGAAACAATTCAAAAAACCACTGTAAGATGAGGCCAAGGGCACCTCTAGTAAAGAGTCTTAATGAGCGGGTTCCTTAATGATGGATAAAATGTTTAGTTTACCCCTTTTTTAAGTTGTTGGTGTTAAAAGCCTAGACAGGCAAGAAGACTTGGTCAATCACTGATAAATCTACCAAAACAAAATCCCCAAACTAAGCTTTTGTAGAATGTCTCAAGTGCCCTTCCTTAGCTGTTATATTCAAAGTGACTTATAGAAGAGAACTAAATAAAACCACACACACACACTACAAAACAAACACATTAGATACTCCTACATCAAAAGCCAGAGAGGATCAAGAATGTTTTCATGTGCTGTTCAAAATCAAACAGGGAGCATGTTCTATATTTGTGGTACATCACTAGAATGAAGCAGGGAAGTCTGTTTCTTCAGAAGAATTGCTGAAGCCCACAGACACAATCCAACACAGAATTTGACATATTTAAGCTTCCTCTAATTCTTCATCTCTTACTTGCAACTTCACCAGAGTTATGGACAACAAGGAGAAATTTTTTCAGGATTTATATTAACCAGGTTGTTGAGATTGGCTTCAATCGCAGTCAATAGCAATCTCTGGTTCACATTATCTGTAGCTAAAGTTGGTGCCAACATAGGCCTTAGCAGAGAGACAGAAGAGAGGGGCTAAGGATGGGAGCATGTGACTCCCCCCTCTCTCCCAGACTCATTACCTAAGCTGTGCATGGTTTGCAAAGGCATAATAAATCAGAATAAAGCCTTGATTTGACAATTTTATATGAAAATCCAAACCAAAAAAAGCCCATAATGGCTATAAAAGCCCAAAGTAATAACTTACACATATATGCAGAATTGCAATAGCACTATATTTCATCCCATTTTTCTCCTAAGCTTATTTGCTCCTTTGGCATATATTCAGTCAACTTGTAGTCTTTTATTGTTAAGCAATAAATAAGAAATGTGGTAACGAAGTGAAGAATTAGTGATTTTAGGGTGGGTGGGTGTGTTTTAAAATGTCTTAGCAACAGCTGCAATACTATTCTAAGCCCAGCAATTACCAACTACCATTGGCTGCTATTGGGCTATTTTCAAAAGCAATTAACACTTCCATTTTCTATAAGGAAACATATTGCTCATATATCCATATACATTAATAAACTAAGTGAAATTAAATGGTGAAGTTCCAAGCTAACATTTCCCAATAAACAAGACTAGCATTTGACTACTGTTGGGTCTACACAGCAAATGCAAGAGAAAAGGAGACTCTGAAAGTCTTTGCAACCTGGTGCGCTCCAGATGTTTTAGATCAGGCATGGCCAAACTTGGCCCTCCAGATGTTTTGGGACTACAGTTCCCATCATCCCTGACTACTGGTCCTGTTAGCTAGGGATGATGGGAGTTGTAGTCCCAAAACATCTAGAGGACCAAGTTTGGCCATGCCTGTTTTAAATGATAATTTCCATTAGCCCCAGCCAGCACAGAAGGCTGCTCTGCAAGGTGGTAGAAAATACGCTCTGTGAGTAATAAACTAGCATATCAGGGAGCAGGCTGAGCAAGAACCTCTTGCCCTGCTTCAAGTACAGACCAAGCCTAGCAGAGGAAATCAATTAAGACAACAGAAAAGATGATGCTGCCTGGAAGCTAGACAGGCCAAAGAAATGCCATGCAAATACTTTTTAACATTATGAACCAATCTGTACTGTTTTCTTCTACAGTACCTGGTTCTTCAGATTATGGCAAAGCCATAATGACATGCTAAATCTATGGAGCCTTTATGAACAACCAAAGAACTTGATCAGATAAAACTGGGTATACATTTAAGGATCAAACTGGAGGGCAAAGTGAGATTACAACTGGCACAAAGAAGGAGCAGTAACATGGCATCATTAGAAACATTTTTAAAATGCCTTGCTATGATTCACAATGCAAAAGGAACCCTGGCTAAAGAAGTAGCAGAATAAACATTCATGTGCAGACTACAAAAGGGAAAGAGACAGGACTCCCATAATTGTACCTTTCTTGGTCATGTACGTCATGCTGTTGGCTATAGCAGCTGTCTTGTGCTTGGAATCCATGAATGTAAATCTAGCATAATCATCCACAAAGAAATTATCTGCAAGAAAAATATTAACTCATCAACAATCACCACTTTAAATCAAATTCTATTAATTTTATTTTAAAAAGAAAATTACCCTCTTTGGTAGCAAATTCCCAATAAAATGTTCCTACAGGGCATCTTCCTAAATAATTCATCGTAGAATTTGGACAAGGACAGAGATGAGCAAAGGCTAAGAATGATAAAGCATAGGCAAGAACAGCTGCAAGGTCAAGGAACAGGGGCTAGGAGTGAGAAAGGGCAGAAAACCACCCAATAAAAGTACGGAGCCCTTGTATTTCTCCAATACAAAATGCCTGAAAACTTTCAAACTCTTAAACAACATTTACCAGTATACCTGAAGGAGCATCTCCACCCCCATCATTCTGCCTGGACACTGAGATCCAGCACCAAGGGCCTTCTGGCAGTTCCCTCACTGCGAGAAGCCAAGTTACAGGGAACCAGGCAGAGGGCCTTCTTAGTAGCGGCACCTGCCCTGTGGAACGCCCTCCCATCAGATGTCAAAGAGATAAACAACTATCTGACATTTAGAAGACATCTGAAGGCAGCCCAGTTCAGGGAGGTTTTTAAATGACTGATGTTTTAGTGTGTTTTTAATCTTTGTTGGAAGCTGCCCAGAGTGGCTAGGGAAACCCAGCCAAATGTGTGGGGTATAAATAAATAAATAAATAAATTGTTTGTTTGTTTGTTTGTTTGTTTATTATTATTTAAATACAATGCTTGAATACGGTGTTGTCTGCAGGAGGCTTTAGCTAGTGAATTCCTTCATCTCCCCTCCTACTCTGCCACATCCATGAGGAGGAGACTGGAAACATTTATTTGCTTCTGTTTTAAGATTAGAATAATTGTATTTTTTTATTTGTCTTGACCAACCACAGTCTAAACTAACTGCAGTTTGTCCAAGTTTGGACAAAACAACAAACTGCACACTTAGTTTAACATGGAAGTGGGTATTTCTGAACAGCTTGTGGCCATGCCAGAAATGGGGGGGGGGAGTACAAACTAGTGTCCAAATCAGATCTTAACAAGTTATTGTTGTTGTTATTAAAATTTTGTATGGATTCAACAGCAGTGTGCCTTACTAGTTGCGGTTAAATCTAGGTACTCTCTGTCAGACATCAAGATCCGTGAGTTGATTCTTGGCACAACATTAGGCTGGTTCATGATATATTCAACCACATCTTGATCATTTGATAATTCACCCTGAAAAAGAAAGAAAAAAATCAAATCTAAAACCTCAAACAAACAAAAAGCATGTTTTGGAACTGGTCTGAAAATAAGAATAATATTGAGAAGTCAAATAATTTTTTAAAATTTTAGTTTTATTCCTTGTTCTCTCAGAACCTCCCCTTCAAAGAGGTCATTTAAAGACATATTAGAATTTCAATATTTTGCAAGATGTTAAAATGCTTCTTATGTGCAACCCTTTGGATTTTTACATTTCTTGGAACAGCAGATCTGTGACATAGAAGTTTCCTCTGTGGCAATGGGGGGCTGCCATTTGGGAAAGGTAAACCTACAGCCTGCTTAGAAGCACAGAACTAGCTGCACAGTTCTTTGACTCTTAGCCATCATCTTTAAGCACCGAAGAGGTCTTTGAAATCCCAGACTACAAGCAACATGGCTTACCAAATACACAGCCCTCTGGAAAAAGCTGGTGGTTTCTAGTATTTTATGCATTGTCACAGTTTCTAGTTCATCGGGATCTAGTTGTTCCTTTTGAAAGGGCATTCCGTTGAAAAGCACAATAGGTAAGGGCCCCACACCTGTCTGTTCATAGTAGCCACGTCCTTCCTGAAATGTACAAAAGATACAAATAAGATTTTTTTTCTTTCTGCCTCTACTGACTTTATCTATTGCAACACAGTCCATGTTTCCAAAATAACCTATGCGAAAGCAGGTTATGGGGGGTAAATACTGCTGTAACTGGCCCAGAAAATCCTGTTGGCACCTCTGACCACTCCAATGAATAGTTTGGCAGAAATTTTATTCTACAAAAAGAGTTATGGGGTTTGAAAACGGATAAGCTGCACATGTAAATGCCTTACCTTCCTATTGTGATCATAAGCAGAATCAACTCCTAAGATGCTGTTCACTTCTACATAAGGATACTGCTTCTCAAGAACACTAACCACATGCTCCACTTTGAGTTTTTCTCCTGTATTTACTTTGTTGTATATCTGTCAAGAAAACATTGACACATGCACAGTTAAAAACATTACCTCTTCTCCTTACACTTCAGAGGATCATCAATAAACCAGCTGTTCTCTCAATTTCGCTTTGCCTGCCCTTATGTATCAAACTCGCTCCAGGAAGACCTCAGCAGTGCAAAACCCACATTATCCATGAAGCGTTTAGCTTAGTCTTTTGTCCCATCATCCCCAGGCCTAAGAAGCAGTAAGGTAAGCAAAAGTGACAAAACTAGCAGCCTTATTTTTTGCTCACGTGCAGTGTCTTATAGAGCAACATAATATCGCTACATCCCAACACTTGGTGTAGGCTAGACCTGCAAAGCTGATGTCTGCAGGAAAATACAGTGGTGCCCCGCAAGACGAAAAACTCGCTAGACGAAAGGGTTTTGCGTTTTTTGAGTCGTTCCGCAAGACGAATTTCCCTATGGGCTTGCTTCGCAAGACGAAACGTCTTGCGAGTTCTTGCGAGTTTGTTTCCTTGTCTTAAAGCCGCTCAGCTGGGAATAGCCGCTAAGCCACTAATAGCCACTAAGCCGCTAATAGCCGCTAATAGCCGTGCTTCGCAAGACGAAAAAACCGCAAGACGAAGAGACTCGCGGAACGGATTAATTTCGTCTTGCGAGGCACCACTGTAATTATACATATCATACAGTACAGACGGATAGATGGCTGTATGCATGCATTACAAACTGCTTTGGTTATCTATTTTACAGGTTCTTACAGTGAAAAGTTTCTCATGAGTTCTCCCAATATATTTATTTTCCCAGGATGTTTAAGTGCCCAGCAGAATGTCATGAGGGGAAGTAAATTACTGATGGTGGCATGGATGAGCCTCTAAAAAAGGCCGATCACCATTACGAACCAACTTTGTTAAGAGCGAGTTGAAGGCTAAAATCAAACTGCAGGGACAACAGGAAAGGGAAGACAGCACACGGCACACAATGTAGGGCAGGAAGGATGGAGGAATCCACTCTTACCCACTCCCCCCCCCAAACACATACAAGCCTTGGCCAAGGGACAAGTATGACTGTGATAACAAGCTCTCAATTCCACAGGTACATCAGCGATAAGGTAGAGGGACCAGGGTGGAGACAGGAGCAAGGGAAGGGCAGCATTAAAAGCCTCATTGTGGTCCAAGGATGATTTATATTCTGCCCCCCTACCCTCCAATCCCATGCTGCCATCACTATAGTTACAGGATAATGAAAAGATGTGAAAATGCACAACAGTGTACCAGATCGTTCCTCGCCTAGCCTTTCTATTACATTTACATCAGGAATGCACGATAGGGAGCACGTGTCACTTCAATTTTACAGCTTAACTTGGAGAACAGTGCAGTGGGAGAAAAGTGGCTTTGGCAAGAAAAGTTATCCTTCCACGAAAGAGACGGTCAAGAACTCACAACAGAACCTGCCCTCATATCACTAACAGCAAGTACATTACCACTTTCATAATCATTAACCCAAATATTCTGAAAAGGCAAACTGCTGCATCAAGAAGTGTCTCTTCTTGCTGCAACAGCCTCAAGGCTGACATAAACAAATACAGCTGCATTAATTCTCTCCAAAACACTCACAGATATAACCGTCTGGAAGGCAAAATTATTATCAACTTCTTGCGCAACGTAATTGTAGGCTCGAAGGAGGGCGACCCCAGCATCTTGTAAACCATCAACATCTTCAGAGTCATTAACCACAAAAACCAGTCCAATCCTATTAACAAAAGAAAACAGACTAAAATCCAAATCAGATATTCAAAAGCACAGCATCTGCAGTGGAAATGTTTAGGTTTGTGAACACAAGTGACACTAACCACCACTAAATACAACCGATCCTTTATCAGTGGTTGAAGGGATGTAGGAATGAGCTGTCGGATTGTGCCCTTTCCCCTGCAACCCCTTCCTCTCTTGATGCACAAATTAACCAAGGTTAATGCTAACCAGGGTTCAATCCTAACCAGACAATGGAACTAACATCAAGCTCTGGTTTCAAATCCTGAGATAGGAGCCAGACCTGGTTAGCATTAACCATGGCTGACACTGGTGCAGACATGGACTGAGCCATGAATCTGGCTGGTGTGAAGAAGTCATCCATGAGGAGGAGGAGGCATTGTGGTACACAGTCATATAATGTTACATCTGCATCATTCCTCCATGTCTGTGGTATTTCACATGTGTGCAAAACGCACATCATAGGCATAAGCATGTGCCCCATATCAGATTTCCCACAGTGCCTTGGTACTAACCAGGACCTCCAGATACCTCCCATATGTGATCAGACCCAAAAGGCTCCTCTCTCATACAGTTAGGAATAAGAGGTAGTGGAGGTGCATGGTTGCTCAAGAAAAACTCCTATCATGCCATAAAAACTCCTATCATACTTTTCATAGGTTCGGAAAGGTGATCAGCTGTGAACATTAAAGGTAAAGGGACCCCTGGCCATTAGGTCCAGTCGTGTCTGACTCTGGGGTTGCGGTACTCATCTCGCTTTACTGGCCGAGGGAGCCGGCGTACAGCTTGTGGATCATGTGGCCAGCATGACTAAGCCGCTTCTGGCGAACCAGAGCAGCGCATGGAAACACCGTTTACCTTCCCACCGGAGCGGTACCTATTTATCTACTTGCACTTTGACGTGCTTTTGAACTGCTAGGTTGGCAGGAGTAGGGACTGAGCAACGGGAGCTCACCCTGTTGTGGGGATTCAAACCGCTGACCTTCTGATCAGCAAGTCCTAGGCTCTGTGGTTTAACCCACAGCGCCACCTGTGAACATTACTCAGCTTCAAAAATAAAACTGTAAGTTCCACACACATAGAAACTGCAGCATTACCTCAATGGTATGTGGTTACTAAGGAACATTTCAGCCACGCTAAGCAACTCTGCCGAGCTCTCATGGGACGGGTCTACGATGAGTACCTGAAAGTCATAGCAAAGTATGGATTCAGATGCCATTACATCACTTCAGAAGGACTAGAACCATGTTTCACAATTTTAATTTTAAATATGTTTTAGATCTCTCTATGGATTCGTATTTGTATGGGGTTTTTTATACTGGAACAGATAAACTAAGCTAAATATATAGAATTATCTTAATTTTGGTGGAAAACTTATAATAGAAATTAATTAAAACATTGCATACAAATAAAATCTTAAGTTGCCCAACTCTTGAAATCTTAGAGTGAAGTTCATAGACCAAAATAAGATACCACTTACAAAATTATGGAAGTTTTTCCTTATTTGTCTGATTACACCAGGGAAAGTAGGGCGCAGCAGCTCCTGGACACTGGAAGGCCAATAATTGTATCTGCTGTCAACTTCAAGATTATTGATCCACTAAAAAGAAAAGAAAGTCAAACAAGATAAATTAAAAATACTTTTTGCTTGGACTATTAGAACTTATTTCAATTTAGGGCCACTATTTAGCAATTCAATTGCTGTGGAAGTAACTGAACTGTATGGATTCATATGTTGAACTAAAATTAAGGTTCAAGACTTGCCTCAAAGAATTTACACTTCAGTGAAGAATGTGCACAAGTGTACCCGGATATATAACATACTGTGAATGATTTTTTTTACCAATCGATGGAAATCTCACCCCACATACTCACTGAAATAGCAGCACTTCTGATATCTACAGCATAGTCAGAGTCCGATGGCTGGATGTTCAGCTTTAACACATTGTGCATGGAAAGGCCAACAATTCCCAAACTATGCAGCCCTTCCATAACACGAGCTTCGTTCCTCAGGACATCAAACAAACTAGAAAGAGCACAGATCAGATAAAACTTTAGAACGCCACCAACTGATAATACTGTAGTATTTTATATTGCTATACCATAACCTAAGTTAAGAAGAATTTGAAGAGTTCATACCTAAATATGTCCTGTGTGTCTAGATCTATGTGCAGCCCATTGATGAACAGGGCAGAATCCCCAGACTGTAAACCTAAGGTTCCTTTGAAGTACTGAGGAAAAAGTGCAACAAAGACATTAATAGACATTTTTAAATACAAGACTTGAATAACACATAACTTTAGATCAAATCTTTTCAAAGATGTGCATTTAAAATGTTAACTGATCCCAGAAATGGAAATTCAGTGGTCCTGCCTTGATAGCAAATCAGCTATCAGTATTAATCTAATGCAGCACAGAGTGTGAATTATCTTATGATAAAAATAGAATGATGAGGTACAGTGGACGCAAAAGTGCGTCTGCGCACGTGCGGGTCGCAATCCAGCGCTTCTGCACATGGGCAAGCGCCGAAACCTGGAAGTAACCCGTTCTGGTACTTCTGGGTTTGCCGCAGTGCGCAACCCAAAATCACACAACCCGAAGCGTCTGTAACCCGAGGTATGACTGTATTAATAGAGCGATCCAAACCCCTGATCCACCACACAGGAAGGAGTCTGGATGAGGAGGTTTCCCTTTACTTGTATTCATGCTCTGCTATTAGCAGGGCTCACCTACCAATGAACTTTCAAATGAACTGGAGCAGCCAAGTACAGGTGACGACCATTTTGCACAGGGTTCCATTCCTGGCCCCTGTGCACCTCAGCGGAGTGCACATAAACCCAACCCACCCCCATTCTGCCTTGTTCCAAATCCAAAAGAACCCACACATTGGTGGATGCATGCAAAATGGTTGCTGCCTGTATTCATTGGCTTCTAAGTACCTCCAAGTTAATCCAGGCCTCTCTGTTGCACCAACCTGGAGCTGGTGCCACTGAACTAAAATGTTTTCCTACCCATCACAACTTGCAACCTGCCTGGCACAAGCAGAGAGACTCCAGATGTTATTGTAGTACCCATTAAGCCCTGCTGTCAACCACCAGGGGTTTGGATTGCATGCTAAATAAGGCGGGCTGACTGCCCGTTCTTTGATGATGTGGAGCAATTACAAGCTGTGCTCCCATTTCAATTACTGCTCTTCTTTATAGCATCCAAGGTTCTATGTAGACATGGGGAAGTAAAATGTATCAACTACTTACTTGTCCTCAAGCAATCTGCCTACACACTTGACCGATAAATAAATTTAACAAAGTGGTTTTATCATACTCTAGAATCATGTTAGCCATTTTAAGGAATATTGAGGTACTTATGATATATGGCTGATAAATGATATGGGGGTGGCAGCTTACTAGCTGAAAGTATAATAGAGACTGATGTAAAAGGGATAAAGTTAGCGCACCATAAGCAAAATATAAAGGCCACTATCAGTGGCCATCATTTGCATTCAAGCCCAGATGAAATCAAAATGGGCGCACAAAGCTGTCTGAGGTCACCTCTGGGGGCTAAATCAAGCAAAGAAAAATAATCTTACCAAAGTTACTTCTCTCACTTCAACCAACCTACCCTCAAGACTGAGATTCATATATAATAATAAGCATTTTTTGATGCCATGTAAATTGCAAAGTTCAGTCCTCATTGTAGATTTAGAGCAATCTAGGTTGCAATCCTATACCCACTTATTTAGTGGGGCTTACTTTTAGGTAAACATGTCTGGGATTGCACTGTTAAAACCTGTTATGCTGAACTGTTAAGTGGTATTTGTATTCTGATATCTGAACAACATTCTGCCCCACTGTTTCTTTTCTAATTGTTGTGACAACCCAGTTCCTCTGAGGTAATTCTTTTCTAGAATGGGACTCTTCAGGGAGCTTGTTAAGACAGCATTCCTGATATTTTGCACATTCACCCTGACATTTCTTACAGTAAATAGATATGCAGATAGATACATTATTCCCTTAAAGAGAAAGTTAAACAGATATTATGCAGCAGATTCAATTACGCTGTGATTTCAGTCTTAAACAGAGATAAAGAAGTCAACTGAGGGGATTGTACTGCTCCTGCTGTGCCAGCTGTTAAAGTTTCTATTTGTTTAATCCCCAGAACACATCACAGAAGCCACTAAGTTTCAAGTTTGACACGCACTGGGACTTATTCAAAAGCAAGGCAAAACCCAAAAGGCCAAGTTTTCCTTGAGTAACAGCTTGTGACTATTCCCTGGGAAATAACCAGATAAAACCAGTTAGGAGCCACTTGGCTCATAGTTTCTGAGCTTGTAGAATATAAACCTTGCACAGAACAGTGTTAGGGTTCACTGGAACAAACTCCCTCAGAAGGTAGTGAACTCTTCTTCACGGGAGGTTTTTAAGTAGAGGTTGGATGGCCATCTGTCCTAGATGCTTTAGATGAGATTCCTGCATTGCAGGGGGTTAGACTAGATGGCCCTCGGTGCCCCTTCCAACTCTACAATTCTATGGTTCTATGATATGATAAAGAACCTTTCCTCCAAATTCTGCCCTAAGCTGTAGCTACTACAGTACAACCAGAAACCAACAAAACATTCTGGACATTCTGGAAGAAGAACAGCACTTCAAAGTATTTAGAGCTCGATAAAATGTACTTTTTAAATACAGAGAGGCAGTGTGGCTTAATGGCTAGTGTCAGCCCAGGAGACCTAGGTTCAAATCCCTATTTTGCCAAGAGGCTCCAATACAATAAGGCTCCATACAATTACCTTTTGGTTCTCTTCAATTTCTGATCTGAGTTCTGAAGAAACAACTGTCTTTGTTATTGCCCTACAGAAACCAAAAAAGTCACATGTTATCATTCATTGCCTGTCCTACCTCTTTTTGTTTTTATATCTGTTCCACTCCAACATGTCCCACTAGGGCATACAATTGTTACCAGTAAACAGATATTGGAATTCATACAGTATAGAAAACATTGCAACTGCAAGGACAACAATTAATCTATTTCATTTAAGCTATCTAGTGCAATCAATGGGGGGGGGACTCCACATATTAAACTCTACAGTTTGACATCTTCAAAATTTGTGCCAAAAATGGTTGCACAAGAATTACTGGTAAGTGCTTTCAGCTTTTAAATCCAAAAGGACACATACCAGGAGGAAGTTATTATCCCTTAAAAGAGATTGGTAATCTGAGCCAACTATGAACTTAACATCTCTTATTTAATAGAAAACACTAAAAAGCACTTAAGATTACAAATGCTGTAGTACTGATGATGCAGAAATACTGACTTTTCAGGTATACCCTGCCCCCCTCACTGAAGATATGATCAGTGCAGGTTGTTGTCGGCTGTATAGCTGCCCGGTTATGTCTTTCCTGCCCCCGTTCCTCGCAAACCGATTATGAATGGTTTTCTTATTCCTGGCTGAAGGCAGGCATTTTCTCCACCTCCAGCGCCTTTCTGTATATGTGAATCCTTTCTGCTGCCAAATTGTCTCTACTTTATCAGAGAAACACCCTGCATTTTCACTGAACTTCCAAGGTGGCCATATTTAATATTTTCAAATATGCAAGGGATATTTCACCACCAATTCATACCAAGGTTTTCAAGGTATTAACAGCAAAATTATAGCAGAGATGTTGAAAAGCAAGTCTTCCCTTTTAAAATGATCTAATTCCACAATTGCTCGTTGCCAAACTATCAGTTAGCTGGTGGAAGCTGGATGGACCACACTGGGGCAACCATTTCCCCACAAGTAAGGGGGCCAAAGTAGTTTGTTTCCGTTTCAACAACCAGGATCCCCAATCTACTCTGGGCTCTTTGATCACTTTCACCAAAGTAAACATCACAACAATCTACATTTGCTTAGCAGCAGCAGCAGTTACCTAGCCTTTGTGGGAAAATTCTGACTTAGATCTTTCATGACCATCAAAGCATCCACCGTAGGAGCAGCCAGAATACGGGCAGCAGTTTGGAAGCTCAGATCTAAAATTGAAAATAGTTCAATCATAAGGCAGTCCTTCAAACCTGGAACATTGTGAAGCTTAACTCTGCTAGGTGCCAAGATCAGCCTAATCTCTTGAAGCTCTTAAACACCCAATTATTCCTCTCACGCACTTTGATGAAACTGCTCACATGGCTGAAGCGGAGTTCATGCATAAGGGCATCCCTGGATCTAGCCAGCACATCCACCAATGTTTTGTTCTTAGCAGAGTACACAATTCATACAACTGGATATAATGCCAAGAAACATTCACCATTTGGAAATGAATCAGGATTTAGGAATTTTACCGCGCAGGTTTACTCAGAAGAAAATGCCACTGCCTCCAATGGAGCTTACTCCCAAGTGTGTTCAGGACTGCAGTCTTTCGTCACCTTGAGTTATCTATAATGCAACTATGAGCTGTAACTATAATGCAGCTGCGAAGAATGCAACTGGCAAAAAAAAATTGGAGGCGCCGAAATAAGAAGAATGCAAAAAGAGGAACTTGTTAACTTAATGCCAAATAACAGAGCAATCCAAAGCCCTGGCAGGCAGTGGCAGGGTTGTGTTGTCACCACATTGGCAGCCGTCTTGCTCCTGCTGGCCACAGCAGAAGAGGCAGGCAAATCACTGTGGCAGCCTGGAGCTGGTGCAATGATTCGGCTCGAAGACATCACAAGGCAGCAGTGGGGTCTGCTTGGGATCCAGCAGTGACAGTCACTTCCCTAGAACACCCCATATAGGGGCTTTTCATGAGATACGAGGTGGAATGAGGAGCTGGGAGTTGATGCTGACTTCATCAAAGTCCATCCCAGCCAGGCACAATGGGGTTTTGGATTGAAGACATAGAAGATGAATGCCAGGTGAATGCTGTTAGGAGCAAAGTTTTCTTCTTCAAAGTATGCAGAAGAGCTGAAGCAGTTTGCAGAAATATTGTACCCATCTGGCACCATGAGGAAACTACTTCAGCTATTCTATGTAATTCAAAAGTTTAAGATGGTTGCTGAAGAAGGAACCTGTGCTTTGAAATATGTTGACGTGTAAAAAATGCAACTGCATTCAATTTGATGCTTCGCACAAAGGGAAAATGCCTTGGGGTGATGCTGATGGAAAGCGCCTTCGTGCGTGTATCTGTTCCAGGAACAGTTGCATTTATGGATGCTTCTGCTGACACAAGAGCACTTTGTAACAAAGTCATAATAAATTTATTTTAGTGTGTGTATATAAGGACTTAAGTGCAGCATAAGAGCTCCTAGGAAGTTGAAGTTCACATTTCAGATTTGCAGGAGAGGGGTCCAATATGGATACTTACCTTGTAACTGCCACACTTTTAAGGGCGCCATTTCATTGGTGCTTTCAACAAGATGTTTTCTTAGTTCTTTCAGTTCTTCTTTCAAACTGGGGTGCAACTGCCTGGAATAAAAAAATGAATTAAGGAAACCTATATTACTAAAGTTGGGGGTACCCCTGACCATTAGCGGACGACTCTGGGGTTGCGTGCTCATCTCGCTCTATAGGCTGAAGGAGCCGGCATTTGTCCGCAGACAGCTTCCGGGTCATGACTAAGCCGCTTCTGGAGAACCAGAGCAGCACACAGAAACACTGTTTACCTTCCAGCACAACTGTCCTTAATAGATGTGGATTTGGGTCCCTTTTCTTAATATTTTGTAGGCTTTAGTCGGAAAATGCAGCTAAAAGTAACAGAGGAAGCTGCTGTATACAGTTTAATAGGCCCATCTAACTCAAGATTGCCAACACTGACTGGCAGCAGCTCTCCAGGGTTTCAGGTAGAAGTCCTTCCCATCCTCACCTGCTGTTGCCAGGACCAAACCTGGGACCTTTTGCAAGCAAAACATATGCACTTTTACGGAGCCCCCTCCCTGCAATCTTCTTTATGTATTTCCTTGCAAGTTGGTTTCTGGAATGCCTTAGGTGGAAAAGCCAAGGAAAATGAACATGTTTGTCAAGAGCATGACGTACCTCAGTTTTCCAAATAGAAATCCCTGCACTTCATCAATGGGGTCATTTTCACCTATTACTGTTGCATTCACATCTGCACCTATAGAAACATGAAAGAAATTCCTGATTATGATACCATTTAGGAAACGATCAGTCATAAAGAGTCTGGCAAGTTTTGCAAGCCTTCAGCACACAATATTAGCACTGCAGACAGCCGTAACAGCAAGCACATCTTGTTTCTAAGATAAGTAGACAATTGCTGCAATTTCTTACAACAGACACCAAAGTGTAATGGGGTTATTCCCTGGTGAGGGGGGAACAGTGACATTCCTTGCCACTCATTCCCTGAGGGTTTTATGCTGCTACTTCTGTCAACCAGTAAATAATCTGGTGCTGCTCTCCACTGCCACTGTGAAGAGTCTCAGAGTGAGACTCTCCTCACTCTGGCTCCAGAGGGAGCAAACATAAAACACTTTTTTCAAAAGAAGTGGCTTGTTGCACAAAAAAGGACAGAACAATGACGACACTCCTCATTCTGCCTCTGCATGTTTTTCTGCAAGTTTTTACTTAGTAGCCAACACCATGCTAGTAGCATTTGAAGTCAGCAAACTGGTGGAAGGGAGGGATTAACAGAAAGTAGGATATACAAAACACAGATAGAAATTACAATGGCTTTTCCTTCATTTAGAAGGATGCTACTTTTCATGCATCACAGCTTATTATCATAAAAAAGGATCTGCAGGAGGAAATTAAACATGTGTGTAAGAGGTTAGGCAGCCTTGCAAGGAAAGCAGAAGATGAAGTGTGAGGCAAGACCCTGGGACTGGGTCCTGAGAGGAAATTGGGCACACAGATTGCTAATAACCAGGGAGAGAGCAAGTCCAGACAAGCTTCCCACTCTAGCTTGAACTGGTAACCTACACAATCCTGCCACGTCAAGGGAAGCTAATGGGTTGCCTGGGCAAGTTGACTCATCCTAAAGTACCGTATTTTTCGCTCTATAACACGCACCCAACCATAACACACACGTAGCTTTTAGAGGAGGAAAATCTGTAGGCATGCCACCCGTAGGCATTCCCTCCATAACACGCACAGCCATTTCCCCTTACTTTCTAGGAGGAAAAAAGTGAGTGTTATGGTGCAAAAAATACAGTACATCAATATATGCATGAACCTTCCAGTCCTTAAGAGTATCAATCCAAAGGTTGCCTAGTCTAGCTTCGGCAGCTCCTGTCAACGTGCAATCAATTCCAGAGTGATTGCTACTCAGTGGGTTTTCATTTATTGTTATTTAACTTGTTACAAGACATTTTGAGCAGAATTTCCTTGTGGAAAGGTTGTATATAAATAAATATGAATGATTTAGATTACTGCAGCGTATTGCTAATATAACCTGAAAAAGTGATTCAATTCTAAATAGAATAACAGCAAGAGCGTATGAAGAGAATTTTAAAAACAATTTTGGAACATATTCCAGTTCATGGTGGAACCATCACTGCTCTTAAGGTAGGAATTCACCTTTCACCTGGGTATCATCCTTGGCCTTATATTCTGTGCTTTTAATGGCCAGCTCCACACCATAGCCTGACAGGTAGACTCTTTCTTTACTTGGATTCTACAAAAGGGAAAGGAGTAAAAGCAAGGTAACATGGGCACAACAAGACATTTGCTAGGTTTATCTCTCCCAACTTTGCCAGACCATAATCACAGGCAGTTGGACCATCCTGATTTAAACTTGGAACAAGTGCCCAGCTGTGTTTCAGCTCAGCTATAAACACCCACCCACCCTTCTCTGTGATAAGAAAGTTGCAGCCCAATTCAGAACTCCAACTGGTAGGAGGATGAAAAATGTAGCTTCCATCTAATAAGCTCTTGTAGTGATTCCTGCTGTCTTGGCAATGCTTCTCATGCTGGTATTTACATATCTGAAACCTCAAATTTCATTGCACATTGCCACAAAAGTCATAAGGGGCAGTAAGACTATAAAAAGAACCGCAACCAGAAATATCCTGAATCTATTACCTCTTCAAATTGAGACCTAACAACTTCTAGATCTTTAAAACAGTGAGTCTAGATTCAGCTTCACAGTTGTCTTGTACGAATAGACGAATAAATCTCTGAATATAATCAGAAAAGATAACCCCTCTTCAAAACACACAAATGTTGCAATATTGAAAGCAATCAAAAACTGGCAATATGGTTTATATAAAAACACACACGATTTTAGAACTCAATGCAAAATATTCCTGAAGTGGCACTTAAATAACAAATATTGTTCCTGAAAAATACTTGAAATCCTGTGAACTTTCCTAAAATTGTTTTAGTACTTACAGCGATGTAATGCCTAAGAATGTAGGTGATTTCTCCAGCATTGACTTTTGATACAAGTAGTCTGTGAAATCTAGACATCTCCTCAGAGCCAATCTCAGCATACAAGATTACCACAGGACTTTCGGGGTCTGAGACTGGGTATTTGTGGTCGCCTTTGAATATAAAAGGCTTTGGCCTAGAACAAGACGAACACCCCAATATAAATACTGTACTTAAACAAGATTAGACAATGCTTATGACTACACTGAACATATTGAAGAGACATAAATAGATAACTATGACAGTCCTTATTCTAATGCTTGAATTATTAAATGTGATTCATGAAGAATTAAAATAAGATTTCCATATGGAAATCCCAGCACTTTATTGCTCTGCTTCTCACGATTGTGGAACTGAATGAATTCCTAAAATGGTGTAACTTATAAAGCCATTGCAAATGGAACTGAACGGTATGCGTTTTATACTTGTAATGCTGTTATCTATTTGTATCTTTGTTGTAATCTACTGTTGTAACCCACCCAACCCAGAATCTTATGATTGCATCCCACTCTGGGACCTTATGTCCAAAGTAGCAACATGTTAAGATTCTAATCAATCATTTAATCAGAATATTTATAAATCCCCAACTCATAAAAAATAGCAAAGCAGTGTACAATAAAATTATTTAAACATCGTGAAACTATGAAATCATAGAATTATGTAATACAGAACAAATGACCAACACTGAATCAGATTGCCCTATTTTAACAAAATAAGAAGCAGCATAGTTGATGCCTTGGTACAAAATAAAACTACCTTTCTGAAGCTGTTTGTAGAAGCATTTTGAGTTTGTCAGATTCACACGTCTTCTCTCCATGTACAACAAAAAATGCATTACATCCCTCTGGTGGGGGCTCATCAGCTGCTATCTGTATTAAAATGGATCTATTATAGTAAGATGTCAACCTTTTTCAGAGTGGGGGGGAAATCGCATCATGGTCATAGTAACAGGATCACAAGATACTCTGCTTCTAATAGATTCATCTGTGCATTGTCATTTTTGATCCATATGAACAAACAGTAGAGCACTGAGTCACATCAAAAAAACTGGCCACGACTTGTGGAATGGGGGCATTTGCACAGCTTTTCTGCTTCCAGCCCAGATGGATACCAGCGAGGAGGGTAGAATAAACTTCTTAGATTCTTTCAAAGACAAATACCACACAAAATAAAAATCACTCCATTTTATAATCAATCAAGAAAGGTCTCCTGTCTTGGAGCTAAATGAGAGAAAGAGGGATAATCTTACAGCAACTTTATTTGTTCCCTTCCCTTCCCTTCCCTTCCCCCCCGCCCCTCTTTTCTTTCTCTCAGTCTTGTTTTGTGTTTATTATTAATGCTGGGCGAGCAGCTATTGAGGGAAGGTAGGCGAACAAGATGGAGGGCAGGATACTGAAACAGTTTCTTTTGCAATTGCAAAATGAGAGCCATTCCTTTTAAATTTAAGTTTTTGGGGGGTTTTTAAAGGAACATAAATATCCATGTGGTAACTTTTGCAGCACTGGTACCATGCCCAATACTTCTCTGGGCAGTGGTCAGGAAAGAGGTGGAAGATTGTCAGTGCCTCGACACCACACCTAACCTTGCTGACTAGGCTGGCAAGCAATCAATCAATCAGGGAAGGGGATATTGTCTGTCAACTCAATAAGGTCCATCAACATATTACCACTCCCAATAAACACAGTATAGTCAGTCACTGTCAAAAAATTAGTCATTGTAATATGGTCAAACACAAGGCTTAGGTTGCTAGTTCAGGGAGAGGAGACACCCAGTGTTTCCTTTTTGCATTACTGTCTGTATGAAAACATCGGAATCAGAAATGTTCCAAAAGCTATATACTAACCTGCTGGAAGGCTTGAACCGTAGCTGAATAAGAGCGCAAAGACAAGGCAAATTTCAACAAGTTCTGTTGCAAAGGTGAAAGATTCTGGGAAGCTGCTTGCAGCATTGCATAGTAAGAGGAATAATCAGTACCTGCCAACCCATAAAGTAAACTATTTAGTTTTTAATGCAAGTGCAGAGGGATTTTAAAAATCAGTGATAATTGTCGTGGTTCATACTACAACCGTATGCAAAAAGTGACACAATTTAAAACAACGCAAGGAATCAGCATCCTGTGCAGTCATCAAGTTGGAAATATATGACTACAAGCTGGTAAACACTGTGATCCTAGGCTACCTCCATATAACACTGCATACAGAAAATCTCTTTCTTTCTTTCTCTGAACTTGATTATTCATACTCATTGGTCACTACTACAATTGCTAAGCACATAATTGCTTTTATGATATACTTGGAATTCATGTGCATTATAGGTATGACTTCTGGAATGTGTCTGATCCGTTTAATGAGATATCCCCAATAGTAAGCAGTTCTATTATATTATAACATACAGTGGTGCCTCGCAAGACGAAATTAATCCGTTCCGCGAGAGTCTTCGTCTAGCGGTTTTTTCGTCTTGCGAAGCAAGCCCATTGACGGATTAGCGCTATTAGCGCTATCAGCTGTTTAGCGGCTATTAAAGGCTTAAAGGCTTAGGGGATTAGCTGCTAAAAGGCTATTAAAGGCTATTAAAGGCTTAGCAGATTAGATAAAGGGGGAAAAGCGAAAAAAATCTCAAGACTCGCAAGGTATTTTCGTCTTGCGAAGCAAGCCCATAGGGGAATTCGTCCTGCGAAGCAACTTCAAAACGGAAAACCCTTTCGTCTAGCGGTTTTTCCGTCTTGCGAGGCATTCGTCTTGCGGGGCACCACTGTAATTCTATTACAACAAAATATTATATGTTTTCATTAATAATAATGATGTCTTAGTTACTTTAGCTTGTTAACCTTGCAAAGACATATCAATTATAAATTACAGTCATTAGGCTCTAAAGAGGTGGTGAACCATCTCCCCACCCCTGCAAACACCACGTTCCCTCATAGACAGTGACTGGGGCCAAAGCATACATACACAAAGCTCTCTCCCCCCTCCCCGCCACACCACATGGCATTCACACCTCTCTCACATACATATCCAGCTTGCTTGACTTCCATGCTGCACAATGAGAAAATGGCTCCTTCTTACTGCACAGCACTGAAATGACAGCCAATCAGAATGGCAAAGCACAGAACTGTCACTGCTTCCACCAGTCTGATTGGCTTCTGTACTAGCTATTTAAAAGTGTTTTGTCCACAGTTCAAGTTTCGGTGCACATGTAAAGGGGGAAATGGAATGGGCAATTAGCATGTGGGAAGGAAAGAGTGTATCATCCTATACCTAGTTTTTCATCCCTTAAGAGTAGGCTTGTATAACTTGTGACTCAGCAAGATGAACGCTGTCCACTATGTATTGTGGCATGTCAAAATATATCTGCTTTTGAAGACCAAAGTAGGCAGCAACGCAGATAAAGGCTCTGAGAGTGGGGAAATGCAGCTAGCAGGTTTATTTGGCTTGGTCAGTCACTAAGTTCTACAGATCTGCCTTAAATGGCCAATTTATATCTGCATAAGCTTTGACTGGTTACCATTTTCCATTAAAGTGTAAAGCATAAATGAAAATCTTTACTTTTTTTATATTTAGCATTATTCTACAAATGGAAAGAGAAAAACAAGTTACAGTCGTACCTCGACTCCTGAACGCCTTGGGAGTTGAACGTTTCGGCTTCCAAATGATCAAAAACCGGAAGTGAGTGTTCCGGTTTTCGAACGTTCTTTTAGAAGCCGAATGTCCGATGGGGCTTCTGCGGCTTCTGATTGGCTGCAGGAGCTTCCTGCAGCCAATCAGAAGCCGCACTTTGGAAGTCGAATGTTTCGGAAGTCGAACGGACTTCCAGAATGGATTCTGTTCCATTTCCGAGGTACAGCTGTATTAAGTGTTTGTCATTTATACCAATGAGCCTTTACAAAGAATTTAGCGCACAGTACCCTATCTGATTACAAAGCAACCAAGCAAAGCAATAATTACCATCATGATTGGATGATCCAAAGTTCTGACAGGTTTCAACAAAGCTCCAAAATTTCTCTTGACCTTCTTCTGCTAAAAATTCACTGAAGAAAGGAGGTGAGAGGAATCATTACATTATGTTAAGTTTTGTTTTGGGGTTTATTTAAAAAAAAACTATGACACCGCATTTCACAAGTCCGGATTCAAATTCCATTCAGTAATTAATTTACTGGGTATTTTTAAGGCAAGCCACTGTCTAAGCCTCCCTCATTTGTAACACAGGGACACAAATTATATAGGAGATTACATATTTAAACTGCTTTTTTAAAAAAAAACACCATTGAGTTAGCCATCTTGCTTACCTTGCTTCAAGTAATAAAGGTGTGGAAAACCACTTAGTAGTCAAAGAAGTCGTCACTGCTTTTGAATCTGCTTTTACCAGGGAGAAGCTCACCCATATTCCAATAAGTGCAATGAGAGTTCCCATCTTATAAAAGAAACTGGAAACAAATGAAGACATTTAACTTAAGCATTGTATTTCAGCAGAAATAGTTAAGCAAGTGTATGCTTCTGTAAATCCGCGGGTGTGCAATCAGTTATAAGGTATATATCTTGACACAAGCCATCTTGCTGAAGCTAAGCAGCACCTGATTGGATAACCACCTGAGAATAAAACGTGTGCCACCTTGGGTTCCATGATGGAAGAAAGGCAGCATATAAGAAAATAAATAAACAAAATCTGGGAAAATAAAGAGGCAATTCTAGGACTGATTCAGAGGTAATGGGCTGATTCACATGTATTGGGGGAACACGTGTTGAAATGCCTACACTGCAGAGGGTTGGACTAGATGACCCTCAGGGTCCTTTTCAACTATACAATTCTATGAGTCTATCATGAGCTAGTGAATAAGCAGGTGTTCCAATCCCGTTTCTTATTTTCCCCTCCTGATTCCAGTTTCCCCTTCTGTATCATGTCTATTAGATTGTAAGTCTATTTACAGGGACAGACTTCTCTTTTAATACATGCACAGCCCTTAGAAAATGGAGGCACTTTGTAAGTGAATAATACTAATTTTACATTGCAGGAAGCGCAATATTAAAACACATATAAAAGCCTCATGGCAATTCTATCATTTGTGAAGTTGGCCTGAGAGAGTAGAGAAACGGAGGTCTCAGAAAAATGAATCCTTCCCAAAAACGTATCAAATTTGTCTCACTTGTACTTCATACTGTAAAGGTAACAAGTAGCACTGCAGAAATTACATAAGAAGCTGCTGAGTCAGATGCTAGTCCATCTAGGTCATTATCATCCAACCTACTATCTCCAAAATCCTCAGCAGAAACGTGTCATTCTCAGCCCTGCTACTCAGTGTTTAAAAAACAAAAAACAAAAAAAAACACACAAAAAAACACACGAGTGCTTCCCCCTTGATCCAATGCATCCTTACTGTGCATTCACGGTCTACTCTTTAGCACCATTATGGGACTCCACGACGCAGGCATAATGATGATACTTCTGACCATGCCAATTGCGATCACAAATCCCATTGTGCAGGTAAGATTTCAGAAAGGCGATCCTGTCCCTCTGCCGCAACAACACCGAATCCAAGAGCCCTGGGGCTAACACCCTCGTTTGTTAGATCTTCCTTTCCGTGCACAGTTTTTGCAAAAAAAGGATCCAAAGGAGCTCTGCGAATTAACACCCAACTGCCAACCGCATCTCTGTCTGTCCTTCGGTTCGAGATATCCGAATCCTTGACAACGCCACAAAGTTGCCGGAATTCGGGCTGCAATCCTAACTCTGCTCGCCTGGGGGAGGTGAAACCCACGGGATTCAATAGCACCTAGATCTGAGCCCACTCCGTCAGGATTGCAGCCTTAAAATCGCGCAGCTGTGTTGCAAGGCTGGAAACACGAGCTTGCTCTGGTTAACCACCCCGAATTCTCCGCGCCCCAGTCCCTTAGACCCCCCGCTTTCCCTGCTCGTATGGACTCCGCCTCCTCCAATCGCGCCCCAGGAGAGCCCGAAAAGGAGAAGCGGCGGCGGCGTCTTCAGGGGCGGGTGTCCGGGAACCCAGGCACGCAACTCACCGTCCAGTGCTGGGGAACCGCACGGGGGAGGAGGCGATGGTGCCGGTGCCGCGACTTAGCCAGAGGGCGCCTCCCGGGGCTCTCGCGCCGTGCGGATTATTATTGCGCCTGTAAGCTACCGCCACGCTCCTTTCCTGCTTCAGCCGCCGCGGCTCCTTCGGTTCCCTAACAGCTCGCTTCCGGTTCCGGCCCCTCGCCGGCTACCAGGAAGAGCTGGGGCGAAGCGGCTCTTTGCCCTACGGAGGGAACCGGTCTGGGAGCAGCCCTTGACGCTCGCAGCGCCATTTCGGCTATGGGCAAACAAAGTCCCGCTCAAGGCGACGCTCCAGTCGCCCATCAGGGGCGCTGTTCCCATCACGAAGCGGAATGCAAACTGCAAGCAGGCGAGCGGGGGGGGCAGGCAGCCGACGGTACCGTGAAGCTGTACCCTACCCTTCCCGCTTTATTGTCTGCCGACATAATAGTCTCTCCCGCTTCCACCTCGCCACTGAATTATTATTATTATTAGTAGTAGTAGTAGTAGTATTTCCCCACCCTACGCACAAATACGCACACGCACAGTCCGCTGCAAGAGACTTGTGGCTTTTTCGTTTCAGGGTAACTCGACTAGCGTTAGATAGTACTGCACAGGCTCCAGCCCTAGGAAGATCCTCTTTACGACCAGGCAGGAAGTCGTCCTCCCGAGCCCTTGCCAGGCTACAGTGCCGCTCTGCACTTTCGTAGTTCTGCATCGTGGAGGAGGCACCTGTTCTCCAAAGGTGGGTGAGACGACAAGCGACCGACGTCCTCGTGCCTGGGCTCCAGCCATTAGAGGAGTTTGAGTCCAACAGCATCTGAAGAGCCTCACGTTTCCTTCGCATCCCTGTTCTACGCTGCAACATTGTTTCCTGAGCCCAGTTTAAAAAACTGCAGGACTTGAGACTCCTTTAATAGCAAAGAGATAAATCACTTCCATAGGGACCTTCCGCCCAACTGCACCCTTTTTCAGGATACAGTACTTGATTCCATCTCCTATCCCCCACAACAGTCTGCATGAGTACAGAACCCAAACCTAGTATCTATGCTACCCCTTGCTTGAAAAGACATTCCTTCTGCCTACTTATGGGCCCCCAGCTGTGGAAAAGAATCAGTCAAGTCATCTGGTCTAAACCGAACCCAAGCCTCACCCATATATTCAAAGCCAGTCCCAGGTTTTCAAGTGGCAGAGCCCTCAGCAAGATTTATTCAGTGGGACTACCAACTTCTGTGAACTAATTTTTTGACAGGACACCATCTGTAGTAGTGTCTCCTCTTTGTCCCCTTGCTGCCCCTCCTTCCTGCTATATCTGGCCCTTGCTTATATCATATGCTTATGATATTGTGAACCCTCTTGAGCGGGATATGCCCCCAAAAGGCAGCCAATTACTCACCCACCCAAGTGGGGAAGTAAGTGTGTGGCAATGACAGCAAGGAGCACTGGAATTAGGATCAGTGGTTATTTATTTATATTTTTTCGCAGGACTTTTTAAAGGGGAAACTCACTGAAACTCACAGCACCTCTCAGCTGGGCACCATTGCCATTCTAAGAGAATGAGGGAGGTGTTCATGGTGAGTTCCAGCACCTCTTTTTCTAGAAAAAGAGCACTGTATTTTCTTTATTTAACACTTTCATTCCATTATTCAGGCACAGACTCCCACAGCCCCTTACAGATTAATTAAAAAAAAAAACACCACAAGACAATTCCTGCCTTACTGTTTAAAATGCATGATGCCAAAGGGGGGAAAACAAATAAATTCAAGCACCATTTTGTAACAGTTACAAAGGTCATAAGGTTGTTCAAACTGAAACCAAAATGAGCTGGTCTCTCGGAAGATCCAATGGAGTTGACCTGCTTCCCATTGCGCATTTTGCTGCAACCTGATAGATGACAAAAAAATTAAAACCTTGTAGATCATATAATATGATATGCAGTGCAGACTGTTGGTCATATAGCCATAAAATCTGGATTGCTTATTATTATTTTATTTATCGAATTTATGTACTGTGCTATACCCGGATGTCTCAGGGTGGTTCACATATCAATATCTAATAGTACCCATTGTCATTCTAATATTGCTTGCCAATATTCATTCACCAGCATTGCTCACATCACCACCTCCCCTTCTATGAACTTGAACAACCTATATATATTTGAAAACTTCCCACCAAGGCTCCCCATTAACTCCATATCTAAAATCCTCTCACGTACACCACCACCTAGTCCCTCCCAATCCTGCCAGCCAGTGTTGCTTCACACAAGTCTCCTTTTTTCATAAAGGAATGGCCACCTCCACCATTTCACATTCTTCCCCATCAGCAGAAGTGTTGGCAGATCATGTACTCTCCACCTTCCTTAAAACTGCTGGTGGTGATTTAAAAGAAGGATGTGGATGCTAAGGCTGTGAATCCTGAATGACCTGGTCCTTTGCCTACTCCTGTACAGATTCTTGGGCTGGGGTGTTTGGAGTTTGTTTTTGTTGCAGGGGGTTGTTGCTGTTGCTTTTTTGTATCTTTATTTTCGATATTGTGATTTATGTGAAAATTGTTCAGTTTGGTTGTGTATTTTCTAATGATTTGTTGATTATGACTACTTTTGTTATGTTGTAGTTAGGTATTTTTCACGTTGTAAGTCACCTTGAGCATGGCTCTAACTGCAGAAAGGCAGCATACAAAGAAAATTATGTAAAGGTAAAAAAGTAAATGACCCCTGGACAGTTAAGTCCAGTCAAAGGCAACTATGGGGTGCAGTGCTCATCTCACTTTAGGCCGAGGGAGCCGGCATTTGTCCAGACAGCTTTCCGGGTCATGACGCCAGCATGACAAAACCGCTTCTGGCGCAACAGAACTTCCCTGCCCTAAGGAACCATTTACTGGGCTGAAGTTGGTTCAGTATTTATTACATTCCTCCAAGCAGTGCAAAGTGGTGTACATCTCCCCGAATTATTCCTACAGCAACTTTGTGAGGTAGAATATGGAAATTAGTTTATGGAGCTTCACCATTGAGAAGGGATCTGAACCTGCCCGCCCACCCTGGCTTTCTCTGACACTGTACTGGCATTGCAATATACTCCAGTGGGTATAAGAGTGCCACAGGCTGCACTAGGGACCCTGAAGGCCCTTCCATTGTATATGACAGCCCAGTGTTGACTGCAATAGTCCAACAGTCCACGCCTGTCCATTATATTACATGTATTACAATATTATTAATATTAGCCCCGTTCATAACCAGTGAATGAGATGCTGCTAAAATGCAGAGAACTTGTGTGTTTTAGAATAACAAGAGATCACAGCAACGGGGCAATAATAAACCTTTTAATAAGGGTCAGGCAGGTAAATGTAAGGCAGAGCGGGAGCAATGCGGCTTCGGGGCAGCTCCGCTTTTTGTTTTCTTAGCTTTGGTTCGGAAGTGGGAGCGGGAAAAGGAACTGACAGCTCCCAGGTCGGTTTCCCGCCATCCCACCAAGCAGCGGACCGTCCCGTTCTCCATCTAGAAGCCATTTACTAAAGCGCTCCGAAGAAAGCCGACCAATCCTAATCTTGGTGGGCGGAGGCAGCTAAACGCTCGTCCCGCCTCCTTTCAGGCGGCCAATCGGGGCCCTCTCGCTTCCCCCAACCTCTCGCGGCGTTATCTATGGGCGACGCTCAGTTCTCGAACTACAGCCCCCAGGAGCCTCTGCGCAAGCGCCGCCTCAGCCAATCGACGCGCCTAGCGAGGAGAAATTATCACCGCTGTGGGCAGGACTAGGCGAGACCCAATCAATCGAAAGGGGGGAGGGGATGCTTTGCTGCGGCAGCGGAAGCAACACTCCCGACTGAGCCCCCTCAGCGTCGGCGAAAGAAGCGGCTCCGGAGGCTACTCCGAGAGGCTCCGCCGCCCCCTCGGCTGCAGGTAACTCGGCGGGCGAGGGGAGGGCTCGTTCTGGGAGCGGGGCGACCGGGAGAGGCGCCGCTCCCTCTGGCCAAGCCTCGCCGAGAGTTACTCGAGCTGGGCGCCGGAGTCCTCCTCACTCACGGCGGCTGCTTGGGGCGTTCGCGGCGGCCGCCGCAGCCTTTTTATTCTCGCTGAACATCCGGGTCCCTGGCCCTGCGCGTCTGTTTCACATAGTGATCAGGGAGGGAAGGGAGGCGGGCCCTGGCTACTCTTGATTAGCCATTACCTGTTTTCCCATTGGTAGTCAGGCGTAGCCTGTGCGGGCTTTCCCATTGGTTGGCAGGTTGTGCTGCCTTCTATGCTGGGCTGGCTCGCCATGGGGAAGTGAGGTGTTCCCATTGGCTGCCCGCAGAGGGGGGCGGGCTTCGCGCATGCTCTAGTGGGCGGAGCTTATGCCGAGAGGAGAGCTCCGCCCGAAGCGAGCGAAAGGGGAGGGGCCTCGGGAGCCGCCCCTGACCGGCGACGGGCGCTGCTCCCTTTGCCGTCTTGTGCTGCGCGCTGCGGCGTCTCCGCTGCTGAGTGTTGGCTTCTCCCGTCAAGATTCCGCACTAAACTCGGCCCGATCCGCACTGTCTCGGAAGCCAAAAGTTGGAAGCGGCGGGTTTGCGGGCGGGTGAGCCGGCCCAGCTGTTGCAAGCGGCGCTGTTATAATCGTATAGATCGTAGTGGCCCTTCCACGACCAGCGCAGTTTAGGGTCGGGGGGTGGGGTGGGGCGAGGCATTAGGCTTGTTTCCCAGAACAAGGGGGAAAGAGAGCATCCCCGAATAAGGAGCTGCTCCTGGATTCCCCTAGATCTCGCACTGTGCACGTGCAGTCATTACCCCTGATGACTTCATGTTAGCTGCGTTCTGCTGCCAAGCAGGTAATTGAGATACTGTAGGTGTTGCCTGCAATTGATGTTAAAAGAGGGAGACAAACACATGAAAGTTGAATTTACGTTTGTATTGCGGTGTCATAAAGTGGTTTTAGAGTTGATGGTGATGTAGAAGTTATGATCATGAAGGATGTGAAGACGGATTTAGTCTTCCCTAGCTTGCTACCATCCAGGTGCAGTTTGACTTTATCTCCCATCACTCCTACTAATTGGCCATTCCAGCTGTCACCGATGGGAGCTGGAGTTCAGAACTGGTTTATGTGATTACTGTACTGATGTCAGGATCCAACACCTAACACTCCATTATGCAGCCCGAGATATGCTTATTCGGGAATAAGTTCTCTGTTAAGTGGGGCTTTATCTCTGGTAAGTGTGCACAGCAGATGCTTAGCTGTTCAGTGTAGTTGTATTGTTCTGCGTAGTTGTACGCTTCCTCTGGTTTCTGCATGGCTGCTGTCAACAGAAGTATATAGTAGTTTGTGTAGAACTTTTGAGTTGTTTGGAAGCCCTCTGCCTGAGATCCTGGAAACTAGACAGTAAAGTAAACAATGCTGGTATAATTAGACCAATGGTCTGGTTTTACATTTATAGTCACTTTCAGTGTTGCTATGTAGCTTGCTCAGCTGTTGCACAGATTTAGCTGAGTCTTCCTGATTGCACTGGGGTACCTGTGTGTGACAGCTGTGTTGCTCACCATTACCTTTACTGTCATGTGTAATCTTTCAATATAGATTTACTATTTAATACCAACCTTACCTCCTTTGGAACTGCATTAGGATTTCATATTATTTTGGAAACCACAGTCCATATCAGGACAGAAATGTCATTGGCCTCTGCAGAGCCAGTGTTTTTACTCTTACAGAAATATCCTACGTCTGCTTACTCATAAGTAAATCTCATTCAGTTAAGCAGGGGTTCCTTCGAGGAAAGAGTATAGAGAATTATAGCAATTTACAAAGTACAAGATAATTACATCTATCATTTATTTTTATTTAAAGCATTTCTACCCTGGTCTATAATCTTTAAACTGTATTTGTTTTGTGTAGTTGATGGTATGTTTAATTGATGTTCAGTACATGATTAAAATACTTTGATATACAGTAGGTGTCTTACACAGATGTTTGGATAGCAACTGTTACTTACCGATATTACTAATGCTAATATTGAGTCTTAATTTCGTAAGTTAATTATAGCCCTGGGGTTTTTTCAGATAGTTAGTAGAGAAGTCCTAACGTCAAAATATTGAAAGGTTAATATCCTCTGTATACATTTCTGGGAGTAAGATTCATTGAACACAGTGGGACTTATTTCTGAGCAAACTTAAGTTGGCACTGTAAACATTGGATTTGTGCCAGGCCTATGTATTCCTACTTTATTATTTGCATGTGGTGGTTGTCACTTGAACCTGTGTTACTATTTTTATATTTCAGTATATTAACGCACCAACATTTGTTTATTAAGTTATTGAACTTGGTTGAACTGTTTGTATTTTGTATTTTAACTAGATGGAGAGCTTGCATATCATTTGTCAGTAGCTACTCTGTGCAAACATACGTAACCTAACTGAATTTGCTGGGATTCCTCAGTAACAAGGGCTTCAGTAATGTGGATGTATTAATTATTTGTAATTCTGTGTGTTCCATAGGTGGAAATGAGTTCTCAGCAGTTCCCCCGTTCAGGACCCCCTCCTGCAAGTCTAGGACCAGCTCCTCCTCCGATCTCTACCAGTGGATCTACTGGATTGATAAACCCAACAACTACAGGTAAGGCAACTACAGGATTTCTAACTAAGACTTCAGTATACTTTTTTGGAAGTAAGCTCCATAGAAATCAAAGACAGCATTCCTGTGCCTTGCCTGTTTCTAGTCCTGTTTTCTTTCTAAAATTTCATGCATTTTTCTATTTAGTGAGTGATGAACCCAGCCGAGAAATGGAAGTTGCTCCCAGAGATCATGTGGTCCCTGGTGGCTCTCTGCAGTCCCGTGAAGAGAAGCAGGAAACAGTGGTAGTCCGGCCATATCCGCAGGTGCAAATGTTGACTCAGCACCATACGGTACAACCTGGTGTGCCAGTTACAGTAGCAGCTCCTCCAGCACATTTAGCTCCAGCAGTGCCACTTTCTTTTTCTGAAGGTCTTATGAAGGTAATGAGAGCATTGCTTTTCAAGTATGGAATAGGGGTATTTAATAGCACTAATTTAATGGAATGGCAAAGTTAGCTCAGGCTAGATTTAAGTTTATATATTGCAACTGCCTTTGATTCCCTGGGACAGAGAAGGTTGAATACTGTTATCTGGTACTTTCTAAAAAAAATTACTGAAACCTTTACCATTGAAGGCAGTCTGACAAGGGACTGGACTAGTACATATGGATGTTCACAGTGATGGAGCAGATATGTTTTCTGTTATGCCAGAGGGGTAGGACTTGAACAAATAGGTTGAAATTACAAGGAAATGCTCCCCATTGGTACAAACTGTGCCTCAGCAGATGGTGGGCCCTGCTTGTTAGATGTTTTAAAGCAGAGACTGGTAAGCCAACAGTTATGCTATAGCAGCTAATTTTCTGCATTAGCAGGAGGTCTACGTGATGTTTTCAGGTCCTTTTCAACTTTGTGAATCTATGAAAAACTCAGTCAAAATATCCTACTGCCCATCTCTTAAACATGCCACTAAATTCTTCCTAAAAATTGCTGGGCGCACTGGTCATGCCCCTGCAAGAGCATTCTAATTGTCAGCTGTGCTGGCTGGGGCTAATGGAAGTTGTGGTAGAAAACATCTGGAGGGTACCAGTTGCTGAAGGCTTCTCTTTGCCATGCATGAATAAGAACTGGAGGAGGAGGAGGAGGTTCACAGTAGTTAATTGGAAAGAGGCATCTTGTCCCTTGCATCATCTTCCCCGTACACTGAGGCTGGCAGTGAAATGATAATCATTGGTAATCTTAATCCTAAACAGTTTGGCTTAGAGAAAATACAGCCTCACAGGTTTTGAGAGTTAGTTGCATAATTTCAAACCCTAGACCTAATTTTTGTTAAGGGGGAGAGAGCAGGATTACAAAAAGTTTCAAGGAAATTGGTTGATGGGGTATGTCTGTCTGTATAATTATTTGTGTGCTAACTCCCAGTAGCTGTCTCCAAGATTAAAGCTTTTTGTACTAGTGACTTGATCTTAAGAAAGCAATATTATTGCACAAAGATTCATCTTTTCATATGATTCTCTTCTGAGGAATAATGTGTATAGAGAAATTCAAAATAATTTAATTAGACTGTGGCTACCAGTAAGTTTGTTACAGGTTTTCTTTTCCCCTCAGGGTAAGATAACTGGTGCATACTTGTGTTGTTTTTATTTGTTCTGTTGCCACAAATTTCTACGAACCAGTAGTTGTATCTTTATGTTCTTTGCAGCCTCCCCTGAAGCCTACCATCCCTAGCCGCCCTATTGCACCAGCTCCACCCTCTCCTCTCTCCTGCCCCACCAAAGTCCCAGGGCAAGTTACTGTAACAATGGAGAGCAGCATCCCACAGGCCTCTGCTATTCCCGTAGCAACAATCAGTGGACAACAGGTAATCATTTTCTTCTTCTAAAGTAACTTTTTTGTTTGTTTAAAGTCATGGAAAGCAAATGAAGCACTGTGAACTACAGTACCCACAGCCTTGGTTTGTATCTCCTACCATAATAATTCATATCTAACCTGTACATTCAAACGGCTTAACTGTAGTGTGTGGTTGTATATGAAGCATTTCTTGTACATTACATCTAGACGATTTCCCCACACACAATCTGTTACTGTCTGCAGGGACATCCCAGCAATGTGCACCATATCATGACAACCAATGTTCAGATGTCAATAATCCGAAGTAGTGCTCCTGGACCACCATTACACATTGGAGCGTCTCACTTACCTCGAGGTACTTACATAATCATCCCAAGAAAGTATTATGTTAATAAACTTATTCTGGACAATGTTTATACTGTGGTTAATGCATGCGTCAATACCTTGGTAGAGTAGCTATAAAGATAATGGCTGCAATCTAGAAGTAACTATTTTTAGCTTCTTGGTCTTGGGAAAGTGTAGGGTATAATTAGGGTTACAGTAGAATATGGTGTGCTGATCCTTTTTTAAAAAAACAACAACACCCCACATATGTTTTAGGACAGGGATAGCCAATGTGGTGCCCTTCAGACATTGTTGACTACAAATCTCATCATCCATAGCCAGCAAGGCCAACAGTTCAACCAGTGGGCAGGGTTGATGATAGTTGTAGTCCGGCAACATTTGGAGGACACCATGTTGGCTGCCCCTTGTTTTTGATATGCTGTGGATCACATGCCGTCTACATTCTGGGCAAATCCACCATCTCTAACTGCAGTTAACATTCATACCGGTGTCAACTGCAGTTCAGATGAACCAGATTCTTTATATACCAGGGTTAACAAATTGGCTTCAAGTCCTGTTCAAGAGATTAGGCTCAATTCAATATCCCTGTAAAATAATCTGCAGTTTAAGCCAGCTGGAGAAACTTCACGCATCTGAAGGGAGGAGGGAGCGTACAGCTCCACAGCCTATTCTCTCATTGGTTTATGCAGCTGAGGGATATTGCAGCTACACAACCCTGGTTGATGTTACCACTTTTTCTTTCTTTTACGCTAATTGCTTTGTTTAGCCAGCACTACTAATTGCACTCTTAATTCTTTGTGTCATGTTTAAAGAGTTGTGGCCGCTCTTAAACTTTTTGAAAAGTGGACTGTCTTAGGGATTGTCTCAGTTTTACATGGGGTTTTCCTCAGGTGCGGCAGCTGCTGCTGTGATGTCCAGTTCTAAAGTGACAACTGTCCTGAGGCCAGCTTCACAGTTGCCAAACGCAGCAACAGCTCAACCAGCAGTTCAGCACATCATTCATCAACCTATCCAGGCAGGTGACAATTGTGCAGTATGATTGTTGTTGTTGCTTTCAGATTCTTTTGGGCTTTTCTTAAGCGGGAAACCACTCACATAGTTAAATGAACTGCGAAATCTGACAACTGGTTCTTGTGACTCAAATTCTTCAGCATTGCAGGCCAAGATTTAAAGAAACTGTAAAGGGAGCAAACTAATAATATTATCCAAAGTGTGAACTTCAGATTAACTCCCCCAGTTAAGAGCTTTCCATTTTGTTTGAAGCCCTGTTGTTAATGGTTGGTTGGCTTTTAGCTCCATTTGTGTGCAGTAGTGGCTGACACACGTGGGGCTGCATTGCTTTCCTGACTTCCCAGTGCTGCACTTTGCTGCCAGTTACCAAGGAGGATAAGCAAGGCAGCAGGGAGCTCAGTGTGATGCAAGCACAGTTGTGGAGCTTACCATGCCAAGCTCTGTTTATATGTAAAATAGTTCCTCGTTTGTAAGGTTGCTTTACAAAAATGATCTACATATTGCTAAGGGAGAAAAATGTGTCTGGCAATCAAATTATCTGACCCTTAGGAGACTCAGAGGTCCATTTTTACAAAGTTTTGCTATGTGTAATTTCTTTACATTTAGGCAGTGAATAATTTTTTTAAATTATTGGTTGAAAGCCCTAATGTAATACTTTTTCCTTACCTACCACAGTCCCGGCCTCCTGTGACAACTTCAAGTACCATCCCTCCTGCTGTAGTAGCAACAGTGTCGGCCACGAGGGCCCAATCACCCGTTATTACAACAACGACAACACATGCCACAGAAGCTACCCTCAGGTAACCACTACACCCATTAACAGTACAATCATAGATACGTTTATTTGGAAGTAAGTCACTCTGTGCTCAGTGGAGCCTACTCCCTAGTAAATATGTCTTGGGATTGCTTTCTTAAATAAAAAAAGGTACATTCGGTTATTTAACTGAGGGCCACTTTACACAATATGGCCATCTAATGGGAGCTGCTTCAAACGGCCTCCCTAGGCAGCTGCTCCATGAAAGGAGCCATTCTGTGTGCAACATCTTGCTATGCAGCTAAACACCCTTTCACATGGTGGCCATATAATTTGAAACAGCATTGATTGAACTGTCCAGAAGAAATGCTGTTGGTGCATTAATTCATGTAATGCACAATGAAGAAGCCATTCTAAGCTCCATTGTGGTGTCTCTTCATAAAATGAGTCGACGGACTGTTAAGTGCTTTCAGAAAAAGAACCTTAGATTGTCTTTTCCAGCCGGCCAACATTGTCAATTCAGCAGCACCCACCTTCTGCACCTATCAGTATTCAGCGCCCTGCACAGCCACGGGATACAGCAACCAGAATTACCCTGCCGTCCCATCCAGCCATAGGAACACAGAAACAGCAGCTTCACACCATGGCTCAGGTAAATATTATAAACACGATCAGCACAGTTTCTTCCATGTTGTTGTCTGACTTTTACCATATGGTTTTATAAGATAGTTGAATGAGGTTTCATGACATGGCATGAAACATATTGTTGGCCTGGACAGCGGGAGGGAAACTTCCAACCCACAATCCTCCATTCCTAAGTCTGGAGCTTCTTTCCTTTCGGGAACACAGTCTGCCTCCTTGCTTTCTTTAATCTGCCAAGCAAGTCTAGCCTTCCTTTCCTCTTCTAGGTTGCTGCTTTTCTACTTGGTGTTTGATATACCTAGCATCTTTCTTTTGCTCAGTCCTCTGGTGCTGCTGTAAGAGGCTTAAAAAGCCCTGTTGGTTCATGGCATCCTGCAGTGCTGTGGCTGATAATCTAGCTAGCTTGTGGACTCTCGTGAGCTGGTCACTTAGACCAACAATGGGAGCCCATCTACTCCAGCTCCTCTGTAAAGCATCAGATCGAGGGAAGTGCCATCTCTGTTCCAAGATTCCGAAATATGCCAATCATGGTTTCTTGACAGACAACTTTTTCCCCCCTGCAGAAAACAATATTTAGTACTGGTGCTCCAGTGGCAGCAGCAACTGTGGCCCCTATTTTAGCAACCAATACCATTCCTTCGGCAACTACAGCTGGTGAGTATCTACAGCTCAGCATTTTTTATGTACAAATACAAAAGCCAGTTATTAGGGTTGAAGTATCCTGCTAAAGGACGCGGGTGGCGCTGTGGTCTAAATCACAGAGCCTAGGGCTTGCCAATCAGAAGGTTGGTGGTTCGAATCCCTGCGACGGGGTGAGCTCCCATTGTTCGGTCCCAGCTTTCTGCCCACCTAGCAGTTCGAAAGCATGTCAAGTGCAAGTAGATAAATAGGTACCGCTCCGGTTCACCAGAAGCGGCTTAGTCATGCTGGCCACATGACCCGGAAGCTGTCTGCAGACAAATGCCGGCTCCCTTGGCCTATAGAGCGAGATGTGCGCCGCAACCCCAGAGTCGTCCGCGACTGGACCTAATGGTCAGGAGTACCTTTACCTTTATCTTGCTTAAAAAAAGCCCTTTATTTCTCATAATTATTGGGTGGCACAATAAAATTAGTGTATGATTTTAACATGTGATTTTGGAGGCTAGGCACACATGGAAAACACTACCCCAGTTACTGCAGAAGCAGGCTAGGGGTCTAACTGTTCTACAAGGAGCAACAGAAATTTCCCAGCTTAGAAGTTTCCATATATTTGTGATATACATTTTCTGTCAAAGGCACAGACTCTGAAGAATGTTTAATTGTGTGTGCACATTTCTTCCTTTCAGGTTCTGTATCCCACACCCAAGCACCAACAAGTACAATTGTCACAGTGACTATGCCCTCACACTCCTCCCATGCAACGGCTGTGACCACCTCAAACATCCCCGTCGGTAAGAGCATTAGTTCTGAGCTTCATTGTCCTTTGATCTATCATTTTATTTTCTGCTGGGGACAGAATGGACTAGGTACATCAGGGGTGAGGAAACTTCTTTGCTTCCCACAGGGTAGCTTTGACAGGTGTCTGGTCCCACCTACCTGTTGAAACCCCTTGTGTGGGGTTTCCAAGCTTGAGAACTACAGCACAATGGGTGTTGTCAGCCCTGTGCTTTGCAACCCTCCCTGCGCTGCTCCTTTCCACCCGTCTTGTTAAAGGTGAAAAGTAGCCACACTGGGTGGCTTCCAACAGTAGTGCTGGGTAGGAGAAGCAGGTTCTCCTGCTTGAGCAAGCCATGCTCCTACTACCCATCAGCAGAATGGAGGTTGGGAGTGCATCTTGCTCCAGCAAAGGAACAATCAGTATCTGTTTCCTAGTATGAATCTACTACAGTTTACTTTGTGAATAACTGGGATGTCTTTTTTCACTGTACAGCTAAAGTAGTCCCACAGCAAATTACGCACACTTCCCCTCGCATCCAGTCTGATTACACTGCAGAGAGGAGTAATCTCATTCCTATATCTGGGCACCGGGCATCTCCAAACCCAGTTGCCATGGAAGCTAGAAATGATAACAGGTAACTGAATGAATTTACTCACATAGGATAGGTACTTAATCATCTTGGTTATATTGCATGTATGTTATACATGAGGACATCTGCAAAAATATAATGAAATGTGTTTTGATCTCTCAGTTAACTTAAGTATCCAAAGCTAATCCTATGCGCACACATATCTGAGAGTAAGCCCAATTGAACTTGGTGAGATTAGTTTCTGAATAGATGTGCATAGGATTGCGCCAGCTAAGGCTTTGCATATTTCTGATGAAAGAAGGGCTTGTGATTTTGGATTGATTTGAACCAATCTGGCTGAAAAGGCATCTAGGTAACCAAGCCACAATTTCTGCTTCCAGTTCTGTGAGTTATGGACAGTGCGCTTCAAATTCTACAGTTTGTTTAAAAGGGTGTGGATTCAGGGAATTGTCAGGTTCCCGAGGAGCAAATAATGCTGCATGTCAAATTCAACTCCTGCATTTCAGGGCAGCTGTACATGAAGGGAAAGGAGCTGCATTGTTAGGAAGTGGAAATAGTGTCAGGTGTATACATGTTATACAAACAGACTGCATAGTGACATGAAGTACGTGCAAATGTAGAAACCCTTTCACTTCTCGTCTTCTGTTTACTCTTTATTGAATTATACTGTTCAACGTTGTCAGGGTATAGAAAGAGGGTTTGAATTTGGAAGCTTTTTGGGGTATCCTTCCAAGTAGGTAAATGTGATGGCCCACAAAGAAGCTAGCAAACTAGAACAGTCGATTGCATTGCAACAAAGGTTAATTAACAATCACTGCTACAGTTCATTTGAAGGCTACAATTATACTGTTGTGTCTAACATTTAATTTATCTTCATTCCTCTAGACAGTCAGTACCTGTTCAATTCCAGTACTTCTTACCAACATATCCACCTCCTTACCCTTTGGCTGCCCACACTTACACACCAATTACCAGCTCTGTATCCACTATACGCCAATATCCTGGTAAGGAATCTCAAAGTTTGATTTACAGAAGAGTTTTAGATCAGCTACGTAAATGAGCTTTCTGCATAAACTTTTCTTTTTTAAGTTCAAAGTGGGGTTCCAAAGTACTTTGGGAAACAAGCAAAGGTTATCTGGCAAATTTAATATTTAAATAATTTTTAAAAAACCCTCTCTGCAAAGCTTGCTCAAGTCAAGATAATGATGAAGCAGATCAGCAAAGGATGTTAGTTATTTTGCTAAAAACGTCTGGCTTCGCAGTGGGTTTTCCTTTCCCTCTCCTCTTCCCTGTGCCCTCCTCAAATCTGCTCAGGAGAATTGGGGGAATCTCCAGAAAATACAGGGGGGTGCATAGGGGGCCGAGAAGGAGAGGAAATTCCATTGCACAGCTAGAGCTCTTCGTGCCAACAGAACTACTTTGGTGGCTACCACATATGGTCTTTTTTGACCCCCAAACATAGTGACTGCCAAGGGGAATTTTTAATCTAAATGATTTGGGGAATTCTGCAGTTTTTAAGTTTTGGTGATTTGCTGTTCTGAAAAATTGGTATTTTGTAATTACTCTCAAATTGACTTGTTTGTTTCTTGTGATTTGTATTACAATGGCTACTGCTACAAACAATAACAAAAATCCTCCTGACAGTCCTCTTCCACCCTTCTCTTGGATGTCCTGCTGTTTTTGGAAACAGGGGTTTGCTGTTAAATCTAAACTGGCAAATTGTGGTTTGTGCAAGCTCTCCAAACCAGGACTGACAATGTGAAATAACTTCTAATAGCTTGGCAATTGAGGTGAAAGTTTAACTGTCAAGTCTATGCTTTGTGTTCTCAGCCATTGTATTACATGAGCTCCACGTTTACAGCGTTCAGCTGCTCTATTCCAAACTATTGGAATATCCAGTAATAACCTCTTCTAAATTACTTCAGCTAATCAGAAAACTTGTTATAGCTAGACCCTAGCTGTGAAAGGGCCATATGTTTTCTTTGGAGTATTGGAATAGATCTTTTTCTTTGCATATATAACCTCAGCAGCACTCATGAGGATTATTATAATTCAGCTTTAGCATTATGAAGCCAGTGTTGCTGCTGTATAAATGTAATGCTGGAAGGGCTGGCTTATGAATCTTATTTAATCTGTTGGCATCTTCAGCAGGACCACAGATGTGTGCATAAACTACAAGTATTTAAATACAAAATCTAACAATGCTGCTTGGCAACACAAGATAATAAATTGGCTGTTTTGTGTGGAAGTAATTAAGTCTATTGTTTGGTATTTCCAGTTTCAGCTCAGGCGCCAAATTCTGCCATAGCAGCTCAGACTGGAGTAGGAGTGGCCTCCACAGTTCATCTTAATCCCATGCAGCTGATGACAGTGGATGCATCTCACGCCCGTCATATTCAGGGCATCCAGTCTGCGCCAATTGGTGCACAGGGTATACAACCAGCACCCATCAGTGCACAAGGAATACAGTCTGCGCCAATTGGAACCCAAGGGCTACATCCAGCTGCCCCAATTGGCACACAGGGTCTTCAGACTGCACCAATGGGTGCTCAACAACCACAAACTGAAACCAAGACATCAGGTAACTAGCCAAGAATGCTTGTGTTGCGAGCAAAATTGTCCATAACTATTCCTCTTGGGGTTTGCTTTTTAATTAATCATGTAATTATGGCTGCAGTACTACTATGAACACCTATTTAGAAGTTTTGTTGAGCTTGGTGGGGTTTATGATTAAAAATGCATAGGTTTGGGCTGTCACTAACATGGACAACTGCCATTTCTGTTTCTGACTCAAACACACTGCTAGAGTCACTTAAACATTTTATTTTGTTTACCAGTATCTGCTGTTCCCTATCTCCTAGCAAAAATATATGATCAAGTTTGTGGGTGGTTTTCTTAAGCTATGGCTAATTAGAGTTTTAATCCTGTGTATACATTTTTGAGAGAGCCCCATTGAACACCTTGAGTTAACGTTTGTAGAACTGAGCAGCAGATAGTTTTAAAACACTAAGCCTGATACCCAATTTTGGTTATACTCTTAGTAGAGCAATGTAAAAAGATTGACTTAAGTCTATTGCGTTCAGTGGTTCTGCTCCTGAGTATGATTTGGATGGCTGTCTCCTTAAATTTGGCATTTGTTGAGCAAGCATAGAATGGAACAACATTCCCACTTCTTATTTTAAGAGAAACAGCTTCTGGTTAAATTTCTCTCGCTTTTGTCTGCTACCTCCCTATAACCTTTTTTGTTCCTTCCATCAGTGGTCTTGGCAGATGGAGCCACTATTATGGCCAATCCAATCAGCAATACATTCAACACTGCTCCAGCTTCAACTACAGTGGTACAAACCCATAGTCAGAATGCCAGTTCTAGTACACCAGCCCAGGGTTCATCCCCTCGCCCAAGCATTCTCCGGAAGAAACCTACTACAGATGGGTGAGTAAAATTGCAGCTGCTTTGATAATGTGCAATCTGCTTGCCACTGTACAAGAAATAGTGTCGTATCTAATAAAACCATCCTGTTGGTGCAAGGATTTGTGCCTGCGCAATGGGATTTCCTCTCCCTCCACCCCCCCATGTCTTCTGTGGATTCTCCAGTCCTCTGTAGGAGATTTGGGCCAGGTGTGCAGGGGTGGGAGAGGGAGAAGTCTCATTGCACAGATGAAAGTCCTTGCACCGACAGTACAATATTGTTGGATACAACCTTGTAGCATTCTGTTCATCAGTCATCTTACGTATGCTGAGCATTATGACAGAACCAATAAAACATGTGAGAACTCATGGAATATGTATTTATTAGTGAAGACTTATACCCTGTCTTACCTCCAGTACGTAGCTCAAAGCAGCTTACAAAAACAGAGATGTGTGTATTTTTTAAAAAAATCAAAACTAAAAACAGAGTAACTGATCAGTGAAATAGAAGAGTAAAAACACTTCACACAGGGACCAGGCAGTTTTTTAAAACTTGCCACTGTAGGGGGCAACTGTATTTCTTCAGGAAGTAATTTTCATAGTCTGGAGTCAACGGTGCAGGGAGCGCTACAGAAAATGCCTTGTCTCATGTCAGCGGCCTCCTAGCATTTTATGGGAGTGGGACCATAAGCAGGGCCTCAGTGCTGACTTCAAGGCACAAGTTGGCCAGCATAGGGAGAGCTGTTCTTTTAGATAACTAGGTACCAGGTCATTCAGGGCTTTATATGCTAATAGCAGATCTTTGAATCAGGCCCAGTAACTCACAGTCAGCCAGTGCAGAACCTTAGAAATTAGTGTTACATGACCCAGGCTGTCCAGCAGCATTCTGCACCAGCTGTGGTTTCGTAACCACCTACAAGGAAAGAGCTCTGTCACCTGTGTTTGGTCAAACCCGCTTTACATCTTAAGTAATCTGTGCTCTAGCCATCTTCCGACATGTTTCATTGCCCAAAGCCTCTTGGGAAACCAGGACTGGAGAGGGCCCCTAGGTGCAATTGTGTCAGTGGCCTATATCATCTTGCTTTTCCACAGCAAGACTAGGGTCTTGACAGGAGAGGCAGCTGTTCTGTTTGGAAAATTTCCCTGAGAATTCGGGAATCTTTTGGATTCCGTTAATCTGCTGGAGCGAACATTTCTAATCAGCCCCCCAGCTGGAGCCTATATAGGATAAATACAGCAGAAGAGAATAATAGTACACCACTTTTAAATTAAGCACCCTTGGCAACTATTGTAATAGTTTTGCTTTTCAGAAACTACTATATTCATGGCTATTTTGCAGGTTGGCGGTTAGGAAAAGCCTCATCCCTCCGCAGCCATCTGAGGTATCTGGCGCTCGAGTGGAAAGCTCAATGAGGAGTGCATCTGGATCGCCAAGACCAGCTGGGTAAGATCTCATAATAAAAAGATATGTAAAGCATTCAAAGTACTGTAATTCTAACTTGGCAAAAAGGTGAAAGAGATGCTGGCTGTTCTTACCCATTGCAAAATAATAAGCTCCGTGGAGACAGCTGGTGCATACTTACTTCTGGGTAAATGGGAGTTCAGTGAAATATTCAGTGATGATCACTGAGCTGTGCAAGCAGATTAGGACTTGGGGGACATAAAACAGGGAGCTATTTTAAGAGTATTGAATTACTTTTCCTCAGATCACTACAACATGCACATATTGGCCATGTTCAGATATAAGCCTATGCAAAGCTATAGTTAGGCAAGATAGTCTTGCCAATGAGCCATATGATGCTGCCTACAGTTTTAGCATTCCTTGTTTTTCTCTCCCCTTCTTTGAGTGGGAAAACAAACCACAGAGCAGGCGGCTTAGTGGATCAGACAAAAATGTGTTGTCCAAAATGGGGTCCAGTGTACTGGGGATCATCTGTTAAAATGTATTCTTAGCTTGATGGTTTTTAGCATGTAAATTTGACTGGCTTACTGTCAAATTCTGTCCAAACCAGCACTCCTGGTTCCTTTCTGCATTTGAAAAAACATGACCAGGAAGCCAATGTTCTTGGTTTCCTGAATGTGATTTATTTGGGAGAAACAAATCAAAGGTTCTGATTCAGGCATAATGCTAAAACCTCTTTCATTTCAGACCTCATTTTTTGATATAGCACTGGAACAGAAAGCTTGTTGCTTTCTGATGTTTTTACATGGTATTGTCAAGATTCTGAAGAAAAGGCATTAAACTTGGTGACTGTATTTCACCATTTCTGGTGGGCTTGTACTACTTAGATTCTGGAAACCCAGACTTCCATCTACTTATGTGATGTCACCATATTGTAAGATATGTTTCTAGAAAACTGGAAAGAAAAAAAAACCAGAACAAAATTAATCTTTCAGAGGCTCTGCATTTCTATACAGTTATGGTAGTAGGATCTTGAATAAGTGAAACTGCTAACTTTTTCGTTTTTTTGTTTTGTTTTGTTTTGTTTTGTTTTGTTTCGTTTCGTTTCATCTAGTGCCAAGCCAAAACCAGAAATCCATGTGTCTATGGCCACTCCAGTGACTGTATCTGTGGAGGCAGTATCCATTCAGAGCAATGAACAACCTCCAATTGCAGTCCCCACTTCCCAGCAGCCACCAGCTGCCATTCCAACCATCATCACAGCAGCTAGTCCACCTTCGCAGCCCACAGCTGCCCTGTCAACCATTCCAGGAACTGTTCCTGCTGCTGCACCGACTTCAACCACAATTGTGGCAGCTCCTCCACCTCCACCAGCCATGGGTGGCGTCCTCTCTACAGTATTGGGCCCCGTTGTACCAGAGATAAAAATAAAAGAGGAAGTGGAACCCATGGATATAATGCGGCCAGTCTCAGGTAGATTTCTGCTTAAGCAATTACAAATGAGATGCTCAAAGTAGGTACAGAAGCTCCACAGCAGATAATAATTAGAAAGATTGTTAGCAGCTTCATTTTAAATTATATTTTGTTTGATTTTAGTAATGAGGGTCAGAGTTTATTAAGAGCAGGGCCACAGCTAGCATGTCACTGAAAGCTACAAGAGTTGCATAGTTAAAATGGCAGGTAGAACTAAAAGAATACAGTGGTACCTCTGGTTATGAACTTAATTTGTTCCGGAGGTCCATTCTTAAGCTGAAACCATTCTTATCCTGAGGCGCGCTTTCACTAATGGGGTTCATGCTACGTGATTTCCGTTAGCATCCTGGGGCAAAGTTCGCAACCAGGAGCAGCTACTTCGTAACCAGAAGCGTTTGTAACCAGAAGTACCACTGTACACTTGCTATTAAAGTTTGCGGAGAGATCAAGCATTAGTGCTTAATTCTGCTCTGTAGTAAACACTAAGAGAACAGTTGTGCAGCCTTATAGTCTCTGTTCAAGGCTTTCACTCTTAAATTCAATTTGTTAAGGAATTTCCTGAAAGTTACTTTTGCCATAGTAGTTAGCATGTCAAACACAAACTGCCAATCGATTGCACTAAAGGTGCCTCGCAGCTTTATTGGGAACTGAAGGAGCCCAAACGCTGTCATAGTAACCATAATCCCAGAAAAAAAGAGATCAGGGAGGACTGAAACAAAAGACTTTGTTTGCTTAGCTCTGCTCACTCCTATTCATGACGTAAGGCCAAACCATTCAAAAGAAAATCTCGGGAAAAGTATATATAAAAGCTCTAAGATCCTTGAGAGGAGGGACTCTAGAAAAACATAATGTTCTCCTCTTACAAAGGCACTGCACTGGCAGTTAGCATCTGATCTCTAGCCTTGCAGTCTTTGGAAGACAAGGGTGTTGGCTCTAAAGCTGCCTTTGTTTTACCTGTCAGTCTCTTAAAACTTGTCCCTTCCTGTCTTCTCTTTCAGCAGTTCCTCCACTGACTACAAATACTGTCTCCCCATCTCTTACACTGCTGGCCAACAACCTTTCAGTGCCCTCAAGTGACTTGCCACCTGGTGCCTCTCCAAGGAAAAAACCACGAAAGCAGCAGCACATAATCTCTACAGAGGAAGGGGATATGATGGAGACTAATAGCACTGATGATGAGAAATCCACTACCAAAAGCTTGCTGGTAAAAGCAGAGAAGCGCAAGTCACCTCCAAAAGAATATATAGGTGAATGGAAATAAATAAATTAAATAATTGGTTGATTGGTCGTTGTCTTCTCCAAGTAATACCCATCCACCCAAAATGTAAGATTGCCACTAGAAAAGGAATTTGAGCTAAAAATGATCAACTTTGGGTCCGTCTGTCCCCCACAGAGATCAGTTTTTCATGGCAGATTATTATTGGGGTGGGGGGGGGGGGAGAGCTGTTGGAGCTGAATTAATCTCTAATTCAAAGTATGCCGGCCCTATCGTGGGATCACATTTTCTTTCCTAGCTCAAAACGCAAGCACCTTAAAAGAGGCTTTAGTTATTTTTCTCAATCTTGCTTTAGATGAAGAAGGTGTGAGGTATGTGCCTGTACGTCCTCGGCCACCCATAACACTGCTTCGCCACTATCGCAACCCATGGAAAGCTGCCTACCATCACTTTCAGCGGTATAGTGATGTCAGAGTGAAAGGTATGTCTTCCTGTCATTACATTTTGCATGGGTCGGTGAACAGATGTGTTACAATATTAGACAGGTGTCTACTTGCAAACATTTAACCTCTGATATAGGATGTGCAGCGAATTGCCTAGAAACATATCCACCATCTAAAGCCACTATAATATTTGTACTGCAGAGGCAGTGCTAATACATATCAGTTTTCCTATTGTTACTGAGGTTTAGTTATACATAAGGTAATCGAGAACCTCAGCTGACAGGAAATAGTCCCCGTATAGTTGCTTGCTCTCTGTGTGTCTGACTAGCAAAATGAATTATGCAAGAAAAGTGGGTGCAAGGAGACTTGCTTACTTTGCATTATGTATTTATTGAATTTGACTTTTGGGTTTCTACATATATAGTCCCTGGCTATTAGACAAACTAAGTTTACCAACACTCGAATACAAAGATTCAAAGCAAGCCCCACTCCACCCCTGTTCAGATCACAAAATTTGGCTGTTGCATTATTGCACATCTGACCCTGGATCCCTGTTCCTGCATTCTACCAACATCTGTGGTCAGGTTTCACATACCAGGTACACAAATGACTGCTGCAGTAAACTTAGTATTTTTGTAGCTCAAGGAATAAGGTACATTTCACCCTTTAAAAACTCATTATTTGCTTGTGTCTCATATTTGACTCTTGTTCTAGAAGAGAAGAAGGCTATGCTGCAAGAGATCGCTAATCAGAAAGGTGTATCCTGCCGTGCGCAGGGGTGGAAGGTCCACCTTTGCGCAGCACAGCTATTACAGCTGGTAAGTGGGGGAAATGGGGTAGTTTCATATAAAATGAGGAACGAGATTCCTCCAAGAAAAGCCTTAGCCCAGGAAGCTTTCTGAAAGGTGATACAAAACTATATACATATATATAGATATATATATAGATATAGATAGATACACACACACACACACACACACACACACACATATATATATATATATATATATGTATATATATATACACACACATACACACACACCATTTATATTATTTTTAAAAATTGCCACCAGATTGATAAGACTATTGGAATTGGATTCCCTTCAAGATTGAGGTTGTAGGTTGCAGTTGAGTATATGTATATCAGGTATGAATGGAGGGCTTGATTCAGGCGTAAGAACTGATGCATTTTATACAGATGCTCAAAACTGGCAAATCCCTCTGGTGCACAAATCTGAAGAAGTGTCTGGGATTGTGCTGCTGACTGGAGGAGGCAGCACTGTTCCACATTCCTGGATGCTTCTGTTTCAGGTTGGGGTGATGTAGGTGCTTTGTATTCTAGCACCAAGCTCCCAAGGCCATGAGGAGTACTATGGAAATGTGACATTACATTGTGTATGTAATTTAGGAGTGCTGGGGCTGCTGATGGCATGTGAAACTAGGTTTTGATCTAAGTATAAGAGATGATGGTAAGAGGACTAGAACCTCAAAGGATATCTTTCACAGGCATTGGATGACGGTTACTTGTATATAATAGGGAGTTACTGTTTCCCTATTTCCTCATTCTGAAGTGGGACAGCCCTGCTTCATTTTGAAGCATATTTCAGAGAGCATCCTACTGCAGTTGCAATAAAGATGACATTGTAACCTTAAGAAGAGGAACACTGTTCTGTCAGCAGTGAAAAATAGTACTGAATCTTTTGAAAGCAGTTATATGAGCAGATGGAATTTTTATAGCTTATGTAGCCCTTGATATGAAACAGTGAGAAAATATTAGGTATTTTTGCCAAATTCTAATATTTTATAGACCAACCTGGAGCACGATGTGTATGAACGACTCACCTCCCTGCAAGAAGGGATCATTCCCAAGAAAAAGGCAGCAACTGATGATGATTTGCATCGAATAAATGAACTGATACAGGTAAAGGCTTATTGTTCACTCCTTCAGTTTGGTGATTTGCAATTGATATTTTTTCTTAATTTAAATGGTGGGACATGTTTTTTAAACGTGAAACAAAGAACTGTTAAAAGAGGGAAGTAGAAAATGAAGCAGACTAAACAAACCACACAGTATTTTAGTATAGCCACTCAAAATATTAAAAACAACCACACATATGGTTATTTTAAAAAATGAATAATTTGGGATGTGTTTAAACACTACAACAAATAGAAAATAGATATTCACAGGTTCCATGGTTCCGTGTATCATTCATAGCCTGAGCATAATATATAATTTCTAAAAGTGAGGGGACACAGACACGTGGGGGGAGACAGAGAGAAGAAGAAGAACTAGTCCATTACTCACAGAAACCTCCATCCTCTTTGTGGCAGCCATAAGGAAGATACCCATTTTTAATTAACTGCAGTTTATTATTCCATTCAAATTCTAAATTATGATTAATATTAATTATGGTTAGGGAAACAAGCCAACTTAATCAACCATGGTTTGAAATTGGCTTGTTTCCCTAAACCATAATTAAAAATAACTGTTGATCCAGGTTTGGACATGACTCTCCTCCTTGCCACTATGCAAGAAGTGGAAAGGGGAGTGGGAGAGCGCACAAGCTTCATCCAAGCAGCACTAAGTTTAGCATTGCGTCCAAATGAGGTTGCTTTCGCCTTGAAAGTTCACCATTATTACTATGTGTCTTGAAATGCAAATGTCTTACATAATACATTTGATGTAGAGAGTCTAATTTCCCAGATTATTATTAGCAGAAAGTGGAAACATACTTGTTCATCTGTTCCTAAACGGCTGTTTCATTTGTTTTAAAATTCTTTAGGTCATGTACTCTCTGACATTTCAATGTGGTTGTTTAAAGATTACTTGTGTGCCTAGGAGGCATTCAGCTGTTTAATATCAGTCCTGTGTTGTGTTTCAGGGGAATATGCAGAGATGTAAGCTCGTAATGGATCAAATAAATGAAGCTCGAGAATCCATGCTAAAGGTCTTGGATCACAAAGAGCGTGTTCTGAAGCTTCTCAATAAGAATGGAACTGTCAAGAAAGTTTCAAAATTGAAGAGAAAAGAAAAAGTCTAGAGCCAGAGGTATAAAGACTCTGGAAACAAAGGTTGTACAGAACAGTGTTAAGGCTCTTTTAATTGGGGGTTTGTTTTAGAGAGCTACATCTGAGTAAGAAGGACGATGGATGGATACGTTGGAGCCCAATGACCTTAAGGGATGATTATTGATCTATCAAAGAAACAAAGATTTTTCTCAGGCTTGTCCCTGTTTAAACTCTTCACAGTCACATTTTGTTTAGCCCTCTTGATGTGCCAGTGCCTATTAATTGGAACCATTGATGCAAACGTGATAGACAGTCCTCGCCCTTCCATCCTACAGTTTTAGAGATAACTTCACAGGTTTGTACAATGGATTCTGCAGCAGACCTCAAGAACCATCTGTCTTGAAACTGTTTGGAGATGACACTACTTCCACGTAGCCAACTCAGTTTTTTGCTCCTTAAGATCTTGCAGTGGCTAGAGCAGCCTTCATAAACCCAGTGCCACTTGCACTGGTGGTTCTGCTACATTTAGAATCTTAAGTGGTTCTGAAGTCTCTAGCTGTCTATTTTTTAAAAAATACATTTCAAAGTGATTTGTAGTGTTGTGGAGTGTGTGCGTGTGCCCATGTTGGTGCTCTGGGATATTGTTTTCAAAGTACTCTCATACAGCACAGTACTTCCTGTAGCTGGTGTGATGCTCTTCATTGTGTTACATACAATTTGTGCTATATGACATCCTGGAAACATGAATAAAGGATTTGGAGGATTTTGTATAATAACAGGTGCATCTAATTTTGTGCTACAGATCCCAGCAAAGAAAAGCCAGATAAGAACTATAGGGAAGTAGCTGCTTTTGTTCAGGACATTTAAAAAGAACAGATTGGTAATATGGACAACAATTACACTTTTAGCAATCTAGGTTAAACATATTTTCATCTACATTTGCTATTTCTGTAATAAGCTGCTATCAGTTCTCTTAGTACCATATATCCATATAGGATATAACAATGGCAAAATCCAGCACGTACAAATTCCATTCAGTGGAAGGGGCCACTACCAGCCAAAAGAAAACAACTGCAGTGGGAGGAGTGCAAAGGCACACACATCCATAGCAATCCCACTTGGAGCAGCCAGTTTAGATGCAGCTCCGAGCAGGTACAATATCACCCACCATGCACACTGCTGGCCAGGCACCCAATAGAGCACCCACCCATACTAAGGCAGAATGAGATGAGCTACCATTAGCAAAAGCCAGTGGGTCAGAGCAAGCCTGCTAGTGCAAAGATAAGGCAGGCCAGGGGGAGGTTCACTCAAGTGTAGATTGCCCCTTGACTACAAGCTCCTCAAATTCTTCAATTTCCCTTGAAGCCCATATCCAAATAGTAGCAGCGGGGGCAAGGGGATGTTTCTGGAGATCAGGACAGTGGTGCTCCAAAATCTGGGGGAAGGGGCCTGGCTAGGCAGTCAGTGGGAGGGTAGCCACAACAGTTGATGGACCCTGGAGGAGTAGCATGCCTGTATAAAGAAAGGCAACTTATACCAGGGATGGTTCACAAGCTCATTGCACTGGAGCATTGCCAAGCACACCTTTTTTACACCTTTCCAGGAGTGCTGAGCAAAGCCACCTCCAGGGTTCGATGACTTTGGGGGAGGGGATCTGCAGCTGGTCAGCCTCTTAGGCACTGCCAACTCCTTTCTCTGCTTCTCTTAACATGGCACCACCATGTCCATTTCCAACCTGTCGGGTCTGCTCCATACTAATGGTATCAAGAATGTCCTCCTGGGCTTGCATTACCCAGTAATAGGGCATTTCCAATGGAATGTGGCATGGGTAGTCAGTCCACCCTGTGTCCCATGAGGCTGCACTGCCAGGCTTCTGTGAGGTAGAGCGTGCAAAATTAGATATGTGTTCTATGAAACTGTTGGCTTCTGTCTACGCTATCTACATGATGGTGATATGCAATACCCAGTGTCCATCTCATGAATGCCACAATGCCAGAAAATGTTCCTAACTTCTAGATTCTTAGTTTCTAACCAGCTACATCTGCTGGAGGACCACAGGGGGCTTTTGGGTAGATGTGTGAGATGGATTAACACATAGCAACATCCAGACAGGAGAGGCCATTGATAACCCTTTTACTTCCCCAGGCACACAGCTGAATACCCATGGGTACTCAGTGAAGCCCTTTATTCAAATAGTCATTGGGGACACTGAAGATGTGATTCCATGGCCTGCATCACATGGTAGGGCAATGTGACCCACTCTCCTGAGAAGGTATCCAAAGTTGTGATGGCCCGTGCTATTCTCTATATTGTCATGCACAAAAGGCTATCCAAGGGCAAGGATAGTGCTGGGCTGCCACACCTCACTGTGGAAGGAGCAGACATGGTTGATAAGAGTGAGTTGCATAAGGTTGCAAACTTCATGCTGCTGTTACTTGGGACCACATAGGTGATTCATTTAGAGACAATCCACTTGACTTGTGCAGCCCTTGGCATGCTTTCCTTTCTCCCCCCATGCCCACATTATCCAGATTTTAATAACAGGTTTTGCAATTACTTGCATTTCTTTCTAGCAGACATATTCCATCAGCAGTGTGGGGTGGTAACCAAGTTAAGTATCCCCAGAGTTCAGGATGATTACTACCAAAATGCAAGTGCGTAAGGCCTGCAGCTCCTTCCAACCTAGCAGTTCGAAAGCACGTCAAGTGCAAATAGATAAATAGGTACCGCTCTGGTAGGAAGGTAATCGGTGATTCCATGCGCTGCTCTGGTTCACCAGAAGCAGCTTAGTCATGCTGGCCACATGGCCCGGACAAACGTCAGCTCCCTCGGCCTATAGAGCGAGATGAGCGCTGCAACCCCAGTGACTGGACCTAATGGTCAGGGGTCCCTTTACCTAGCCATCTGTCATGTATGATCTAGTTGAGATTCATGCATTGCAGGGAGTGAACTAGATGATCCTCGGGATTCCTTCCAACCCTACATTTCTATGATTCTTTTAATTCTTAGTGTGAGCTGCCTTGGCTGTTTGTTTACAAATACAGTAAATCAATCGATAAATCCTTTGGCCTTTAAGCTGCTAAAAATATCTTTGTGTGTGTGGAGATATTTCTGCCTGCAGCAGACAACCACATGCACCGCACTGGAGTGCCTATTCAGGCTGCAGTTGTAAGCACAATTGCTGGAGACCAATTCCCCTTGACCTCAACTGAACCTCCTCCTGACTCAAGTCATTTGGGCGTCAGAAGTACACGGAACCCCCGCTATAAACAACAGAACTCAGGCGACGTTTCTAACCCATGGAGAAAGACATCGCGTTTCTGAAGCGAATGATAGCGCTTCCTGTGCCTCGAGCTTACTTCTCCGTCTAAATAACCCGATTTTGGGGGGGGGGGGGGGGCAGGCGGCACGTTGAGTCACGTGACCTATTCAGACCTCCCCCCCGCCCGCTCAGAAGACGGGGGCAGGGAGGAAAGAGAGGCGGCTTCTATTTCCATTGGTCTCTTTCGCGCCTTCACGGTCTCACATGACCCTCCCCCCCCTCCAACGGATCAGGCGTCGGCGGGCGGAAGTCCCTCTGCTCCCGAGGATCTATGGTTTCTTTGTAGGAGGCGCTCCCCGCTGAGTCTATGGTCCTCGCGGGGCCGGACGGGAGGCTGGCGGATCGGCGTGCACATTCCTCCCCCATTACCTCACACTCGGCGAAGGGGCCGCCGGGATAGTGGAGGACCTGCGCTCTGTGCCGCCTTGCTTCAGCTCTCTCTGTGTAGCCGGCGGCGAGCCCGGGATTCCTCTTCCGATTTCGCTGTGCGGTTTCCCCCCTTCCCCTCCCCCCGCCCCCGGGCCGCCTCGTCCTCCCCTGCCCCACTGGGTCCACTTCTCCGGCTCTCGCCCGCCTCGGCCCATGGCTCCATGAAGCGCGGGGCAGTCGAGGTGGTGGCGGCGGCGGCGGCGCTGGTGGCGGCGGCGGGGAGGCAAGAGCAGGAGCGGCGGCGGCGGCAGCGCTGGTGGCGGCGGCGTTGGTTGGGCTGAAACGGCGAACTGGGAAAGGGAGCCGTCTCCGCTCCGGGCAGAGAGAAGGTGGGGGCTCTCACGTCCTCGCCGCGGGGGGGGGGCTGCTCAGATATTACCCCCCCTTGCGGGCTCACCTCACATTCCCCTCAACCCCCCCGGGCTTCATCCTCCTTTGCGCCGCTCTCGCTCCTTGTCTCTTCAGGTCTGGACTGTGGGGCGTCCCTCTTATCTCTCCCCCCTCCCGCATCTTCCTCTTCCTCGCGTCCTGCTCGGCAGCCTCCCCCCCCCCCCGCTTTGTTGCTTTCCCCACGCTCGTGCACGGGGCCCTTCAACCTACTTATTCGCCGACTCCCGGCGTGGTGCAGCGGCTACAGACCGGGGCTTTGGACCCGGTTCAAATTCTCGGTTCACCCGCCTGGGTAGCCTTGGGCAAGCCCGGCTATCCTTGTACATCTGTTTTGAGGATAAATGAGACATAATATAATACCTTGTTACGGCGGCGGAAATGCTTATGGAACAGGGCTAGTCACGTCCTCCTCTTGCATTCAGTACAGTCACGTAGGTCGTCTCTTCGCTCCTAAACAGGTTTACTCAGCTATAAGCTCCGTTTCAGTTCAGTGGGACTTGGTGCCTAGCGTGTCTTTTAGGATTGCAGGCTGTAGTCTTTTATATTCCTTTGCCATAAGGTCCTGTGTATTTGTACCATCCTGTTGTGTCCAGCTGGGTTTTTGCTTCCAGATAAGGAAGCGTAGGATTGTGGTCTTAATTAGGAAGTAAAGTTCATTGGAATTAGGAAGTAAATTATTAGGAATTAGGATGTAAAGTGCATTTTGGAATATATATGCTTGCTCTGATGGTTTTCTGAAACTATTTCCGTAAGACATTTGACTGTTTTGCCCCCATCGACTACTCCAATAAGTGTGTCTACCCTTTGCTGTGTCTTCCTGTTTTATCTTCTCTGCAAGTGTGGCTGATGTGCTAGAGGAGATAATTAGCCATGCTGGTGTATTCTATCCCAGTGTCAGTGTGGTCTTAAACTAAGTGAGCTAAGATGACAGTACATGTCTGGTGAGGATCATCTGTAGAGGTTCTCCTGGTTATGCCGACATGCATCCATTTGAAAGTGTATGTTTTCTGTAGTGCCACACGCTATGAAATGGTCTCTCCCCATCACCCCCACCCCAAAATAAGGCACACGCCAACAGTAAAGCAGTTCTGGCACGTGCTGAAAACTTTGCTTATCATGACATTTGCTGGCTACTGATGCCAGCCATTATAAGATTCTATAAGGATATTCTTATTGTCTGTCTGAAAGTATTTTAATGATTTTGATTGCATTTGTATAATATTTTATATTGTTGTACATTTCCTTGAGATGCCTCTGCCAAAGGCAGTATATAAATATTTTAATAAATAAGGCCCAAGCACCCTGCACCTAATAGTTCTAGGGTATTTCTTCCTGTATTAGCTCTTTCATTTTGCTTCTTTCACTATCTTTTGTGCACTATCTGTACAAAAGTTCCCCCACCCCATAAGGAAATACAGTAACATTGTCTTTCAATGGTTTCATAGCAGTAGTTTCTCTGAGTGCATGTCATAGTAGGAGTAAGATGGACGTTGGGTCAAGAACAGAAAAGATAGAAAAGCCCACATTTACTTTGTGTCTCGTACACTGTGTTAACCTAGTATGCCTCTTTCCATCTATTTCACTAGCAATGAGGTAGTGCATTTAGGTAGTGCAAGTCTAGTAGTGCAAGTCGTAGTAGTAGTGAGGTAGTGCAAGTCTAGTAGCTGATTCAGTGTTTAATTTTGATTCAGTGTTAATTCAGTGTTTAATTTTGCCTAGATATTATTTTATAGCCCTTTTTTCCTGAATGTTTTTTTTTCCAGATTTGGGGAACAGGAATGGGCCGTGAGAAAAGAAAATTCATTCCAGATATAAAATAGCTTCCCCTTCCACTTGTCCATCTCCCCCCTTGGCAATACAAGGTTTCTGCTTTCAGTAAGTATTATCTCAAGCATAATATGTTGAAACTTACGGCACAATGATGCTGCGAATACTGGTGACTGGTATTACCAAAAAGCATATGAAAGGGGAGAGCTTTACCCACCTTACAACCTCCAATGTTACTGTATTCTTTCTGCACCCTGCCCCAACCCCTAAGCTTGGTGTGTTTTTTACAATTGCAACCCAGTTTCAAAGTGATGCCAAGGTTAGATAATATCCTGTATATTTTGCAGCCCTGTTTCAGTAACAGAGCTCAAACTGAGATGAAATAGGGTGTTCAACCCAATAATTAGCAAAGCAATAAAATTATTTGATGTAATGTTACAAGAAATCGCTGCCTATAAAACCCTTTTTCCATATGCTGAGGTGACTGTAGTCGGGTGGGGATAGGATGGCGAGTTAATTGTTGGATAAAAAAAGAACTGAATAGGTGATTCATTGTTAAATTGTTTCTTTCTCTTTGCTGGTATTTACAAAATGTTAGCATCTGAAATGCACCAGCCAGTTTCATCTACATTTGCTTTCTGACCATTTGCACATATGGAATAATAATTTTCTTATAAAATCCCTTGCAAATATCATACATTCTGTGCATGCTTTGGATTGACTTCTGAGTAAATGCGCCTAGGTTTGTGTTGCAGTTCTGGCCAGCATGCTAACTAGGCCATTGACACAGGTGCAGCCACAATTGTAGAATTCTCCCTCCTTTTTCATAGCCATTGTATAACCTTCCATTTATAACTAACACTTTTCAGCCCCAAACCAATACAAGGGCATTGGTTTCAACATTCTCTTTATGTAAAGAAGACTGAGGCCTACACTCAACAGAGAAAATTGTCCTGTTCAGTTTTTAATTTGAATTTAAGATAGTAACATGCAAGAAAGTTCAAAATCTAAGGCTGAAGGTCTCATTTCTATCTGTAATCTGTGTTTTGTTAGAGGGATCTTTGATCAAACTCCTTGGTGGTTATTTGTATTTCAGTGATAATGGGCAAATTGCACTAATTCCTAAGAAAGGGTGGCAGCAGTAGACCTGCATATGGGAATGTCCAAGAAAGGAAGACTCACCCTCTTGACTCTACCAGGCTAATAACTAGCATAGGAGAGGTGATTGGCATACTGCCTTCTTCCTCCAAAGTATTTATGACACTGGGAGCTTTCTCCTACTCTTTTTGCCCCAGTATATACCTGTCTCCTGCTGGTGGGTATAGGGGCTAGCTTGTACTATCACTGCTGATCAGATTTTCCCGAGACAGGTGTGAGCAAGGGATGGATAGAAAGAATAGCCTCTAAGTTATAAGATTGCACATCTAGAAGATAGTGAAATGGCTGCAGCCTTTGTTCTAGCAAAAGGCCAAGTTTGTTAAACTGAATATTTTCAATATCTGGAAGACTTCACAGTTCCCTGTGCCTTAGGCCTTCTTGGACATAGTATTTTGCAAGTGAACTGAAACCCTAGGTTGAAAGCAAACTAAAATTGCAAGCATACAGTGAGCACTTTGTAGCACTGTGGCCGTTCAACCAATTGTATGTGTGATGATGTCACTGAGCACATCTGGAATGTTTTTCTTGGGTTTATCTAGCAGCATTCTGCCTTAATGCAAAGATAGTCCAGGTTGAGGACTACTCTCCATTCCTATTGCTGTATGAGGTACTAAAATACGCAAATGGTCTGCAGTTACATTTAACTTTTGGATCACATGTTGCTCATGCAAACTTCACGGTAATGTTCCTTTTCATAAATAAAGTCTACATGACCTTTGTAAAAAATGTCTTCATAGCTGTGCGCATCGGTCTGCTTTCTATTTAGTTTTCCAGTCTTGTGCAATCATATGTGAGCTTTCTTATGGAACTCGGGTTTTTAATGTGAGAGGTGTAGTTTTCTTACTGTGGAAAAAATACATCCTTATAATTTGCTTTTCTTTAAGTATAATGCTATATGTTGCATATTGTGTGTTTTGCCAGGGTTCTACAGTACTCCAGACAGCAAGTGCTGAATCAGGATGGGAAAAAGACGCTGTGTTCCTCCACTTGAGCCCAAGTTGGCAGCAGGCTGTTGTGGGGTAAAGAAACCCAAATTGTCTGGAAGTGGAACACACAGCCACGGGAATCAAGCCACAACCGTGCCAGTCTCTAGTTCAGGTCCTCTTCAGAACCACCAGCATGCAGATGGGGGCAATGGAAGGGAGAACGTATCAGATTTGACTTTATGCCCTGGAAACTCTCCAATTACGCGAATGAATCCCACTTCAGGAGCATTGAGCCCACTCGCCCGGCCTAATGGAACTGCCAACAGCACCAAAAACCTAGTGGTGACAGCGGAGATGTGCTGCTACTGCTTTGATGTACTCTACTGTCATCTTTATGGTTTCCCTCAGCCAAGACTTCCTCGATTTACCAATGACCCCTAGTGAGTAAATCCATGGGCATGGGAGGGAAACTGAAAATTCATCATCCAAAGTTCTTATGTTGTAGGGCTATTTGGAACACAGGTAAACTGTTAAGAAGGAATCTGCAGTGCTGTTTTGATGTTTGTAGGATGACATAAAATTCAAAGTGAAACTGTTTTAAATGGTGGAAGCATAGGTAGATTGATCTATATTAGGCAAACATTTAAAATGGGCATGCGCATCCTACGGGGCGCATATTCAAGCACTGGATCTTACAGGGCCTTTGACATTGTAGCACTCTCAGTAACTAAAGAAGGTTAAGGGATTGGGAGCAGGCCAAAGGATATAATGCTCCTTCGCTTCTCCAATGCAAATTCCCCAGCCAAAGCAAGCCTTATGGTAAAGGTTTATCATGACACCCATCTTATCCATAGTTAATGCTACTCCACAGTCGGTATTAACCAGACTTGAGATCAGAGGGGTCTGTTTTCCACCCTTAAAAGAACAGAGAAGGGTAGTGTTTTATACTGAAGTCCGATACCTTGTAGCTGTGTTATATATACTTTACAATATCAATATCAAATTCAATATCTTTCTTTGTTGCAATGAGAATCTTCACGTTTGCACAGCATAATTTGTAAGTGGCTCCATTATAACATGACATATTCTTTATTATTGAGAAAAGTTGCATTTGGTGTAAAGGTTATAATTGGGGAACTAGGAAGCAGGAAAACAGCTTTTAGAAGAGGTTTGAAGTGAAATGGAATGAGGAGGTAGCCTTGCTTAGTGTGGCGTAGGTTATGCAGTGCATGATATACCTTATACTTATTAAATGGCAGCTCTTTAAGAATATTATGAAGAAGATTGGAATTTGCTCCCCTAGAACGCCATTCCAATTTTTGCTCTAACTTGTTGTTTGAGTGATGTGAATATTGTGAGTCTCCAACAGAAAAAATATGTGGCTGCCTGCTAGAGCCAAGGGTGAAGCAGATATTTCAAAAGTAGCATGGCTGTTCCCGCATTTGGATCCCGTCCTTGAAAAGATAACTCGTGTCTTCTTAGCACTTCTTAGCTTAGATTGTGTTTTTCAAATATTTAGATCATTTGCCTCTAATGCAGATTTCACCGGAATTTTGTTGAACCATGACATGATTATTTTTTTGGTAAAGAGTATTTGCCCCACATAGCTGTCTTTTAAAACAAAAACAAAATTATGCTTCCCAGCCATAGGCCAGCCACCACTGGCTCTGCATGATCAGGGTTGGTCTTGACTCATGGTCTGAAATCTTCTATTTTCCTAGGAAAATGTATTGAGAGATAAATGACTTTAAGGGATCCAAAATTCCCCCCCCCAAAAAAAATCAGAAGCTTGATAACTTGATATTTAAGCCAATATATTTGCTGGGGAAATAGTGATTGATCACTTTTCCTGCATTATTTTCTCTACAGAAAGATTGGTCCAGTCTGGACAATTATATATTGGGTTAATAAGCCAAGATATGCCCAAAAATTTTACCCACGCATGCAACTTGCCCTTTATGGTGTACCTGAACACAAAGTGGATATCATCAGTTAACCATTTTTTCTCATTTTGTCTGAACTGTAAAACTATGATTACCAAGTCAGGAACAAGCCAGAAAATCAAACTGTTGTTGGCAGTTAGTTTAAGATCTTGGCTTGTTCTGAACCTGGTTGTGGGAGTTCCCAGTTGGAAGAGATGGACACTGTTGCTAATTGAAGACTTGTACCTTGCATTCAGAAACACCAATGAAGGAAGTGGCTGCTTGCATTGGTACCAGCTTTATTCATATCTTGGTTTATTAAGCCAAGATATGATCATCTGAATACAGCTAAAAATAGAAATATATATTTCTGAAGGTGATCATTGAAACCCAGCATTATCACAGTAACATCACATTATATGACATCTGCAGGCATATCAGAATGAGTGTCTTTGCCTGTGCTTTCTGTGGTACAAATCTGGATAAACTGGCTAGAAAAATCACATTATCCTAAATTCCTATAATCTGGAAGCTAGTGTTGAAAAATGCTGATTTCTTACATCTTCCCCATTCAGGAGCAGTATCAAAAGTTTGCTGCACATTCATAGGAATTTGAGTTTAATTTTTATAGCCGTACTGTAGTAGTATGTTGAAATTATGGGGGGTGGGGGAGAGAGAGAAAGTCAGCGAGTAAAAGTCCAGAGTTTTTGATTAGACTAAACAAGCATTTTTTCAACCCTAGAATTTGGAGTTAGTTTTTCTTGAGAGTGAGAAATCTCGTGTTGTTTGAGCCATCCCTTCATCTTGGCTCCCCTGATTTGCCCTCCCTTCTCTTCCAGAGATTTGTGCCTGTGGAATTAGCACAGGAACAGAAAGTGGATGTGGTCATTCTATCTTTAGTATTCACTTTTTTGTGTGTGCAGCCTAGCTGTACATACTCAGACCCCTGTTGAGAGGGAAACAAAACTTTGGAATAGTTTATCAAATAGCAACACAAGACCACAAAGGGGCATCCTGAGGAAGTGGCATCTTAAAGATCAGAAGTTACCACCAGGTGGGTAACAATGCTTCTTACCAGCTAATCTGTGCTCTTATCTGTAAAAGTTTGGAGCAGTTAACTCAAGATCAATCAAAAGGATTACTAAAATTTTCACACCCTCTCCCCAGAACTGTCCAGTGTACAGTTTTCTGATAACAACATGCTTGGAACCAAAGTGACCATCCATCCATGACCCTTATGGTGCTTTTAGAGCCTCTTTGAAGTGGATTAGTCACTTCTAGACTGCTGATCAATGGAACCTGATCTGATCTCGTCTATCCAGAAATTAGTATGTACCAGCTGTGCACTCTGTCACTTCTTTTGTTTTTCCTGTAGTTTTGATGTGTGTAATATATCAAGAAGGCTGACTGAATGCTGGGCTAATCATCTCCCCGGTAGTGGGAATCTGAATACAGCAGCCAAGTTAAACAGTCTGCCCAAGGACATGCCAGCAGAGAGTGATATGCTTCTGCTGTGTCAGACTGTGTGTGTTGTTTTCTGCTTTAAAGGCCAAAGACTCTTAACGCAGAATGCCTTCCCCAACCTAGTGACCTCCAGATGTTTTGAGCTACAACTCCCATCATCCCTTACCATTGATCATGCAGGCTGGGGCTGATAGAAATCCTGGAAGGCACCAAGTTGGTGAAGGCTAGCTGATAAACTCATGTGCAGTGTGATACTGAACTGGCAACCCTGATTGCCTCTCTTATTTGTGTACATAAGGCTGTACAGAGTCAACTACATAGAGTTCGACTTCTCCCTCTAAGATGAAAAAGCAGGCATCACGTGGAGGGAGATAGCACTACATATTTCAGCTTTCTTCAGCTTGGTGTCCTCTAGATATGTTGGATTAAAACTCCCATTATCCTTACAATCGGGCATGCTAGCAGTGACTGATGGGAAATATACCCCAGCAACACCAGAAGGGCACTGGGTTTGGGAAGGCTTGGTTTATTGCTCAGGTGCTCTCCTGGGGAACATTGCTGGTTGCAAGAGGTTTCATTTTAGTCACAAATATTTAGAACTTGAAATAACCTCCTGAATATTTGTGACCTAGGAGAAGCTTGTCTTTTCAGCACTTGATAAAGCTGTACTGTACTGGAATTTGCATTCCTTTAATACATCTCTCTATTCTTCCAACCTAAATAACCGGATGATGCCTCCTAGATGGTAGTACCTGTAATGATTTACTGGTACTTGGGTCCAGGAGAATCCTACACATTTAAATAAAACATTTTACCAATTGTGTCATTATTTTAATACTTGACCTGTTCCCTGTGTGGCTTTGTTTTTTGCATTAAAAAACAAGTGTTGATTCAATTTGTTTGATGAAGGGTCATGGATCCAGTTTCAGATTTCTAAGTATAGGCGTGGCAGATTTGTTGGTATGAACAATACCTGAACTTACAGTAGTATAATTTATTAGGCCAGCCGAAATATCCCAAAGCTAGTGTTCAAGCTTTCAGGTTCACCAGATCTCTTTTTCAGGCTGGATATTAAGTCAAAAGGGATGGGGGAAGATGTTGATGATTGTGATGAGAGAGCTCATGTCTGCAACTGAACATTTAAGATGGAATAGAGAAGATCCTAAATAAACTTACCGAGGAGTACTTAGCGGGGGCTTACTCCTCATGAAATCAGTTAGTGTTTTGAGATTTTATTTATTATTTAATTTTCCACAGTGCTTTTATTGTTGCAAGTGCATCTCTGTCACTGGAGGAGCCAAAACTGGATGGTGGAATGGGAGGATAGGAGTGGTGTCAAATTCTAAACACCCCCTGTGTCTACTATAGGTACATTAGCCTGGCATCCTGCGTTGCAGGGGCTTGGCCTAGATGACCCTGGAGGTGCCTTCCAACTCTACAATTCCATGATTACACCAACAAAAGAGGTGCAAGTCATAACTCAGTTAACCCATTAAGCTCAATGGAGACCAAGAAACTGCCCTACTCTGCCCTGGCATAGTATAGGATTCAAACTAAGTTTGCATTTAGTCACAGCACATCCCTACCAACATCTAACACCCAAACATAACTCAGATGATAGCATTTGCTGCATGGATCTGTACAGCTTTGGTTCCCGCATTAAGGGGGAACTTTGGTTATGGGAACTATGTAGAAAAAGCACCTGACATAAAAGAAAGGGAGCACTTGTCACGAACATCTTGGACTCAGAACACATTGCCGATACTTGTTGTCTTAGAACCCATACAGGTATATCGCCTCAGGACACAAGCAGCCAACAGCACCTCTCATCTGTAGCCAAGGATGCAAGAACAAAGCACCTTGAAGAGGTAAGCAAGGGGAAAGGGGAATCTTTTCAAAGTGTAACTAGTGCAACCTTGCTATATCTTGGCTAACCTATATTGGTGGAAGGATCCTTTTTCTCGTCATACCTAGAAACACCTTTACAAAGAAGCACAAGGCTAAACATGCAGAAAGGGGTGCCCTGGTGGCCATGAATATGCAAGGAAACACTATTAATGAAGGACAGACCCTAACCATTAACACATGCTCATGATTCTTTTTGTCATACAGGATCGTGACAGCCTGGACACATGGAACAGGACAAATGCAGTACCCAGAGTTCTGTTGTAACTCCCTAAAAGAGAGGTAGGTATTGTCTCAGTTTGCACACTTTCTCACTCAACAGAGGGAGGGAGGTTAAGGCTGAGGGTATTGGATGAGCACCTAGGTGACAGCACTCACTCAAATAGCCTCTTCACAAACACCTATTACACATATAGCTCCAGAGACTATGCTGACTATTACTTTAGTGCTCTCCGTTTGTCTCTTCGATTTTCCAGGTGCAGAGAACAGGACACATTCCACCCCCAGTGCCATGCAGATCTCAAGTGAAGCCTAAAGCAAGACCAGCAGTTACGACTATTGTGATTCTAGCCATATATATCAATCCAGCTACCTTGTAGAAAAGTGAGATTCTGTAAATTGAAATATCTGATACTGTGCAATAAAAGTTTTCATTTGCAGCAACAGGTGTCTTTGTTTTTTGTCAGTGTGGATGGCACTAATCCCATCCGCCAGTTCTCACTGGTCTCAAGATGGGAACTCTGACCTGGAAAGGGTTGGCTTATTATTAGAGCTCAGGGTCTATAATGGCTCCAATGCTCAAATGAAGGTAGTGGGTAGGCTCCTCAGAGTTTGCAAATGGCCTGATTAGTACAGTAAGTGAAGCAGTCAGTTGGCACTGAGGGCAAAATACATGATGAGGTCTGGTACAATAAACAGCAGCTAGCTAATTATGCCGATCAATTCAGCATTTTCCCTGATTGGATGACACAGCACTTACTCAGGTGTGCCAGTCTGAACATCTCCCAACAGTGACTGCTGAGAGGCTATATTAGTGGCTTGAATCTGGAACTCCTTGCATACTTTAGTAGAGCATTGGAGTTGCAGGCAGAAGGTTCTTGGGATCTCCAGGTAGAGCTGGGGAAGACTCCCTGCCTGAAATCCTAAAGAGCTGTTGCCAGCCATTAAAGACTGTAATGAACTTGGCAGTTCAATGGTCTGACATGTTATAAGATAGCTTCCTGTGTTCCTTCAGCTGTTCCGCAGGGTATGGGTTCCTTATGTAGTCCATATGCTCCTGATATAAATGGATTCTAATTCTGTCTATTCCTCGCTCTTGCATCTGACATGACTGAGAAAGGCCAGGCATATTGACTACTCCAGTATGAACAGTCCATCAGCTTTGCTTAGCCCATACACAAAGCACTTCCATTTCATCTTAAATCTGTTTAAACTGGACAAGCTTTTTCATCTTGCTTTCTTTCTCTCACACACATGCACACACTCTTTAGTTGTTATTTGCTTAATATCCATCCTGGAGAAAACATCTGGTGAACTAAAAAACTGGCTTGGTACTTGGTTGTCTCTCAGTTGTTTCTCACAAATATATTACACTCTTGTTGAATTTGGTTCTTTCAACATAAACATGTTTTTGTCTGCATTGTACGCTAGGTATTTTTTTAAAAAAAGGAATAGTATAATTGAAATGTATTTTTTAAGATAAAAAAATATTTTGATTACATTTCTGTACACACTGAGTGGGATTTTGTTCTATTAAATTGTTAGTGGGATGTAACATGGCATTTCCCTGCTAATTTTTTAATTCTAGAAATATCCAGATTTTTATCCATTCTGCACCCTATTAATTTTTTGGGCATATCACAATTCTTGCAACTTGTTCAGATTCAACTACAAAGCTGAATCTGCTCAAGAGATTTGCAAGTTCATTTGGAAAACCAGGTCTGATCTTTGGATCCATTTCTCTTATCTGGTGCACACATAACACTCAGGTATAGTTTGTTTAATGAACCACAAGTCTCATAGGTCAAACAAATCATGACTAGCTTCTCCAAAGTTTGGTGTCGTCCCCCCCAGCTGCTCTTTCTGTCATGCCTTTGTAGCCTGGTGAGGATTTGTGGTGCGGTGATTTAGGAGGGGTGCTGGGTTCACGCACATCACCAAGCCATAGTTAATACAAATCAAGTTTTAGAAGCCAATAAAAAAATACAGCTTTAAATCATTGTTGGCAGTAAACAAACCATGGTTAAGCTGCTAGCCAGGGTTCACACATAATGCTAGGTTATGGTTTAATAGACCATGGTTTAGCATTACGTGCAAACCAGCCTACTGAAAATTTATCAAATGCCTTAGTAGCCCAAAGCCAAAAAAATCATTTTCCCCAGCCACAGTCCCAATCCTGATATGCCAATCACAGTTCTCATCTGGGGCAAATAACAGCTGTGGAGAGGGGTGATTGGATTGGGACCATATCAGGGGAAGTGTATACTTATAATTGAATCAGAAAAAAATGGATGTATTTTTTTTAGTTTTATTCTGATTTGTTCTTTCATTGTGGCCCATCATATATTCTTTTAGCCTCCATATGAGATGCCACTTGAAACCCTGCTTATACTGCTTTATAAGTTCTACTCAGTGGTTTGTGGCTGGAGCAGTAACTGAGTTAGGCATTCTCAGTACTAGAGTTGCAGTTTGCTCTCTAATGTCATCCTGCACACTGCCTGCATGTGACTTAAGTACTTTCAGAATTGAGGCAGGGAATACTGTGGTCTTTTAGCATAAGCTTTATATGCAAAATAAGGAACGTTATTGGTACGGTGGTTAGCACTTGAGGTTAGAAAATGTTACCTCCAATTTTGTATGCATTGGGGAAAGAGAGATATGAAAATGCTAGAAGAGATTTGAAGGTGTACCTATCTATCTACCTGCAACCCAGGATAACACTTCATGTATCTGATAGTGGACTGTAGTCTGTGAACGTTTATGACATAATATATTTGTTAGTCTTTAAGGTGCCACAAGATTATTTCTTGAATTATCCTCGTTGAGATAACGTGGGGGCTGCATCCCAACATTTGTGACTTAATTATTTACTGTATTTTTACTGGTGGGATCTGTATCTATTCAGAGCAACCTTTATTAAGCTAAAATACAAAATACTCAAATAAAACAGCAGAGGGCATAGCTCTCAAAAAGTACTGCCTTTGGAAAGAAGACAAAGATAAGAAAACTGAACATTTCAGAGTTCAAGGGTGACTACAGTAAAGGCCTTGTCCTAAAAGCAGATTTGTCCCAAGACTACTAGAAACCAGATCAAAATGAATCCAGATAATCAGCTTCATCCAGGAGTCACAAGAGTTATCTATCCCCTACGCAACCATGTTCCCCCAAAAAACAAATTTGAGACATATGCTAGTTGTGTAAGAATAAAAAAAAATGTTTATTATGGAGAGGCCTCACAGCCACCTTCAGTGTAGCTAAGAAGCTCTTCCACATTTGTGGACAACGATTAATTTGTAATAAAATTAAGTGTGAAGGGTTTGGGTGGTTTAACCTGGAAAAGAGATTATTAAGAGGTAATATTAAAATATTTGAAAGGTTATCGCATAGAAGGTGCAGCAAATTTATTCTTTTGCCGCTTCAGAGTGTAGGACCTGAACAAATAACTTCCTATCGGCTTGAGCTGTTTTCTCAGAGGCTGGATGGCCACCTATCAGGAATGCTGTAGTAGTGAATTATTTGAAGATGGAGTTTTTGTGTTATGCATTTTCAGTCCACTCTTTGTGACATGGAAGACAGGGCGAGACAAGCGACTTCGGGGCTGCATCGGAACTTTCTCTGCCATGAATCTTCACTCAGGACTCAGGGAATACACATTAACCAGGTAAAGACATCATCCATACTGCCTCACTTCTGATGGGAAACCAGGCACAGTGGGCAGCAATGTTGTGATTTCCTATGTCTTGTCTGAGGCATCATGTATATCCTGCTGTTCAGGCAGATGTTCTCCACCAGAATTTTCTGCTACCCAAAATTAGAATTGAGGAGTCACTGTTGTAGCTGACTGCATATTGTACTATGGCTTCCAGTTAAACGGTACACTGCATTCTTTTGTTTGGGGCTGAAAAACCATCTTCAAAGCATGGTATGTAAAGTAGCAGTTTTGGATGCAAGCATGTTCTAGCAGTACTTTGATTAGCAGTGCACTGGATTCCTATAACCTACAGGCACAATGTAAGTTAGTGGTTTATTTATTGTTTTTACCCATGATGGGGGTTTCAAGGGTGCACACCCACTTTGCAAAAGCACCCCTCCCCCAGGGGGAATATGGTTGGAAGAAGACATAAGGCTGCAAAGCAGAACCGAATGGCAGGCAGCAGCCCTGCTGCTGAGATAGGCAGCCACGTCACTAGGTGGCCAGTTCGCTTGAGCCAGAAGGAAGCCTCATTGTGATCAATAGCCTGCATAAGGTTAACGGCATGCTCGTTACTAAGGCAAGGTATTTTCTACTAGCATCAAATCCAGTTTGTCTGGGTTCTTGGCAGAATATGAGTGTTTTGGGGAAGCATTTCAATCTCTTCCCATTTCATCATTGTAATAGTCATAGACAGAAATCTTAGTGCATGGCTCTACCTTTGGTTTATCTGGTGTTCCATTCTGTATTTTATTTAATTCTCCATGTAATGTGCTTAAACCTGTTCTGACCTAAAGTGATGTCCCTTGTCCTGGGATGAAATGAGGCTGCAAATGTAAGAAAATGCTTGATTTAAACCTTATGGTGCTTGTTTTTGGTTGTGTGTGTGTGTTCTGTTCCCCTTCTATAGTGCACTTAAGGACAGCAGGTTTCCACCCCTGACTCGTGAGGAGCTGCCTAAACTTTTCTGCTCTGTCTCCCTCCTCACTAATTTTGAGGATGCCACTGACTACTTGGATTGGGAGGTGAGAACAGGTGCATTTGGATCTCTGCATCACTGTCTCATACCATTTGGGTTCGGGTTAGTATATGGTAATGTGTCTGTTTTATTATCAGGGTAGATTGTGGTTATATAGCTAGAAAAATGAGGTTGGAAAGATGGAAGACTGACAAAGAATGCAAAAGTGGAATAATATATCAATATTACTTCAGTTCAGCGTATGAGAAGGGAAGATAATTATTAGACTAACGTTGCAGTCCTAATTCCACTTAACTGAATTCAACAGAAGTCCCATCAAAGTTCCTGACATGATTAGGATTGTACTGTTCAGGGTCATCCTGTGCACATTTATATGAAAGTAAATTTCATTAAACGCTTTGGGACTTGCTTCTGTGTAACAAGCATAAGACCATACTGTTATAGTGGCATATGGGGTGAAGGACATATATTTTACATTTTGAAATAGTGGGGCTTGCTGAAACTAATTAATTTGGTCTGCCTTGGAGAAATTGCCTCTGGGGCCAAAAGAGATGGCAGTACACAATAGAGTTGTCCTAGGAAATGACATGATATCCCAGATGCAAGAAATGGAAGCAAGGTGGAGGCCTTTATCCTGACAAGGTTGGACTGCTGGTAGGATGCATGGCAGCTGGAAAATGTTTTGTACATTGTTACAGGAACTACATCTCAGTTGACGTTTATGTTTCCATTGCTAGGTGGGAATCCATGGAATCAGAATTGAGTTCATCAATGAGAAAGGTGTCAAACGCACAGCAACATATTTACCTGAGGTTGCTAAGGAACAAGGTGAGTTTGAAACAATCTACACTGAAGGAAAGTGGTCTAAATATCAGGATTTGGATTGTGGATTTTGGCTTATACAGCAGCTGTGGAGATCACCTAAAGCCATTAATTATCTATGGCTGAATTATTTTAAAAATCTGCCCTTTAAAATGCTCAAAAGGTACAGTGCTAGTTATTCATTCAATGGCACATGTTTTTCCCCCTAAGACCAACCATGTCTTAAAAGCAATTGTCTTTATTACTGCTAAGACTTTGGTGTTCTTCCTCCCATCCCCTTGCCATAAAGAATGCCTGGCTTAGTTTACTGTTGAATCAGGTTTTGCCCTTCCGAGTTTTTTTTCAACATTGTGTGTGGGTTTCCTCTTCAGCTTCACCTGATCACACAAGCACAACGTCAGATGACCCTTCTATCCTCCCTCAGCACTAAGTTTTGTGCTGCAAACATGGACAACAGTTGAAGAATGAGCAGTTGCCACCACTGTAATTGTTCAAAACATTTCTTCCACCATTCAGAGGATCACATCTCCTCCTGGAATTGAGTCAAAAGACCAAAGTGTAATTCATTAAATCAGGTCTCCGCACTGCACCATTACTGGAGAGTAGTGGATTTATACTGTGTTTGATGTGCAGCTGTGTCTTACTTTGAAAATGTGACTAACTTGATTGCTATATATGACTAAAATAGGATAATTGGAAATGTCATATGACTTTGTTGACTAAATTGTTGTTTTCAGTTGGAACTGAATTTGTTGGAACAGTTGGAACAGTAATTTGAACTTGCTTATCTTTCTTTTGAGAGCCTATCCCTTTTTCTTGAAATGAGCCTGTATTTAGTTCACTGCTGCTTGCTTTTTTTTTTAACAGATTGGGATCAGATTCAGACAATAGACTCCTTGCTCAGGAAAGGTGGTTTTAAGGCTCCAATTACCAATGATTTTAGGAAAACTATTAAACTCACCAGGTAAATGACATATTTTACTTTTTGGTAGTTGTCAGCAACTAAAGTCATTACTACTTTCATTGCTGATGGTAAGTTTTAAGATTGCTCTTTGTGCTCCAGATCCTGCAGTTTTCTGAATTTCCTCACTGCCCCCAACAGTGGTGCCTAAACCTTGTTGTTTTGTTCAGTCATTGTATTTAAATTGTTGCTTTTAATTTTCACAATAACAAATACTGGCTGCCAGAGCCAACTTTGGTTTTGCCTGGGCAATGTGCACACCCACCCACCCACACACCCACACACCCAGGTTACTGGGCTGGCTGGGACACACTCCTCCCCACTGCTGGCAGTGGTGGCTGCTTTCTTTTTCTCTGCCATCAGTTACCATTTCCTCCTTTGTATGCTTTCTTTTTGGGCCCACTGGTGTGATGGTTAGGCAGCAAGACGAGATGCAGCATCCACTTCCAGCTCCTTATGCCTGGAGGGAGAGAGTAAGGAAGCAAATGGAAGCCACTCCTGCTTCTCACCTCTGCTACCAGCAGATTTAGGCAAATAGGAAGACAAAGCAAGCACAGAGGAAAGGAGTGAGTGAGGGATCTGGCAGTGAAGAGAAGGACCTGCCATCACTCTGCAGCCATTTAGAAGGGCTCCAGTCGGCAATGACTACTGAGCCCCTGTGGATTGTGGGCCTCATCCGTATTAAGCTGGAATTGAAATAAATAATTTGAAAGGTTAAACAATTTTTGTTGCTACAACAGAATTCCGAATACAGCTTTTGGTGATTTGCTGACTTTGTTTCGTTGACAAATGTATTTTTTTTTTAAAGATGCTTTTTTCTTTCAGATACCGCAGTGAGAAGGTGACAATCAGTTATGCAGAATACATGGCTTCTCGTCAGCATTGTTTTCAGAATGGCACTCTTCATGCCCCGCCCCTCTACAATCATTACTCCTGACACAAGGCTGCATGACCAGTCCCGCCCCCCAGCTACCACTAACGGCTATGACATCATTGGGGCAGATGCCTCCTCTTCCTGGTCCAGTTACTTCTATTACTGCACCATTTTATGATGCTAGCTTCCGTTGCCAAGTCTGCCTTCCAGCTGACTGAGGGATGGGGGATACCAGTGAGTGCAACTGAACTTCAGGGGCCCATGCCTTTCCTCATCCTTCCTTCAGAATGAGGGTTCAGTTGGACTGAGGCTCCAAGACTAACAGTTGCAGTTGGGTAGAGAGAACCTTGAGGAACGGCAGTACCGCTTCAGATTGCTCTGTGTGTTAAATTGCACTGTGTTCATTTGAATTGTTAATTGTGACAGCCCCCTTGATTAAGTAGGAGAGTTCTCCTGGCAGTCTGGGCAACGGAGTACAACAACATATTTTTAGGTTATTTTTAATTTTTTTAACCTCTGATATTTATCTACCATGAGCTGATTAGTCCTTATACACCCCAGGCAAGCAGATGACGTGACGCGTTACAAGGATGTATGTCAGCAGAGATTCCTCCCTCCTCCTCTTCGCAGAAGATGGCAATTGAAAGGGGAAACAAAATTTACTGCAGATGAAATTTACTGCGTGCACAAATCCAGGAGGGTTCAGTTCTCACATCTAGCTGCTCTTGGTTTTGACAAAGAAGGAAAGTAGCCCACTAGATAGGACAGTAATGCATAAATGAAGGTGAACTGCTCTGGGTTATGTTTGGGAGTAGCTTGCGTTTCCTTGTCTCCTGGAAGTACAATCTCCCTCTCCTTTGGGGTTTTTCCCTGGGTTTCTAACTTGAAATACAAGCAGCATGGTCTGCTGTTGGATTGGGGCTGATATTATTCCCCACAAAGCCATCGTTAAAGCAATTCAAAAAGGACATGAAAATTGTGTATAGGAAACACTCCATGGGACCTGTGTTTAACTGGCAGCAGTTTTATTTAGCATGACCCTGATATCCAGGTAATGAAATACACAGTAAATGTTAGCCTTTAAGTGGTTATCTAATATAAGTGCCATCGCTGCACTGGTGCTTCAATACTAGATGCATATAATTGGAAGTCATTCAGATTGATTTAAAAGTATATAGCCTCCAGATAAGTGTACTTAGAACTGGAACCTAAGGAATATTTTCAACCCATACCTCCCCAACCCACCCCCGCAAAGTTAACTCACAACCATGTTTAACTATCCTGTGGATTTTAAAATTGCCCTTCCTATTGTTGCTGAATAGCCGGTACATCAAATCATAACTGGAAAGCTCTTTTTTCCCATTCAACTATCCTAATTCTCCTGTGTGAGTCACTATGTGTGTTATCATGAATGCAGGCATTCTTAAATGAATCCACAGGGACTATAAAATGGTAGTGCAGGACTTGTGGAAATCTTGGTAATCAGCATTGATAGATTAAAAAAAATACAGGTGGAGAGCACAGCATTATGAGAATTTGATACCTTATATGCAGTATGTGTAAGGACAGTAGCTTTTATGGAAGGCTTATTGGAAGCCAGGAATTATCTGGGAATTATCTTTTACTGTGGGATGCAAGTTTCCAGATTCTTGGTGAACATTGCCCTGGTGGGGAGGGTGAAGGGAGATTAATGCCTTCTATCTTGAAGCAAAGCCTCAAAGGCAGACTGAATAGATGTTGGATTACTGGAGAGATAGACATGAATAGCCCATATGAACTGGTGAGCAATATTTGCCAGTATCTGGCTTGGTTTCATCAAAGTGAACTGCTGGCTAGAAGAGGGCAATCATATTATCTTCCTGGCAAAAGGACTGTTCAGAGAATCTAGGAAGCCTCCAAATTACTTATTTTTCTACCACTATTCCTCCTGTCTCAGAAGAAAACCTAACCTTGAAATTTTGCTTGTCAATGAACACATATCTAGATGGTTATGGGTGGGAATGAGAGAGAGAGGAGCTCATATTCCAGATATCTGCAGTACTGCCCCAGCTTTGGTTTTGTATCAGATCATTTGTATGGATTACCACTTTTTTCCCTTCTAATGATGATGAAATGTGTTTGAATGTGAAGGGACTGTTTCATGATTTCCTGCTACTGAGAATAAATCAGTCTTCTTACAAATTAGAGTGATTTGTAGTCAATGTTCCAGGTGCCCTGGACTGATGGGAGATTGTAGATGGGAGAGGAGAGTTCAGCTGTGGTCATGCCATCCATCTCTGCTCTCAGACAGTATTGAAACATAGGGCTACACTAATTACTATTCAAGTGTTCTACTTTAGAATTTAAATTGTAAAGATTTTTTTAAAAGCAAAAAGGAAAAAAAATGGTGCTAATCTTTCACCCCTGAGCACATTCGGTGAGACTGGTCATGCAGGCATATAGTGCCAGGCTATTCAATATTGCTTTTTTTAAAAAAAAATGTTTGCCCTGTTACGTGTCTTCAACAGTGTATAGTGTTAATTATTTGGTTTCATTTTAATGGGTGTGGGAGTTCAGGAGCCAGGTGGGGACCTTAGTTGCCATTTTAAAGAACAGACTTTTAGGAGTGACTTGACCTACTTGGTTTAATTTAACCATTTCACTGAAGTAAGCTAAATTGGTTTTGGAATGAGAGGTGGCCTCATTCCCTGCCCTTATTTCCATCCAACCACCTAGTCTGTATAAATGGAAATGCCTCTGTTAAAGTTGGATTGTGGTGTTTTCTTGTACTAAGTGGAACAGCAAGCAGGCCATGAAGCACGAAATAGTCCTGAGAAATGGGTACATTCAGCATTGGTCTCATCATGGAGTTCAGTTACAGTATCTTTGAACAAGTGTGTTAGTTGTGTCATTCCTGCAAAATGTATGGGGGTAGAATAAGTCGTCTGCAGAAGATGACACTATCTCTGGCTCATACATAGCAGTAATGCACCAAGATGAGCCAACACTGATATTTGAGTGATGTGGGAACCAACAAAAAAGCTAAAAAGAGAACCGCCTGTTCTGGAGCCGTAACCAGTTGTATTTTTCAGCTGATTAGTGAGTAGCAGGATTGTATAAAGACCTTAGCAATAGTCTTCTGGTCTGATTGGGAACTGGCTCATCCTTAGCTACAAGCAAGTGCCTTTTGGTCTAGATGGGTTTATTTCAAGACAACTGTAGTTGGGAATCTTCCTTGCTGCAGCCATGTATCTTTAGTGTATGGTTTTTGTTTTTGTTTTCTCTCTCCAGCAGATAATGTCTTTGATCACTGGAGTCTCACTGTTCCCCCCACCCCTTTTCATAATGACAACGAGCCTATCTTGATAGAGGCATTTTGGTCAGAAAGATTTTATGGTCAGAATATCAGATCAGCAGAAAACTGCATCTGAAGACCATAAAGGCGAAGTAATCTGTACATTTCAACCAAAATTTTAAGTTTTGCACATAATTGTTTTCCCCGATTCATTGTTAACATTGCAGTCTTCATTGACTGAGTACTGTTTTGTTTGATTTCTAGCACCAAAATGAGTGACATTTTGGGGTTGTTATTTTTCTTTTGTTTTTCCTTTAAAAGCAAGGAATTTCTTTTGACCTTCAATGCAGAGATGTCAGACCAATTCTTTGTTATTACACTTGGTTGCCTCCTAGCTATATAACTTCTGGGTGTAAATCATTGAACTTTACCCTCTAATGAAGTATTGTAGAAAATAAATTGTAATGGATACATTTTTATCTTGTTCCTCTTTTATTGGTGTCTTTGTCGATTTTGACTTTTCACATTACAATCTAATACTAATAATTCATTTTGTGTTGTTTCTTTTTAATCCTACAAGGAAAATTAAAGTTGAACGGCAAGCAGTGTGGATTCTTTAACAAAATTAGGAAATGCTCAGAAGTAATGAGATTGGAACTTGTATTTTTTAAAAATTAAAACTTTCATGCTTATCTGGTTGTGGTGAACTGCCTGTTCTCATTAATTTGAAGATAAAAAGTGATTTCAGGGTGGTCGTTTTGAAATTGACATTTACCAAAATTATGTATGCAAAGTGCTTTAAAAGCACAGCTGCAACATAAATGCTGAGAAAGGGTTTACAATTCTGTATCACTTAGATTATGCATAGCAATAGTCTTAACTCAATATATCTGTAAAAAAAGAAAGCTGAGCCTGTCAGACTCAATAGGTAGCAAGTGCCATAGGTATTTCCTTTGTGTTTTGGTAAAGAATGCCAGCAGCAGTCCCAGATCAACTTCAGTTGATAATACCAACCAAAAAATCCCAACAGGAAAAGACTATTGTGATTTTATATCAATTAAGTGTTAAGCGGTTCTTTCTTGCTTGAGGGTGTTTGGCCTGAAGACAAGTACCACTACCTGTCCTGATGTGCAGAATGAGCAGTAATGCTTCTAATGGAAGGATACATTCTGCTTTACTGCTGCTGCATTGATTCGGAATCAAACATTCTCTAATAGATTATTCTATCCCTTAAAGCACTTAATCTTATAAGACAATTGGATTCTACTTGGTCAAGCTCTGGAAAGTTTTGTTTTTCAAAACTAGTAATGGTGTTTTGTGATCCAAGTTTCCACCTTCCCCAGTGCCATGAATGAACAAGGTGAAATGTTAAAAGTGAGTAAAGAGTGTTTCATCAAGCTGCTAGTCCAAATTCTTTGACTCTAATTTCTCATCATAAGCTACAATATATATTTAGGACCTGTGATTTACGTTACTTTTGCTTCAAACACAGACCTGGATAAGCCAGCAGGAGTATTATCAGTGGAAACTCTTCATTGTTCACAATGGGAATGACCCATTGGCTTCAATGCCTCAGAGTTACCATGCAGAATTTGAGCCTGGTTATTGCCAGGGTGGTCATGGCTATTGCAGAAAGACTCCTCATTTATGTGTGACTCTTGGATAACAGAGAACATTTGTGAATTCACATAAACAAAATGTGAATTCTGGCTTGTATCAATTGATAGCTGGATTTAAACCTCTCGAGCACATTGCGTGCATGAGACACAATATCCAGTGTACAGGGCTATTGATGATACTATTTAATGCACATTTGACCAACAGACCTATTCTATACATGTTTACTCAGAAGTTAGTTCCACTGGTTTTTAAAGTGGGCTTATTTCCAAGTAGGGCTGGAACAATAGGGTACTCATAATGCAAACCTAAACATCCTAAGGATTGAGTCCCACTGAACACATTGGGAGTTACTTCTGAGTAAAAATGTTTAGGGTTGTCAGAATTACTTCCTGACCCTTTCCTTGTTTAAGTAATCATATAAATATGCATGTTCTTGGAAATTGTAATGCATCATGCTTTCCTGAACTCAATGTTATTACAGGTGCACACTTGCTCAAAGGCTGCAATCCTAACCCCACTTACCTGGGAGTAAGCCCCAATGAAATCAGTGGCACTTCTCAGCAGATATGGTTAGTTAGGAGTGGGATTTAAATGGAAGAATTGACATCTGGGGGGGGGATTACCAAAAGGCGGCACTTGGCACTTTGTCCTGGATCTTAGACAAATAGGTGTTTTTGTTTAAAAAAAAGCTCAACAACTTTTGGGGTGTCCTGGCAACCCTACCTATTGTTGCCTTTGACTGCACTTAACTGTCCAGAGGTCCTTTACCTTTTTACCTATTAGTGATTCCTTCCACTCCCATTCAGAGGGAATTGTGAGTTAAACTCCTTAGGGTTATGTTAACAACCTGAATAAGTTTCTGCTCAATGAGGTGCATGCTCACTTGGTTTTTTTTCTCTCTTATCAATGGGTAATGCAGAGAGTGAAATGTGTTTGCCACTTGTCCATTTTTCACCTGGACAGTATAGAAATTGCAGATCAATATTTGACGTCTAATGGGTGTCTTGACTGCAAAAAGCAGTTGGGTTAGGGCAGGGCTTTCACTTCTCTGCCGTCACTTTAGCAGCAGTGGTACTGCTCAGTTCCAGTGGCGTAGTTAGGGAAGGAGAGAGAAACAATTGGTTAGGGCAATGTTTGGGTCTTGACTGTCACTTGGATGCACCAGGGCCTGTGGTTGACGCAGCTCTGCTTGCTGGCCTAGAAGTATTGAGGGGAGAACCCCCTCCCCCGTATGCGCCCTAAGCGAATCAGTTGCAAACTAAGGAAGGTGAGCTTGAAGCAGGCAGGGACCCACAACAAACGGGGACCCTTCCAATGCCACATTCTCCCTCTTGCCATCCTCCTGGCCTACCTGCGGGTTCTGAACGTGGGTCACACTGTTGCATCGAACCCCACATTCCGTTTACGAACCGGCTCCCTGCCAGCTAGGTAGTTTTGAGGAGGGATGGGGGCCGTGAGCACACAACACGCCCCATATTGCAGGACTCCTATAACCCCTGACTATCGGCCATGGCGGCTGCGCTTGCGGGGAGTGCAGTCCGATACCTCGAGGGCTGCTTATTACCCCTCGCGGCTTTAAGCGCCTTTGGGGGGGCTGCCCCATTTCCTAGCCTGCAGACTTTGGGTACTCCAGACGCTTCAGCGGGATTTCAGCTCTGCGCTGCTTCCTGGCCTAGAAACCTGCTTCCTTGTATCAGAGGAGCGCTAAATATATACAAATATTATTTTTATTTTTTTGATGGGGGCGGGCGATCGGCCGTTGTCTGTCGGGTCTGGATTCATTTACTGACAGGATCTTGCTAACAATCGCGGGAACCGTGTAAACCCCACTGGATTCACGCTCCGCAATCCTGAACACACTTGCTGGGGAGTAAGCCGGCTGAACGTGGTGGGATTTCCTTCGGAGTAAGGGTGCCCAGGGCAACGCTGGGAGCGGGCGCTTTGAGGCTGCGCGACCCTATCGCTCTCCTCCGCGAAGCAGCTCCGGAGAGAGAACACACCATGTTCAATATAGCCCGACACACTTTTCTTCCTTTCTCTCTCTTTCCTTCAGCACAAACCGAGGCGGCATCCGGGCCGGCTCTTCCCCCGCCAGAGGGCGTCGCGGGCACCTGCTCAGGCCTCCTCCTTTCCTTTTCCGGCCGGCCGAGCGCTTCGGTTTTCCGGGGCTGGCTGAGGCGATGGCGGCAGGAGGCGCCGATGCTGTGGATGTGGAGGAGGATGCGTCCCAGCTCTTATTTCCCAAGGGTGAGCGGCTGGGCCTTCGGGAGGCGCAGGAGACGCGAGGCGCCCCTGGCCTTGTCCCGGAGGAGACCTCGGCTTGTGAGGGAGCAAAGAGGCAGCAGGAGTCTTGCCTGGAGGGGAGCAACATTCCTCATTCTCGGCTGTAAAAAGCGTTCGTGTATCGCTAGCCTCATTCGCACCATACGTTGAAAGCGACATGGTACCGCTTTAATAATAATGATGATGATGATGATGATGATGATGATAATAATAATGGCTCCCCGCCCCCAAATAATTCGGGGAGCTGTGGTTTGTTAAGGGTAATGAGACTTGTTAGGAGACACCCCTATTTCCCCTCACGGAGCTGCGGTTTCAGAGTGATTTTAACCAACAGTTCTTCTTCACAAGGAACTCTGTAAATGGTGGCTCTGGATGGGGGAATAAGGGTCTCGGCGCCCTTAGCAAAACTACAGCTCCCAGAATTGTTTGCGGGAAGCCCTATCCGCTTAACGTGGCACCATACTAGTTTTAAATGCACGGTGCGAATGTGTCTACTCTCTGTTCCTGTTGTCCGAGGCAAGCGCTGCAGCAGTTTTGAAGTTGAGCATCTCTGGCCCTTCCCTGGATGGGAGGCTGTTTAGTATTCTGTTGTATGCTACATATACAATTGTTGTATAAACTGTAGATAAATATATGGCTCTGTTTCTGGGGTCCATGCCATGCAGTTACTTTGATTGTTGGTTTATAGTTCACACTCTCAGAACAGCTGCCTTGAGCAAGCAACAAAACAGTATGTTTGTTTTGTTTGCTTTTTGTCTTTCAAAGCAGCATAGGATGCCTTCTGTGTTCCAAAGCAATCTGAGGCCCTTTTTTAAGATTCAAGTTTTATATGTGCTAGAACATTGGAAATATTTTCACATTTACATGTGTGTTGAAGTATTCTGGAGAAGCATGTGACTGTACTGCACAAATAATTGAGCTGGAGAATGATCTAGTTTTGTAAATTTGGCAGGATGGGCCAGATAATTATTATTGTCTTTACATCAAGAGGTATAATTTGTGTATAACTGGATCTTAATATGGGGTAGTAGAATAGATGGTACCACTTTAAGCACGTATTTGAATGCTCCCACAGGTACATCAAAGAGACGATTGAGCTATAATCTTTCTTTCATATGTTTTCTCAATGGAGTGAGTGGGTTTTATGTGTCAGATCATTCAAAAATAGTATTCTCTACCCACCACCTGAAGTGCTACTACCATATGTGTACCCCGCGAGGCTTAAGTGTTACCAATGGTGGTGTGTTTTTCTGTGCCTTTTGAACTATCAGTTTCTTCCTCACCCATCTTTGCATATAGAATTTGAGACTGCCGAAACCCTTCTAAATTCAGAAGTGCACATGCTTCTTGAACATCGGAAACAGCAGAATGAGAGTGCAGAAGATGAGCAGGAGCTCTCAGAAGTATTCATGAAAACCTTGAACTATACTGCTCGCTTCAGCCGCTTCAAAAACCGGGAGACTATTGCTAGTGTCCGCAGGTGAATAATTTTTCAAATAAATTATTTTTCATGGGCTAATGTGGGAGTGAATGCAAAAGAAGCTGAACAAATAAAACCTTTTCCCGAATGCAAATACATTTATTTCTAGCATTAAATGAAGGTATTTTGTAAGTTGGTTTTATTTCACAATTGAAAGTAATGTGCAGGTGTGACATCTGTTGAGTCCTTTTAGCATCATATTTGCATTAAGTGGAGTTTAGCATAGCTTCTACATGTGAATGAAGAATAGCATTTCCTAGACTGCTCTTCATCTAAAGCCCCCTGGTGTGCTTCAGATTTAAAAGTCTATAACATGTAATGTTAAACTATAGTTTAATGCTATATGTATGACCAGGAATGAGCTCACTCAAGTCTTGGATTTGCATGCTCCCTCTTCCTACAGGTGAAACTCGAAAAATTAGAATATTGTGGAAAAGTTCATTTATTTCAGTAATTCAACTTAAAAGGTGAAACTAATATATGAGATAGACTCATGACATGCAAAGCGAGATATGTCAAGCCTTTATTTGTTATAATTGTGATGTTTATGGCGTACAGCTGATGAAAACCCCAAATTAACAATCTCAGAAAATTAGAATATTAAATGACATCAGCAAAACCAGGACTGCAAATAGAGCAATATTGGACCTCTAAGAAATAGAAGCATGCACATGTACTCAGTACTTGGTTTGGGCCCCTTTTGCATCAATTACTGCCTCAATGCAGCGTGGCATGGATGCTATCAGCTTGTGGCACTGCTGAGGTGTTATGGAAGACCAGGAAGCTTCAATAGCAGCCTTCAGCTCTTCTACATTGCTCGGTCTCATGTCTCTCATCTTTCTCTTGGCAATGCCCCATAGATTCTCTATGGGGTTCAGGTCAGGTGGGTTTGCTGGCCAATCAAGCACAGTAATCCCATGGGCACTGAACCAGGTTTTGATACTTTTGGCAGTGTGGGCAGGTGACAAAGTCCTGCTGGAAAATGAAATCAGCATCCCCATAAAGCTCGTCTGCGGAAGGAAGCATGAAGTGCTCCAAAATCTCTTGGTAGATGGCTGCGTTGACCCTGGACTTAATGAAGCACAGTGGACCAACACCAGCTGATGACATGGCTCCCCAAATCAACACAGACTGTGGAAACTTCACATTGGACTTCAAGCATCTGGCATTGTGTGCCTCCCCATTCTTCCTCCAGACTCTGGGTCCTTCGTTTCCAAGTGAGATGCAAAAGCTGCTCTCATCAGAAAAGAGATTTGGGGAGCCATGCCATCAGCTGGTGTTGGTCCGCTGTGCTTCATTAAGCCCAGGGTCAACGTAGCTGTCTACCAGGAGATTTTGGAGCACTTCATGCTTCCTTCCGCAGACGAGCTTTATGGGTATGCTGATTTCATTTTCCAATAGGACTTTGTCACCTGCCTAGACTGCCAAAAGTATCAAAACCTGGTTCAGTGCCCATGGGATTACTGTGCTTGATTGGCCAGCAAACCCACCTGACCTGAACCCCATAGAGAATCTATGGGGCATTGCCAAGAGAAAGATGAGAGGAGAAGAAGAAGAAGAAGAAGAAGAAGAGTTTGGATTTGATATCCCGCCTTTCACTTCCTTTAAGGAGTCTCAAAGCGGCTAACATTCTCCTTTCCCTTCCTCCCCCACAACAAACACTCTGTGAGGTGAGTGGGGCTGAGAGACTTCAAAGAAGTGTGACTGGCCCAAGGTCACCCAGGAGCTGCATGTGGAGGAGCGGGGACGCGAACCCGGTTCCCCAGATTACGTGACTACCGCTCTTAACCACTACACCACACTGGCTCTCATGAGAGACATGAGACCGAGCAATGTAGAAGAGCTGAAGGCTGCTATTGAAGCTTCCTGGTCTTCCATAACACCTCAGCAGTGCCACAAGCTGATAGCATCCATGCCACGCCGCATTGAGGCAGTAATTGATGCAAAAGGGGCCCAAACCAAGTACTGAGTACATGTGCATGCTTCTATTTCTCAGAGGTCCAATATTGCTCTATTTGCAGTCCTGGTTTTGCTGATTTCATTTAATAGTCTAATTTTCTGAGATTGTTAATTTGGGGTTTTCATCAGCTGTACGCCATAAACATCACAATTATAACAAATAAAGGCTTGACATATCTTGCTTTGCATGTCATGAGTCTATCTCATATATTAGTTTCACCTTTTAAGTTGAATTACTGAAATAAATGAACTTTTCCACAATATTCTAATTTTTCGAGTTTCACCTGTATGTGGCCTGGGGGAGAATTTTGACAGTATTTCATTTTCATTTGATAGAATCCTGACTTGTAAATGCATAGAAACCAGATTTTGTTATAAACCATGACATTTGGTTTATATGCAATAGCAAGCTGGGTTTCTTGGAAACAAAACTAGAGACTGCTGAAGTTCTCCCCCTGGTCATGCAGGCAGAAGAGAGTGAAGGAAGGAGCGTGAGAGCCTGAGTATAACTTGGGTTCATCTCAGTTCATGCACATAGTACTAAGCCATAGAATCTAGAGCAAAGCTTTCCTAATAGTGTCGCGACATGTTAGTGTGTCAGCTGCAGTGTGTAGGTTTGTCATGTGAACCCTCCCCATGCTCCTCCTGGGGCTGGAAAGGGGTTAGTTTAACTTCTGGTTTGCTAGTAAAACTGAATTACTGTGGCGCAAAATGATGCATATCTAGAAAGTGTATCATCAACATGAAAAGTTTGGAAAGCTCTGACGTAGAGCCATGAGTTCTTTCCATGTTATTTCTTTAGTTGATGCTTATGTAGTTCGTAGGATTATAACTCACAAGATTTGTCACTTTCAGTCTTCTAAGGGTAGGATTCAACATTCCTTCCGCTAGTCTAGAACTGATACAATTGCCTCTTAAGCTAAAGAATTAGCAACATTACTTATCTAGCCTAGCTTGGGCCGTACTTTGTTTGGTTGCATTTATTGGGCAGATGTACAGATCTCCACCACCTTGTACTAATCTAACTGGACAATATGGCTGAAGGATCTGATGCTGTGCTGATTTTGCTCTTCCATGTGGTAGTGATTGATAACTGGCACACTATTCCTAACCAGCATTGAGTAGGAAATAGACTAATACAATATGCAAATGTAATCACTGACTGCCAGCAGCTTCAGAGCCATAGTGGGAAAGGGCTTCCCTAATGGTGAACTTCCAAAAGGCATCTGATGGTTCAATGTGGAAAGCAGGGTGTAGGTGTAGATAGATAATTGAGCTGATTCAAAAGAGCTATTGTTTTTCCTTCTTCAATTAATTTTTCCTTAGTATAAGCATGATTCCTTCTAGAGCCCATGATTTTAAACTTTTGTCTCTTATCTACTTATTATAACTCTTGTACATGCTCGAAATCTGGAAAGTGTTCACTGATTCTGTTCACTGTTAGTGGCTGTGTGTGCTTTTATGTCAAAGCACTCAGATAAACCCTATGTTTCAAAGTTGTTATAGGCAATGGGTTGCCACTTGTCCAAGCAGTTTCTTCTTTGCCCTTTGGAACAATAACCATGTAATTCTGCATGTTTCCTCAGAAGTAAGTCCCATTGAGTTCAATGGGGCTTACTCAAAAGTATGTGGGAATAGAATTGCTGCCTAAATAGATGTGGAGTTGGTACTTACTTACATTTATTAAAAGCACTGTGAATTGACAGAAACATTTGGAAATCTAGTGGGTTCCCTCTTGTTGATAGGAATGCCATCCTTCTGAAATCCTAACCAGATTTGTTAAAGAAGTAACTTTCAGTTAAAGTGATCTATCTATCTATCTATCTATCTAGGAATACTAATTTTGGTGGAGTAAATAGTAAGCAACTGTTACTTTTTCTTTGAAGCAGGTTACAATATAAAGCCATGTATTTACTTTTAGTATTTTTGTGATACTTTTGTGTGATCTTTTCATAGACTATATATACCAGGCATCCCTAGCTAACAGGACCAGTGGTCAGGAATGATGGGAGTTGTAGTCCCAAAACATCTGGAGGGCCAAGTTTGCCTATGCCTGATATATGCTGATAAAAATAAATCCGTAATCCTTTTTGAGTAGCTGTACTGTTTTTTCCTGCAACTTCTGTTCTCTTCTGTATTCCATTTTTTACATACATAGTTTATTTTATTTGTTCCTGCAGTTTGTTACTCCAGAAGAAGCTCCATAAATTTGAATTGGCTTGTTTAGCTAATTTATGTCCTGAGACAGCTGAGGAGGCCAAAGCTTTAATTCCCAGGTGAGTCACCCCAGGTGAAAGGATTCACTTCATGCGCCAAAGGGTTTGTAAAGCATGAACAACTAAAAAGTCAGAGTAATGGTTCTACAGTTGGATTTAAGGTTAGCATACCAGCCAGTTAACTGGTCAATATATTTTCAATTGACTGCCTATTATTTGACCATGATCAAGCATCTCTTGAAGCCCTGCTGCCTATTTAGCTCAACTGTCTTTTAAAAACTGGTTAGCTTTTTCAATAATTTTTGATACTATGTTTTGTTCTTATTTCTTTTTTTAATGTAATTTATAGCTTTACCTTTGTAGGATAATGCCCAAAAGTACAATCCACATTTTCAGAAATCTTACCTGACATTGGCTACACTGAGACAATCCTCCAGACCATAATCAAATCAGATATGAGTCCTGTGCTCTTAACACTCCCCCTCACCATGCAACTTAATACATTATTCATAGTTTTTCCCTTTCAGGAAACTTGAGCATCAACTCTTAAAAAAGAGAGAAACTTAACCATCGCTTGCTTCTGTCTTTCAGCTTAGAGGGTCGGTTTGAAGATGAAGAGTTGCAGCAGATTCTTGATGACATTCAGACCAAGCGAAGTTTTCAGTATTAGAAGGAACAACCAGATCCTCCAAACTCTGAACATTGAAAAAGATAAATCTAAAATCATTCATTTGTTTCTATACCTCTCTGGACCAGTCCTGACTATCTCTCAATAGAAAAGAGAAGCTCATGTAGGGTGATGACATGCTGTTAAAAAGGGTTTCTTAGCTCTTTGGACTTGTTGAATGTTGAGAGAGTTGGCAAGACTAATGTGGTATGAGCCACAGAACTCTGAAAAGTTTGCCTTGATTAGTTTAATATTTGTTTCCAAACTTTGTCTTCCTCCTGGGAATATACAAAATGTTTATGGGGCCAGACAGAATGAACATATGTGGCCCATGATAGGAGAAACTTTTCCTATTATATTTTGAGAATTGTAATAGTAGAATCAGGATAGATAAATTTGTGTGGTTTTTTGATCAAAAGCCTGAGTTTTTCTTTTAACAATAATTTTGTACAATTGTTTGTGAATTAAAGTATAGTATTTCTAATGAGGGGTCTGTGATTTGTGAATGTTCTCATTCACTCATTGTTTATACAAAAGTCCTGTTGTCTTGAGGAAATACTCTGCAAGGGGTGGATGAATACAAGGAGCTGAAGGAATTTGTTGGATTATTAAATTGCATATAGTATTTTTGCTGTATGTTGGTAAATTGATGTAAAGTTATTTATTGTATACATACATTGCTATAAACAATAATTGCACATACAATGTATGTATGTCGGAGAGAGAAAAATAATACTTTTGTGTTTTGGGAAGTGTGACTGGAAATGTCAAACTGGGTGAATGAGCTACCATAAGTAGCACTTCTTAGTTTTGTAGTGTGAAAGGAAACTGCTGGCAGAACCATGGGGCTCATAAAGGTAGAAACATGATCCATGCCCTACACTTAGGCGGAAATGCACTAATGTTACAGAAATTGCATGTTACAATACGTCAGTCAGCTGTCATAAATGATAAGATGTCCCTCATCCAGCTGGCAACAGTGACTGAGGAATGAATCAGCTTACTCCATTTCCTCCACCTGCAGAATCACTTCTAATGGTATTTTATTTATTCATTACTTTTATTTATTAACATCATTTATATGCCACCCAATAACAGTAGCCTACAAGCATTAAAACATTAAAATACAGCAATAAGCTGTGAAAGGTTTGCTGAACTAGTCTCTTTACTCAAGCCTGACCAAGTGAATAAAACAGGGGAAAGTCAGGAGTAATAACCTTAGCATTTAGTAAAAAATATCAGTGTGTGCAGAAGCAAACAAGCTGAAGCAATCTGATACATTTTGATTAGATTTTTCTTTCTGCTAGACAGTAACCAATAATCATCACTCACAAGCTGCAGCAGTGGAATGATTACACTGGAAAAGCTTATATATGAAACCACTTGTTTTTGTACCAAAAACCTAGTATTTAATTTGTCAAGGAGTGTCAAGATTGGAGTGTCAAGATTTTTAAAAGACGTAAAACCTTGTCAAAATTTGGTCTGATCTCAATCCACTAAGAATCACATTGAAGTTTTTTTTTTTGTTGAATCTTGTTTGAAAACTACTCATGCAATACCACCAGTCATAACAGCTTCCATAAGCTTTTTGTCTTGCGCCTGAAATATTTAAGGTTGTGGGTTTTTTGTGGGGGGGCTGCCCAATTGTTCTGCGTAATGATTTGTAAACATAAAATCCTAAACTTCTTGGATTCTACCTTTTCCACATCTATTAGTAAAAGTTGGGGGAGGGGGAATAAACCCTCTGAGCTATTCCAATGCAAATATTAAACTAAATTTGGGGAACGAGAGCTACTTTATACCGCACTTCTAGTGGCCAGATTCTTTTGCCCTTTTGGAGATGCTTCCTATTCCCTTAGTTCCCTTTCCAAACTGTGTGTTGTGACATATTAGCGAGTCAGCTGCAGTGTGTAGTTGTGTCCCTATACATTTCATTATTAAATTTATGTATGTTTCCGTATTATAAGGGGTTAGTTTAACCTCCGGTTTGCTAGTAAAACTGAATTACTGTGTCACGAAATGATGCATGTATAAAAAGTGTGTCACCAACATGAAAAGTCTGGAAAGCTCTGCATTAGTTCCCAGCCATACCAAGCTGAGGCTTTTAAATTGTCTTGTGCAGAAGCTATTACCAACTGACAGAGTAGGAAGCACATCTTATTGCCATGGAAAGCGGGGATTAGTTTTGCTTTGCAATAGAAGACAAACCAAGGGCTGGTGTAGATTTGTGCTCGTTACTGGAGCATATATAAGGGATACAAAGAGACTTAGGATGTGGCAACCTTGCACCGCCCTGTCTCACTCCATTGGCAATACACACCAAGTTTCCATGAGCAGTGTGGTCTTGATACTTCACCTCCATTTGCACTGGCTACCTATGGCCCTTTAAGCTGTCTTGCTATGGTTACCTCTATCTTTTTACTTGCTATGGTTAGGATTGGTTCCTTAACCCCCTAGTTTTTATCTGCTGCAGAAAATTGTGCAAATTGGCCTTCCTTCCCATCTTGTATTTTTACATCCCAAACCTATGGAATTATTAGGCTTGCCTAAGTCTACTGACTGCATTAGAGATGGAGATAGAAAACTACTGAGGTAATATCTTGATTTCTTGTGATGACTGAGATAACTCATTAATTAATTCTTCGTAAACTACTTTGTGGGCTTTTTTTATTGCACCATACAATCCTCTCCTCTTTAAAAACCTCTTTATGTACGTGTAGGGTTTGCTTTCTCTCTTCTCTCTGCACCCCCAATCTTGGTTTTTCCTGCCAGGAGAACAAGGGAGGGGTGCCTGTGGTCAGGTGTCATTGGGCTCCAACTTCCACCATCCCTGGCCATTGTCCATGCTGGCTGGGGCTGGAACACTCCTTTTCTCACTCCTCTTCTGGACTATAATCAGCACAGAAACAATCCTTCTAAAAGTCAAAGAATCACCACTATTTGGAGACCTTTTGGGAAGTCTAATAAGGGTTTAAACTGCTGCTCCCACTCCCCGGCCTGCTTTCCATGGTAAGTCCTTCCCGTTCCGCCACAGCAGCCGGAAACCCGTCGCAAGAAGATGTCGTCACTTATTCAGAAGGAGTACGCGCATGCTCAGCGCCTTCGCTCTCCTCCCTCCCTTTGGCTGGTCCCCTCCGCGCGCGCGCGCGATGACGTCGTTCATGTGCACCGCCTCCGGTCGCTGGTGGGGAAGATGGCGGATGGTGGCGACGGCTCGTGAGGCAGCAGCTTCCGGGATAGGCGAGCTCTAGGTTTTTGGGCCCCGCGTACGGGGCTCTGTGAGCGGCTGCTTTGTAAGTTTTTCTCCTGGAGGCGGTGGGGAGGCGGGGGTGCGGGAGGGAAGGAACCCCGGCGACCCGGAAGACCGCCGCGGCTTCCGCCATCTTTAGGCCGCGAGAGGTGCCGCTGTTACGCTATTGGCGGCGGAGGGGCCTGTGGCTGAAAGCCGGGGCAGGAGGAGGACGTTGTGAGGAGAGCGGGAGAGAGGCCGGCGTGGGGTTAGGAGCGAAAGTTTGAAAAGAGCCAGTCGAAGCCCGGTAGGGGAAAGCCGACCATCCTTCTGCCCTGCTGTTTCGGGCGCAATAAGTAATTTCGGCCTCGCCCTAAGATCCACAAGAGTTGCTGAAGAGTGCCTTGGGTGTAGGGTAGCAGCTGTGTGTGGGATCGGCGCTTTGGGATCCTTTCCATTCAGAGCGCACCTCAGCCGCTCACTCGCTAGGTGTCCCTAAGATCAACGCCGCCTTACCAACCTCATCTCCTCGTTTGTAAAGGGGTGGGGGTCTGATTATGACAGGCTACCTTACAGGGGTGTTGTAAGGGTCAATCACTTATAGATGTGTAGGACGCTTTAGGGACCTTTAACATATGCTAGGTAGATGATAAATACATGCTTCATATAATTATTTGGGAGTGTAACTTCTTGGTGTGCAAACATGCAGGGTTTCAAGTAGCATTCGATTTAAGCAAAACAAGTAGCACCTATAACTAAGAACAAGGTCAGGCTGTGTTCCTGAGTGCACTATTTGGCAAAAGCTCAATTGAGTACAATGGGACCTAATTTGAATAAGCATGCATAGGATTGCACTTTTGCTGTCAGTTGTTAGTTTAAGAGCCAATAAGATGTATTAAAAATGCAAACATATTAAATATATATTTCCATCGTGCAGGAACCTTATGAATATGTTAGGAAAGAATAATACTTTTGCATTTTTTAAATGTTAGAACAGCATATGCACTGAGAAATTCAATTCAAGTTCTAGAAATTGGTTAGGATCAGATTTCTTACCAGTTACACTCTTACGTTGAATAAGTACTTGCTAACTTATTTTATCAAGAAGTCATGATTCCACAATTTTCAAAAATACTCATTGTGTGAATAGGGCCAGTGTGTGAGTAGGATCATGCTCAGACAACATTCCGGCCATGTACTACTTGACATATGTGCATTTGTTATAAAAGTTTGTATATAAACATTTGTTATAAAGCCTGTAGCTTTCTAGTTTCTAATATATTCAGTATTAAAGTAAATTTCACATGTTCTCAGAACGCAGGTGTCTACTTTAGAATTAACTGAAACTTAATACTACAGAATGTTTCAGTTGTGTGAAATGTTTCAGTGGTGCAGGAAGGTAGGATGTAAGTTTACTTTAAAACTTACATCCTACCTTCCTGCACCACTGAAACATTTCACACAACAGTGTTTGAGACAAACATTACATTTTTGCTGGTAAGCCATAGTTTTGTTCATCTTAAAGTAGAATATTAATAAACCAATAAAATGCTGAAGATTTCATTTCTAATGCTTATTAATCATACATAGCTTACACTTCAAAGGGAATAGTTTAATCTGTTAGTTGAAATAGTAGCTAACATCTCAAATATGTAAATATGATACCCTTTGAAATAGTCATGTATTAAATTCCATGTTACATAATTCTGCAAAAGGAATTAGTTTGACTTCTTAATTTTGAGCTTTTATTTTTATTCCTGAAATTTGGATATAAAGCTAATTTGTATTAATTGCATGAACAGTTTTCAATTGTTCTGCAAACAAATCCAATGGGGAGTGGAATGCCCAGAGAATGCATAGTTGGTACACTTATTGAGCAATCCTAACTAGGCATATATGCAAGGATTTCCAGGAAACAGACACTCTGATGTATATATTATGTAAGTTGAATTGCACCCTAACTGCTGCTGGCTAGGGTGGCACAGCCAGAGTTTGGGTGTCCAGTATAAACCTTCATTTTCTGACCTTTCCTTGCCTCTAGTAATTACAGTTGCATTTTTGGTGGTATAAATTAAAGCAAATTCTGTGCATAGGACAAATGAATGAATGAAATTAGGACACCATGTAACTTTTTTATCTCTCTGTTCAAGACATCCATCCCCACCCTTAACATACACTATTTTGTCCTTTAATTCTGATAGCTTAGTTTGCCTCAATAGGGCTCTCCCTTTGCCAGAGTTAGTAGATATGCCAGGGTAAGTAATGTGCACTGGCCAAAGTGTGCAGTCAGCAAGTGGAGAGTTATGTCTCATCCCAATCTCTCCCACCTGGTGTATCTGGGGGTTAGGATTGCACATTTAAATCTTGACATGTTGAAATATTCACTTTGTCAAACAAGCTATGATGAATACCGTCACATTGCATGCTCTCTTTAGTTATCCATATGTAAAAAAAAAAGCAGGAGTATCAATACTATCCACTTGAATCAAACTTGCTCTATATTTTTTTAAAAATTACAAGTCTGCTGCTCATTATGTTATGCCTTTACTTTACTGAAATAGTCTAACAATGCCGGGCTAGACCCAGTAATGACTTTCTGCTCACAGGCTTGCTTTCTATGAATGGAAGGAATTTTGGTCCAACAGAGACTTTCATAATGGGAGAGGTGATTTTTGATAGTTCTCCTTTCGTGCCTGTAGTGCCCTCCCAACTGTTCAGAGGGATCTGCAACCCTCTTGAATATATTTGAATGGGGAATTGGCAAAAAGTTCTTCCCCACCCCTTCTTCAGTCAGTGGATGATAGGAGCATCCTTCCTGTGGCCCTAACTGGATCTAACCTGCTTGTTTAACTCACAGACAGTTTCTCTGTGCTTTATGGAGGAAAAAATCATGCATATATTTACTCTAATACTAATAATATTCGCAGAATATCTGAAAACATAATAAAAGCAACAACATCAAAAAAAAAACCTGATACAGGAGTGCTTTCAGATGTCTTCTAAAAGTTGTGTAAGTCTTAAAAAAAAGAATACTGTTTATTTAAGTTGTGTAATTATTTATCTCCTTGACATCTGAAGAGAGGGCATTCCACCGGGAGGGTGCCACTACCGAGAAGGCCCTTTGCCTGGTTCCCTGTAACTTCGCTTCTCACAGTGAGGGAACTAGCAGAAGACCCTCAAAGGACGACCTCAGTGTCCAGACTAAGGGATGGGGGTAGAGATGCTCCTTCAGGTAATACTGGGTCGAGGCCATTTAGGTTGCCACATGCTCTGTTACTGAGAACTTTGTCAGTTGGAGTGCTGTTGTTCCTGACTGATACTTTCAAAATGTCTTCTGTTTGGAAGACCCTTACCAATGGCTCACTCCACTCTTCACCCCATCCTGCATCAGAATGCAGAAGTTGAGGGTGATTCAGGGTTTGGTCTGGAAGATGCCTAACTTTTTTCTCTATTTTTTGTCGTGGTCTTGTGGGTCACCTCAAGGCACACTGGGGATCAGAGTCATTGTTTATTTTAAATAGAATTACTTGAAGATTCAATTAATTGCAGAATGATTTTATTATAAGTACATTATCTGTAAGACTATAATCTTAGCATAAAAAATTAGAAAGACCCAACTAATCAGATGAGGAATCAAATCTAGCAGACGCATATTACAATTTTGAAATTTGTCTCACTGTTTCACCATTCCCCTGAAAATGAGATTTGGTGTGACTTCTTAATTAGTTGTCTTCAACAGTGTATTGAGACACTGTGGGGTGAGGTGATTGTTGGACTAGGTTTGAGAAGATCCAGGTTCAAATCCCTGCTAAGCCATAAAGCATTTTAAACCAGTCAGTATAACTGAAGACCAATCTACCTCACAGTTGTTGTGAGGATAACATGAAACTATAGAAACCATCTGCCCTGCCTTGAGATTCTTGGAGGAAAAGTTGGATATAGATTTAGTGAATAATATAGTTGTTGTGTGGAATAGGCAAAATGTAATTGGGTCACAGTAGCTAGCCACGTAAATCAGTATGCCCATTTGTAGTTTGTCTTGGACATGTAGTAATTGATATTTATATTATGTTCCAGGATCTAAAGATTTTAAATAAAAACTCATTACAACAAATTTCTCTGAATGGAACCAGTTACTTGAATTATGGCTTTGCAGAAAAGCTGGCTTTCTAGCAGTCTTCAAGGAGCCTGCTCCAGAGTAAGAAAGAAGCCCTGGGAGTTGCAGTCTGTAGAGATTTAAAAACAGTTTTGCTTCTAATTGTAAACAGTTAGTGTCTGGGGGAAATGCCTGGCTTTCTGAAGTTAGATGGGATTCATTATCTTCCACCTCGTTCTACAAATATTTTGGAGAGCTTCATAATTAAGTTACCTTTTGCACTCTGGAGAGGTTATACGAGGGCACGTACATTGTTCCTAAGACATGCAGGGTTTATAATAAGAAAATGACAAAATTCAAATTGTCTGCAGAGCAGTTCATTGAAGAATAAAATGGGATATTTCACGTTGGACATTTGTCTGCATAAAATTCAGGTCTATTTCTATTTAAAGAAAGTGATTGCACATGAAGAATAAATATTAATATGCAAGAATCCTGACTAGCAGCACAACCCTAATCATACCTATTCAGAAGTAAGTCCTATTGAATTTAATGGGATTTACTCTCAGGTAAGTAGGGTTAAGATTGCAGCCTAAGCAACAAGTGCTAGGATTTAGAAATATGTTGAACTTGCTCAGGTGCAGATACCAGGTGTGTTAAACTATGCCATGTACACTTAAAGTCAGATTTCAGTGGTACAACATCCCACACTTAACCCCTAAAATGGGACTGCTCTCAAGCAGGAAATGTGAAACATAGTATTCATCGGTGGACTAGCTTATGTGCAATCAAATTACTGATTAATCTGTTGCAGAGAATCTGTTCGAATCTGCAATCTTTTTACTAGTAATATTATAATCAATCAATATTCATTTATAGCAGGATGCTAAAACCATGGCTTGTATAAGTGTCCAGAAGCAAATTAGTGTCCTAAGCCCATTGTTCAGCGTCTTTATAAACTATTTGGACAAAGGAATTGAGAGGATTCTTGTCAAATTTGCAGATGACACCAAACTGGGAAGCATAGCTAATGCCACAGAAGACAGAATCAGGATTCAGGATCACCTTATCAAATTGGAGAACTGGGCCCAGACTAATGAAATTCACTAGGGACCAATGTAAGGTTCTAAAGTTAGGTAGGAATAATCAGATAACACAAATATCAAATGGACACATGGCTTACCAGTAGCACATGTGAAAAGGATCTAGGGGTCTTAGTAGACAACAAGCTTAACATGTGTCAATAGTGCAGTGCAGCAGAAAAAAGCAAATGGCTATTATAGGCTTACCAACAGAAGTATAATGTCCAGGACAAAGGAAGTAATAGATCACTCTATTCTGCCCTGGTCAGACCACACCTGGAATACTGTGTCCAGTTCTGGGCACCAAAATTTAAGTAGTATATTGGCAAGCTGGAACATTTGTAGAAGAGGGTAACCAAGATGATCCAGGGTTTGGAAACCAAGCCTTATGAGCGAGAGCTGTGGGAGTTCCAGGAACCGGAAAAGGAGGAGCCTAAGAGGAGACCTGATTGTCACCTTCAAATATCTATAGGGTTATCTCATGGAAGATGGAGCAAGCTTGTTTTCTCCTGCTCCATAGGGTAGTACTCGAGCTAATAGATTCAAGTTACCAGAAAGGAGATTCTGACTAAACATCAGAAAGAGCTTTGTGACAGTAAGAGCTGTTTCACAGTGGAACAGATTCCCTTGGGAGGTGGTGGACTTTCTTTCCTTGAATGTTTTTAAGGAGTGGTTGGATGACCATCTGCCACGAATGTTGTAGTTGAAATTCCTGCATTGCAGGGGTTAGACTAGATGACCCTCGGGATTCCTTCTAGCTCTACAATTTTATGATTCCATGATTCAAAGGAACAATTCTGTGTACTTTTGCTATAATTTTACTATCTGTATGGCACTACAAATGTGAGGTCCAAGCACCTCCTTCCTTTTTCATTTTTGAATTCTACTCATTTCTGGTTCCCAAAGATCCAACAAAGCATCTTAAAAGGAAAATATACTGTGCTATATATTCTAATGGATCTTAGATATATTATATTGATAATGTTTTTGGACTGCGGTTTTAACTACAGATGTCCAGAAATGTTTCATAGTTATACTTGGCTTTGGAAACAAAAGGTCATATATAGCGATTACAAACCCATTTATGTGATATTTATCTTGTATGCAACTTTCACACAGATGTTTTTGTGCCCTTGCTGATGCAATTCCGGAATTGATCTTGGTAACACTGTTCTGGTTTTTTTGGAAAAAATTCTGGCGTTCTAAATATATTAGAGTCTGATTTAGCATATTTATACAGTACAGTGGTACCTCGGGATGCTAACGGGATCCGTTCCAGAGCTCCGTTCGCATCCAAAACAGAACGCAAGGCGCGTGCGTGGGCCACGTTTCGCTGCTTCCATGCATGCGCATGACGTCATTTTGAGCATCTGCGCATGCGCGAGCGGCGAAATCCGGAAGTAACACGCTCCGTTACTTCCGGGTTGTCACGGAGCGCAACTTGAACGCGCTCAACCCGAAGCACATTCAACTCGAGGTATGACTGTACATGGTATAATAATTTTGTTAATTACCCATTCATATATTTAGTAAGCATAACTAAAAAGAAATTCTGATTTTATGTGCTATATAAATATATCAAAAAAATAAATTTTCCAAAAACATTGTAACTGAAAATGCACAATCTTATTTGAAATTTATATTTAAACAAATCCAAAACTTTAGTTGGAAATTATTTTTACTGTAACAGTTATAAATATTCCCCCAAATGGAAACTCTGTAGTACAGTGGAACTGTTCGACTTTCAAAACATTTGAAAACCGAAAATCAAGGGATGGTCAGCAAAATCCATTGAAAAAATGGATAAACGTGCCTTGGAAGCCTTCAACGAAAACATTCACTTGTCGATGTTCAGGTTCTGAATTGTTCGTCAATGAAGTCGTTTGAGAACCGAGATTCCACTGTATATACCATATTTACTTTAATGTGCCATCAAATCTAATGTACACCTCAATTTTCAGAACCTTGAAACCAAAAAGTATTTGCTGGCGAATGTAAATGTGCTATTGAATCTAATGCACACTTTAATTTTCGCAATGTTATTTGGCAAAAAAAGTGAGCGTTAAATTTGAGTAAATACTCAAATTATATAAGGTACTTCCTTATATTGATTACAATTTGGCGAAAAATTAAGGCACAGGAAACTTCTACCAATTTTAACTTACTTAAAAAAAACTGCATCATCTTCATACAGTGGTACCTCGGGTTAAGTACTTAATTCGTTCCAGAGGTCTGTACTTAACCTGAAACTGTTCTTAACCTGAAGCACCACTTTAGCTAATGGGGCCTCCTGTTGCTGCCGCGCCGCCAGAGCATGATTTCTGTTCTCATCCTGAAGCAAAGTTCTTAACCCGAGGTAATATTTCTGGGTTAGCGGAGTCTGTAACCTGAAGCGTATGTAACCTGAGGTACCACTGTATTTGACTCTTAGAGCTAGTCATCTGAAAAAGTTAATTAAAACTTTGAAACTGCCCAATTTTCCTATATCAGACATTGCTTGAAATAGAAAAATCTCTTTAGGATTTTTTACATTACACACAATTTTATGTGGGAACTTTGGTGGTAGTGAAGGAAAAATAAGTAGCAATAACCTGAGTAGTGAAAGAGAAGATCACTAGTCACCTCTGCTTAATTCTTTGTAAGACTGTTCAGATGAGTGTGATTGGTTGGTCTGCACTTAATGCAGGTAATCTTATGTAAGGCTGTTCAACAATTATTTCTGTACTGAGTTTGTAGGCTGTAGAAAGCCAGTTCTAATACTAGTGTTACATAGCTTCCAGCTTCATTGAGATGTTAAGTCTGTGTGAGCAGCTTGTACACATCCCTTTGGATACTCTACCACCAAAAATGAATGAAAATAATAATAATTTGTTATTTTATAAAAAGTAAATGATGTATATAAAGCAAATACATAGGCAAACTGGTTTTTTGGGGGGGGAAACAAAAAATTCAATTTTTTTTTCTTCCAAAAAAGCCTTTTTTTATACTTGTGTGTTGACACTTTCAGCTTGCAAATGCAAGTGTTGTGCAGCAGAAAATTTGCCACTACTACATTTTCCATTGACAAAGACTTGTATAAAAAAGTATTGTTGGAAAAAGAGAAATAAATCCATAGCATAATGAATAAATGAATAATTTTTGTCAAGAAACTGTCCCTAGGAAGTATGTATGTGGTTGGTCTGGGTGACGTATTGATACATCACCCAGGACCAGTTTGAGGGCCAGAGTGTGGTGGTGCCTTCACCCGGTGGTATATCAGAGGTGAAACCACCACTGCTCCTGAGGTTTCACTTGCAATGTACCATTGGGTGAAGGTGGCATTACGCTCTGGCCCTCAAACCGAGGGAGGAATAAGCCACAAGGTACCTTGGCACGCCAGACATTGGTGGTAGAGGGAGTCCCTCCACTGCCAGACTGCGGAGGAACAAGCTCCATCATGGCTTAGCATGTCATCTGAACCAATGCTTATGCTTAAGCTGTCTTTGGAGTAACCACAAACTGTAACCTCCTGGTGTGGTATTTATGCAACATATCTACAGTGTACAACACTATAAGGCAGTGGTGGCCAAACTTGGCCCTCTAGCTGTTTTTGGACTACAACTCCCATCATCCCTAGCTAACAGGACCAGTGGTCAGGGATGATGAGAATTGTAGTCCCAAAACAGCTGGAGGGCCAAGTTTGGCTACCACTGCTATAAGGAGTTTCCTGTGCTCCTAACACAGTACACTTTTTATCATTTAGAAACTGAACAAACTAAATGAAATCTCAGCTTATAAAGGACATCATAATATTTATAGGAAGATAGTACTGCTGGTACTTAGTGTTCATCATTTATATAAAACTTTTATTTTTATAAAGTACTCTGTAATCTCTATTGACACATTCACAACAGCTCTGAGCAGGACACTTGTTTTTTTGCTACAGATTGGAAACTTGGAAACATTATCTTCCATGACCAAGGTGAAGCTTGAACCCAGACAAGGCCTTTGGTATACCCACTGACTTCTTAATCCATGTTAGCTATATTTTAGCTAAACAAGTAGCCTCTTGCAGGTCTTTTACATGACATCAAAGTTGTTGAAATTTGACATCTGAATTTTCAAGCAGAAATACAGCAGATGACTAATTTGGAAGTTAAGCATTTTAACACTGTTGTATTGCAACAGATGGTTAAATGGTTTCATATACATAATAACTGCAAAATTATTTCACTCTAGCCTGTTTCTTGAATCTTGTAAATTCTGTAATTATAAGTTCTTTAGAACAAAGATGGGAAATGGTACTTGTGTGTACTAAATAACTGGAATCATCATTTTTATAGTTTGGTTGCAAAAGTAGTCTAGTCCCTTTTGTTTAGAAATGGCTTGCCATTGGTATTATTGGGGTGACCCAGAAGTTTGGTTTTCTTACTTATTTCTTCTTACCAGTTTTCTTTCAAACATACACCTTACATTTGCTCCCTGAAGGTAAAATAAAGGTGGCTGTCACAAAATATTCCAGACAAATGCCATTTTGATTTTGTTGGTGGTTCTAAAGGGGGTGTCATTGTCCCCATATGGCCTTTATATATACAGAATGGGCAGCATGGATACATTCCTGTGCCGGACTATGAGAGAGGGGGAAAGTTAAGTGTGTCCTGAAAACCTTTACCAGCAGCTGCTTTACTTACCAGGCTGTAAGGGAAGGGGAAGGAGCTGAACTGGTATGTACGAGTCACTAGATGCAGCCCTTATAGGATTCAAGGACTCTGACCAGGCAGTTGTAGCTGGCTCCTTCCTCCTCAGTCCTCTTCCAGATATAGTGTGTCATAGGATCTAATACCATCATTTGCTACCTCTCTATCTTCCAAGAGGCATTACAGTGGTACCTCGGGTTACAGACGCTTCAGGTCACAGACTCTGCTAACCCAGAAATATTACCTCGGGTTAAGAACTTGGCTTCAGGATGAGAACAGAAATCGCGCGGAGGCAGCGAGAAGCCCCATTAGCTAAAGTGGTACCTCAGGTTAAGAACAGTTTCAGGTTAAGAACGGACCTCCAGAACGAATTAAGTTCTTAACCCTTAACACTGACAACTGTATCAGAGTACGAGGACATGTTCCAGCCATGCAACAACACTTAGATGTGATACGGCGCCAGTGAGGCGGGTGGCCTTGGGAGAGCTCAAAGGCCAGAGAGAGAGGACAAAGAGCTGCATTTGGCTCTGAAGCCTGAGGTTTCCCACGACTGGGCTAGATAACGTCCTGTATTTTCTTAGGGGAAAGATAAAAGGCCAGACTGATGAAACCATTTTTCATATGTATTTTTACTGATTTAAATTTGTATTCCAATTCTTCACCAAGTCCTTGAAGTGGCTTATAACATCCACAATTCTGTTAAAAGCCTTACAGTGTAATAAGCATAAAAAAGAAGTTAATCCAAGAGAAGTAAGTGTGAATGGGGGAGAAAAGACATTAGAAAACAGAAATATAGAATACCGAGAAATATAGAATACCGAGCAGAATGAAAACGTTTTTGTTTAAAAATAAAAAATCCTGCCACACATAGAATATGTTAATTTGGAAGAGAGCTGCAGAAGGGACTGCTTTGAGCTGTTCAGAAGTAGGCGTATAATGGGACCTTTGCCTGCAGCCTCATCCCCTGAGCTAGTGCTGCTGTGATGGGGAAGGTGACATCATAGCTGAACCCAGGAGCTTGTAGTGATGGTGTATTTGCCTGCCTGCCTCCAACAGAACCATTTTAAATTAGAAAAAATAACCTTAATTTAACACTGACAATTGTTTAACAAACAAGAAATGAGCTTTTACTCTACAAGTGGAGTGTAAGAAAATTCATACGTTGTCCTTCTCAAAAATCGAAGTCAATACTTGTCTTTGGTTGTAGTTAAATACTTATTTAATATAGTATTACTAGCTTGTGCATTGCCACCTACAAGGTAATTACTGTGTTACTTTGCTTCTGTGGTGTGTGAGATCAGTTACTAATAGTTTTAATTGACTCACAAGGGAGTACAAACTGGGAAGCCATATCCTGTTTTCAGTATTGCATTGTACATTAGTTGTACAATAGGAGGCCCTATTGATTGTTCCACCACTCTCAGAAGCTGGTGGGTAAGAGTGGGAGAGGACATTATCTATAGCAACCCCTAAGTTGTGGAACTCCCTCCTTGCATGGATGTGTCTGGCATCTTCCTTATATAGCATTTGGCAAATGCTGAAGACACACCTCTTTACCCTGACTTTGGATAGCTGATATGTATATCTTTAGGTCCCACCTTATTTCTGTGATTGTAAGTTGTTTTAACTGTTTTTACTATTGTGTTTTAGTTGTTGTAATGGCTCTGGGGCCTAAGGTGAAGGGTGGATGATGATGATGATGATGATGATGATGGATGAAATATTTTTTCATAAGTTTTAAATTCCCTGTTAATGATGGGCTAATGTTGCACATTGCTGCCTTGTTTATGTGAGAAATTCTAGTACTATTCAGATTTCTTATATCTTGGCATTCCTAGTTGAAACCTTCATTTTTAATTGTTTATTTTAGATCTTCCAAAGCAAAAGACACCATGGCTACAGAGATTGGATCACCGCCGCGGTTTTTCCATATGCCAAGGTTTCAACACCAGGCCCCCCGACAACTGTTCTATAAGAGACCTGATTTTGCTCAGCAACAAGCAATGCAGCAGCTCACTTTTGATGGAAAACGTATGAGAAAAGCTGTGAACCGAAAAACTATAGACTATAATCCTTCTGTAATCAAGTATTTGGAGGTATGTTCAGAACCTGTTGTACCTGCAATTGTTACAAAATGTTTTAGCTTAAAAGACAAAAGAAGCAAATAATTATTAAGCATGAATTTCTAGTTAGTAGAGATTTTGCCAAATAGCTTAATAGATTTTGAAAAATAGCTTAAAATGCTGAGAGTAGCTATGGAAAAGGAGGGATTCTGTTCCCAAGTCTGAACCATTTCTCACTATGCACTTAAAAATTTCACACCAAAAATGCCCTAGAAAGAGGAAAAAAATTATACTTCTTATCAGCCCTCAGGAGACTAATAGAAACACCAGTTCATCTTTCATATCAGGTATGTGAAACCTAGGGAAACAGCAACACTTAGAACTGTTGTTTACTTTTCCTGCCAGTGAGAGGTTACTTTCCTGCCCTCACTAATGAATGTTTAAGACTCAAGCACTAAGCTTTAACTGTGGTCTGATCTCTTTAGAGCACAGGTGTCTTAACCTGTGGGCCTTCAGATGTTGCCAGACAACAGCTTCCATCATCCTTGACCATTGACCATGGTGGTTGGCCTTGGGAGTTGGAATCCAACATATACCGTATTTTACGCTCTATAGGACGCAGCGGACCATAGGAGGGGGAGAAAAGGATTTTTTTTTTCTTGTTCTCCCCCTCTAAGTTCCCGCTGCGAGAGGGGTCGGTGCGCACTGACCCCTCACGCTCTCCAGGCTTCAGTGAAGGCAACCCAAAGCCTCTGGAGTGCGGCGGGAGTTCCCTCTGGGCTCTGGAGGCTTCAGGTTCCTTTCAACCTGCTCTTTGGGGCTGGCGGGGGGAAGTGCTGCTTTCCCCCACCGCCAGCCGCAAAGAGCAGGTCGGGGAACAGCGCAAAGGCTGCACGCAGCCTTGCCGCTGCCCCCCGAGCTTGTGGGGCTGGCGGGGGGAAGCGCTGCTTTCCCCCACCACCAGCCTCAAAGACCCCTGAAGCCTTTAGAGCGCAGCGCAAGTTCCCGCTGCACTTCAGGCTTCGGGGACAGCCTTTGGAGCCTCCGCAGTGCAGGCACCCCGCTGCCCTGCGGAGGCTTTGCGCAGCCATCCCCAAGCTAGAACAGCGAGTCTTGCTGTTCTGGCTTCAGGGACAGCCTTTCTAGCCTCTGCAGGGCAGCATGGTGAAGGCAGCACCCCACTGCCCTGGAGAGGCTTTGTGCAGCTAACCCCAAGCTAGAAGAGTGAGACGGAGCGCTCCGCAGTGCTCCGTCTCCCTGTTCTGGCTTTGGGCTTAGCCGCGCAGCCTGCATTCGCTCTATAGGACGCACACACATTTCCCCATAATTTTTGGAGGGGGAAAAGTGCGCCCTATAGAGCGAAAAATACAGTATATAGTGTGTCACAGGTTAGCTACTCCTACCCCAGAACAGAAGTGGATTTAGAGGAGCATGACCAGTTTGCCCACACTGGGCACCAAGCCGACAGGGCACCACAGGAGGCGCTGCAACAATGACAAACAATGGAACACTAGAAGTGGGGGCGCCAAATTTTGGTGTCTCACAGAGCGCTACTGAATTTTTAAAGCCCAAAGTCCTCTATTGCCTGGAGAGTGTTTCCCATTCTGAGTGCGATGTGGGATTTTGTTTATCTTGTGGCCTGATTCGAACTGGTGCACTTTGGTAGCAAATTTGAAGAGGAAGGGATTTTTTTTTTACTTTGGGACATTGAGTTCAAGTTCTTGAACTGATTTGCACTGATTTGAAGAAGGAAATTGCCTGTTCCTTCTAGAAAATGAAGCACGCTGCATTCCTTTTCCAAAAATAGCACTACACTGCAGGCACCGATAGGCAAACATTGTTTCTCATTTGGTACAAGCTAGCTAGCAGGTTTTAACCAATAGTATTAATGAAAATGTTTTTTCATCTTTCCAGAACAGAGTATGGCAAAGAGACCAACGGGATATGCGGGCAATTCAGCCTGATGGAGGGTATTATAATGATGTAAGTACACATGTTTATTTATCCCCTGGACAGTAAAACATTTTTCTTCTTCCTGAAAGATTGAAAAATTGGTTTAAGCTGTAATTCTCTATTTAAGTGTGGGAGAAGTGAATAACAACATTAATTGTACTATAGAAACTTGATTTTACAAGTGGATTTGAAAGAAGATGAATTCATTTAGTCACATTCTAGTATGATGATCCTGCTAAAGCTCTAGACATGGATTCAAAGATCCCATTATGTGAGCAGAAGGCACTTTGGCTCTGTGTGTATGTGTGAGAGAGGACTGCATGGGAGGACTGCATCCATGGTTTTTTTCCAAAGCAGATGTGCCTTCTGTTCTCATGGTGGGATTTCTGCATCCAAGCCATATTGTAATATAATTCTGAAGAATGATGTTAAGTATGCTTTTGTAGTGTCTCCACAAAATTGAGATTCTTTGGTTTACTCATTCAAGAACATAAGCTTGCAAACAATTTTCTAAAAGACTGTTTCCACATATTAAGTACCAAGAATAACTTTTAACATTTTTTCCTCTCTTTTAGCTGGTCCCTCCTATAGGAATGTTGAACAATCCTATGAATGCTGTAACAACAAAATTTGTTAGGACATCTACCAATAAAGTAAAATGTCCAGTATTTGTTGTTAGGGTAAGTATAGTGTTACACTCCATGGCACAGTGATAAATTGCTAAGAATATAGCAAGCCAATAGTAGCTGTTTTATGGATTTTTTTAGTTCTGTTTTTGTTTTAATCGGTGTAATTCTGTTGTTGTCTTTGCTGTGTTCTGCATTGTAGACAGGGTGATTTATAAGTACAATAGATACTACTACTACTACTAATATTAATAATAACAACTTTTCAGAATGGATATCTTTTTATGGGACACAGTGATAGTGCAAAGTATTTTTGTCAGAAATGGACAGATTATTCATCCAGTAGTATTCAGGCACTGGAAGCTGGGCATGGGGCAACAAATAAATACCAGAATGTGGGGTGGAGGGGTGTACAGACAGTGTGTAAGTGAACCCAATGCAGACAGAGCTGCAGAATACAACTGTGCAGACATGTTGTCTGTCCTTGCGATAGACTCTGCTGTAGTGTCAAGGCAACAATTTGTGTTGTAATACATCTTAATTCTTGTCTTCCAGTGGACTCCAGAAGGGAGGCGCTTAGTTACTGGGGCTTCTAGTGGAGAGTTCACCTTATGGAATGGGCTTACTTTCAACTTTGAAACAATATTACAGGTAAATCACTATCAAAGCTGTCTTGATTAGTACTTCTTTCAGTAATCTGCTTTCTTGCCACTGTAAACAGATGGAGAGTCAGCACCGTTTTGAGCTTTATGCTTCTTGCCTTTGGCTATTGAGATTTTGATTGATTAATTTAAATCTTAGCATTTTTGTCATTCTCTGATATGAGAGACATTTCTGTTCCATTGGTGATAAAAAAATCAAATTTGTAGACAAAATACTGACTCATTACTAAGTAATACTTACTATAACACTGCTGAAGCTTTGATAACAGTCCTCACAAAATGAATGTATGGATCTATATATAAGGCATTTTCATTCTTATATCTACCTAAATTGAAATTAGAAAAAATCATTTTAAAAGAAAAGTGAAGGTGCATGATATTATTTGAGTATGCTCACTGGAGGTCTTCCTTTATTTTTGACATTGTAGGCTCATGACAGTCCAGTGAGAGCTATGACTTGGTCACATAATGACATGTGGATGTTGACAGCAGACCATGGGGGATATGTGAAATATTGGCAGTCCAACATGAACAACGTCAAGATGTTCCAGGCACATAAGGAGGCGATTAGAGAGGCCAGGTTTATACACAATATACCATTTTCTGTAGTTCCTATTTCCATGATTAGACTGTTCTCTAAGTGTATTCTGGGTGCAGATATGCATGGGTATTGTCAGATTCTGGGAAATGTTTTGCACCACATAAACGTATTTTCTTTTGTTTCCACAATTTCACTGATTTGCTGGCATATCTCTGAAATAGTGTTGTCCCGGTATCTGCCTCTGCAATATGTTAGAGATGTGTTTGTCTGCTGCATTTTGCACTGGTATTGGTTTCTTTTTATATATGATCACAATGTGTATCAGTTACTCTCTTTTTATGCTCACTTGTGTACGATGACAATTTCATTCCAAATAAAGAATTCAGTATTTAATAATATAATTGAATAAAATATAATCCAGAAATAAAGCAGCTTCATAGTTCTCACAACATAAAAGAGCTAAATAAAGTGAAGAACTGCTTGGCTTGGTGAGTCCAAGATTTACAGTAGCATGTAGGACCCACACCAATTTCCACATCCAGGTCATGATTAATATTGAATGGGTTACTCAAGTTTGGAATCTAAAGCTGACAAGGCAACTTTAGGACATCTACCTGGTTCAGTGTCAAGTGTTCCAATTGTGCAAATGTATGCTCAGTGTAACAAGTGAACTGAGATTTCCTTGCTGAGATGCATGTGAAGAATGCTTACAGTCTTTAGCAAATAATGCAAGTGGAAGAAATCTTACTCATTTAAAGTGTGTCTGAAGAGGAGCTGAAGAAGAAACTAGACCTACCTCAAAAGTTTTGGTGCTGTCCATTGGAGAAGAAGATTCATTACCACAGAAGCACTTTCTGCTGAATTTATCATTTTTCCTTTTGATTCAGAATTTTCTGGCAAAGTTTAACAAGATGTGACCTCATAGGTGTATGCTATTGTATCTGTGAAGTGGATTTCTCCAAACAAAAAGTTTATCTCACATATAAAACGTTCCAGCAATTTCAGGGGGAATGACTGTTTGAATAATCTCAACAAGAGCATTGCTTGATTCTTCACTGCATCACAAAGGATGTGGCTCCCCATCTGTAACTGATGATGGTCCAACCAAATGCCTAACATAGCTCAATAAGAAACGGATGCCTGGCTCTCCACAATTTACAACAAGCTTTTCAAGTTCTGAAGCATATTCTATGACTCTAATGTTTCACTGGAGTGCCAAATCTCTTCTCAGTAACTTTTTCTGCATATATAGGCCATATGATATGTTTTTATTGTTTTTAGTAATCAAATACACCCCCTTGTATTTTGAAATGTTATCTGTGGATGAAGAAATAAGCTTAGTATTAACACTCTTGGGATTGCCTATTTCCATCCTTCTTTCAAAAGCATGGAATGCATGCTTTTGTCAGTTTCACATTTTATACAGATGATGCAGAGAATTGCAAATCTATTCAACTGTGGGTGGAACAGTGCAAAGTGTAAGTTCCCCTTTGGTTGGGGAACAAAATGCAGGAAAAAGTGCTTTTGCTGCATCAAAGTACAAAGCTGAGCTCTCAGTTATGCAAACGGACTCAATTATGTCAACGGATTGAAGTGTATTTTTCCAGGCACAATATGTTCCAATTTCTCCATCAGTATATTAACACTTTAGCTAAATTTTGCCCTGTCTGAGAAGTTTAGATATGTTAAATGCTGACTTCTTTCCCCTGCTGTGTGTCTTCATGTAACAGTTTCTCACCCACGGATAATAAATTTGCTACATGCTCTGATGACGGCACTGTTAGAATCTGGGACTTTCTACGTTGCCATGAGGAGAGAATTCTTCGAGGTATGTGTACCAGAAAGTACTGATTGAGATATATGAATAGAGGGAAATTATTTGTAGTTGCCTACATAAAGACTATACAAAAACCTCCAATTCCAGCACCCCATCCTTAATAATTCAATCAGTTGTATCACAAGGTACAACCTATTGGTTACTGTTTATGATCTGTTTAAATTGCTTTAACATTGGAGCATTGTGTACTATGATTATTCCCTACTCCCAGGACTGTTGAAACATCTGTGTAGGAAAGCAAGCTGAATGCCCAGTTTCATGTGCCCATTTCTGTATATAAAAACTGTAATGAGTTATACCAGAAACACTTTCTCAAGAAGAAGGGGTATTTCCCCTCAAAAACGTAACTTGTTGATGCTATCCATTTTCATGTGCCTGTATCAGACTATGCCACCTTATGGAAAGTGCAGCTTTTCATCAAGTAAATGCCATATAAGCACAGCATCCTTGGAATCCCCTAACTTCCCACATGGTGTGGACACGACAAAGTTTTAGGGAATGAATTACTGTTTCTAATTAATAGCATAAAGTTAGGTAAAATACATCTTTTACTGAGAAGAAATAAAGTTGTCAACATATTCATAGACTTACTTATTTGACAAGATTTATATACTGCTTAATTAATAAAAAACCTCTTAAGTGGTTTACATTACAAGGATCTGAAATATATACTAGACAGCGAGGAGCAGGGATTGTAGCAACACTGCTTTCATTTTCATTATATCACATGGTATTTTAGTATTCATTCATTTTGTAGGAAAGTTTACCTAGTAATTTTTTTAGCTTTGTAGCCTGACTTGATGTCAATACAGAAAATAAATAGCAAACATTCAGAGACTATTACACTTTAGGAAGTAAAGAGTTTGTGGTTTGGTTTTGTGTTTGACTCTTGATGCATTATTATCTAATAGTTTAACTCTGAAGAAATCTTGAACTCCTGTATTACTTTAGGAAATAGAAATCATTCATGAGAAACATTTCTTCAGAATTATATCTGAAACAGCCCCCCTCCAGTTTCTTAAGTTTTCATAATTGTCAGATAATATACACACACAGGATACAATCCAGACATTGAGCTCTGTCTCCCTTTTTGTAGGCCATGCATATACTACCTCCATTTGAAATACAAAAGTGGAAGCAAAAGAAATAAACATGCTAAATTTACAGTGTGGCCAAACACTACTTTTGTTCTTAAAAACTTTGGGGCAGTAGACAGAGAGGCATATGCAGATGTACTTTCTTCCTTACCTTCTTAGAGCCTGATACTCAGTTCTTTCTGCTACAAAATAACTTGTAAAAATCATACCTTACAGTCTACCGTATTTTTTGCTCTATAGGACACACCCGACCATAGGATGCACCTTGTTTTAGAGGGGGAGAACAAGAAGAAAAAAATCTCCCCCTCTCTGCTCAGTGCCCCTTCAGCGAAGTGCTGAAGGGGCGCTGTGCAGAGGGGGGAGATTTTTCTTGTTCTCCCCCTCTAAAACAAGGTGCGTTCTGTGCATTCAAGGTGCATTCACCCGAAGCCTCCGGAGCGCAGCGGGAGTTCCCGCTGGGCTTCGGAGGCTTCGGGTTCCTTTCAACCTGCTCTTTGGGGCTGGCGGGGGGAAGCGCTGCTTTCCCCCACCGCCAGCCTCAAAGATCCCAGAAGCCTTCGGAGTGCAGTGCGAGTTCCTGCTACGCTCCGCAGGCTTCGGGTTCCTTTTGCTGAAGCCGGGAGAGCAAGACTTTCCTGGCTTCAGCGAAAGGAACCTGAAGCCTCCAGAACGCAGCAGGAACTCGCACTGTGCTCCAAAGGCTTCAGGCGGCTATCCTTGAAGCTTGGAGAGCGAGAGGAGTCGGTGTGCACCGACCCCTCTCGCTCTCCAGGCTTCAGCGAAAGCAACGTGAAGCCTCCGGAGTGCAAAGGGAGCGCTCCCTCTGCGCTTCGGAGGCTTTGCGTTGCGTTTGCTGAAGCCAAGGAGCCTGCATTCACGCCATAGGATGCAGACACATTTCCCCTTAACCTTTGGAGGGGGAAAAGTGCGTCCTATAGAGCGAAAAATACGGTAATTCTATGCATGTTTATACAGAAGTAAATTTAACTGAGTTCTGTAAGACTTACATAAATGTGTAAACATTTGAGGCTTGAAAGATGCAACTTCATCTTACTCCCCCAGCCATTAGCAACCTGCTGCAGCCTAGTCTGCAACCATTTCCAAGCAGATTTGGGGAGAGGGTGCTGATGGGTGCAGAGGGAAGGAGAAGGCTGGAAAGCCCTGTTCCATGAACAGAACAGAAATTAGAATCTAAACTGTTAGGATTTGGCATATAAGCTTTATTCTCCCCCCCCCAGCGCTTTATAAATTAAACAAAGATCCATTTAAATTGGGGTTCAGGCCCAGTTTTGGCACATAACTGCTTTGGTGGCCCTGTATGATGACCTCTGTCTGAGTTAGGGGTAGGTGGCACCGCTTTGCAGTGCTTCCGGTCCTACTTGGATGGACATTTCCAGAGGGTGATGCTTGGGAAGTTCTTTTCAGCCCCATGGAGCCTTCAGTGTGGATTTCTCAGGGTTCAATTTTATCCCCTGTGCTGTATAACATCTACATGAAACCACTGAGTGGGGTTATCCGGAGTTTTGGGGTATGTTGTCAGCAATATGCTGATAACACAGAGTTCTACTTCTCCTTTACATCTGCACGTATGGCAGTTGTCTTGCCTCAGTAATGGACTGGATGAGAGCCAACAAACTGAAGCTGAATCTAGATAAGACTGAGGCACTGTTAGTGGGCTTGGGGGTTTCCCTAGACTGGATGGATGGGAAATAGCCTGCTCTTGATGTGGTTACACTTCCTCTGAAGGAGCAGGTACGCAGCTTGGGAGTACTTCTGGATCCTTTGCTGTCTCTTGAGTCTCAAATGGGCCTTGGTGGTAAAGAGTGCCTTCCACCATCTTGGGCTTGTGCCCCAGCTGCGCCCCTGTCTGGACAGGGATAGCCTAACTACTGTTGTTGAGGCTCTGGTAACCTTTAGGTTAGATTACTGCAATGTATTATACATAGGGCTGCCTCTGAAGACAGTTCAGAAACTTTAGCTGATGAACAATTCAGCAACCAGGCTACTCACTGGGGCAAGACGGTTTGAGCATATTACACAGCTCCTGGCCTAGCTGCCAGTTAGTTTCCAGGCCCAGTTCAAGTGCTGGTTTTGACGTATAAAGCCTGAAATGGCTTGGGACTGCAGTACCTCAACGACCACCTCTCTCCATATGAACCTACCCAGACCCTGCGATATGTGCCTCCTGGAGGGTGGCAACACAAGGATGGGCTTCTTCTGCAGTGGCTCCTCATTTGTGGAATGCTTTCCTCAGGGCAGGGTTTGCCTGGCACCTTCATTATACACCTTTAGGTACCAGGTGAAAACATTCTACTTCAACCAGGCCTTTGGCTGACTAACGTCCTATTTTAAATGAGCTGGGGTTATTGGTTAATTTTGTTCCTGTTCTTTTAATTGTGTGTTTTTGTCTTGTATTTTTATGCTGTGAACCACCCTGAGATCTACAGATGAAGGGTGGTATACAATTTCAAAATAATATTAATAATATTGGCAGCTGATGCAAACTTCCATCAAAATGTGTTAGACTGTATAGTCTGTGACCCTTTAGGTGTTGGATTTCCAAGTCCCAACTTCAGTCCCATTCAGCATCAGCAGACAGAGATGATGGGACTTGGAGTCCAACAGCATACATGGGAGAGGCACAAAGGTTCCCCATAGTTAGCTACACATAAAATGTTTTTGTTTAGGGAAGCTTACTTAGGTCATAAGTAGAACAACTTGTGTTTATTAGAGCCTTCTTCATATATGTAGGTAATTCCTGCTAAGTAAAAAAAATAATCCTGCTCTTCCTACTTGTGAGTAGAAAAGATTGATCTTGGTACAGGTCTTCCTCCATGCTTTTGGTATATAACGCCTTTAAATCAGGGATTTCCAACCTTTTTGGGCTCAGGAACATTTGGAAATATAAGGAACTATTGTGTGTGCCACAGAATACCTGTTTTATAGAAGAAAAACTGACAGTGCTCAGAACATTGCAAAGCTGCCAAACCATCCCCCAAACAAATAAGACACAGACAAAAAGTCGGACAGTATCCCCCCAAACGGACAAACCCTCAAATGAAAAGCCTTCCATCGCTATCATTTGAAAATAAAAAATGAGGAGAGGAAGGGGAGTTTGGCAGATCCCATAGGGTGTGTCTGAGGGTGACAGCACACACTGTGTTGTGGACTCCAGCTTTAAAAATTGTTCAGAACGTTGATAGGAAAACTTAAATAGGTAACTTTAAGCAACTTCTTCCACCAGCCCCCAAGGCATGGAAAGATGGCATAGTTTTATTTATGCAGGTGTTAAAAGTCAGCTCTCCCTACTTGTTGCTGTCCAGTGGTCCAGAACATTGGACCACCTTCTTCACTGTCTGGCAAACAAGTAGAAAGAGAATTCACAGGTAAGCAAATTATGTTTTTAATCAACTATAGATTAAAACTTGTATAGTGAAATCATAATCATCTTTGTTCAGAAGTAACTCACACTCATTTTACTCCCTATTAAGTTTGGGATTGCAGCCTTAGCATAGATGTTAACAGCCAAACAATCCTACATAGCACAGCTCTACCTAGTTCTATTTGTGTTGACTAAATGACTATCAGGGATGTTGTACTATGATAGACCCAGTCTCCAGAAATCCATCATACTCAACTAGCTTATAACGCATAAAATTCCTTAATGTACCAGTCTGTTTTTATATTAAACTATAAATACTGTTTTGGGTACTCCATATGAATCTGTCAACAAACCTGACATTTGATACACCAATGATCTTAGATCACACAATTTAGGTGATACCACCTGCAAAGAGTTTCTCCTAATCTTCCATGACATTCCCAACATCTCATTCAAATACACTCTTGAAAATCTTCTTTGCTGAAGTATTGCAATTTAGAACTAAAGTAGGAGATACTGTGGAAGATAAGGCTCAGAGATCTGGGCTGTTACAATAAAACTGAAAGTTTTTCACTTAGGACCAGACAGAAAGCCTCTTTAAGGATGATGATGATGATGATGATGATGATGATGATGATGATAATTTATTATTTATACCCCGCCCATCTGGCTGGGCTTCCCCAGCCGCTCTGGACGGCTTCCAGAAAAATATTAAAATACTGTAATACATCAAACATTAAAAGCTTCCCTAAAGAGGGCTGCCTTCAGATGTCTTCTAAAAGTCTGGTAGTTGTTGTTCTCTTTGACATCTGGTGGGAGGGCGTTCCACAGGGAGGACGCCACTACTGAGAAGGCCCTCTGCCTGGTTCCCTGTAACTTGGCTTCTCGCAGTGTGGGAACCGCCAGAAGGCCCTCGGTGCTGGACCTCAGTGTCCGGGTAGAACGATGGGGGTGGAGACGCTCCTGTTTATGAAACGGAAGCTTCAAACTAAGCCATCTGTAGTATTATTTGTATTTCATGATGGGTTTTTAAAAATTACCTTTCTGAAAACTGCCTTGTTTGTTCCTCAGCTTTCCCTCTTCATTATTTTTATAAGTAAACTAATTAACAGGTAAGAAGAATTTTGTCCCTTGAATTCCCATCTAAAATTACCTGTTTAGATTTTTTTAAAATCCTAAATCCATTTTTTACCAGCTTTGAAAAAGTATAATTATAAAAAGAGCATAGAAAAAGCAATTAGTTTGGTCACATAAGTGATCATGCTGGTTATGTGAATAGTGATAGATCCTATAAATGCATTCTAGCCATTTGTACATGCTTGGATGCCCCAAACATATCAAGCAGTGGTGTATCTACTGTATAGAAAACTACAGCTACTTTGGTTGGCAGATTATTTGTGTAACAAATCATATTTTTCTGTTTCCCTATCTCCAAGAATTCATCATGGGGAGTTAGTAAATGCATTGCTGCTGATTTAAGGCAATGGATTTCAAGCTGTACCCAGAAAACCTGTTTTCTCAGAAATTTGTTGAGCTCCTGAGACATTATCAGCCAGGTCCTTTGAGAGATGTCATGCCCACTACTTGCCACTCACCTTTCTCTGCTTTCACTTGTCATTTTATACAAGGCGATGGTGAGACCCAGTAGATTTGACCAACATGCTTCATGTATCAAGTATGTGCTCTAAAACACTTTCAAGAATCCTCTACAGTGCACAGTGGTTCCTTGGTACAAAAGTTGATAGGAAGGGGTTCCCTGAAACTAGAAAATTTGAAAACCAAACTGAAGGGATGTTTAAGGTAGTAGCATCTTCATTGTTACACTAAATGGTACATGCAGGATCTACCTTTTAGAGGTTCATAAATTATACAGGTCATATTGGGTGTGGAATATTATTTTTATGATAGTGCTCTTCATATGAGTTCACTCGGAGGGATTAAAAAAGTAGAAACAAATGAACTTTATATAGGCTCATTCAGCCTCCAGCAGATGTGAATTCTGAGGTTCTGGCTAATATAGACAGTGTTGCACAACATACGCTTTTCTCCTCCCAGTAGTGTTTGAAATACTCTTGTGTGATTTTTTTTGTGTGTGATTATTGAGCCTGTTAAACTTGGGTTCTCTTCATCTGGAGTATGAAATATACTCCATACATCTAAATAATCTGGATTTGGCATGACTTGATGGGCATTAGTTTGGGCTCAGATTTGTCATTGTATGAATCCATTTAACTAGGTACTGCTTTCCAGGTCAGAAACAGAATGTGTCAACATAGACAACTGATAGCAAATTTGATCACAACAGTCAAATACTGCTAAGAGAAATTTGGGTTGTTGGCTGGTTGGGCACCGAATCTTCCTTTTAGGCTGGAGGGTGTCCTGTGGTCTAAACCACTGAGCCTCTTGGGCTTACTGATCAGAAGATTGGTGCTTTGAATCCACCAGGCAGGGTGAGCTCCCATTGCTCTGTTTCAGCTTCTGCCAACCTCGCAGTTCGAAAGCATACCAGTGTAAGTAGATAAACAGGTGATGGGAAGGTAAATGGTGTTTCTGTGCACTCTGGTTTATGTCACGGTGTTCCATTGTGCCAGAAGCAGTTTAGTCGTGCTGGCCACATGCCCCAGAAAGCTGTTTGTGGTCAAACGCCGGCTCCCTCAGTCTGAAGCAAGATGAGCACCGCAACTCCATAGTCACCTTTGACTAGAATTAACCATCCAGGGGTCCTTGTCCTTTACCTTTACCTTTACTTTACCCTTAAGTCAGAAGTTTTCTGGCTGTTTCCAGAAATCATATCTTCATTAAGTCCTCTGACAATGGATGGATTCTTTCCCTTTTGGATAAGGTTTTGAAACAAGCAACTGTCTTACATCTACATGTCATGGAATTCTTTGCCCTTTTCCAAATAAGTGTTCAGAGATTAGCATGATAAAGAGATACGGCATGTAGCCGTGGCCAGCTGTTTACATTTCGAATTTGGAAGGACAAATTATCCTTTTTAATTTAGTTTATCTTTATACCATTGATGATGTGACTCTTGGATCTGTGTAGTACTTGCAGGGCCACAGGTTCTCCACCCTTACTCTTGAGGTAATTCTTATATCTGGTAGGGAGATCTCGGACTATATACAACCTCTTCAAGACGTCCATAGAGAAGTTAAGCGTTTTCATCTCCTAATCACTGAGGTTTACAACCTGGGGTACTTCCAACGGCATCATTTCTCCCTGGAGCTCCAAGATTGCAGTAGTGACAAGGGACATTTATGCCTTTCTCAGAAAGGACCAAAAAAACACACCAGTTGGACTTGCCTATTGACATTCATATTTCATAGTCTTGACCTTGCAGTCTTGGTTACCCTTGTTGAGTTTGCAGGTGCTGAACATGCATTGCTTCTCCAGGACCTGCAGTTTCCTTTAGCCTCCCAGAAACATTTCAGCTTGCTGTTTTTAACTAGTAAAACACAACAGTAAGTGTTCATATCATGGACATTACTTCTTTCTATGTGTGTATGACTTTGACCTGTATTATCTGCTGGGATCAAGTGCTTGGCTGTAAGCCTAAGTGGAATTGGTCCCTATGTTACAGGAAGAGACAAAATGGTTGTTTAGGTGATTTGGGAAGATATGCAAGTTCCAAATGAAAGTACTGTTCATTAATCTTCCCCAGGATAGATTAAATTTCCCTTTCTCGTGTTATCCTAGAACTGTAAAAATCAGATACGCAGGGTCACTGAAACGTAGGATAGTCTAGATGCAGGTCCATTTTCATGAATTCTTCTCAAATCCATGAGTAGAGGCATATAGAGAGGTATTCTTGGCTTTAGACTGCCTGACAGTCTAAACTTGTGGATACAAAAGCATTTTTGTTTAAGAAGGCAGTAAAATAATAGATACACAGGATTAACTGAATAATTCAGTTGACTGTTTCATTGGATGAACATTTAAATATTTGGAATTTTGTTCATTTCCCTGAGCATAATAACTTAAGAAATCTAAATAATTCTCAAACATTTAAAAGAGCTGCAATTCATGATTGTTCTTGTATTTTCAAAATCATAAGGCTGCTGTTGTTGGTAAAGCTGCTCACATAAGAGTAATACATCTTGATGCAAATGTGTCTTTCAAGTTCAATTATACCTATTATTTATATTTATAAACTGCTACTGCTTCTGCTACTAACTTTGTAAACCACCTTGAGGTTTTTTCTTCAATCAAGGGGAATATGAATTTTGTGAAATAAATAAATAACTGCTATTCTGCTGCTAACTACTGCTACTACCAAGTACTTTTTGAACTGAAAGTCTCAGACACTTGATGCTTGTTTTTTTTGCACAAGTATTGACTTACCCATATGATGGATGACAAGTTAGCACAACAACTGCAGTTACTTAATATGGCTGGCAAACCAGCGTTTAGAGTTGGACTTGACTTGCACACCTCAAATGTTTTGATTAAGAAATCTACTTCTAGAGGTTCAAAACACACGGCAGGATTCACCTAATGCTCCCTGTCAGTGGAAGCAATTCTCTCTGCATGCACCCCCAAATTGGCTCAATATGAGGGGTCAGAAGAACACCCAGAGCAACATATGAGGGAATTGTGCCATCTGGCAACCTGCAATGTTTGCATAGACAGGGTGTTTGTTTTAGCACAATGTTGAATTCCACCCATAATCCTGAGTTTCATTTCTATGAGAAATAAAAACAGACTTTAGAATGGCCAAGGTTAATGGGACAGATTTATAGAGCTCTAGTATCCTTTTCTCACCTGTGTAAACATGGTGATTGAAAGTGCTCACCCCCTAGAACCTGAGATCTTTTGCTGTCATAGCTGGGGATCAAGTAGATCAGGGGTGGGGAACATTTTTGGCCCAGTAGACCAGATCTTTATCCCGCCCCCACCCCCATCGAGGGATCACCCATTAGTCAGTCATCTGACATAATTACATCAGGTGATTGGCTCCTGTCAAAGTGCATCATTTTCCACAGTGCTTCCCAAATGTTCAACTATCAGCTGGTTGTCAGGTCTGGGGGTGGGGGTGGGGCCCTGAAAAGGCCTCACAGGCCAAATTGAGAGGTCTTGCAGGCCAGAGGGTGCCTACCCTTGAAGCAGATGAAGGAAATTTATTACATATGATTCTATTCATGTAAAGTTATAAATGATCAAGTGGGCACAGTATTGTAGGAAATCGTATCTATGTATACTTGAGGGACGCTTTGGAATAAGGTACATAGGTTCTCCTTAAATATGATAATAAGATGAAACATTTAAAATAATGCTGTGTGGCATATAACTCCTGAAGTTATAAGCAAAATAAATAAAAGTATTTCAAATACATATTGGAAATGTCAGAAAGAACCAGGAAACTATTCCCACATGTAGAAGTGTAATTTGTAAGCAATATAGGGCAAAGTTTATAGGTTTTCTATAGTATTATTATTAATAATAATTTTGTTTGTTTGTTTGTTTATTACATTTGTATACCACCCTTCATCTGAGTAGTTATGAAATCCCAAATGACCCTGTACTCCTATTATTAAATTATACTATTGACTCAATAAAGAAAGAACAAGGAAATGGAGGTCTCAAGTCACACCTAGTATTACTGAATGAATAGATCAAATTAGGCACTTCCCTTTACTGTCTTTTTGGCACATTCTTCTGAAGTCCAAGGAACCAGGACAAAGGTGAAATGATTCTGTAACAAACAGGATCCTGTTTCTCAAGTATTGTTAAAAGAACTTTCTTCTCCCAAAGATACAGTACAGCTTTGAAATGTTCTGAATTTTAAAGAACCAGTTTTGTTTTCATTTATCAGCCTCATATTGTTACTCAACTTAATTCATAAGCACTGTATTTAATGAATTTTCCCATTTTTTCCTTTATTAAAAATCCACTTTACAAAAAAAAAAAGAGCGCCAAACCAAAAACACCCTGAGTAATAGTCTCTGCCTTTTAGACATTACCAGAATGCAGACATCTGTTCAATCTAAGGAGAGAATGAAATTTCTGTCAAACTTATCTTCTATCTTATCATGAAACAACTGCATTATTGCGGGGGGCGGGGCTCAAAGTGTAGTAGAATCCAGCAGATAAAGTTTTATCAGACCTTTTGGTGTTCAGTTTACTACTCTTCTGCTAGTATCTGTACCCTGTTTTCTGATGCTTTGTCTCTCTATCTAGTCCTCAGTTTTAGGACACTTTCCATTGTCATTGAGTTATACATGAGTGTCAAGGTGCCTATCGCTTCTTATTCTGCAAGCTCTACTTAACCACTGGCTGAGATACAGTGATGTCTTGGAATATTCACAAACATAATTTCTCAAGGAAAGATGGCAAAACAAAAGTCAAAGGAGCAGAAATTGGAAAGTAATAGAGAAAAATAAATTAACCATCTTTCCAATATGTCCAGTATTTATATCACAGAATACCAAGTATTATGGGGGACGCGGGTGGCGCTGTGGGTTAAGCCACAGAGCCTAGGGCTTGCCGATCAGAAGGTTGGCGGTTCGAATCCCCGCGACGGGGTGAGCTCCTGTTGCTCGGTCCCTGCTCCTGCCAACCTAGCAGTTCGAAAGCACGTCAAAGTGCAAGTAGATAAATAGGTACCGCTCCGGCGGGAAGGTAAACAGCATTTCCGTGCGCTGCTCTGGTTCGCCAGAAGCGGCTTAGTCATGCTGGCCACATGACCCGGAAGCTGTACGCCGGCTCCCTCAGCCAATAAAGCGAGATGAGCGCCGCAACCCCAGAGTCGGTCACGACTGAACCTAATGGTCAGGAGTCCCTTTACCTTTACCTTTACCAAGTATTATACCTTATCGCTGTCCACTAAATGCCAGTTTCTGGAAGATGTAGATTCAGGCTTTGGGGAAAAGAGTGAAGGTTGAGGAACAGCCATTAGGAATGCCTCTTTATGTGCTTTTGCGTACTTGATTCTTGAAGTTTATGACAGAACATGCGTGCACAGTCAGTCTCATGGATATGCTTAGTCCAGACCCTTTAGAATTCTCTATGCACAGCCAGTCCAGACACTAGAGCACTGTTTCTGTCAATTCATCCCTTTAGAAGGTAGTCCTCCAAACTGTTGCACAAAATGCATTAAAGGAGTTTAACCTTGAAGTTATGAAGACATGAATGAAGATTTCTAGGTTTACATCTGTGCAAAAAATACCAGTTTTTCTCAGCAATTAGACTGACAGAAAACACCCATGTCTCTTGTGTTATCTAGGTTCTGTGAACCTGAATGATCAAATGGAGCCAAAACACTGTCAGTGCTGGGAATCCTGATGCCCTCCCATGTCACAAAGCCTGCCCATTGACATATGTTCAGTCTTACCTGTATCCAGTCTTTAACCGTACCCAGATAGTTGGAGCTCACAGAGACTGTTCAACCCAAAACAAATGAAAAGGGGAGGTGGGAAAGCTGAATCTGATTAGCATCCTAATGGCATCCAGTGCTATGCTTCCATATCATTTTATTCGGAAATATCAAATGCATACTGAGCAGAAATGGCAGCTAGAGTAGTTACTCATCGGCACTCTCCACTTCCTGCTAAGAACGAGCCAAATATATTGTTTTTCTATTGTGATTTCTATGAGTTATCTCCCCTAAAAAGAGCAATTTGCTTGAAATGCATTGGGAACTGGAATTGTTCCAGCAAACCTCTGTATACCTATAGGTGTTCGCCAATAGCTATTTGCCAAGTGTAGCAATGCTTCCATTTTGCTCTCATCCTACATATTCACATAGCTGCATTTAAATTCTGATTTTTTTTTCAGGTGACGTCCCACATGATGGTTGTAGCATACGGTTAAATAAATGAGAATAGTGATCTAGTTCAACAACATTTACAAATTTCAATTATATATTTCACAACATTTAGTGATTTTTAATTTGGATAGATGAGACCCATTTACTTTTGTGAGTGTCCTGTTTCAAAATGAACTTCAAAGAGTTATTTTAAAACTTGCAGTAAATGCCAAGTGTGTATATATAGTACTTTGGATTTCCCCCCACAAAAAAATAGTTATAATGACCACAAAGGGTAATGGTAATTATGATGACCACAAAGGACTGCCATCTCATTAAAGAAATCTTAGTTGCTTTAAATTTGCTTATGAGTAAACAGTCATTCTGAAGAAAAATCCTGCTATGTTCTAGATACTGTGTATTCACAGTATAGAAAGGAAGAGAGAATACCCCTTTTAAGACAGTCCTTGATATCCATGTTTTTGTACATCCTTGTGTGAAAAAGAAATATTTGGGTGCTCCAGATAATTTGATTAACCCAATTAGTTGGAAAAACACTGCAGTCTTAGATATTTGGCATACTAGGGCCAAAAAACTTAGAATTTATGTGGAGAAAAATTATATTTTAAACATCAGCATAAAAATCAAAGCTGCCCCTAGAAATACAGGAAGCAGTCTTATCCCAGGTTATGTTATTTGTCCAATAAATCCAGTATTATATACACTGACTGGCCATGGCTCTGTATGGTCTCAAGAAGAAATCTTTCCTATCAGCTGCTACCTGATCCTTCTTGCTAGAGATACCAGGGGTCGAACCTGAAACTTTCAGCCTGCAAAGCTGAATGGTGTGTATGTACACAGCATACATTTAAAGCACGTAACTGCCTCAAAACGATCCTGGGAACTGCAGTTTGTTGAGGGAGCTGGATATTGTAGCTCTTTAAGTGGGAACTACAGTTCCCAGGATTCTTTGAGGGAAGCCATGTGCTGTAAACATAGAGTATCTACCCAGCCATAGTGTATAATTTTTCTTCTGTTTGTCACCATCCAGTGACCCAGAACGCTGAGGTGCTACCCAGTTACAGACATTGTTACCTGTGAAACACTCTTTTTTATTTCTCTTTCCCCCTGCCTTCCCAGTCTCTGCTGGTTTATTGGGGGGTATTATTAAATAATTACTAAGTATAACTAAAGAAGCATGGATTGGGGAAAACAGACTAAACACTGAGGAATGCATTCTATATGATAGTGTCTGGTGATGAGTAATACACTTTTCTTTTTCCAAGTGCTTCTATTGAATCTTCTTTAGAATTTCAGAGGAAAGTTGAGCCAAACTGTTCCCACTCAGTTACTAGGTTTCTGGAGAATAGGATATCCAGAGGTATTTTTGGAGGGAATTACCTTGGAACAAAAGAATATTTGAAGGTTTGACTTTTTTTGGCTTATGATGACAACACTGTGCTAGACATTGTAATGGAAACCCTGAATTCTAGTCATTCTACTAGGACATTTTCACATACTTACAAGTATTTTGTCATAAGGGAACTTTTTGCTAGCCACCAAGATCGAAACAACAAACCAAGATAACATGAGAGTGAGAGTTTTCAAGTCTGCTATGTTTCACTACTTTATTTTTTATTTTAATATTTTCCTTTCTACTCTGCTTTGCAGCCAAGATTAGCTTACAATCATTCAAATCTATCTTAAGGGTACTATGTCTCTTCGGGTTATTGGCAGTTTAGTATATGTGCTGCGGAAGCGAGCATGGGTTATTGGCAGTTGATAGGTTTCACGCTCATCAAGATAGGAGAGGGTAGAAGGAGCTGGTAGATTAAGGGGCTGGCTGATGATAAATACAACAATAGCCCACAGAAGCAATCCCCCCATTCATCTGCAGTCCTTTTACTTGTTTGTTTGTTTATTATCTCAGTGTATTCTGTTTCCATGCTTAGGCTATTCTAGAACTTGGTCAAAAGGGCAACAGGTGACGTTTGCAAATATTTTCACACCCTCAGAAACCCCTTCCCTTCTTGGTCATTTAGAGGGGTCAAGAAGGGACAAAAAAAAGCCATGAGAGAAATCAGGCATACTGACACTCTCACTGCATAGCCAGTCAGGTTTAGTAAAAGGGCCATACCATTTGGATAAAAAATGCCCTCCCATTGCCCTCCTTATAAATTATGGGGAGTGGGGGAGAGGAAACATGTCAGTATGTTGTCTGGCCAAGTGATGCTCCATGTCTTCCCACAATACACTGCAGTGGTTTCATTGCATGCTAGCACAGCCCAACAATACAATAGTGTCACTCAAGACTATGCCTTGATAGTGGCATAGTCTACGTTTTCCCTCTTGCTCTATTCATAGTGCAAGGGCTTTGTTTGCCATTAGTGACATTACCGTGTAGCCATATTTGATTGATTTTTGTGACATCACATTCACTATGTGGTCCCTGATTGGTTGGGATCCTATAGCTCCTGAACCTTTGGGGCCTCCCAACAGTGTAGTGGAGCGCCCCTCCTCTAACTCTACTGGACTGTCCTTGGGTACACTAACTACAGTGGTGGAGCCACTTTGTCCAGGTAGGGCCTGTGGCTCGAGTCCTAGAATCCCAGGGTCTGGCTCCACTGGCTCAACAGTCACAGGTTTTGTTCCCTCGATACCTCTGCAGTTATTCAGAAAAAAACCAGTGAAAATGGAACTGAAGCAGCTTGAGTTTGGAATGCAAACAGGTGCCAAGAAGTAAAAGACCAAAATAGGAGAAGTGGGGATTGGAAATCACTTTACCCCTAAAAAAAAATCACACTTTTTATTTCATAAATTTTGGGAGTAAAAATTCTACCTGGCCCCAATTTCTTTGGAAGTTATGTGCACACACAGTCAATAAGATGCTGGGGACATTTAGGGTACAAATTGCATTATTTTTTTCAGAATTGATGGAAATTTGCCACCGACATTAATAGATAGGATTTGCACCAAACTATTCTTTATAATATTGGGAGCTTTTAACACATTTTGTAATGGTTCTTTGATTTTCCTTTCGGTTCACTGAATATATTTAACCGAGGAGTTGGAGGCTAGTATATTAGGACACATGGCAACCCAGCCTTTTTGCTTCAGTTTTGGGGGCAGCTGCTGAAACAGATTTCCACTGCAGCAGCTCAAACATCATCCTCTCACTTGGTGTAAAACTACCTATCAAGCTCCCAAGTATTTTTTTAGAGCTAATTTATGCCAGAAGTAGCAATGACATCCACATCTCATCTCATTCTGGAAATACCTGGTGCCTATGGTGGCAGCTGCCCCACCTTAAGGGGCACGGATAACTCAGTTCTGGAGCAGGGGACTAAGGCAATACTTCTGTTTTGTTAAAAAAAAAACCCAAAAAAACTGGAAAAACAGTCATCCTACATTGTACTGAATGCATTGTCAGGTGTAGAATTAATTTTATTTAATGTTCCAAGATTTGATTCTCCAAATACTTTGTATAATTACTCTCACAGTACTATTTTGAGGTAGATCTTTGCAAAAAGCATACATTCCTAATTATAATAGGAAGAGACCAGTGAGACCTACAATAAAATGCTGCAGTGTAGAGTGCATTTGTTTGGGGTTCCAGCCATTCCGTCCCATTCCTCTTGCACCCTCAGCAGTGAATCAACATTCCATAGCATCAAGCCATTCCTCATTGAGCTGTTTTGGGCACACCTCCTTGAGACTTTTTTCCTAAATATTTTGTGGTGCTTATGCAAACCTTGGAGTTCCCCAGAGCCTGTTCTTGTGCCTGGATGGTAAGTGTTGTTTTAGCTATATAAGCGGCATTGCTTACAGTCGTGAGGAAATAGAGGGAACCAGCCGTCCTCATAGCCTGAACGTTGAAAACAGAAGGAATGAAGTAAACATGTTACCATGTTTTATTCCCTTGTTTCATACACCATGTGTCATAAATGTTCTCCTTCAGGCAACATGTATATCTTTTGTTCATGTGACTAACAGTAGGTTGTGTGTTCGCCTGCTCACTCTTACAACAGCAGCCTGAAGTTCCATTCCCAAAACACGGGGGAATTTGTGACATGTAGAGTTATAAAAAGGCAGCGCATGATACATTGAACAGCACGTGCACACGTGTAAGAAACTTTGTTTGATTTCCGTCTTTGCTAAGCCAGGGAAGGACAGTCAATAAAAAGGCAGAGAAATGTTCTGCATGAATTAATGTTGTGCAAAAGTGAAAATGAAATATAGTGTGGTTTAATTCTAAAGAGTCTAAACATGCTAAAGAGAATGCTGTTCCTGTATTTGCAAGAAGCTACTAACCTTATCTTAGGCACTCAGAGGTGGCAAGTGGTCATTTCGTTGCACTGGGAGCTAAAAGACTTGTGCTCAGGTTCTGCACACTTGCCACTCTCAAAACTGTATATAGCACTTGAAATATCACACATTATTGGCTATCAACATATTAACCTATTAATATGTCTCATACAGACATGTATCTCAAACTTTCTCTCCCAAGCCACTTGGTTCAGAAAAGGCCATGTGTTGCCTAAATCAAAAGATGACAAGTTTAACAATGAGGAAGTCTTCCTCTTGGCACCCCACACAAATGCTTTGTTAGTATCATCCTTGATTTTTATTGCTGCCAAATGGACAGTTTTTGATTCACAGCAATTGTTACCCATTCTTGTAGTTGCATTCCTTAAACCCAGCCTTTTACCTACCTGGTGCCTTGACTGTACTAAGCTGGTCTGATGGTGGTTGTAGCCCCAAAATTCTGGAGGGCACCAGGTTAAAGGGTGTTTTAATCTAGGTAATGACTGAATATTTATTTTCATTATCAGTTTTATAAAGGGACTCTTTCAGAGATTATTTAGTTGTTAGGGATTCTTTAATTTTGATTTCTGCATTGCAGGGGGTTGGACTAGATGACCCCTGAGATCCCTTCCAACTCTACAATTCTATGATAAAGGGTGGTCCTGAAATTCCACTAACTACTACTGTTTAATAATTATTACCACTTTAATTACTGTTCACAGTTAACTGGGATACAGGGCCTGTTTTGAGTTTGTACGTTAATTATTCCTTGTCTGTGTCAGGCTTTAGTTTAATTACTGATAAATCATAAGATAACACATTTTTCATTGACTTGTAAACTTTTATTGTGAAAATACAAAATTGTTCAAAATTTTAATTGCGTATTTCCCGTATAAAAAAACCTGCAAAAAATTAAAAGTAACCATGAAGTTTATTCTTTATTTTAAGTTTATGAGACATAAAGACCGTATTTAAAGTGAAAATATGGTCCCTACTTTGCCAGCATCGCTTAAAACAGGGATGGTGAACTTGTGCCCCTCCAGGTGTTGTTGGAAATTATGGGTGGAAGATTCTTCTGTCAGAGTAAGCCATTTCCCTGTGTGTTGTGCTGGGGGGTTCTCTTGACCATAAGAGTGGATTTGGGGAGAGTAAAGCCCTGTTGCACTAGTGGCACTGGCTTTTGCTAGTGGAACGGATTAGTTCTTTCCGGCCCTATGGATCCAAAGAGTTACTTTAGGTGCACCCAAGGCTGCATAATGAATTTTTTTTACTATTTTTCTTTAGTGGCAGACTCCATGTCATATCACAAGCAATTTTGAAACATCCCGTCATTTTCAAAAATGATTTCCTTGGTTTTGGGGGAGGGAGCTGTTTGAGAAACTCTAGTGCAAAGCTCCTTAAACCTATTGATTGATTGAAAGATGAAGCCCATAATATAAAGAATCAGATATTGATTTTTGTCTTCTTTGTCCTGTCCGGGTGGGTAAAGTGATCTCAACCTATGGATGTTTTCTGAACAGTTGTGTAGATCTCTAAGATCAATTAACAATTGTTGTGGTTCTACTGCAATAATTAATCATTAACCAGTTAATGTTCTCCAAGAATCTAAGAACAGTCACCACCGTAATACCTCAGGGTTGTAGATTTGATCTGGTGAGCACACAAACCATTGCATTGCTTATGTGAGTGTGTCCAGGGGACACTTCCTGGATTCACTTCCTGGCTTTCGCTATAAAAGTAGATCTGAGAGTGGAAGCAAGACCCAGTTTGCATGCAGGTATTGCAGTGCTGTGGACCATGGAGTGCTGCTTATGATTCATGCAAGCAAGAGCTTTCAAAATTTGCACCTGTGCGGGCTGCTGTAGGCCATCAGACTAGTGCACCATCTGTACAATGTGAATTGAAACCTTTCCAGTCGCCACTGCCTGGCTTGTTGATGGCATACCAGCGCTAGCTTTGAACTTTAGTGCATACTGCTTTGAATATAATTCTCTGTTTGTGCATGTTTGTGTGGTTTGGTTAACGCGCAGAGAACTTCATTTCTGCATCTGGGTTTTGGTTTTGCCTGTGGTAAAGGAACTGTCAAGTACTTGCACACTCCTTGTTCACATTAAACCATAGTGTATAATAAAAAAAGAATAGAAAACCTAAGAGTTTAACGTGATATGGAAACTGGTTCCAAGTAGGAGAAATAGATAGCAAATAAAATAAAAATAAAGGTCAACTTCCTGCGTTTATATCTGTGATCTGCTTAGATGATCCAGTGACCTAACCTTTGGGTATTGTTTGAAAGTTCAAAAAAAAAGGATGTTACCAATCAATAAATATTGATCTGATGAGAAAAGTTTTAGGGGTTTTTTGTGGGGTGCAAATGGGGAGTCTAGAACAAACACTAGTTATAAAATTATTCATAATTTTGCATGGAATTCATTCCTCTTCAGTAAATATATAGATTATTTTGTGTATACTTTGATAGCTGTCCAAATAAAGAGCAAAACAAATATTAAAATGAAAGAGAGCTTATTAATTTTGGCAGCTGTAGGTTGAGTCATAACACAATATTATGAAATGTTTGGTTTTAAAGTAACTTTAAAATAATCTCTAATGTCCATGCCACTTAATTGAATCATTTATTGCCTGTTACCATTAGAAAAATGTCTTTCACGGATGGGGAACCTGTGGACCTCCATATATTGCTAGATTACAATTCCCATCTCCCTGAATGTTGGCCGTGCTGGCAGGGGCTGATGGGAGTTTGAATGGAACAGCAGCTAGAAGGGTCAATTCTGATTTAAATGCATTATTGAAACCAATATATGAACAAATGTTATTCATGTTTAGATTCCAATAAGGAATCTAGACAAAGTTTGTGTTAATACATCTTCTTGCTCCAAACTAGTTTTTGAACATACATTGAAAGGTAATCACATATTTAATATAGTACAGCATGGACTGTATATAAAACAATTTTGTATAACTTTGAAATCCTTGAAGGAAAAAGAGCTGTCTTTTAGGGCAATAAAGACAAATCAAGATGTAACCTGTCCAAACAATTATGCCATTTCATAGTTGGGATAGATTGTTTCATTATTTAATTTTCTGTGTGAAGTCTCTTCAACAACAGTATCTTTGTATTTTAAACAGGCCATGGTGCTGATGTCAAGTGTGTTGACTGGCATCCAACAAAAGGTTTGGTGGTTTCTGGAAGCAAAGATAGTCAGCAGCCAATCAAGTTCTGGGATCCAAAGACTGGCCAGAGCCTTGCTACACTGTAAGTGCAATTGCAGTTGGTGCCTTGGCTCTTTTTGCCAAAAAATTCTGGGCCTTCAGCATGTATAGATTTATTGAATACTTATTTAGAATATTATTGCTCAATTTATTTGGAATAATGTGTGAGGTGGCTGTAAAAAGTGTTGTAACAGCAATTGAAACAAGGGTTTAGCACAGTTTCTCTATGAGAAAATGCCAAAATGTTCAGATTTTTTATTTTATTTTATTATTTTATTTTTTATTTTATTTTATTTTATTTCATTATGATGGGGTCAGGGGACACGTTAGATGTTTAAAAAAATTATGCATGCTGTGGAGAAAGTGGATAGAATACTTTTTACTATTTGAGCTGTTTTGAAGACAAACAGTGGGTTGCTTTAATTGCTCATTTCTTTAAATTATGCAGAGTTTATTCTTTTTATGATATATTCCAGTCATGCTCATAAGAACACTGTGATGGAAGTCAAATTGAACCTAAATGGCAACTGGCTACTTACCGCATCTCGTGATCACCTCTGCAAACTCTTTGATATTCGAAATCTGAAAGAAGAGCTTCAAGTCTTCAGAGGTCATAAGAAGGAGGCAACAGGTTAAAAATAACTTTTGTGTCAGTTGTTTCTGAACTTGGTGGTTGGATATTCAAAACCCTTGAAAGTAACTATGCAAAGTCTGCATTATATCACTTCAGTTTCTATGATCTGTAGTTGATAAGATAACTAATACCATTGCTCAAATCAAGCATGCCCAAATCTTCTGTATCCTTAATCCATTTAGAAAGCTTATAGCTTCTCCCTCTCTACAACTTTTCCCTTCTCCTAATCTGTCTGCTACCTTTGAAGCTATTGATCACACTATCCCTCTTGATGTTAACTCTTCAGAGCACTCCTGTCTTTCTAGCAGCACCTTTTGTCCCTGCTGACAATTCAGTCTCCACCTCCCATATTACCCATTTTCCTACCCATTGGCTCTGCCATGCTGTGTGTGAACTTCAAGTTTGTGTATTTATTTCTCCATACCATATCTACAGGTGAAACTCGGAAAATTAGAATATTGTGGAAAAGTTCATTTATTTCAGTAATTCAGCTCTTCTGCATTACTCGGTCTCATGTGTCTCGTCTTTCTCTTGGCAATGCCCCATAGATTCTCTATGGGGTTCAGGTCAGGCAAGTTTGCTGGCCAATCAAGCACAGTAATCCCATGGGCACTGAACCAGGTTTTGGTACTTTTGGCAGTGTGGGCAGGTGCCAAAGTCCTGCTGGAAAATGAAGTCAGCATCCCCATAAAGCTCGTCTACGGAAGGAAGCATGAAGTGCTCCAAAATCTCCTGATAGACTGCTGCATTGACCCTGGGCTTAATGAAGCACAGTGGACCAACACCAGCTAATGGCATGGCTCCCCAAATCTCTTTTCTGATGAGAGCAGCTTTTGCATCTCATTTGGAAACCAAGGACCCAGAGTCTGGAGGAAGAATGGGGAGGCACACAATGCCAGATGCTTGAAGTCCAGTGTGAAGTTTCCACAGTCTGTGTTGATTTGGGGCCATGATCATCACAATTATAACAAATAAAGGCTTGACATATCTCACTTTGCATGTCATGAGTCTCTCTCATATATTAGTTTCACCTTTTAAGTTGAATTACTGAAATAAATGAACTTTTCCACAATATTCTAATTTTCTGAGTTTCACCTGTATTCACCTGCATCTCCTCTCTTCCAACATCCTACTTGTCTTTGCTTTCTTCTCTGCTTCCCATCAGTAAGCCTTCTGGCAAGCTGTTGCTTAAGTAGCCTTCTCTCCATTCATTAAACGAGGTCCCCCTCCACAGGTCCTCCCATGAGAACTCCAAAGGCTACTCTGAACTGCCAGTCTCTTTTCCTGCCCCTCCACTGATGCCTGTTGTCCACTGCTCATCGCTGCACTGTAATCCATCCTCTCTCATCTAGTCAGATCCTACGTTACTTACGTTCTAGTACACCATTGGAAAAATGTAAATAAGTAGTAGTAATTGTGAATTTCTGCTTTGCAGCTGTGGCCTGGCATCCTGTTCATGAAGGGTTCTTTGCCAGTGGAGGGTCCGATGGCTCATTACTGTTCTGGCATGTTGGGTAGGTACCTCTGATGAGAAATTACAACTGAGAAGTCAGCATAGTTTAATATTGTCTTTTGATACTATAGAATTATCCTTGTGATGATTTGTGAATGACTCCATCCTGAGCTGAAGGGCTTTACTTTAAGAAATCTAAGTAATATATTGATTAATCCAGAGGTTAGGGACCCTCTGACCTGCAGACCAATATTGACCCACCAGGGGGTCCACTTTGGCCTACAAGGCCATTTCCCCCCAACCATGCCCACCTGCTCATCAGCTGACATCACTGGTAAAATCCTGCTTTGGTTATGCATGCCTGTTCCCAGCAAGGAACAGATGCATGCGGCTAAGCCAGCAGGGTTTAGTCACAGTTAAAGCCTGCTGAGTTCAAGAGAGCCCTTTTTCAGAGGCTGAATCCAGGGTAAAGAGCTGGCTGAAAGCCCTTTGCGAAACCAGAGGCAAAACAGGAGTTGGGGGGTAGTGTGAAAGTGCTTTGCAAAAGTGCTTTCAAGCAGCCCAGCATTCCTATAGATGCTGTTTGCAAAGGGCTCTCAGGCAAGCCACAGTGCTTCTGTTTGAACCTCCAGGTTGAGCCTCAGGCTCAAACAGGAACCCTGGGCTACTTGTAAGCACTTTTGCAAGGCACTTTCAAACCTCCCTTCATGCCTGTTGCCTCCAAGACTCAAACTGGTGGCTCAGACAGGAACATTGGTGTTGCCTGAGAGGCTTTTGCAAACAGCATCCCCTGGTTTTATAGCAACAGGTGATTGACCGGGGGAGACCTTTCCCACTTGCCAAATTTGGCCTGCCAAGGAGTAGGGATATAAAAGTTTTGCCTGCTAACCAGAAAAGACTCCCCACCTCTCCCCTGATCCTTGTGGAGATAATCACTAAATATATTAATTTTCTAGTGTAAATATTTCTGCCTGAAAGAATGTGGATATGGCTTCTCTTGTTTGTCACAGCAACCTTCTTAATTAAAACAGCAGTCAAAATAAGTGTGTGTGTGTGTGTGTGTGTACACACAACCTCTACTAAGTTTTCACATAAATAATAACTTTTGAACAAACAAATGCAGGTTAAACATTAAACAAAATAAGTTTCATTGAGCAACATTGTATTAAAAAAAAAAAAGCAAATAGGCCTTGATGCATCCTTGTTCATCCATTTAAGCACTATTTTTGTATTATTTCAGGGTGGAAAAGGAAGTGGGAGGTATGGAAATGGCCCATGAAGGAATGATTTGGAGTTTAGCTTGGCATCCTCTAGGACATATTCTGTGCTCAGGATCAAATGATCACACCAGGTATTTTTATTTAAATATTTTGCTTTGCACTCGTTTGACCTCCGTAACATTTTGTTTTTCATTGCTCCACTTACGTTTCTTTGTCGTCATCATGCATTTGTTTGTACCCTCACAAACATACCCTACCAAGAAGCTTTAAAAGAAAAATTGTAGTTTACTTATGCAATGGGAGAATAAAATACTAAGAGTGTTTTCAGGAACTAGCACTCAGTACATTCCACTTACACATTCATACTAATGCAATCAGCTGTCATTCATGGTACTTTACCTTTCATCTTGACTAAAAAGAATACACTGTGAAATGAAATGAAATATGATCATTCAGCAAGCTGGAAGTTTTAACTAGTGAAAGAGACAGGGAGTGAAATATAATACATTAAATGTGGAAAAGCTGCAGGAGATGATTGTCTTGCCAAAGGCAAGGTGGTTCTTTTAAGATAGATTCAGAAGCAATACAAGTTAAAGATAGATTCAGAAGCAATACAAAATACACAAGTGAGTGAGAAGATTATATATTTTATTCTTAAACAGCAAGCAATGTATACATACCAAGCAAGCACTTCCCTCTGCCACTTGAAAGCCCTCAAGAAGTGGCAAAGCGACTTCCCCAGGTAGCCTCAGTTTGCACTGCCCTGTGGTTGATCAGTCCCTGCACGAGCTTCAAAGAAACTCTGCCCAAACGGTCCGGTTTTATAGGTAGCCTGTGTGGCTTCCAAGACTGACTACGCGTAGATCATCCATTAGCCATCCCCTCCCAGTGCCTCACTTTCTGAAAACAATGTCCAACATCAAAGAAGGTACCCAGCACTATCCTCTGAACTGATTAAGGCAGCTGTGTGGGGGACTTCACCTCCTCCCAACATTCTCAGGACATTAAAGACTGTTCTCACACCATCAAAATACTTAACAAGAGCGAGGGAGGGGGAAGGAGTAGAGGCAGGAAGGGTAACCGTGTCAGATCACTAACTCCTCGATACATTTTTGTCAATGAGGAAGAGAAAATTATGATGTGCAATAAGAACTCCTTGTGCTAACAGGACTACTTCACTGGATAGCAGCCCAGATGTAACACATTATTGAACTAGATTATTTCTTTTGGCATGTGTATTGCTGAACGTAATGAAAGAGTAACCTGTAAGTCAGCTTTATTATAGTTTATTATTGTTTTTATCTCTTTTGATTGCTCTGATAGTATTCATACTTAAAGGGTGAAGTGTAATTTTTTAATATATACATTTTCAAGATACAGCAGAGTTCTGTACTTGGCACCCAATAATTATTGGCACCCAATAATATGTGAAACAAGCCTATTGGTTAAGTACAAGTTTACACCATTGTAAGATGTTACACAAATTATATTAATAGTCTGGTTCTGGCTGATAATAGCTTTCTACTGTGGCTGTTGATGCAGAACAGATTTCCCTTTTCTGCTTTAGAAGCAACTCTACTGCTTATTTAGGTTTCTTGGAACTATGTGCACAGCAAGGAGTGGGTACTATACCTCTACTCTCTACTACTGGCAGATGGTGAGGGACCACCCAATTCAGTAGCCATCACAACTTGAAGTGGTCCAGTAGAAAACAAGAAGAAGCTAATACACATTTAAAATAACTTTAAAAAAACACTTTAGAGTTGGGGGAGGTTAAGAGTTACTGGCTCTGAGTAATGAAGGCTTAACTTATAAATCAACAGAGGATACTATCTCTTAGTTTTATTTTAACAGCAAATTCTGGACCCGGAATCGTCCTGGAGATAAAATGCGAGATCGTTATAATCTGAACTTGCTTCCAGGAATGTCAGAGGATGGAGTTGAATATGGTATATTTATTTGTTACACTTAAATTCCGTCTTTCTTCCAAGGAGTTCGTGGTGTCATACATGTCCTCCTCCCCTTTTTTACCCTCTCAACAATCCTGTGAGACAAGTTAGGCTGTGAGGTGGTGACTGTGAGGTGGTACATATTTTGTGCGAGCCACTTTTTCCTGTGGCCTCACCCATCACAAGCAACACTAGCTGAAAAGGGTTCTTCAACCCTCCTTTAAATCCTTGCCGGTCAGTAAAAGAGAAAATAATGAAATGGTTGATTGTAGGAAATTAAGTAATAGTGTTGAAACATCACTGAATGGGACCTAAGAAATATCATATATTTTGTTGATAACAGTTTACTCTCCCTTTCCAGATGACCTAGAACCCAATAGTCTTGCAGTGATTCCAGGGATGGGAATACCTGAGCAGCTGAAACTAGCCATGGAACAAGAGCAGATGGGTAAGAGAGAAATTGTGCCTGCCGTAATATGGATACTTTCCTTGGCGTAACTCCTTGAATATAGTGGGACTTGCTAATAACCAATAGCAAGAGAAATACCAGTTGATAGTAAGAGAATCCCACCTCTCTGGAATTGGATAAATTTGCAAGAAGATATGAGAAGGAACTGGGAAGGTTGGGAGGGTGGGAACCAGAAGGGGTGCAGATGGGGGAAGAGAGGGGTGGAGGTGAAGAAAGTGGAGAGGGAGAAGGGGAGGAAAACCTAGACGAAGAAAAAGAAGAGGAAGAGACAGATAACAAGGAACAGTAGATCGAACTTAGATTCGACCACTTACTGATTGTACATTAAAAATGACTTTAAAAATAACCTCATGGAATGTGAACGGGCTCAACAATAAAAATAAAAGAAACCAAATTGCTCATGTATTGCTTAAATAGAACCTTGACATAATTTGTCTACAAGAAACTCATGTAACAAGAAAACATATAAGAATTTTAAGTAATAAGAAATTAGGGTTGGACTTTGTAGCATCGGATAATGTCAAGAAAAGAGGAGTGGTATTATATATAAAAGAAAAACTTGATCCAAAACTAATACATAAAGACGAAGAGGGGAGAACGATAGTAGTACAAATCACCCATCAAGGAGAAAAGATAATTGTGGTTGGGATATATGCACCCAATGACAAAAAATCAGCATTTTATTCTGAACTAGGTAACAAATTGTTAGAATGGATGGACCAACAATTGATATTGATGGGGGACTTTAATGGAGTGGTTCTCCCAAACTTGGATAGATCAATAAGAAAACAGGAAATGTGGGAGGGCAAATTACCGAAAGCCTTCTTCGAATTAGTGGAAAATTTGGGACTAATTGATGCTTGGAGATTTAAAAACCCCACGATAAAACAATTTACTTTCTTTTCAAACCCAAATCAAAGCTGGGGGAGAATAGACCATATTTGGATTTCGAAGGAATTGACGCAAAGAGTAATTAAGACTGAAATCCTCCCACAAACCTTATCTGATCACAATCCAGTATATATGGAGGTAAAAGGAAAAGACTTTAGAATATTAAGATGGAAAATGAATGAAAATCTATTCAATGATCAAAAGATAGTAAATAAAGCAAGAGACAATTGAGGAATATTTTAAGTGGAATTTGAATAAAGAAACATCTCTAGAAATGGTGTGGGACACTGGGAAGGCCGTCATGAGGGGTTTCCTAATCCAGAAAAATAGCATCTCAAAAAAGAAAAAAGAGAAAAGGAAAGAAGAAATCTTATTACATCTCATGGAGAATGAAAGACAATTAACCATTAAACCAGGAGATGAAACAATAAAACAAAACATAAGGATGCTACAAGCTCAATTTTCTATGATAGTGAACCAGGAGATTGAATGGAGGATCAAAATGATGAAACAAAAGAACTTTGAATCAGCAAATAAGATAGGAAAATACCTGGCGTGGCAATTAAGAGAGAGGAAAAAACAAAACATGATATGTAAGATAAGGGATGGAGAAAGGATAGTGGAGGACCCAAAAGAGATAAAGAAGATATTTCAGAAATATTATAAGGAATTATACAAAAGAGATAGATAATGAGATAGAAGATTACTTGAAAAAATACCAGTTGCAACAGATCACGACTGAAGAAAGAGAATATCTAAATCAGACAATTACAGAGGAAGAAATTAGGAAAGTAATAAAAAAAATGAGAACAGGAAAAGCGCCGGGGCCAGATGGTATCTCGGCTAAATATTATAAAAGTGATCAACTTTCCCCAGTGCTATGTGAAGTCATGAATAATGTATTAAAAGAAGGGAGAATTCCAAACACCTGGAAAGAAGCGTATATCACCTTAATCCCTAAAAAAGATGCAGATGGCTTAGAGCTAAAAAATTATAGACCTATCTCGTTATTAAATAACGACTATAAACTATTCGCAGACGTACTGGCGGAAAGGTTAAAAAAAGTCTTAAATAAAAGAATCCATAAAGACCAAATGGGTTTCCTCCCGGGGAGACAATTGAAAGACAACGTAAGAAATGTGATAGACATTATTGAATATTTGGATAGTAGAATAGACAAACAGGCGGCGCTGATCTTTATTGATGCCGAGAAGGCATTTGACGTCTCCTGGCGTTTCATGAAGGAAAATTTTAAAACGATGGGAATTGGTGAAGGATTTAGAAAAGGTATTGAGGCTATTTATCAAGAGCAAAATGCCAAACTTATAATAAACAACAATATATTGGAGGCCTTTGATATTGCAAAAGGGACTAGGCAAGGCTGTCCCTTATCTCCTTTGTTATTTATAACAGTGTTGGAAGTGTTTAATAAAAGGTTAAGGGAAACACCGGAGGTTAAAGGAATTAAGGTAGGAAGTAAGGAATTCAAAATAAAAGCATTTGCAGATGACCTGATATTAACATTGGAAGATCCTAAGAACAGTCTACAAGAAGCCTTACAGAAACTAGAAGAATTCGGAAAAGTGGCAGGTCTCAAGCTTAACAGGAATAAGACCAAAATGATAACAAAAAATATAACCAAGGAAGATATAGTAGAGCTAGAACAAAGGACGGGAATTACGGTTGCTAAGAAGGTAAAATATTTAGGAGTGTGGATCACAGCAAAAAATATAAACTTATACAAAGATAATTATGAGGCTGCTTGGAAGGGTGTCAAGAAAGATTTAGAAATCTGGGAGAGATTGAAACTTTCCTTCTTAGGGAGGATTTCGGTTATTAAAATGAATGTCCTGCCCAGAATGTTATTTTTGTTTCAAACTATACCAGTAATGAAAGGACTAAATCAGTGTAAAGATTGGCAAAGGATCTTAGCGAGATTCATTTGGCAGGGGAAAAGATCACGAATAAAAATGAAAATATTGGTAGATAAAAAAGAAAGAGGGGTTTTTCTTTACCAGATTTGAGTTTATATTATGAAGCGGCTTGTTTAACGTGGGTGAAAGACTGGATAAAGTTAGAGAATACTGATATCTTGGATTTAGAGGGCTTTGATAACAGGTACGGGTGGCACTCGTACCTGTGGTACGAAAAGGTGAAAGGTCATAGAGGCTTTCTAAATCATATAATTAGAGGACCATTATTTCAAGTATGGGAAAGAAATAAGAACCTGCTGGAAAAGAAAACTCCATGGTGGATCTCACCAATAGATGTCTTAACTGTCAAAAAAACTAACATGGAAGGGAAAAAAGCCACCTATGAAGAACTTATCAATAAAACTGATCAGGGCATAAAACTCAAGCCCTATGAGGAGGTAAAGAATGTACTTACGGGGTGGCTGCAATACCATCAAGTGAATGATCTGTTAAAAGATGATAAAAAGAAACTGGGATTTGAAGATAAAAAATCTAAATTTAATGTGGAAGTCATAGAAGGTAAAAACAAAACATTATCTAGGATGTATGACCTGTTACTGGATTGGTATACAAAAGACGAAGAGGTGAAGGAGGCCATGATAAAATGGGCCATAGATATTGGTTACAACATTGACTTTGTAAAGTGGCAAGAATTGTGGAATGTAAATATGAAATTCACGGCGTGTACGGCACTAAGGGAGAATCTCTGGAAGATGATTTATAGGTGGTATCTCACACCAGTGAAATTGGCTAAGATTTACAAACTGAAGATTAAGAAATGCTGGAAATGTAGAGAGGGGGATGGTGAGTTCTATCATATGTGGTGGACATGCAGGAAAGTAAAAGGCTTTTGGGAACTGATTTACAACGAACTTTAAAAAATTTTTAAATATACTTTCCCCAAAAAGCCTGAAGCTTTCCTGCTAGGAATAGTTGGCAAGGAAATCAAAAAAGAGGACAAAAATCTGTTTCTATATGCCACAACGGCCGCTAGAACTATGTTAGCCCAAAGCTGGAAAACAGAATTAATACCTACTATAAATGACTGGCACATCAAGATGATAAATTATGCTGAACTAGCTAGAATAACAGGAAGACTAAGAGACCAGGATGACCAGAAGTTTCATGAAAATTGGAATAAATATCTGACGTATATAAGAGACAAGTATAGAACTTTGATGACTCTGGCCGGGTTAGAATAACTCTAACAGTGTTTGGCAAATATGTAAAGGAGATAAAACACGTAACTTCAGAAATTATCTGATACTTACCAATGAAGTGAAGGGTAGTCCGAGGCTCGGCGGAGCCTAAAATAACTGTGTCCTATATATATGATTCTTGTAACAGCTATGTTATATGCAACTTATGTAATCTAGACTGTATATATGTATAATCAATGGAAAATTAATTAAAAAATTAATAAAAATGTATAAAGCGCAAACGGTCCCACCCCACAATAGGGAGGCAGGTTCTGGTGATCTCACTGCAACACATGCCGTCCATGATGGAGGACCCGACTTATTAATGCAACCTGTCCAGAATCCAAAGCAGCTAAGCTTTGGAAACCCTTTCCAGATGTTATGGGCTCATGAAAGGTCAATGTGGGACTGGGGAGTTGGGCTGCTCTGGGTAGCCACATGTCTGATGATGCAGGCCCCAGCTAGCCTGGTGCCTCCATGTAAAGCACAAAAGTTTGCAGAGAGGGAGGCTTTGTGCAGACAGTTGCATGTGGGATTGCTCCCCGCACCCCACAGATTTTTACACTGCCAGTACAGATGCTAGGGAATAGGGTCAGCTGATATGGGTGGTGTCAGGATCACGCCTGCTCAGCACAACCCTGCTCATGTATTGGTCTGAGAGGGAGTGCAACTTCTGAATAGGGTTAGCATGCTGAATACTGTTATGTACTGAAGTTCTCACCCTGGGCCAGCAGGGGGATACTGTAGATAGTTATACAAATGAAGGATCAAAAGTGACGTTCAGTGATTGGATAGTTTGTATGCAAATGAAGGATCGAAAGTGACGTTCAGTGATTGGATAGTTTTAGAAAGTTGCTACAGTTACGTTGTTCTGGAGCTCTTTATAAGCAGGCTGACTGAGCTCTTCAGTTCAGTTCTGTTCTGGCCTCTGAATAAACAAGAGCTGTTTGAAGGAGAGAAAAAAGAAGATAGTAAGAGAATCCCAAATAGGATTGTGTTGCTTTTCTGAAAATTTGCATGAATCATAAAGAAATGGGTTGGATCTTCTTTTCTCTTCCTTTTTGGCATCCTTTTGTGCCAAGAAAAATTTAAAATTAGCTAAAGGATTCTGCAACCCCCCCCCCCCCCCATCTCTGGACGTGAAATTAAGTTTCCTGATGACTTTATTTATAAAGACATAAGTTGTTCATCATACTGTGTAGAAATCACTATTCAATTCTTTTCATTGAAGGGAAAGATGAGACAAGTGAAATTGAGATGACTATCCCAGGACTGGACTGGGGAATGGAGGAGGTGATGCAAAAGGACCAAAAGAAAGTACCACAAAAAAAGGTCCCCTACGCAAAACCAATCCCAGCCCAGTTTCAGCAGGTTAGTAACTAAATGCAGTGCTATAACTTCAAAACATCTTTATTTATTTCCACAATCAGTACCTATTAGAATGCAAAGTCCTCCTTGATGAATTCTTAAAAGGAGCAAATAGATGATTGACTTCAGCAGCTGGGCCTAAAATATAGTGCAGTTGACATAGTCTGCTTTCATCAAGTCTCCAGCGTAAATGCACTTGTCGATGGATTCATCCAACAGGTTTCAATAACACTGTAACCATACACCTTTATTATCCTATTCAGGCTTGGATGCAGAATAAAGTTCCTATTCCTTCACCAGCTGAGCCACTGAATGACCGAAAGGAAGATCTTAAACTGGAGGAAAAGAAGAAGTCACAGGCAGAGATTGAGCAAGAAATGGCAGCACTTCAGTACACCAACCCACAGCTTCTAGAGGTATGTGAAAAGTCAGGTCACTGATAATGTTTGCATAAATGCACTTACCGTATTTTTCGCCCCATAGGACGCACCTAGTTTTTTGGGGGGGGAAATAAAGGGGGAAAAAATTATTTCCCCCCCCCCCCATGCGCGGGGGAAGCTCAGCCCCCAGAACAGGCTGCTGCCCCAAGCCTTGCGCGCCCGGCGGGACCTCCCGCCGGGCGCGCAAGGCTTACGGACATCTGCCCGAAGCAGGGGGCGGGCTCCGCAGCTGGCCCCCTGCTTCGGGCTGCAGGCTGCCGCCCCAGCCTCGCGCGCCCGGCGGGAGGTCCCGCCGGGCGCGCGAGGCTTGCCGACATCTGTCTGAAGCATGGGGCGTGCTATGCAACATGCCCCGTGCTTCGGGCTGCAGGCTGCTGCCCGCAAGCCTTGCGCGCCCGGCCGGACCTCCTGCCGGGCATGCGAGGCTTGCGGATAGCTTCCTAAAGCCTGGAGAGCGAGAGGGGTCGGTGCGCACCGACGCCTCTCGCTCTCCAGGCTTCAGCGAAAGCCTGCATTCGCCCCATAGGACGCACACACATTTCCCCTTCATTTTTGGAGGGGAAAAAGTGCGTCCTATAGGGCGAAAAATACGGTACTCAAACAAAAAAATAGAGGAAACCAATGAGGATATTGATAGGCCGTATTTGCAACATCACTGCAGCTATGGGTAACATAAACTTTTCTGGCTTAATGAATGGTCCCAAGTTACATGATGCTGTATGTGGGTCTGCCCTTGAGTACTGCTTGCAAGAGAGGCTATCTGGGAACCACATATAATCTGATCTGTGTGCAAGGATAAGAATAATGAATAAATGATTGCCACAAAACCCTCTGAAGAAAGTGGCTTTTTGTTTTTGTTTTTTGCTCCTGACCTGTGTCTTATCAAGTGGTGTATGCTGCTGAAGTAAACATTCCGTTTGAGAAGGTTATTGCTTCCTAGCTACATTCTTCATTTTGCTTTAGTTGAAACAATAATTAAAATTAGAAATTGCTTGGTTAGTACATAATGAAAGCCATAGTTTGTTTAGCCAAAGTGTGGCTTGTTCGAACATCTGAGCTCAGCCCAGAGAATAATTATGGTTTGTTTTCCAGTAACAAACTACTATCGGCAACCATAGTTTGTATTTGGCTTGAGAGTCTAGCCATATTTTATCCTTGGATCGGCATTATCTCCAAACCCAACAGTCTTGCTTAACTGTGGGTGGCCACCCCACTCCAGACATTCACCAAGCTACAGAGGCAACAGGCAAGAGCAGCTAGAGAATAAATCAAGCATTGGAGAAACAAGCAAAGGGATGTTTGCTTTTCTGTGAGGCTTAGCATTTGTTGAGCAAGCCATGGCTTAACACTAATTGGAACAAGCTACACAGAAAGTGCCCTTTGGTTTCCAATAGTTTGTCATAATTGTGTGGGTGTGTAAATTATTTTCTTCTTTTTTTGCAGCAACTGAAGATTGAAAGGCTTGCACAGAAGCAAGCAGAACAAGGTCAGCAGCAGCCACCTCCAGGAGGACCTGTTCATGGACCCCAACATTTCCCAGGACAAAGTCCAATGTCTCAGGTGCCTCAAGGCTTTCAGCAAGCCCATCCACCTCAGCAGATGCCAATGAATATGCCTCAGATGGGACCTCCTGGGCCACAGGGACAGTTCAGGCCTCCAGGACCTCAAGGACAAATGGGACCCCAAGGTCCTCCTTTACACCAAGGAGGTGGTGGACCACAAGGATTTGTTGGGCCTCAAGGACCTCCACAAGGACTTCCAAGACCTCAAGAACTTCATGGGCATCAAGGAATGCAGAGACATCCTGGCCCTCATGGACAAATGGGCCCTCCACCTGGAGGGCCACCTGGTCCACAGACGAATTCTGGACCTCAGGGTCACTTAGGCCCACCAGGCCCACAGGCTCATTTAGGTCAACAAGGTCCACCAACACCACAGACCCACTTAGGTCCTCAAGGGCCACCTGGTGGTCAAGGGCCACCTGGGCCAAGAGGAATGCAAGGACCTCATGGAGTGCAAGGAGCTCAAGGGATACAGGGTCCTGTATCTCAAGGGCCCTTGATGGGACTTAACCCAAGAGGCATGCAGGGACCTCCAGGACCAAGGGAGAACCAGGGTCCTGGACCACAGGGGATGATGATGGGCCATCCACCTCAAGAAATGAGAGGGCCGCATGGTTTACTGGGGCATGGTCCCCAGGAGATGAGGGGTCCTCCACCTCAGGGTTCAATGATGGGACCTCCGCAAGAATTGCGTGGGCCACCAGGTGCACAAGGACAGCAGGGACCTCCGCAAGGTGCTATGGTAGGGCCTCAAGGAAACATGCAAGGGCCACCAGGGCCTCAAGGACAGCAGAACCCTTCAAGGGGGCCACATCCTTCCCAGGGCCCTCCACCCTTTCAGCAGCAGAAAACTCCCTTGCTTGGTGACGGTCCTCGGGCCCCATTCAATCAGGTATGTCTGGGAAGGATACTCTTCATGAGAACAGGTCTGGTCGGGAAGAAATTAATACCATAATAAATTGCTGTTAATAGCATAATAAAATGATCAGGCAGAGCAGTGATTTCAGTGGTGTAAAACTCTTTTAAGAACAAAACTGTTGCTATAACCCTAGTGTAAATGAAATTAGATGGATTTGGGGGGACACATGCTGGGGTTTTTTGTAATCTCAGAAGATGGGTGAAATCCAGCGTTGCACCAGCGAATATGATTGAATTCCCCTTCCTCCCTGCAGTCTCCCAACCGATTTATGTCAGCAGAAGTGAGATACCAAAATTGCACGTCACCTTATATTTTCATAGTTCCAACAGACTGTTATGAAAATGGGGTTCACAGATATCTCAAGCAAGTTGAAGTACATAATGACCAGTGTATCAGGAGATTTCATTTTTTTTTTTAATATTCATCAGATTTCCCCCCCAGAAGCAGGTTTTATTGATGACCACAATCCCGAGTGTCATAGGGTGACACATGCCAATCTGGGCTGACAAAACACATTTTCAACAGCAACCACCTTTGCCTCTTTATAAGCCATGGTTGATTTTTTCAGTATTTGATGCAGTATGAGAAGGTCTCTGATTCCTTATAGTGAACTAGAATGAAATATTTTTGTGTTATGGGCTGATAGAAGTGAAAAGAGAAGGAGGGGAATCTCATATATTACTCTATCTGCACTGTTATATCTGAGTTGAACTACATCACCTGAGTTGTGCGGATGCTCTCTTATGAACACTCACTCCCCTATTGGCAAATATATTTTTGTAAATTCCTAAATCTATAGTCTATGAGTTTGTTTATAGGGTGACAGATGCCAATGATTAAAAATAAAAAAGCTTACATACTTTTAAAAGGTATGTAGAAGAGGGAGTTCTAGCAGGGCAATTTGTTATTAAGGGCTGAGGAAAGCTGCACCTGCCCAAAATTCCTCTTCTGTACAATCACTAAAGTCAAGGAACACCCTTTTGCTCTTAGTAGATGGTAAAGAATGCAGACCTATACAGGAATGTTTTTTGGTGGGATCTTATCCACATGGTAATTGCTAGAATAGGCTGCAATAAAACCTAAATGTTTCCTTGATTTTGACTTCATTTGTACTACTTATCTTTTTTTGTCCAGTGTAGCCTGATTCCACAGTTCGTCTTTTTTTGTTCTGTTCTGCTCTATTAGCTGTTTCTAGCTGAAGTTATTCCAAAACTGGGAGAGAAATCCATTTTAATGTTGTTTGGATTTACCCTTAGAGCAGGCATGGAAAGCCTCTAGCCCGCAAGCCAAATTAGGCCCATCAAGAGTTCTGTGTTCTCCAAGCCATGCCAACCTGCCCCACACCTGATATTTTAGATCAGTTGGGAACTCCTAAATACAGTAGAACCAATCCCTACTGAAAGTTGCCATCAGTCAGTTGATAAGTGGTGACTTTAAACCCTGCTGCATTTTTTCTTTTGGTGGCACAGTTAGAACCCAACTTACACTTAGATAGGAACCTTCTTTGTAGCTGGGCTTGAGTTCAAGCAAGGTTATAAAGGAAAAATGGGTCATCTCATGTCCTGGTAACAGGTGATTGACAGATGGCCAGTCAATATGGCTTGCAGGGGGTGGGAGAGTTCAGGATCTGGGTTGCTGGCCCCACTTCTGCCTCATAATCAGAGGATGACAACCATATATTGCCTGTTCTACCTAGTAGACACAAGGGATTTCTGTTCTGCTCTGCTTTGCTCTATTCTGTTCTTTCCATGATTCATTAATTCCTAGTTTTTCTTTCTTGCAGGAAGGACAGAATCCAGGTCCTCCACCATTGATACCAGGACTGGGACAGCATGGAGGCCCAGGCCGCCATGGCCCTCACAACCAAGGACCTGGTCCTAATAAAGGTAATTAAATTCACTTTTCCTTTAGAACAAATGGCATAAGTTCACTATTATTGCAAAGCAAGCTTTAGCACAATTCAGTGCTTTATAGTTCTTTGGGGCTTTAATCCATAGACTAAGTCAGGCAACATGTGTCTTTATTTTCTCTCTTACGATACGCTGGGTCTGGAATTCTCTCCCCCTGTAAATATGTTCATCCTCTACCCTAATGATTTTCTGACATCAGGTGAATATTTCCTTGTTCCTTGTTCCTGGAGCAGTGGGTGGTGCTGATTTAGGAGAAATTGTGCTCTTTGCTGGGTTGTAGTATAATGTATACTGGTTTTAGGTTTATATTTTATGGTTGAAGGATTTCATTTTGTGAATTATTTTTATTGTTACGTTTTAGTGGAATAGTTTAAGGTGCTCTGTGAACCTTTAGGTTGAAAATTAGGGTACAAATTTACAAAATTAAATGATTAGTAGTGGCGCCCGCCCTGTGGAACGCCCTCCCATCAGATGTCAAGGAAGTAAACACCTATCTGGATTTTAGAAGACATCTGACAGCAGCCCTGTTTAGGGAAGTTTTTAATGTTTGATCTTTTATTGTGTTTTTAATGTTCTGTTGGGAGCCGCCCAGAGTGGCTGGGGAAACCCAGCCAGATGGGCAGGGTATGTATGTATGTATGTATGTATGTATGTATAATTAATTAATTAATTAATATATTGCCTTTTGGCACAGTAGGGACCAGTGCGACAAACAGCACTCATATACTAATATATAATATACTAGAATATAATATAATATAATATGTGTACCATTAAAACAGGTAAAAGTTTTATAAGAATATTTTGCTGATAGTTGTAACTTCATTGTCTGCACTTACGAAGTACATTCAGTTATACCTTTTATATTATTAATATTTTGTTACAAAGCACACACACATATTTCCTTTATCTTAAGGTGATTCTCGTGGGCCGCCAAACCATCACATGGGCCCTCTCTCAGAAAGGCGGCATGACCAGAACAGTGGTGGTCCTGATCATGGCCCTGAGAGGGGCCCCTTCCGAGGTGGTCAGGATTGGGGTGATGGTAGAGAAAATAGGGGCATGCCAGACAGAAGGGGACCTCATCCAGAGTTCCATGATGACTTTGATCGACCAGATGAATTTCGTGAAGACTTCCATCCAGACAAGCGATTTGGCCATCGCTTACGTGAATTTGAGGGACGGGGAGGCCCACCCCAAGAAGAGAAGTGGAGACGAGGTGGTCCAGGCCCACCTTTCCCCCCTGACCACAGAGAATTCAATGAGGGAGATAGCAGAGGTCCAAACCGTGGACCTCCTGGGCCTTGGGAGGGACGGAGACCTTCAGACGAGAGATTTCCTCATGAGCCTGAGGATGCACGGTACCGAGGAAGAAGAGATGAAAGGTAAAAATCATACAATGTTTATTATTCGATGATGAACAGTTATCTCCTGGTTTCATATTAAAAGAAATGAGCCTCATTTAAGTGAATTTGTACATTTTATGAAAATAGAAATTCCTGTTTGTAGGAACTCATCAAATCATTTATTAATAAAATAAAATTATGAAAATAACATTTTACAAAGTTCAGTTTTCCTAACGTGAGCACTAGGTCACAGCCAAGTGGACTCATAGAATCCAATTGTAGAGTTGGAAGGGATTCCAGGGGTCATTTAGTCAAACCCCCCTTTATTGTAGGAATCTCAACAAAAACATCCATTACAGATGGCCATCCAACCACTGCACAAAAAACCTCCGAGTCTATTCTACTGTCAAATAGCTCTTACTGTCAGAAAGTCCTTCCTGATAATTAGTTGGAATCTCCTTTCTTGTAACTTGAAGCCATTGGTTTGGATCCTATGCTCTGGAGCAGGAGAAAACAAGCTTGCTCCAGCTTCCATGTGACAGCTCTTCAAATATTTGAAGATGGCTATCACCTCTCATCTCAGTCTCCCCTTTTCCAGGCTAAACATACCCAATGCCCTCATAAGACTTGGTTTCCAGACCCCTGATCATCCTAGTTGTCCTCCTTTGCACACATTGCAGCTTGTCAATATCTTTCTTAAACTGTGGTGCCCAGAACTGGACACAGTATTTCAGGTGTGGTCTGACCAAGACAGAATAGAGTGGTAATATTACTTCCCTTTATCTGGACACTATACTTCTGTTGATGCAGCCTATAATAGTAGTAGCTTTTTTTGCTGCTGCATCACACTGTTGACTCATGTTACGCTTGTGGTCCACCAAGACCCCTAGATCCTTTTCACTTGTACTGCTAGTAAGCCAGGTGTCCCGCATCCTATATTTGTGCATCTGGTTCTTCCTGCCTAAGTGCAGAACATTACATTTGTCCCTATTGAAATTCATTTTGTTACCTTGTGCCCAGTTCTCCAATCTGTTAAGGTCATTTTGAATTGTGATTCTGTCTTCTGTGGCATTAGCTACCTCTCCCAGTTTAGTGCTATCTGCAAATTTGATGAGTATCCCCTCAATTCCTTCATCTAAGTTGTTTATAAAGACACTGAACAACAATGGGCCCAGGACAGAACCTTTCAGCACCCCACTTGTCATTTTTTTTAGGATGATGAGGAACTATTAATGAGTACTCTTTAGAAGTGCGTAGCAAGAGGCTTGGGTATAATCAGTGGAACATTTAATCAGAATTATTGAAAAGCCGCTTTTATTGATAATGACTTTCATACAACATAACATGTATTTAAATTTGACTGATTAAACAATTGGAAACCAGACAGCTAACTAAATAGTATTCAACTGGTTGAAAACTTTAGTTTCTGATTCCTGGAAAAGGTACAAAGTAAATAATGTTTTTTAATAATACAATCCCATTCCAGCAATGCGGAGAAATTGGGCATTTTTTATAGTAGTTGGAATTTCTGAATAGACAATGGAATTTTTCAGCATGGAGCTATATAGCTTCAAGTATATTCTTATGCTAATTTATATTTCTTTGGTTCAGCTATAGGAGAGGAACACCCTCAAGACATGAGGGCCGGGGATCCAGGGGAAGGGACAGCTTTTCTGGGCCTGACGACTTTGTGCCAGAAGAAAAGTTTGACTCCTCAGAGGATAACGCAAGAGGAAGAGATCATGGTGGCCGGGGGCGAGGTCGGGGTGCTGCTAGAGGTAAGAGAGCTTTGATGGATAATTTATACTCCGCTGAGGAATGTATTGGTGCAGTTAGAATTTTTATAATTGTTCTTTCAACTTCTTTGCATCCTTTGTCCATTGATTATACAGGGGGACGGAAAGGTCTGCTTCCAACGCCAGATGAATTTCCTCACTTTGAAGGAGGCCGTATGGATGGAAATCGAGAACCAGGTGAAAATATATTACTTTATGCAAGACTGACCACCATCAAATGTGCTGTCCCTTCTATTTTCCAGTTGCAGCTTAATATAGTTGTTACTGTACTTCATAAATAGCCTAATGGCATTTAGAAGCACTTCACCAGATTTTATATTAGCATTTATCTGAATACTGTATTACAAAACAGGGGGAAAGCTGAATAGGCTACCATATGATCTTTCTTACTGTTTTTAATTTCTAGATAGATACAGATACATGGAACTACAGATTAAAACTGGCCAGGATTTTCCTATCATGATCCAATGGTCCTCAGTCTGTTTTAGGTTTCTCCAAAAAGTTTCTCCAGCAACCCCCTTCAGTTCCCTGTTGGGGTAAGGGGTGGGAAATATTTAGCACTCTGGCTGAATCTGGCACACAAATTTCAACCAAACCTCATACCTAAGAAGTTTATCAGCAACAGATTGCAGAAACTATCCCATTTTTACAGAGAAGGCAGATTATTTCAGAGAGACACATTTTTCCTTAATATAATGGACTACGAGGCAGGCCTGTACAGTTCAGATAATCGGTAATGAGACAAAGTTGCTTTCCCATCCTTGTTGGGTGCTGCAAAAGAGGTTTCCCTTTCTCAGTGCCCAGCATGCAAATGCAGAGGGGGTTCCTGTAGAGGAAGAATGAGCTCTGCTGCTTGAAGTTTTTGATAAGGGAGGGGTGGAAAGAGGTACTCATGAACCATAGAAAGCCACATTTTTACCATAATCTACTCCCCCAGTCTCCTTCAGTAGCACCAAGAGCTTGGTGATTTTTCTGCAAGCGCTGTTCTTGTTCCTTTCTCACAAGAAATATGTCCATTGCCTGTTTCCCTATCAATCTCTATCCCTTCTCTGTCTAACGAAAGCAGAAAGTACAATCTCTACAGCAGCTCGCCTGGGGTGGAAAGGGGGTAGAACCTTCACCATCAGAGATAGTGGAACAGGAATTATTTGTGTGCTTAACTAAGAAAAGACAATGAGCCATCTTCCTGAGGTAAATTGGACGCTACAAAACTTTTATTCCGTTGTAATATTTACAAAAGATATTGCTAGAAAGGGGTTCCAAGAAGAGATTCGTTGCTGCACTGTACCAACATTTGTCTCTCTTGATTTTTCCCCCCATCATGGTTAGGTCCCCGCCAGGATCATCCACCTCATGATGGTCATTCTCCAGCAAGTCGAGAACGTTCATCCTCAATCCAGGGAATGGACATGGCCTCACTGCCACCTCGCAAGCGTCCCTGGCATGATGGACCAGGAACCTCTGACCATAGAGAAATGGAAATTCAAGGAGGGCCTCCAGAAGAGAGGGGAAAGGGTAAAACATAATTCTTTGAGATTAGAGAATTATCTCTAGAAATTTTAATTTCAAATATTAATGGAAATATCAATTTGGAAAATGTTGATTTTATTTTTTACTGCATTGATATCAAAATTCCTATATGCAGTGTTAATTTTCCCTACCAATTATCTTTAACTCTGCACTGTTTCTGCAGTGGAACAGGAGGCAGGAAACTGAGACACCATACTTTGATCTTATGTATTGCATGACTGGAAAGCAAACAAACTAGTGCATTTTCTTATTTTAGTTTGCAATATTTTTATTCCAGGGCGTGGGAAGTCAGGACCTTCACAGAGAATGTCAAAATCTGGGAGATCCAGCTCTTTGGATGGAGAACACCATGATGGATATCATAGAGAAGAACCCTTTGGAGGACCACCGGGAGGCAATAACCCTTCCCGAGGGAGGAGTGGGAGTAATTGGGGAAGAGGAAGTAACATGAACTCAAACCAGTCAAGGCGAGGAGGTTCTCGAGGTGGCGGAAGGGGTCGATAGAAGAGGTTATGACTGGGCAAGTCCCAGTCTTTCTAGGACAGTATTTAAATACACCTATTGCAGAATCATTGAGAAAGTAATTCTGCAGTCCCACAAACCTGGACTCTATAAATGGAGATAAATGAATGTGCATTAGTTCCTAAGAAGGTCTATTCAAAGATTAAATGCCAGCTAGTAATGCCATCACAACTACCTTTGTTTCACTCTCCTTGCCATCACAGTCCCTCATCACTTCCATATTTCTTGCATTGATTTTTGAAGATAAAAGCTGGATGTTTTTTTAGTGTTGTGAGACATGGAGCACCTCCACAGATTTCAGTTCATGTCCAGAAGAACTTGTTTCTATATGTACAGTTGTCAGGAAAAAGTTGAGTTGTTTTTGTATGAATACAGAATGCAATTTGTCCAAAAATTAACAAATGGAGTTTGTGATTTTTTATATACATATTTTCACATCTTCCCTCTATCATTCCCCACACAGTATCTTCCATGTAGTATAAACTGATGCATAGACTGCATTCTTGTCTCTGGATACAAAAGCATCCAATTGTCAGAATCTTGACAACTTATTAGTGTTATACTGATCTTGAGGGATATCAAACAGAAGCAAAATTTCACAAAACAAGACGTTATTTGAACAATCAGTGCCTATTTCCCCCAAAATTTGTGTGAAAGTATGCAGTGTCTATATTTGCCATTCACTGTGGACACAAGAGTCACTGGAATTAAGGTATGAGTTGCAGAAACAATTCCTTGAGTGATCTTCTGACACAATCTTGAAAGTGCAATTTCAACAGCTAATATTACTAAAGTTTTGGATTTTGGCTAGGAAAGAATACCCAGAATTGGCAAGTGAAGCTATTATCCATATTTCTCAACAATGGTGACCCTTAAAAACAAAACAAGAAACAGTTTAGCTGAAGGAAATGAGTTGCTTTTCTAATATCTCCCCTTACTGGAATGAAATCTGGAAGAACAAACATGCTCAGGTGTTCCACTGAAAGTGTCTTTAAAAACAACAACATTGCTTTTCAAAAGCTTTTCTGTCTTTTTGCTAAAAGTCATTAGTGTTTTATTAATATTATTACTAAATAAGTAAACTATATTGCTCTAAATTATTATTCTAGGATTATTAATGTACATTATTAGCATTATTAAGTATAAATCAAAAGTGAAAGTGGGTCCAACGTTGCAGGTTTGGACTCGGAAGTGGGTCTTGGGTCTGGACAAGTTTAAAGCCACTAAGGGTTATACTGCATACCAACCATGGAACAAAAAAATCACTGAGCCTTAAGACTTCTGTCACAAGGAATCAAAACTCCTTGGCCTAGGCTTTAATTATTCAATTTTATTAACAAAAATGACACATTACACATATTTGCAAAGCAGTGAACGTAAAGCACATACTGTACATGTTTCTCCAGTTCTCTTTGGTAGACAGTTTATTCCAATAGTGAAGCCTACCCAACTGCAGAAGAAAAGAACTAGAAAACAGCATTCTGGTGAAGTTTATTTTGTGCTTTTAAGTTTTGTTAAGTCTTTGTAGACATATTTCTACAGAGAAGCTTTGCAGTCTCTGTGTTATGCTGGTACATTTCTCAAGAGATGATCTGACAGTATTAAAATATCTGAAAAGCTTTTAGATGTGGTCAGTGCAGAGACAATACTGGTGCCATCTAGCTCTGGGAATGCCTGCTCCTTCCACCTCAACCACAGTTAAATGGGAAATATACATAGCAATCTTAAGGACAGTTATAACCAACAATCTAAAAAAAACAAACCACCATTAAAATATTGTTTTCAGCCCCTATTTAGATCTGAGGTTTTTTTAATGAGTCATTCAAATCAGTTTCACTTCTGAAAGTGCTATCAGCTAGTTTTGTAAACACTTCTATTGAGACCCAAAACACTTCAAAGTAAGTTTGCAAAAACCAACTATGAATACAAAAAATGTATACTAATACAAAAACCAAACACTTACAGCCCAATCCTAATGCACCCTCCCAATGTTGGTGGCTTTGTGGGAGGATAGAATACTATGCTTGTTACTCCCTGACAGCAAACAGATGTGCTACTGGTTTACAGGGTGGGGGCTCTATAGTGCAGGCTCCACCTTTGATGGGTGGAAAGCCAGCAATAAGACGTGAAATGGGTCAGGATGCCAGGGCTCTGGATCCTGTGCTTCCTCTGAGGCGCTTGATCCTTAGGCTTCTCAGCTATGCTAGTCTGGAGCTGGCACAGCAAAAATGTAAGAAAGAAATCCCCCTTCCACCCTGGCAAGCAAAAGCAGCGGAGTATGAGATAAAGCACCCTTTGCTCTATTGATATCAGGGCAGGGTTAGCCTACCTGTTAGGCTATGTACCTCGTTGTAAGTCCCTTTTAACTCAGCAGGGCTTCCTTCTGAGTAAACAGGATTGCACTGTTAAATGTGCTCTACAATGTGTCATGCTAATTAACACTATTTTTTAAAGTCCCAATTAAAAGATTTCAGAATATTTTTATCACACAGTTTAACAACACTTAGCACCATTTTGATTCAGATCTGCGGCATCTGCCATAGCCTGATTTCATTACAATGCAGGACCCACAAATAACAAGTTTGAAAATGTAAACAAATATGCCATCTTAATAGCAGATCACAACCTAAAGCCATAATCCTATGCATTTATTTTTTTTAAAAAGTCTCACTAGGACTTGCTTCACATGCACAGGACTGGGCTGTACATCAAGTAGTCAAGGTATCTATTCAGACATACTAGCTACTAAATTACTTTCAAGTTTTACACTTCATGTCCCACACTGATGCAGCATTTGTGTTTGAAGATAGTGCTCTAACATTCCCACTACAGCAAGAAGCCTTTCTCAGTAACGTACTTTTGAACTGGAAGTTATTTGCATATCATTTTTTATTGTTGTCAAAAATGTTTTATTGAGAGCTACAGACTTTGAAAAACTAATACTTTAACATTTGGCTGCAAACTCTAAGCCATTTTGCAAGGCTTACTTTAATGACTTCAAATAACACTAAGAGCCACAATTAAGAGGCAGCTTCAATGGTTAGTTTTAAAATTACATTATATGCAACTTACACTGCCAAAGTGTAGTGCTTGCAGCTGCTGTTGGTTTAAGTGGTTTACAGATTACATTTGTGGAGCAAATTGAACTTTACTCAGGTGATTTTGGTAGTGCATATTGATATATTAAATATGTCTATGTGATACCCATCCATCCCACCACATATCAATACTTCTAAGCTGTAGCAAGAACTAGGAGCCTGAGCAGTTCAGATTTAACCCATGGGCTTACAAAAATCTTCAATGCAAACATGGAATAAGTTATGACAGAATCGTATATGACAGATAGCCCCATGATCCAAAGAAGTTGAGGATAATATATTCAGGCACAGCTTTTTCACATATATTGTGATTTCCCAAAGTCACAACGAGAGCATAACCCATTATGGCAGAATTAGGCCCCATGTCTATATTATACTTGTCTTTAAAATCACTGACGTGAACTTCAGCAGTCTCATGGTCATGCCGTTTTGAATATGATCAGCCATAGAAGTCATTGCTTGAATGGGAAGTATGCTGGAAGTCAGCCCAAGAAAGAACTTGATATTCTTGTTATGGATAAACAAAGTACTGTATATACTGATACTGCTGACTTTTAGTAAGGCAAGAGGTTACATGGCAATTGGGAATGTTATGATACTAGGAAACTGAATGGAAGCAAATCACAACAGCTTCCAAATTTATTTCCTGCTCTGGCTCTGAAAAGTTGAAGAGACAAACTGATGATTTGGACCATCTCATTTTAAAAGAGTATAAGGTTCAACTACTTGTTATCGAAAGCACACTTTTAGAGCAGCTTTTTCTGAAGGAAAAAGAGCTGATCAGGCCAGTAGTAAATAGCAACTTCTCTTTCCCCCTACCATGCATCAGAAGCTGGAAAGGATGAGGAACCATCCAGTCAGTAAACCTTGAACACATACACACCAGAGTAGCCATCTCATCCTCACTCACTTGTGCTCTTCCTCTGGGTGGTGCAGAGATGGGGACAGCCCAACATAATAGCAAGTGGGAGTGTCATTCTTGCTACTATTGTCTTTCAGCCACTCTCAGCAGCAAGAGACAGGCAAGTGATGCTTGCCACTTCTTGTGACAGACCATTCCAGAAGAAATGAACTATCTGCTTGTACTCTTTAAGCAGCGCAACACAGAGATGAGAACAGATTGGTTGCTTCTTCAAAATAGAAGTGACATTATTGAAAACACTTTCATAAAAGCATGTTTGATATATTATGTAGTTGGGTTCTAAGACAAAGAGATAGGTCTGGCATCAATGTGCACCCTCAAGGAATCTGCCAACACATACTTGTACACTTGGCTGGGTCTGCCTGTTAAACAAAAAAACAAAACCTCATCACCTGCTGCTGAGAGGACATCTGAGTGGTTTCAGAGAGCAAGGGGAGACACAAAAAGACCTTTACCCAGTACCACTGTTAAAGCCCTTAATTGGTTCAATTGCTTGAGTAGCTTGTTCAGCCAAGTTCATACACCTTTGTTGCAATGAACTTCAACTATCCTTTTCAACTGCCTTGTGCGAAGGATGCAGTGTCCTGGTAAGGTTACTCAAGTACTCCTCTGCCCTCGATTCGAAAAGATAAACAGTAAAGAAACGTTATCCTACAAAATGCCCCATGGGCAGTCGGGTCTGGCCTGGAGACGACGTCCAGTGCTGCGCGTTGGTTTGGAGACAGGCAAGGGGCTCTTCACCACAGAGATCGATCTTGTTTTCCCACGTCCACGAAGGGCTTCGCCTTGACGACCGTCCTCACACGGGCAGAGTTTTGGACACGCTGCGTCGCACGGCGCCGCCCAAGAACCCGCCGACATAGCGCAGCCCGGTAGTCCCGCCAGGTACCGAAGACAGCAAATAGACTCCGCCGGCTCCCAGCTGGACGACGGCCCCCAGCGTGGTGAGCAGGGTGCTGCGGAGCCCAAGCGCCGCGTACAGAGTGCCGCCCACCGAGGCTAAGTAAAGGAGGGCCAGGCCGCGGCGGTCGGGCTCGCCCAGGAGGCGGCTCGGGCCCCGTAAGAAGCCCGCGGCGCCCAAGGCGAAGGTGGAGCCCAGCGACCAGAGCAGCGCGAACTTGCGGAGCAGCAGGAGCGACCCGTAGAGAGCGGCGAGACCGAAGCAGAGCGCGGCCAGCAGCAGGCACAGCGCGCTCCCCACCATCCGCTGCCAGCGGGACAGACCCGTCGGCAGCCACGGATCCGGCTCCGGCTCGGCTGCCCACGGCCACGTCTCCGTCGCGGGGAAAGGGTTGATCCGGCCCAGCCAAGTCCCCAACCCCGAGCCGGGCTTCTCCGCCTCATCTCGCGGCGGGTTCTGGGGCGCCGACAGGGCCGCCGAGCTGCCGCCCGCCTTGGACTGAGCTAAGTACTCCTGCAATTGCCGGTTTAGATCCGCCATCTTGGGGAGAAGGCGAAGGGCCTTTTGGGAAAGCGCTGGGGTGGGAAGGCAGTTGCCGATTGGTCAACTGTCGGCCGGAGTAATGCGCTTCCGTGGTTTTTCTAGTCGCCAAGGGAATAGGGTTTGCGTCATCAAGGACTTGGCTCTACTTTTTCCTTTAGAGACGCTGAACTATAGAGATATGAAACTTAGAGAGTGACCATCATCTGGAGAAGAAACGCCAGCCTCTTTAGACCTTGTTTTTTTTTCCCTTCCCCAGGGCGGAATTGAGAGCTGGCGGGGGCGGGTTCTAGAATTTTACTATCGATGTGATAAGACTGTGGTTCAGTCAGAAACAATTACGTAGCGGTAGCAAAGAAAGAAATGCTTGCTCTGTCCTTATGTAAAAGTTCTGTAACGGTATGCTAGTTTAATTGAAGTCATTTATTACTACAGCAGCTCCTCTTTGGGATGCCTCCCTGATTTCATTTGCCATGTCAAGATCACTATGAGCAACTTGGTCACGGGGCAGGGGTGGCAACTTGAATAAAATATTGGGGGTCCAGGTAAGCCCTGCCCAACATATGACTCGGTGCACGCGCACTATTTGAATGGCAATGCCCATCAACTTGGGACCCCTCTATAGTTTTGTGCCCTTCCCTCTCATTCCTATAGAGGTTGGGTTTGGAGATAAGTGACCCACTGGTTCTCTCCATTACATCAGGCTTCTGTTATGCCCACAGTGCTGTCCTGCTTGCTCATCTTGGCTCAGAGGCTTCTAGCCTTTGGCATATAAATGGTGTCTTACCTTCAAACGTCTTTACCAGTTGCATTTCAGCCCTCTCTGAATTGCAACCGTGTCCCCTTGCACTGTCGACATCTGCCACTCCCTAACTTGAGGATGTTAAAGAAGAATGCGCGAAGATTAGTTTCAATAAGGGCAAAGCTTGTACTGAATAACGGCTGCAGATCTGAGAGGTTTATTGTTGAAAGGATAGCGCAGAGATTCTAGCATAATATTGGGTGGGAGAGGCATGTAATGGACTTCTGTGACTGCCCCTGAATGACCAGAATAAGGATAAACCGAAGAGCTTTAGGGGGGGTCTTCATAGTCTCCGCTGTCCCTTTGGGGCTGCTCCCACTGCGGTGCTTACACGATGGGTTTCCATTTCCTACTCAGCCCTACGGAGCACCAACCAGCCGCCCCTTTAGCTCCCTACACGTCCCTCTCTTTCCCGCAAGCTTGGCTCGTGCCCTGCCGCCCAAGCGCTCCCACCGCCTGGCCCGCCCACCGGCCGGCCGCTGCTATTTCATTATTTATTATTTCATTCCCTTTCTAGGAAAAGTATGTGCTGGGCCGAGCCGAGGGGCGGGAAGAGGAGGCCGCCCGTCTTCTGGAGGCGTTGGGGGGCGGCCCGCCACCGCGGCTGACCCAGGGCGGAGGACAGGCGAGAGCCAAGCGGGCCGGGCGCTGCTGCTGCCTGAGCCGGGGACCGAGTGGCTCTAGAGCGCGGGCGGGTCTCGTCCTCTCCTCGCTTGTCAGGACAGCCGCTGCCGCTGCCTCAGCGCGGGGCCGGGAGCCGCCATGACGGGCAGGTAGGAACTGAGCAGCAGGAGAAGCCCTCGGGGTCCCCTCGCCAGCGCCGGCGGTGAGGATGGGCGGAGAGCGACTCCGCGGCCTCTGGCTCGCAGAGCGGGCAGTTCAGCCCCGTTTCCAGTCGAGAGCCTTCCCGCCGCCGGCAGCCCCCTCCTGGCCGGTGATATTATCACTTGCGCGCTCGGAGCAGCCCTTGGGAGTGCCCAGAAATCGGCCAGCTTAGCTGCTCAGGCTTTTCGCCCTTCACTTCGGGATCAAAAGAATGAAATGATGTCAGGGAGGTGTTTCATAGCTGTCAACTTTTCCCTTTTTTAAAGGGAAATTTCCTTATTCCGAATAGGATTCCTCGCAAGAAAAGGGAAAAGTTGACAGCTGTGAGGTGTTTACGAATTGGGCTTTCCACGGAATTTGAGGCTGCCTTTTTTTTATTGCTGCAAACCGCTTTGTTAGGCCTTTTCACACACAGCCCCTGAAAGATTCCTGTTCCACAAGGCGTCCTTTTTAGGGTGCCCAAGACTCGCTGTTGCTTCTGCTACAACAGACTAAACCCACCCTGGAATGTGTGACGCTTGCCATTTTTGTTTTAATTGTTTGGTTCAATAGTGTACTGTATATATATGCAAAGCCCAGACACTTATCTGTTACTGGGCATGTGAAGGAAATAATGAAGGGAGCATCTCTCCAGCAAGGGCAGAGTGAATTTCCCTCAAGGAGGGACCGCAGAGAACTGGCAAAACAAAAGATGGTGTGGTTTGGGTACAGAAATATTGTAACAATGATAAAACAATCAAAGAGCCTTGTGGCAAATTAAAGACTAACAAGTTTATTATGACGTAAGGTTTCATGAACTCAAGCCCACTTTGCCAGATGCATGAAATTTAGTTGGCAGGTATAAAGGAGAAAATTTCAAGGTGGGAGTTGAATAGCAATGAAATGAAAAAATTGCAGTCAGTGAAAACTAGAGCTTAAATATATGTTTAAGGACCATGCCCAGAGGCAAATCTAGATGCTAACTCTGCCCCTGTGTCATTCTGGTTACACTAGAACAGGATCTAATAATGGCATCCGTAATACCAGGGGTTTATTCACCTAGTGAGATTTATACTATCATCTGCCAACAGTGCCCTTCATAGGACAGACAGGTCTGTCTGATAATTGAAATGGTAATATCCATAAATCAGTGAGAGAATATTTCCACCTCTCAGAGCACTCTGTAACTGACTTTAAGGGTGACCATTCTGCAGCAAGAAACAATACAACTCAATACAGTTCCTCAATAAGTTCAGTGCCATCACTTATGGGTCAACCTGAAAGAAAGAATTTTTATCACACTGTGTGTGTGAATTAACTTACCATTATCAGGATATGACTTTCTTGCCAATGGTTTTCAGCCATACTACAGGAGTTAATCTTAGCAATTAGCACCAATCTGCTACTGCAAAAGGCGTACATATTTAACATATATTTAAGTTCATATTTTTATTGTAATTATTGCATCTCATTGCCATTCAACTCCCACCTTGCAATTTTATTCTTTTTATACCTATCAACTTTCACTTTATGCATTTGAAAAAGTGGGCATGAGTCCCAAAAACCTTATGTCATGTTACATGTTGTTATTCTTTTAAGGTGCCATAAGATTCTGATTGTTTTCTTGCAAGGAATTAACACAGCTGCACCTCTGTAACTATAATTAGACATTAATTGCTAGTGTGAGTGACCATCCTGTGAATGTTCCCCATGTTATCTGTGCCTTGAACAGATGTAGGTAGGAAGAAGAGTGGATTGGAGATCCCAATGAAGTTTTGTGTTTTATGTATGAGCTGCCTTTGTGTATCCCATCTATTGCTTTCTGCATGGTTTTCTGTGGTCCCTAACATTTAGGGCAGGAGGAATCAGAACTTCTTATTTCCCACCCTGTGTAAAACTAATCGGGACAAATGGAGCACTGACCACATAATGCTATGCATGTTAACTCAGAAGTAAGTCCCACTATGTTCATTCGGGCTTACTCACAGGTAAGTTTGTATAGAATTGCATTTGAATGTGTTTCATAACGTGATATTATTTCCCAGTTCTTTGGGCTCCCTGTAGCTCAGGTGGAAAAGTTATAATGATTGATTATGACCAGAAGGAATTAAAGGAAGCATGTGTTTCACTTTCTCATACTCACCTGTTTGATTATATGGCTATTTTGTTAAGTAACTAAAAGGAGGAAAAGCAATATTGAGCAAACTGGATTCTTCAACAAACTTATATTTTCAAAGTCTTTCATAAGACCTGTTTTAAATAATACACTGTTAAGAATCTAATTCTAACAATCATGTCTTGTTTTTGTGTAACTATAAATTGACATGATTGTTAGAATTAGATTCTTAACAGTGTATTATTTAAAACAGGTCTTATGAAAGACTTTGAAAATAAAAGTTTGTTGAAGAATCCCGTTTGCTGATTATAGCTTTTCCTCCTTTTAGTTACTTAACAAAATAGCTCAGGTGGAAAAGTTATAATGATTGATTATGACCAATGGTCCTTGATTATGACCATTCTATGAAATGAACTGATACTCAGCTGTCCTTCCATTTTCTCCCAAAAGCAACCTTGCATAAGCAGTGTAAGTTCAAGATTGATAAGGAGTTGTTTAGGAAGTACTTGATACAAGTTCAGGTATTCAGGGTCAGATGAATTTCTTTATAAAATACTAAAGGAACTGGCAGGTCTTGTCTCAGAAGATATTTGTATCATCTGAGAAATTTTGGAGAACAGGTGAGGTGCCATAGAACTGTAGAAAAAGTTTGTTGTTGTTATTGTTGTTTTATCACTTATATGCCAAAGTGGCATGTTGTCTCAATCCTCAGAAATGGGGGAAAGGAAAATTTGGAAAACTATAGACTATAGAGTTGATTTTATAAGGTTAAAGTCAGATCAGTGCCTCATTGAGATACTGCCTGGGAACTACAGAAATGCCACCTTGGGTTGTAGGATGGAAGAATGCAGGATGTAAATGTAAGAAAATATATCAAGAAGTTGATTTGTGAGCACTTTGATAATGCAGTTATTAATAGAAGACAGCATTGATTTTTCAAAAATGTATATTGTTGCTAAACTCAGTACTTTTTTGAACATATTACTAGTTTAGTGGATTGTGGGAATGCTTTTGCATATAAATTATCTTTATTTCAGCAGAATGTTTGACAAAGTTGATCATGATATTTTCATTAGCAAACAGCTTAGTGTTGGCTAGATGATAGTACTGTCAAGTGATTCCCAGAAGATTGCAAAATTGTTCAGAGAGGGCTAATGGAAAGAAGTTTCAAGTGGGGTGCTGCAGAGCTTTTACTTTGACCCAGTACTCCTTAATGTTGTAATCAATGACTTAGATTAAGAGGTAGAAGGCATGCTTATCAGATATGTGGATGACACAATACTGGTGAGGATACCTAACACATCAAAAATAAAATTCAAAATGACTTTTATCAAATATCTCACCTGGCGTCTTCCTTAAACATCTTTAGGCACCAGGTGAAAACATTCCTCTTCAACCAGGGCTTTGGCTGGTTAACATTCTAGGTCCTTTAAATGTGTTTGTAGAAGGGAGGTTATTGGTTTGTTTTGGTTTTGCTCCTGTTTTTATGATGTGTGTTGTACTTTTGTTTTGTATTTTTATGCTGTGAACTGCCCTGAGATCTTCAGATGAATGGCAGTATATAAATTTAATAAATTAAAAAAAACCAGAAAAATTTACAAAATGAAATTCAGTAGGGACAAATGCAAAATTCTAGATTTAGGCTAGCTAAATAAATAAAATATCCAGGTACAGGATGTGGGATACCTGACTTGGCAGTGGCACACGTGGAAATAATATTGCAATTGTAGTCAATCACATGTTGAAACGAGCTATTTGTGTGCTGTGGCTGCACAAGAGGCTAACGTGATTTTTGGCAGTACAGTATTAACAGAACCGTAATTTCCAAGCCACAGAAAGTAATAGTTCTACTGCATGTCACAGTCACACTTTCTCCTGAGCTCTGTGTCCATTTTGGGTTGCTGCACTTTAAGAAGAGCATGGACAAACTGAAAAAGGTTGAGGAGGGCAACAAAATGATCAGCAGTATGGAAAATGAGGAATAGATGAACTGTGTATGCGTAGTCTGAAGAAGGAAAGACTGAGAGGAAACGTTGATAGGGCTCTTTCAATACCTGAAAGGCTTCCACAAAGAAATAGGAGACTTGTTCTTCTTCCTTAGAGAACAGGGGTAGACCTAATGGGCTTAAGTTACAGGTGAGTAGATTTCAGCTGAACATTAGGACAAATGTTTTGATGGTAAGAGCAGTTTGACAACAGAACTAAGGTGGGTTTGACCTCACTGGAGGTCTTCAAGTAAAGGCTGGACAGTCATCTGTTGGCGAAGTTGTCACTCAACATTTCCAGGCACTCACCAAATTTATGATTCTGTGACTAATGGATTGAGAGAGGGATTAAGGCTGCATTATTATATGCATAAGCCAGGTGCACTAGGCCAATATAATGTTCACCTCCAGATGTGTGAGTGGAATTAGCAGGTGCAAAACCAAAGGTACTTAATTTCAACACTTCCTGCTTGAAATATTTGGACCCATTGCTCTGAAAGATCATTAAGAAAGCTATTGTTTTCGTGTTTAAAAATGTTAAAAAGCAGGTAGAATATAGGAAGGAGTGATTTTGCCAGTACTTTTTTGTCGTTTTTATGAAATAGATTTTGGAATTGTCATTTCTTACTTGTAATACATCTAATTATACATCTGTGCTTGGTTGGGGTACTGGGGAAACTTTTCTGCTACTTGTTTGTGCTTCTTAGTTTAAAGGACTGGTTTTCTGCATTGTTGGATTTTGCTACTTTTTCTTTTTTCGGCCTGGATTTTTATATAGCCAGAATCAGCAATAGTAAACATAATCGCACATAATTTTCAGTATATGAAAAAGTTGTGGTTTTTTTAAAGGAGAAATAAGTTGAGGGGGGTTAGACTAGATGACCCTCATGTCCCTTCCAACTCTACAATTTGATGATTCTGAGGTTAGGGAGGTCTGGATCATCCAAACAATATAAACGCTAGTCATGACTCCAGCTTATGTAATGTGATCTCCCTAAAGTGGGCGTGGAATTAGTTGTGTAAAGGAACAGCTTGAGTCTGTAACACTACTGCATCTCAGAGAGAAGATAGTGGGGAATGGAATGTAAAGTATGTTTCTTTTCTCAGCTTATTGATATTCTGACTATATGTGGCTTTTGAAGTAAGCTTCAAAGCTAGCCTGCTGTTTTCCAGCATTTGTTTTCCCAAGTGGCAATCAGATCACTAGGTAATATAGAATTGTGATGGAACTGGTCTAAGAAGACTGATACGAAGGAGTCTATTTCAGCAAGTAGTCTTCAGTATTAATTACTAAACAAATTTGGTGGGGGGGGGTTTCTCTCAAATTCAGTTTTTTTGATTCTGTGATTTTAGTAAAGGAATCAAGGTGAAAAAATCAGGATTTTTTAATTTTAGTTCTTGTTCAAATGACTCTGAACAAATTACACTAATTCCACACTTGAAGAAAAGAAGGAAGATGTTGAATAGTTACAGAGCAGCAACTGCTGCATAAGAAGCACGGACTTGTTCTTGTAGTATTTCTGAGAAAAGCAGTTATCCGAAGAAACTGCTTCCTTGAGCCTACAGTGTTATTTGTGGACTGCTCTTCAGTTATCCTCATACAGCTTTCTTCCCAGAGGTAATGAATTCCATGGCTGGCGTGAAACTTCGGGGGCTAGCATCTTCCAAACTCTATCAACGCCGGCAAGATCGTCTGAGTGGCACAGGGTCACTATGGAATGATGGGAAAGACAGGGCAGCTGGGATATCTAGGTAGGTTATTTGGATAGCTGTTTTAGATTAATGGTCTCGGATTATTGGAATGTTTCCTTTGAAGCAGGAAGGAAGGCAAAACTAGACAGGCTGACACGACTGTGTTTCAGTTTCCACTCTTTGTTTGAAGAGGTATCTTTGGCTCTGGTGTTAACAGTTCTGAACAATAACAGGAAAACAACCATGGGAACTTTTGCCTCCTTGGTGATCCTGGGCAGGCTAACAATGTGGGAGTTGTAGGCACCACATAAACAAAAGCTAAGGCGCTGTGTAGTCTTAATAGTCTTGTGAAAGTTCAATCTTTTGTTGACACCTGGAACAAACCAATACTTTTATACCACCCAAAATAAGTCTTTTCCATTGTAAATAGTTTTCTATGTTATTTTCTTTCTTTCTTTTCATCATATATTGAATTGTCATACTGAAAAAAGAATAGGGATTTGCCCTTCCCTTAAGATCTCTAAAGCAGGGCAAAGTTCAGCAAGCACAGTGTTTCCTGTCTTTGTGATATGTCCCCATGGAATTTCAGTGGTTTTCAAAATTCTTACAAGAAACAATACCCTTATCCCCTCTGGAACATGATCATATGCAGGATAAATTAAATAAACACGTTGATACCTATCATCACCTAGAAGACTCCTGCTCAGTTAGGCTTTTAATTTTTTTGCCAAGTAGTCATCAACTTGTGTCTATTGCAAGGTTGCCATATTTCAAGTGAAATCCAGACAAAAATTCGTTGAGCTTTTATTGGAAGGGGCAAAGTTGTTGAGCTTTTTTTTGGGGGGGGGGGACACCATTGTTTCACATAACATAAAGCTATTTGGATTGCATTTGGTCTGGTAGTAGAACCTGAAGCCTTTTCTTTTGTTTTAAGCAAATAATGTCAGGTCTGAATTGCACTAGGCTGTAGGCTCTGTGTCTTAATCTCATTTCCCACAGTAATCCATACACTAAAACATTTCTGTTTTCGTGACTCACTTACATCCCATATGAAAATGTGTGGTTTTGGTGCATGAGAGGGTACTGCTTTAGATGCAGGGGAATTAAAGGGGAAGATGCTACAATAGAAGACAGGTTCATTTACTGAGATTGGAAGAATACTGAAATAATTCAGAAGGGGAAGAATTGTAGATAAAATGGAAAGTGTAGGGCAGTGCTTTTCAAATTGTTCCACTCTCTGAGAGGTGTTTGAGCATGTTGTAGAGAACAGGTGGCATCAGTTGGGTCCACCAATTCTGGCTGGCATCTCAGAACCCAGAATCCTCAGCCAACTAACTTACTTAAATCAGATGTGTTTATGTACATTAAAGGTGAATCAGAGACTTGGCTCCTGAACTCTTGATTTGCTTCTCTCCTGAGATGTGAATTCTTACATCACAGCAGGTATGCAGAAGTGTTGTAAGTGCTAAAGGTTTTTCAACCAACATGGATAGATAGTGAGCAAGTATTTGTGAGGCAGAAACAGCCCTCCCCCAATTTACTTGTCTGTACTGAAAGGTAGAGTTAAGAACAGCCCCTTCTGAATTCTCAGTTGTGCAAACAAGACTGATTGTTTAACACAATGGCATGAAATACAGTCCGTATCTACAGGAAAAGGGGTGCCCCCACCCCAAGCATCTTCTTCTTAAGGAATTAAATATAACATTGGTATGTTTAAGGAATTAAATATAACATTCACCACGCCTTTATGCTACATTGCCAACTCATCTTTTACATGAGACAGAGATACTGTAAATCTTTGGTTAGAGTTCCTAAATATATCAGAGATCAAAATAAATTCTGGTTGTGGACTGCCTCTCTTGTGCCATCAAGCTCCCAGCTGAGTTGTCACAAGGACCTCCTGAGCAGCTGTGAATTTCAAGCACAGCAGAGCTCCAGGAGAATTAATAATAGTGATGTTTGGGTGTGAGAGAGGGTGCACTTGTGTTATTTCTGATGACCTCTTCCTCATGCTGATTTCAATGTATGTTTGAGCCACAATGTGAAGAAAATTCCACAGACCTAAAGAGGTCTCTTTCGTTGTTGCCTTTTCTTGTTTTTTGTTGATCTTGACTGGCTAATTTGCACATGAAGACTTTTATACCCAAAACAGAATACCTCCATTGTATTAATTAAAACTGATTATTCTTAATTATAAATCTTTTAAGCTTTGCATATCTGATTATGCTTTGACATTAGACATCACACTTGGTAAACAGCCTTCCTATGCCATCTACACTGTGCTTTGGTTATGAGTCACCTCTCTGTTGATCTCCAGTGGATCAATGGGATGTGTTTACCAGTCCAGCACAATCCCAGGGACAATTACTGCTACAGAGCTTATGTTGCTCACTTTCAGTGGTGGTGCAGGTGCTGTATTGTCCTGTGTTGTCCCACTCCTTGGTTCTCAGGCACAAACATATGAGCTTTCTTTAAACCAGATGGCACAGTCCTTTCCAGATGGCACTTTTCAGATATCTCCATTTCACTGCCTCTAGTCTTGTCATTAATAACTATTATTGTCCTGCAGTTTCTCCAGTGCAGCCTCAAAATGAGCATGGAGTTGCTATCTGAAGCAAGCTGTCCTCCACCAAACTTTGCTTCCAGCTTTGTGGCATGAATAAGTCTGAAAAGTTTATGCTGTTCATATAAAAGTGGGAAATGGATGATTGCTAGAGCAGCTGCAAAGGCTGAGAGGTCTTAGCAAGGGGCTGGCAAGCACAGTTATAAAAGTAATTAACTAATAGACTGGTTGATGGAGGTAAGTACTTTAACAGGTAGGAACAATAATGGAAAGACCTTTTGTAGGATCAGATGAGGGCAAGGTTGAAGAGTTACTTCCATTTGGAGATGGAGATGTATATTTAAGGGAATTTTATAACAACATCTGTGAAGTTTGCACTTTTAGATTTGTCCGTGGCCAGGATAAAAACTCATCCTGTTTGATATCATAATTATGTGTAATATTTTCTGAATTAATCTTGATTAATTTACATCAGGCTTTCTTTAAGGCACTGTGACTTCTCCATGGCCTTCGTACTTCTCATTAACAACGACATTTTTATTTATAACAGTCACTTATTCTGTTTACCCTTTATCAGTTTTATTACATCTCTGTATATCCCAAGATAGTTTTGGGATATAGCACCTAATTACTCAGTTTCATTATAATTTTTCCTGTGCTCTCATAAGATTGTCTGGATAGCTGATTGTTCGTAAGATTCTGCTGGGAGTTATGAAAGCCTGCTGCCACTATGATGTTAAATATGATCAATCCTCTCACATTTGACATTTTTAGCCTGTTGTGTGTGGGTGGATGAGTGGGATGGATGAATTTAAGACCTGCATAGCTAGAATCCAGAAATGTTTCCAAGGACAAAAACATGGGCCTGCAAGGACACAGATTATTTGTCTCTTGGTGGGAGTTTTCATTTCTGTTTCGTAAAGCCCATTAGGACTCCTTCAGCTCTTGCATAAACATTCGTTCAATTGTGTTTGTGTCCTGTTCAGTATGTCCCACATTATATGCTTCCCTGGTAGTTTTTGCACTTTGTGGTGTGGAATATATTTGTGTTTAAATATCAAAGAGCATGAGTAAATCAACTGCATTTTCCTCCAAGGTGACTTTGCTTGCTTCCAGTCCCTTCCATAGTAGCATAGGTGGCCTTGGGTGACTCTGCTCTGCCAAGGCAATGATAGAGGGCAACTGCTGATGTGTCAGGAGCCCTGGTGGCTGATTCCGTACTGACTTTGGAGTTAGATCTCTTGAAAGCATAGTATTTGTATTTTGCCTTTTGCAGTTATCCATGCTTCAGAAAGTGCCCATAGGCTTAACTTTTCACATTAAAACTCTGGAGGGGTTTGTTCACTCTTTCACATCTGTTGAAGAACACAGCATCAAGGCTATCTCCAAACTCAGAAGATTCCTTGTGAATTTTTATTTGCATGAGTGATGTTGATAGTGTCTGGCTCTGTGACCCAGTAGCATTTCTAAGCCATAGATTATCGGAAGCAGATATGGCTGGAAACAAGACTGTCCAGATCACAGAATTCTACACATAGTCAGAGCATGCTTTAAAACCAGCCAATGGATTCTAAAGGTAATGTAAAGCACTTATCTGAAAGTGGACATTCAGTTATTTGTTTTTTCATTCTATTGTCTGCTTGAGACACTGGCATCTAAACACATTTATTGTAAATTTCCATTGCTTTCAGTGACATTTAAGACAAATCTAGACATCAGCAAAGTTGACTATTACAAAGAATATTCTGTAAAGGGCACAGAAAATTTATTGAGTTTTCTTGGTTTTCTACTTTGTGCTAGAAAATGCCTTATTCAGTCCTCTTATGCAGTTTGGATTCAAATAGGCTTATCATTGAAGTTGACAGAAAATATCCCACTGACCTACTGGAAGATTTGGCTTTCTAACATGGAGGGGTTGATGAGCATATATGGAACCCTTCAATATATAGATTTTGTATATCTGATACCACAAGTATGGTAAAACATAAATAAATTTGTAAGCCTGGACTTCTCATTCATTTGATTAATTTGATTTAGGTGGTTTTGATGGCTTCAGTATGTAATTGTGATATTTCTTTTTCTGTTTTGTTCCCCAGTAACATGTCAGATGCCCTTGCAAATGCTGTGTGTGAGCGCTGCCGAGCTCGCTTTGATCCAACTGAGCGAATCGTGAACAGCAATGGGGAACTATATCATGAAAACTGCTTTGTCTGTGCTCAGTGCTTCCGCCAGTTTCCAGATGGACTCTTCTACGATGTGAGATCAGCATCTTTCTGATAGCGTGAAAAGCTACTTGACTTTTCCCTTCACTTACATGATTTTAAGAAGCTTGACTGAACTTTCTGTGGGGTTTGATTATCCAAAATTCATTTGAAATTCTTACATCAATGACCCCCTTCCATTTCCTCCATGTATACAGTAATTTAGCTTTGATATGATTCAATGATTCAGTCATCAATGAGGGGTTGCTTTCCTAGGCAGGACACCGGTATTGTCAATAATGCCCTGCTTCAGACATAGTGCTGAGCTATTGTTTAGTGTTATGTTCTTGAGCCAGGGCTTGTCTGCTCCATCCTTCTCTAGGATAGCCACAAGGATGTGATTAGAAGCTTTCATTTTCATTCTCAGTTAACCACAGACAAGCATTAACATCTGAATCCTAAACTGTGGTTTGTTTTAACTGCGGTTTATTGAAACAAACCAGTTTCATAAACCACAGTTCAAAGTTGACTTGTTTCGATTAAGCATAGTTAAGACTAACCGCAGCTTGTCCTATATTGGGATTAGATGCTAAACTTCAGTTAGTTAAACATGGAAGCAACATTTTGTTCTTTTATTTGGAGATGTATTGGAGGAAGTGTAGGGGTGGGGGAAGTGAGTAAGCTGATGAATTCAAGGCCCATTCACCTGTGGAATGCTGTCACTGTGCTGACCCATCTCAACAAATGCAACATTGCCTGGTCCAGAAGGGTACCCTGTTGCTCTGCCGCCCATCATGCTCTGTTCTGCAGCCAATATAATTAAAATGAGAGAGTGTTGTAAGAGTGCAGCACATGCTTATAGAACAAATATATTGTTATTGAAATGTTGATCCAAAATAGGTTGCATTAGGGATTAGCTTTCCTAAGAATAAATTACTTCAAAGGAACACCAAAAACTGCAGTGATTGAAATAATGGTGGTAAATAGTTTGCAGAAGCTAGAACTTTGCACTTGCATTCTGTGTAACAGTAGCTTCATACGCACCACACATTTAAAGCCCACCCCCTTCCCAAAGAATCCTGGGAACTGTAGTTTAAGGGTCCTGGGAATTGTAACCCTGTGGTGGGCAAACTAGAATTACATAGTGGGAATTTTGTAAAGATATGTTCTCCTGCATCTTTTTTTACAGTTTGAAGGGAGGAAGTATTGTGAGCATGACTTCCAGATGCTGTTTGCGCCATGCTGTGGGGAATGTGGTAAGATGCAGATCACTCAAGCCTTCTCTCTCTCTTTAAGGAAAGCTACACAAAGGTGAAAGAATTATTAATGATGGATGTTGTTCTCATCAGGCACTCTGGTCAAGAGCAATAAAATAATTAGTTTTGAGGTTTTAAAGCCAAAGTTCCTGAGATTCAGAATATAGTTTTTTTATGTTTCAGTGGCATGGATATTAGTCCTGAGCCTGAAAAATTTGGGTATGAATTATTCAGTGGCCTTCATTAAGTCACTCTTACTCAGACTCAGTTTCTTCGATAATAGTTAATTGCAGGCTTATTCTGAGTCTAAGATAATTGTAAATTACTTTGCAATATAAATGATTAAAATATATCATCCATGGAATTCTCTGTGGGGATGGCAGTGCACATAGAGAAGAGTCCTGAAATAAATCAAGTGTTTTAACTGAAGTGTGGTGCTTCTATTCTAAGGTGAATTCATCATTGGCCGTGTTATCAAAGCAATGAACAATAACTGGCACCCAGAATGCTTTCGTTGTGAGCTCTGTGATGTGGTTCTTGCTGATTTGGGCTTTGTGAAGAATGCTGGCAGGTAAGAAGGATCTGAGGACGTGAACATGAGATAATTCTTTGGATGTCAGGACCACTTCACACTCTAGAAGGAGAAATCCCAGGGTGCGTGGTGGGATCTGCAAATGCATGCTTTAAATATGTGCACACCCAGAGAAGGAGATGCCAAAAAATCACAGGCACATATGCACTTTTGCAGAGCTGATAATGTCTTCCGAAACACACATTCATCTCTCTTAAGTATGATGGTTTAGCATGTGAACTGCATGCATATATGAAATGTGTGAAATGTTAAGCAGTCTTGTTGTGGGATAAGCAAGGAATCTGGACCTTGCTCTTAAATGCATTGAGGCATATAGCACAAATGAATTGGGAAGGTATTGGCAGAAAACTAGAGAATGAGTGGAGAACCATCCTCAATTGTAAGCAAATTACTTTTAGAAAAAAGGTGAGGGAGTAGAAGAGGAATAACCTATGTAAACATGAAGATTAGGGATTGGATAATTACTCACCAGAAACAACTTGGTGGACAGACAGCACACTGAACAGACCACATAACTTCTTTTTTTCCTCTGAATTTAATAGTTTTTGATTTTTAATAAGTATAAACAATATTTTTTTAAAGAAAGTATAAAATATGAAGCTAAATGAAGTAAAAATAGACACCCAAGCAAACGCCCTTCAACAGGGAAGTAAAACAAAAACAAAAACAGCCTAGTAACTGCACCACAACATTTGAATCTTAACTTTTGGCATCACTGCATGCGATTTCTAGCTAGAAGAGTCTCTGAGTTTATATTCTCACTTCTTGGGTGGGCAGCGAATAGAACAGCTATGAAAGAGTGATGCAGTTTATCTGGTCATAGTATAAACCTTCTGAAATGGCCTTATACTGATACATTTCCTATGTAGTCCTGATGACTAGCCTAGTAGAACTGAGCTAATTAAAAGGGAACAACTGAGTATGGTTTGTGCGCCTTTTTTCTTTGTTGCAAGGTCTCTGTAGTGAATGCAAAGTCTGTTATAGGAAAGCAGTCAGGATTCCATGGTTAACAGGCAAGTTGCAAGACTCCATAATATTGTAGCTGAACATTTGCTTCTTCTAAATAAGGGTACAATGGGGTCATTTTTAATTATCTCACTGAGGACTCAGCTAGACTGGTGAAGAAAAAGTGATTTATATGTGTTGTATGTGCGATATAACCTTGTGCCACCAGATGGCGACGTGGAGCCCCATTTTTCTCTACCTGTTTTCCCTGTTTACAACTCTTTCAACTGAAACGCTTCTTTGATGTGTCCAAATCCAGCCAGGGTCTCCCCTTTTAGGTAGCCATGTACATTACGTCAGTTGTGACACATGCAGTTCACATTTCTCTTCTCCCCGGCCCTTACCCTGGCCGTGCTATGCTGTACAACGGCTTTGTTGGAGCATCAAGCAAACTAACGGTTTGCCAACCTGATTTAGAAAGAAGAAATACTCTTGAGCATGTGCCATTTCACATCATCATGACTACAGGAATAATAGGAGGTTTGCTTATGCTTCCCTGATGGTAGACTCATTTACTTGTAGAAAAAGACAATGTATATTTGAAATACAAAATAAACAAGGAGCTGTAGCTGTGCATATGGCTGGCCAGCCACCCTCTCACTATATAACTTTATATATAGTAATAAAAAAATACATTGAGGTGACCACCATTAGAATGTATACTCTGGCATGTCAATACCTGCCCAGGTGATGACGTCAGGTCTACCCATTTGCTGCTGCCCTCATCACCTTCCACTCTCCGGTGATAATTTAGGGGGTTGCTGGACTCCAGGGTCATAGATTTAGGCCTAGCTGCACCACTGCTTCCAAAAAAGCTATGGCAACAAGAGTTCAGTATAAATGATTTCTTGCACAGCACGTGAGTGCTCAGAATTTGGGTGTAGCAATTATCAAAAATTACAGCACAGACTTGACATTGAGACAACAGGCAAAGGTTCTGGTGAAGTGGCTCTTGACTGAGGATTTTTGTTCTGTTAAGGTGGATATGGTAGGTACAATCTGCATTAAGCAAGGGCAATTGCGTCCGTAAGAGTTGCATCTTAATAGTTAAACTGAACTAGATTACTCATTTGTAGCAAGCTCCCTAGAAATCTTTTAGTCTTGTGCATATGATTCATGAACCATATACTTCATGTAAAAACTTACAGATAAAATGAAACAAGTTGTGTCATGTCATTGTTTCTAAATGTTACTGAAAATAAGAGCTGCAGCCAAGGCTGTAACAAAAGAGAGTTTTAAATTGTAATGTGGTGTTTATATCAAGTTTAGTGCTGTCCATAGTCAAAAGGTCAACAATGAGACGATTGAGCTGTCTAGAGAATCAAATGGTTCTCCTTTCTTGCAGATGTGTTGGAGGCTTTGAGGATTTCCTTTTCTTATCAGGTCATGTTAAAATCTATATGCACAATCTTCTCAAAGCTCTGCAGATGTAAAATTAGAACACCTTTCTTAGAGAATGTCAGGACTATTGAATCTTAGCTGTGTAGTTTGCTTGCTTGATAACTGAAGATGGAAGTATTTGCCTCAGTTATTTTTCAGTACAAAAATATTTCATGGAGCAATCATGGTGTTATTAAGCAAATGCTTTCTTCCTTTTTCTTGTCTGAAGACAATCAGAAGGGTGGCTGTTGTAGTGTAATGCTGGATATATTTGTATACATTGAGATTGCAGTCTACCTTCCACTGAGAATTAGCACTTGCTGGTGGTAGCTGTGCAAAAATTACTATCTGTTACTTGTTTTCTCAAGAATGAAGCGTAGATCAGTGTGCGCTCTTGGAGAAACACAGTTTTGCTATCTTGGAGATTTAATTGTATCAGATAGAAAAAGCCTTTCTTTTAAAAAGCACTTGATTTCATTAGTTACAGTTCAGTTTTAGTGCTCAAGGAGCTGTCATTCGTTTTCCCATCATAACTTGAAGGTAGCCTTGCAGCTTTTCTGCTGCAAAATAAACCACATAAGGCCTCTCGGAACTTCTCAGCTACAAAGAAATACATGATGGGATCTAGGGCACCATTCAGGCTGGTGAGGCAGGAAGTAATTCGGTTGCCAAGAGCCAGAATCCGCTGCATTTCACAGGAAGTCTTCACACCATCGTAATTGAGAATGTAAATGTAACGGTTGATATGGTAGGGCACGAAACAGACCAAGAAGATCATGAGAACCATTATTATCATTTTGATGGCTTTTTCCTTTAGATGGTTCTCAATTCGGTTCCCTCTTTTCAGGCTGCGTATGATCAGCAAGTAGCAGGTCACTGTAGTAAAAAATGGAAGCGTAAATGCCACAGCCAATGACACGAGAGCATGGCGTGATGCCTTTTCTCTGTAGAGCTGCAGGCAGATGGTGGTATTGTTCATCTCAGCTGTCTGCACACTGACCAAAAGAGGCGCCATGGCCACAGCAACTATAACCCACAGGAAAGCACAGGCCAAGTGGGCATAGAGTGATCTGCGGAGTTTGAGGGACTTTACAGGGTGCACGATAGCTAGGAAGCGATCTACACTGATGCACATGAGGAAGTAGATGCTGGCATACATGTTGAGGTAGAAAAGGAAGCCTGTGAGTCGGCAAGGGATCTCTCCAAACGGCCAGTGATTGCCTGAAAAGTGGTATACTAGCCGGGTTGGCAAAACTAGCACGAAGGACAGATCGGCCATGGCTAGGTGCATCAGGAAAACGTTGGCTGGGGTGTCTGACTTTTGGTCCCGGATGAAAAGCCAAAGAGCCAGAGCATTGCCAACAAAGGCTAGGATGAAATCCAGAAGGTAGAAAGTAGCAAAAAGGATGTTCTCCGTATTGGTCTCTTTGCCACATTGTTCTGAACTTTCCAGTGAAGTGTTGAAGAACAGGCCTGAAGAGTCAGCTAGGTTGTTCATTCCTCACTGCGGGACTTGAAATATGAACCTGAAATAATAAAGAAGAAAAAGCTAGAGAAGAATATTACAACGTAGAGGAGGCAACATGGAAATCAGCCAAGCCTGCTGGTTTGCTTATGTTTGTAATGAATGTTGGCCAGGATCCAAAGCATCCTATGTCATGTTCTGCATATGTTAGAGGGGTTTCCAGTTTTACTCCTGACAGCTTCCACTCTCTTAAAAAGCCACCCCCAAATAGTGAGGGTCTCCCTTAAAGTAGCACCCCGTGAGATAAAAGGAGCTGCCATCAGAAGTAAAAATTGGCCAAACCTTGTACATACTCAGTTTGTATGCACGCAAGAGCCTTTCTAGATCTTAGCCACACTTTTTCCTGTGCTCTCCATGACCATTAAAAGTGTATGTACTCTACTTTGTTTTAGTAAGTTTAGTTTTTAAAAGTTTTGCAGTATAATAAACTGGTTCTTAGAATCTCTTAATTGTTAATAGTTTGAGGGGGGGAAGGCTAAAGCTGTAAAGTTTACAGGATGATATACAACAGACAGGCATACCTCACTTTATTGCACTTTGCAATAAATGTTTCATTGGAATTAAGTAAAAAAAATCACAGAGCAGAGTGTAACTCAAAAGGATGGAATGGAAGGATCTGTCAATTTCAGTTCTCTGTATCTCATTTTTCCAATCTTAAATTATGTGATCCACCTTACTGCAGCAACTTGCAATTTAAAAAACAAAACCAGCATTTTAGTGCAGATTTCTCTTAATGAACGCATGTTTGTATGCAGTTTTGTCAACATTTACATTTTTGCAAGCTTTTCTCTCCAATAGGAATTGTTTACATTTTCCCCCACAAATGTATCCATTTTTCTGCACAACGTTCCCTAATATGTGCATTTTTAAAAACATTGGTCAGAGAATTGTGTCACATAATTCAGCTAAGTATGAATTCCAAAGGATAGCTTTATTGTGGCTTGTGTATTGTTTCAGGAAGTGCCATTTTGGTACATAAGAAAACGCAACATCGTAAGAGCCTGCTGGATCAGGCCAACAACCCATCTACCCTGTTTCCCCGAAAATAAGACAGTGTCTTATATTAATTTTTGCTCCCAAAGATGTGCTAGGTCTTATTTTCAGGGGATGTCTTATTTTTCCATGAAGAAGAATACGGTACACATTTATTGTCTAATTGTGAGTCAGAGCGAGCAGCAGGCGGCAGCTTGTCCTGGCGGTGGCACGGGCTCTCTGATTTAAAGAGACCTCGCACTGCCTGAACAGCTCCGGCTGCACTGCAGCCAATCAGTGAGCTGCGCAACGGTGCCTGCTCTGCTGCTACGGTCCAGAGGAGTCAGACGCCTTGCAGTTGCTTCAGGGGCCTTATATTCTGGGGAGGCCTTATTATTGGGGAGGTCTTCTTTTCGGGGGATGCCTTATATTACAGCGAGAGGCAAAACTGGAAGTAGGTCTTATTTTGGGGGGATGTCTTACTTTCGGGGAAAGACGGTAGTCCAGCATCCTGTTCTTACAGTGGCCAACCAGTAGATTAGCCTTTAAATGTGAACAGAATAAAATGTCTCTCACATCCTTATATGCCAGTCCTATTGAACTCAGTGGGAGTGAACATGGTTAGGATCGCATTGTTCATTAACCTATACCATGTGTGGTGCAAAGTACTCTCAGGTTGCTGCAAAGCATGCTGAGCTAAAGGACCCATGGCTCCTGCTCTCTGAATACAGTGGTACCTTGGGTTACAGACACTTCAGGTTACAGACTCCACTAACCCGGAAATAGTGCCTCGGGTTAAGAACTTTGCTTCAGGATGAGAACAGAAATCGTGCTCCAGTGGTCCAGCAGTAGCGGGAGGCCCCATTGGCTAAAGTGGTACCTCAGGTTAAGAACAGTTTCAGGTTAAGAATGGACCTCCAGAACGAATTAAGTGCTTAACCCGAGGTACCACTGTGTGTAAAAGCTGAAAATTGTTTGAGATCTTAACTTGAGCTCTAATTGGGACAGACTGCTCTCTTGTAATAGACTTAAGTGTAATTCCTTCATCTGACCACAGAGTGCTCTCTTGTACAGCATTTTTAAAAAGAGGCAAAATAAGGAGTTTCTTCCCCCTACACACACAAGAAGTCAACCTTCCCCTTGTTCAGAAGAGAAAACTTTCCCTTAAATGTTGGGCAATAGGACATCTACATCAAATGCTTTAGAAATTCTCTCCACTTGTTTTTCCCAAAGTTGCAATAACACAGCAGGCTTTTAATTGCTCATTTTTCATAGACAATTTTGATGGTTGACATTAAACAATCTCCAGTGTTAACTTAAATTTTTAAAAATATATATAGCAAATATCTACAGCACAATTAAATGTCACACACAGGAATCTTGCTAATTATTTCCATGGGATCCCTAAATTAGGAGCTTGTTATCGACATGAAAAATATTTGGCAGTGTACTCCTAATAAACCTGTTTGTTTAAACTGCATACTTATTTGACTTGTTTATCTTAAAACTATTCCCTGAAAGGGCTGACACATGGAAGCTCGCTAACATGGTACAGTATTTGTCTAGTGGCTGCCTCTATGCAATGACTGGAGAATTTTTCACCATGAGGCAGTTTTGTCTCCACTGTTGCTTCTGGACAACTTGTTTAATCAGCATTCAGCCTGATTTGTCTGCAGAGAGTTTAGGCGACACTGGCTATTAAATGAACATTCAGCTTGATTTGTTTATGGGGAGATTAAACAATGCTGTGTCAAGCAAGTGTTATCCCACACTTTCCAGTACATTTGCAATTCCTTTCCTTATCGCAGAAAGTCCATTATTTTAGGGAAGTGGGTTTGTTATGCAAGAGCTCCAAATCTGCTTCGTTTGTGCACCTTGAATCTGCAAGTTGTGCAAAAATAGAAGTAGTCTGGAAACACCCCCATACCATCACCAAACAAAGTTATTGGTGATGTGGAGAATACTGAATGGGGGCATCTCCTCCTTGTGTTGAACCGCTGTACCTGCACAATTCTTCACTGGATGCAATTTCAAGCAGCCTCCATTTGGTACCTTTCCATGTGAAATAAACAGAACATTAATAACTGTCTGAAAGATTTTTGTGGAGCAGCTACCTCTGTAGAACATGTTGAGATATTTACATGAATAGTTCTTGTCAACAATTTCACTGTTTTAAAGAACGTGATCTAGAAGAGGTTTTAAAAGCACTCCCTCATACATGTCTTTCACTGGTGTAATTACTGTAGTTGTGGGATTTTAAGAATATGGCATATAAAACATTTATACTTTTTGAAATTATTCATATTGGATGTAATAGTCAATAAATAGGAAATAGGGAAATGACTGGCCTTAGTTTGTGTTACTAATGAGTTGTTAGGGTCTATAGCAACAATTGCTTTATCTATCTATTCAATTCTGTTTTAGGAGTAAGTTATCCACAATTTTCCAAATTGCACAAACAGTAGGTAGAAGTGTAACTTGGCACATAGCTGCTCATTTGTATTGTGTGCTGTGCATTCAAGTCTATTTTATGCAAATTCATTTTGTGTGTGCAGTCTTCTGGATCATTGCTACCGTTTTCACAAGAGTCTTTACATTCTTACTAGTATTCCAACATGCTACTTCTGTTAATAAAATTCATTTCCTGTTAGGGTTTGTATATCATTCATAAGTGTATATCTAGGTGACTTTGAATAAATAAAAGTAACATCATTACTTGCACACGATAACATCAATCCATTGTTACTAGGCCCCCAGAAATCATCTTAGTTTGTGAGATATCAAGGAGGTTCTGCTTAGGAAAACATAATGATTTTTCAAAAGCGTAGTGGCAAGAACATTTTGTCAACTGGAAAAATCCCAGGCATACACTATTTTTACAGTGCTGTTGCTCTGTTCTTATGACTTGAAGATACTGTATAGGTTCATCAGAGGAGCTTTAATTGGCTGCTGCATGCTGTTTGTGTCTAGTTTCTAACTGCTAGACCATTTTCACACAAGTTGCTAAAAAGTGCACCACTTGCACTGTCTGTGCACTGTGTACCCATCATTAAATGAAAGGCAGAATGCAAAAGAAAAGTGGAATGCACTGTCTGTGTTGTAGAGTATTTTGAGCACAAAACTTCTAAAGTCAAAATGTCCCTGCAACTCCTTGTACTTTCCCTCCTAGCTTGTATAATCTGTAAGCCCTGGGGAACAGTATGGTGCTCTGTGAGAACGTTCTCAATTTTCACACCCCCACACCCCAAGGTTGTAATTCCCATTGAAACCAAAGTGCTTACCTCTTGCAGCTTGCAGTCCTGTAGAAAAGAGAGGTAAAGATCTTGTTAGCTTCTTAGAGTGCCAGCAAATGTAGGTAAGAGAGAAAGGCTAAAAACAGTGACGATCCAGGAGATGCAGACAGTGGCAGGTTCAGTGGAAGGGTGAGTTGCACTATATAGAGCCCTGTTGGAGATGATAGTCCATTATCATCTTGCTCACATGAGAGGAGGGTAGATAACACATTTGCTGTGAAAGACAGTTTTCATTCCAGCTGGGCTGTTCGGAAGGGGGGAGTTGCTGTGGTATTTATGAATATTCCAATGTTTCTCTAGCACTCTTTCTCTCTCACTCTGAACCTCTGCCTTTTACGCTGACTCTTTGGATCCCTCTGACCATTTTAGAGAGTTTGGAAAGCGTTGCAGAAAGAGAGAGGAAATTTGGTGTTGCAGACACAACAGGACATTTCAGAAGGGGATAATTCCATAATAGTGGGAGTGGGGGTGAGAAGGACGGCTGCCATAGAAACGGCTCTGTGATTCTAAGACCTCCCTTTGCTTCCAGTGGAGGAGGGTCTATAGGATGGTAGGGGGGTGCTTCTGAATGAGCCTTGCTGATAATGGGTTGTCAGTGGAAAGGGCTTAAGGCCCCTTATTCAGTTGAATGAGAGGGGGCTCTTTTTAGGACACTTGCTATAGGGGTCTCAGTGTCCTGCCCTGTATAATTAGACTCCGTTCCACAGTGTGGAATAAAATTGAGGCCTTTATCCTGAGATGAACACAGCTGCATGCCCCCATTTATAAAGGAACGCTGTCTGCTTTCTTTCTAGGGACTGTGGCTCTTGTCTGGGACAGCAATATCTTCAGCTCTAGGGAGGAACAGAGTAGAAGACTTGTGAAGAGGGAGTGTTAATAACATTCCTTTCCACTTATGCTCACTGGGACTTTCTATTTGAGGCTTGTAAAAATACAAGGCTGTACAACAGCCTTGTGACATTGAGATTTATTATTAGCTTTATTTTACTGGTAGGGACCTGGAGGCTAAGTGACCTGCCTGGAACTCTCAGGAAGCCAGTGAGACTGCCTGGAATAAGCCCAGGGTCTCTTCGCTCCTTTCCCATAGGTATTTGCACTGTTGCATCTACCAGCTGTCCTCTGTGACTATGCACTTCGCTCCGCAGATAAGCAAACCGGGTGTGTCACTGGAGTTCCATATGTACAGAGGCACAGTTGCATACATTGCATTTGGAAATGCACACACTGGCATTGTATGTACTCATAAATATGTATTTGAATGGTCTAACCATTTATGCTGCTTTTTGTTATGGATATCTAAATTGTGCTAGGAGAGCATGAGTAGGGGAACCAATAGTTTTGGTCATGAAAAAAAATAAAATTCAGCTTGATGCTTGCCATCAGTGCCAGTTTTAGACCATTCATGCAATCTTTTTGTCTCTAAATATACCCTACTGGTTGCATTCACAAGTAAGCCTTCTCAGCTACACAGCTGAGAAGCTCTGTAGCCTAGAAAGCAACCTTGTGTAGCTTATACCTGTATGATGTCTCCCAACTTTTTTCTTTAATTCTTGCTCTAGGCACCTCTGTAGGCCTTGCCATAATCGTGAGAAAGCCAAGGGCTTGGGCAAGTATATTTGCCAGAAGTGCCACTTGATAATTGATGAACAGCCACTGATGTTCAGGAATGATTCCTACCATCCAGATCACTTCAGCTGCACCCACTGCGGGTATGTCAACTCTCTTTCAGCTAGGACTCTGGAGCAAGCGAAAAGGCATAGAATGCGCAATTGTGGTGTCTTGCAAGGGACCTGAGCGATCTTAAGAATAAGCTTTGCTGCATTTATGCAGACTGACTAACAAGAATGCGGAAGTTCAAAAAGCATTTGAATAATAAAAAAGAACCCCAGAGGAACTGTAGTGATTGTGCTGAGCTGTAATAAACTTTGCCTTATACAATTCATTGTTCAGCTGGCACCATTCCTGACGGGTGTTAACATCCTTGGAAAGAGACAGTTGTGAAGGCTTGTTGTTACAAAAGCAATGGCATTAGAACTTAGCAGCAGCTTGATGGGCCCTACAGTTTACAGTATTTTAGAATCCCTGCCATTTCTGATGGAGACTGCTTATCTAAACAGATTTCAAACTGGATTCACAAAAACCAAGGGCCTCATTATAAAATAGCTTGTCATATGTCACAATCATGTTGTTAATCAGCAGGCAAAGGAAGGATGTTTGTGTTTAATGTTTCCTTTTGAGAGCTTCTCTTTATCCCTATTTGTCAGGAGAGTGCCTGGTTTATTTGGACGGAGTGACTATCAGCATGATGTGTTGAGGACAAGCTTTTTCTGCAAAGGTCTTGATTATTCCTTCTGTTGCGTGCAGGAAGGAGCTGACAGCTGATGCCAGGGAGCTGAAGGGGGAGCTCTACTGCCTGCCTTGCCATGACAAGATGGGCATCCCAATCTGTGGGGCCTGTCGCAGGCCCATTGAGGGTCGAGTGGTCAATGCTCTGGGGAAACAATGGCATGTGGAGGTGAGAATTCTCCTGTTGTGCTACTTGCTCTGGGATTCATGTTACAGAGAGACTCCTGACACAGCCTGTGTTAATAAGTAGATGCTGCCACAGTTCTTTTGAAGCCATAGGAGCTGCATGCCATTGTTTCAGGTGGTTTATCCATTATTATTCTGTTTCTTTAGATCTCTAGCCTATTCCCCAAAATATACTATTTAGGTATCAAAGCACACGTCAAACATATTACAAGTAATAAAGCCACACCTTCTTCTTCTTTTGCAAAGCATTACATTTCAAAAAGATTTAGTGAATCATCAAAGAGAGGAGCTTCACAATTATGGGACAGTCACCGGGAATACATTTCTGTGTGCCAAACAAAGATATAAAATTGACACAAATATTAATCCCAGCAGGACAGTCTTAGTTTATCCATAGTTGAGAAAACAGTATCTTTAGTATGCTTTGGCAGTATATTAAATTACTCTATAGAGATTATAAGCAGGACCTTGCAGTGTGGCTGGGAGAAAATCAGAAGTCAGAGCTGATGCTGGAGGGTTGATATAATACACTCCAGTGACTAATCCCCATCAAGAGGCAAGCTGTGCTGAAACATCTGTCCACGACATGCTGATCATTCATATTCCTAAATGCTTTATACAGTGGTACCTCGGGTTACATACGCTTCAGGTTACAGACACTTCAGGTTACAGACTCCGCTAACCCAGAAATATTACCTCGGGTTAAGAACTTTGCTTCAGGATGAGAACAGAAATAGCGCTGTGATGGCATGGCGGCAGCGGGAGGCCCCATTAGCTAAAGCGGTGCTCCAGGTTAAGAACAGTTTCAGGTTAAGAACGGACCTCCGGAATGAATTAAGTACTTAATCCGAGGTACCACTGTACTCAAACTATTATTAGGAGTCTGTCTAAGGTGTGGTTCATATTTGCTGGCAAATATTTGCTTACTACTTATTTTATCCAGGCACTTTTCTGGAATAAAACTGCCTGTAGCACAGACCCCTGGACCCTGACATGTCTTTTAACCTTCCAGCATTTTGTTTGTGCCAAATGTGAGAAGCCATTCCTGGGACACCGGCACTATGAGAAGAAAGGTCTGGCTTACTGTGAGACTCATTACAACCAGGTGAAATCTGTTCTTATTTGAACTCTGCACTCCCAAACCCCCACTCCCACCCCCCCCCCAAAATGAGCAAGAGATAAGAGGTTGTTTCCAAATGAGGGATTTAAGAAATCCCTGCTGTTTGAACTGAAATGCCTACAAATATGAGGCGTAAGGAATTTCAAACTTTTAATATCTTAAGAGATTCAGCTGAGTGAGGCTGCTAACCCCTAGCGGTATCAACATGCAAATTTAAGGAACTTAAGCAACCTTAATCATAAATAAACATTATTTAAATTGAATAGAATTTTTTTTGGGGGGGAGAGAGCCAGTGCCAAGAGTTCTCTAGCTGGAAACTTGGGGGGGGGGGCTGCACAAGATTGCATTCTTTACAAATATATCTCCAGAGTTTTGTCTTTCAAAGGAAGCTATACCCAATACTGTAGCCTCTATCACTCAGGAAGTGGGGAACATGTAACAGTACATACCTATGCCCAGTTTTCTGTATCTCGCTGAGCTTCAGATACCATGCAGCCTCATCACTGTACGGGATTATGCATGTGCTGGAAGGCCAGTGTCAGAAGGAGCCAGTTGAGAGGGGAGGGAAGACAATGGGCTTCTGCCCATTAAGCACACGGGTGGGGGTGGGGCTCATTGTCTCTTCCTACTTCTTTGCAGGGTCACTCAAAGTTCTTAACCTTACCCTGCTTAACTTGTAGCTGTAAAGCTGCATTTGGAAATACTTGAGATAGGAGCATGTGCGAGGCTTTTATTCCACCTCAACAGTGTCATTAATTGCTGCACATTTCCTTTCTCTTACAAAAGTTAAAGAGAGACACATCCACTTTGGTGGGAGAAAGTAAATGCAGACTGTCCTACTGATGGCACTTTGCTAGCACTCCATGTAAGGCACTTAGCAAATCTGTAAGGGGAAGAAAACAGACAACTGGGTACACACCTGCAAATTGCCTTTGATGCCAGGTTGCACTGCACTCGGTATGGAATAAAGCAGACTATAACAAAATTGCTTGGAGGCAGCATTTAGGGACAGCCCATTCCTGCCTCTTGCAGATCAGTTTTTTTCAAAGCACCAAACACCTGTGTTAACATTAATTCCTGAGTAAGTGAAACCCTGAGAAAACACAATAGAAACCTTGTGAAGATGAAATGGATTGCAGGCATGTTGCCCTCCAAGAGATCCTCGGCCTGTCCCTTACGGATTAACAGATTCAGAATAAGCAATAGCCACTATTTTGTTAAGTCCAGAAAACCCAGTACACATCCTCTCTTAGAAAGATATTTCTGGTCCCAAGGATCTGGGTTGCTGTTTTTTTAAGCTCACATTTCCCCCCTGACAGGTATACGCTACACACTACTGTGGTGTGCCATTCCTATCAAAGGGTGCAAAAAGCAGCCTTGGGAATGCAAGTTTGATTGTTGTGCAAATGTGTGAGAAAAGCTATTGAGGTGCCTGAAATGTGTAAAGTAATGTGGGGCACTATTGTAGAGGCACTAAATTAATCCATTGTTGGGACCAAGTTGTCTGATTTGATAAAAAGGGGCAGACAGACCCCCTCCATTAGTTTAAAAAAGCTCATTTTGTTTTGCTTTTTTGTTTTTCTGCACAGCTCTTTGGAGATGTCTGCTATAACTGCAGCCATGTGATTGAGGGGGATGGTAAGTTTAAGCCTGTTTGTCAATGCAGCTGTTGCAGCCCTGCACGGACAAGGCCTCAGTGATTGATTTCCCCCCACATCTGTCCTTGCTCAATTTAGTACAGTTCTGCAGTTTGATAACCCACCCTTGTTTGATATTTTCCACTAGTGGTCTCTGCTCTCAACAAGGCTTGGTGTGTGAACTGCTTCGCTTGTTCCACCTGCAACATCAAACTCACATTGAAGTAAGTGGCAAGCAAAGGCTGTTCTGGTGGGGGAAGGTAACATGACTCAGGGAGTTACTGCAGTCTGACAGTGTTACATTGTGGTCAGAGTAACTGGCTCAAGTTTGGCGAGAGAAGCATGTAAATCATAGGAGACACTCCTTGAAATCACTGAGAAAATATGTATACAAGTATACACTCAAACAATGTTCCATCACCGGCAAGTAGTTTGACATTTCTTTTGGGGCCAGATAGTCCAGACTGCCACTCCTTATCTTGCAGTGTTCCTATGCTAGTCCTGTTGCATTTGCAGCTAATGTGTGACGGGAACAGTGCCATAATTACTTTCAAGGAGGGGACATGTCATGTCAACTTGCAAGGTGGAGGGCTCATTCATAAGATTTGCTTTCAGATAGTCACTTAAGCCTGCCAGTAGGGTCACTGTATGCATACCTGTAAGCAAATCTTCTATCAAGATAGGCTTTATTCCATTGTGTCGATTGGCTGCCATGGCACTTGCTCACTACCCAATCTGCTTGTATTTTGATTTCCCAGTTTGTTGACTGACATGACAGGCCGGAGCTTGCTCCACCAGCAAATTTTGTTTTAGAAGAAGTGCCTTTCCCCCACCCCCAAGCCTGCTGCTTGAAGTAGCAGGCTGGAGCAAGTATATAAGAAGATCTAGTCACAATTGAACACACTTACCGTATTTTTCGCCCCATAGGGCGCACCGGCCCATAGTTGTTTTTTTTGGGGGGGGGAATAAAGAAAAAAAAATTTATTTCCAGCCCCCAGAACAGGCTGCTATCCGCAAGCCTAGGGAGCCCGGCGGGAAGTCGCGCCGGGCTCCCAAGGCTTGCAGAGAGCTGCCCGAAGCCCGGGGTGCGCTCCCCGTGTTTCGGGCTGCAGGCTGCTGTCCGCAAGCCTTGGGAGCCCGGCGGGAACTCTCGCCTGGCTCCCAAGGCTTGCGGATAGCTTCCTGAAGCTTGGAGAGCGATCAGGGTCGGTGCGCACCAACCCCTCTCGCTCTCCAGGCTTCAGCAAAAGCCTGCATTCGCCCCATAGGACGCACACACATTTCCCCTTCATTTTTGGAGGGAAAAAAGTGCGTCCTATAGGGCGAAAAATACGGTACCTGGAATTTCAAGCACTGAGTTTATGAAACATATTCATTTTATGAAAAGATGTGAAAAATGCAAGAGAAAGAAGCAAGCGTCAAGCTGATACCCTTTCAGAAATCATGAAACGTCCACACATTTTGATCCTAGCCTTCTCCCGGAGCAGTCACGTTTTCTTTCTTTCTTCAGAGAAAGCTCTGATTGGGATCCTTTTATCTCAGAGAGAGAACAGAAATGGACAAGGGAAGCAGTCTGCATCCAGTAACTGGCAGGCAGTGGCTCCCCAGCCTCACTGGCAAATATATTTCTTTGTTTTACCCTTTTAAACCTGCGATGCTGAAGACTGGATGTGAGATCTTCTACTTGCATAGTTCTAACTCATTCATTTGGAACAGATTTTATGTTGGCAAGTTTTTTTTAAAAATGAAAGGAATGTATACCACATACCTTACTCACTTAGACGTTAAGCCTCACATGACTTCCTAACTGAAGATTAAATCCTTCTGTATTTCTTTGAAAGGAATAAGTTTGTGGAATTTGACATGAAGCCAGTGTGCAAGAAGTGCTATGAGAAATTCCCTTTGGAGCTGAAGAAGAGGCTGAAGAAGCTGTCTGAGTTGGCCTCCAAGAAAACGCACCCAAAAGCTCTGGACTTAAACTCTGCTTAAACAGGTCTGTACCCTCTGCTGACTGTGTGCACCCTCACCAGCTATAATCTGCCTCAGCTACTGATCACAAAAGGAACTTTTAAAAATGGTTTCAAGGACTCAAGACAAACAAAAGCTCACCAGTTATATCTTGCACTCTGAATGTTTATTCTGCTCAGGTATAGTGTGTGCAGAGGCTGTCCTCCAGAAGAGAATGGTGGCAATATGCAATAATGCACTATGATTTTTTCCTTTTGTATAAGTTGTGTATCATGTTCTCTCACTATTTGCCCATTTTGTTTTGAGATTCAGGCTCATGTTACACACTTACTTGAATTCTTCTGTCTTCTTCCCCCTTCTCTCTCTCTCTCTCTCTCTCTCTCTCTCTCTCCTTTTATACCAAAATTAGCCTGGCCACACAGCAAGTGGGAACACAGGAAGGTTGGGTAGAAAAAGACTACTTAACCCCTTTCTTCCAAAAACAGCACAAAAACACATTTTTTTTTCCATTTAACATGCCTCTTGAACATTCTCTTAAAATTGCAATGGACTAATCAAAACCAAGTAATAATTTTCCTTGCAATTGTTAGTTAACTCATTTTAATAGTTTGACATTATTTAGTATAAGCCTGCATTGTTATTATTAGCTGGCTGACCTTTCCTGCTGTAGTAGCTAAGCTGCATAGGCCAGGATTCCATAATATAGAATCTGGATGGACCAAAGTGGCTGAACTGTAAGCCTATCATTTTTGAAAGAGACTGTTCTTGGTGCCTGCATTTTTGAGATTTCTGAGCGTTTAGGCCAGGCTTCCTCAACCTCAGCCCTCCAGGTGTTTTTGACCTACAACTCCCATGATCCCTAACTAGCAGGACTAGTGGTCAGGAATGATGGGAACTGTAGTCTCAAAACATCTGGAGGGCCGAGGTTAAGGAAGCCTGGTTTAGACGTCTCCTTCTCCATATTAGCGAGCACTCTTTTTTGTCAGTTGTGACAAAGTATAAGTAAATCCCTGGAGTCTTAACCCAAACGTAGTCTTCCTACAATGTACATTCATTTCAGTCTTAGTTGTAAAGCAATCCTCTTAATGGTCTCTCTCTCAAGCTGGAACTATTTATTACCTCAGCAAAATACATATTCCAGCACACATCTGAAAACAGCTGTGTGTGCTTAATCCTTTTCCCCCTGCCACTTTTCTGTCATTTCCAGTCTTGGAGCTCAGGGTATGTGCCAGAGAGGAGGGATGGGATGGTGCAGGGAGGGAGAGGTTGCTGGGTACGGGGAAAGTGGCAGACAGTGGAAGTACGAAGCAGTCCTCCACCTGCCAGTTTTTCACTGTGTGCTCCTTATTAGCAGTACCAGACCATGTGGGTTTGGGAGCCCTGTGTTTCTCCATAATTTTGTCATTTCAACCTAAGTTCTCCTCAAATTACACCACAGTATTTGCTTTCCTGTAATAGGAAGCACAGAACAAGACTGTTTAATATAGAAAAGCATAAATCTTTCTTGACTTACATTGTTATAGCAGTAAATAAGTATCATGTATTGCTTCTGCTGATGGGAGAGAACTGGTTTTTATATCCTCTTCACCCAAACTAGTCCTTAAATACCATTATTTATCTGCTACTTACTTACTAGCACTTAGTTTGTATTGTCACAACTCATAGCACAAGAGGATTGCCCATCTCTTGATTTGAGACTATCCTCCAAGCACAAATATAGAGGAACATGTTTCACAATGTAGGACATAATTTTCTTAGGTCTCTAGGATAAGTACTCCTGAATTTGGACTCTCACTGAATTGGTTGTCAGTCTCATCCAGAGCCCTCTATGTGCTTCATTTAAAATGGTACACATGTATATGTGCTGTCATATTTAAATGGAGTTAAACACAGAACTTTGAGTCTATGTGGTTTGCCCACAACACTGAAATGAAAGTGAATATCCCTTGTGAGTGGAGAAGTTGTGTGAGAGCATTGTGGTTCCCATTCTTACTAAGGCAGTGATGGATATGGCAGACTGCACTGCTGTAGGAACAAAGCACAGGTTCTACCGTCAAGAAGTCAAAAGGAAGATTCATGCAGAATCTTCCTCTGCAACATACCTAGACATAGGTGCCAATTCCCTGGGGCTCTGGGTGCCGGAGCACCCACAAAATTCCCCATGAAGGGGCTGGACACCCACAAATTTTGGGGCCAGGGCCATGCATGCTGCATAGCACCCACGGCCCAAGCATCCATGGTTGAAGGGCCAAGCTGGCACTCCTGGGCCTAGAGAACACAATTCTTATGCCTTAGAACAATGCTGGTTATGCCTTAAAATGGCATATATGTGACTAGTGGAGATGCATGTTTGAAAATAAGTAAAGCAATGTAGATTGATGATACGGATTCCTGATCCAGCAAGTGATATGGATCTGCTTTAACCATTTTAATGTAGTGCTCCATAGAAAAACAGATTTTATTATACTATTCTTCCTAATACAAATATGTCAAGACTGGGTGCCATATCAGATAGGTTTTCAGGCCAGCTTTAACAGTGTAAGAAATCAGTGCTATACTTTCTAAATGAAATGTAAGGCAAATACATTAAAACATGAAATTTGTGATGAATGGAAATGTCCTGTTACAAAGATGGATTAGGAAGAGCTATTTGAAATGCCATAGCTCAAATTAATCTTAGGAGACCTTCAGGAAAGTAATCACTGTGGTACAAATCTCCAGAGTTATCTAATATGAAGTATCAATTGTTTGTCACAATGTTCATCTTCCAAATACAGAATCTGTCCGTTGAAAAAGAAACAAAATTAATTGGCCAGGAAATAATTTACTTTTATTGGGGTAAGTAAATGGCTGTTTCAGGGCAGCCTAGTAAGAGTGAATAGCAGAGCTGAACCAAACCAGAAGCCTGGGTTTGTAAATATTTTGTGCCCCTTGGAAAAGGACCCCATCTTTGGGTTAAAATGGTGTACGTGTTGAGGTGGGGAGCAAGATTGAACTTCTACAATGAAGTACCACGATAAAGTATTGGCTGGATGTGCAATGCGATGTGCATCCAGCAGTGAGTGTTGTCTGCTGGAATGTGTATTTGGGTGTGTACTGGAATGTGCAAGTCCAATGTGAGTTCTTGTGTGACTGTAGCTCGATTGAATCTTCAGAGGGAGGGCACTACAGTCTCATTTGCTCTCACTGTTGTCACCATAGAGTCGAATCAGACTGATTCCATGAAGACATATTGTTCACAATGTGGTTTCTCATTGCCACTCACTTGGTGAATGAAGGAAGCTGCCTTGTTTAAAAATGGCACAGAAGCAGCTCATCAGGGGAACCAGGGCTGTGAGCAAGCATGAAAAATAGCATGTAAAAATGGAAAGTACTGGTAAGCGTGGAGTTGAAAGCACATTTTTCATCTTAACTATAAACAAGTATTACAGTTTGTTACAGCTTTACTGACCATTCTATGACAAGCGACTTTTGTTCCATCAAGGCAATCAGGAAGTGCCAAAATTATAGGTAAATAGCAATTTAATTCATATTACATATATTATCCTTCCAGTAATTGCACTGAATATAGATTTAACTGCTTATAATATATTGTTATAATGATATAATTTTTGTATTAACATATTTTATATCACTTGCTACTAAAAATGATTCATTTTGTATAAGATCCCATTCATACAATAATGCATGGCATCACACTTTTGTAAGACCTACGTAGTTTCCTGCCAGTATTTTGCTCCAGGATCTTGTAATTTCACTAGCAAAAGGGTACATCCTGATGATTAAAATACTGTATCCCTCCATTTTACCATATACTCTTGAAATGACAACTCACTGCTATATATCTTTTAACTCTTCACAGTAAAGATTATTTTAAAACTGCACATCTTGGATTGCTTTTATTTGGTGCAAAAACTTGCTGCAGTAAGTTGTTTTGCAAAAATCTGCAAATGTTACTGAAATGTCATTAAGACGTCTAAGTAATGTAATAGTAAAGGTATAGCATTGTAAGCTGCTCTGGTCAACAGGTGTTCTACTGTAGTTACTGGACCATTTGTTTGGTCCTGATGGATCTACCAAATATGCAGCATAATATGGTTAAATGCCTGCCAGCTTTCACTAGTAAGGAAATGAAAGAAATGCTTTAAGATATAGTATATATTCCAGATTGTAATGTTGCATCTTTCTTCTGCAATGTGCAAATGTACGTATTTACATCTAATGTAATGCCCCATAGCTGTGAGACCCTTATCGTTAGAGGATTCCCGCTTTATTGCGGTGTCCAGTTACTTGTGAATAATCAGTTTCTGTGACAAAATACAGTTCCAGCCCCCAGGCCACTATGTGGAGAAAGAGTAGTCCTCAAGAATACAGAAGCTGGCCATCTCCTTTAACTAAAGCAGAATGTTGATTTTACTGCTTAATGTATTTCACTGGAATTACAGCTGTTGTGCAGGAAGGATTCTTTGACCCAAGCTGTAGCCTTAAGCATTTTGACAACAGAGGACTGAGGTAAGCTGTTCAGGCGTTTGATTTATTCTTAGATATACATTTCTAGAAGAAAGTTGACAATATCACTCCCACTACTTTGCAATTCTCTTTAGAAAGTGGAAACAATTTGGCTGTTACCATTAACAGAAAGCAGACACCCAAAATATTTTAAATCAAAAACTTCAAATTGAATTTACATGAAGAATTCAAAAATACAGTACAATCTTGATCCCAGGTAAGCATTCCCTGCCAGCAATGGATGCTGTGCATGGAATGTATGGATGTTCTTCTTCAAAGGTCAAGTACTCTGAAAGGTGTGGCACTCATTTAGCTGCACAAAGTTACTGAAGCTCTAATCCCCCAATACCCAAGCAGGAAAAAACCTTCATTGCAAAACTGTGCACCTTCTTCTAAGTTGAACAAAGACTAACTATTTTGACTACTTTGGCAAATGACAGGGGAAGCCAACAGTAGTCTTTGCTGAAAATGTGAGGACACTAAAGGCAGCTTCACTGCTGAAACTGACACAACACAATCCTACGCATGCTTCCTAGCAGAAGCATGTTTCTTAAGCTAAGGCAACAGTCATGGAGCAGACCGACTCTTCACATCATGAAGATGCTGCTTCCATTCATTTGTAGTACTTCTCCACGACTTAAAAGGTAACAGCCACCTTTTGCCCTGTGTGCTGCAGGTTTGTGCTGATGCCTGGCACATGCCAGGACTGTCCTGCATTCCTGTCCCTGCTCAATAGGAAAGGATGGCATAATCTAGTACAGGATATACTTCCAGAAAAGCGGGGGGAATGGCAGCTAGCCTTGTTGAAATCAATGAGTCATAAAATGTTTTAAGCTGTAGTTAGTTTAAAAACAAATACCTTTTTGCTACAACAGCAGCTTTTGGTTCACTCCCCTAGGGTCAAGAAGAGGTAAAACTAGAGACTGCGCTGACAAATGTAAAGCTAAAAATGAATTCCTTCCAATATGTGGCAAATTTTCAGTTTGGCACAGCCTGTGAATGATGGTCTCTGCACACCCTTAGGCAGGGAGATGTGAATCCTTCTGTTTGTTTGCAGCATTCAATAACAAGTTCACATATGACGTCAGCAGGTCATCCATTTTGTATCCCTGAAGGAAAAATAAAAGACATTTAATGAACTACCCTGGAAAGAGCGAGACAGACATGAGACCCTTTAGCAGTCATGGAATGTTTCACAATAGTAGACCAGCCAGTTAAGATAAGCAGCATTCTGTTGTTACTCCTGCAAATACTGTTGGCTTAAGATATTAACACTTCTAAGCAGTGTACAAAAAACTTATGTTTTCCTCTGATAAAATTGGAATTCGGTGGTTTGTGGAAAAGCAACATAAAATATCGTAAGTCACAGGAGATGGGTTGTAAACGGGTTATAAAACATTAATTGGGCATTTCAAGGGTGAGGTAAATGATGCCCTTCCCAACTTATTTGGTGACTGCACAAGTAGTCTTAAGGAATTGATCTCTCAGAATGTCCTGGTTGGTCATGAGACAAAGAAAACCACTTTAAAAATAAATGAAAAGTTAATAATGGGTGCTGATTGACAGATATATACATCTTGTTCAAAAAACTGTCTAAGTAGTTTGAGGCATTTTAATTTAAAACACAAAACATTTCTCTGTGTATGTATTTTCCCTAGGTTGACACTATGGCACAGCTGTGGGAGCTTTGACTCCACAAGAAGGGAATCTTCTACCCCATATACTTTTGTAGTAATATAATATGTGCCTAAGTTCCCAAAACCACCAATATGCACATAATACAAGCCAGTTCTGTTTCCTCCACAATCCCAAGCCCGTTGCAATCATATCTTTCTGCTGCTTAACACACATACCATGCTATCTAAGGCAAGAAGAGACTTCATCTATTTCAGGGTTTTTCGCAACTACCCAAGGCAGAACTATTACTCAGGTTTGAGAAAAGGGGAGCAATGTGTAAATATTTGAAATAGCTCTTGGTGACATTTAATCCGTGCACCATTAGAGGAAGGAGAAAAAGGGTTAACCAGTAATTACCAGGTCCTTCCTTCCTCAGTGGATGGTCTTGAGCAAATCTGAAATCATAAGCTTTTCTTACCAGGGAAGTCTCACAAAGGATCCGGCTCCCTCGTACCAGGTTCCCTATGGTCATGTGGAAATATGTGCTGCCACTGCTCCAGTTGGAGATTTTAGTGAAAGGGTAAACTGTCAAGATCTCCTGCAATTTAAAAATCAAAATAAATGCTACATGTAAGTTTTATTAGAACAACTCAGGTAGTTCTCTACAAAAAGAGACATATGGCACATCTGGTTTTCCAGGACGCAGTTCTGTGCTGATGCTCATCAGATTATCTTCTACACCAATCCCTATTGATCTTAAATAGCACTTCTGACCATAGAATAGAAGCCAAGCTTCTGTTTATCTGCTGTCTGGCAATGTTGCCTGAAGGATCCTTCCAAGAAGATGCCACCTGAGTTTCTCTTTCCTGGGTGTGCAGGTCTCATGTTTATCCCTTCTTTATAAAATTGCTTTTATTTCCCTTAATGCTTAAGGGAATACTAGATAAATGTCTGAGGCTGAAAACTAAATTCTGTTGCCCAATGTACAGTTCTGCTTCTGTTGAAGAAAAGTACATTTCCTGCTGGAATCCACAGCTCTCATCACATCTCCCTATGCCTTTACCTTAAACGGTTTTTTGAATGAAACTTACGGCATAGCTCAGTGTGTGTGTGTGTACCTTTTCCAATGGGTAGGTTCACTGTCAAGTATCAAAATATGACTCTTACCTTAGATTTCATATGTATTAGAGAGACTCCTTGTTTGTTGATAGCAATCAATACAATGTCAGGGATATTTGGCTCCGAGGTTTGCTAGTAAAGAGGAAGAAAAAATGAGTGATAGCTGTTGAACTATTTTAAATCACCAGCTGTCAGTGTCCTCTTATTTGCACAAGAATCTAACAAGTTCTCAGTCAAAATGTATGTAAGAATAAGAAAATCAAGTGTGTGTGTCATGGGAATATTGCACGCTGCAAATAATGCATGTGCTTACAAACACTCAGTGCCTTACTCCTCCCATATTTGGCTTCAGACACATGGGAGCTATTTGGAACTGGGAACCAGTTAAGGGAGAAATGGTTAAGCTTCATCTCCTCCTACAATTTCACCCCACTCCCAAAGTGGCTTTTCTTCAGAATGGAGGTGGCATCAATGCTGAGGACGCCACATCACAGGAATGGGCCCTAAGTAGACTCAAGAGCTTAAAAGAAGCAGGACAATAGAAGAAGCTTCTACTCTGCAGAAAGCAGCTTTCCAAATGGAGCCACACACAAAAAACAGCACCTTTGAAACTCACCTTCACTTCAAAGAAGGCTGAGCCAAATGTTGGCCAACGATGTATGTACTTCAGGAAGGCAATCTTGGCCTCGTCCACAGTCTTCTGTTCATGTTTGCTGGCGGCAGAAGTAATATTCTGCATAAAAATACACACGAGTCAAAACGGGGGGGGGGGGCATCTTTCTCTCGCAGTAATGGGTCTCAAGTCATTGCTTCCAGATATGAAGAATGCAAAACTTATCTAATGCTCCTTGCTACATAAATTTATTTACTGAGGCACCTCCCCACCCTTGGATTAGAATGATACAAAACACCCATCCTTTGGTCTTCAGGTTTGAGTGAGTTAAAAATCCAAATAAAGTAAGTACAGCATGATGCCTGCCATTTTTAAAGTGTTTTAGCAACTGTGGGGACTTCAGAGGGTCTCTGAAAGGACTGCCATCAGTAGGAAGCTTTGTGGACAGCAAAATTGGTTTTATTTGCTCATAAACTGGGAGGGGGTACTATTGAGGCATGATCAGTAGCCGCAGGGTGGTCCCAACCCAAACAAAAGCCAGGACAAATATTAATTTATGACACTCTTAGAGTTCTCAAACCTTCAACCCTCAGGGCCTACTTGAAAAAGTTACTGAGGCCACCAGAAGCAAAATGGCAGTACAGTCGGTGGCAAATGGAGGCAGAGGGCAGGCCCACTGATGGGCCCCAGCCCACTGTTCAAGAAGCAACAATCAAATGATTCTTCTTACCCGTTTCCAGTCCTCTGGAGACGCTGTTCGGATCATGTTCTCAGGCACTAGTTCCTTCAATATTTTGGGAATTGCTGCATATTGCGTTCGATCATTGTTATAGTTAACCTTGAAAATCAGCCCAGCTAATTGGATGGCATCCTCTTTTGAGCACTTGTGATATCCACGTAGATACTTTGGTTGCTCCTGAAAGATACAATTGAAGACACATTGATCTGTTAACCCTACTCTGCAATGTGTGTGTGTGTGTGTGTGTGTACGCGCGTGAGCGAGAGAAAGAATGAGTGGTTGTGCTTTGCTTTTGGTTTCAGGGTAGGCACTGTATTTGTCCCTGTAAAATTAAAGCAAGGAACTTAGTGAGTGTGAGGGAAAGCATTAAAACATCTAAATTTTAAACCTGGGCCCAAGAGACCACACTCAGTGCTTTATAACATTTACTGGTTTGATGATGAGACATTTTCCAGGAATTGTAAATAACCACTGTCCACAAATCATGTGAATCTTCATCTCATACCGATTCGCCACAAATCTGTATGACTCAGAGAAACCACAGTGGGTTCAGCAAGGACAGTCCTTAGTACATTCTATCTGCTCTGGGCATTGGACTTGCAGCCATTCCTATCCAGCAACAAGAGGGAAATGATTACAGGAGAATCCCAGATATCTCCGAGATTAATCTCACCTGTGTATTCCAAAAGATCTACCTCCTTCAAACCAAGTAACTCATCAATTCCTTTACCTTTTAGTATGATGATTAGCCTTCAACAAAACCACTTGCCAAGGTAATAGTGCAGCCCTCCCTGCTCTGGAAATTTAATGAAGTGATAAAGAACCTTTGAGGTTTTACTATTGTTTGGGACAATTCAGCTCAATTTCAAAAGGTGGAGAGACAAAGGAAGCACCTTTAGAAGAATTCTTCCTTAGGCATCTTATCTATGCTAATCAATTAAGCAAGCAGAGAAACTAGATCAAACATACATTGGGGTGGTATTCAACTAGAAACTGGAAATTAATGATCATTACTAAAATAGGTCTTAATTTCAATGGGTCTACTCTGAGTAAAACTTAGTTGAATACCACCCATAGAGCTTGATTCCTTCTACCTGCAGCCCCTGAAGTTGCTGCTTTGCCCTGCTGCATCTGCCGCTGGTAGAGAACCAGCACCACCATCAGTGCTGATTTGGGGAAAGATTGGATTGATTTTGGGTGAAATCTCCCTCCCCCCAGATAGTGTGAGATTTTGCGTGCTCTGCAAGCTCTCCCCAAATGGATATGATTCTGCTGATGGCGGCGGCAGGGCAGGTGGGGCACCCATAGGCATGCTGCCTGCAGGGCCTCTGCCGCTTGTGTATTGTGGTGGGACAGTACTTCACAGTTGGCTAGTAGAAACTAGGACTTTACTATCAAGACTGGCCATGATTTGGAGACCTCTCATCATTATTGTTATCGCTACTGTCAGCGGTATGCTATAAATATCAACCCTGTTAATTACCTGATGATAATGAAAGATGCAGTCAGCCTTTAAGTCCTTCCCAGGAGTCACATTCAGCCATAACTTTCTCATGAAATACACCTGGTAATTCACAGTGGTGGGAGCCACTAGGAAAACAGTGTTATATACATTTAAATGGGGAAGAAATATCGTAACACTCATTTATATGGCCTGATTATGCGTAAGTATTTTTTTATGATTCACATTACTCTCCAGAAAGCCAGGTGCCAAAAATATGGTCCCTAGCCCACCCAACAATGAAACTGAATCCAAATTTAGAAGTTGGCATACAAGCAAAGAAGGAACCTGTAAATATATTCTCTTGTACAACAAACAAAGACAACATGGACTCAAAATTTAGCCTCAAGTGAAAGACTAAGGAGAAATTGTGGTAACAATTGGCTTTTAGAAAAGGAGAGCATTTTCTTCTACTGCTTCAGATAAGAAGCAATCAGTATAAATGAAGGTACAGTAGGATTATGCTGATGAACAACAAGTCCCCCCCCCCACGTTCATCAGTCTCTGAACTGGGGGCAAAATGTTTCCATCCTACAGTGGCAACTGCCACTTTAAAAGAGGTCACTATGTGCAGCACAGTCTTCCCCTCCCTTGGCAAGTGCTGGGAGTGGTATTGGGATCTGCATATTGCTGTGGATGGGGCCTTCCTCAAAGAGGCAACTCCTGCTACTTGAAGGAAGGCAATCTGCAGCATTGTGAGCCATGGGATCCTTTGTTGATTTAAAGCAGAGTCTGGTGCCCAGCGGAAGGATGAGGAATACGTGCTGCATACTCTATATTGCTTTATTTACAGTTCAAAGCTGGTATATTACAGAAAGACATCTTGCCTCTGCCGGAGCAGAAAAAGCATCCTCTCTCCTCGACAGCTCGGAGAGAAACACACAGTGAAAAACAGGAAACCAGTGTACGTCACATCCAGTCTCCTTTCCCGTGAGAAACTCCAACAGTACAGACTGTGGAATGTAAACACCTGTCTCGTGACAAGCAGAGCTGCACAGTGAAGGAAAGCAGAAACCAACATCCTCCCCCTTTCTGTGAACATCACTGGGCAGCGTGTTTGCACAATATCAGTACAAACCCAACTTCTGTACATAGGTACAGTGTTGATCCCTCGATACAATCTTGGACAATACATCAGCAGGAATTTCATTACCTGGCATATAGGACACCGTTACGAGTCCCTTCTGAATACATTCCCTAGCATGCTGCAACTTTAATTGCAAGTGCTTTGTGCTTTGCTTACAACCTTCAGACTTCAGCAAAGCCAAACATGCTTTGTTGTCCTGGTAAACCTGGATTGGACATTTGACAGGAATTTTCATATCTTTGCACAATTGTACTAACCATTCACAATCCTTTAGTGAATAAGACAGTGCATTCAGTTCGGCTTCACAAGTACTTAAGCTAACTGTTGTTTGCTTCTTGCATGACCAATCAAACAGACTCTGATTGTACATGTAGCAAACTCCAGACGTACTTTTCCTGTCTGTAGCGTCACTTCCAAAACTTGCATCTGCAAATATCTCAAGACCACCAGACTTCTGATTGTTAAATCTCAGTCTGTAATGCATAGTGCCTTTCAAATACCGCGCTATGCGTTTCAGAGCTTTCAATCCTTGACACTAGGATTGTTGACTTGTCTGCTTAGCAAATTACAGCTAACAGCAATGTCTGGTCTTGAACATCTGGCAATGAAGTTTAGCTTGCCTAGCACACTCCTGTACAGTGCAGTGTCAGAAAATGCTTCTTCAGTGTCATCTACCTGATAACCTGTTGTCATCGGTGTGTCTACAGGGTTAGCATCCATCAGATTTAGTTTGCTTAACACATCAGCAATTTTCCGTGACTGGTGTACTAGAATGTTACCATCTTGATCTCTCTCTATTTCCAGAGATAGGTAGTTGTTTACCTCACCAAGATCTTTCATGTCAAAGTGCTCTGTCAGTTGAGCTAGGGCGCTATTGTACATTGCGACATCCTTCCACAACAATAATCACTCATCACCATCAACCACACAGTACAGTTTCTTTTGCCCCGCCACGTTGACAAATACACATGGATCAGCTTTCCCTTGCTGAACACCTAGAGAAAACAATACTTCAGTGAGTTTTGTGTGCCAACACCGTGCACTTTGTTTGAGACCATAAAGGGATTTCTTCAGAGCACAAACAAATCCCTGTTTTACCTGTACGCCATCAGGTGGAAGCATATAAAGTGATTCATCTAGAGATCCGTACAGAAAAGCTGTATTAATATCATGGTGACTAATGTGTAGATTTTCCTCTGCAGCTAGCTTGAGCATAAGCCTAATGCTTTCATATCTCACTGTGGGTGAATAGGTCTCGTGATAGTCTTGACCTGGTACCTGTGCAAAACCTCTGGCTACCAATCTGGCTTTGTGTCTGACTATCTTGCCATTTTGATCTGTCTTCGCTTTGAAGACCCATTTGCTTCCAAGCAGTTTCATTCCTGGAACTACTGGAACTAGCTCCCATGTTTTGTTCCTTTCTAAGGAATCAAGCTCAGCCTTCATGGCATTTAACCATGGCTCAGCTTCCTTTGAATCCAAACCCTGGATTTCTTGGAAACTTGAAGGTTCAAATACCTTCTTGGAGCTTTTAACAGCTGTTACTGCTATCGTAGCAAACTCATCAGCAAATCTCTTTGGAGGTTTGCTTTTGTGGCTCTCTGTGACCTACGAATTAGCCTTAAGTCTTCAACACTCTCCTCTTCCTTCTTAGGAGAAAAACGACCTATTGTGAACAATGGTTCCTCCAATTCTTGATCAGAGCTTTCAGAGGGTCGCATAGAGGCTTTCGCACTCTTGAAATCCTCTGAATCACCCGATTCAGTTTCAGATTCAGACTCAGAACCTTCATCAGTGGGTGTGGGCTGTTGTGGTTGCTTTGACTATCCTCAGTCTCATCACCGTCATCAGGATAACATTGGAAAATTCCCACATTCTCCCCCACTTTGCATTGTACTCAACACTTCTCGTGAGCTTAATTGTCTTAGAGTCAGTCATCATTATTCTGTAAGACCCTTTCTGATAACCTAGAAAGATACCATGCAATCCACGCTTGTCTAACTTGGAGTTTTGTGGTGAGCGAACCCACATGTCAGAACCAAAATCTTCATGTGTTTGATGTATGGCTTCTTGCCAAACATCTTCTCATAGGGGTACAACCAATCGCTGAAGATAACCTGCGATTGTAACTGTAAACAAAACACGAGAGAGATTCGGCCCAATAACTCTCTGGAAGATTGGCATCATGCAGCAAGGTTTTTAATCCTTGAAGCAATGTCTGATTTGCCTGCTCCGCAAGTCCATTCTGCCATGGCGAGCGAGGACTAGACAAATCGTGTTGAATTCCTTTCTCAGTCAGAAAAGCTTCAAACTGCTGAGAAGTGAATTCCCCGCGATCACTGAAAAGAGTCTTTATCTTCTTACCATGCACATTTTCCAACCAAGCACAGAATTCCTTGAACCTAGGAAAAGCCTCCGATTTCTGCTTGAGATTGTACACAAAAATATATCTAGAAAATGCATCAATGAGAACCATGAAGTATCTATTTCCACCCAAAGAGGGCGCTAGTGGTCCAACCAAATCAGCATGAACAACCTGGTATGGTTCTGTAGCTTTCCTACTAGACACCTTACCTTCGCAGCCATTTTCACCTTGTTTGCTGCGCATGCTTTGCACTTCATGTGGTACCTGCAGGGTTTAATAGTCATACCTTCAACCAAGGCAGGCATTTTAGATACTGCCTCAAAATGCAAATGACCAAATTTTCGATGAAAATCGTGAATACATTCTGCATGCAAACTTTTGTTAGAACCTGCAATGCAACAAGTGTCATCCTGCACCACATCATCATAATACAAAACAAACAAATGATCAACATATTCTGCATGCAATACATAATCATTTTTCTTTGTGATGATGCACTTCTTGTTCTTGAAGGAAACGTCAATGTTCCGCTCATTCAGCTGTCCAACGCTGAGCAGATTATGTTTGGCGTCTGGCACGTAAAGCACATTCTGTATCGATAAGTCCAAACTGTGAAGAACAACAGTTCCGTAGCCTTTACTGGGAATAGTGTGGTCATCCGCCTGGTGAATCGCACCTTCCTGCGGTGTAAAAGACACAAACAGTTTCTTATCGTTGCACATGTGGTGGGTCGCCGCTGAATCAACAACGAAGAAAGATCTAGACGTCTTCTGGACCTCTGCAACCTTTGGAGTGAAGCGTGAAACCATAGCCTTGTGCTGCGTTGTCCTAGACACCGGACCTTTGCCTTTGCCTCGGCCTTTTCCGCGCGATGAGCTTCGCTGCGCTGCTCTGTCTTGGCCCTGGGATGTCTGCATTCCCTCTTCATATGGCCTAGACGTCCACACGAGTAGCATTTCACTGCCTTCAAAGCTTTGGCGCCATCTGGTGGTTCCACTGCACTCTGGGATGACGTCTGTGTAGACTCCGCCTGGCCCATGCAGCTAGCACCCCGGCGATCTGCTTCATTTAAAATCACGGCAGTAACAAAGTCCACTGTCAGCTGAGCAGTTGGTTGCACAGCAATCTGGGTTGCAACAGACTCCCAACCTGAACCCAAAGATTGTAGTATCATGAAAGAATACACAGCCTCTGGAAAGTTGAGTCCTCTCTGTTGCAGCTCATGTCTCAGATTTTGCATCTCCATCAGATGTAAACGCACATCTCCACCTTCAGCAAGAGCCATATTATGCAGCTTGTTAAAGTAAAACATAGTGGATCCAGCTTCTGTCCTTAAGTGAGCCTCTCTCAAAGCGTCCCAAATTTCTCTGGCTGAGGTCTTATCACGCAATAGACAGAGCTCTTCTGGGGATACTATCAATGTAAGAGTTCCCTTGCTTTGGAATCCTTAGCTTCCCATGCATCTGTAACTGGAACTGGGGGTTTCTGTAATCACCTCAAACAAACCCTCTTTCCGCAGAATTGCCTCTGCATACAGAACCCAGTCGCTGTAATTTTTCTTGTTGAGCTTAGGAATCCCACAAGCATCCTGAAGGGCCATCATGACTCTGGCATTAGCCTTCAGCGTCATTATATGCTGCTTTAAATCTTGCTGCGTCACTGCTGCAGCTGCCTAATTACAAAGGCACACTTAAAAGTTACTTTCGATTTCCCCAGCATAGTGACTTGTGCCTGGGAGCCTTTTGCCTATTCCCGGCAAAACCGGCTTTAAAAGTTCAAAGTCCAGCCATAAAGCCATTAACTTGAAGCTGGCAGGCTGCCCGGAGCAGTAGCACATACCTCATCAATCACCTCTACGCGCAGAGCAGATTCCGTTCCGATCTGTCCCTCTGCATTCCGATCCTTTGCCGGCACTCCGATTCGACTTCTGGAGCCCATAACCACGTGTTGATTTAAAGCAGAGTCTGCGTGCCCAGCGGAAGGATGAGGAATACGTGCTGCATACTCTATATTGCTTTATTTACAGTTCAAAGCTGGTATATTACAGAAAGACATCTTGCCTCTGCCGGAGCAGAAAATGCATCCTCTCTCCTCGACAGCTCGGAGAGAATCACACAGTGAAAACAGGAAACCAGTGTACGTCACATCCAGTCTCCCTTTCCCGTGAGAAACTCCAACAGTACAGACTGTGGAATGTAAACACCTGTCTCGTGACAAGCAGAGCTGCACAGTGAAGGAAAGCAGAAACCAACATCCTTCTCCCTTCTTGGCAAGTATCTTGTCAAGAGATAGGAACAGGGGCCCCAATTTTTAAGGAAAAGGTGAATCCACTCGCTTTGGAGAATGCTGCATTTTCAGAGAAAACTTGCACCTTTCTCTGCGAAAAGCTAACTGCATGAAAATTCAGCTCAGCGCTTTTAAGGAATATTTTTACCACCTTTTTAGTAACAGAACAGTGGGTGGGAGTCACCTAATTAGCACCATCAGCGGAAGAGGGAGCTTCCACATGTGCAACAGGGCTCCCCCTCATTCTCCCCTGCACCCCTTGAAGTTGGCTCAGGAGTGTGTTCATCAGGAGAACCCCCAGAGCAGCACACAGAGGAAGGAGATCATCCCATTTTGCAAGCTGCTGTGTTTGCACAGATGGAATGATTGGAAGAGCACAATGCTAAATTCCACCCAATGTGCTTAGGGAAGTTGTAGAATTGTGATCTCAAACATTTTTTTAAAAAGAGGATGGATAAGCATCTGAGGGATACAATAATACATTGAGCAAGTCCTGCTTTACCTGAAAGATTTAAACTGAATAGTGATGCTCAAGGTTGTCGGCAAACACACTAAGAGTTTTAGGTTTGTTCAGGAAATGGAATTGTGCTATCTCCTTTGAGGATGTGGGGGCTTATGATATCTTATCTGGCAATGAACAAATTTCAAAGTGGAACAAGCAGTTGCCAGATCTACCAACTAATGTGGCAAACGAAAATTATTTAGTTAACTAAAGTCTGGACTCATTCCACTATTTTTAAATGAGCCTTTTTGTCAAGCTGGGCCAGCCAATTTGTGCCACCAGGTGTAGACACAGAACACACACCAGAGAGCAATGATAACAAAAAGAGAACTGATTAATTCTGGCAATAAAATGGATTGCTTCCTGAACTCTTCCTCTGTTTCCTAATATCAGAGCTGTCCCTGGTAAACAAACACCCAAGAATCCATCCACCCATTTCCATACCCTCTCTGCTCGGCCTGTTCTTCCGCGTCCAATCAGTCACCTGTCTCAAAGAGTCAAAGAAGTAATCTGCTTCATTCTGGCTGATCACCTAAGAAAGAAAAGATGAATGAGAGGGGAGTTTGCACAAAGAATCAGTTCAATCCCCATCGTTCCCGTTGCAGTAACGTTGCAGTAGCTGCAGTAGCTTATGAATTAAACACAAATGATGCTGGCATGTGTTAGACCATGGGTCTTATTAAACAGGTACAGTAACCCCACAACTTACAAACATTTAACTTGTGTGCATTCAGCTTTGTGTGATAAATAAAAAGGGGGTGGAAAGGTGCAGCATCAGATTTAGGGCAATGAGGGTGGTTCCGATGCACAGGGCGCCAAGCCAAGGGTGTGCAAAATTGAGACGATCCATTTGGGGGTGCCAAATTTTGGCCTTGCAAAGTGAGCCATAATGCAGGTTTGCCAAAGTCCACGCCTGAAAGAGGGCAGGGTTCTGGGGGAAATGACTTTGGCAATCTCACCTGCCACTGAATGTGTTTTTGAGTATACACAATTTTGGCTTTAGGTGTGATTCCTGGAATGTAAACCCTGCATAAGTTGCAGGCTTCCCGTATGAAGGAAAGAAATTAAGCAAAAAAAAGCATTATTCTTTCACCCAGAAAAAAAAGGTGAAGCATGCATTATTATCACACAGAGCTCACAGTGGATATGTGACCAAAAGGGCCCTTCAAAGACACTCGCTTTATACGGCTGCCCTCTCTGCCAATTACCTTGTCTGCAGTCTTGACAAAGAGGCTGAATCCTTCCCAGGAACTCAGTTCCATCTGGCTGGCGATAGTCTCACACAGAGTCCGTACTTTTGTGTTTGTCCCTACCACAAATGCCTGGAACATAACAGTGGAGGGACCAAAGTGAGTAGACTGGAAGGAAAGGGAACGGAGGACAACTTGCATGATGCACACAAACTGATAAGAGCCGGGCATCTGTCTCCTTGGCTCCAAGCTGCACTAGAAGCCAGTGAAGGAAAACATGCAAGTCCATGCTGAGAAGCAGGACCTCTCTCTATGTCCACTGGATGCTGAAGGCAAACGTGAGGAACTGGCTGTCATTGCAACCTAGTTTCTGAGATCTTCTCAAGGGCATCTGGTTAGCCACTGTTGTCAACAATCCTGACATTATTGTTACTAGCGTTTATTGTCTCCTTTTGTGTCCATAGCATTTTGTTTAAATACATATTTTTAAATCTTGCAAATATAAGAAAAAGAAGAAAAGCAACATAGACAGCTCACATTAAAAATAATCCATCAATCCTGATTTAAACATATATATTAATATAAGCAGCCCCAGTGGCGGAGCTTCATGCTCCGGTACCGGGGGGGGCAGAGAGCAGGTGGGGGCAGGGCTGGCGTGCATCCTGGGGGTGTGGCACGCTGCCTGTGGGGGCATGGCGCTCAGCGTGGGCGGGGGGGCAGCTGTGATGGCACCCCATCGGGATCGCGTTGCCGGGGGTTATGCGCTCACCCCGCACTTCTCTTCTGCTGCCAGTGAGCAGCCCATGTGTTCAGACAGATGCCTGAATGAGTGGCCATGCCAGTTATGAAACATTATTAAGGAATGGTACCTGAATTTGCTAATACGAACAGTAAGCCCACAACCTATACTCATTTAGCTTGTGCATATTCAGCTTTATGCACTTGACAAGGGTAAAAAAGGGGACGGGTTCCAGGAAAAATAACCTTGGCAACCCTCCCACCATTGACCCAAATGGGTTTTGATGATAATGCGATTTTGGCTTTAGGTGTGATTCCCCAAAATGTAACCCCCATGCAAGGTGCGGGCTTACTGTATTCATTCCCCCCCGCCTTCCATGTCCCCTTTTTCTGCAGTATCAAGTCTATTAGATTGTATGTAACTGTACAATATGGGACGCGGGTGGTGCTGTGGGTTAAACCACTGAGCCTAGGACTTGCCGACCAGAAGGTCGGCGGTTTGAATCCCCGCGACGGGGTGAGCTCCCATTGCTCTGTCCCTGCTCCTGCCAACCTAGCAGTTCGAAAGCACATCAAAAGTGCAAGTAAATAAACAGGTACTGCTCTGGCAGGAAGGTAAACGGCATTTCCGTGCGCTGCTCTGGTTCGCCAGAAGCGGCTTAGTCAGCATGGCCACATGACCCGGAAGCTGTACGCCGGCTCCCTTGGCCAATAAAGCGAGATGAGCGCCGCAACCCCAGAGTCGGCCACGACTGGACCTAATAGTCAGGGGCCCCTTTACCTTTACCTTTAACTGTACAATACAAAGAACAACCTTCCAATATATTTAACAGATACGGGTAGATAGCAGAGTTGGCCTCACCTGCTCTGTATCATTTGGAAAGTAAACCTTGTGGGAAATCTTTGTGATATTCTTCTGGATCGCCTCCACTTCCACGCTGTGTGGGGCCCACTTCCGACAGCCACTCCTGGAAAATAGCAATGCAGGTAGAAATCTCAGAGGTGGGCATTTGCTCATGGGCAGCTGCCATCAGTCTACTGCAACTCAGCCTTATGCCAAGTCTGAAAATTGGTCCACCTTGCTCAATACTGTCTATACTGACTGGCAACGGCTCTCCAAGGTTTCAGGCAGAGAATTTTTCCCAGCTCTACCTGGAGATGCTGGAGAATCTGGAGACCTTTGCATGAAAAACATGAGCTCTGCTACTGAGCCAGGGCCATTCCTCAAGTTAAGCCACTAAAGAGCTATTAAGAGAGCAGGAAACAGAGGCTTCTGGTGGAAGAGTAAGAGCTACCCTGACATGAATTTTTGTGCTCCTAGATGGCTCCTCTCTTACCCCGAGTTCTTCCTCCTCCTAAGGGCTGCACTCTAAGACAGGTACAGGGCTCTGAGGCACCTGTTGCTTCAAATATAGGATTTGTGATGAGGCTTCAGCTGAAGAACCAAACCGTCATAGAAACCACAGGCAGGGCTCTCTCATTCCTTAAATGTAATTATTTTTAATCTAAAACGAACCCCACTAAAGCAAGAGCCCTCCGGCATCACCTGCTATTCAGAGGGAGCTGCCTGTGAGTTCTGCAGAAAAGAGAAATGTGTGTATGTCTTGAGCATACCTGCCTTATGCCCACATCTGCCATGCTATCAATCTCTCCTGGCATGGAAGGAAGGTTAGTCCCTTTCAATTTCTTTTGTACATTAGGTTACATGTTGCATATGCTTTGCCGTATACGCTTTACATTTCCTGCCACCTTGTACAAGGTGGGACTCTGCTGTTACCTTAGGGACAGAGGACACAAAACCTTCTCAAAGGATTGATAAAGCCTCTGTACCTCATCACCCTTTGCATCCTACGCCTGCAGTCCACGGCCAGGTTCTCTTTCTGACGAGTCTCCATAAATTTCTGAGCATGACTCAGCAGTGATTTACTAGGAGGGAAAAGGCCTGTGCACAGCCAGAGTAATTGCCAACCACTGTTCAGGCTGTACCTGTAGTTTTGAGGGAAATAATAATAATTACTTAGAAGCGTGAATGTATTTTATTTACTTAACCCAACAGCTCTTGAAACTTAGGAAACTATCCATCCAAGCTGGCTTCTTTGTGACCCACCCCCTCCATTGTCACCATAGGGGTGGAAATGGCTTCCACTGCTGGATTTGGCCAGATACCTCTGAAAGCTCAGTAAGTTCTTTTTCTGACAATGACCGAGAAACACATTGATATAAAAAGGAACTGGCCTGAAAGAGATGGTTGGAAAGGTCTGGCCCTTGGTACCTGTTGGTGTTCTCTGTCAGCTGCTTCATGATCTGACAGTAGATCTCATCGCGCAGAACTTCCTCCTGAATTGCCACTACAAATATCTGGTCGGTGAGCTCTGCAGGGGACCTCTCCTGCTTTGAGGGGTAGTCTCCCATGTATCTCATGATAGGTGAGCAAAGTGGTAAGGAAAAGTTTGCAGAGATGATGTGCAATTTCAAGCACCTCTCCTTTTTCAGAGAACTCCTAGTGACTGAGCCCTCCGGTGACAATTAGGCTGTGCTGCCTAGCAAAAACTATTAGCAGGTCACCTTACCAATTAGTACTGCCTTCTGTGACTTCTCTTTTGGGGGTGTTAATGCTATGAACCCCTCCATCATAGACTCAGGTTGTATATAGTATGAACCATTTATCATAAAGACACCACAGTCTCTGCTGTGCCTCATACATGAACCCTGGAATATGGCACCATTGTGTCAAGTTACAGGGAACCAGGCAGAGGGCCTTCTCGGTAGTGGCACCCGCCCTGTGGAACGCCCTCCCACCAGATGTCAAAGAGAAAAACAACTACCAGACTTTTAAAAGACATCTGAAGGCAGCCCTGTTTAGGGAAGCTTTTAATGTTTGACAGACTATTGTATTTTAATATTTTGTTGGAAGCCGCCCAGAGTGGCTGGGGAAACCCGGCCAGATGGGCGGAGTATAAATAATTTTTTTATTATTATCTATTATTATTATTATTATTGTTGTTGTTGTTGTTATATTGGGGTGGTATGCAACCCTGTCACCAGCATAAAGGATATCAATGAAGGACTGGCAAGCAAAGTCCCAGAGGTCAGAGTTGGTGCACACCTTCTTCAGTAAAGGCTGTTTTAGGGGTTCCCTAGAGTGAGCCCATAGGTGACTCCGCCCACGGGACTTGTGTAAGACCGCCTTGCTGATCGACTCCTTTTCAGGAACTCTGGGAAAACAAAAGAACATTTCCTCAAAGCAGTGCCATTTGGACTTAACATTTGCTTGGGATAGGATAAAAAATGTAACAGAGAAAATCTATCTGGACAGGTATAACCTGGCTGCAGTATTCTTTGCTCTGGTAACCTCAAGCTAGGATTGCTGCAGTGCACTGCAGTGCAATACATGGGGCTGCCTTTTAAGACTGTTTGGAAATTGCAGCTTGTGCAGAATGCAGCCACTCAATTGCTGGCAGGTTCGAAGCAATGCACTTGCACCACAATTTTGCTTCTCTCCCTCCCAGTAAGCAGGGGTAACACACCTGCCAAAAGTTAGGATTATGGCTCTACCCTGCCTGGCATGGATCCAACCTAAAATTCCCTGCACCTGCTAACGTTTACCAATACTGAACAGGTCACCCTCTAGCACAGAGGTGGGGGACTGGACCCAGCCAATGGGCCAGGTGCCCCCCACACACTCTTGACAGCGCTATCTGCTGAACAAGTGAGTTCCTGATAGGCAACTCCCTAGTGCAGCTGATCCCAGCAGCGCTTCCTATTGGCACCAATCAACTGAAGAGTATTAAGCGTGACCTCTGCTTGCCTTGGAACAGTTGGGAGTGCATGTTGAGCTCATGAATGTTCCTATGCAGCCACACCTGATGTCACATATGGCTTAAGGTGGGCATGGCTTGGAGAAATAGCCTCCGAGGCCAAATTATGACCCTTGCAGGACCTAACTAGACCCATGGGAAGGAGGTTTCCCTCTTGCACTTCTGAAGATTAGGCCCCTTTTTTCTATGTTGCCAAATGAAGATTGGTGCCAACTCTGATTTGCATTTGAATATGGGGAAAATCCTGGCTGGAACAGTATCTCAGTGGCCATCAGCAGAGGAGTGGTCCACCTTCCCTGTGTCCTCTACTTCACTGCAGATAAGGAACGGCAAGAGGGGTCACCACAAGAGTCATTTCCATCACATGGAAGATGGAGTGGGATGCAATAACTAAGACGGGTTTAAGCACAATAACATGCAACTGTTGATTGAAAAAGCAGCATGACTTTCAGGAAGTAAGAGGCTCCGGGAGAAACTGAATAGGAAGCTGCAAGGCACAGGAACAGATATACCTGAAGTGCTCGTAGGAGAATTCTTCCAGAGTATATGGCTTCACTTTTGCTTCTTCTTCCTCATGCTCCTCTGTGCGAGAATTCAGTGACGCCAACCTCCGTTGTTCAGGCGACATCATCAGCAGGCTCTGAAAAGACACAGCCCCTTGAAGGCTACAGGCTCCTTGCCAAGATGTCAGACACCGACCACCCGTGCTGATGCTTCAGGAAAGATTTGTGGGCAGGATACTCATTTCCTGCCAGGTCTGCTTACAGACACTTCTTCAGAGCAAGGAAGGGTTACCAGGCCTGCCAACATTTCCCTTAATGAGGGGAATAGTTCCAAAAGAATTCCCACAGGGACAAGCATTGCATTAGAAGAGGCCTCAAGAGAGCACAATGTCAAATCCAGAAATCAAGTCAATGCATAACTGGAACTACTGTCGCTGCTTGGATGTACTTGAAACTTACATGAAACTGCTAATTGAAACAAATACTCAAAACAGAGAACAATGTTAAAAATGCAATTTAAAGTAGTTCAGTAATAATTACAGTCCACAACAGATCAAAAGTTCCCCTTTATGGGGGAATAACTTCCAATGTTCTGATCTCAGTTTTAGTTTTAATAAGCATGTGAAAATTCTGAGAATGCTCTGCTAAAGATTTAGGAATTCAAGAGGAAGCCTGATTTCTACACAAGCTCTAAAACGGGATCAGAGTTAGCTCTGACAATTTCCCCAAAGGCTCCTGCAAGCCCTTGTTCAGTACTGCTATTTTCTTCCATTCCTCTGAAACACACACTACAGATTTTTTTGTGGGTTTCAGCATGTTACCTTAATAGAGGTCATATCCATGCCATACATTTAATGCACATGGCTCCCCTGAAGAATCCTGGGAACTGTAGTTTACCCATCACAGAACTACAATTCCCAGCACCCTTAGCAACCTAAAGTTCCCAGGACTCTTTTTGGAAGGGGAATATGTGCTTTAAAAATATGATGATGATGTGAGCAGAGATGGGATGGAAGCCATTTATCTTGGTTATCCTTACCAGTAATTGACTAGAAGGTTTCGTAACGGTGGGGATGACGTAGATTGCATCTTGTGACACAAGCCCAGATTTACCAGTTCGCTCATTCTGAGCATAGATCCAGCCTTGGCTTCCTTCCAGTCTTCTGCCACGGGCATGCATCCTGCCTTGGCTTTTTTCTAGTCCTCTGTCCTTGGCTAAAATCAGCAAATCCCCCTTCTTAAAGGCCAGAATTGTGGAATCATCTGGGAAGCAAAAAAAAAGAGAGAACTGCAGTAATGCTGTCCAGCCATTGCACATCAGAGAGAAAAATGGGGGGGGGGGTTTCAGAGTCGGACCAGGACATGAGTCCTCAGACTTTCTCACAAGACCTTTAGGGATCAGTTATGCAGCCCATTTTGTGCAAATATTGATATCCGAGTTTGTATCAGGGGGGCCACTTCCTAGAAGCTGAGCCCTTTTGGTCCCCCTGTGATATTTTTTGGAGGGGGACAGATCTGCCCTCTGTGGAGGAGGCCAAGTGTGGAGCTGAGCACAGTGCAGCTTCAATAGCCGGCTCCTCCTTCTCCTCCTCCTGCCAGAGGGGAAGGAGCTGCTGGCCATGGAAGACATGCTGCCGACATGTTCAGCTCTGCCCCCAGCTCCTTTGATGTTGGCCCCCACATTCTCCATCAGAAGCTGGTACCTCTGGTTTGTATCAAGCATGTGACAAGTGGGCCATGAGAGTAACTTGCCATGAACAGCAAATCACATTTGTTTATCTTGTGAACTGCCTAAGATCTTCGGGTGAAGGGTGGTATATAAATTTAACAATAAATAAATAAGGAATGTCAAATTGTGTTTTGTGCTCATAAGACTGTGTACACACCATACACTTAAAGCAGACACATCCTGCTCCAAAGAATCCTCTAGACTGTAGTTTAAGCCACACAAAGCTACAATTTCCTGCACTCTTACCAAGAATCCTAGGATTCTTTTTGGGGTGAGGTGGGGTAGGGTGTGTGCTTTAAATGTGTGGTGTGTACAGTTTCCCTTCTTTCCCAATCTTGTTTTTACCTCAGTGACCCGTCTAGTTTTTGTTCCATTCTTCTGCTACATCATTACCTGTTTCTGCTCACGTTTCCCACTAACAATTTCTCATGACACCTCAGGGGATGTGGGAGATTTGTGACTGGATCTCTCAACACTTTCCACTTAAGAGTATTTCTTGGAATCAAGTGGTATATAAATTGTGTTTAATAAATCAAGAACATGTTTTTCCTTAAAAGAAGGTGGAGAAGCTGAAGCATTTGAACTGAGACTGCAGGAAAGACGAGGAAAATTTTCCCTCAGTTCTTCCAATAGCAAAAGTCCATCCTTATCAAGAGCTGGGTGTAAAGCTAGGTGGTTTACTGTTTATGAGCCAGGAATGCTGCCTCATTTTGGTAAACAGCTCAATGACATCTTTCACTAAGAGGGGACAAATGATGCACACAAGTTTGGATGGGACCACATCAGCAGCTGCTGGGGGAGTCATAATCTGCCCCTGACATCTATCAGCAGAGAGAGGAGCCCAAACCAGCCCTCCATTGGACACATTGATTCAGCGTAACCTGATCCTTGGAAACCTCTCCATCTGAAAGCACCCTAAGTTACCTTGCTGCTTGTTTTCTTGCATTGCCACAGCATACTGTGACCTCTCTTTCAGTCCTTGCAGAAACATGACCACCAGCTCAGCAATGACAACGCTGTTGGCCGATGTCAAGACAAACTCTTCAGCACGCAAGGTGTTAAGGGTGCAACTTTGTCCGAACGCCTTGACTGCCCTGTGAAACACAGAAGTAATTTGTTAAAGATGGCTCTGGGAGCTGCAGGAGAGCAAAGCTCTACATCTACCAACAGCCTTCAGAATAAGAGTCCAAATGTCCTCAAATCCATTAATTCAAAGGCAAAGTAGTAGAGTCTCTTAACATGGATCAAAAAGCAAGGGGTGGGAAGGACAAGACCTGATGTTTTCCAAAGCTGGAACAGAATCACCAACTCCTAGTGGGAGGTCAAATTTGTACATTCAGCCCTTCCATGTCTCCTTACAGAGACATCTTATCCTGCAAGGCTCATTCTCAAACAAAGGGGGAACAGGAAGCACAGTGCTGTAAGGGACAGTGAGATGATATAAGATTTCATACTCTGAGTAAACAGAACTCCACACCTGCTCCTTGAAGAAGAGGATGCTTTTTAAAACTTTGGGGAAGGGCCATAGTTCAGCAGCAGAGTCTGGTAGGACTAGGAAAGAACACTCTGAAATCTTGGGAGAGCTACTGCTAGCCACTGTAGGCAGTACTGAGCTAGGTGGACCAGTGATCTGGCTCAGTGTAAGGCAGCTTCCTGTCTAAAACCTCCCCCTGGCATAATTGCCAAGGAAGGAAGACAGAAGAATCAAATGTGGCCAATGATATGAAGAGCAGGTAGGAGCTGAGCACCCTTGGGTTTCTTGGGAGTTCCAAGAGAGGACTCTGCTGCTCTGCTGTGAGGGAGCACTCAGTCATGTCACCTGCCTCACTGCAATAGTCCCAGTGGAGTGCCAGCCCCTGCATGGTGTTTTTGAACCCCAAGTTCACAATCCCACTGACAGTGGAAGACTTCCAGCACTGTCTCCCACTCAGTTCTTGACCTTTCCTTGCATGGCCAATAAGGGATTATTTCTCAAGCTTCCTACGATCAGAATGTGCATGTATTCCAAAGTTTCCCAAGAGGGTCCTGCGATGATGAAATGCATTTCAAATATTGTGCAGAATGTTGGTGAGGATGCAGTACCTACATTCTCTTGGGCCCATGGTGTCCTAGCAGACTTACCTGTTTGTGTGGATGCCAGTGATTTCTGGGAAAGACAGGTCTAGAAGTCTCTTTTCTGACTCATCTAGGAAGCAGATCCCTTTCCAATTAATTGCCACTATGAAATGGTTCTTGGGCAGACTTGGCCCTGTAAACACAATTTTTAAAAAGGTAGTGTGGCAACCTTTTCTTACCTCAGATATTCCTCCCCTCTGTACCCTCACCCACACGAAAGGGGTTGACATTACCTGAAAATTTGGTGACCTCAAAGAATCTAGAAAAGAGCAGAGGCCACTGAAAGCGGGCAAAATCCACCAGCTGCTCCTTCACATTCTGAGGGGAAAGTCGGTCCTGGGTATAAGGGGCCTGCAACATAGAGATGCAGAGGTGACTAAGTCTGTTCCCTTCAGTGACAACCATCTCTCTTCTGTGTCTATGCAGACTTTTATGGGGGAAACCCTCAAAACTCCATTCAAGCCCACAGATTTAGAAATACTTTAAAATCCTTTGAAGTGGCAGAGCTGTCATTAAGTACCTCCAAACTGCCAAAGGCCAGATGTGAGCTGTCTCCTTTTGACTTAGCAACAGCTGCAGCCACATATACAAATAAGATTGCAATTCCCCTGGGAAAACAGGTACTGATGATGCACTTCTGCTCTCAAGAGGAATTGCAGATGTGCAGGAACGTGGATATTTCCATGGGCATGCATGTCATCACTGCTCTGAGAGACTCTGGGATACTTGACAGCCTGATCATGGAATGTGCACTGAGTGTAGATTCTCAAGCGGACCCATGTCCAATCCATATTTCAGTCTGGAAGGTATGGATCAAGTGAGTCCAGTTTGGAATTCATGTTTGCTGAATTCCTCCAAATGCTCTGCAACACACAGGCGATACATGGGATTTCCTGGTGCACATCCACCGAGGATAAAATACTGAAAGACGACCGTCAGTTCTCCCCAAGTGTTTCAAAGACTGTTCACTTCAGCTGCTATTGCCACCAACGCAGAGGGGGAAGGGCACAGGGAAAGAGAAAAGCTGCAGGAGAACAGAAGAGGTAAGTGGGAAATCAGCAGCAACAGCAGCAGCAGCAGCGAATGCTCAGTGAAGTGAAAGAAACAGGGTGCACCATTAGCAGTCCATCACCCCTGTCAGGCCCATACACAATTTGTCAACTTGTTGAAACCTCTCAATTGTCATAAATTCGTTCAGTGGGACCCCCTGCTCAATCCTCCTTAGTAAACCATAGGGGGCAAATATATTGGTCCTCTTTTCCTCTGCCACATTCCTCTAGGACACTTATTTTCTGTTCCAGAAGAAAGCACAGAAGGACAAATGCATTATAAAACAAAGTTATGTAAGACAGAAGCCATGGGATATGTTAGTCCCAGTATGTACCCCTGGGTGTTCTTACCTTAGCGTGAGCATATGTGATGAGGCTCACCCACTTCTCCTTGGATTTAGACTTCAGCAGCTTTGCTGGGATACACTCCTGGAGCATGTTTTGAACCAACTCATTTTGGATGGACTCTCCAAACTGGACGTAGCAATATTTGGCTCCTATCTCCACCAAGTCCTCTTCCTATGACAATTAATCAGGTTTGGTGATTTGCTAGAAGAGGCTTTAACCTAATGTCAGTCATTGCCCAGACTAGACAAATTAGATATTCATCTTCTCCCAAGCAGGTTTGATCCAGAGGTTTGTATAGCACACATATACAGAAGAATGAATTGCACGAATGGCATTGAATAGAATATTGAAACAGTAAGGAAAGATCCATTTTGTCAAAGAAATGCCGCTGGGAAGACTGATTATGTATACCCAAATCAATCCATTTCCCAAAGTGCCTTTGGACTCCATGTATTAGTGAATTAAAAACCTACCTTCTCACAGCGGTATTCTCCATATCGAATGCCACGGATGATTTGATGATAGATGAGCTCAGTGCTGACAGGATCTTCCTTAGAGTTGTGCCAGGGAGTGAAGACCTCTTTCCTGAAGTACAGACGCCAGGGAGTGTGGCGTTCATGGCCACCCTTCTCCTTTTCCATTTGTTCACACTGGGAAATGGCATCCATTATGTGTTCCCGTTCGCCACCAAGCGACCAAGCCTAACAACATCAAAATCACCCATTTCAAAGATAAATAAGGTTGTTTTCCTTAATGGATAGTCTAATAATCTCGGGAAAATGCCCCCAAGTCATCTCATGTAAGGGGATAAGTTGTGAGTGAAAATTACACAGTAAGTTATACTTCACCAGGATAATTAACTAGCAGCATGGTATAAGACAGCCTTCTCCCCATATGCCCAGACCCTACAATCACCATCTGATACCCTTCCTCCTGCGCCTCCTGCACAAGAGGTACAGAAGGTGGCAACTTGAGAGCAGGCCTTTTCTGAGGTGGCTTGTGGAATGCTGTCCCCAGGGAGGTTCGCCTGGCACCTTCATTATACAGTGGTACCTCAGGTTAAGAACTTAATTTGTTCCAGAAGTTCGTTCTTAACCTGAAACTGTTCTTAACCTGAGGTACCACTTTAGCTAATGGGGCCTCCTGCTGCTGCTGTGCCGCCGCCGCACGATTTCTGTTCTCATCTTGAAGCAAAGTTCTTAACCTGAGATACTATTTCTGGGTTAGTGGAGTCTGTAACCTGAAGTGTATGTAACCCCAGGTACCACTGTATATATCTTTAGGTGCCAGACAAAAATGTTCCTCTTCAACCAGGCCTTTGGCTGAATAACATTCTACAGCCTTTTAAATGTGTTTGTGGGATGCGGGGCTATTGTTTTGTTGTTTCTGTTTTAACCAGTGCTTTTTTTCTGGAGATACGCCAGTACCAGCAGTATCAGCCAGTACTGCTGCAGTACGCCAGTACCAGCAGTTTTTTCCCTAGAAGAAAAGCACTTGTTTTAACTATTTATTTGTGTTTCCATCTTCTTATCCTGAGATTTTTTGATGAAGAGCAGTATATAGATCTAATAAAATAACAACAACTTGGTACCCTCCTACAATTCCTATCAGCCCCAGGCCAGTGTATGGTAATGCAAGGATGGGAAGGTGGTTTCATTTTATGCCCTTCTAGGGTATTGTTGAGGTCAGGGCAGGGACTTGATACAAACACTATTCCTAAAAAAAAAGCCTTGTGTAGAACTTTGTAGATAGACACATTTGTAGATATTCAAACATGAGGTATAAATGCATACCAAAACCACCACATTTATTCCACTGTATTTTGAGACCCAGATGATTGCTAGAAGATAACAGGCCATTCCTTACTTGAGTATCCACGGTAGGTTGATATAAATGGGCTTGTTCTTTAAAAAGAATGTCATGTAGACTTTTTGCCCATGCAGACTGAATTTGCACATGTGACTATTTATGTGAATCTGCTACCAGGAGCACAAAATCTACAGGCTGCATGCAATGGGCTACTTATCATAGGGATGTTGGCCATTTTGATCTCATAGTATGACTTTCACATGACCAGGATAACCACAAGCGCATTCAATCTACGTCGGTATATGTGTGTGTTTGTGTAAACTCTGGCCACATTGAAAAGCCCAAAACGCAAACTGGTCTTCAGCTCTAAAAGCACACCTTACTTGCTGCAATTACCGTATTTTTCGCCCTATAGAATGCACTTTTTCCCCTCCAAAAATGAAGGGGAAATGTGTGTGCGTCTATGGGGCGAATGCAGGCTTTCGCTGAAGCCTGGAGAGCGAGAGGCGTCAGTGCGCACCGACCCCTCTCGCTCTCCAGGCTTCAGGAAGCTATCCGCAAGCCATGGGAGAGCTGCCTGCACCCTAAAGCCTGGGGGCACGCTGAGCTCAGCGCCCCCCAGGCTTCGGGCTTCGCACAGCTCTCTGCAAGCCGTGGGAGGGCTGCGCGAAGTCGCGCAGCTCTCCCACAGCTTGCGGAGAGCTGCCTGTTCTGGGGGCTGGGGTCGGGGGAAGCTCGGGCTTCCCCCGCCCCAGCCAAGCGCCTGGGGGGGAAAATAATTTTTCCCCCTTTATTTTCCCCCCAAAAAAACTAGGTGCACCCTATGGGCCGGTGCGCCCTATGGGCCGAAAAATACGGTATGTGGGAAGATGGCAAACAATCAGGCTTAGAATATGGGAAATTGCATTTTCACATGTGAAGAGTTGGGCTACAATGATGGCAAAGAGCCCTCTCCCCCCCACACCCCGCCACCCACACAGAAAACATAACTGAAATTTAAAAGAGTTGTGTAGATGCCCCCACGCCCTAATGCATTTAGGCAGATTTCACCCCACATGCAATGTTCTTTCACCTTGTCATACAAAGCAATATAGAGAGAGAAACCAAATGTATCCTTCAGGTTAGTTTTCTCAGCAACACGCTGGCAAATTTCCTTTGCAATGGAGGCTGAATCTGCCGAGACTGTGATGCTGCTGCCATTCATCAGGGTCACACTAAGTGTAATCGGCTTCTTATTCTTTGTTGCCTGAAAGCCAAAGAAACACAGGGGCAGAGTCGCACAGCAACTTTCTCCACACTTGCTCTATATTGCAGCTATAATGAGAATCCCAAATCGTTACACAAATATCCATCTTTCAGATAAAGGGGAGAAACCTGACTCTTCTAGATGCTATTAGACGAAAGTAATTACCTATGTAGTAACATTCAGGCTTCTTCTACTAAGCCATTTAGTACTGCAGACACATTGCTTCTCTGCAATTAACTGGAAGTGTTTAATAATGAAAGTTCGGCACACCACTTAATCCAGCAGTGCTCTTGCTTGTGGCCAGCAAAGATCCTTTCCAATATTAATTTTTTAAAAATCTTCCCCATGATCCTGGATATAGGATTAGTAATATATACTGCCTTAATTGTCCCTTGAATAGCTTATCTTAACTGCCTTCATTGTTCTTGCAAGTGGAGTTGGGGTTTAATTACAAGTATTCATTTTAAGAGCAAAATATCAGTGCTGAATTTCACAATAAAAACTGAGATTCTACATAGCAAGATAGCATATTCACCAGAAATGCACTTCCTCATGGCCAAACTCCAAGGACAAAAAGAGAATAAACGAATACTTAAAGACTCGCCACTCCTGCCACAGGAATGGAAATTGGTACTGGGACAACCAAAAGAGGCTGTTCAGTGGCTGGGGAGCATGCCGGGGGGGGGGGGGGTGGCACGAGACTCAGCAGTATTTTGCCTATCCACACTAGGCAGGTTGTTGCTGCAATCACGTTTTATTGCAAAAATTATATGTTTTTGCCATCTATCAGAACTGGAAAAACAAGCAAGGGAGACAAGACACAAGCAACAATCTGCCAATGGAATCCACTGCTTCCAAACTGGACACTTTCTGTGACAAAGCCACACTTTCCTCACTCACTTTTTAACGTGCATCTGTATGACATCATGAACAAGACAGGTCTCCCTCTCAAATTTCCCTTGTACTGCCTTTCACATTTCCCCCCAAAGCTCAGAAAAAAAACTTTTTAAAAAGCCCTGAATTCAATAGTTGCCCTATTTCCCCAAGTGCAGATGCCTATTGTGCTGCTGTTCCAGCTGATTAGACTGCTCTGGTCATTTCTTAGCTTGCGCTCTGTCCCGTTCCTTCTGTATCATCCCTCATCAGTAGGAATCAAAACTATCACTTTAGCCTTTGTCTAAAGAGTAAGTGAACACAAGGAATCAATTCCAGACAGACTAGTGCAGAAAGCAGTAAAACGCACAGGAGGTTAACTGCCTTCTGTTACAACCCAGCAAGATTAATCAATGTGAGAAAAGGATAAAATGATGGTTACCTGCAGCTCCAGCCAACTAGGCGGGTCAGATCGTGTTCCATTCATATATGTGCGCTTCAGTCTTTCAGCACAGTATGGGACATATAATGTTGGTCCACCCTGGATGAAATTCAGTAGGTACTGGAAGTATAAAGCAGACCACAGTATTAGAAAGCAAAGAATACCCCCAAATCCTTATTAACCATCTAATACAGGTATGTAGAACTTGTGAAAATATTTACTCATGGTTTACACCTCTTCTCTTTCTGGGTTTTGAATATCATTTCCCAAACAACATGATATTCTTTGATACTCCTTGACCTCAAGGGAAGTGACATTTTTTTTCTAGGGTTGCTAATGTGAAAGGAGGAATTTCTACCTACCCTGCAATTATGCACTGCTACCTTCACTGCCACAACCATCATCTCCACTGCCTTCTCCTCATTCATCCCCTCTTCTGTGGTTGCCAGGAAAAAAGCTCCAAGATGGCACCAGGATCCAGGAGTGCCAGCTTGGCCCTGTGACTATGGGTGCCTGGGGGCTGGGGCCATGGGTGTCATGCAACGTGCATGGCCCTGGCACCGAAATTTGTGGGTGCCCGGTCCCTTCATGGGGAATTTTGTGGGTACTTGGGCACCCAGGGCCCCAGGGAGTTGGCACCTATGCCAGGATCTTAGAGTTGCCAATGAGGTTATTTTAGGGTAACAGCATCTCAAGATGTTGAAGTGGTGGAAGGAGACAGAGTGGGGGGAGAGAAGAGAAGAGAAAAGAGGAGAGGAGAGGAGGAGGTGGGGAGGCACCATGAGGGTGAGGGCAGCGGAAGGTGGTGGTGGTGGTGGTGGTGGTGAGGGGCAGTAGCTGTGGGCTTTTGTCTTAGGCAGTTTCCCCTCTCTATGCACATCTATCACAGACAAAATCCTGTACATTATTGATATTCTAGATTCCAACATACTGTAAAAAAACCCCCCCGCAGAATAACTACCTTCACAAACTTGTCTGAAGGACAGAAGGAACTAAGACAGAGAGACAGCAGAATCCAACCTCTCAGATAACTGGTTTGGTTTTTATTCTCACTGAGTTGCTTGCAGATCTGACAGTAAATTTCATCCCTGTGGAAGAAAACTAATTAGCAAAATAATCCTCATCCCCAATGACAGACTTTTTGCTAAACAGATCCTTGTACAATTTCCCTGCTACAAGTGGGTGTACTTGAAGCCTGTTTGATTACATTGTGCTTTTTGTTTTGTAATAAATGCTGCACCTAGGCATCTTATGCTCAACCTGGTAGAGATCTACACAATTTTTAATACGTTTTTCTAAGGGCTAGATGCAGGACTGGCTCAACACATTTTGCTGCCTGAGGCAAAGGCCCTCATATCCCACATATAAAAGCCCTACCTATGCTACACTTCTGCTTCATTCTTGTTCTATCAAGAATGCCTAATTCAGGGGTTGCCAATGTGGCACCCATAGGCCTCGCAGAGGGCTTTCCTGGCACCCACAGGGTCCTTGCTCCCACCCCCCTCCTTGCTGAAATTAGGCTGGAAAGAAGCCACCAATTTAAAAAAGTTGGTGTTCTGCATGTGGTGCCCATCTCAGTTTGCAAATGGCCACAGACCCACAAATGTTGGCCTAGTTAATATACCAGATATACAGAATGTTAAAAAATGGATGAAGTTAAGATGAACCCAGACTTTTCTTGCGGGTCATTTGGATATACTCTGTACAGTGGTACCTCTAGTTACGAACTTAATTCGTTTTGGAGGTCTGTTCTTAACCTGAAACTGTTCCTAACTAGAGGCGTGCTTTCACTAATGGGGCCTCTTGCTGCCGCTGTGCCATCCGCACACAATTTCCATTCTCATCCTGGGGCAAAGTTCTCAACTTGAGGTAGTTCTTCCAGGTTAGCGGAGTTTGTAACCTGAAGCGTTTGTAAGCTGAGGTGTTTGTAACTCGAGGTACCACTGTAATCTGAAAATGTAAGCTGCCCCTTAATATATAATACCTGATGGCAGGACGCTGGATAGCATTGCCAATAATGAAGTGCACTTTCTCAAGGTTAGACATAGGTCCCTCAGACACAGTGCTTTCCTCCCGAAACATATCTTCCCCATTGCTCAGCTGGTTGGCCACCTAAAATGAAGCAGGAAACCATTTTCCTCCTCTTGCCTGAAAGGTTATTTTCAATAAATACACTTAATTCTGGGATAGGAAATTGTTACATATAACTGATAACATTCTCTTCTATGGAACCATCCCCTTGCCTCTACACTCACACACACACACACACACACACACACACACCTCCTATATATACTTAATTTTAATTTTATTCATATATAGGAGCATAGGAAGTTGTCTTAGACTATCAGTCCATCTGGCTCAGTCTTGTCTGCACTGACTGACAGCAACTCTCCAGAGTTTCAGACTGGGGCCTTCCCATCCCTACCTGGAGGTGTCCAGGATTGAACCTGGGGCCATCAAAAACAGATGCTCTGCCACGGAGCTATGGTACTTACCCTAATTTTACTTTGCCATTTATATACCTCTCAATTAGCCATGTTCTTTGGGCAGTTCACACATTGAATCATCAATTGAAAACAACCAAATACAGAAGTAAGCACCAAAACAAAAAGTAGCACAAAAACATACAAAACCAATAGAACGTCACTAAAGCATAGCAAGGGGGGAAACACAGGAGTTTTAAAAACTAAAATACATTCAATCTTAATTATTAAATGACCTGAAAGGGAAAGAAGGGGGCTTAACCAGCCACTGGAGAGATCCTAATGCAAGCGATTGATGAGTCTTTCTGGGGAGAGCATTTCATGACCAGGGTGCCACCACTTAAAAAGTCCTCTCTTTAATAGAATTGTAGAGTTGGAAAGGATCACCAGGGTCATGTAGCCCAACTCCAGGCAACGCAGGAATCTTTTGCCCAATGTGGGGCTTGAACCAGATTAAGAGTCATGTGCTTTACCGGACTTCCGGGTCAGCGCCATTGGTGAATGGCGGAGTTCCTCCGACCGGAGGAATGGGCTCCGTGGAAACTGGGTCTTCCCGCCGCGGCGAAGGTGGGGACCCGCTAGAAATCCCAGGCGGAGGAAGCCTGGGAACGTGGGGTTTGGCAGGGCACCAGAAGCGCCTCCCTACTCGTGGGGAATCCCATCTAGGGGCTCCGGAGCGAAGTGGGGTGAGAAGCACGGTGCTACGAACTGACTGCTACTTTCACAGAGTGAAGCCGCACAGCCATTGCCAGAGAGCGCTGACTTTTTCCTGTGGACAATTGGACTTAAAACAAGTACCCGTGAGTAGAAACGGAAAATTGGATCAAGAAATTGTTTAATTTGGTATCGAAGCGGGAAGGTGCAAACAGGAAGTCCGCCTTCCGCTTTTTTGTATATAGACTAAAGCAAAAATTTTGCAAGCTAAAGCCGGGAAGCTGTCAAAAAAGACTAAATTTCCTTCATTCAGAATCGCTGAAACCCCCCTTGGAAGGAGGAGAAAAGGGGGGGGGGACTCTGTTTAACTCTAGCAGGAGAGGGAGTGAAGAAGGATAAGTTTCCACCGCCTCTAACCTGGGAACGGGGTGTCAGAGACTGAAACCGTTGGAGAGGTTCATTGACTGTGAACGTAATACTTTGACAGATAGCTAATGAAGAGAAACAAGTTGATTCTAATGTTGCCTTTTACATTTTAACGAAACAAAATACCTGAAAAACATCTGAAATATCTGAAAAATGAAAGTAACTTTCTTTTGTCTTCCAAAAAAAAAAAAATGGATACAAATAGATTGTCTCCTCTAGAGGGAGCTTGTTAAATTGTTGCTGCAGTATATTTGAGACCTAACATCTGTGAGACTAAGACCGTGGGAACAGTCTTTTCTGACCTTGAACAAAGATGAGCTGGGAGGAAGACTGGGTGCTTGCTTTATGCAAGACAAATGTTTTGCTGGAACAGATGCATGAGAAGATGGACTTGATGAATGAGAAAATGGATTTGACTGTTGTGGTTAATAACTGTGGACAAACAGGGAACATTGATACAGAAATCATTCAGGAATCAACCTTTGAACTTGTACCGACTGGGCAAGTGCAGATGACAATGGAGGAGGATGCGGCTGCACCTCAAATGGTACAAATGGAGAGACCCGAGGCCCTACAGGAGCATAAGCCGCTGTTATTGAAGATTGAAGTTGGAGTGGGCCAAGGGGAGTCTGGAGATGAGGAGGTTCCTAGCTTTGGAGAAATCTTGAAATTTGATTTTAAATACATTTTGGATTATATCGAGGACTGTGGGGAGTGGGACTGTGGGGAATGGGCGAGCTGGATGAAGGGTGATGGAGACAATTTTGGGTTGGAATCCCCCAGAGACCTACTCCTCAATGAGAAAGCAAAGAAACTAAGACAGAGACCAACAAAAGACAAGGAAAAGGGCAAGCACAAACAAGATGAAGAAGAATTGCAGAAGGGACATGGAAGAGACTTAAGGGCCTCGGACATAAGGCTTCCAGGTTGATGGACTAGATGGAATGGACAGTAAGGACTGACACGACCCGAGACCAGGAAGAAGAGACGCTGGATGATGATTGGAAGAGAATCTATAATGGAAATTTTTTATTTTAGAATCAGCTTAATGAATATTAGGGAAAATGTGGGAATGAAACTATACGACTCTAGCAGAAATGATATCAGGAGCTATGTATATTTGAAAACTAAGATTTAAGTCTTAAGGTATTTAGGGATAAGATAAGGTTAAATAAATTAAGGTAATTTGAATAACAGAATATGGGGAAAGATGGAAAGGATTTGTTGAGTTAATTATTAGGTTAAATTGTTAAGATAAATTTTATAACAAAAATTGAGAAAGATGGAAAGACTTTGCTGAAATAATTATTGAACTAGAATACAAAAAGGGAGGTGTGAGGAGGTCAATGAAACAAGCAAATGGAAATTATGGATATGCAATTTGGGATTTGTGTTTTTTTTCTTTTTTCTTCTTCTTTTTTCTTTTGCTGTATTGTCGTATTGGTTTTTATATTTTGTGCTTTTCTCTTTTTTATTTTTTTCTTCTTTTTTTGTATTATAGTGTTGTTTTTTATTTTTTATTTTTCTTGTAATCCTGAAATTATCAATAATTTTTTTTTTTTTTTAAAGAGTCATGTGCTTTACCAACTGAGCTATCCCAGCTGACATAATCTGACTCACTTCACTAGACAGGGGAACCCGGTTAAGGGCCTCTGATGAAGATCATATGGAAGCAAGTGATCCTGCCTCCAAGCCATTCAGGGATTTAAAGATTCAATTCAATGTTCAGTGAATGACTGAAGATTCAGGATAGACAAAATAAAGTGCTTCTTTACACAGTGCACTGTTAAACTAGAGGCAGTGATGACCACCAACTTGGATGGCTTTAAGAGGATTAGACAAATTCATGGATATAGCTATCAATGGCTACTAGCTGCATTCAGTATGCTTCTGAATACCAGTTTCTGGAAACTGCAAGAAGTGCTACTGTGCTCAGGTTCTGTTGTGAGCTTCTCATACGCATCTGGCTGGTCACTGTGAGAACAAGATGCTAAACTAGATGGGCCCTTGTTTGCTCTCACAGGACTTGTTTTACATTCTTAATTCTTAATTCAAACTGATGCACTATGAATGTTTATTTGGAAGTAAATCCATCTGTCCCGTCATATTTATTGCTGATCAGAGGATCAGCACCAACAAAATGTGTTTGGTGGGACTTGGTCCTGAATAGGATTGCAGCCTTCATTTCCTTTAATTCTTGAGACATAATCCTCCCACCCCCTACTGCAGGGGTCAGCAAACTTTTTCAGCAGGGGGCCAGTCCATTGTCCCTCAGACCTTTGGGGAGCCGGACTATATTTCAGGGGGGAAATGAACAAATTCCTATGCCCCCAAAATAACCCAGAGATGCATTTTAAATAAAAGCACATGTTCTACTCATGTAAAAACACCAGGCAGACCCAGCAAATAATCCAGAGATGCATTTTAAATAAAAGGACACATTCTACTCATGTAAAAACATGCTGATTCCCGGACTGTCCGCAGGCCGGATTCTGCCCCCGGGCCTTAGTTTGCCTACTGTCTTTGTCCCCTTTTTTTTTTTAAATTAAATGAGGAATTTAATGAGGAAGTACTTCATTAAAGAGGTCTAGAAGGTTCAAAACAGAAGATGGGACTATCACAGTTGCAAAGCTCTGCATCACATCATCATCTACTGTAGCAGTTCAGAGCTGATTTTGCAGTTTTGTCACAATCATGCTAGCCTTCCATGCTAGTCCTGTTAGACAATGTAGATCAGCAACACTTGGGACAGGAACCACCTGTTAAATATGTGGCTTGCAGATGATCTACAGCAGAGTGTCAATCACTCACAAAAGTCGTTTTTTAATAACTTCTTTTTTGCTTTAAACAGGTACATATAAATATAAACAACCAAAATTACAAAGGAAAATTCCTTAATAGTAATGAAAAAAAACTAAAAAAGCTACAAAAAATATCGAAGTACATGACACAGAACAAAAGCAACTATGGGAAAGGTAAAAGAAAAGAAAAAAGAAAAAAAGAAAAAGAAAAAGAAAGATGAGCCAAAGCAGGAAAGCTCATCTATTGTACACTTCCGTCAAGCTCACAACAGATCATTATTCTTATCAATTATCTCTATCTGCATTCCAAAGGAATCCCTCATCTTGGTATCAGGGGACATTTCTCTATGCGGTATCAGTCTAAACATAGCCAGATCTTTCTTGCTGAGCCCTTGTCCCATAAATAATTATTTAAACATTCCCATTCTTCTTTCACCAATTTTTTAGGTTTATCTCTTATTGCATCTGTCATCTTTGCGAGCTCCAAGTACTCGCACAATTTGACTACCCATTCCTCTTTAGTGGGTGTATTTTTATCTTTCCAGTGTTTTGCCACTATAACCCTTGCTGCTGACATTGCATACATAAATAGCCTAGTTTTGTTTTTGGGAATATTATCTGAAACCATTCCTAGTAAAAATTCTTCCGGTTTCTTGCTAAATGTAGTTTTTATCAATCTCTTCATCTCTTCATAAATCATGTTCCAAAATCTTTGTATCTCTAGACAGGACCACCACATATGGTAGTATGTTCCTATCTTTGTGCCTTCTTTATAATGTTCAGCAAGGGGGTTGGGGTTCTTTTTGTCTTTTGAGTTCTGTGCAAGCAACCAAATTGTCCTACTCTTACAAACATTTCTTTTTTCATTTAACATCAAGTCTGGTCACTTGACTCAAAGCACCAGCTCCCCTTGCTTTCAGAATGGACATGTTTTCATATGCAATTTTTCTATTAAATTACTGTTGCCCAGAGTACTTATTATTAAACAATGTAGTTCAATCCCAGGGCTTTTTCCCAAGCTGGAACTCATCAGAACTCAGTTCCGGCACCTCTCAGGTGGACACTATTGCTATTTTAAGAGAACAAGGGAAGCATTCGTGGTGAGTTCTGGCACCTCTTTTTCTGTAAAAATAGCACTGTTCAAATCCAATGTCAAAACATAGCCTACCTTTCCAGTCAGCTTGGAGTTCCGTTTTAGTTTCACAGATGAAATGACATTAGAGAACTTGTCCTTCCTGTTGTCCCTCTAAGACAGAAATGTTCATTATGAACTTTGATCCTCAAAATTCAGTGGCAACTGCTAAATTAAGGGAAAATATTCTCTACAGTCTCAAGCACTGTTTCCTGAGAACTTTCCAGTCAAGTAGTACATGCAGGAATTCTGATGCAAAATAAGAATGATTTGTTGTCCACAGTATATGTTATACTGGTGATTCTAGATTCCACAGTATGAAAGACACACATGGATGACATATCAGACTATTGCAAACTTTCGGATTTAACAAGTTCTTCATAAGGCACAGGTAATCACACAAAGAAGTGGAGAGAAAAGATGCTATGGGAGCATGTGGAGCTTTTAGGCATGCATAGGACAGCCAGGCTCCAATAAATTCACCAGCAGATCACCTGGAATCAAAAACGCTTTCTAGAATGTTGGTAGACTTTCATATTAAACATTTGGTTGAAGAAAACACTTTGAGGAGCAGAGCCAGGTTGTTCTCCAGCTTAGCCAAGGATTTTCTGAAACCACTTTTTCTGAAACCCTAACTCTGCTTTCACTGTAGTCAGAAGCGAGACAAGGGTCCTGCCATGTACTTTGCAGATTTTTATTTTAAAAAAAGAATCACACACTAGACTATCTCACCCTCCCAGCACTATAAATCATGTACTGAGTAATGTAAATGGAATGTAGGACTTTCTTTTCACACAACAGAGTACTAATGAACTATGACCCAGTTTTCTTCCAAACCAAAATGGGTTACAATTAACAATGGTCCAATCATAGACAACTAGCCTGTCCTCATTAATTATACCAATTCAAGTCTGCAAGGACTAATTGCAGGAAATTAACAATTAAGCCCCAGAATCCAGCTACAACATGGAACAACCATCTGCAAAATTCCTTTCATCTTGGCCAATCAAACGCAGACCCCCTGGTCCATACACACTGTACCAGTTATATTAATATAGCACTTAATGACCCTCTTGGCTTTGCATCTCTATGATGGCTGCAAAATCAGGATAATTATCAAGCATCTCATAGATGGCAATTCTTGGTGAGTGTGTTACTGGCAGGAGTTGCATGGGTTTGAATTAGGAGATTTGGCTCTAGTCTACAGCTGCCTGGTGTGTTGCACCTACATGAAGGCCATTTAGCATCTCCACGTTCTGGGTAGACATCCCAATCATCTAGGTGGGTCATCGGATCCTCTAGGAAAGAAAGAACTGTAAAAGATTTCCCCTTTCTTATTAGGTCTTCCATGAGCAACATGGTTTTCCCAAGCAATGGTGTGTGCCTGTATCCTTTGGTTGCTTTTCAGTCCTGCCTCCTAGTTTCTCCTTTGGTCTGGACTTACTCTCCATCCCTGCTCTCCCAGCTCACCTCAGGCTGCTCCCCACAGCCCAGCCGTGACAGCCCCACATACAGCTTGGGAGTTTGGGGAGGTCTGCTTCAGTTCTTGAATGTAGCAAATTAAAATGCAGACTTCTAGCCTCCAGTTATCAAGGTCAAGCTCAACATGCGTTTGTAACTTAGCGTGCTTTTTCTGTTTTATAAAACAGTTGTGAGAGTCCCTCAGTCCAGGTCAGGATTGCAGCACTTGGGAGATGGGAGGTGAAAGGTCATCCTTCCTACACACTGACTTCCCCCCTCTGAGATCTTTTCCCTCCCCAAAGATGCCACTGCAAATACAGTAGTACCTTTGGGGGCAAATAACAATTTTCTGGGTAATTTTCTGGGGGAGAACAGCACAGGCGAAAAGGTTAAGATGCAAATACTTCAAAGGGAGTGGTCTAATTTTCATAAGATTATAGCTGTGAAAAACAATGCCTTCCTCTTACCACATCAGGACTGTAGTTGCCTGTGGGCTGCAGCTGGTTTTTCTTGCCAAAGGTATCATAGACCTGAGTCACTTCAGAGCTGCTCTTGCTGTTGGTGTTTTTTCCTAGTTCTGGTAAGTCACCCATGAACTGCAAGATGGTGGTCCAAACGGCTAGAGATGCCTAATACGGATAGGACACACAATGAGATAATTTTGCATAGTAATGGTAAAACTAACGTGTCACATATTTTACCGATGCACTTAATTCCCACAGAAGTTTGTGAGGTTCTGTGTGCCTGTACTGAAACCATAACGACTTTGTGATATAATCTGCAATAGTATCAGTAGCTATGGCAGCAGCAGTTCAGTCAGTAGTTGGTACTGGTTTTTGCTAATACTGTAAAACCAGCTTGTTAGTTTGCTTGTTAGTGAGACACAATATGATAGTTTCTTTTATGGAGGATTGTAAACAGATTCAGTAAACCTTAGTCAATCTTATAAACTTCTTTTATTAAATATGCATATGAATAAATACATATTCTCCCTTTGTTTTTAGATAACGACTGCATAAAGCATTCCCTCCCACATGCGAGAGACGGTGGTATTTTTTAAAGTACCTGTGTTTTTAAAAAAGTTCTTAAAAAATAGCTTCCCAGTAAATTAGGGTTTTGCTTTTAACTGAACAAATATATTGTAAATCAATTAGTCTAGCAGTTGTATTGACTAAGGCTGCATACACACCATACATTTAAAGCATGTGCCTTCCCAAAGGATCCTGGGAACTATTGTTTGTTACGGGTGCTGGGAATTATAGCTCTGTGAGGGGTAAACTACAATTCCCAGGGTAATAAGGGGGAGAACATCCTTTAACTGTATGGTGTATACACAACCTAAATCTTGCATTCTAGCATCGGTGTTCTTTCTGTTTTATTTCTAGAACAGCATTTTGTGGCCTGCAGAAAACAAAGGGGGGAAAAGAATAAGATCTAGGGTGCTGCTAGTGTTGTCAGCAGAACTTAAGCAGCACAGCGAAGAAGAGTTACACTACCAGAATATCATCCTTCTCCTCATGGTAGAGCAATGGGTGGCGCAGCGGCCGTCGAATGTGCGTATGTGTAGAGGAACCTTGGAAGTAAGTGGCTGCAAATTTGGGGAATGAATATTCTGCAAGACCACTCGTCTCCTCTTCCTCTTCCTCCAGCTCCATGGCCATCGGGATCATATCCAGGTCCACCTCGTTCAGCTTGTACATCTGTGTCTTTGTCTCTAAGTCCTGCAGGGCAAAGAATCACAGAAACATCAGTGCTTACTAGTCCTGATGGCTGCATTACCTCTGGGATCAGAGGCAGTGTTTGGAGAACATGAGTCAGAGAGCGTTGCTGCATTTGTGTCCTGACTGTGAGCTCCCCACATGCATCTGGTTGGCCACTGCAAGAACAGGATGCTGGGCTGGGCTAGATGGACCTCTGGTGTGACCCAGCAGGGCTCTTCTTATACAGAGGCTCCAGCAAGGCTGTTTGCTTGTCTGAGGCATTTGTACCCTGCCTTTTAGCAAAGACACTCTACAAAACTGTGTCAATGTCGGCTATTAATAAGCATCATTTTAAGGTGTGCGTAGTGGACACCTTCATAATAATAATAAATACTTTATTATTTATACCCCGCCCATCTGGCTGGGTTTCCCCAGCCACTCTGGGCAGCTTCCAACAAAGTATTAAAATACAGTGGTCTGTTAAACATTAAAAGTTTCCCTAAACAGGGCTGCCTTCAGATGTCTTCTAAAAGTCTGGTAGTTGTTCTTCTCTTTGACATCTGGTGGGAGGGCGTTCCACAGGGCGGGTGCCACTACTGAGAAGGCCCTCTGCCTGGTTCCCTGTAACTTGGCTTCTCGCAGCGAGGGAACCACCAGAAGACCCTCGGCACTGGACCTCAGTGTCTGGGCGGAACGATGGGGGTGGAGATGCTCCTTCAGGTATACTGGACCGAGGCCTTTTAGAGAATTAAAGGTCAGCACCAACACTTTGAATTGTGCTTGGAAACATACTGGGAGTCAGTATCTGGGAGATAATATCTCCAGGTGGCCACTTCATATGCTGTTTTTCCCCTGGGGGTGAACAGGCCTATACAATACTGACTTTACAGCTGCTTACCTCAAAGCCCAGAGGAGCCTGTCCTTCTTGGCCTCCAATTAAAGAAGGTAAGAAACCAAATACTCTGTCCACCATTTCCTGGTCACTGATGACATCATATATTGCTTCATGTTTGTCGTCAACAGCTTCATATTTCCTTAGCTTCTCAGCGTCCTCTTCCAGCTGTTCCTGTGGGTAAGTTATATGAATCCATGTAGCCAGCACTAGGAACTTGCAGGAATGAAAATCTGTACACACACCAAATCCTCATAAGCACAAAGTGCAAGTTTGGATTTCCATGGCCAGGAGGACAAACAGGTTTACAAAGTATATGGGAACACTCAAGAGCTGCTACTCCTGACCAGATATTTTCAAATGTTTCTAAATCTCATCTGATTCTGTAAGCAATCTACTCCTTATAAGCCTAATTTCTGTCACCTAGTTTTAGATTTCCAGCGACAGGCACAGTAGTATCTTGGTAAAGCAGATCTAAGTAGTAGATATCTGACCATATACAGTATATAATTATATACAATATACAATTAACTGTGTAATCTCACTGTATACAACTTGTACAAGTGACAATAATGTATTTCAATATAACATGCTGGAACTAAGCTTGCTGAGACCCAGCATATGCTCTTGGATTCCAAGCAAATTATTCATTTTCAAATACGTATAGGGAACAAGAAGATTTCATGGTGAAAATAATTTGCCTGGCTAGTAAAGGTAAAGGGATCCCTGACCACTAGGTCCAGTCGTGACTGACTCTGGGGTTGCTCATCTCACTTTACTGGCTGAGGGAGCCGGCGTACAGCTTCTAGGTCATGTGGCCAGCATGACTAAGCCGCTTCTGGCAAACCAGGGCAGTGCACGGAAACGCTGTTTACCTTCCCGCAGGAGCGGTACCTATTTATCTACTTGCACTTTGACGTGCTTTCAAACTGCTAGGTTGGCAGGAGCAGAGACCGAGCAACGGGAGCTCACCCCGTTGCAGGGATTTGAACCGCCGACCTTCTGATCGGCAAGTCCTAGACTCTGTGGTTTAACCCACAGCACCACCCGCGTCCCAATTTGCCTGGCTACTTCTGACTTTAAAAAATCAGATGACCTTATAAGGAAAGGTGTGGGGCACCTTTAACCCTCTAGATGTTGATAAACTACAACTCCTATCAGCTCCAGCAACCATGGCCATCAGGGATGATGGAAGTTGTAGTTCAGCAACACCAGGTGGGCCAAAGGTTCCCCACCACCTGTTATAGAACCATAACACATGCATGAAATGAACTTCACTTTCACAAACAGCAAAGTAGTGACAACAGGTACAGATGGGAGGACATTTGTTGTGTATGATGAACTTTCCTAATATTTCTGCACAGACAGAACTCTCCATCAACATGCATGTCTTTCTGCTTTGGAAATGTGAGCACTTGCATTGCTGTATGTGACCTGCTGTGGAAGCACACATTTCTTCTGTGGGAGTTTCTTCTGCCTGAATGCCATCATACATGAGAGCCCGGCGACCGAGAGAACCTACCTTTTCTATTCTAAGCGCTTCTTCCCTTGCTTTCTTTGCTCCAGTTATTGGAAGGAGATGCTTATCTTCCTTGAAGCGTAGCTGTCTGGCTTCCAGTTTGAGTTGCTGCTGCAGGTAACAGAAACTTACTATTGTTGTCTTTAGCCAGATTTATCACTTAGCACTCTCTCGTTTCCAAATGATTCCCAGCCTAACATTTGCATATAGCAAGGGCAAAAGTCTCACTGTGGCCCCCTTCCAGACAGCCTTTCTATTGTATGCATCCATGATGATTTGTGCTCATGATCTTGTGGGGGAGTCACATGTGATCTCAATGTCAATACTCTTTGCACCTGGAAAAGTTTGGGGCTGGTCACACTGCTTCATTTCCGTTCAGGGCATACCTAGTAACTTCCTGCTGAAATCCTGTAACTTTTTACACCAGGAACGTTCTCGTTTATTTTTGTTCTGCTTTTGTTGAGCTATATCCTCTCCAGACAGCAATAATATGGTAGCAGTGGGGAAGCATCACAGAGCAACTAATAAAGCAGAATAAATGCACCACGAATACACTATTATTGCATCAAGAACATAAGAATCGTAGAGTTGGAAGGGACCACGAGGATCATCTAGTCCAACCCCTGGAATGCAGGAATATTTTGCCCAACGTGGGGCTCAACTTCATGATCATGAGATCATACTCTACCAACCGAGGTATCCCTGCAATAAAACACCAGTTTCACCTTTATAATTAGTAAATACTACTGTTAGAAACTAAGTATCTATAAAGGTAAAGGGGCCCCTGACCATTAGGTCCAGTCATGGCTGACTCTGGGGTTGCGGCGCTCATCTTGATTTATTGGCAGAGGGAGATGGTGTACAGCTTCCAGGTCATGTGGCCAGCATGACTAAGCCGCTTCTGGCGAACCAGAGCAGCGCATGGAAACGCCGTTTACCTTCCCACCAGAGCAGTACCTATTTATCTACTTGCACTTCAACATGCTTTCGAACTGCTAGGTTGGCAGGAGCAGGGACCGAGCAACGGGAGCTCACCCCATCGCGGGGATTCAAACCGCCGACCTTCTGATCGGCAAGTCCTAGGCTCTGTGGTTTAACCCACAGCGCCACCCATGTCCCTTAAGTATCCATACTGGTGTCCTTATAAATCAATAGCTTTCATTCTGTATTTTAAAGTTGCATTTGATTATGAGGTCTCCAAAATATTTTGGAAAATTAATGTCTTTTAAAATCATCACATAACATTTTGGCTGTGAATGATTTAAAAAAATTTATTGCAAGTGCTAAAGGCAAAACTCATTCAGTGACATCCTGGTAAACCATAGTTAATGGTTAGTGTGACTGTGCCTAAGAGGACTTTTTCACTTCTCCCTGCTAGTACTGGGAGGAAACAAACCATGTACTCTGGATTTGCAATACATCCAAAACAAGGATTACAGCTTGTTTCACTCCCAAAAATGCATGATCTGCAGCCAAGGTTCACTGACCATAGTTTGTTGCAGTAAAACATGGTTCATTGGACATAAAGCAAAGGCAGAGATTGTGGTTTGTTTCTTCCATGCTCCAGTGAAGAAGAGCTAAACAAGCCTCTTAACCATGGCTTGTGACATGTGAACGAGGCCAATATATCTAACCCTGAACACAAACAAATTGAATTGATATGTATTTTAAATAATTCTGTTCTTATCACCTTGTCAAGAGTTCCAAGACCTCACCCTCAACTGTAGTAAGCAGGGGGTCATGATTAAATGCATTATGTAGTATTCAGTTATTTTGTACCTTGAGGATACTAAAGTCATCGCTAGGCCAACTCTCTATTCACAGGATTTGGCTGCTGTCAAGCTTTCCTACTATGATGCATCATGCGCTGATTATGATCCAGCTGTACCCACCTCTCTCTTCATTCTCTGGAAGCTCCTACGAGCAAACATTCCTCTGGCATAAGCTTGTATCACACACACAGCTTTCAGCTGCTCAGCTGTTTTCTGGCGCATCAGGTAACCTCGACACAAAGCTTGGAACTTAATCACACTTGCCCGGGCGGCCTCATATTGCTTCACAAGCTGCCTGCTCCGGAAAAGGGCCTGCAGGCGCTCAAAGCCCAACATGATCTAACCACACAAGAGAAGAAACGGACAAGGTGAATGAACAGCAGGTTAAAAATGCTTCAAATAAATAAATATTCCATTGTCTTTGAAAGCATCTCATGGAGGTCCTTGCTACAGTGACAAAACCAAATTTATCTTATCCACCTCTTATCTTATCCATACACTAAAAGCACATCAGGAATACATGCAAGCAACAGTCCCCCCCCCCCCCGATAAATCAGCCATCTGTTAGACCTTAGACAGTTGTTGCGTTAAAAACAACAACAACTGAACCAAGGCAGGGATCCAAAGAACTATGTGAAAAGCACATCCAGGGGGATTTTTTGATACTTTCCCCTTTGCACAGCAGAATGCCGTGCCATAGCACAACTTGCAACATTTCAAAAGCAGCCCACCATATATTTTGAGGTGTGTGAAGTTCCATAAATAGTTCCATAAGTAGCTGTGCAGCTGACTCTTTGAATCCCAGTCAAAGTAAAGTTTGAGTGTTCTAGGTCTTTTAGTGTAAGAACCTATGAATAGTGTGCCTGGCTATGCAGAGCCCATTTTGATAACTGTATCTGAAAGATCCACGCAAGCTTTTTACCATCTTGAAGTTCTTCCGACAGCAATATCCCCTCCAGGCTGTCTGAATAACCACAGCACAGCGCCTCTGCCTCAGAAACTGTTTCCTGCAGGCAGAAGAAATTAAAACAAAAACAAAACAAACCTCAATATGCTAACATTAACCCCAAAATACAGTGGTACCTCAGGTTAAGTACTTAATTCATTCCAGAGGTCCGTACTTAACCTGAAACTGTTCTTAACCTGAAGCACCACTTTAGCTAATGGGGCCTCCTGCTGCTGCCGCGCTGTCACGAGAACGATTTCTGTTCTCATCCTGAAGCAAAGTTCTTAACCTGAAGCACTATTTATAAGTTAGCGGAGTCTGTAACCTGAAGCGTATGTAACCTGACCCACTGTAGTGGGTCTAGTGGAATAAACCCAGAACTGCACCCCCTCCTCCCCACCTCACACAAAAAAGCCACTTGCACCGAGCCCAAGAAAAATGCAATTCTCTCCCCATAGGCAAAATACCCAAAGGAAATTAACAATCTGATTTCATTTGCTACCTTTAGAAGCATTTTTACCTTTCCTTGAACCCTCTCAGCACTTTCTGAATTAGGATGGCTTTCTCTGTGAGTGCTTTGTCTCGCTGCACCTCCAGTACTGTATCATGATAGTCCTATTAAAGAATGGAAAAAATAATAATTCACATGTTTATCACCAACTAATCTAATCTAAAAATCACCACATATAAAAGGGTTGTAACAAAACAGAACCAATCAGTCTGTATATAGGACAATATATGAGTTATTCTATTGCTCTTAGCAACAAAATGTATTAGAGAATCTGTGATGGAGATGGAGAAAACACTTCTGCTTTGTCATCTGGTGTCAACCGATTTAGATCCAGGTGAGGGGAACAAGGGGGGCAAGTACAAAAATGAGGGTGGATGTTACAACAGCCGTGAGGTCAGCTTGTAGACTCAGCTTCAAGATGGAGAGTAAGTTCCTCTCAAGCATGGGTGTCCACAGAAATAATTTGGGCAGGAGAAGACAAGGTCTATGACTTGTAAGTACAAGTTACTGAGTTGTGACTGAACCCTGTGCACCACTACATAGTGCTGAAGGGAAGCGATGAGAAACAATTCATAGAAGATCAGGCAAACAGACCTGAGGGAACAGTGCTCTCACATAGGCCCTATCTGTGCTATACGTTTAAAGCTGTGTCGTATCACTATAATCTGTCATGGCTTCCCCCAAAGAATCCTGGGAAGTGTAGTTTGTTAAGGGTGCTGAGAGTTGTTTGGAGACCCCTATTCTCTTCACAGAGCTACAATTCTGAGTGGTTTAGCAAACAATTCCTTTGGGGAGGGTCACTCTGTGAGGGAAATAGATGTCTCCTAACAACTCCCAGAGCCTTTCATGATCTAAAGTTCCCAGGATTCTTTGAGGAAAGCCGTGGCTGTTCAAAGTGGACAAAACTGTTAGATTAAACCAGTAACTTACTTTCAGGAATACTTTGGTTCTTCCAATTTTCCACTCATCATCTTTTCCTATCACCTTCTCACAGATGTAAATACAGCACTGGCGAGCATCATTCTTCAGCTGAAATGTAAATCAATTGTCATATTTATGTTTGGTTGGAAACTTAAGAGGCCTCATGATAAATAACTAAGAAATGGGCACCAGATTCTGGTCATACTCTGGAAGTGCTTTTTTGAACTAGAATTGGTGAGATTTATATCACTGGTAATATTGCCATATAAATTCTTGCAACTGTTAAAGGATGACTTAAGAAAAGCATAAATAAAGCAACCCCCTTCTTGGTGATGTGCTTACTGGATATGTATATAGCAGTAAGAAGGGATTTGAGTTTTACAAATCAATATGCCTCTTACTGCAGTAATAAGGTTGATCAGTCCTGCTAACTTGCCTGCTCACGAGAAGACATTGGCTGCAGAACTCGGTATCTCTCAAAGAATTCTGCAAAGCCATAGCGAATTGGGTAGCCAGCTTTCCTAATCCGGATGGTTTCCATCATTCCAGAGTAGCGCAGCTGACGGATACAGAGTTCTCGGTCGAACAGCTGAAAATAAAACACACAGCAAAATTTAACACAAACAACCTCGGTTCTGTACCATATGCATTAAATGTTCCTGTTTATTCTTTTCACACCTCATCTTGGGTCTAATGAAAAATATATTTATCTCTTTCACATTTTCAGTCAAGTTGGGATACCAGAACAAGCACAGCAGGGAAGAAGGGATGTCAATATTGCCGTACATTTGCTAGAGTCACCCACTTGCTTGCTTCTTATTCGTACCTGCCTATTAATACACATTTTCACCAAAATGAATGAGCCAGCCTATTAAATCCTGGAATGTCAATCAGATAAAGAAAATTAGGTCTGAATGTGCCACCTGCAGGAAACTGCCCTCATTTGGAAGCACCCTGTCACATGCACCACCTTGCCCCCGTGACTGGGGCGGGGGGGGGGGGAGGCCGGCAGGGCCATGCGACGTCAGCACATCATGTATGCATGCCCTGCTGCGTGCACGCATGGTGAAAGCATGCCCTGTGGCATCCTGGCATCGTGCACACACACCCAGTGGCATGCTAACATCACTCACACATGCTATGGTGTGTGCTGACATGTTGTGCAGCTGCCCCGCAGCTTGTGCTTGTGACACAAGTGTGCCCCACAACATGCAGGGGGGCTAGCCCTTTCATTGGATTTTTTTTTTTTTTTGAGGGGCTGGCCCCCATCCCCCAGCTCTGCTAACTGCATAATTCCTACCAAACGAATGTCCTTTCTCTTCAAACCAACAGATGCTATAGACAAAAACTTGATCAAGATATTTTAATGAAATATTACCATTGGCCTCTTGTAGTCATTGGGTTTGATACAGCGGATAAAATACGGCTGGCAGTTACTCAGGATTTTCATCAGCTGCTCCAGGGACTGTTTGAACTGCCCCCCTAACGTAGAGAGACGCTTGGTGGTATCTGATCCCTGGGAGAGCAAACCACATGTCTTGAATATCAATTCAACACCCACATGCATTGAATGACTATGCTGCATTATATATATATGTACTGCCTCGGTGACTGAACACCCATTCACAGTGAACTCCTACACATGTTTGAAGTAATAAAATGCTGATGAGGCACATTTTGCCTGACGTTGTGGTGTAGACAAACCAATAAGGACAATGCTAATACAACCATACAGGGAAAAGCCCTTTCTTACTGCTTTGCATTCACATTAAAAACAATCCAAGCAATGCATTTTCAGAGAAAATGTGTTCTTAATATTGCTGGCAAATATGCCCTTAATAAAAAGCCATACTTTTTATGACTGACAATTTCTCTCTTTGTCTACTGTGTCCCCCTAGCGGACGTTTGTAATGTGTGTCTGAAGCTGTGGAGCATATATACCCATTGCCTCTCCTGTTATGTTTGTAGACCTGAGGTTCCCTTTTCAACATGGTTTGTGGGATCTATTGGTTTTATATGTGAAGTACTACTGCCCTCCAATGGCCAAAATCACAAACCAAAGGAAATCATCCTTTTATAATACCAACAGTCAACTTGCTCAGAATTCTTCAACAGGCATAGATGTTTAATGGAAAAATGACAAATGTAAAAGAGAGGGTGGTATTATGTGTCTCTACTGGAGCTGACTTGATACTTATTGTTGGATATTTTGACTTCTTTAAACAAAGAACAGAAAAGTTTAAAGAAGAACTATGGGTAATATCCAGCATTACTCATATTCAGAATAGACCAATTAGTTAGAAATCACCCTCTATGAACTAGGTTACAAACAAACATTTAATTATCTCAACGCTGTAATAGTGTTATTGTTAATGCCACAAAATGGTGGAGTGGCAACTCAGATGAGCAAATTCAACAGAGTAATAACATAGGGGTAGCTCTTGCCTGCTCTGAGGGGAAAAACAATAACTGTTGACAGAACAAAAGTCTAAAGAAGAAAAGACATGCCAACCAAGAGAATAAAGGAGGTAAAATGAAACAAAATTACTATGAATAAAAACATAGTACATATTTTAACCATAGCAAGAATTATGCATGCTAAGGCATGGATGAACATTCGAAAACCCCAATGAACTTGACATAATTAGGAAGTTGTGGGAACAGGTAAATACAGGCAAACTAGTAGCAATGTTACAAAATAATGGTAATAATGGTAACTACAATATACATTAAAAAGTTAGGGATAGCAAGACAAGAGGACTTTTTATCGTTTACATAAATTTTTCCTATAACTTCAATATTTAATGTTTATATATTTTAATTTGGAGGAACTGATGCAAAAGAATTGTGATTATTCAGGATGTATTTACTCTATTCTGGTAATTTCCTTCAGTTTTTGAGCACTGGAAAGCTATATAAGCTTGAAAATATCTGAATACAATTGTGTATGTACCAGGAGTACAAATGTGGATGAATAAAACAAAACAAAACAGGATCTTCCATTCTGTATTTCAACGGACATCTATGCCCAGGGATGCCAAACCTTCAGTCTATAGGTCTAATTAGGCCCACCAGTCCTCCTACAGGAGACCATGTAGGCCAAGGCACAACCAACTGCCCAACACTTGACATCATATATACTATGTACAAGCCTGGCTCAGCCAAAGGGAGGTTTGCAGGCACCACCAACCAGCTGACCGTTGGTGCCTGTAATGCCATATGCAAACTGCTGGGGAAAACAGCACTTGGTAAGGGGCTCCTGGTTAAATTTACTGATTAAAATCTATCTTGCCCTTCCTCCCAAAAGAGCCCGGGTTCAGGTTTTCAAACCCCCCAAAAAACACAGAAGCAAAAGATAAAGGAGCAGCTGTGTGTATACATAGATGAAAAATATCTGAATAGGGCAGGTGGCAGCTGCTTTTCAAGCAGCCTTGAAACCTTGCAATTATTCTGGAAGCTGCTGTTTTCAGAGAGGGATAAACACACAAGGTGCTTTCCTGCAAAGAAACAAGGACATCTAGGCATGGGCATATCTCTCAATGTCAGTTTCTCTCAGTGTCTTATTTTTACAAGCTTAAGTTCAGTTAGCATGAGCTTATGCTCCAGAATGGGGAAAATGTGGCTAACAGGACATGCACGTTCTGCAGGTAACTAACTACTTAGCAACCTTTGTCAGAGTTGCAGGGGAATGCCTGAAATTTTCCCAACAGTAGGCACAATCCAAATGAAATAGTTCCCATTCCAGCCTACTGAAATAAAATAGGAATTGCACAAACCCACAGCTGCTACAGAAATAATTAAAGCCAGGTGATGGCTTTAGAGCTTTTTTAATTATTTCAATCGTGGCATTGCTTCTCCAAGCAGTTTACCTGTCCAAAGGCAGCAGGTGATGTTCTGGATTGCACAAAACCCCGGCAGGACAATGACTGGTGGCAAAAGGACAGCAAAAGGGAGAGCAAAAAGGGCAGAATTTTGAAAGAATAAAGGAGGAAATGAACAGATGGATAAGATAAGTACAGCAATTATTTGATGTTTCGCTACAGTTAGATTGAAGGTAGTGGAGGGGGAAATCTGAAAAACATGTGGATAAATCCTAAACATCGGCACAACACCACAATAATGTCCCTACAATGCTATTACAACATGATGGCTGCAAATTTGCATAGCCACCGCGTATCATTTCTCCAAATAGCTGAGGACAATGTAGACTGATGTTATCTCATTTTATCCTCACAATAACCTTGTGTCTGAGAGATGTTGGCTAGTTCGAGATTACCCAATGACCTTCACAGGTGAGTAGGGATCTAAGCCTAGGTTTTCCTGGTTTAGGGCCAATATTCTAACCACTTCATCACACTGGCTAAATGCTTAGAAATGCTTCATCCTGATTTGCCAGTGCTATGACTGCAAAATTGTAACACCTGCACTAGTTGGACTGGGCTTGCTCCTCCTCAGCCAATGTTTTGCAGTCAATAAACATGCAGATCTTCCCCATACCTGTCATACAAGAATTGCAGGGGACCCCATCCCCTCACAACAGGCCAAGGTTGTGTGCAAACTATAACTCCAAAGCACATTCAAAGCACCCTTTTCCTCTCAAAGAATTCTGAGCACTGTAGTTAGTTAAGGGTTGCTGGGAATTGGAACTACAGTGACCAGAATTCCTTGGGGGGGGGAGAGAAATATGCTTTGAATGTGCTTTAAAGATATAGTGTGTATGCAGTCTAGGAGTGATTGTAACTGTAGAAGATGCTTTGCTTACTATATATTTCTACTCTCCAGTTTTGAATCTGGTAACCCTAGGAAAGCAAAACTGCATATTCTGACCAAACCACTCATTCTAACTAGGAAAGTATTTTCTGAATTATAGGATAAAGCAGCTATATCTAATATAAATAGCTCGGGATCATTCCTACTATTATACATTTAAAATATGGCAAAGGCTTAAAATTGACACAGAAGGTAAAGTGCAGCTAGAATGTCTAAGAAACAGAGGCTGGGAGTGCATCCACATTTCAAGTCAGTGCTGGGGGGCAGCTAACCTTGAGGGTGGGATCCACTCCTAGATGCCTAATGCTCCCACGGCCAAAAGGAATCACATTCACGGGTGTCTCCACCTGAAAGACCTGTCTGAGGAATTTGTTTTTGGATGAATGAACCAACTGCAGGATGTCAGAGCTAAGCATGTCACGGTTTTTCTCGAGAAAACCTATAAGAAAGGAGAAGCAAGGTAAATCTTTTTTTCTGCTTGATGCCAATTTCCGTATTGTACTGAGTTCCCTTGGCCATTCTCCCTCCTCTCTCTTTGATAGTGGCCATTCCCACTCCATTGAAATGGACCCTGCCTACCACACCAGTTCAGTAAAGTAATGAAACAGCTGTTTATGAACCAAGAATTAGTCTGACAGTATCAATGTGCAGGATTTGAAACTGGGGGGAAAAGGAACTCTCTTTGAATTGATAGATGATATAATGCTGGGAAAGGGAACTTTTATTATTGACTCACCTTTAGACTGGTAATAAACAACACCAGCAAAATGGTTGATACCAAAGACTGTGTCATGGACGCTTCTTGGTGGAATGTAGATTTTGCTTCTGCAATGATGATTGTTGATTTTGTGCAACATGGTTGTGTCTGTTCCCTGGAAGCAAACCACAACATGAGATTAAAGTGGGTCGGGGAGGATGCTAATACGTGCTCAAAACAAGGAAAATGTGTGGCAAAAGACTTCCTGAGTTGCGACAATGTGGCAACAACATTTTTAGAGTCAGGAAATATTTTAGAGATACAGAAACCTGAGGGGTCTCTGTTAGGTTGCCTGCACAGCAAATAGCTCCAGATGTTTAAAGCAAGAGAGCCAAGCTACACAGCTAGATTCACAACATGCAACACAAATCAATACAATATAGCAACAGAAGAAATAAAAACAAAGCTAATTCCCTGTGGCAGCCTGGAGAAAAACCACAATACTCACCTTAGGGAACCTGCTTTCTTCATCAATGAGTGACACAATATTCATGGGTTTGAGTGCAATCACTTCCAAGGCGGTACAGTTATCCGTGAAGTCAATGTGACTCCAGGTGATATGCTCAGCCAAGTATTCCTCCTGCTCTAGCTTGAAGACATGTGCTACAAAGAACTGCTGGAGATGCTCATTGGCAAAGTTGATGCACAGCTGCTCAAAACTGCAGGGACACAATTATTTCTTATTTATCGTGAACATTTATATTATTAATATAATCTTCCCTTCTAGTCCTTCATAGCCTTCAGATATTGAGGTCTGGGTAAAATATACACTTAATGAGAAATACAACTGGCTGAGTAACCAATTAAAAGACAAATGATTAATCCACTAAAAATCTTGAATCACCAGGCAGCTCTCATGAAATCTAGCATATATCAAGGGCAAGTAACAAACACCACACACTTTCACTTCAGCATGAAGCTGTATCAGTGGACCTCAATCATCTTCAGTGTGGAAATTAATTAACTTAAAATATAACTTCCATCAATACTAATGGTTACAATTTGTTTCTGACATGGTGTGCTACTTCTCAAAACATCCCACAAAACAGTTAAAACTTGAATGTCATACCTGTTAGTGGTAAAATTTTCAAAGCCAAAGATGTCCAGTAGCCCAATGGACCTGCATGTTTTTTTATGACCCTGAGATGGTGGGTTGTAAATTGCAGTATTGATCTTATTAACTATCCAGAGGAAGAGGAGTCCATAGATCCCCTGGGTAAAGAAAAGGTGCATAAGAGCACGGCATTTAACATAAGTTGCATTCACGTGGGGTTTATAGCATTGGTTTAGCTGATTATAAGGCTAGTGCTTCTGTCCCATTTTCTAAAGTTCCTTTCACACTGTACAAACCTGTTTCATCACATCTCAACCACTATACCATCAGGTTGCAGTAAATGCCATGCACACAGCAACAAGAAGCTGCAATAAATAAATAAACATCCACAGATGCCAACATGCCATCCCTCTCCTCCACATTCTGCCATTCTGTGCTGAAATACCAGCTCCACTGACATCAAGAAAAACATGCAACATTCACCATGAGAGTAAGCCCATGGATGAGAGCCAAGAGTGATAATTTTTCTCTCTTGATTTAGGAAGCATTATAGCTGTAGGCTTGTATAGATTCAAACTTCCTTAATAAATCAGATGCTAAAGCTGGAATACCAAAGAGGACATTGTTTGTAGGATTTTGTCTTTAGACTGTTATTAAACTTCAATGACATGTACAACCTTATCATTTTTATTTTATTTATTTCTTCATAAAATGTATGAACTGCCTCATTGTAGAAAACCTCAAAGCTGTTTACAAAACATAACTGAGAACCACACATGAGGAGAACTGTTTATCTTCTTTACCTTTACGAAGGCATCTCTCACATCAGCAGCCTGGGCTACACTTAGGGGCATAGAGACGCTCTCTCCCCTGATGATGATCGAGTGGTTTGTAAGGCTGCTGTGGAGTTCCCCGGAATCCACCTGTAAGAATGACAATTGAATTGCGTCATTTTTCTGTAGATGCAGGAGATCTGGCGAGAAAGGGCAGCGCCTCCTTCAAGAGAAGGGATACAAAGACACTTAATAGAGATGCGGGTGGTACTGTGGTGTAAACCACTGAGCCTAGGGCTTGCCGATCAGAAGGTCAGCGGTTCAAATCCCCGCGATGGGGTGAGCTCCCGTTGCTCAGTCCCAGCTCCTGCCAACCTAGTAGTTCAAAAGCACGTCAAAGTGCAAGTAGATAAATAGATACCACTCTGGCAGGAAGGTAAACGGCGTTTCCGTGCACTGCTCTGGTTTTGCCAGAAGCGGCTGAGTCATGCTGGCCACATAACCCGGAAAAACTGTCTGTGGACAAACATTGGCTCACTTGGCCTGTAAAGCGAGATGAGCACTGCAACCCCAGAGTTGTTTGCAACTGGACTTAACTGTCAGGGGTCCTTTACTTTTACCTTTAATAGAAAGCAGGGCAAGGCAAGGCAAGCCTGCCATCATAGCAGTGGCTGGTGGCAATGAGAGCACAAGATGTGATCTCTAAGCAGAGAAGACAATATGGTAAAAAGTGTGCTACAAAAAGGGGGGGAAACTGGCAGGGGACAATGCAATACAGTGTGGTTAGAATGTCAAATTAGGAGCTGGGAGATCAGGTTCAAATCCCCACTCATCCATGAAGCCCACACCGCTTGCGATGGAGTGGGAAGCTATATTCACTGCCCTGAGTTCCTTTGGAGGAAAGGTTGTAGGGATGAAATAAGTAAATAAATAATATTCATGCGCAACGCCAATACCTCAAGCAGTTTAGTTGCAATGGAAAAGTGTGCAGAATCCAGTACAGCACAACAGTCCAAATTATCATACACAGCAGCTAGATAAAGGAAAAGGTAAAGCTTGGTGATCATTTATAACATAAAGCATGTAACATACTTTTTCTCATTCAAGAAGCAGCCATTAGGCTAAAAAAAGTAACAACAGAAGAGGAATAATGTAATCTCCCTAAGATACCAGGGTACTTGTGTTCATAATCCATGTGGAAAATGGGAGGTGCCCCTTAAGGTATGGTCCCTGAACCTTCTTACATGGAAATGTAATATACTGTACAGACATTAAGCAGTGCCAGTAATTAAAATGGTGATTTTTTTTCAACTGTGGTAGATGGGATCCTTACAAATATACCTGCCATCCCCTGCCCACTTCTCAAAATGTTGATCCCTGAAGATCACTACAGAAACACCCCATGCATCATTCATTGCTTTCTTGCTTTTCCACATATGGGCAATCTGTTCTGTGGTAACTGTGTGAAATAAAACTTTGAATTATCCAACTTCTCCAACTAAAATATTTCCCCCCCTACACTACACACAAGTATGACAAAGCATTCATCTTAACAGTATGTATAATAAGGAAAGTCCTTTTCAGGGTAATGTATCATCTACATTCCTCTGCACTTTCTTATGTAGATAACAAAATGTTGTTTTCTGCTCAAAGTATTGTCTGGTAATTTCATTAACCCCTATTTTCTCCTCTTTGGTCAGTGTGTGTTTGTGTGTAGGCGCACACGCTGGACTTACCTTCAAACTCCATATTCCCCAGATGCAAAATGGCTGCCAGCAGTTTGCTTATGTCCCAGTGCTCAGAATCAGAGAACATCAGGATCTTCATGGCAGAGCGAATATGAGCATATTCCTTGGCATCATTACGGCCTTCACAGGAAGTGCAGTCACCCTGGAAGACAGCACAGTGATGACATTTTTATACCGTAATGATATGGGGTGGTTCATTTGAATGATTTCTCAAGGATGGTATCGTGATTCTGTGAATCTGGTTGCAAAAGGAGATTGCTAAACTGACTTGTGAACCTTAGCCAAGCAGATTTCCTTTCGTTGCGAAGATTGGCAGTTCACCTATGCTCAATCCGTATATGTATAAACTAGGGGCTGTAACCTTGCTTATTTTGTTCACCCAACCCACCTACCTCCCTACGTCTCTTGCCAAAGCCACAAACCCTCCCATTCATTACACCTTGCCAAAGCCACCTGCCCCTCCCCTTCTCACCAAAGCCACTCCGCGCCTTAGTCCTCAGAGATTGTGTGCACACAATACATTTACAGCTAAGAAAACTGGCATAGAATCATAGAATCTTAGAGCTGGAAGGGACTCAATGGTCATCTAGTCCAACCCCCTATAATGCAGGAATCTTGGCTACAGCATCCATGACAGATGGCAGTCCAACCTCTGCTTTAAAATCTCCAAGGAAAGAGAGTCCACCACCTCTCGTGGGAGTCTGTTCCACAGCCAAACAGCTCTTACTGTCAGAAAGTTTTTTTTTAATGTTTAGTCAGAATCTCCTTTCTTATAACTTGAAGCTATTGGTTCAAGTCCTACCCTCCAGAGCAGGAGAAAACAAGCATGTTCCCTCTTCCATGTGACAGCCCTTAAGATATCTGAAGATAGCTATTGTATCTCCTCTCAGTCTCCTCTTTTCCATCTGTACCAATAAGCAAGCAAACACAAAGCAAAATGCATTCTACTGTGTGTTTCCCTTTTAATCTAATCTATATATGTGTGTGTGTATTTTTTCTGTACTTCCTCATGAGCCACAAAGACCTTCAGACCTTTTGTGAAATAGGCAATCTTTGAATTCCAGAAGTAAATTCTGCCCTGCCTAGTTATCAGATTATTTTCTACTTGCTTCATATTTTATTATGATTGTTATGATTATGATTATTTTACTTTACTTTATTTATTAAATTTATATACCATCCTTCATCATAAGATCTCAGGGCAGTTCACAGAATAAAATACAAGATAAAAACACAAGTAAATAATTAAAACAAAACAGCAAAACAATAACCCCCCCTTCCCAGAGAAACACATTTAAAAGGCTGCAGAACATCAGATGTAACTGAATATTAATCAGTGTGACTGATTTCCAAGAAAATATGTGTCCTTTAGCAAATGACATTCTCATTCTGTGATAGCCGGTGAAGCCCTCCTTTGGTTAGATGGTAGCAAAAAAACCCTCTCCAATTTAGGGAAATGCTCAGAGCAGAAAGTGTGTTTCCTTTTTAGGACCACATTCCTTTCATAAACATTTCACTTTCATGTATGTCTTTCTAAAGGGGGGAGGGAATGGCAACTGGGTTTCTGTTTCTCATCTAAGAATGGTTTGCAGATGCTCAGTGGGAAAAAGTGCCCAAAGGCCAAAGTACATGCTTTATGCAAATACATAAAACTATCACCTGGAAGTTCTTTTCTTCTTTATTAACTGCTTCACTAAGCAGGAGTGAAAGCAGGGTGTGTGGGGATGTGTGTGAACTCTTCCCACACTCCTGTTTCTCTGCTCTAAATTGCCTCTTCCTCTAGCTTTCTTCCCTGTAGGGTATATAAAAATGCATGGAAATACATGTGTAAACTTTGTGGGAGGAAAAGCCTCTGTGCGCTTGTACTGGTGTGAAATGGCTGGTAAGGACCAGGTTCACTGATAGACATAAGGCACAACTTGTCAGTTTGCATTTCTTAGTGCAGAAAGTATTGATCTGATGTGCAGAGATCTTTCCTATTCTAATAAATTTAAGAGGGTTTTGAAAGCTGCTCTGTGAAAGAAACTCTGCTAACTATACGTTGGAGTTGCGTAGAATTCCATGACACAACTTACCATAGTAAGATAGGTGTACTCTGAAGCTGTGCCCAGATTCAGCATCTTCTTCTGCTCCAGATTCATCCCCATTAACATGCAGTAAAAGATGTGATAGTTCCTTTCCTCAGGAGCCTAGAATGATAAGAAGACCCCCACAGACATAACAGCAGCACAAATGAAAATAGGAACACTGCCCCAATTAATGTGTGCTCTGAATTACCTGGCGACAAACCCGAGACTTCTCCAGAAGGAACTGTTCTATCCGAGCTCCTTCTATCACCCCGTTTTGGTTGAAATGTATATCGATGTATTTCCCAAAGCGACTCGAATTGTCATTCCGAATTGTCTTGGCATTTCCAAAAGCTGTAAGTGGGTGAGATGGCACCATGAAGGGGAGGGGCACTCTTTTGCTTATTTGAAATCATTCAGGGCACTAAGATACTTGGAAGTTCTTCTTCACAAAGTAAGAGGTGCTCATTTTATTTTATTTTATTTTGATTTATAGTCAACTACATCCCAAGATCTTGAGGGTGGTGAGCCATCTTTAATGTATAAACATTTCAGTAAAGTAATCTGATTAAAAAACCATTAAAAGTCCATAAATCTCTGCCAGATATTGACTGTTTACAGTGTAGCCAGCTAAAAGTACAGCTGTATGTGCCACTTCCAATTTCTTTTAAGAATATTCCAGAACTGGACGATAATTTCTCCCCAATATTTTCCTTATGTGTGACAGCAAAGGCTGACTGCATGCCCTTCTCTATGAGACATCCTCATATATTTAATAGCTGAATAGGGAACGCAAGTGGAACCTCCAGATTGAACAGTGGATATAATTGTATGAGTGGAATATATGATGTACATTCTAGGGGTGCTTTCAGACATGCAGAATATTGCATTAGTTTTCTTGATTATAATGTTAGCGCTTCTCTTCCATTTTCTAATATTCCTTTAACACTGCAGCACCTGCTGTGATACAGAACTGTGGCTTTTTTACCAATCTGCTGGCATGTTGAACTAAATTCCATTCACACTAGTGAGCATGGTGCCTCACAACAAGAACCATCGTTGAACAACATCACTGCTTCACCACCCTTTTGCACATGGATGCTTCTGCTATACAGTGGTACCTCGGGTTAAGTACTTAATTCGTTCCGGAGGTCCGTACTTAACCTGAAACTGTTCTTAACTTGAAGCACCACTTTAGCTAATGGGGCCTCCTGCAGCCGCTGCGCCGCCGGAGCACAATTTCTGTTCTCATCCTGAAGCAAAGTTCTTAACCTGAAGAACTATTTCTGGGTTAGCGGAGTCTGTAACCTGAAGCATATGTAACCTGAAGTGTATGTAACCCGAGGTACCACTGTACTGGAATACAACCCCAACTTTATTCACTTTACTCCTGCAATTTTATGAGTTAAGAGGAATGCAAACAGATTTTTTTCTGGAAACAAATAACATAAACGTGAGTGCTAAACATCCATTGGTTCTTCAGAAGTGGCTTTTACATCTCCTGAAAGCTGAAATATAATGCAGAAATTTACAGTCAGGGAAAGGTCAGGGAAATAGAATGAACTGCCATGTGAATGGCATTATATAGCCTACCTTCTAAAATGGGATTGGCCTCTAGAATCTGTTGTTCAATCCAAGAATGTTGGCCGCTTATAGCTGCTAAGAACTGCAAAATCAGCTTTGTGCTTTCGGTCTTCCCTGCTCCGGATTCTCCACTGAAATAAGATATCAAATCTGGTGAACTCAGTGATGGACTCTCTTGACAAATTGGAGTAAAAAGTGGCCTGTTTCTTCTTGCTCTTGAATAATCTTAAATCAATCGTTGCAGGAAAAGAGGGAATTTTGCTTTCCACCATCACACTTCAACAAAGTGGATATTCTCTGAACAACTGTTTAGCTGTGTTTTGATACCTCTTGCCTACACCTGTGTTCCTCTTCTTTTGCATTACCACTGTCTCATTTCGAATGTGTGGCATTTGAGGGCATGTGCCTGTTTTTACTGTACACCTATCAAAGTCAGGCCCATGGTCACTACATGAACAAGCTGGACCACAGCAGAAAAGCAGCTTGCTGGGCGGGGCAAAACCACTATGCTAGCATGCCAGCGGGTGGGTCACTGTTGCCTATCATCAGGGTGAGTGTGATGGAAGGTCAGTGTGATGGAAATGCCACAACGGAGCAGATCCCACCTGCTAGGAAGCCAGCATAGTGACTCTGCCCACAGCTGGCAAGTCACTTCTAAACCAGAGGCCTTTTTCTTTTACACCATTGGAGCAAAGTGCCATAAAAATAATGGCGTTGTCCATATTTCTACGCTGGGTGGTTCAATATGGGGGCTTGAACTGCAGATACATCATTAAGATATCACAAATGGGTAGGTGGCTGGCAAGTGGCTTTTTTGATTTACCAGAATTTCCCTGTAAAGGTTAATTTTGTATTAAATGGGCAGGGCGAATATGGTTTGACATTTTGATGCCAACGACACTGGACGGCAGTGCAAAAAGTCTGCATTCATGAGAAACACAATAAACACCCATCAGGAAGCTTCCCTTAGATGTTACTCTTTCTCTCCCACCCAACCCTACCAGCTATTCTTCTTTGGAATAGCATCAAACTTTCCCTCTACTAATTGCCTCTACCTGATGATGCAGCATTGGTCTCTTTTATTTCTCTTCATGTTGAAATAGCAATTGTCAGCAATGGCGAAGACATGAGGTGGCAGTTCTCCAATCCTCTTGTTACAGTAGAGTCTAATCTGTTCCATGGTATACAGTGGCAGCACTTGGTATGGATTCATAGCTACCAAGATAGATCCTGTGTAGGTCTAAATAAATAAAAATGCTTATGACACAAACCCCAAACAATATTCTCATCACCTCATGCTCTGCCCTTATCAAGTATCATACAACATGTGTAGGTAGATTAGAAGCCTTTGAAATGTAGTAGAAAGCAGAATAAATGAATGAAAGCTCTCTGCCTTTAGAGTCTGTCATACACTACTATAGGGGTCAACAACATTGGACACATTATTCATATCATATAAACATTTTGGGCAGGAGTCGGCTAAGTTGTTGCCTGCAGGGAGAAATGTCCACCTGCACAACAGGTCTTTCCCCACTCTTCTCCCATTCCTCCTAAAGCTGCTGTAGAGGATTGAAGGAATCTCCAGAATGGGTTTAAGGGATATGCGAAGGAAGGGAGCATTTCACTGCACAAGCAGAACTCATTCCACGTACACATACCCCACTTAGTGCTATGTTGCATTTGACTCTACATTTTTCTTATCATTCATAATCAGTAGTCCAGGGGCACATTTAAACGGAGAATTCTGTTATCCCTAGACTGCAAATAAAGTTAGTAAAACCCATTCTTCCATCATCCCATCAGAGTTTCTTCCTTACCACTTTTCCATGTAGGCTCAGAAAACAATGGAAGTGACAGTAGCAGTACTTATTTTTTTTTTCTTTTGGGGGTTGTTGTTATACTTTGTGGGGGATAACTCCCCCTAGCAATTTGAGAATAAATTGGTAGGCTTCTGTCATGTGTGTGAGTGAAGCACAGTAAAGTCAGAAAGGAATTTGTTTCACTTGCTTTCCAGAACAGGTGTACAATTTTTTTTTAAATGCCTCTGTAAACTTATTTGAGATTAACCTCAATAAACCCAGTAGGGCTTACTTCTGAGTAGATCTTCGCAGGATTCTAAGGCAACTATGGTGAAAACTGAAGCACACTGGTTTTTATTCCTGATTAGTTATTCCATGACACTTTTGTCTCTAGCTCTGCCCATCACCAGCTGTGCCTATCGCTGCTGGCATGTGGCAACTGTCAGACCAAAGGTATATGGTTCCCAAAAGAAATAGGTTGCCCACACCTTTGTTGATGTTTTTAGAGAATGTATATTGAACATATTTATTTTATGTAACAAAATGCACAGATTTCTTCATCAAAAAAATCTAAGTAGTCTTACAATCACATTGAAGTATTCCTTACCAGGTGTTTTTTTTTGGGGGGGGTTGTTGTTGGATATCAATTAATGTCAATTGAAGGGAAAGTAAAATGATGATTAATTCACTGAGAGGAAAATCTGTGATCAGACAAAATACAAGCTTTTATTTCACATTATTACTGGACAATGAAATGTCACATTTCTAACTTACATAGATGTTGTGTTCCTTGTAGCGGATAAGCAGGTTGCGCACCATGCCAGCTTCATTCATGTCTCCAAGGCGTATCATATCTTCAACTCCTTTGACAGAAGTGGGATGCATTGGCCGCACATTGCAGATGTTCCGAGCCATGATCCAGTGTTCCTTAAATACAACTGCTTTTAACTAATCAGCTTAGATTTTATACACCACCTCAGGTCACTCCTAGGAACTAACCCTTGAGACACATTAGAGACAGGCCATTGATCAAAATTATTTCAGATGCGCATTCAAACACTTTTTAAGAACAGATTGTTCAGATATGGGCCTCCAGTTTGTCCCATCTCACTGCATAACTAATTTGCATAAAGTTCCAGCTATGAATCCTAGACTTCTATCAAGACCAAGAATAACTTGATCTCTGGTTGTGGCATTCAGACCCATCTCTAGCTCTTTCGCTTTATGTAAAATATTTGCATCTGTTGAATAAATGTTGTGACACCTACCTTGCCTTCATCATCTTCCAGCAAGAACCGTCCAGAGTCAGAAATCTTTACAACTGCCCCAATGGGCACATTAAACTCACTTCCTGAAGAGGCCTCCAACCATATATGGTCACCCTTGTGGAAGAAAGGATATAAAAGTCATTAACTTATTTGTGGATATGTTATACTTCTTGTGCTTTGGAGAACCGATTCCTCCGACTTGATGTTGATTAAACTGTGGGAACCTTTGCTATGGATCTTATGATAATTTTTCAACCTATTTAACATTTCCTTCTTTAATAATGTTGTGAGTTTGGGGGGTTTAGACTGCATGATGCCTGAGTCCTTTCTAATTCCTTGAATCCTGGATCCAGCAAGGCTTAAAATCTAATGGAGGATTCCATTGTTGAACTAGCAGGCAAGCTTCTTGGTAAAGTCTTAAGTACGGTGAATGGCCCTAAGTATGTTTGTTAGTGTAAGAAAGGAAGCTGGCTCTGTGCCAGAAGGCAAATGGGCGGAGGCCCTCCCTCACTTGGCTGGCAGAGAGGACAATAGCCAAAGTGTAAGAAGTGGCAGACCTTGGTGTCTCAAATATCAGTGGTGCCCTGTGTGACGCCAAAATCTGCCACCCCCCCACCCGCTGCCTCTCATCTTCTGTTGGACGTCTTCCGTTAGAAGCCAGAGAGTGAGAGCTGTCTAACCTCAAATTCTTTTTCTTGATTGTCTTATTGATTTTTCTGACTTAAGGCCTGGTTGGTCAATTTCATAAGCATTTTGTTTTCTCAGAGCATTGGTGCAATTGCATTGTGCCAAGGTTTATTACTATGGAACAGTTTACTGGTAACCTTTGTTATTTCTATTTCTTCTTTAAAGTATTTTATTAGCTTACCTTTTATAGGCAAACAATTGTAAAATATAGCAGCTGTTGCAGTACTTCATGGACTCATGCAACAAACTGCCAGAGGCGATTTCCACATCACACTCGCTGGATTTCATTCTTTTTTAAAAAAAAAATTAAGCAAAACCAAAGGCTGCAAATTTAAGTAGAATAACTATAGGGAGTGGGGACAGTTAGCTATTTCCCCTCTGTATGTAGGTTCAAAATCCCACTCCCCACCCCAGAGTTGGAACTTGGGGATACATCCTCTTATCTCATTTATATTTTTGGAAAGAAACACACATTGGATGTAAGATAGCAACTGTATTATAGTTTGCTTCTTTTGTGCTATGACAGTTTTGTGTTGTATATAGCTCAGATCTTAAACTGCACCATCACCCCCAATGTATATATGATGTGTCACACCAAGATAAAGGACTAGACTTACTTTTCTGAAAACAACCATCCTGCTTCAGGGTGATACATGCAGCCTGTGTTCATAGGGAGAAAAACATCAAAAGAAGGTCAAATCTTCAAGGGACAAGAAAAATCATAATCCTACACTTGATCTTAGCCAAAAGGCCGAGAAGCGATCATAATCATAATCCCTCATCGCAAAGTATTGGAAGACAGAAGAACTACCCACCTTGGAAGAGTGGCAGATGAAGGTTATAGACTATATGACATTGGCGGAGATGACTGGCAGAATCCGTGAGCAGGGGAAAGAGACGGTGGAAGAAGATTGGAAGAAATTTAAGATCTATCTAAAGAACTATCATAAAATTGAGGAATGTTAAAATGTCGAGGTTTGGAGAAAGAAAAGGAGATTACAGCGACATAAGATTAAGTTGAAGAAAAAAAAAGAATAAGAAAAATATATTTGATAAAATTATTTAGAATTTGCTGAAATAATTTTGGGAATTGGGATGTAGGAAGGGGAGGTCTGGGGAGTCCGAGAAGAGAGGGTTATGAAAAAAAAGGTTATGAAATTATACATGTTTGTATGTCTTTTTATTTGTTTGTATTGTATAAAACTTGTTTGTAAAATCAATAAAAAAATTATATAAAAAAAAAAAGAAAAATCATAATCCAATATGTAACTAACAAATTGGTTACAAAGTTTAGAGGAAAAACCAAATGGGAATTCTTTGTATGGTAGATGGAAAAGTGGCAAGTGAGACCAAGGCTAGATGTAGGAAATATATTTAATGGCCTGCATAATCATCCCAGATTATGTTTTATGTACTTGCTGGCTTTAAGAGACAAATCCATAAATATTTATCCATTTCTCTGTTTTTCTCCTTACAATAATTTATCAGCATTTTGGGACACAGTTCTCCTAACAGCAAGACAAAACGGGGAGTGTTTCCAAATCTGAGTAAAATCTATTCCCTAAACATTCAAAAATCAAAACATTCTTCCCAAATGATTAAATACTCCATAGTGCAATCGGTTAAACACTGCTCTTATGTAAGACAATTTTAATAGGAATATTCACCTGAAACTCTGAAATCTTACATGTTTCTGACCTTAACATAGTGTTTTTATTATTATATGTAAAGCATTTGAATATAAAATTATTATTTGGTACATCACTGGGTGGCAAAGGCTCAAAGGTAAAACATTGGAAACATTTTTGAAATAACAGATTATATTTTTGAACATAGCACTTACATTCCTTGTAACACAGGATGTCTGGCTTCAAATATTAAAAGTATGGTAAATCAAATATTAAGAGTATGATTGAAAACACCCCAATAATTATATTTTAAAATTGGTTTTCTTGATTCATATCTTCCTCCAGGATGATAGTTGCTAAAATTGTGCCTTTCTGGAACATTGCAGTTCTGTTATTCAACTATTGTAAAATTTATATTTTAAAGGTTAAAGGCCTTTGATTACTCAGAAATGAGTTGTGATCAATGGGGCTTACTTTAAAACAATTTTGTCACATATTTTCCTTAAAAAAATACAAATAAAAAAACATGACTGCAACCTTACAATTGGTTACAGGCTGTCTGTGGAGCCTTTGGAAGTTCCCGAAGTGGGTGCTGTGTCAGGAGCTCTCAGTATGCCCACTAAAACCTCAGTGGGCATGGATGTACCACTGAGGGGAAGCATCAGGGTTTGAAGACACATTGAGGGTGGATCCTCCAACACACCAAAGTCAAACAATACACAAAGCCCTAGACCTGATGCAGTTAATTTCCCTCCCTCCTACTAGTATAAGGGGGAAAGAGAAAACACTCCCCCCGCCACCGCCATCTTCTGCCCTGGCCACCTCAAGCTAGCAGGGCATAGAAAGTGGCAATAGATTTCCCATGGATTCTCCTCCCTCTCCCCCTAGCTCCATAGGATTGCTCTCTTAAAGTTCACCCCCAGCCTCCTAGCATGTAATAACTTTGTTATCCGATATGTCCACATCAAATGGCCATATTCCTGTGATAAATTAATAAAAAATAACTACGAAGGATAATTTTCAACCCTTCTGTGTGGAGCGGCTTATAGGAAGCAATTTCTCCTTTGCTGTTGCATTTTAAAACCCACTATCCACACCAAATGAAAGAACAAAGAGTGTACTTACTCCCTGTTCAGAAGATTGGTTATGTAGGATGGATTTCACGTCTCTCTTTTACAGAAGTAGTGTAATAAGAAAGGAGATTTAGCCACAGAAGGCCAGTTCTCAAGAATTCCACCATGAAAAGACAGTCCTCTGTTCAATGAGGAAGAGAAGAAACGAATGACGTTCCCTTCGTAGTTATTTATTACAGGACTTTGCCCCCCTGTTCGAATATCTTCCATTTCTGCAGCTGGCATTTCAGTCAAGTGAGGTCAATTAATACCTTCATTCACAACTCTTTTGAGTGTCCCTGTAATTTTAAATTCATTACCCCAAATAAATTTGGTTTAGATATTTCTAAAAGGTATTCCAAAGAAAAATCTGAATGCCTGGTGCTTTTAAATAGAAACCAAAAACTCAGATGCAGTTGAAGGATATCTGGTGGTAATTATCATATACCCTTCTCTCACACCTAGAAATGACTGCCTTTTTTGAGATGGTGCCTGCTGTTATGCATGGTCCACAGCTGATGCCTGCCCTGGAACTCCCTTTAACTGTTTAATTTCCTCCACCTGTCTGCCATCTAAATTTCCCACAATGCCTCCAGTTGGAGCATTGCAGGAAATTAAACGTGTGGCTTTCAGATATCCATTGCAGGCTACTTTTGGAAGAAAGGGTGGGATACAAATTCAGGAAGTAAATTTTTAAAAACCTGATAGTGATTGGAGTCCTACTGCTTTGTGTCATTGCTACTACCAGTCAAGCCGGTCAGGAAGGCCACTGATTTAAGGGGGCAGTTTGCTAAGGGCCCCCTCAAACTTGGAACTAGTCCAGGAACAAACAGGTGTGTTCTTTTTTCTTAAAAATTATTAGATTCAAAAATAATTTTATAAATATTTTTAAAAGAACTCCTTTTCACCTACAAACGTGTGCAGCTTTAGCCAATTAATCAAAACAAATATGATTCATCAACTCAACTAAAAATTGTTTACTCAGCTTATACCCTTATAAAAACCCATTCTGAATCTTGTAACACTTTCTCCACATGCATTTGTTTATTTGGGTTGCTGTTCCACTGTTTATATATTCTTTCTCTTTCTTGCATATTTGCCAGCGCATTTCCAATTAGACAACTCTATAGCACATATTAGGAAATGTACCGTAATTACCACTGCTGATTGAGACAATTTATACCATCAGCAATCAATAATGATGAACAAATTAGATAGCAATGTGCACACTGAACTGAGTAATGCTGAGCGACATTAATCCTGCTATTCTGGAGAACAGAAGTTCATCTGTTTGAACGTATACAGAACTTCTCAGCAGCTTCTTAATAGCCTGCTGCCATATGGATAAAAGGGACTTAATGAGCACGTGGGTGTTACTCTTGTTGTTTTCCTCTTTCTCTTGAGAAAATGCACAAGTTGTCAGTTGCACAGACAAAATTAAGGTCTGCTTCAGTCCCTATGGCAGTTAAATGTCTCTGAGCTTCTATAATCCTGGACATAACACCTCACAGATAAATGCTAACTTCACTTTATGTACTTTTTGCCTGCAGCAACTACGATACTTATTAAACACTTTGCTTTACCTAAGCACATTTGTATTGCTACATTAGTGAATATTACTGTTAATTTTTTTAAAAGCTCATGGAAGGGAGTTAAAAAGGGAGAGAAAGAAAGAAAGACATACCAGCAAAAGGCCTCAGGTATTTCCCCCGTTTTCTTGAGCATCTTATCTTTAGAAAAATTTGCTTTTCCCAGATCATTTATGCTGCTGTGAGAAGAATATAATTGGGATAGATATTGGGTGCATGGTATTGCACACCTATACACACACACCATCCAGGTGGGGCGTCTTACTCCTGGTGTTACAAGGTAGGTCAATCTTTCCTGTCATGCAATCTCATTAGGACCTGCGTGACATCCAACCTTCCCTCTGGGATCCAGCCAACAAAGTATTAAAAGCACGAACTGCAGACTATTTTGTGCCAAGATCTGTCTCATCAAACACAAGTAGGTGCACACATAACAAGCAGAATACCTTCAATAAGCACTCATACATTTGTCACATTGCTCATAGGAACTAGGAAATAAGTAAATAAACATAATTAGAATTGGAAGTATTAGCCTTATAAATAATCAGGGTTTTTTTTGCAGTATAGCCTCATTAAAATGATAGCAGGCTTGTTATTTCAATGTATGAGGAATGTAAATACATTGCAATAAGGGGATATAAAACTCTGAAATATGTAAATGATCAATTACCAGTCTCACACCATAGCTCAATGGTAGAACACAAGCTTTCCATGCAAAAGGTCCCTAGTTCAATCCCTGGCATCTCCAGGTAGGACTGAGATACAACCTGGAGAGTCACTACCAATGGCAGACAGTACTGTTCTAGGTGGACCAATTGCCTCAGCATTAGGCAGCTTCCTATATACCTAAGTAACTAAGTGTCCAGTTGTTGGCATAATACTATGTAAATGGTTGCAGCACCAGCAAGAAAACATGTCTCTGACTGGAGTCTCAGAGCTGAGAATATACTTTTTAAAGTATGAACAAAACCTAGGAGAAACTTTGAAACACTTTGGGGTATGTCATGTGCATTAATGGATAGCGTGCACGAAGCCTGGAAGCAGATGCACACCCTACATTTAAAGCAAATCTAACACAGTTTAAGCACTTGACTTCCCCCAAAGAATAATGGGAACTGTAGTTGAAGGGTGATGGGAATTGTAGCTCTGCAAGAAGCAACTACAGTTCCCAGGTATCATTGGAACCCATGTGCTTTAAGCATGTGTTGGGTGTGCTTTAAATGGATGTTGTGGATCTGCTGGCTACACCAGTGCCAGGATGCACATTTAGAAAAACTTTTACAGTATTTCTACCCTAACCATATTACTTCCAAGATTTAGCAGCACAAATGGGGTCCGGCCAGTCTATGTCATATTCGTTTGAAACTGGAGGTTGTAGAAAGGGTTAAGTTGTGATAACGCCTTTCTTCCTTCTAGTCAGGGAAAGAGCTATATATGGGGAGGCTCCTCCGTCAGAGCAAGGCTCAGCAAGGTTACAGCGAGGCCACCCGGAGCCGCCGCCTTCTGCGTCGCCCATGATGTGATCAAAACACCACCACCCCCGCAGGCAATAGCACGCGAAGGCGGCTACCTCGTCCCACAAACCCCGCGAGATATTAACCTCTCGCGAGCAAATAGACGCCATGCCAGTCGCTCTCAAGCACGTGATCATTTTTCGCTGGCGCTCTGCATAAGCCTATAATAAATTACTCTAACGGAAGCTGTGCGTTCACTATCGTACTGGATTCCTCCGGTCCTCCCCTCTCCCGGGGTGGAAGTGAGAGTTGCTCACAGAAAACATTGTTAAAATCTGGTTTTATACTGGACTCCTTGGCAGGTTTTGAATAAACATACACAAATTTATTGAGGGTTAATATAGTAGATAAATAAAAGGATGTACAGTATACAGAGAATAACATGAGTTGAGAAATCAGAGAGGAGCTGAGGGAAGTCTGGGGGGGAGGAAGGAAGGGTTCTTTGGGAAGGGAGGGGAAGGGGAAAATAATGACGATGATTTGTATTGATAATATGTTATGTTGAAATTGTTAATTTTTAAAAAATAAATCTGGTTTTATATAGTGGGAGGGTGTATATATTTTACTGCAGGTGGGACTGGGTGGTAGCTATTCCATCCCTCTGTGCAAAAGGTAGCACTGTAGCTCTTTCCAACAGGCGTTCTGCTCCGCATGGGAGGAAATGTGAGACGAGCCTCGGCAAAGCCGTAGGAAGCGAGGCTGCTGCTTGCTTGCAATGGATCTCTCAGAATTTAAGATGGAAGGAGGTGGTGCGAAGGCAGATGGTGGTTGCTGCAACCTGAGGGATGCTTTGTATAGGAGAGCTTGGGCTAAAAAAAATCCCACCAGCCTTAACCTAACTGGCAATTATTGTCACTGCAGGGCTGCCGTAAGCCCCCTTTTCCTAGCCGCCTTCGATATACGGACTTTAAAAAGATTCAGAAGTGAGTACCAGTGGCAGGTTCAAATCCCCACAAGGGCCATGACGTTTACTTGGGCCAGTCACGGCGTCTCTTCTCCTAAACTACCTCGCAGGGCTGCTGGGAAGATAAATATCTCGGCATCATTGGGAGTAAATATAGGATGAAAAGCCAAATATTTTAAAAGCCAACATTTCCTTTCCACACGAATAAGACCCGAGTTCGAAAGAGCAGCGGTTTATTTGTTGCTCCTTATTTCTTCATTACGAGGGTGCTGGGTGGGTACGGAAAATAACGGAGAAGTTCGCTCTCCAGACAGCGTTGCTGCACTACTCTTCTTTTTTTCTGTCTCTACGGGTCAGGCACACGGCAGAACGGAACGCCTTCCCTCCCTCACGTCACAGCGATATGGCCTCAGACCAGCAAGCCGCGCACGCGCAAGAGCTTCCGGATTCCATTGAGGGTGACGCCATTTCGCGGCTGCGGAAGTTCCTAGGCTCCGCGCGGGGGCGGATGGGAAGGTCGTGGGTACTGTTGCTTCCGGCTTAGAAACTGGAAGGTGATTTTCCCCCTTCCTTCCTTCCTTCTCCCCCCCTCAAACCCCCCACCGCGTCCCGGTTTCTGCGGTGCTCGCCGCCAAGCTCGGAGCCCCGCCCCCTCCGCTGGTCGCCCTGTAGTAGTGGGAGGCGGGGCTATGGAGACGGAGTATTACGGTGGGGAACCGTCAGGTACAGTCGGAGGAGCGGGGAGGTTGTGCTCAGCTTGCCTTAAGTGGATGAAAGACTGAGTGGCAGGGGGATAGGGGGCCGGGGAACGGGCGCCCACGGGGGCAAGCAGGGTGCTGGTCGGGGACTCACCAAGGCGATGCTACTCTGCTCTCAGTCACCCCTTTTTGTCGTGCCTTTTCATGATAAAAACTCGCGTGTGTTTGTGCGCACGCACGCACACGCAGCATAGACTGTGACCCGCACAGCACGTAGCCTACGGCCCTTAACTTCCATGCAGTATATTTGTGTTTTGCTATTAGCTGAGTCCTTATCGTCTCGTCACAGTCTTGCACCCATAGACCTGGTGCTGATAAACGCGCTCACAAATATTTCGGCTGCCTGCATCTGATTTGGATTGCGTTTTAGTGGAATTTCTGCTTCCAAGTTACATACATGCCCCTCCAAATTGAGCCAAACAGGAGGAAGCCAAGATCACCTTTAGACCTGGACCATTTCTTTCAGTTGTGTGAAACTTAGGCTTGCCCTTTGTGGAGACTGGGTAGGCTGATAGAGCAAAAAGTACGGTACTTGTTTCAGCCTGCTAGCAGTTTTCTTGCTGCTCCCTCCATTGCTTATCCTGTCAGTGGGCAAAAAAACACTCAGTCGGTTTCCGCAGTGCTTGATCCATGTGCACTTTGTTAACCGTGCATCTTTCTGGATGATCTGGTTGGTCTTCAGCTCACTATCTCCAGTTAGTTGGTATAGTGTATGGGTTCCACAAAATGATTTTGTAAGCCATAAGTTGCTCCCTGCAGAAACTGAAGGCTCTTAGCAATTTCTCCTGTCTTCGACTTGCATCCTTGTTTTACAGCGCGGCTAGCAGAATACAAAATGTGTAAGTCTTTAATGAAGTATAAAGAGCATCCTTTCATATATATATATGGTTTGCCACATATTGATTGAGTCCTAGCCTCTGTGTTTTAAAGGAATATGTGCATCACATATGATCAGAGGTCTTGTTTATTTTTATTAGAGCACTTATACCCAAGCACAAAATGTAGACTGAATCAGCCCTCAGATGCTGAAACCCAGAGCAATCCTTGATATTTCAGAAAATGGGAATGTGCTTCCCTAGACAAGTTCTTTTAAAGCAATGTTTATTTCTATAGTCTAAAACAGGCATAGGCAAACTTGGCCCTTCCGATGTTTTGGTACTACAACTCCCATCATCCCTAGCTAACAGGACCAGTGGTCTGGGATTATGGGAATTGTAGTCTCAAAACATCTGGAGGGCTGAGTTTGCCTATGCCTGGTCTAAAACAAGTGTGTTAGATGATATTGAAACATATTGGAGACAGTGTGGTTATATCATGAAAGGCTAAGACTGTCAGTGGCTGCTAACTAGGATGGATGTGTTGTGCCTCCGCTTTTGGAGAGTGTGCGACTGAATACCAGTTACTGGGAATTACAAGTAGAATATGTGCTGTTACACTTAGGTGCTGCTTGTGGGTTTCCAAGAGACATCCGGTTGGCCACTGTGAGAAAAGGATGTTGGATTAGGCGGACCTTTGGCCTAATCCAGCAGGGCTTTTAGGTTTGGGACTTATTTTCTGAAAGCAGTCACCACTTGTTGATTTTGCTTTGAGTCTTTTTAATTCTGTATTCGTCTTTTTTAAAAAAATGTCTGCAATAGGAAGGTTAATCAGGTCTGTCTTATGTTGTTTGCCACCTTAAAAGCTAAGAGTATGGTGAATATAAAAATAATAGTAGCAGCCTCTGAGATTGTCCAATTTGTTGCTAACTTCATAGAGACTTTTTGGCTTCATACTGGCCATCCTGATGTTACCTGATGCTAGCTTTTTTGTATTTGAACAATACCTCACAAATTGTGACATTGTTTGCAAGTATATATAGTTTTCGTTAAGCTTCATTCTGATCTAAAAACAAGTATCATGTTACAGATGATGGTGGAGCAACACCAGTGCAGGATGAACGTGATTCAGGATCGGACATGGAAGAGAACGGAAATGAACAGCACTCTGGATCAGAGAATGGAAGCATAGGACAACATTCAGAGGTAGTTGTGAAAGAGTTTCAATAAATCCTGGTTCTTATGCATAGGAAGAAAACATTTCTTATTACATGTTTGAAACAGGCCTGAATACGTTGGGTGGTATCCAGCTTTCTCATTCTGTCAGTGCAAGGATTGCTACTTGTGCAACGGGAATTCCTCCCCCTCTGTGCTCCCTCTTCCATTTTCAAATCTGCTCCAGAGGTTGGAGGAACCCCCAGAACAGACGGAGGAGATTGGTAGGGAGAAATCCTGTTGTGCAAGTGTAAATCCTTGCACTGAGGGATGGTTACTTCACACTATTTAATACAACACTTTGCTTTGGTAGGAAACAAAGGACACCACTTTTTTTGCAAGTGTTCACAGATTTTTCCAATAAAATTATCAAGAAAATGAAACATGTAATAAATAAATAAATAAATAAATAACAACCTGACAATTTTGCACAAATCCCTGAAATGCATTAATTTGCATCGTACCATGTAATGTAGTGATGCTTCTAATACATTTTTTTAAAATGGTCGTTGACACAGGTATTGTAAAATAGAAAAAGAAATTGGTTTGTCAGAAGAGAAGCCAGATTGAAAAACAGACATGTGTGAACTGTTTCCGTCACCTTAAAAATGTTTTTCATAGTTACATTCAAGCTTTTTTTCATCTTTAATTTGCCTTTTTGTGGCTTTCCTGGAATTACTTGTTTTTTCCAGAATGAACTTAGTGATGGAGAAGATGACAGACAAACTACAGAACACCCCATGACAGACTCTGAAAACGAAGATACTCCAAGGCAGAAACATAGTGATTCCGAAAACGAGGATGCTCCAAATGATAATGTCAGTGACTCAGAAAATGAAGGGACTCATAGAGGTAAAGACAGTGATTCTGATAATGAGGATCGCCCAGTTCACCATGCCAGTGACTCTGAGAATGAAGATGCTGTAAATAACCAGGCCAGTGATTCTGAGACTGAGGAGCCTCCTAAAGGCCATGGTAGTGATTCTGAAAATGAGGAGCCCCAGAAGCCTTTGGCCAGTGATTCTGAAAATGAGGAACCCCAGAAGCCCTTGGCCAGTGATTCTGAAAATGAGGAATCACACAAAGATCATACGAGTGACCTAGAAAATGAGGAGCCACAGAAACGTCCAGCCAGCGACTCAGAAAATGAAGAGCATCAAAAATCGCATGATAGTGACTCAGAGAATGAAGTAGCTCCAAAACCTCTTGCCAGTGACTCTGAAAATGAGGAGCCAAAGGTTCAGCCCAGTGACTCTGAAACTGAAGATATTACCAGAAACAAACCAGAAACAGAGACCGGTGATAGCAACAAAGAAAACAAAGAGGAGGAGGAGGAAACAGAGAATGGTGCTCAGCTTTCAGACAATGAGCAACTAGGAAAAAGGCTTCAGGACTCTGACAGCGAGGAAGAAGGCAGTCCTAAAAAACAGAAGCTAGTAGACAGTGATGAGGAAGAAGGGAAAGAAGAGGAAAAATTGACAAAGAGGAAAGCTACTGTCCTCTCTGATAGTGAGGATGATGAAAAAACACGTAAGGAAATACTAATTTTAGACCCCTTGATTATTCAGTACTGGTTGAATCCCCAAAGAATGCATGAGTGGACTTCGTTGAAAAGGTGGTGCTTGTTCTCTGATGGCTCATTCACACCTGCAGTCGCCACTTGCATCATTGGTCCTCCAAGTGATGAATATGCATATGTGAAATAGCTTAAGCCTTAAGGATGGCTGGCTGAGTTTATTTCTAGTCCATGCCACTTGGTGTATGTCTTAGCTCCTGAGTTCATTCTCTCCCATTTATATTGCAGTTAATTTGCCCTAAAATATATAAAATGTTGCTTAATTTTACCCGGTGATCCGAAGTCTGCCTTTAAAATATGTTTTTTGTTTAAAAAGTTAATTTAAAAAGCCAGCAAGGACAGTACACAATTCACAATGTGCCTTTGAACAAAATGCTCCTGGGACATGATGACATGCTACCCTCTCAGGGACATTGCGTGCGGAAAATAGATGAGTGCCCCTGTGGAACTGTACAGTTTCCCTGCAACGGATTTCATGTCATGTCCCTTTCAGAGACACTGCTACAGAAGTGATATTCCAGCCTTGGCAGGATTTTGGATTAGATTATCTTTGAAGTCCCTTCATTTTTTTATTTTTTTTAAATAATATTTATTAATTTTCCAACAATTTAAAAACAAAAGAAAAGATATTTGAAGTCCCTTCAAACTGGACTTCTGATAATGATATTCATACTAAATCAGACAAATATATGGGGGAAATGGGTGGGACTATATACTACGTGTGCTGTAACATTTACATTAGCCCAAAGTCATAGCAATAAATTGCAAAATGATTAAAAAAGGGCAGGAAAGAAGCTGATACCAGAAACAGCAATTTTCACAAAATATCCGGAAGTAAGTAATATGTGTTTATTTACATTAGAACTTAATTTGGAGGACTTTCCCAAAATAATTAATCTATGTCAGACCTTGATCCAGTTTTGGCACCTGAAGCTTCCACCTTCTTTCCTTTTTATCTAACTGGATCAAGAACCGAGAGGGGAAATTGCTTCCCAGGCTGGTGCAGCAAAGAGGTTAAGAATCAGGCCTACTACAGTCACATGACAGGAGCAGCGCTGGCTCAGCACCCACTGGGACCATGTGCTGGATCTGCATCTGAACAGCCCCATTTCACGAGCTTTTGCTGGCTATTGCCCTTTGGGGTGGACAGATTGGGGCTCCTCATCAGCAGGGATGAACAGAGGTACACCTCTGCCCCATCCAAACCCCCTCTAGTACAATGAATCAGAGGTTTGGTTTGCTGTGCTAGTCTAGCAGGGAGGAGGCACCAAAATAGAGTGTGCAAGTTTTCTTTTGGTGTTTGATTCTGGCAGTATTTTAAGAGCTGTGCCTTCATCCAGGAAACTGCATATTAGGTTATTGATTCCATGTTATTGGTGGTACATGAGTCTTAAGATAGGCTCTCTGAAGTGTAATTGGAAGCTGATTGAGTCCAAAACCAAGTTCTAGAGGAAGCAGATAATTGCTTCATAAAATTATTGGGACCGCTAAGTAAGAGATTTGCAGTACATCTATGATGGTATGTTTAGCCACAGGCTTATTATATTATTATTATTTATTTATTTATTGCAAAGCTGAGGTTGTTGACTACTAACAACTTCTTTGAATGATAAGTGAAGGAGACTTTCCCCTCTGCAAGTGTTGACTGTTTTTGGCTCAGCTATTGATGCACTTCTTACTTTGTTCACCTATGTTAGCAGCTGTAAAAAAAAGCCGCATAATCTCAGATGGTGAAGAATCTGATAGTGATGCTGCATCAGAGAAATACGAGAAGCAAAAGAAACCTCTAGAATCCGATAGCGAGGATGAGGGTGACAAGGCTGATGATGGAAAGAAGAAAGAAGAGAAGGATCTTTTTGGGAGTGACAGTGAGTCAGGAAATGAGCAAGAGTAAGTGTCTGTCAAGTAACAGTGGTACACTTGGGGCAGCAGTGGATGGGACATGTATGTTACATGGAACAAAGTTGATAAACTGGGTGGGGAAGAGGAATGCAGTTGCTGGAGTTCTCAATTCTGTTAGAATCGAAGTGAACAAGGCTATTAGGAATTAATAAGAAAAACAAATAGCATATTTTTCTTGCAGAAACCTTATTGCAGATATATTTGGAGAATCTGGAGATGAAGAAGAGGAAGAATTTACAGTAAGTATGTCGAGAACATGTTTTTTTCCCTTGTCTTTCCCATCCTCCCACCTTTTTTTAAGGCTTCCTTGTCTATATCCATTTAGTAGACCTTGTGTTCTATTGTTACTGAATTAAATTTCACCACTTCATCAGCCCTACTATGTGTTGGATGCAATGTAGACATCCTTGGAAAGAGCAGCCTGGATTAAATGGTAATAGGAATTTTGAGAACTATTAAAAGGCTTATATGTGCGTTGTGGCTGAGCTGTATTTGGATGCATTGACTTGTATTGTCTTTGTAACTAAAGGGATTTAACCAGGAGGATTTGGAGGAAGAGAAAGGAGAAAGGAAAGGAGCAGCTGACGATTCAGACTCTGATGACAATATAAAAAGAGGAAAGCAGTAAGTGTTTATTGTGATTGTTACAAGAAACCAGATTTGATTTATATATATATATTTGCCTTAAAATATTTATATATTTTTTGTATTTTATTACATTTATATCCTGCCATTCCCCTAGGAAGCTCGAGAACATACATTGTCCCCCATGCCTGCACCCGATATTATCCTCACAGTAGCCTTCTATACTAGATTAGACACAGAGATTTCAACACCACTTGTAGGCTGTTGCTCTGAAATGTTTTCACATAAAGCTTCAAAGAAGAGACTGCATTAGGATAAGGAGCAGCTCTCATTCTTCTCAGAGTTCAGATGTTCGGCTTCCAAAAAAACGTTCGAAAACCGGGACACTCACATCCGGGTTTTGATCGTTCAGGAGCCTAAACATATGAGCACCAAGGCGTTCCACAACCAAGGTACGACTGTAATGCCTACAAGCAGATAAAGGGCTTGTGTAGATGCTGTTTTAATTGACACGTACACTCATAAGGCTACAGGGTGGCTAGTTCCAATCTGACTTCATTGAAACCTTCTGCATTACAGCATGGACTTCATGTCAGATTTTGACATGATGTTACAGCGGAAAAAGAGCATGAGTGGCAAACGCCGGCGCAACCGTGATGGCGGGACATTCATTAGCGATGCTGACGATGTAGTCAGCGCTATGATCGTGAAGATGAATGAAGCAGCAGAGGTACGTTCCTTGCATTCAAGGCTTAATTCACTCAAAAGAAACTCTAGGTTATGGGAAGCAAGTCCTTTTGCAGGAGTGGCAATGAACAATTTGAGATGAATGTTTCTGAATGCTGAAGTTTTCATCTGCAAATATTGAAAGCACTTCTTATGTACAAAGCACCATAATGCTGCTTGCAGAGCGTTGTCCGCATCTCACAGTCACAGTGGCAGAGAGGCAGGAGGAGGCAATGGCAACACAGCAGCCAAATGGCAGAAATGGCCTGTGTAAGTGTGGGATGATTAGGTGATGGCAGCGGGAGCGGCTAATTGGTGGAAGCACATCAGTTTTGCACAAATATTCAATACAGATAATTACAGGTGGATAAGACTGGGAATGGTTGCAAGAAATAGGGATTTTGAGCATTAGAGAGGTAATAGCTGTCTGACAACAAGCTAACCTCATCACAAAGTTGAAGAATGGATCTAGGGCATAGGAGGAGACTTCAGTAGCAAGGCACTATCCAGAACAGAAGCCGAGTAGCCAGTGCCCTGCAAGCGAGTAATTAATAGACACCTTTCCCCCACCCCAAGATGCAGCAGGAGGGCAGTGAAGTTGTGCACACAATTGTTATGCGCTATGTCTTACACAAATGCAGATATGTTGTCTTTGTGTTGTGAAAATGAGGAAGACCTGACACCTCTGTCATGAAACAACTGCAGCAAAATAAGGTGTCTGGACTGTGCATCGTAACCAAACAATCATACTGTTTTCAAGACTCAACTATAACATGCGTGCATGAGTATACTCTCTAAGATTTTATTTAAGGCCATGGACCAGGCAAACAAAAAGGCCAGCAAATTTTATACAGATGAAATTACTTCCTTGGTTTGCTTCTTCCTAGTTATTCTGCTAGAGGAGAATAATCAGGCTGCTTTACCAGTCTTCTGAACTGGGATTTTGAATGTTCTTCTTTTTTCTGCTATTTTTTAATTACATTCTATAACTTCCTGCAGGAGGATAGGCAGCTGAATACACAGAAGAAACCAGCACTAAAAAAGTTAACTTTGCTGCCAATTGTTGTTATGCACCTTAAAAAGTGAGTAAAAGCTCATCTAAATTTTGTTTCCACATGATGGGAAAGAGGGAACTTGATGTGTTTCTAGGGCTACTATTTCCATGTTAGAATGTCTCTTGTATTGATTTTAGAACAGGAATGTTTGTGGGGTTGATGAATTGCCAAAAGGTATTCCCATTCCTGCTTCTGATAGATTTCAATTTGAATTTCCAGGCAGGACCTGAAAGAAACTTTCATTGACAGTGGTGTGATGTCTGCCATCAAAGAGTGGCTTTCACCACTACCAGACCGGAGTCTACCAGCACTGAAAATTCGTGAGGAGCTTCTGAAGATTCTGCAAGAGGTTAGTTTCTAATACCTAGCTTGTAGAATCAGCATTACTGATTCAGTTCTATGCCTTTATGACAAGTTTCTGAGAGAGGATAGATGAATAGTCCCATATGAGGAAGGTATTTGTACATATCAGGAAGATGAATGGCACTGCAACAATAGCATCCAAGTGTCCACAGACCTGTTTTCATTCTAAAACCAGTTTTAAAATGAAGCTGCTCTAAAAGGTATAAAACCAATGTTCCATAAAAGCAGTTAAGAAGGACCAGAGAAAGCTGAAGCAGTACTGAAATATTCCCAGTAGACTGAAATTCTCAAGTTTACCTGGGAAACTCGTCCCACTCTTTCTTACTATTTAAAAAAAGTTTGCAGGTATTTAAGTCCACTTTGCTGAAATGTTTGCATCCTATGTGCAGAATGCAGTCTTCAATTCTCAAGGTTTAGTAGGTGATGGTTTCCTGTGTTGTATGTCTTCAGTTGCCTAGTGTAAGCCAAGAGACCTTAAAGCACAGTGGGATTGGACGAGCAGTGATGTATCTCTACAAACACCCTAAGGAGTCACGACCCAACAAGGACATGGCAGGGAAGCTAATTAGTAAGTAAACATCGGCTTTCATGAGCTGCACTGCACAGCCGTCTCATACTTCAACATTTGCAGTTCACAGCCAGCATGCCCCCCTCCCTGTTAAGTGTGTATGTGCTACAAAAACCTTCAGCCTTATACAAGACTGTCTATGGTTCCATATGAAGGCTATATTTACTTAGCAAAGCTTGTATATCTCCTAGATTCCTTATCTTTCATTTCTTCATCAATAGTATATTGCAGTTAAGGGAGATAGGTATGACTTTAATGTAACTTTTGTCCTAACTAAAGTTAGACTTAAGCCAAATTAAGCACAAGGGGCTTGACAGCAACAAGTGTTAAAAATGTATATATTCTTATCTGTTGCAGTGTCTATCATTTTTGCTGATAGTGTCATATCTTTAAATATGGTATGAGGAACCTTTGGTCCCCAAACTCCGTCACAGCTATAATAGTCAGAGGTCAGACATGATGAGACCTGTAGTCCATCTGGAGGGCCACAAGTTCCCCATACCTGTTTAAATGCTAACTTAAAGTTCCTGTTTCTTCAGGCTACATTTTAGATTGTTAGTTTGAACTAACATCTTAAGTATATTGATGAACAGGGTGGATGTTAAATTGCAGATACGGTGCATACTCCCCCCCCCCCCCCAATTTAGCCACAGTCATTAGGTCTAGAAACACTGCTTGAAAACAGAAACCATAATTGTGGAGTTTGTAGGCTAAACAAAGATAGAGAAGCCATTCACCCACCCTGTATATCTTAAATGGGCTCAGTATCTGTGTTAAATAGTGAGCAGTAAGGCAAAATCGCCTGTTGGATAGTAGGAACTCCTAGCAGGTGCAGTATATATGTGTAGTGCTGCTGTCTGTACATTCACTTTTTATTTTAAAAACAACAGATGAGTGGTCTCGGCCTATTTTTGGTCTAACATCAAACTACAAGGGAATGACCAGAGAAGAAAGGGAACAGAGGGATCTGGAGCAGATGCCACAGCGAAGGCGGTTGAGCAGGTATCTTGAGCAATATTCTGCACTGCTAACTTTATAGCATAGGCTGATTTTCTTTCACACTCTGGACTTCATTCCATGGAGTGTCTGGAATCTTAGCTGGTCCGAGAGTCTTTTATTAGTATTCTGTTTGTTTATACTGAATTTTATGAATACCTATTCGTTTATAAATACTTACTAAATTATCTCGGTTTGTGTGAGAGAAATGGTGATTGTGATGATAATAATTCTCCCGCAAAACAAAATCTCTTTGTCTTTATAGCTCTGGTGGTCAAACACCCCGCAGGGACTTGGAGAAAGTATTAACAGGGGAGGAAAAGTAAGTCTTTTCTTTTTTTGCCATATTAGTATCTCTAGAGAAGCTTTGTGCTTTATGTTGGGTGGAGCAGGGAGATGAGTAGAGAATAATTTGAGAGAAGAGATGCTAATAGCAATCTCATGTTACTTAGCACCATCTCTTGTCTTATTTCTTTAGAGCTCTAAGGCCTGGCGATCCAGGATTTTGTGCTCGTGCAAGAGTTCCAATGCCCTCCAACAAGGATTATGTGGTCAGACCCAAGTGGAATGTGGAAATGGAATCTTCTAGGGTAAGTGATTGAGAAGAAAGGAAATAAGTTTCTTCTGCAACATTGTGCCCAGACCAGTTCTAGTTTAGATATTATGGGAATCAGTTGAGCCTATCCTCACTTTTGCTTTCCATTCATATATATTTCATATGCCTTAAGTCACTATCCTGTCCAAAGACACTACATAAAAATCTATCCAAAATAGTTTAGTGTCTCAAAATACCACTGGAAAGAGTTGAACATTCATTGTTGCTGGTAGTAAGAACCAGCAGTTCTATATTGATCTGGTTATGTGTAGTCTTGGACCCAGTAGTGAGAAGCAGTCTTCCTCAATACAATCCTTTACTTCAACCCACAATATTTTTCTGCACTACTTTTCTCCCTAATAGCATGAGGATTATGAAGTCAATAGGTTTCCATCCTCCAGTATTTTACAACATGGCACTGGATAAAGTCCATGTTGTTTATTTGCAAACTTAGACAAAGGAAGAGAGCAGTTGTTTAAATGTATTGAAATTTTCTATTCTTATTAATTGTTAGTCCTTTGACTGAGATGTTGTTTCTAGCCCGGGACTGTTAAGAAAGGTATTAGTCGGTTGGAAAAACACAAGAGGAAGTTTGCTGAACAGAAACGACTCAGCAAAGTACATCGAGCTGTCAAATTCAGCATTGAAGGCAACAGGATGCCCTTATAGCCCTGTAATTCTGCTTACCCCAGGTCTGAGAGGTATCCAGAAAGGATGTTTGAACAATGCATGTGCTTTAGCTGTTGCCAGTGTGCAGTGTCAGACAAAGCAGCATGTCTCCACTAACTATAGCCTAGGAAACTTTATCCTTCTGGCACTGTGATTCACAGAGCAAGTCAGGAAAAACAGCTTTAATGTGCTAATTTAAGTTTCCACAACTGCATGATCTACTTAAATAGGGAAATCACATCGTCAAAGATCATAAGCCCCCCTCCAGCAAAAAAAATTGAGCGAGCATTAAAAAATTACTCAAAGGGTACAAAGTCCCATCACATTTTAAAGCATGACTAATCTTCCCTAGAGATACCTAAGATAATTTCAATACAGTTCTCTAGTGAACTGGTGATGAGTTTGTCTCCGCAAGTTGAAGCATGAATATCTAATTTAAGTGTGCATATAGTACAATTAGACTACTTTGGGATATGAAGATGACAAATTGTGTAAACTTGCATTGCTGTTTTAATGCACGTAGATAGGAGAAACATGAAGCGTACTTGCTGACTTTCAGAGAGTCCATATAATAAATGGGGAAAGCTGATCAACTAGTTTTCATTAGTTAAATTTGAAAGTTACAGCTATCTGGGGTGAAAAAATTTCTGTTTCATAAGCTTATTAACAACAGTGAATGGGAAATTGCAAGTGCAGTGGGCAGTATCCAGCTAACTAGTTGTATTTCAAACCAGGGCATCAGATAATTTTCTGAAGCAAACTGAAAATTACACCAGTATTTTCTAGGAAATCCTGATCACTGACTTTGTGACATTGGACAGAATGCAGTCTATTACTACCTGCAAGACATTATTGCCTATAAGATAAGAGAAGAACCGTAAAGTGTGTAGCATTCTGAAATATGCTACAGAAATAATCAAACTTTAATATTTGGAGAGAAATGTTTAGAGAGATGGATGCCATAGCAATAATGATAGATAGTTATTTTTAGATTTTGTAAGCCATTTTGAGAAATACTTTTTTGGAGCGCAAAAGTTAGATATATATGTTTGTATAAATAAATAAATAACAGATGGCATAAAATGGGAGTGTTGATGAGTTCACATTGTAATTGTTGCTTTTAAAAAAATGGATGGGCTTAACCTTTCCTGGTTGTCCTAAACATGGAAGTATATTACTTTCAGATGTGTTAAAGCATAGGTAAGCAAACTAAGGCGCGGGAGCCGGATCTGGCCCAATCGCCTTCTAAATCCGGCCCGCAGATGGTCCGGGAATCAGCTTGTTTTTACATAAGTAGAATGTGTCCTTTTATTTGAAATGCATCTCCGGGTTATTTGTGGGGCATAGGAATTTGTACCCCCCCCAAAAAAAAAGTTCGGCCCCCCCACAAGGTCTGAGGGACAGTGGACTGACCCCCTGCTGAAAGTTTGCTGACCCCTGGGTTAAAGGGTAGTTACAGGGGCTGACGGTAGTTATAGTTCAAAACATCTGGAGGGCACCAGGTTGGCAGAGCCTGGAATAGAGAGTGCATATCCCTGTTACAGTCTTGCTTTGAAAATAGGCTGTTGGAATCTCCTGTGGCTTTATCAGCTTCTGTATAGAAGGATTGCAGTTGCTGGAAGAGTTTGGTGTGCATGTTTTGTCCTCTTTGAAAAAAGCAAATCTGGAATTCCTGCCTCGTCGTAAAAGTAAGCCTAAGTTTTCCTTTAAGTTCCAGGCAAGCTCCAAGAAAGGGGTCAGCCGCTTGGACAAACAGATGCGGAAGTTCACAGACATCAGGAAAAAAAGCAGAACGTCCCATGCTGTGAAAATCAGCATTGAAGGCAATAAAATGCCATTGTGACTCCATCCAAGAAGGATATTTTCTGAATTCTGCTGTGAGAAGTGCACCTACAGACTCTTGGAAAGATGTCTACATTTTTTAAAACGAACTCTGGGTGTTTTTTTTAAGTGTATCTTCAGATTGTTGGTTCAGATGGTAGTAATACATGTTGGCGGAGGGTTGTGAACCCTGGATGTTGTTCATTATGATTGTATTTAACCTGGTCTCTCGTGTCCTTTGTACAGATGAAAGCTTGTATTGCTACAGACCTCAGACATTAAAATCTTTCTGATGTGTGGGGCTGTGTGGTGCTTGGTGCAATGAATGTATATTTAGAAGGTTCAGCACAAGCTGCTGAATCCTGCAGATTGATAGGTGTGACTACAGTATTTTTTTGAACAAATACACAGCCTGCCGTTGTTATATACACATGTCTAGTGACTGACTTAGTTACATTAGGAGTCTTTTACTTCTCTCTTGGTGCTAATGAAAAAGGTAAAGTCGCCTGTTCTACCTTTAAAACCACACTAGGAACAATCTTAAGTAATGCCGTTTCATTTTAGAGATAAGGGGCATAACCAGCTGAAAGATTACTGTGCCTAAGTCTAATTGGACTTAAGCATTTAACCGAACCTTTTTCTGGGCTGTAGCCTACATTTTAACGCTATCAACAAATGTTTTAGAATGGGTCTTTGTCACTTTGGATCAAAGCAGTAGTGACTACCATAGTATTGGGTACACTTGGAATTGCATTTAGTGATTCATGAGTGGACTTACCCTTCTCTCTACCCTGCACCCCTCTCAGAAATCTGATACAGAGGGTTGGGAGTGCAGGGGGCACTGATGTTCTGTTGCACAAGCAGGTGTTTGCTTGAACAGCATTGAACACATCCCCTTCTTTATACATTACTGTAAGTAAGAAAAAGGCACATGTGGGATACTAGAAACCTAAGTGGACTTGAAGAAAATACTTTGCTACTATTTTTGTCTGATGGAATTCTGCTATCAGGTTATATAACTGCCTGTTCTTCTTTTGCTGTGTAACATTGATGATGAGAATGAGGAAAAATCACTTTTAATTTCAAAAGCTTTCTATAAGCTATCTTTGTTATAAAATATAATTTACAATAATTGAATAATCGTGAGAACGTCACAAAAATCCATGTCTTAATGCAATACTTCTGTCGTTTGTTGAACCAGTTTCCTCTTCGTTATATGTAAACTGAAAAGCAGAGATTAAATCAGTTTTAGACCTGGCATGTAAACAGGGGCAAAGCCATGTCTTGAAATCTTGGTTTATTTAATCCCCAGTTTCCTGGATTGAACGTAAGTGGAAACGGTAGTTTAACAAACCCAGAGGGAATTACCTTATGAGGAGAGTGGCGGCACAGTCCACCCCCGGAAGACATTGATAGTATATTTATAGAAGCAAAATGAAATAAATTTAGACACAACACATGGGTGGGTGGTGAGATCAATGTCTCTCTGAGCAGCTCCCTGCTGCGGATGTAAATTGCCCCCTCATTGTTCATCAGTCTCCACAGATCAGCAGAAAAGAGAATTGGCTACACCCCGTTGTGTGAAGATGGCCCTTTGGCCAAAGAAAGCTAACTATTCCTGCTCTAGAGAATTTAAAGGAATTATACCTCTCCTGTGCTGTTGAAGCCAAAAAACATTACAGTAACATGAGTGGCTAAGTGTATGCCAGAATAACTTTCCATATTGGACACTTGAAAAATTATTTAATGATGTTTTTTATGCCATTAATCTGAATGGGTGCCAGGGACACGACAGACCAAGTGTACATACATTTCCCATGCAAAACAGCAATTGCCTACAATTCTTACGTTAAAAAATGAAGTCCAAAAATATGTCTGTTACTTCGTAAAGTATTTGGGGTTACTTAAGTCACCATGCTCAGCAAGGTGGGGGGCTGCAGACTAGATATTTAATGAAGTTTAAGTTGGAATAATTATGAGAAATAAATTGCCGTGGCTAGGTAACATTGATAGCTTGAGTCCTCTTTCACATCCTGGTTACTGCTACAAGACTACTGCAAGATGTATGTGTGTAGAACAGTGAACTAAACTTACTACACACTATTACTCAAAGGAAATTGGCTACAAAATCTTCATTTTAAAAAAGTTATTAAATTAAAGTTATTCCCAGCTGAAGATGTGTATGTAAATTCTCCCATGCCTCATATTTCTGGATACTGGAGCAACTTTCAAGAACAGCTGAGGAAGCAGTCCTGCAGTGTTAACTGTGTACACAAGTACTTGCAAATAATTGTCAAATGTGCAGAGTATACTAAAAAATTGCTTCCGTTACAGGGAACGTGAAAGTCCTTCCGAATCAGTCGTGCTTTCAATGGTTTCTTTTATCCATGAAATGTAGTTGGATACTCGTGTGTAAGCCCCATATTTTCCCACTTCGGCGCAGCCTTCCCCCCAGCTGACAATCCCCAGGAGATACCAAGTGCTGCGGTAAGCTACAGCAAAAGGTCCTCCACTGTCTCCTTTACAAGCATCTTGTGCTTCTTCAGCATAGCCTGCACAAAACATGTTGTCAGTGATGAGCTTCTCGGTTGACGGCCGGCAAGTGTCTGCGCTCACAATAGGCAAGCTGACTTTCATGAGGAAGCGAGTTGACTTACCCTTGCTATGTGTAGCACCCCATCCACTAACCATTCCTGATGCCCCCTCTCCAATCAGTAAAGTAGTTAGCTGAGGGTTGGGAAGGCAGATGGGGAGTACGTGCTCGCTGAAAACCACACTGCTGGTCAGCTGGATCAACGCAATATCATTGTTGAAGTTGATAGAGTCATACTGAGGATGTTTCCAGTACTGTCGAACTCCCACCTTTTGTTCATGCCGTTCTCGCTGATGTTTGTCAAAATCTCCTGAAAGGCAAATGAAATGTAAGAAGAGTGTGATACCTTTGTGCAGTTAGTTGTTCCTAATGGAAGCAGGGTAGGGGGCAGGGAATTAAAGCTGATTTTTAAATAGCCTTAGGAGAAATAGGAAAAGGATCCAAAGAAACCAATTTTAGTGTGCAGATCCAAAATGTTTTAAGTCACAGTCTCTTATTCAATTAATGTTCTGCCATAAGCCTGCAGCTTATGTGGGTATTAGGTTCCAGGGATCACACCAAAAGCCAAAACTGTGTACAGGTGTCTCCCCACTTAGGCAAGGGTTACGTTCCAGGACCCTGGGCATGTAAGCGAAAATCGCATAAGTGGGGAGCACCCTCTAAAAAACTCTAAATGCCCATTTTCTTCCTGCTCTCCAGCAGACCAATCCAGACCAGAATATCTGGAGTTGAAGCTCTTGGGTTGGCTGGAGGCTGGAGTATGCGTGGAAAAGCAGCGGCGGCTGCTGCACTACCCCACACGACAGCTGTTAGGTGGGGCAGCTAAGCAGCCTAAACAAAGCCCCACTATGTCTCCAGTCTCTTCAGGGCTTCCTCCACCCAAACTGATGTCCTGATGGCTCTGGTGAGGTTTTCTGTAGCTCTCTCTTGCTATTTCCTGGTATGATTCCATCTATCTATCTATCTATCATCTATCTATCTATTCCCTTCCTGGCACTGGACATATAAGCTGTCACACGCAGGTGGGGGGTAGGGGCGCAGGGCGCCTGTGTAGTAAAAAAACATTGGGTTCAATGGCAGGTGCCATTGCCAAAGTCATTTTTCCCATACAGTGGTACCTTGAGTTACAAACACCTCAGGTTACAAATGCTTCAGGTTACAAACTCTGCTAACCTGGAAGAGTTACCTTGAGTTGAGAACTTTGCCCCAGGATGAGAACGGAAATCATGTGCCGGCGGCACAGTGGCAGCAAGAGGCCCCATTAGCGAAAGCACGCCTCTAGTTAAGAACAGTTTCAGGTTAAGAATGGACCTCTGGAACAAAATAAATTTGTAACTAGAGGTACCACTGTAAATTGAGGGTTTGCTGTATTGCACTTCAATATAATGGTCAGGGGTCCCTTTACCTTTTATCAAGTCTTCCATGAAAGTGCACCTATAAGTTTAACTTAAAAACTGGCAATTTGTTGGGTGCTGATAACAACATTGGAAAAGTTTGTAATTATATGCACTAATCTCAATGACCTTGAAGGCTCTTTAAAAAGAATAGTGAAACAATGATAGATGCAAGAGTTCATTGTATCTTCTTGGGGGCATGCTTGGAAAAGAACAAACCGTGCAATCTTTTGATTGTCCTTGTGGCTCACCTACAGTAACTTGATGTGGGATAACTGTATCCAGACAGTGTGCTGCAGTGAGCACCCACCGACTGCTGATTAAGCTGCCACCACAAAACCCGTAACCTCTCTTATTTTGGAGCAGTACCTACGGGGAGAAGTAACACTGTTGATTCACTCAATCAAATATGCATATACTCTACACAGCAGTCGTGCCTGCCCTATGGAACACCCTCCCATCAGACGTTGAAGAAATACTGTAAACAACTATCAGTCTTTCAGAAGACATCTGAAGGCAGCCCTGTATAGGGAAGTTTTTGATGTTGGATGTTTTACTGTGTTTCATGTTTTAATTCCTGGAAGCTACCCAGAGTGGATGGGGCAACCTAATCAGATGGAGGCATATAAGATTGTTGTTGTTGTTGCTGCTGCTGCTGCTGCTGCTGCTGCTGCTGCTACTGCTACTACTACTACTACTACTACTACTACTACTACTGCAGGCATGTTCAGATAGGAACCTTTAACAAGAAAACAAAAATCCAAGGAAAGGAGATCAATAACCAGCAATGTAGGGAGAGATGAAGGAATACATGTATGGGAATTTTCTTTAAAGTTAATTCAGTTATGTAGCTGTGAAACAAAATGCAAGAACGGGGTCTTATAGAGAGATATAATGATGTGCAGCAAATGTCTCTACGTATGTGGGATACATTTGTAGCTTCCCACAGGATCAAGCTAACAGACATTAGGGGACAATGTTCCAACAAAGGCCCATCTGCATTATACATTTGAAGCAGGATCACACCACTTGAAACAGCCATGCTTTCCCCCCAAATAATTGTGGGAACTGTGGTTTGCTCAGGGTGCAATTTCCAGAGTAGTTTAACCATCACTCCCTCTTCTCGTGAAACTGGGAATTACAGCTCTCTGAGGGGAACAGAGGTCTCCTAACAATTCTCAACACCCTTAACAAAGTACAGCTCCCAGGATTATTTGGGAGAAGCCATGGCTCTTTAAAGAGCTTTAAATGTACAGTGCAGATGGAGCCATGCTGTTGAAGGGGAGGTGATGACAGATGTTCACTGTGCAGACACAGTGCTATTTTGCTGTTTGTTTAAAGATAATTCACTGGTCATATGACCTGGCCCTGCCATTGCACAACTACAACAATGTAAAGTGAGGCAATTTTGTCAAAACAGTATCTGTACCTGCCAGGGACAGCCTCCTGGGCGGCAGAACGAGCCTCCAACTACCCTGGAACCATCCATTTCAGCACTGTCATTGAAGCTGAGCCAGCTGAAGGAGTCTGTGAAGTTTCCTTTCATCTCTTCAGTGCCTTCTTCCTCAGCCTCTCCCTCCATTGTGTCATTCAGGCTTGCTGAGGAGTTGTAAGCCGATGACTGATTCCAGTGGGCCAAGTTCTCCTGAGCAACTCTTGTATCCGTCCCAGTCATATCCCAAGCAATAGTTTGGTTGTACTCTTCTGATCCTTCCTTGTTAGAGCGTGTTGATCTCTTAACCAGTCCACAGGGAAAGCGATCTTAAAAGGGGTGGGATTAGACAAATTTGCTGTGTGTAAAGCAGTCTGTTTAGACAAGTAAATGAAGGTGGCAACACCACATGACATTTCCTGGCATTTATATCCCATTGCTTGTAACATGAAAAGTGAGGAACCTAAGGAAGAATAATCACTTTCAACACCTCAGAAGATTTCTGCCCCGCCCCTTCTGAATCAATGAAAAAAGGGGTTGGGGAGAGAGAAACATTCCCTACCTCCTTAACTGTACCAAATCCTTAGAGATAGGATTGGGAAGACCCAGGTTCAAATTTCCTCCTCAGCCATGAAGCTCATTAGGTGACCTTAGACCAGTGGTTCCAGCCTATCCTACTACCTCAAATGGTTGGTATGAAAATAAAAGAGAGAACCATGCACTTTGCCCTAAGGGCCTAGGTGGAAACGCAGCATATACATGTAAATAATAAGCATTCAAAAACACTGTAATGTACAGATAGGCCAGGATAATTGGTTCCCATTTCTGAAGGGTGTGAATTAGTATTGGGAAACAGAGAGCCAAAAGGTTGGTGGTATGGTGCATCCAGTGCTTTTTTTCGGGGGGGGGGGACACAGGGGTATGCATACCCCTAAACATTTTGTGAATCTAAGTTTGGCCTCATTGAGGGGCAGTATTTCAATATGAGTAGGAAAATGAGAGTACCCCTAAACATTTTTTTAGGAAAAAAAAACACTGGATGCATCAGACAGGAATCAGCTGTTTGGAAATTCCTTATGGGGGTGGAAAGCTGAATTCATAATTTGGAGTGGCCATTAAGTGGCAGCAGGTGCAATTACAATTGCATAGCAAATAAAAACATGCTGCAGGATACAGTTCATTTTAGTGGGATGTTTGGCTCTAGGTGTTCACAAAATGCAAGCTTGGCCCTAGGCAAACAATGAAGCATGCAGTTAATACGGTATCTATGTTGCTAGAATGATTGTGCTGGTATGAAGATATGTGCTGGTATGTAGGAGATACTTTTCACAGAATTATAAACTCATTCTAAGTGGCTAGGAGCAAGCCAACCTTGCTTCAACTTTCAGCAGCAGGAGGGAAAAATGAGAACGAAACATTTTGTAAGATGGAAAGCGCTATTCCAAAACATGAGGGGCATCTCAATCAGTATTGAGTACCTGACGGTGTGCACCTCTCTCCATCTTCACTTAGTGTATACCCCAACGCACAGGAACAGGTCACTTGAAGCGAACGTTCATTGTCATGGCAATATTGCCAGCAGCCACCATTCTTGTACCAGCATTCAGATTTCTCTGCATTAGAAGTATACATTTTATTTTGGATCATTATTTATCATGTGTAATGGATGCTATGATATGGCTGCATAATAGGTGGTCATTATACGTAACATGTCATAGATGCTATTACATAATAGCAACAGGTGCTGTAATGCAGCTACACGGGCAACAGAAGGACTTCTGCCAAAGAAATCTGGAAACTGTAATATATCCCTCAGAGATAAGGGTTCCCAGCACCCTTAACAAACTCTAGTTCCCAGGATTCTCTGGAGGAAGCCATATGTTTTAAATGTGCATTGAACTGTTTTCAGTTTTGTACTTAAGCCATTCAGTGTTATTGGCTGGCATATAAATATCTTAAGGAAGCAAGCAAACAAGGTAACAAATGTTCATGTCAGCCCATATTCTGTACTCACCTATTTCACAGTGGCTCCCTCCAAATCTGGGAGGACAAGTGCAAACAGTTATATAGCGTTTAACCTTGCAGATGCCACCATTCTTACAAGGATTTTCTTTACAAGTGTCCAAATCTGTATGTAAGGAGAGAAGCTTGTGATAAAAATCAAGGCATTAAAAAGATGGCCTTGCGGTGGAGAGAGGTATTTATTTATTTAAATGCTTTACGCTCTGCAATACACAACACAGTTACAACATTAAAATTACATACAAAATTAATGTCGGCAAAACTTTGCGACACTTAAACGGGGAAGATGGGGAAAACAATCTAACACATTTCAGTATACATTTTAAAAAAAAACTCAGCCTAGCAAGCCAAAAGCCTGGCAGAAACAAAAATGTATTCAATGAACAATGGAAGATCAAGAGGGATGAGACCAAAGGAACCTTCTGAGGGCTTTATTGGCCTTCACTTTTCTTTAGGAACCATTTGACAGCACAAAAAAGAAGGAAATGAAAATCTCTTACTGTTGTACATGAACCAAAACTCCACCTGCAAAATGGTAAAAAATAAAATATTGGGTAAACAGGCTGAAGAATACTAGGGGAAAGGACTTTCCATTTTTTAAAAAAAATATATAAATGACTTTCTGTATTAGTTAAATTAAGATACATCTGATGGATGAAACTGCCTACTTCTATATATTGCCATCCCCCATTGTTCCAGTGCTACAAATCTTTGCCTTACTAACTCAGGTTCTTACATAGTACACTGATCCCATTCATACTGGGTCTGGGTCATAGGAGAGAAAATAGGCAGTGACCCCACCGACCTCTTAAGTATGACATTCCGTAGAACCTGTGGAAGTTGGTGTAAAGCCCCACCCATCATACTTGAGAGTATGGGTAAGGCAAGACACTTTCGTTATGTTTAATCATTGATTTTATTTGTTGATTTTGATAAGTTATGAGTTTGAGTTATATATTTTCTAACTATTTCCCCCCTCTTCCTTCCCATCCTTTCTTCCATATGTCTTTTAGACTGTAAACCTGAGGGCAGGGACGGTGTTCATTTTTTTAAAATGTGCAAGTTGCTCTGGAAGGTTTTCCAGCTAAAGAGTGGGATAACAAATAATTACAAACAAACAATTATGATGTTGATCCATATGAGTGGAACAGCAGACTATTCTATGCCCATCTGATGTGATTCACTCTGTGGGGTATTTGGATAGGTATATCTCATTGTATTTCACAACTGTCCAAACCAGCATTAGATTTCCTCAAGTTCAATTCCTCACCGTTTTCTCCTCTGATTTGAAAATCTCTCTTGCCTCTTCAAACGAACACCTTTCTTCATTGCATTCTCTTTCCATATTTCCTTGGCGAACCTCCTCCAAGAAATGGTTGGCACGTTTATGAATTCTCAGGATTTGACTTGCCTCGTCTTTTCTCAAAAAAACTACCGGTATGAAAGCAAAATGAGCTGGCACTATGAACCTTGATTCTTCCATTCAAACTGCAATCCTGCAGAGTTCATTCAGCAATTTTATACCAACAATTTAGTAAATAAAAATGTTAAGTAACTGACCAACAGCGTCACAGATAACTCAGTTCTCTATCCCCAACATAAAACCTGCCCCGCCCAATAAATTCTGGCTACACCCATGTCTCTCAGCATAGCAAAATGCAGCTCCCTGCTTTTCCCGACAGCAGCAGCAGCAGAACCAAACACAAAATTAATGGACGCCCAGGAAACCCAGGGGAAAAGCACCAATCAGAAGAGCCAGAAGGAGAAGGTGAACCAATCACATAAGCTGGAAGCAGGAAGACCCCTGAATAAGTTGTGGCTTGGTCTTTTGGCTTCTTTTGATCTAGGTGCTGCTCCTCTCCGGCTTCAAGTGCTGTTGCTGAGCTGCTGGAGCAGACGTCTCCCAAGGCAGGCCACAGGAATCAGCACTGGCATCCGTGCCAGTGGCGGCCACTTCACCTGCAGACAAGCAGCAGGTTCAGTAGCAGTATCTGCCACTCCTGGATCACAGAATCATAGAGTTGGAAGGGACCAAAGCGTCGTCTAGTCCAACCCCCTGCAATGCAGGAATCTGAGCTAAAGCATCCATGACAGATGACCATCCAACTTCTGTTTAAAAACCTCCAAGGAAGGAGCGTCCACCACCTCTCGTGGGAGTCTGTTCCACTGCCAAACAGGATCCTGCCACCTGAGGCAATGGCCTCGTGGTGTGTAGTAGTAGCTGTTGCTGTTTATTGAGTTTATATACCGCCCTATACCTGGAGGTTTCAGGGTGGTTCATCATAGTGCTAGCCCTGGACCTGGTACCGTTTCATCACATACATGACAGAACATCAATTATACAGTGACATCCACTAGACTCACATTTGAAAGTTTGGAATAATGTTTCCCCATAGGGATCTGTGGTTTGGGCAAGGCGGTTGGGTAGAGGAAAGTGTTTAACAAGGGGGGGTTTATGTTCCCATGTTTCCTTTGAAGACTCAATACATTTAAAAAATAATAATATTCAGGCTGAAATCCTAAACACATTTACTAGGAAGTAACACACTCAACACAATGTTACTTAGTACCAAGTAAGCATGGATAGGATTCTGTTGCATGTCTCCTTGTGTGTAGAGCTAAGAAGTTAGGTAGGAGGCACACTAGGTCATTCCCCCCCCCCTTATGTAATACAGTAAGTGATAGGGGAAAATATTTGCTGACAGTGATGCAACTCCAGGGTTAATCCCAGGGTAGAAATTAGGCGAGTAAAATAGAAGACACAACAGTGATTTAGGATGGAATTCCTCTTGTGCTTACAGTTAAGTACTGATAGTGTTAGGTCTTAGCTATGGTATGGATATTCATATTGTCCTCTCTTTTTTACAATAGGGGTAGCTAACCTGTGGCCCTCTAGCTGTTGCTGGACTACAACTCCCATCAACCCCTGACTAATGGCCATGCTAGTTGGGGCTGATGGGAGATAAAGAGTCCAACAGCATTTGGAAGACCGCAGTTGAAGCCACCTCCAATCTACAGTCACAGTTGCACTCTGTGGATAATAAGTACCTACCTGACAATGTACTTGGTAGGCTGCTGTAGAGGGTGTACACTAGTAAAAGCAAGGCCACACCTGAAGAAACTTTAGCCATTATACAGCTGAAGTGGGTAGACTATTTAGCGGGATTTGGCGTATAAGTTACCTACACGTGGAAGAAAAAGAACACCAATGTATTGCTCAAACACAGGAGATGAGAGGTAACCAAGAAAAATGGGAGCAAAACCAGGGGAGTGGGGACTGGATTAAGGGAGAAACAAATATAGAAATAAAGGGATTAAAAGGCAAGAAAAATTCACAACTTTGAAGGATTTTAACTATCGTCTAAAACCAGTCAGTTAATGCATTGCAGTAGTAACTCAGCTGCTCTGCTCTGTCAAATCTGAATGTGGAGAAGATGGGAGCCTCTAATAAATTCAATCTCAAATAGCAAATAATAGATTGGTAAAGCTGATATCTTGAGCAGAGAAGCCAGTTCCTTTGACTGTCCTGTTTGAAGTCTGAGGAAGGCATCAGATTGGCATAGCTTATCCGTTGACTTTCTTACAGTTACTGATGGATGCCAGATAAAATTTTCAAGTAACACATTTACTTCCAATCTTTACAGGGTAAGGGCATCAAGCAACTGAAACCTCATCAGAAATGAAATGGTATGGATGTTGAAAGGAAATGTGCAAAATAAAAATTCCAGGTTCCATCTAACACCACTTTTCCTAAAGGAAGCAGCCCCCAGGACAATGTAAGATAAAAAGACTGTGGTCTCTTACCTGATTAGGAAGGACAAAGTGCTATTTAGATCAACAGGAAAGAAAGCTATGGGAATTTATCTGTTGATGATTAATCTACCACAAATATTGACAAAGTAGCCTGGGCCCTCTGGATGGGGCACCCTTTCAGCTGAAAGAAAAGAGTATTTAATTCAAAAGCTGATCAGATCCTAAAATGCCATTACAGTGGTACCTCGGTTTATGAACTTAATCCGTTCCGGAAGTCCGTTCTTAAACCGAGGCGCGCTTTCCCTAATGAGGCCTCCTGCCGCCAGTGCCCTTCCACCGTTTAGATTTCGTTCTTAGACTGAGGTAAAGTTCACAAACCAAGACACTACTTCTGGTTTTGCAGAGTTCGCAAACCGGATCGTTCGTAAACAGGACTGTTCTTAAACTGAGGTACCACTGTACTCTAATTATGGTGCTTTTTAAATATAAATGTTTACACTTCAAAGGGGTGTGCCCACCATCTGAGCTAAGCCAGGTGCCTGCCAGAGAGAGGGCCTTTTCCTACAATTTTTACCCGTATGTTCTCAATCTGCTTTTCATGCTCCAGGTCATGGATTTCTTCACAAGTGTACACATCCTTTATATACAATGCTACTCCTCCCTCCTTCCTGTTTAAATTATTCCTTTTGAACAGGTTATATCCCTCAATTCCTACATTCCAATCATGAGTCTCATCCCACCAGGTTTCAGTAATGCCTACCAGGTCATATTTGCCATCCTGTATTAAAAGCTCCAGTTCATCTTGTTTGATTCCCATACTCTGTGCATTTGTGTAGAGACAACTGAAACCATGAATTGTTCCCTGCAGCTGCTTCCTTCCTGTAGTTTCTTGCCCTTTAGCAGGTTTCTGGAGTGCCACCTGTTTCCTGTGCATCAATGAAACTATTATCCCCAGTGCCAGGTGCTCTTTTGTCGTTCTTATAGTTTTCTCTCTCCTCCTCAAGATCTATTTTAAAGCTCTCCTGATCAGATTCCCAAGACACATTCTTGCCAACTGCTGTGAGGTGCAGCCCATCTCTCGCCAGAAGTCCTACTTCAAGGAAGAGACCATGATCCAAGAAGCCAAATGCTTCCTGATATACCACCTGCACAGCCAGTGGTTTACCTCAAGTATTTTCCTCTCTCTTCGTTGGCCACGACCTTCAACAGGAAGGAGTGATAAAAAGGCTATCTGTGCCCCAAATCTCTTTAGCTTCCTTCCCAGTGTCTCACAGTCCCTTCACTATGTGTTGCAGGTTATGTGTGGCAGTATTATTTGTACCCACATGAATCAGAAAGAAGGGGTAGTGGCCAGTGGGCTTTAGAAGACTTGGGAACTTCTCCGTCACATTGTGAATCTTTGGACCTGGAAGACAGCACACCTCCTGTGACATCCTGTTTCCTCCACACAATACTGCCTCTGTTTCCCTCAGTAGGGAGTCACCTATCACCACCACTCTCCTCCTCCTCCTCCTCCTCCTCTGGGGAGTAGCAGGAATCATTCTATGGGATAGGCCTTCCAAAGGCTGCTTGGAGTGTTCTGAGGTTTGCTTCTGTTGTTCTCGAGTCTTCCCCTCTTGTTTCTTGGAGTTTATTTTGATATTGTTGGGATAAGTTACAAACTTATGGTTTGAGTATTTCCTACTCCTTCCTCCCAGCTTGTCATCTCAAGGCTGCAATTCCGTTTCTCTAATGTCGTCTCCACAGAAGGTAGCAAGTACGTTATCAGCACACTCATCCACGGTCAGTAGCCTTGGATCTGATAGGGTTAGATCAAGAATGGAAAAAGACTCCTCCAAATCCATTGCCTCCTGTCTCTTTATCCACTGGGGTGGGGGTGGGAATAATTGTTCTGTGCACTGTACTAGACTCTTGCAATGGGCGATCTTTCTCCACCTTGGGGGCACTCCCATCTATCTTGGTGCTCAATCTCAGTCAACCCAACTCTATCAAGTAACTCTGCATGTTGTCCTGTTGCTTGAGGTGTAGCTAGGCAGGCCTCAAGTTGCTGCATCTTCTCTTCCAGCGAGACAACCAGCTTGCACTTAAGTGTACTGTTGCTTGTTCTCTGGCAGAATGACAAACATGGCACAGGTGTTACAGATCACTGCAGCAACTCCCTCGCCCTCCATGTCTCTGGTCCTATGCACACTAAGTGACAGAACTCTGGGCCTCCCCCTTTAAACTCCCAACTAAATGAGCTAAGTTTGACTGCTGCTGGTTGCTAACACCTCCCTCAGTTTTATGGTGTTATTATAATTTGGTGGCTTTTACCTGCTGCTTCTTTTGGTATTTACATTTTAATTTTTTGATTCTTTTTTGTGAACCACTCTAGAAATATGATTAAGATATCAAGACTTTAAATAAATAAACAAACCCCTGCCTGAAATGCTTTCCACAATCAGGTCTTCTGAAGGCATTGTGAACTTTTGCACCAAACTTTCTACGCATATACTATTTGCCAGCAAAAAAGATGCTTTCTGGAAGGCAAATGTACTTCCTCCCCAGAGCCACAGTTATTTATTTTTATATTTTCTGCTTATAGCAGAAACCCACACTGTTAAATATTTGATATTTGGGAGCTGGGGGACAGAATATATTATTTACTGTGCGCTGAGACACAGTCTTTCCCTCAGGCGCTCAAGGCAGATATTTATATTATATTATATTAATAATTATTTTCAAAGCATTTTCAGAGGCTTGCTCAGTGATTAAGCAACTGGAAAACATAGAAAATTGCAACAGGCAATAAAAATTCAGCATAAAAACAAATCACAAAATTAAAAAGGCCCAGGCAAATAGAAAGAGAATAATCATGGAGCCAGTCAAACCTCTCAGGGGAGAGAGAGTTCTAAAAATACTACAATGAAAGCAAGAAATGCAAAATGTAAACATTAAGACAACAAAATTATTTTGGCTCTTGGCAGTCTCTTCAGGAACAATCCGACCTTCCCCTCTTCTGCCCTCCCCACAGGGCTCACAGTTCTTTAAGTACAGTAAACATGCAACTTACATGGGGGTTACGTTCCAGGAATAGCGCATTAAGCCAAACTCACATATAGTCGATATACACTGTGTGCAATGGCAGGTAGGATTGCTAAAGTCATTTTTCCCCAGACACCCACCCAATTTCATCCTCCTTTTTAATTTTAATTTTTATTTTTTGCCAGGCACATAAAGCTGAATGTGAACAAGAGACTACCTTGGTCAGCCTGACCAGTGATGCCAATGGGTTACAGGGTGGTCAGTAGAATAGAAGCATCTCCAGTCTGTCTCTATGGCAGAACAGACCTCCTAAGCCTGTTCCAAGGTCAAGAGGTTAAAGAGATGGTGTTATGGACAACAGCACCAATCTCTGTCCCACACGTGTTATTATGTGGGTGGCTGTGGCTGCAGTGATTGGCCTGTGGCTCCTAACAACCTGCCACTCCTGCATGTGGCCTTGGAACCAAACAAGTTGTCCACTTCCTGATTTAAGAAATGCAACACACATTACATACTCACTTTGTATACTCTGTATTTATTAGCAGAAGACAATGGGCATACTGAGTGTATTGCCAAAGTAGTCCCTCATCTTTCTTTTGTGACAGTGTTTGGTGAGAGTATGCTATCTTTCATTTGCTGATAGATCCAGTCAAGATATGCACTGACTTTGGTGTAGATTCCAAAGTTATCAATTGCTCCACAGCCTTCTCCCCAGCTCACAAGTCCAATTAAGAACCAAGTGTTCTTGAATTTGGTGACCATAGGGCCACCACTGTCTCCATGACAGGAATCCCGGTTATCTCCCAGTATCCCGGCACACAGCATGTTTTCCGAGACAGAATTCAACATAGAATTGACACAGTCATTCCGTGGTGCCACAGGGATTTCAATATAGTTGAGAACAGAGGAGTAATTCACCTTCGAGTCCTCACTCTGGCTCCCCCAGCCTGTCACCACAGCCTGTGTCGCTTCTCTCTCCAAGTGCTCTGCCAGCTTCTTGGAAGGCAGGCAAATAGGAATTGTGAACTTGTTGACAAGAACTGGGCGTTGTAGGTGCAGCAGTGCAATGTCATTTTCAGAGGTAAGTTCAGAGTAGTTTTCATGAGGCAATAACTTGTCTGCAAAAATAGTTTGCTCACTTTCTTCTGTTCGCCGGCGATAATATTTACCTGTAAGGGCAATAGGGAAACTTGGAAAGTGTCTCTTGGGATCTAAGTCAACCTTACCTCTCTCAAAATACTTTAGCAGAACTCATAAAGAAGAGGTTGTATTTCTTTCTTGCATTTCAGGCTCAGCAAAATCCAAATCCGTAACAGGAACAAGTGGCAGTATAAAAAAAGGGCCTGTATGCCTGCAGAATTTATGTGTAGAGTATAAAAGGCTCGTGTCCCTGCAGAATTTGTGTACATTCAGCAGAATTGTATACCACACCGTACTTGTAACAGTGAGGTCATACCATAAAAAGCACAAAGAGGAAGAAAAGGAGAGAGTGCAAATATATATATCCAGATTTGGATTGAATCATGGCCAGGGAGAGGATTATTACAGTTCATAAGCAAGTAGTGAATGAGAAGAATGGTTTTGTGCACTGCAGGGCTGTACTACTTAAAACTAGAGGTCAGAGATCATATGCTTGAATGTGCCCTTCCTGCATATAGAAAGCAATACATCGGGGAGAAATGCCTGACTAGCTGTCTTCCAGAAATACTGTTTTGTTTTGTTTTTTTTAACTGTGAAAACATCAGGATGCAACAAGAGCTCTGCTGGATAGGCCAAAGGCCCGTCTATTCCAGTATCCTGTTGTCAGAGAGATGCCTACTGAAAAACCACAAGCAAGGCTTAAATGCAACAGCACGCTCTCCTGCTGCAATTCCTAGCAACTTGTATTCCGAGGTATACTGGCTTCTACAATGGAGGGAGGACTTAACTAACATGAATTTCTTTAACCTTCTTTTGAAGTCACCAAAGTTGATGGCTATCACTACATCCTGTGAGAGTGAATTCAATAGTTTGAAGATGCACTGTATAAAGAAGTATTGAACTATTCTGAGAGAGGGAGAAACACTCTCTCCTTTCTACATCATGCAAAAGTTTATAACTTCTAACATGCCCCCCTTTGCTTGTCTTTCCTCTAAACTCAAAAGGCCTTTGTCATACCAGCACCAGGAGTCATGCCAGCATGCAGAACCCATAGCTGCAACCAAAGGAAATGTTTTACCATGTGATTTGCTGATGTATAAATTCCATCCCTACTCCAAAGCAGCACAAACCCAAGATAGAATTTTTATTCCCTTTATGTCAGTTCCATATATCAGGTTTGCAGTATGCTAACTTCCATAATTTCAGCAAGAGGTGACCAGATCTTTATATCTGTTCACATGTGTTAGTACCAGTCACCACGTTTAGTCTTTTCAGTCTAGACTGGACCATACTCCCTGCATCTATGGCTTGGACATTACTTAGTTTGAAAGAATTTAAATAGTATTGATTGAGGGTTTTGTTGTCCCATATTAAAAAGAAATGCAGTCATGATTCTCCTTACCAAATGTCAGTTTGACTGTTCGTAGGCTTTTCAAACAATGTGCAGCTGTCAGCACCCAGGTGGGGTGAATGAGAACACCACCACACAAAAATCTGCCTGCACTATTGCTCAGCATAACCTGCAACGAAGAAGAGAAAGAAAGCTATTGACTTCATTCATCCATCCTTGACTGCGTGTGTCCAATACATCTGTGCTGGCTATTCTACTGAGTTAGGTTCCTCCAGATGAGCTATTTATGCAGCATTCCTCCTGACTTGCTTGCACAAAGCTTCTGTGGAGTTTAGATTGTATCCGACCTTTACTGAGCAATTATTCCAATTTGTTTGTGGGAAGGTTATATGAGCATTCATCATCATTCATTTATTCTGATTTACTTGCAAAGTGTTTATATGTCTTCCCATTAATCATTTGTTCATCCCACACTTTTCAATGCATTTTCTAACTGCAAAAAGTCTGTTTCTGTTTAAAAGTAGGCTTGTTGTGCTAGGGCGACAGAACACTTTAATTTACTATAATTGCGCAAACCTAAAATTTTCAGTATGCGTATGAATTCCACCAGCAAAATACTGACAATCTGGAGGAATCCCCCATATACTCAAGTTGCTGTTCTAGGTCTAGAATGACAAACATTTTCATATGGCTTTCTGATGCACATCATAAACTTACTTACAGAGATTGATGCATTAAAGTCTTTGGCAAAAACTGAGCTGGTTCCAAGTACTGCATCCACCAGTGAAAGCCAGGACAGGAGAGGGTAAAAAAAGAGTACTTACCTGAAGAAATAATACATACAGGTGGGATCAATGATGATATGAGCAGCCAGAAGTATGAGAACAAGGCCTCACCAGGGGGGTCTCTGGAAATAAGAGACACCCCTGGGGTTCTGACAATCATTGAGATTGACAGAAGCAGCAGGGCCTGACAAACCCATTCAAAGGCTGAATATTTTTATTAGTTCTTACCTGCCAGGGACTCTGTCCTTTTCTTCCAGGTGTTCCCCCAATTACTTTAGCAGTCTTATAGATGAAATTATGGACTTTTCCACAGGCAAACTCCACTGTAAAAGAAAGAAAAAAGAAAGGCAAGATGAAGGATAACCTAGGAAGGTCTGTACAATTTCTATCACTTTACGTCAAAAAGAATCCAGCCCAGCCTTCAAAGCTACTTTGCTGATTTCTGGAAGTTGCATAAATTATCTAAGCTATCTCCTTCCCAATTTCTCATTAGGTCAAGCTGTGGGAAATCCTGAATTCTTTTGGCTTTGTAAGTAATCTGTAGCAATAATATAACACACTAAAATGTTTTAAGTTGTGTTTGTTTGTTTGTTTGTTTGTTTGTTTGTTTGTTTAACTCCTTTGGTACCTTTGAGGCCAGAACTAGATGTTATGCCAAAATATACAGAATCTTAGCCTCTTTTATGCCAAATAACAACATTTTATTGTTCATATGTTTGCTGCTGTGGGCTTCCTTGGGAGGAAGGGTGGGATATAAATCTAGTAAATAAAGCAATAATACATTTATTATATGATCTGTTGGGTTCATGCATGTGAGCGGTCCCCCCGCCACCAGCATCCATACAATGTTGTCATCAGAATGCCGTTTAACCCAGAGTTACCCTTTCAGGGGGAAATCAAGTAAGTAAAAACAACAACATGACAACCTGGTGTCCAATTTTCGGTTCTCAAATCGAACCTCCACTTGGAAGCATCCACAATCCAGAGAATGTGAAATATGCCTCAGAGCCATTCAACATCTGCATGTTAGTTTAACTTTAGGTCTTTTTGTGTTCATGCGACTATTTTAATTTTAATCTATAAGCTGTTATTGTTTATTGCATATTGCTTTAAATATCTATTTTACTCTTGTGAAAGCAGTCTCAGTTGTGCTTCTGAACTGGTCTTTGACCGTAATAATAAATTATTATTACTAACATGGTGGTAAAATTCTGGACTCTACCACTTCAGATTGCATGAGGACTTTAATAATTTTCAATGCACCCATTTTTTTAAAAAACTAATTGCATATTGTACATAACCTGTCAGGAGATATTTTTAGCAACAGCCCATCACCCGAATGTGCCAATTTACCACATGCAGGGAAGTTGTTGTTCTTGTTATTAATAGAAACAAGGGGGAATACATTACCCCACCTGAAGATGGTAGAGTCCAGAAATCTACAACCTAATTTTATATATATTATTATGTTTTTTTCCTCACAGGGTGACTCAAATTAAAGACATCCAATAAAATTCTAAAAACACAGCTATACAGATAAAAGGCAGGACATACAGATCCCACTCCACTAAAGGCCACCATGCTAGCCTTCTTTTAAATCTAATTTCAGAAGGGAGAGGGGACACTGTGGACATCAGGTGAGACCTCTGTGGGCACCTGTGCACATGCCAGCACCGTGTTGGCAACCACTGCCCTAGTACACATGTTTAGGATGCCGTGGAACTTATCTAAGCATGAGCTAATTCCTATTTGCAAAATGGCAGCCCCCCCCCATCTAAGCGCATTGTACTTCCTGAACATATACACACCCCACACTCTATTGTTGTACTGTGTATTTTGGGTCTATGGACCACAATAAAGCTGTGTGTGTAAAAAAAAAGGTATTTTTTTATGCTTTCACAGCAGCATAGCATGGGTTGTGGGTACCTGGCATCCACTTGAGTTGGCTCCCTCATTTTGCCTAAGGGTAGGACTGTCCTCATTTTCTTTCTTATACTTCATAGTAACAATTAAATACTTGTGAATGCAGCTAGAGAGGCAATACTACTGAATAGTATTTAGAGGCCCAGTATACCTGAAGGAGCGTCTCCACCCCCATCGTTCAGCTCTGAGGGCCTTCTGGCGGTTCCCTCACTGTGAGAAGTGAGGTTACAGGGAACCAGGCAGAGGGCCTTCTCGGTAGTGGTGCCTGCCCTGTAGAACACCGCCCCCCCCCTTTTCAGATGTCAAGGAGATAAAGAACTACATAATTTTTAGAAGACATCTGAAGGCAGCCCTGTATCGGGAAGTTTTTAATGTTTGATCATATTTTTAATATTCTGTTGGGAGCTGCCCATAGTGGCTGGGGAAACCCAGCCAGATGGATGAAGTATAAATTAATTTATTATTAATTATTATTATTATTATTATTATTATTATTACACGGCTATTCCACGATGCCACAGGCCACTGAACAGGAAGAAGGAAGGGGGGGGAACACCCACATACCTGATATTGCAAAGAGACTGAATTATAAAATTATGCCTTAAATAATGTGGCAGCCTCTGATTTGAAAAGCCAAGCTCGTGCTTATCCATCTTTCTTACCAACAGGTTCACAAGAAGTATAGTTATCAGCCAGCCGGTAGCCTGAAGCACAACTGCAGTAGCGGTACTGGTCATTGTCTTGTTGGCCCTCATTACAGAAATGTTCACAGCCACCATTGGAAATTGAACAGTTGGTGTAGTCAACCACTGGGCATCAAAAGAAGTAAAATACATGTTGAAAGGAGGCAGTCCTATTCCTTGAAGGAGCTATTTATGTCACTCAACCTTCTCCTCCTCTTAAACTGTGCAGAAACAGAACAATTTGATGGCTGAACGTATTCTTTTCATTATTGAACATTTGTCTCCTCCCTCTCTTATGACACAGCATTAACTTTCTGAACATGGTGAGCTGTGCTGGAAATAATGATTCTCCCTGCAGTGAACTACTGGGGGTGGTGGTGGTGGTGGAATCCAAACTCAACAGGAAAACAAACTTGACTGACTGTGTTGCAGCTGGAGATAGGGGAGGAATTTCATATAGTTGCATTTAAAGGCAAAACCTACTGAATCCTCACTTTCCCAAACAATATGCAAACAGAAACATCACTGAGTGAACCTCTGTCACCACGAGCTGCAGAGTCCTTCCAAGCTCACCTGAAGTGAGCCTAATGAGGGGCACCTTTGAACTGTGGGTCAGGCTAGGATCAGGTGGCTGTCAGATAGCTCAATCTGTAGTTTCAAAACTCTTCTCAGGCTGAAGAATTGCTTTCTACTTGTATGCTGCCCCACCACCACCGTTTTTAGTGGGTCTGTGGCTCCTGCCTCAATACAATATGTACATAGATTTAACAGCCTGTATATGAAGAAGCATGTGTACTGAATGAATTGGATTACCAGTCACAATATACACCTCTTACACTTAAGAAAGTTGCCACCACCATGGCCCTTAGCAAACACAAACCTTTTGCTTATTTGTTTTTTAAAAGTGCCGAACAAGTAAGACCTTTCCCTCTGCAGCAATACCCTGGGGACAGGCTGACACGCTACTAATGCTGGTATGTGTTGATAACTGAGCACCAGTAGTATGTTAGCCTGTGTGTCTCCTGTTCATGGAGGGGAGGGAGTAAACCTGACTGCAGGCGGAATATCCTTAACTTCTCACTACTTAAAAAGAAAGAAGCATAACTTTTCCATTTGCAAGTTCTGTAGTTTGTGTACATCAAGAAAGGGGCTTTAGAACAGCATGCATATTCTATACGAAATTGTTGTATTATCAATCTGAACTCGAAGGAATAGAGAAACCCCTTACACAAGAACAACAGTTGCATTTTGATAGTAAAATGGAGAATTGAAGATTATATTACCATATTGGCACTGGCGCCCCTCCCAGCCTTTGTTACAAATGCAGTCAAATCGTCCAATGCCGTCTCGACAGGATCCATCGACACATGGACTGGATTCACACATATCTCCATCTGAAAACACATTTGCAGGGAAACCCAGACCATATGTCGTATGTCTCTTTGCAAGGGAAGAGTTAACTACATCACCCCATTATATAAACTTCCTCTCTTGGTTATGCTTCATCTACAGAAAATATTAGCAGACACAAAAGCATTAACTTGCTTAGGACACAGGGGAATTTACAGTGAAATTCTGCTTCCAGACTACAGAAATAATAGGCTAATCTGTGACCTCAGTGCTCGCCCCCAAGGGTTAAATGGTAGAGATCTTCCGGTGTGCTGCGAACCTCGCTATTAAGGAAATGTGTAGAAAAGTCCTAATAAAACATATCTAAATATGGGGACACACAAATGCACGGTAGAAAAAAAGAGACAGAGGTTCCCACTACACTCAAAGGGGTGAAACTTCTTTACTTACCAAAGTACTTTGTCCAAAACTCCAGCTGAAAGAAACAAAATTGAGGTTAATACTTGAAATGGAGTCTTCTCCATGATTCAATATGGATTCTGCCACACAACATTTCAGTGCAGATAGGAAAATCAACCTCCTTGGAACGAATTATTATTGGAGACCACCTACCCAATTTGGCACAAAAAACATGACAGCTGAATAGATTACTGCTTTACAAGGATGGCCGACCCAATAGCTTCAGTGAGGCAGTTGCCTCAGGTGGCAGGGCAAGCTGGGAGGAGCAGGAGATCAGGGCCCACAAGGAGCACACCGCTGCCATTTCCTGCATTTGCCATTCACAGCTGCCACTTGGAAAAGCGAGGCCACAGCTGCCACCAACTGCACCTCTCCAACCTCTTTTTTTCCTCCCCCACTGCCTACAATGTGCTGGGGCTTCCCTGGCCTGCATCTAGTCACCTCAGGTGGCAATGGGGGGGGGGGAGCAATGGAGGAGGAGGAGGCGGTGGCAGGGGACGCCATTTTCTGTTTTACCTCAAGTGGCAATGGGATTCAATGCTTAGTTCCCAGTCTTTAGCAATAACTTACTGTTGCTTCCTTGGTTTCAAATATTTCACTGGCTTCCTCAAAATCACATACTTCCTCTCGGCATTCCCGTTCCAATGAGCCCTGCTTTAATTCTTCCAAAAAACTATTTGCCCGCTTCTGGATTTTCAGCACTTGGTTTGCTTCTTGGCTGCTATAAAATACTTCAGGCAGAAAACAAAACAAAAATATCCATCTGGGCCATTTATAGCAATATCATGCTATCTGCAGACACTTATTCACAGTGTATTCCCCATTTATTTTATATAATGGATGTAGAGGAGAGGGAGAAGAGTTTTTAAAATAGTAAACACTAAATACTGAGGGATTACTAAAACTTGGAAAGGAGAAAATAATGTTGACTTTAGCAGTTTATTTATTTATTAGTCACTTTTCAGGGTTAAACCCTCACAGAGAGATGTGACTCTGAGAGAAATAAAAGGAATGGAACAGCAATCAGAGTATGAAGCACTGAGTGAATGGAGTCAAATAGACATATGAAAGATGCTGAATTAGATCACCAACATTTTCTTAAGGGAAGTTAACAGTGAAAAATGTATTTAAGGTCTTGGATGCCAGACCTGAATGTGCCAGGGAAATATTAACTGAAAAGATGTTTCACAACTGCAGGGCCAACACCAGGAAGGCCCTGCCTCATGTGTTCACCAACATAACCAATTTCACCAGTGAGAAGAGACATATGGGTAAAAGCAATCTTCAAAATAATCCAGTTCCAAACTGTTTAGGGCACCAGCACTCTGAACTAGGCCCAGAAACACACTGGTAGCCATGGCTGCCACTAAACTATCAGAATGGTGTTGATGAATGCTGGGGCCTACCTAACAATGCTTTGCAATGAGATATACTCTATTGTACACCCTTCCTTGCCCAGACTGGCTTCCATGTCAAGTGAAAGCACCGACATTCTAACTCCCTAGGTAATCTGAAACTATTTTGAAGAGAATTCTATAGAGAGAGAATGCAACTGTCTCTGGGGCTTGTGCCCTTACTATCGTACCCATAGAAATTTCATAGGACACAGTGTATTTGATAAAGAGTAATGCAGGAAAGAAGAAGGATATACCTGAGCCTTCATGTCCACTAGGCAATATGAAGGCAGCTGAAAACACCGAGAGGGTAAAGATTCTCCACATTGCACAACACATCACACACCTAAGAGAATAACCACCGAAGATCTGACCATTTGTTTTAAGGAAATACAAGCTCCTATAACACTATATATTTGTATTAAGATTTAATACAGTTCCACATTTATAACTGTTATAGTTTACACAGGCATATATATAGTATGGTGGACAGTTTCATACTTATATTTAGACTTATGTACTCTACAGACATTGGAACATTTTTTCCACAGCCACCACTCCTGATCCCATTATATATTTAACTAAATTATGTTTAGCCTTCACAGTAGCACATTCATCCTCCTAAGAAAAAAATTATATGCAAAACACAAAGTTGCTTTACTGTCTTTAATATCATTGTGTGTTCCCAAAGCAAAAAGAACACCACACTCATGTATTTGGGGGAGAACGCCACACTAAATGTACTGCTGATTCTCTTTCCAGATTTCCCACTGTTATCTCTCCCACTTTTTACCTCTTCTGTTTTTGACTAGGTTAAAAAAATGTTTTAAAAAGGAGAATTAGTACTGGAAAAAAACCTTCCAAAAGACTTACTGATTTCACCAGCTGAATCACAGTTGTCTACTTTTCTGCCATCAGACTCTGAGAATGCTAGTTAATCCCTAACCTCAAATATTTACTCAGACACACACTCAGAGAGCCTTTGTTTCAGTCAAACAAAAACTGCTTCTATGGTATTTCTACAGAGCATTAAGGAAGACCAGGAATCACTTGCTTTCAAACATTTCTCCCCCCTCTCTGGCCTTTTTCTCCAATTAAAGTAAATGACTAGCTGAAGTAAATGTTAGCATTCCATGAATACAGCTATGCTCATAATCCTTGTGGGATTTCCTCCTTCTTAGAAGAAACCTAATCCACTTCATTTCCATTTTAATCATTTGAAGTTCCATCTTTATCCACCAAGCAATTTCAAGTTGAAACCAGAAGGGAGCACTAGAGAGCTACAATTGTCCGTTTACATCCTTTCCCTCAAGGCATTGGTATGGCACCCATGCCTGTGAAAGGATGATGTTGGTGTACTGGTCTCTAATTTGTCCTTCCCTCTCCTGGTGTTTTTATTGCCTTCAAACCAATTTACCATTTTATTTTGGTTCTCCTATCTACCTTTTCAGTGTTTCGGCAAAGGAAAGCCCTGTTGAATTTTCACACAGCTCTTATCACTAGTAAGCTGATCTTAAGTGTTTAGCCAAAATCTGTCCCTTTGCAATTTCCACCCATTGGTTTTAGTCCTGCTCTCTTCTGCATCACAGAATTTCAGGTATTTGTAGGCGGCTATGAGGCTTCCCCTAAAACTCATCTTCCCTGAGATAAAGATAACCTTCTCCTTCAACCATTCCTCACACAACCTTGTTTCCAGACCCCTCACCATCCTGACCATTGTTAATGTTCTTCTTTAAATGTGATACTCAGAACTAGACATGGTGCTCTGGAAGCAGACGGGCCAATGCAGAACAGAGTGGAAATGCTACTTGGGATCTGAACACTGTGCTTCTATGAAGGCAGCTGCATCATATTGCCTGCACCTAGATCTCTTTCACATGTACTGTTACCAAACCAGATCTGCTCCATTCTATACTTGTGCCGTTGACTTTTAATACCTTTTACATTTCTCTCTGTAGCGTTTAATCTTAATAGTTTTGGCCCAGTGTTCCAGCCTGACAAGATTATCCTGAATGTTGGTTTTGTTTTCTATGGTGTTAGCTATACCTCCCAGCTTTGCATCATCTGCACAGTTGATAAGCACCCTCTCTACGTCATCACCATTTGATGTTGTGCAAAACAGGGCCAAGGATTGAACACTGTGGCACTCCATTCCAGACCTCCCCTCCTGGCTGATGCAGAGCCATGAATACTCACTGGGAATGGTTGTCCAATCAGCCTCAGATCAACCTATAAGTAATACTGTCCAGCCTACATTTTAATCACCGCATAAACAAAGATATGGGATGCGGGTGGCGCTGCGAGTTAAACCACAGAGCCTAGGACTTGCCGATCAGGTCGGCGGTTCGAATCCCCGCATCAGGGTGAGCTCCCGTTGCTCGGTCCCTGCTCCTGCCAACCTAGCAGTTTGAAAGCATGTCAAAAGTGCAAGTAGATAAATAGGTACCGCTCCGGCGGGAAGGTAAACGGTGTTTCCGTGCGCTGCTCTGGTTCGCCAGAAGCAGCTTAGTCATGCTGGCCACATGACCCGGAAGCTGTACTCCGGCTCCCTCGGCCAATAAAGTGAGATGAGCGCCGCAACCCGAGTCGGCCATGACTGGACCTAATGGTCAGGGGTCTCTTTACCTTTACTAAACAAAGATATAATAGGAAATGCTTTACTGTTCTCACAGTATTGTTGCACACCACCCCAATCTCCAAGTGCTGTTAAGATTCCAGAGGTTCCAGGCACTTACCCAGGGTTCGTGTTTTCTTTTGGAAAAGAGGCAGAGTGGAGACTGTGGTGTCTTTATGATATATGGAGGCTACGATGGAGGAGCTCACAGTACCATCACCCCAAGAAGGTCTTGTTTCTCCCAAACATACATCAAACTTTGCTCTTTAACTTTGTTCTCCTCCTATCTCTCCAGCTTGCTGCTTTCCTTCCTAGGTCACATAACTGCTCTTCTCTGGCTTTATCTGTTGAGTGGCCCCCACCCATTTGCTGTCTCACACCGAGCCCCTTAATGGCCCCTCACCCAGGTTATCACCCTCAGCAGGCAGCTACCTTGGCCGTTCCGAAAATTAAAAACCTTGATTAAATTCTAACACTTGCTTGATCCAAGGAATAGGAGAGCCCGGCACACATCTTAACAGCCCAAGCTTACAACACTATTTTCACTATCTACCAAACCTGTAAACCTTTCTCTAAGAAGAGAGACAAGAACATTCATTGGGCATGACTTATTCTTGATCAACCCATGCTGGCTCCTGGAAATAAATGCATCATTTTCTATATGCTAAAAAAAACCCTTAATTTGTTTGTATTCAGTGATGGAAGCAGGCAGGCAAATAGCAGTGGGTACTGAAACCGTTGCAGCCAGGAGAAACAAATGGTAACCAACAGGATAGAGGAATTTTTAAGAAAGTATTGTCCTAAAGATTGAAGTGAGTGAATTACTTGGTACAACCTGTTACATCTATAAATGATCCAGTTACTAATACTGGATCCAGGGTAGGATTATGAAAGGTCATACTCCATCCTGGACTGCATGGAAGTTTTGCTTTGCTAAAGAGCCATAGGTGCAACATCTGGAACCGACGGTCAGAATGCACAAGGCATCCTCACTCATAAAAGGGTTGCTCTTGACATTCTGTGACCATGGCATGCAGGAAAAAAAGTGAATATGCATTAAGCATCAGTGAAATGGCTTGCAGCAGGGAGCTTCTCAGCAGTATGAGACACACTGAGCCTCAGGAGTTACATGCCTCATCCCAGGACATTTAAGAGTGATGAAGAGGAATCAAATGAAGCACCTTGTGATGATGGCCCAAGTATAAAGCTTTGCCCTTGGCACTCTCTTCCAGTCACATGTTGAAAGCAAGGGTGCCCAAGACATAGGAGGAGGCAACAGCTCTGTCCACAGAATGGTAAAGTCAGATTGCACAATTGACCCTTGGCTCTACTTATAAGAGCACCTCTCCCAATATCAACCACCTCACATCCTTCAACTGGTAAGTGAGGCCTTGTTGGTGGTGCTACCACTGGGGGCTGCCCAGTTTGCACTGACCTGTGAAAGGCCTCTTCAGTGGTGGTTTCCTGCTTGTCAGATGTCCTGCTTGTCAGATGTCTGTCTCCTTCATTACCGACTTGCAGGAAGAATTAGAAAACATTCCTGTTTACCCAGGCATTTGATGGCTGAAAAGATACTTTTCCCGAAAAACCCTGAAATCACTGGCTGAGAGAATGCAATTATCTGTAAACTGTTTAAAGACTGTTTTTAATGATAATTGTTTTAATGTGTTTGATGCCCTAGATTCCTTTGGAAGGATGGGTGGGATTTAAATAGGATACATAATAAAGTGGGGGGCATCTTATCGCATTAAGATTTTGGTATATGCCATTCTTAAACTTTGTAGTTCATTGTGGAAAAACTGGCTTAATGCATCAGTGCTGTCCCTGATTACTCCTCAGAAGAGCAGGTTCCTGCTACAGTGCATCATAGCAAAAGTAGACAAAAAGCTGTCCAAAGTAGGTCAAAATGAGTCCTAATGAAAGTTGTTAAATGTTTATGGACAACTTGCAACACCTCACCTCATTCACTCTTGTTGCTATTCATGACTTTACCTCAATTTTGTTTATATGTTTATGGTACTCTCATAATGCATCTCGTATGATGGGCAAGTCACAAGAAGAGAGGGATATGCCAGCTCTCATTTAACAGTGTCATTCTGTACCTCTGTCTACTTCTCACTGTAGGTGCAAATTGGCCGTATGTTATGGCTGCAGCCCTTGTAAAGACAGAGATAAGAAATAATATTTATTGGAGATTTCTGTGTATCCTAACATCTCAATTCCCAGAGAGCCCTGGGTTGGTGATGAAAAAATATGAAAAGGAGGGGAAATCCTTAAAGAAAACAAATGTTTTTGTATGTGTCTTAGATAGTTTCTAAAGAAGGGAAGGTTCTTCTGAAACCTATTGGGCATTTTATACAACCCCTTTCTCATCTGTTTTATTGATATGAAAATATGGAATATTGAGGCTTTAAAGCAGAGGTTGAATGGCCATCTGTCATACATGATCTAGTTGAGATTCTTGCGTTGCAGGGGGTTGGACTAGATGATCCTCGGGATCCCTTCCAACTCTACAATTCTATGAGTCTTTGATTCATGCCAGTGTGGTTAGTGATGGCCTAGGACTGAAAAGCCTGGGTTCAAATCCTTGTTTAGTCATGAAGTGCTGTGGGTGGTATTAAGCCAGTCACTCCTCTCAGCCAAACCTATCCCATAAAGTTGTTGTGAAGATAAAAATGGAGATGAAACCATATATGCTACCTTGACCTTCTTGGAGGAATGGCAGGGTATAAATTTAATCTAATTAATAAAAAGAAAACCCAAAGGGACAAGATATACTCTCAAGTTCTCTGTTTTCTGTTATGCAGAAGACTACCAAAAACTACTAAAATCAGAATGATGGTTTTATGGTTTTGACATATGAGAGTTGTATCCAATGTTGTGAGTAGACCCTCTGAAATTAATGAACATTGTGAACTTGAATTCATTAATTTCAATAGATCTGTTCAGAGTAACGTTTAGTTGGCAGCAACCCATATACTGCCATTCAGCAAAATCAACTGGATGAAATATAGCTATAATACCAAACACAGAAAATATATTTCTTCACTTGAAAATCAACTCCCCCTGCACAAAGTTTCGGATTGGTCTCATTTTTTTACAAGCTGCTATTAAATTCTACTCCCTGCTTGATAAACATAGCAACAGATCCATTATTGATAGGAAGCTCGGAAACAGGATTTTCTTTATATACAAGAACAATATATTTACAACAATCAGCTGCAAAATATGTACATACAAGAGGTGTCTCCATGGTAATCACTGTATAAATTAAAATAATAAATAGCACATTCTATTCTTAAGGCACGAAACCTTCTTCCCAAGACTGTACAGGATTGAAATGCCTCCCTATGCTTTTGACAGATCACCGGAATGGTTACAACACCCCTGAGGGAACAGTCATCAGTGGACAACAATACAGACATCAAATGACTTATAAAAACATTTTTCTTTCTTTTCTTCTTTTTTTTTTACATCACAAATATCTGTTAAGATACAAGGAGTTTTGTGTAAACAGTATTTAATTTACCACACATACTATATTCACCTTTAAATAATACTCAAAAAAACAATTTTAATATGATATAGGTGGTCAGAGCTTTTCTTTTCAAGAGATACTGGCACTAAGTGCCTCTTTACAGTTCCTATCAGAGATGCAAAATCTAGTGGAATTAATATGTCTTGAGTGTCCACAGACTGAAAATGTGAATATATCCCACTAAGATTAAACAGAATAAATAACTTTGGCTACAATCATCCTATGCACATTTACTTGGAAGAACCATCCGATTGAGCAGGACTTATTTCTGGAGTAAATATGCATAGGATTGTACTGGACATAAGTCTAGTGTTTAATAGCTGCACTGAGCTAAAGATGGATATTTTGGGCACTAAAAAGTAATGTCAGCTTTAAAAAAAACACACTGAACCATGCTATTAAGATACAATCCCTTTTTTCCAAAGGAGTTCAGGATTAGCACTTTCTTGGATAAATTCTTTTACATATATTCAATATACCCTTAATGAAATTTAATGGACCCAATACAAAACACTAGCAGGTATTATTCCAGTGTAGCGCCAAGCAAAATAGGCATTAAACACCCTAAGTTTTGTATTTTTCCTCCATGTCTTGTTTCCAACTCAAAATATTTCAAAGATGTAAAATGTCTGATGACCAGATAGTAGGGTCACCTTATGCCTCAAGTGTCATCGTTTACAGAATCATAAACTATATAATGGAAGTTCTGAATTCTCACAGGTGAGATGTCTAGCTTGCCATGCCATTGTGAACAGTGTGCCTTTCCTCCATAGTCTTTTCAAAGCATTTGCTTAGCTAGCAGACACATCTTCCAATAAATACAATCTCTCTAGATACCAGAGGCACAACTTTTGGTAGTTACTCATTTTGCCAACCTGATGCACTGACATTTTTATAAAATGTCTGGGATCCAGGACTCCTGTTTTGCACAAAGAGACCACCATATTTCCAGTTGCAATTAATAGAGTTAGAATGTGTCTTGGAAGTTTCTGACCCTTAGACCCAAAATGCCAAGTGATCCTTACAAAGACATGCATGTGCTGAAGGGGCAATACAAGTGCAGGAAGTTAATCCCTTGAGAGCACTGCAATGATGTAATCCAGAACTCCTTGCAAATATAGCTCTTATCAAAAGGTGATGACACCTGGCTGCAATACAGACTGCATCCGAGTCAAGGGAGTATAGCCAAGCTGGTCCTCTTAAACCATTTATCTACTCAGGAGCTAATAATGAGAGCATCTTTGCTTTTACATGAGATTTCTAGGAGAAGCACAGAAACAAGCACTGTAGTTCATCCACAACAAAGGAATAGAAAATATCCATTTGTTTTACTGCATCTTTCTCCCAAGTTATCATATGATGGTTTTGCTCCCTGAGAAGTTCACCAGGAAATGAAAGAGGCTTCCATGTGGTTATCACCATTAATAAAGTGCAGGAATAATTTTTACTATCTTTTGTTTGATGGTGGCAATTGCACACCTACATTAGCATAATAGAAAATGAAAGCACTGGGAGACTGAGTTTTCTGGTGAGTGAATACCTGTGTGCCTTGCAATTTACAGTCCTCCAGATTCAGTACAGGGAGAGTAATCTACACCATTAAGGCAAACTGTATCTGCAAAACTGTGGTAATGGAACAGAGCCAGAGATGTAGAACCCAGGTTCAAGATTTCCTCTGTAAATCATATTACAAGTTTGTCTTCTTTATAGAAAGCTATAGTCAATGTTCTCCTGTACTGTAAAAGAAATGGCCAAAAAGAAGCAAGACTTGATGGAATGATAAAATAACCACATAAGGGGGAAATCTGTAAAATTCAGTGGATCTACATCAGAATTTGGCAGTGGTTCTCCTAAAACAGAGAAAATGCTATGTACTGTATATCTTAAGCAACGATACACTGGCTTTGCAAAGTCTGGGAAACAGTGATGAAAAAAACACATTATTTTACCCTGCCTAAATCTATGCACAGAAACTTCCTTCATTGTTTCCAGAAGTGAGAATCCTATTATATGTTTTAAACACTTAGTAGAATCAGAGGCAAAGCAATGTCATAAGGAATTAGTATATTCTCCCATGTTGGATGTACTTCTGAGATTGTTCAGTATTTCTAGGCACTTGATGTTTTAAGCCAGAACAACATGCAATCTCACTCCTTTGGCATCCACAAGCATTACAGAGCAGGAACACAGGAAACTGAGAAAATTTTCGTTTAAGGATAACTTATATCCTTGGAAAGGAAAAAAAGACTCTGCACTGATATATCACACCACTGTATCTGGCACCACTGAACGAGCACAGACTGAAAAAGAATCTTCCTAATTTGAGGTTGTCCCAAACAGTTAGCTTACAATCTTCTCAACAGCTGATTTTTATCATCTTGCATGCACGAGTGCTTTCATAGCTCTTAATATCTGGCACAATCCTTAGATCATAGGGTAACATTTGCTTCTGTGACGGTCCACAAAAAGTTTTTGGTCCACGGGCTAGTATATTGGGGTTGGCTGAATGAAGTCTAGCATGCAGTGAGTGTGCCCAGGCCTGAGTAAAGGTGTTGAGGAGGTGGTTGTTAAGGACAAAGTAACACTGGCTTTGAATACAAGGTACCACTTGAGTGGATTGTGGTATACCCCACATCAGAATGGTAGCACCAAGAGAAGTTGGATATGAGCTCTGAACACTGCTAGCGTTTGGCTGATCCCTTGAGACGATTCTGATCAAGTCTGCTCTGTGAGGTGTCAGTTGTGCAGACATCAGGGGGAATGGTAGATACAGGCTCTGAAAACAGAAGTTAAGCCTCGCTGGCAGGAATATTCCTGCTCAGTTCCTTGATCCCATGTAATATCCTCTTCATATGGCCCACTTTGGTCACTCCTAGGTCCTGAAAAAGAATGCGAATAATAATCTTAGCCCACAAAGAGCTAGTCAAGAGCAGAATACTACGCAGCTGAATATTAAAAATGGAACTCGAGATAAACGACAACATGACAAATCTAGTACCTCAAACACGAAGCAGTAAGGTCATAGAGCTTGACAAAGTAGCAAATAATTATGGAATAAGCTCGAAGCTTCAAAAATCATCCATAGACATTCACAGATGCAAAACTCAGTTACTAGCTATGATGATTTGCACAAATCTTAGAAACAAATCCAGCACAACCAAAAACACAGGGCAGTAGTCAACTAAACAGTCCAGTCAGCGCAAGGATGACCACTACTGCAACAGGACTACACCACACCCCCACACCACTCCTGGATCTGCTCCAGAATGTTGGGAGAACTCCTGCAGCAGATTAAGGGGGACAACAGTCCATTGTACAAGGACAAATCCTTGCGTTGACAGAACTGTAGCCTTGGAACCACATTGAACACAACCCACAATTCAGAAAATCTATTTTAAAATACAGTTTCTCCTGTACCAGAGACACATGACAAATATACAGTTTGTAATTACACACATCTTCCATTAGACAGTTCTACTTCCACATCAGAAGGGCATCACATTAATCTCCTCTAGCAGAAACAGCATTTCCCCAATGCTAGATAAAGCTTAGAAGAATGCTTCGATGGACCCAGTGTTGTATTGCCTAAAGTTGTGTCTGCAGTTTTTGCTGCCACTGCTTGATCATAAGCAGTGGAAGCAAAGCTTGAAAAGGTACTTTGATACTGCAAGGCATATGGTCCACACAATTCCTGAAACCATCCAGATCCTGGAACAATAAATCACATTAGCAGTTGTGCTGGGCTGCTGTGTGGATCCTGCTGCTTATGCAGGTTTGGTTGAACTCTGCATGCATCCAATCTGAAACTGTTCTACATAAGAGGAGCCAACGGCCCATCTAGTCCAGCATCCTGCTCTCACAGGGGTCAAACAGATGCTTGGTCAAACAGAACGGTCAAGCAGGCTCTGAGCACAATAGCACTCTGTCCACCTGTGATTCACAGCAACTGTATTCAGAGGCACAATCCTTCTGACAGTGGGTGGAACATGACTATTGTGCCTAGTAGCTATTGACAGCCTTATGCTCCATGAATATCTCCAATCCTTTCTTAAAGCCATCCAAATTGGTGGCCCCCACTGCCTCCTGGGGGATTGGGTTCCATAGTTTAACTATACACTGGCCGTAGATTGCACCAGTGCAGACACTGCTGGCTCCAATGCCATGTATTTCCTCAGTTCACTCAAAACTGTATATAAACATTTATGAAAGAAGGCCAGAATATTGATATCTTTCAAGTAACAGTATTCAGAAGTTCAAATCGTATAATTCAATGATTAACTGCAGGCCTTGTCTACAACTTTAGAAGGCTTGGTTTGTGGATTTTAAAAGGCTTGGGTTCTGGATGAAGTGTTTTCCTGTCTGATCTGACCCTGCTAACCCACAGCTGTAAAATACTCTTGTTACTCTGTCTAAAGCCACCTAGAACGGAGAGTACGCAGACCAGCTCCAAGCACAGTCAGCACAGACGGCCATGCAAATGCAGATGGCTATTCTTGGTAAGTCGCTCATGAAATACCTTGAGGTCTCTCCGTTCAAGATGCAGGAGCTCAGAGCCCCGGACGTCATGCCGGATGAAGATATCCTTATACTCACAAAGACTGAGGTGCTCAAGCCAGGCCGCAACCTCCTCCGTTCCCCAGAGGTGAACTGTCAGAGATGGAAAAGCAGGAGTGTGTTGAGTACCCAAAAGCCCAGAGGAGAAAAAAAGGTGATCACCAGCAAACACCGAAGTAGATCAAAAAGAGAAGGGGAAACAATACTAAACCTCACAGTAGAAGGAATGACAAGTGATTCAACAATTCCAGAGCAAGAGAAAGGAAGCAAGATTACAAGCCAAGACGTGGTTTTAAATGGAGGCTGGATGTAGTGGAAGCTGTTTTTACCTAGGACTGATTTTATGCTACTGATAGTATGCTTGAATGGATGCTTGCCACACAGTCTGACCAGCAACTTAACAGGATAAAATGTGTGAATGTGCACTAAACTATCAAGTAATTCAGCTAAGGTGAATATCAGTTTGCCACAAGACAAATCTGGACATTCATATAAATAGTGCAAAATCCCATCTTTAAAAATGTGTGCTCTGCACCTTTGGGTCTGTTCAAACTGATACAAAAACATACACCCTGGATTTTTTATGCACAGTGAAAACAGAACCTGGTTTCAGGCTTATGCAACTTCTTCCATGCCTTCCTCCCCTAACCTGCATGGAACGCAATGCCCAAATGGAGAAAAACCTCAGAATTATAGTATAAGATATGGAGAAGGGGAGCAGAACTAGACTCAAGAAAGTAAGAAAAGCCCCGCTGGATCAAGTCAAAGGTCCATCTGGTCCAGCATCCTGTTCTTACAAGGGCAAATGAATGGGAAGCCTGCAAGCAGGACCTGAGGGCAACAGCACTCTCCACACTTGTGGTTCCCAGAGACAGGTATTCAGGGGCATCCTCCATGAATTTGTCTAATCCTCTTTTAAAGTTGATGTCTACAGTACATCATGTGGGAGTGGTCTCTGTAGTTGTGCTATGTGAAGAAGTACTTCCTTTTGTTTGTCCTGAATTTTTCAACACTCAGCTTCATCAGGTGACCCTTAGTTCTAGAATCCACTTTCTGCACATCATGTATAATCAAATATTGTACACTGTTACTCGCCTTTTCTGTAAACTAACTTTTTTTAAAAAGTTTGCCTTTATCCAGTCATCCTGGGCCGTAGTGGCTTCGGTTATTCTATTTTAGCTTAACAAGCTGGGATAAGAAAAAGTCTTTTGTCCATGAATATAGCCCCTTCCCCTTCCTTTGTAGCATACATGAATTAAATGTGGAAACCGAACAGGGAAACTATGGCTACCAGCTTTTGAACAAGCCAGGATTTTAAACCAATTTCAAACTATGGTTCAGATCCTGGCTTGTTCCAGAGATGGTAACTATAGTTTCCTGGTTAGAACAGATGCTTCCTAGTTAGAAGCTACAGTCAACTGGAGACTTGGGTATATTATTCTGGTGTGCTGTGAAGGGAGAAGAGAAGGGACTGCATGCACGGAGAAAGGGATCATACACACACACACACACACACACACACACACACACACACACCTTATTAAGACAAGATACAATAGTCAGAACCAACCCATCTGTTCCCTAATGCCATGCCCATGAATAAAGGAAATAGAAACCCTGATACTTTTGTCACTTCTTTTCAAGGCAGTAAGTCTTGTTGCACATATTCTTGGTTAGCTAACTCATTTGCGTCCCTTATAGGCACAGTGGCAAAGCCTTTTTGTTCCTCTAAAGGGAAAGAAGTTTTGTCATGATCACACACAGCCTCTCCACTAGCCTCGAAATAAGAGAAGAGCAAATAGAACCTTAAAGTCCAGAGGAAAGCGAGAGAATACAGATATGCCACAAAATTAATGGGAGAGAGGATGGTACTATTAGCACTATAGAACCAACAGAATTTACAGATGCAAAAGCCAGAATGTTTTCATAAGAAAGAATAGAAGTCAACAAATCAACTAACCCAGCTGGAAAGGAAGTATTCTGATACCATTTGAATTACTGATTTCAAGGGGCTATTTTTAATATCATACTAATCGATAAGGATTAAAGCTAGGGATGCACCAGTGATGATGCAGAATTCCCAGACATTTAGACATGAGGACTTGATTGAAAACTGAGAGTGAATCAATGAGAGAAAATCATTAACCAAATCAGTGAGTATTAGCAGTGGGAGATCTGGAGTTATGCGGACTTGGGCTCCACAGTCCTTTTGCTATCTAAAACTACAAATCCTTGAATGAATTGCCTTTGAAAGTCACTGAAGGTCTCTTTGAAGGATGTTCTCAGTTATTTTTATATATTTTAGTGCTGTACATTTTCTAGGAGAACACCCAGCAAGTGTGTTATTTTGCTTGGGGAAAATACTGCTATGGGAATAGATACCTGATAAAATAAATGAAAGGGTCAAACACAAAAGAGTGTGGGAGGAGAAGTAGGGAGTGTTCAGAGAGAGGCAGAAGAGAAGGGTTTATGCATATAGTGGGGGCGCAGATGTGCAGGTGCACATATGGCTACATGTGTGAAGAAGGGCGAAGAGGAAATACAGAGACTGGCGGTACCCGGCAATCCCAAGCTGCTACGAGTTTCTTTATTCTTGTTGTTCTTCTCCTTTTTAAACTTTGTCACCAGACGAAATTTGCCGCTCCGGCTGCGTTTAGAATAATCCAGCATTTGGTTCTGCAGGGCGGGGAGAATAACAATATAGATATTTCATGATAAGGAATGTCTATGAGTAAGGTTTTTTTTAGGAGAGAAGTGAAAAATTGCCATCTCAACTAATTAAGTTTAATTCAATTTAGTTACATTAATCTTATTCAGATTAGCTCATGATGCTTTGAAAGAGGAAGGCACCAAGTCGATTACTCTCACATTCCTGTGCTATCCCAGTAACAAATCACAACGAAAGGCTCCCAATAGCTCTACCCTCCTCATCTGATGTTACCTCTTCATCACTGGGTTCCATTAGTTGCCACAGCCAAGGAATGTCTGCTAGCTTCCTCATATGAAAGTCCATTTCTGCCAGCGCTGCTAGGAGCTGCTCCTTCTGTGGGGGATCCAACTGCTGCATCAGAAATAAAGCACACAAGTGCACTTAAGAGCTGCACAGCTTAATGGAGAACTATCTAACCACTATCAAGACAACCAGAGAGTCCCTAATTAACTGTAATTTCCTATTTTGTCTAAACAAGGGAAAATATGGTTACCAGATTCCAATTAGCCAGGATTTTATACCAACTTCAAACTGTGGTTTAAGATCAGGCTTGTTCAAAAGTTGGTAACTATAGTTTCCTGGTTTAAACGAAACAAGGAACTGTAGCTTAATTGTATCTTGTGTGAAGGAAGGACTGAAGGAGCCTTATTCACATCTTAGCCAGGATATGATTGTCCAAATGTTAACACACGTCCTCGTGCTGTAATTTGGCTTTTTAAAAAAACCCATTCTACTTTGTCAAGCCCAATTACAATGGTGATATTATTTTGCTGGGTGGAGGGGTGCTGCTGCAGCAGCTGGGTTTGACTTTCCCTTCCCCAGGTGTCATCCCTTCTTCTGGACAAAAGACACTTCTGCCACAATTAGGCTTGGAAGAAGCTTTCTTTTGTTCCAATAGAAGCCTAATTGTTGCAGGGTGTGTGATCTTCCTGGAGATTGGAGTGGAGGAAAGGTTAACTCTGGACTTCTCAGCTGCACTGTCCAAGAAGATCACTCCTCCACTACACTACATTTTGCAAAATACACACCCATTGAACCTAACTTCTTGCAATGGGTGGAATACATGTGGTTCCAATGTGTGTGTGGTGTGTATACAGTTTCTATGGTTTGCAAATGTGCCCTCGGCCCAAAAGGGTTAGCAATGAAACACATTTTTGTTTACTGAATATCCAGGCAAACTATTATTCTAAATTACTGCTGTTATTTTTCTTCTGACAAATGGAATTATATTTCTAGACTATATTGGTATCTATTCTTCTAAAGAGCTCTAGCATGTGCTGGCTGCATCATGGAAGATAAAACCATGGATCTAATGTTGCTAAATTGCAGAAATAGGAAACAACAATATTTAGGGACTGGATGAGGGAGGTAAAGGCACTGTCAACTGTGTGAGTGCCTAGCTGTGGACTTGAAAAAACAGGGAGAATTATGTTCTCAGCAAGGGCAAAAAAGTAACAGAAATAACTAACAAACACCTTTCCTAATATTTATCCCTTACCAGGGCCATTTTGCCAGCCAGGAGCAGTTCTGTTTCATTATGCAGGGCTTTAATATTATTCGCCATCTCTACAACAAGGTTGCAGCTCAGGCCCTGTGGAAAGACAATAAGCATAAGGACTGGAAGTCTGAAACTCCAAACCAATATAAAACTAAATAAAATAGTCACAGAGCCCAAGCTACAGGAACAAGTTGGGTTCAGGCAAAGAGAAACCCGCCCATACCTCTGTAGACTTGGACTTGGCATATACTTTGTCCATAGACTTGGAGCTAGCATTGACTGCATGAGCAAGTTCTTGTTCCATGTCCTGGTACGACTGAGCTATTTCCCGAATGCTGTGGGTGGGAAGGGGAGAGGTGAAGAAAGCAATAGCATAAACTTTCTGGACTGCTGTCTCATTCTGGCACCACCACCTCCAAATGAACCCGAGAAGAAAAGAAAATGGCCTCACCTGTGAATCAGAGTGCCTGCTGCTTGGCAAAACTGATTGATCTGGGTGGACTCTTCTTCAGATATAATCTCTGGATGCAGGGAGAAAGAAGCAGGGCGGGGCAGCTCACATTTTTGTTTGTCTTCCCAGGACTTTAGGGTGCTCTCAAATGCCTGGAAAAAAGGAAGGGAGGCTATCACTATTCCATGCCATCCGTGATTATTTAGGAGAAACTGATATCTTTATATTATGCTTTCTGCATGCAGAGAAACATTTCCCCCCATCTCTGTAAAATCTATCATGATTTTATTTACCAGATTTTTAGACCAACCTTCATCACATGTAGTGATTTCAGGGTAGTTTCTAAAATAACTTATTCCATTCAGCACAAATATATCACATTCAAGAACAATAATATGAAATGCTTAAAACCAATCATTAATAAAATACTACAGGAAAATCCTAAAATATTAGACAGCATCCACTAATTTCCCTTAAAGGCCTGGGAGAACAGATAAGCTTCCATTACCAAGTGAGAACATAGCAAAACTGTTTCCATCTACACTTCCATGGGAAGGGAATCACACAATCAGGGTCCTCTCCCTCAGTATTACACAGCAGGCTAAGCCCACTGGCAGGATGACAAGAGCAGCCCTCCCAACCACAGAGTCCAGGACTGACGATATTCCACATCAGCCTTGGAGTGGAGGAGCTCAGATTTCTCTTTTGCTTGGCAGGTTCATCTCTCAATGTATAAGAAGGTTCCTCTTACCCTATCTCTGGTTAGTGTCTGTGCCCTGTTTTTATGAACAATCCAAATATATCCTGGAGGTTGGATCCAGGCCTCTCCATCAACTTGCACAGGAACTCCTTCGTCTCCCAAGATTGCTATCTTCACTGTCCGGCACTATGAGAAATCCTTGTGTTAAACGTATCCTAAATCATACAGCATGTCATGTTTTGTTTACAGCAGCCCAAGTATCTCCCTGTGTCCCACAGTAACTAACAGTTTCCCCAGCTTGTTTCCTCTGGTGCTGCTAGATGAGAATTTGAATTTGTAAGTTCTACCCAGCTCGGTGCAATACAGAGAAACCAGTCTATGCTGAATGCTGTTGATCACTGCCTTTATTAGCCTTGAACTATATCAACCACTGAATGCAGAGTTATAGGCTATAGACTTTATGGAACAGATAGTAACTTTTTGGTTCTCTCAAAGAAAAACAGGTAATGTGCAAAATCACCTGTGGACCACAAGCCGAATAGTAAGCAGCATGGACTGGCTGGATGCAGAGGCAGGGTGGGAGTCACCAGCAGGGGAACCCACAAGGGAACCCTAGAGGAAGAAGGCTCAGAGCCAGGAAACTGGTGGTGGGACAACAATGAGTGGTCAGAGGGAGAAGAAGGGGCAGACTAGGAGAAGGTGGTGTCAGAAGCTGAAGAGGCAACAGGGTTTAGTGAGCAGGAAGAGGCTGGGGCAGAGATCAGTCCAGAATCAGAGGCAGGAGAGGAGGGGGGCCAGGAGACAGATATGAGGCAGGCTGCTGAAGAATCCAGGGAATTTCTCCCTCCTGCTCCCCTCCCCTCTGGTCTCCCAGAACACATAGAGGAATTAAGAGAGTGGAGCAATGAGAGAATAGATAAAGGAGCCTGAAATTTCTTTGGAAAGACCCGGGGGAGGAAGAGTCTTAAGGAGCGGTAGAAAGGCTGGGACCTTCAGTCCTCACAACTCCCTCCTTAGGGCAAGTCCTACTGGGAAGAGTTGCTGTGATCACCAAGCCTGCACTCTTTTGGTTTCTTTGAATAAAGAGCTATCTTCACTGACACTGGTGTTTTATTGCTGACCTATGCCTGACTCCCGTGCCTGACAGATACCTGGGCAATTCGGTGATGCTGTAGGTTAATCACACGTGAGACAGCCATTTGCATACTACCAAACACTGCTACCACTTCCAGGATCTTGTCATCGAAAGAAGGAGCTGTAAATGTCTAAGAGAAACAAAGAAAGAGAAACTAATCCAGCTTGAGCTTCAGTTATAATGGCCTCCTTTGCTTCTCAATAATGTCAGGGCAAGATACAGCTATATATCCTCCTGGCATCCCTCTCTTCCCACACCCCAACCTAGTTGCTGCTAGTATAGTAATAAATCAAGTAGTGTTGCTGCCTAGTGGAGAAGAATAATAGTGGAGTAGATAATCAGCAGACACTGGAAATCAACCAAACGAACATATCAGCATTAAAAACCAGGAGACCTTTGCTGGACTGGTGAATATATTCCCCTCAATCTGACCCATCTTGTGGAGGCAAGTGAGAGTGTGCCTGTACATCCCAGGATCATCTGCCCCAACTCTGATGACATCTGTGGATGTTACATTTGAATATGGTTTACACATACTGAATTACTATATATTCATATAGGGCAAAATTGTGCAACCAATTCCTCAGGAGAAAAACATTTGTGCAATCTCAGCCCATCACCATAGATAGCATTACAATGTGGCGCTCATGTTAAAACAAACATGTATCTAAATCCCTCTAGCTACGAGGGTTGCATTTGAAGGTTTTTGGTACAAAGAAGAAGAAATGGAAGGTGAATGACACCTTCATTTGCAAAAAACTTAAAGTACTCACATCATCTTCCTTTGTGCCCCCCCAGAAGTTGGTGCCTCCTGCATAGCTGGGAATGTTGAGTACGGCAATTCCCTGAAGACTGGGCAAAGGAATTGGACGTCCATCACACTGCATGATATAAATAAAATTGTATATAGTGTGTACGATTCCACAGGTTTCAAGGATCAGTAGGTTACTTGCCTTTAAAAGTGCTTAAGAGATTAGCAATTAATTAGAGTTTATCTCAGGGTGAGAAACCTCTTTCAGACACAGGACCTCGTTTTCTCTTGGCCAGCCTTCCAAGGGCTGCGTGACAGTGGCTTCTGTTGCTTAGACAAAAGTGGGTGTGGCCAAACCTCCCCCAATGCATAGGGATATACACACACAAAGTGCACATGCCCACACATACCACCCCTGCCCCCCAGCAATTAGACTTGAAAAAAGCATGTATTTATTTAGAGCATTTGGAAGCTTTTTAAAGCTTAATAGCAATAATAAATAATAATAATAAATTTTATTTATATCCCACCCTCCCCAGCCGAAGCTGGGCTCAGGGCGGCTAACAACAATAAAACAATACAAAAATACAGCATAAACAACACTCTAAAATCATTCATTATAAAATTCATTAATTCAAGCCACTGGCAACCATTGGGCCAGAGCTCTGCGAAGATTGCCGAGGGAGGGAGTCAGGCTGTGCCCTGGCCAAAGGCCTGGTGGAACAGCTCTGTCTTGCAGGCCCTGCGGAAAGATGTCAAGTCCCGCAGGGCCCTGGTCTCTTGTGACAGAGTGTTCCACCAGAGCAAGGGGGAATACTGTTAGAAATTGCATCTGGGGGTGGTTATTCCATGCCTTCCCAGCTGTATTATTCAAGAAGAACCTTCCACCTGCAACAATTAGACTTAAAAACCCCTTTTTGATTGCAGTCCACAGAAGACTTATTTCAGACCTAACTACAGTTGGGGTAAGGTGATCTGGGGTTCACAACTGGAAAGGGATAATTAATTCTCCCCTCCTCAGCTGTGACCACCACTGTCAAAACAGCTCCTCCACCATTACAATTAAACTTGAAAGAAACCTATTGCAGCGAATAGAAAGGATTTTTAAAACCTAATTGCAGTATGGGGGTTTGGGTGTGTGGGTACACAGCTGGGAAGAGTTCACAAGCAACAGGGAGCCCCAGCTGATGAAGTATCAGGGCAAGTTAAACAACCAGGCAACAAGAGGCTAAATAACACCCATTCAATTATTTAATTAAAGCAGCTCAGACTAGTAAGAGAACAGTGAAGTTGCTGTGCTAGCAGACAAATCCTGTAATAACTCATAAGTCATAACTCAGAAGCTAAGCTCTAGGGTTAGGAAGCAGGGAAGCATGAATCATACAAGTTAGGCTAATGGTGCATGATAGCAAACAAATAATTCCATGTTTGCATAAACCAAGGAGGTTAAGGGCTACTCATTACCTCTAGCAAAACTTTTTGTTCTAAGTTTTTGTAAGTTCTGTGTAGCAGCTCCTTTGTTCCAAGAACTCCGTACCACATCATGTTCTTCGTACGACTTCTGAAAATGGAAAGCAAAGAATCAAGTGGTGCAATGGACCACAAATTGCACTGTAATTTATACTATGATGTTCAGATGAAACCTCGCTGCCTGAAAGAAAACAAAAGCCAGACACTGAAATACTTTATCCACTATCCTACAGCAAGAAGTATTAAAGGAGCAAAAGATGTGGTAAATTATAATTGGTTTCTCTGGAAATAAATAACTTTGAATTTTTTGTTGTTGGACCTAGCAACACAAATCATCAAAGCGCTCAGCCTATGGTTTGCAGTTCTTTAGAAGTAAAAGTGGCCTTATAAGCACATCTGCCAAAGCAGTTGTGAAATAAAAGTGCTGCATCCAGTTCCTATCAAAGCCTGCTTGTTATGAAGAAGATGAAGAAACAAATTATCCAGTATGCTGACATTTCTTTTTAGTTAAATGCTACCATTGAATGGTGCATTGACACAGTCAAGTAGCTTGATGAAATGTGAAGGAGATTTATAACTGTAGTTGACACAACAGGATACAGGTTTTTAAAATGTATAAAACAGCTCCACAAATGATTGATTACCTGCACTTTTCTGGATGCTCGTCACGCTTGTTGTTGAAGTCCAAAGAGATCTTTGCATCCAGTCCGATTCCAAAATAGTTATTCATCACACATTTCTCTACGTAACAATCACTATAAAGAGCAAGAGAGACACCTTTGATTTAAAGTGGTGGGATATTTCAGCATTCTCCATATGCCCCTGTGCCCAATATGGCCACTGTATATGAATGAGCTGTCCACCTGTGCACTAGGAATAAAGCCTGTCAGAGGGGGCCTCTGGATTATGTCTCCTATTTCAATAACAAATGACTCAAGAACCTAAAACAAAGAGAAGCAAAATAAAATTCCTTTCCATTTCCTTCTTGGGTACAAAAATAACTGGATAGCTCAGTTGGTTAGAGTGTGGTGCTGATAATACCAAGGTTGCAGGTTTGATCCCCGTATGGGACAGCTGCATATTCCTGCATTGCAGGCGGGAAACTAGATGATCAGAAGAACATAGCCAGCTTTCTCATCACAACTAGCAGTTTCTGTCACTTAAAAAAACCTGAAACATATTACGGGCAACTCCTCATATACATGCGCTCTATTTTGTGTCCTCTATTAGTGAAGAAGGTGTCCTCTTTGGGCTCTGGGGAGGGTCTCCACACAAGCCAGAGGGGCAACAGGACTTCCTCAACTGACATGCAGGGAAGTGGCAACTGTTGCTGTGCTATCCCTCACGTCAGCTGTTAGGTGGTGAGGCTGAGCAGCTCCACAAAGCCCTGCTGTCCCTCCAGCTTGTGAGGAGACCCACCTTGGAGCCCGAAGAGGCTCTGGGGAAGGTCTCCTCATGAGCCACTAGGACTCTCCAGGATGCCCCCTATTATAGGCAGTTTTGTGTATGCTCGTGGGGGACTGGAACAGAACCCACACATAATGTTTAATATGAGACCAGCCATCATGATGGAGGGAGACTTTACTAGAATTCAGATAAGCATGTTAGTAAGTGAAGTCATCTCTTTTAAAAAACAGGGCTGCTTTCAGTGTTACCACTTTCTGCAAAATCAAAATACTAGACAAGCTTCGTAGAGACTGTCTTGCCTTGTCTACACTGTAAGAAAAACGTTCCACTTGCTGTTAAAATGATTTATTCCTCAGTAATACAGTGGAAAAGGGAATTCAATTCCCTTCACTCTTATTTGAATACTCACAGATTTTCTGGCTCAGAGTTAAACGGGTCTGCATTGATCAACAACCGGCTGATGACAGAACCTCCAGGTAGAGAACCAGATGCCCCAGCACGGATATCTGTCAACAGAATACAAAACTTACAGGAAGCTGCAAGGAGTTTATGAAGCACACAGGACACAGCATATTTTCAATTGGCAAAACAGGATCTATTTTACCTCCAAAATCAACAGGATGTCACTTCTGGAGCATGAAACATTATCTCACACTTTCACTGTTGCTGAACAATGAGGAAAAAACAGGAATTTAGACCTATGAGTAACTCCAGCCTTAGTCCTTAAATCCTACACAGAAGCAGATTCAAGCAAAGAAGTTTTCTAATTCCTATGAACAATTTATGTGTGCCTGAGAAAAAACAGAACTTTCTCTACCATATATTTTGATTTAATGTTATCAACCTAGATGTGATATTAAATACGTATGTTTTTTACATTTAACATGCATATTTTAAAAAAATTTAGATTGGCAGCAGCTGATAATTATTGGGCAGTACATGGGGAAGGGGGAGTTTAACCCTTTCTTCTCCAACTGTGGTCCCAACAAAAATAATTTTCATGATGCAATATGGGGGGGGGGGGATCCTCCGCTGGTGCCAATGGTAGATTTCCTCCCAATACATATAGCAATTTCAAATGAAAAAAATTCTTCAAGACCACAAAAGGGACGAAAGGGTTAACCCCCGAATGACCTAAAATCCTTGTATGCTGCAACCCACATTTATCAGCCACCTTCCCTCTTCAGGAGCTATCCACATTTTTAATTGCATATTAAATGCAAACACAAATTTAAACTTATGTCTAGTTTGGTTAGAAAGCTAGGAAAAATATGCTCAAAATTTTGTTCTGAAGTGGGACCCACTCAGCTTCCCAACTCCTATAAGGAAAATCCTCAGAATTTATATGGAAGTGCATGAATGTGGTCCCAAAACAGAGATGTAAGTAAAATGGGCCACTATAAAGCAGAGCTTGTAAATATTGCTTCAATCTTGCAGTTATTGACATGTGCCTCTAAATAATGAATAACAGACCTCATTGTTCATATAGCATAGCTCTTGTTCAAAACCTTGTTTACTTGTTTCCCTCTGAACAACAATTAGCTTTCTTGGTGATGATCAGTTCATCTTAGGAGTAAGATTTTGAAAATCTGGAAGTTTTAAGCAGTATACCCTAATTCCGTACTTGTTCTCACAGATGGGCTTTAGCTTTACCATACATGCCCCTTTTCCAGTAGTAGATAAAAGGAGACGATACAGAAAAAATATCTCAGGCTAACAGAGGAAGACAGACATAAAAGAAGCAGGGGTTAAGTTTGAGAGAAAAAGAAAAAAATGGAAAGGAACTTATTTGTGTGCCCCCTCCACAAGAGGTCCGGAAGGTGGAAACACAAGAACAGGCCTTTTCTGCAGTGGCTCCCAATTTGTGGAATGCTCTCCCCAGGGAGGCTCACCTGGTGCCTTCATTACATATCTTTAGGCACCAGGTGAAAACATTCCCAGCCCTCTGGGAATCTATGGTCTTTTAAACAAAAGGGGGGATAACTGGTTGTTTGTTATCACATTATGTATTTTTGTGTTTTTATACTGTAAACTGCCCTGTGATCCTTGGATGAAGGGCGGTATATACATTTAATACATAATGAAAATATAAATAAAATAATAATAATAATAAAGAGAGGGATGCTGTACTGGGCAAGGCAGGGAACAAACTGGGAGCAGAGTCAGCTAACCTAGTCTAGGACCCAAAAGTTGGTTATGTGTCCCCTGCCTTTCTGGGGTGGTAGAAGGAGCTAATTTATCAGTAATGGATTACAGAAAAACCATGTTATGTCCTCAGTGCCAGAAGAGGTCATCTCTGGTTTAGCTAGACGGGAAGAGTGTTGTTGCACTCACTGGGGTAGATGATCTTTGCATTCAGCATTGGCAGATTATCCCGATTTCCTGCCTGGGGAGGAAGAGAGGCAGAGCTTCCCACTGATAAAGTTCCTTTACTTATTAATCTTTCACAAGGAGACTTGATAACTACAAAATACAACAAAAATCACAGGTACCATTAGAATGCTATGAAACAATGAACAGAGAAAACTTAGATATAGTGGGCCATACTGTTTGTTAGTTACAAATTGTGCTATGAAAACCAACATTTTCAGCTAGGTGCTCTTAATCTGGGCAGATTCTTTAAAGGTTTTTATATTGTAGTCAAAGAACAAGCCTTAGGTGGAATAAAGATGTTCTGAAGTGCTCCCAGTTCAAAATATAAAAGAAACTTTAACAAATACTATGCAGTTCTCTCTGCCATGATTTCCTGTGCCCTTCTGTTATTTTCTAACATATTCTAGTCAGCACTGAAAGTGTTCCAAGAAAGACCCATCATGATGTTGAAGCCAATATTAAAATACTGTATATTCAATCTAAGAGATCGTTGTCATAATTAAAATATCTGAAAGTCCAAGGAGATCTGTAAGTATATGGAATTGAGGACAAGCTTCTATTAAAAACTAAATAATGGGTTCTTTTGGAAACTATATTGTTATGCTTTTAATGAAACAAAGGGACATATGAAAGAACTATTAATTACTTAAGTTTGTTATAAATATTTAGAATTCCACAGACTTTGTGAAATTTTGATGCTTTTGAAAAGAAGCTTTTTCTAACTTCTGTAGCTTCCTTTGGCCTACTGACCAATGCATTTTAAAATTATTTATGGTTATTCAGAATAATGTGAGTCAAATAGTATTTCAGGGAGAAACACAGCTGAGCTTTTTAACAGCTGATACTAAACTATGTACTGCAAATCCTGGATCCTAATAGCTTAGCTCCTAGCCCTATACCCAAGGTCATAACAACAACTACAAGCTGGTTCAGGAACTCTAGGCTGAGATGATCTATTGCTAAAACAGCATAAAAACTGAGAATTTAAAGATGTATGTCATCCTTTGCTTATCTCACTATCCAACTGATAAGGTATGGTGTAACACTTGGAGCAGGATCTCAGACCCAGGGCTATGGAAATATAACAAATTCCCAGAAGGCTTCAGAAAGACACATATAAAGATGCTGCCTTCAACAAAGGTTAACTAAGGTTTTTACCTTTCCGATGGCTCCTCCCTTTTGGAAATCCATAGTTCCCAGTGTGTGAAGACTGTAAGGAGATTTTATTTTCATTCCTTAAGTCCTTTCCCTCTTCAGCGGTAGAGAGACCCAAGAGGAAGCTCTCCTGTTCTTGGGTTTGAGCGTTCTGTTCATCGACAGCTAAACAGTAAAACAGTAACAGAGTCAGACAGACTTGCTAGGTATCACACTGCACTCGGGGAGGGAACTGGGTAAGTGGAAGACAGCAACACTATTACATTTTTATCCTAAAACCTTCTTCAAATGGCTTTCCCAGATTCTGTAAACATCAAAACACACAGGCCACTGCTCATCTCATTTTTGCAACACCTGATGTAAAACACCTGATGTAAAAAACCAAAAGAACTTTAGACTGTTTGGAACATACCATGTTTCAGTAAAGCACTTGGATTACAATCTACTAACTGACAGGGACAACACTGGAAAATTGCTGACAGTCTAGGCACACCATAAAATGCTAAGTGGAGTTATCAAGGTATATTTGTAGAGAGCGGTTATAAACATAGCTTCTTTAGGAAAGACCCATGAACAAGTATTAAAATTCTTCCTATTCACATATCTTTTCTCAACATAGATAACAAATTTGGATATAAAATTTACACAGCAAAGCATCTGTAACCCATGTTCTGATGAAAGTGCATCATGATCCACTCAACTTCAATGTCACAATGTAACTTCAGTATTGTTTATAAACAACAGAAGTCAAATGACTACTGCAACTACAGTGGAACCTCGGTTGTTGAACACAATCCGTTTCATAAGACCAATCGACTTCCAAAACATTTGGCAACTGAGGCACAATTGCTGGTCAGCAATTTCCTTTTAAAAAATGGAGAAATATGCCTCTGAAGCCGTTCAACTTCCGAGGTCCGTTCGAAAACGGAAGCATTCACTTGTGGGTTGTCAGTGTTCGGCTTCCGAATTGTTCAGCTTCTGAAGCGTTTGACAACTGAGGTTCCACTGTACCAATATAAAAGATTACTTTAGAGTAATTCAGCTGACTTGCACATTTCACACTGTAGTTCCTGCCCACAAACTACATCTTTGTTCAAGAATGAAGATAAGGAAGACTTGCAGGAGATAGGAACCTTTCTAATAAAAATCAAAATGGTTCAACCAATGTGTAAAAAGGTGCAATGGTTGCACTTCCAAGGATATATTTCTCATGTGACCAAACCATTTCCAGAAGACCTGCCTTTATTTGCAAGAAGAATTTGGTAACCAAACAATTGATACTAAAAATGGAAAACAAATAAAGGACACTAAAGGAACAAAAGGATTTATTCTGCTTATTTACCCTCTGTGTGATGACAGAAAAAGTCATGTGAACCTGGTCCTAAGCCAAGCTTAGAAATACAGTTCCTTAGTTTTCAAATATTTATTGTTAAGGTCAATGACCATCATGAAACAAAAGGGAACAAAATAGGAAGCACATAAAACACATACTTCAAATATGTAGAATAAAATAAAATAGACCCCAAAAAACCACAGAGTATGGTTTTAGCTACAGAAAGCCAGCATACAAATAAAATTATGCATGTATGTATGCACGTCTGAAAGAAAGAAAAAACCATAAGCACTGATTCACATGTTACAATAAACTCTTGGTTTATTACTCCCAATTTGAACAGAGTGAAATGGGAGTCATTCTGCTGCATGCACTACCATGCTGCTGGTTTATGACTTAGCATGGCAGGTGAACATGGTCTGTCAGCTAACATGTTCAAAAAGGTGATCTGATAAATATTTTTCTTACTTCTGAAAAGCTTTTGACATCAGAAAAAATGGCAGCTTCATAGTGAAAATCCTACACAGTCTACAGAATTCATTCCTGACTTTTGAAGGAATTATACAGCCTACTTAAAAACGCAGTAGTTGAATCCCAATTCTTGCATGTCTTGATAATACAGTAGCATATTTCCTTTCATATAGCAGTTGAGGCTCACTCAGGATTTTCTAGTCCTTACCTTTTTCTGCATGCTCTATAATCTGACGAATAGCTTTTTTCAGACTGTTGGCTCTCAACATCAATTGCTCACGTGGACGAAATATCTGAGGACGGGCAGTGCAAGAGGAGCCTACTGAACGCTCACTAGAAGAATCACAAGCACTGCCTGAACCATCGCCATCTTCTGTCTCTTCTGCTATGGTAGGAGGCGGGTTTGGCAAAGATGACAAAGCCTGAGATTCTTCATTCAGTGTTTTCAGAAGGGAGTCGAGCTTCTCTTTCAAAACAGAGCACTACAAGTACAAAGCATAAAGTTTTATAGAAATTGTATAAAGTGTGTGTGCGTGGGTTGGAGAGAGAGGGAGGGAGAGAGGGAGAGAGAGATTTGAATTTCCTTTCCCCCCAAATACCTTTCTTGCCATGACTTCTGATTCCTCAGAGCTTTCTGGTGCTTTCTCATAGGCTTTCCCTACTCGAGCCACAAAATCCTTCACAGTCTCACAGAGCACCCTAAGTGAAATAGAACAGATAAGCAATAATTATTTTCCCAACATGCATAATATAGCAGACTTCTTTATACCACCTATCTCTGGAGTACTTACTTGGCTGATGAAATGACCACTGAGTGTTGGTCGGATGTCAAGATTTTGGATAAATGAGCAGCCACAGAATCTTCATAGAAGAGAATCTGCTGCACCTTGTCATAGTCAGAAATGGATAATTGTTATCACCCCATCTGGACTTGCACATTACAGGGTCAACATGGAGCAGTACATGCTGTATTCTTGGCTCCCCATAAAGGTGTAGCCATTATTTCAGTTTACTCTACAGTGAGCACTCACAAAACATACAAAAAAAGTCAAGCAACTTGGTATTCACTTCACTGTGGCATCAGACAAGGGAAATGATTGCAGTAAAACTTAACATTTGTTTGAGCTATGAAAACAATTAAAAATATTTTTTAATCTGGAGAATGCTTTAGTTTTTAGTCTCTCTGAGTCCTTTCTACATATCTGAGTATAGAAGCCATGCCTCCCCTTAGAGCTATTTCCCCATGTATCTATCTCATAGGTGTTTTGCTCTGCTATCATTAACTTTTCTTAGTTCATTTTCATGGTCCCCCCAATGTATACAACTACCTCAGAATCTTCACTGAAATCTTCAGTGACTGTAGAAGCAGATGCTTGTCGAGGAAGTTTTGTTTCATACACCATAATGCTCCACCTATTGAAAAAGAGACATCACAGCATTTAATACAAATTAGATACCCTTAAAAGGGCACACGTTGTTTATGAAGAAGCAACAGGAAGTGGATGCTTAAGGCAGATGGTTCTAGAAGGAACACATTTTCCCTTCTTACATCTCTGTATTAAAAATGAACAGAGGAAATTGATCGTTTTGACTTTTTTTCTGGTTTAGGTGCAACATGTGCAATGAGGCAGGGCCAGCAGGATGCCTTCACACAGAGACAAATCTCATCTCTTCAAACTCACAAAAATACTCTTAAACTATTGGGAAGGAAGGAGAGCAACGTTCCTGAAAAAGCAACTCCTCCTAAAATTAGGGAATCCTGGGATACATAGGAGGAACTATTCAGCATAGTTATTACTATATTGACTGATACAGAAAACAGCTGCTGTTAAAAGAATGCCATACAAAAATCTTTCAGAGATGCCTTCCTCTTTTCCACTGCTTTAGCACACAGCTCGTTAAACACCCACAACCCGTTAAACAGACTCAGGGCAGAGTAAAACAGACCCACTGACAAAAACTTCAGACTTTGGGCCATATCTAGCACTAAAGCTCCAGAAGTGCAAGGGACTTCCATGTGCACATTTGGTGATTCTGACTATCACTGTGTTAGGGAACAGGAGCAGAATCATAGAACAGCACCTACCTGTCAAGCATTTTGGTACTGGCCCTTTCCAGCTTTTCCAGTATCTGAGGAAGTTGAGTGTCATCATCACAAGCAGATCCCCAGCCTAGCACACGGGCAAGATCATTGCCTGTGCCCAAGGGCAACACTCCCAACTGGCACTACATAGGAAGGGGAGAATAAAAATAAGACTAGCCCAAAGGGATTCACTGCCCACACCAACTCTGACCACTGAATGTTTTCTAGTTGATTTCTTACAGTAAAGACGATGTGAGAAAATTACACAGTAAAGAGTCCAGTTAAAAAGAAACTATGTCGTTAATATTTCACCCATATTGTTTCACCATTTTCAAATTATTTTGTTGTTTTATTTTTTGCAGATTGCAGTCGCCACACCCCAGATCCTTATTTAAGAATTCCTACCCATTAAAAAAATACATATATTTCCCCAGCTTTCCATTACAAGGAATGGTGGCTTATTCCTATTCAAAGCAATTATTTAAAATCTACTTTTTCTTCAAATCTTGCCTTTCAACATCTACAGGTCTTTTAAAAAAAATATGGAGACCCACTGCTGGAGTTTACAACAATAACAACAAGAAGGATGCAATGTAGGGCTGGCAACAGTCAAAAATAGCTGATAAGAAATCTGTTTCTAAAAAGTTAAAGTGTGAGAAACAGAGTTCAATTACATTCTTGACACTGAACAATAGTTGAAGGCTTTGTTAAAGATCAGTATTTCAGTTAACCACAAAGTGGTGCTATTGCCATTTTGAAACAAGAATTATTTGTTATCATAAAGACAATACTTCCATTCCAAGCAAATAGCTATTTCAAGAACTAGGCATGATTTATATGATCAAGTATTAGCCCAACGATAACTTCAAAACTGCCTGCACAGAGGCTACTCTACATGGTTTGTGCCATGAAACTGTGAATTGGAATAAAGGGTTGGAAGACTGCAGCGGCATAGTGAAAGCTGAAAGTTACGCATGGTGAACATCTACACATGAATGAGTTGCTATGCGGAACAGTTGCTATGCTGGACTTAAACAGGGCCTTGTGAACCAGCCCTAAGCAAACAAATACATAAAAGACTATACCCTTTAAGACTTCCTGAGACCGGAAAGATATTTGGCTGGGGGAAAATATTGTGATAAACACTAGGTGGGGGCAACACCTACTGCTGCTCTCTTGCAAATGAACCTTACTCACATTCAGTAAACACCGAGTTGGGAATCCCATGTTTGTCATGCAAACTTTCAGTCTTAGATATTTCGTTATTCTAGGCAAAATTGTATTTCATAAGTTCCTCCTTGCTCTCTTTTGTCATTTAGCCAATCCACATGTAGAATGGCAACTTAGAGAAATTACCTGTTTATGGAGACTAAGGCTGTCAATTTCAGAGAGAACCCATCCAACGCTTCCATCCCCACCACATACCAGAATTCGGAAGGTGTCGAATTTCTGGAATAAACGTAAACTGCACAGGAAAAAAAGGTGTATCTGCTGTAATGTATTATTAAAATACGAGAGAGTTTAACAACTAAAATCTAATCAACGGGAGTAATAAAGACTTCAAATTAATCAGAATCTGTATTTGCAGGGGCAAAGTAACAGCAGTGTACCAGTTAGCCATCTATGCAACACAAAGACATAAGTTTGGGTACTAGAGTATTTGGGTTTTTTTAAGCAGATACTTTCTTCCCAGAACAAGAACCACAGAGAGTGGTTTGCAATTCAAGAAATAAATGAAAGGTTCTATGGAGCTTCATAAGGGGTACCGTATCCCTGCAGTAAATGTAACAGAATGAACACATATATTTTGAGACCATAGCTAAGTGGTTGAGCATGTGTTTACATCAAGAGGTCTCTAGGCTCACTCACCTGGCATCACCAGTTAAAGCAGGCAATAGTGGATTAGATGGACAAATAGTCTGACCTAATAAGGCTGCTTTCTAAACTTTAAATGCGTTCTTATTCAGAGACACAGAGAAGCATAAATTACGGTAAGTCTGCAACTTGTGTGCATTTAACTTGTGCACATTCAGCTGTATGTGCATGGCCAAAAAAAAAAAGGGGGTGGAGTTCCAAGAAAAATGACTTTGGCAATCCCACCCACCATTGAATCCAGTGGGCTCTGACATTATTATAATAATAATAATAATAATAATAATAATAATAATAAATTTTATTTATATCCCACCCTCCCCAGCTGAAGCTGGGCTCAGGGCGGCTAACAACAATAAAACAATACAGCAGTACAACACAACACAACACTCTAAAATCATTCATTATAAAATTAATTCAAATCAAACCAATGGCAACCATTGGGCCAGAGCTCCGCGAAGATTGCCAAAGGAGGGAGTCAGGATGTGCCCTGGCCAAAGGCCTGGTGGAACAGTTCTGTCTTACATTTTGAAGTTAGGCAAGACCCCCAGAATGTAACCCCAACTTAAGTTGCAGACCTATCATACAACACTCAGGCATCAAGACTTTCAATATAATTTTCACGCAAGGTACACAACAATCCTAAGTAGAGAAGACGTCCCTAGATATAGTAGCTTCCAAATCTACTTATAAAATGAAATCAAATCCTCATATATCACAAACTTACTGAGAACAGCAGCCTAACTTTTGTTGAAAGCAGCAACAAAGCATAGATACATGAATGTTAATCAATGTGGATATACAACAGATACCTACACCCCAGAATTTGAGAATATTGCCACCGATCACAGATGGATACATTAGAGGTTATATTCTATACCCACATTATAGAGAGCACTCACCCTGTGAGCATTAGGATTCTCTCTGATCCCCTCCTCCTCAAGTAATACAGTCAGTTCTCAAATGGCTCCGTTTTCAAACATTTCGGCTCCCGAATGCCGAAAACCCGGAAGAAAATGCTCCGGTTTTCGAATGTTTTTCAGAAACCAAACATCCCACGTGACTTCCACTTGAGTGCAAGAAGCTCTTGCAACCAATTGAAAGCCGCGCCTCAGTTGTCAAACGTTTTGAAAGTCAAACGGTCGTCCGGAACAGATTACGTTTGACAACCAAGGTTTCACTGTATACACATTCTTTTTCTCCAATATTGCCACATTATATAAGCTCATGCTCTGTCCCTAATGCCTGGGGCCACTCTAAGTATTTGCAGGCATCTGTACATCAAGAGAGCATCTCTTACCCGAGGTGAGGTCCTCCATTCATAAGATCAAAGACCTGTGCAGGATTCAGCAGTTGTTTGAATCTTCGTAGGAACTTTACTCCCTGGTTGTCTCCACTTTTTGAGTTAACAAAGACCAGCAAAGGGCTTGTGCAAGAAGGGGGACAAGTGGCTTTCCAGAACCCTGAAGGGAAAAGCAAAAATTAAGAATAATTGAGCTCTATTACCACAGGGTGGCTAACAGTCTGCAGGTCTTTACGTGATCTTTAACCAGAATATTACATGGAACTATACGGCTGTTTCAATATACTAACTGTTTTCCCCCCTTTTTTAAAAAATTGAAATATTCCAATGGTGACATTTTAATTCTGTCTTTTAAGATTTGGAGAATGGGTTCATTATTAGCACAGTGGCTGTACTAGGTTGCCTTTAGTACAGAATGTTGTAGCATGATGGCTGATAGGATTGAGATTCTCTCAGCATATGACATTCCTGCTCAAAGATCTGCACAGGCTGCTGCTTTGTTACTGGGCCAAGTTCAAGGATTTACTAATGGCATATAAAGTCTTTAACGGTTAGTTGCCATGGATTGCATTGCCCTAATGTGGTTATTTGACTGCTTTGATCTGCGGATCTTGCACTTTTACAAGTACCGTATTTTTCGCCCTATAGGACGCACTTTTTCCCCTCCAAAAATGAAGGGGAAATGTGTGTGCGTCCTATGGGGCGAATGCAGGCTTTCGCTGAAGCCTGGAGAGCAAGGGGGTCGGTGTGCACCGACCCTCTCGCTCTCCAAGCTCAGGAGCTATCCGCTAGCCGTGGAGACCCAGCCTCCCAGGGCTAGCGGAGCTGCCTGCCCAGAGCTGGGCGCGCTGAGCCCGCACGCCCAAGCCGGGATGCGCAGCGTCCGCTGGCCGTGGGAGGCAGCGCGGCTCCCAGGGCTAGCGGAGAGCTTGCCTGCACCCAGAAGCTTGGGGCGCGCTGAGCTCCGCACGCCCCAAGCTTCGGGATTAGCGCAGCGCTCCGCTGGCCGTGGGAGAGCCACGCGAAGTCGCCCGGCTCTCCCGCGGCTAGCAGAGACCTTGCCGGCGCCCAGAAGCTTGGGGCGCGCTGAGCTCAGCACGCCCCAAGCTTCAGGATTAGCACAGCGCACCTGGGGGGGGGGGAATTCCTTTATTTCCCCCCCAAAAAACTAGGTGCGTCCTATGGGCCGGTGCGTCCTATGGGCCGGTGCGTCCTATGGGGCGAAAAATACGGTACCTAACAGTTGTTCCAATATCTTAGTGTGACAACACCTATACTAAATTTGAGCTCTACAAATTTGCAGTCTAGGTCTCCCATCTTTGTGAATGTAAGAAAGAAGATAAGGAACGAAACAAGGAAGAAGGAAAGAGAAAAAGATTATGGTGCACATAATGAGTATTAGGCGCTATAATGAGAATAACTGCGTTATGCCAACGTTGGTTTTTTGAGCTATTTGCTTGATTGGCAAAGTGTGAAACAAACACTGAAAAGCATTAGCTGATACCTACCATCCGAATCAATGCTGTTGAGAGCTGTAGGAGGGATGACAGAAACTTTGCAAAGGCCAAGCGGGCATTTGGTTGGTAATAAGTCTCTGCATGAGGTATGTACCTGGGAGGAAAATATATTAGCTAAAGTTTTGCTTCTATTCAGGTGTTTTAATGAAGAAGAAATTCACAGGAATGGAAAGGAAAAGAAATATACACTGAAATCACAAACTAGCTTAATCTTGGGAGTCCAGTCCATGATCTGTGAAACACAGTGGTTACAAGTCCAAAATTAAACCACAGTTTCCAGTTGGGACACAACACAAAACCTGCCTAAGGAAGCCCACAAGGAAAGGAGCAGGGTGGGAGTTCCCAAAGCAGGGCCATTACATCTGAACAGGCTTTAGCCCTGTAGTGTTTTGTTTGCATGCATTTACAAACCTGTGTGCATAACGCAGGATGAAATCGTTATATCAACACTTAGTCTATCCAGCTCAAAGGAATATAAAATCAGTTCCCTTCTTACAATACTTGGGACACTTGATTCTGAAAGTATCCTAAGAATACTGACTTATGGCTCCAGAGATTGGTAAAGAGTAGGTTTGTTAAACTGGAAACACTGGTGAAAATGTAGGCATAAACAAGAAATTCTACAGTCGACAAGAATAAATAATGAGAGCAGTACCTAAAACAACAGGCACAGAAAAACAACTGATCTTTCACAAAGGCCCAAGGTTTTTTCAAAAGTTTTGCAGTTAATTGCATATCATTTTCCTTAAATAATTCTGTGAACAACTATAAAACATCAGAGGCCAAATGGTTTATCTGGATATCTTACGCTTCCCTGGCTATTTGCTTACATTTCAAATACATTTTCCACACACACTCATGTGCATGTAGAATGCCAAGAAATTCATTATCCTTAGGATTTACACTTAAGAATCAGTGAAGTATCCAAAATAATTCAGTGCTATTCTGCTTGACTGTCAAGGAAAGGCAGGCCTTGCCAAAATAATATACGGCTTGTTAATAAGCGATTCCCAGGATACAAGAAGAGCATATATTTAGGACTCTACATTCTGCATCAGAAAGATCTGTAATACATTTATTATTGCTTTCAGATGTGACCTTTATTTTCTGGCAAAGGACCATTAAGCAAGCAATCTCTATTAATCTAATTCTGTTTATTCAACATAGTGAAATTTCCTTAGGCTGCTGTGGTAACATCATGAGAGATCACCGACATTTCTACCCATCTTAGAATCAGTGGATAAAGAGCCTATAGATCGCTACACATTTTGCTATGCTTATCCACGACTATGTAAAAGACTGGTAATTGGCAAAAGCAGCATAAAATCTTTTAAAAATATCTAACAGCTGGCTTATTTTAGTTGAAATCTAATTAGCAAATAAATAAATAAATTCAGTGGGATGCCGCTGAAACTTTCTCCTTACATAGTAGCATTATCAGAATACACAGGCACAGTGCAGAAAAGGGAAGTAAAATTGAACAGCGTTGCAACATTAACTGACCATTGCTTTGCACCAGAGACAGCGCCAGTCTTGCAAGCGCAGTACACTGCCACATGTTTTATCACACACTGTGCATTTGGCACTCACAGGCAGGTTTCCTTCAAGCCACTGGTGTGGCATTGAAATCTGCAAACAAGCAGAAAATAAATCACTTTCGTTATAGGGCCGTTACTAGACTCTATGCCCTCTTTGAAATACCGAGCAACACTCACCCTTCCCATTGCTTTATTATTATTAATATTTATTGAATTTGTATACCGCCCTATACCTGGAGGTCTCAGGGCAGCTCACAGAACAAAATCAAAATATAAAACCACAAAATATATAATCAAAATAAAAACAACAACCCAATAACACCCCCGTACTTTAAAAGTAAGTATACATGTTCCTCTCTGAAGTCTTTAGAGAATCTAGAGAATCTTAGCAGAAGCAGAGGTGTAAGTGAAATGCCTTCTATATGCCTGTTAACCTTCCCCACATGAGAAATGGCCTCATACGTACCCCGTCTTCATCCTCAATGATATCCTTCCCAATAGATGCTAGTGTTGTCCATTTGCAATTATTAGTTGCCCGGACAGCACACCTCTTGTGGGCTTTAAATTTGCAGACTAGAAAAGCCAGGAGGAGAGGGAAAGGAAGAAAGAGAAGAATAGATATGAGGTGAGCTGAGCAAACACTCTATTTAAATCTACACGAAACCCAGTGTCACAAAACCCATTTCTTTTCTTCTGCTTTTAGCATCACTAACCAGTCTAATCTAAACAAGGCATGTACAGGAAATCTTGAACCTGTTCTAATTAGAAATTAATTATCCTCAGGAAACATCACATACACATTATCAAACTACAGATAATTTTATTTGAATCAGACGTATTTTCTGAAAAATATTCTAAAACAATCCAGTAGGGAATAGTTATGTTGATGAATTACCTGCAGAGAAAAAATAATTAATGTAATATTTCTAAAAGATTCTTGAATTTAATTGTGGACCTTAGATGTATTTCTCTCCCCTTATATCATGTAACACCCTCTAAGGATCTACGTTTATTTAAAAACAGATTACAACACCCAACCTGAGAGAGGTCGCTGACCACAAAGCCCAACCACAGATATCTTTAGTAGCCAGGTTTCTGCAACACGGAATGAAGATTTGTGAATGTTATATAACATTAACTTAAATGTTAGATGCAGGGTTTTTTATTACTGATTTTATTGTACTGAACCCTCCTGGAATCTTTTATATATGCCAACAAAGTTCAGATAATTTAAAAAAAAAGAAGTTATCTTTCTCATTCATAAGATTCTTAGCTCCTATAATTTAACAAAAGTTATGAAGCACAATAAATGTAGAATCAAACCTAACCAGTTTTATTTTGTACTGTAGCTAATCCTGTTTTGGTATAATTTTTCTCAGTCATTGCATAAGCAGGATTTTTAGATCAAGGCCTATTTCATTTGCAAGATGTCAAAGTCTGGCAGGGAACATTTCAGGATCATACGGTTATTCCCGTCTTGGAATGGTGACCAACCAATGGGGTGCGAGTCTGACCAATGCCTTCTTGGAAGCCTAACAGCTTTATGTTCCAAGCACAAAATAATGAAAGGATTTTACCTTCGCAGGAGAGTCCGTGGGACGTGACTCCAGATAGTGCCTCCCGACACACATTGCAGTATGTTGGCCGAGCATGCGAACAGGCGTACCAGTTATGCATCCCTGAGAAATGGTCCATACTGTACTGTGTAGACTGAAAATGAATTTATGGTAAACAAATGAAGATGACATCCCAATGGGACATTGATAGAGATATTAAATTGTGCAAACTATATATTTCTGAGGCAGAATCTACACCTGTATAATCTGTGGAGCATTGTAGCCACGGAAGAACAGAGGAACAAGAATGCCCTGCTGTATGTGGGGGTGGGGAAATAAGCAACAATCTGAAAAGTACATCAAGGGGTGAAATGGTAAACTTCATCCCACACGGTACAAGCACAATGAGAGGAATGTAGTCTGGAGGCTGTAAGAAATGTAAATGAAATGCCCACCAAGCATTTCTGCATAGAACTATGGAGTAAAATCGGCTTGAAATGGTCTGGATTGGTAATTCAAAATTTTGCCAGCTGCAAGCAAGAAAGAAAGATAATAGAATCATAGAAATGTAGCGCTGGAAGGGACCCAAAAGCTAATCTAGTCCAACCCCCTGCGATGCAGGAATCGCAGCTGACAGCTAAGTCCACCACCTTCCAAAGCAGTCCAGTCCACTGTAGAACAGCTCTTATCATTAGAAAGTTCTTCCTAATCTTTAGTCGGAATCTCCTTTCTTGCAAATGGCAGGCATTAGGGCACCAGTCCTGACATGTACTGCAGAGTGGGGCAAAGGCACCTAACCCCCATATCGAGGTTCTGAAATGGATCAGGTACTCTGCACCTGCAATTTGCTAACTGCATGCATGGAGTCTTGCCTAGTTTTGCCCATATTAATAGTGGGAAATGGTGTCAATACACAATATTCAAATATTGTATTCTTTCTCATACACGTTAAACATTTTTACTATCTTAAGTATTTTAAGACCTGAATTCTCATGGCATTTATCTGCTTGGAGTTTTTTGTGTGTGTTTACTGTTTTTTAATTTATGTAAATTTAATTTTTTATGAATGTTTTTGATTTTTATTTATCAATCTATAATTTTTTCCACCGAGGACACTCCAAAAAAACAGCAGCCATTACAAAATCATATCTGTACCTTAGAAGTGGTGGTTTCCAAAATAAAAATAGTACTTTTGAAGTTCCAACTCTTTATCATAACTGTACTAATCACAGTCCACCTACTTTACTGTTTGTACTCTTGCAAAATTGAAGACATCACTCCACGTAGTACTCACTTATGGGAAAGTGCAACTTTCTTTCCTGATCTTGGATTACTCATGATGACAAGGCCTGAATGACTAAAGTGAGCAATCACTTTAAATTCAGACAGTTTATATACATGTTCTGATGACCACTGACTTCAGAGAATATTTAATTATAACTGCTGAAACAAGCAGCACATATGAACAGTAAACAGTGTATGCGTTGGGGGTGAGGCTGTCACTGCATTTAAAAATAAAGGGCAGATACACATCTATACCTAACCTATTTCATTACCTCAAAATGTTCACGATTCTGTACAGTCTTCAGTGCTGCAATCCAGTCCTCCATTTCTTTTCTATTATCTGCACACAAGATGAGTTTCCGACATGGAGTAATGACCTGTAAGGTAAGAGAATAGTCTGGTACTCTTAACTCCCTGAGATACTAACAGAAGAGGAGGATAGCAAATAATGACTGTTTCATTCTGACTTAAAGGTTTCTGGAGACAGGAGACTATTTCAACAGATGCAGGAGAAGGTAGAGAACCAAGCTTTGCAATTGAGCAACAAAAGGGAAATAAAACCTAGGGCCTTTCCAGGTGACCAAAATAAAAAATCCTGTGCCAGAGACCACATCTTCCAAAACACTTTAAAAATGGTTCTCTGTGCTTTGATGCTATGTGGTTTATGGAAATTATGAGCACTGAAGGAGTCTATTCAAGTCTTCCAGATGTCCTAACTTTGAAACATTATTAAAGTTCTTAACTCTAGCACAGATTTCCCCAACCTTGGTTCCCCAGATGTTGTTGGATTACAACTACTATAAACCCTGACTACCAACTCTGCAGGCTAAGGATGGTGGGAGTTGTAGTCCAGAAACACCTGGGGAATCAAGGTTGGGAAAAGCTACTCTGGGGTAGTTGAGCGACTGAAGAACTTGCCATAGGCACATTTTCTCCTGATGTTTCTTAATCTAAGACAATGCAAGTTGGACATCTTTATTTCATAGTTAAGCTGCATACACACAGTCAACCTAGGATATTGAGCCAAGTGATATTAAGAGCTCTAACAACAGATTTATTTTGATTTGTTCTAAAATCTACCCATCAGTAATGCCACTATGGGTTTTTTGTTCTCATATAATGTAATGAGTATGGGTTGCTTGTGCGTAAGTTGCCACCTCTCCTGGCTATGTTGCCTTGTTTAAACCTTTCTGTCTGGACAGCCCTTCACTTCGTGGCTGCCTCAGTCGCTAGCAGAATCCGTCAGTGGGCGTTTCTTAAACCTTTTCCAACATAAAAGTTGTTTGCCGCCAAGTCTCCTCCTACTCTCCCTGCGCGGAAGCCTTCTGCGCAGGGAGGGCGTGGGTAGTGGAGGACCCGTGCTCTCCCCGCTGGTGTCCGGTGAAGAGTCCTGGAGCCCTCTCGCCGATTCCCCCATCTGCCCCCCTTTATCTCTGGTGTTGCGCTGATTTGCTTCCCCATCTGCAGAGCTGCCTCTCTCCCTGCTGGGCCCTTCTCCAGCATCATTTGAGAGCCTCCCCTCCGCCTCTAGCTCCGATGTCAGTTCCCTGACATATAATGAATGGGAAAGCATTAAAACAAGGCTCTGGTTAGATTAGAGATTGTGCAAAATGTCCAGACTCCCAACTGCAAACAAAACCTTCAAAAAGCCAATGAGAGAGTTCTTGTGAACTTTCTCTACACACTTTATTGTTGGTAGCATTCATACCCTGCTCAGAAGTTTATTTCAATATTTTACAAAATTAAATGTCTTTTCTACCCAATATGAAAATGACAAGTTCTAAACGGCAGTTTTATATACACTGAAAGCTGAAGCTTTCTAGCTTTTGGGTATGACTGCTGCTGTACCAAATGCCTAAATTTATAGGTCTGAGATGCTATGCAATTAAAAGTCCCTGCTGTTATGTGGGACAAATTGTCCAGTGTGGCCTAAGGAAGCATGGCTAGTTGGAGAATTAGTTGGAGAGGATGCCTTTTGTCTAATATGTACTCACAACATTCCCAGCTGTCCTGTGTCTTTTGTCCCATTCCTCCCCCAAGTGCCCAAAGCTTTCCCAGCCATTCCGAAGACAATTGGAGGCCTGTAATTAGCTGAAGTAGAGGTGCCTATTACACTTTCAGCTAAAACAGATTTATACTAACAAGCAATGAAAGAGGGGAAACTGTAATTGTGTAGACCTAACTAAAAACAGCAAAATTAACAGAGTAACCGAATTATCAGGAACACTAAAACAATACAATTAATTAACACCAACTATTATTGATACTACAGGAGGCTTCATATGGCAGGGAAACCATATACAAAAATACATTTTAAAAAAGAAAAAAAATGTATTGAGGATATGGTATTAAGTCTGCATGCAAAGTAAGTGATCTACTACTAGCCTATTCTTCCTCCAGTGAGATATACTGGTCCTTTATAGGGTAGGGAAACACAAAAACTGTAACAGTCCCCATATTAGCTGACTTGAGTTTAGTTTTATAAAGCACATTAGGTACAAAACCCAAAAGAACCTAAACAGAATCGTGTGACCTAGTGGCTGGAGGAGTATGCACTGTACCCCTCAAACCAGAAGTGAGCAGACTTCCGGTTTGTGGACTTTTCCCTTTATTTTTGCCACATGAACCAGGATCCACAAAATGCCAATCAAAGTTACCTGATCACAATGCAGCAAACCAAATCCACATCTCTGTTAATACAGATTAGGAAAGCCACACAAAACTTGGTCATAGGCAAACAAGTAAGACTATCATTTCATAGGTGCAGATCACCAACACTGAGAGATAAATGTTAAATCAAAGCCAAGAGCTTAATCCATGGCAGCAGCCACCCCTCTCGCCATTTATTTTTTCCCCAGCAGCATTTTAAGTCAGCACTCTTATTTATAACTTAACAAAATAAAAACTGTTTATAATATCATGCAAAAAATATTTAGTATTATGGACATGTTTCTTATTAAAAATGTGTTGGGTTTGCATGGAATTCTCAGCATCTATGATAGGGCATTATGGGTTTAGCAACATCATTTTAGCCAAGTATGTTGAATGAAACCATGGCTACGAAAGGCAGACTAACACTTTTCACAAACTGAATTAAAGCAGCTACTGTTTCTTTTAGAGCTGTTAATGGGGTAAAGATAAGATAAATCATTTGAAGGAGTAGGGTAATAAATGCAAGGAAAGGAGAATACCTCTACGAACATAAGCAAACAACTCCCATACAAAGGGTTACTAGTGCATATTGTGTGCCTGCTGCAGTAACATTACATTGAAAACTGAATAGAATGAAGACAAAGGGAAATGGAAATATGCTAAACCACAGCCTGGAGAAGAGTAACTCTGGCCACAAAATGCCATCCACATAAGAACATCAGACCTGCACAATCAGAAAGCAGGATAATGCATACAGAACATATAGAAATACAGAATCATAGAACTGTAGGATTTGAAGGGGCCACAGGGAATATCTAGTCCAGGGGTCCTCAAACTTTTTAAACGGGGGGCCAGTTCACTGTCCCTCAGACACTGCTGGGGGCCGGACTATAGTTTGAAAAAAATATGAACAAAATACAGAGCTACAAAAACAATTTAACAGCAATAATGACTAATAGTGATGATGCACATTAAACACGGGGAAGCCCATTTTAAAACCTGGTCATGGCTTCTAAGAGGAGTAGTATGTGCTTCAAATGTGTGGTACTTTAAAGGCATTGCACATGGAGCTGAGAGACATTTAAAGATGAACAACATGCATAGGTGGCCCAGACGAAAACCCTTTAAAGTCTCACGTGACCAAAAGTCCTTAAAGAGAATTTACATCCTCAGTTTGAGGGTCCAGGGACCCAGCGCTTGCAAGCGGAACAAACAAAAGGGGGGAAAACCCCACTGAGTTTGGACATTGTGTGAAAAACAGCTTTAAAAGAAATAGTAATTCTGGGAAGCGAGGGAAGCGGGCTTGGTGGGTAGAAGCGTATACTGATGACGGGAAATGGGAGAATGAAAAGCAAAATGACTGTTGAGGGAATAGTTGAGTAAGAAACTGCCTTTGCACAAGAAAGACGAAGAAAAGGAAACTGGGGAAAGAAAGGGAAGCAAGAGGAGAGGCTTTTCGGTTGAAACTGCCAGGAAGCAAAGCAGGGAGGGCGGGAAGTGCCAAGTGGAGAAAGGAGCGTGGAGTGAGAGAAAACTTCGGGGCTCAGTCCACAACAGCCTCGCCGCTCCTGGGGCTCCTCCATACCTCGTCAAGCTAGAGCAGCCTCTCTCCCGGCCGACGGGGCCTCGCCTTCCCCGGCCCTCTGGACCTGCGTGTTCCCTGGCGCTGCCCACCATGTTCCTGTGCCACTAAAGTTTTGGGCCAAGACCCATTAGACAGTGGCAGGTTCTGCACTTGCCGGGCGGGCTGGGTTCAGGACCCTGGTGGGCCGGATCTGGCCCGCGGACCGTAGTTTGAGGACCCCTAATCTAATCCAACCCCCTGCAATGCAGGAATCTTTGCCCAATGTGGGGCTCAAACCCACAACCCTGAAATTAAGAGTCTCATGTTGTACTGACTGATCTATATGATGGCTATATGCATATAGCCAATGCATATCATCACAGAATTCAGGACAAAAAACAAATTTTAGGAAATATTTTCCTGCTTTACAGATATGGAACTCTATGGTTGAGATTACTCTCAACGTCAGCATGTGAATCTATGATAGAAAACTCAAACATAAACATAAGTGCCCTTTATCACTATTCACACTCCTATTTTCAGCAGACATCACAGACACAGGAAACAGAGACACAAACATTCTGCAGAATAAACATAATCCAAAACTAGTTGAAACTATCAAAAAAAGCATCAAAATAATCAATCCTATTATAATATAAATTATATCATAATTTCCAAGTACAATTAAAATTCCAACCCTGTCCTGGTGAGTGCAGTAAAATTGGTGGGATGACACACTCACTCCCACTCACGAGCCACTGCTGCAGCAGTGCGTGAGCAACACACATGCACACACAACACACTGATGAAGAGAGCTTACTCACTGTTTTCTTTGCCACTGTCTAGTTGCCAAGCTGCCGCAGTTCTCTTCATTACTAAAATGTCCAGAAATAGCTCACTCTCCACTCACCGCTCACCCTGGCATCACCAATCACAGATAAGGAAGACAAGCCCACAACTCCAATCACAGACAAGGCAGCTTGCATAAAACTACTACTGACCTGTCCAGCTATTGCTACCACCACTGCCACTAAGCTCAACATGATATGTATGTAGGCTCTTCATGCTCCCATATCTGAATTAAATAATAATAATAATAATAATATTTGTATCTCACTTTTCCAACCACAATATTGATCTCAAAGTGGCTCACAATAATGCCAATAGCATTTGTTGCAATTATCTGACCCTTGCTGTGCCTTTGCAAGGGTCGGAACTCACATGAGATCAGGTTTAGGATACATCACTAAGCATGATATGAAAGCTGCATTTAAGGAAGGGTCAGAAGTCTACCACAATCCATCCTACAGTAAACCAGTGGACTGCCTTGCCCCTGCCTTAGGCAAAGTCCTGTCTCTCTAGATGGTGCCCACAATGAACTAATCTTCATAAATGTATGCACTAACAATTTGATTTTCTCACTTCTCCTGGCTAGTTGTTATCTCTCAGTATTAAGACATAGCATCCTGCTCTTGGCAAAACTATTCTCATGTTAAAATAAATAGGTTAAATAAGCTGGATAACAACTTGCGAAAATAAGGAATAACTAATTTTACTTAAGAGCAGAATAGGTCTTCTTCACCAATGAGCAACTGCAAGCATGAAAATTCATGAAAGCAGCTGTTTTTATTCCAAAACATTAAGTAAATCCCCATGCTTCAATCTCTCTGGTATTTGCTACCTTTTCCTTCACTCATTTTCGCTATGCTGTTTATATTAATTTCCTCACTTGATTTATATCAAAAGGAATCCTTACCCATTGTTGTCTCCAGGTCTTTCCCAACATTTTTCAGCTGCCCTGAAAACTCTCAAAATGAAGCAGTGACTTTGGCCAAGTGTGTAGTGAAATGTCCTTTTATCAGAATAGATGTCACATTGACCACAACAGACAGAAAAATAACTTAATGATACACTGGCTGGGTTTTAGATTAGCTTGAAATACACAGACACATACCAAGAGATAGAGGTGGTCTCAGTGCATCTGCTAAATATAGCTATCCTGATGCAGCACTCTTTTGCAAGCAGCCAACACTGGAGTGTGATAGGGACTGATAACTATAGCTGTTTCCTCTTTACTCACATCCTGCTTGAAAACAGCCCTATGAACAATTTGTCAACCTTGAGCTCCCCAAGAGACTGTCAAGTATTTATAAACAGCAAGAAGCATAACGGAAGCTGCTTATTTTTGTAAAAATAAAAAAATTAAAAAATCAGTTCACAGATCTCATTAATACTAACAGGGCTCAGGAGCTTGTTACTACAAGGTGAAAAACATATATATATGACAAAGCACTTTAATATCACTTGGGAAAATTTGCAGCTTCGCTTACCATCGTGCAAAAGTTTCAATCTGAATGCACCCCACTAAATTTAACCTTGATGTTTGTTCACAGCTGGTCTGGGCTCTGACAGAATCCTATAAATGTGTAATATTGTCTTTCCATATTAACTACTGTTCCTAGCAATGCAAAGCAATTGCAAGCACTGTTGTCACAGGTAGAACTTTTATTCACAGGTGACATACAAATCACATAGCTACTGGCGGATTTAAAAAGATGATACAAATACAATTAAACTGAATTTCTGTTTTCACAAGGCATGCTAACAGTGGATGAGACATGCAAGAGTTCTTTAAATAGCATGTATGAAATCAGTATTCAGTTCAAAATTTCACTCATTTGGGGCTTTATGTTCCAAGAAATATCAATCAGTTGTAGCGCTTGGATTCTTTCCCCCACTCCTGTTCACTTTATAGGCCACCCCTCTGTGCTATCATGGCACAAACCCTGATCCAGTACCTGTAGCTTGAGAACTGTACAAACATAGTGGGGAAGAAAAAAGGGGAGCCTGGCTGTGTCTGTGGAAAAGCCAGATACGTCTGTTTTCCTGTTTTCTAAATACAGCTGCTTCCCTGGTTCTACACAAGTAAAACAACTGACCATACCAATTCACAAGCAGATTCTGGATTAGTAGTGTGCTTTACTAGAAAAGATGAAATAAAAACAGAATTTAAAATATAGGAGAATGGAAATGGCAGAGCATTTCTCAGTGGAACTGGATAGCCTGGATTGCCTCATTCAGGTTCAGCGATAGACACATGCCCTTCTTCGTCTCCCACCTAAGGTGGAGGCACTGCTGGTGTCAAGGGTCTTCTCAGTACCTGTCCCATATTGTGGGACACTTTGCTCCATGAAGCATGGATGCCCCCCACCCCCACTCTGCCTGACCTCCTCTGGCTAAGATTTTTATTCTGGCAAGCTAGCTTGCTAAGGTCATTTGCAATCTCTGCTGTTGTCACTTTCAAATTTTGTGCACTTTATTGTTGCATTTAAATTTTTTTATTGCATTGCGATTTTAAATTGTTGTAAGCTGCTATGAGTGCTACATAGGTACTAGAACAATGGAACAGATGCATGCAATATATAGTAAGCCCACAGCGCATGTACATTTAAATTGTGGGCATTCAGCTTTATGCACGTGGGGGAAAAATAAAAATAAAAAGGGGGGAGAGGTTCTGGGGAAAAATGACTTGGGCAATCCCACCTGCCATTTAACCCAATGTGTTTTGACTATATGTGATTTTGGCTTTAGGCGCAATCCCCAGACTGTAACGCCCACGCAAGATGTTAGCTTACTGTAAAAATAAAATAAAAGTAGAGGAAAGGTAATATTGGGAAGGATCCAGACCAGGGCATGTGGTCATTCTACTTGTGGGCAAGAGGTTCCAAGCTGCCTCCTCTAAGAAGCAGCACCCCACACCTCCTAAAAAGCCTTCACAAAATTTGGGAGGCCCTCCAGGGTGGCATCTCATAAAGGATGTTATTGGTAGGCATCTGGGCCTGCACTGAGAGAAGAAGTGATTCTGCTTGTAATGAGATCTCTCCTTATGTTACTCATCATTATTTATGTGGTAAGTGCTAGCTAACAGGTGCCCACAACAGCTTTTACACACATCTATTTCAGCACTGCTGACCACACACTGCTGCGAAGTAGTTTCATTTTTTCTTCAAGGCACTGCTTGAAATGCTGCATAAACTTGCAAAACTGGTTTGACTGAAAATATGGCGGGACAAAGGGGAAATGAATGTTTGAACAGTAAGTAATGAGGGCTGCACAATGCTACCTTCAGGTCTCTAAAAAGTTATCATCTGCACACTGGCAGAAAAACAAAGGCAGTTTTCTTAAGACATTCTAGGAACAAGTGAAGTAACTTTATGGTTGTTTCCCTTGCTAATATTTATATGTCAGTCATGTCCACAGATAAAGTTTATATTCCATCTTGCTGTCTCTGTCTCTTTATCTTTTCTGAGGTTACCGTGGAACAGCTGACATGAGACTGCTTTCTCTGGGAAAAAAGTAATCTCCCAACCCAGGGTCAAATTCCTTTCTCCATCTGGAAGTTTATTCTGAACAAGTCAGAATTTCAACAAATCCAACAACAGATTCGTATTTGCAAAAGTGCAAGGAAAAGTGAGAAGTTAGCAAAGCAAAAAAAGAAAAGATAAAAGCAACTGCACTGTTCCCTATCCATGGAAACTAAAATTTCATTTTCAAGTCCCCAAACTGTATTTTGCAACTCAGTCTGAGTAACACAGGCCAACCAGGGTTTTTTTTAATGGACTTAGATGTGATATATTCATCATCACACTTCATAAGCATCCCTCCTGCATTCTCCTTTTAATCTCAGCCCTTGACCATGAGGTGGCCACCCAGACCTGTGATCATAATCTGAGGTCCTTCTTCATGTGCAACACAAGAATGGGCCTTTTCTGCAGTGGCTCCCTGCTTGTGGAATGCTCTCCCCAAGGAGGCTCACCTGGGGCCTTTGTTACATATCTTTAGGCGCTAGGTGAAAACATTCCTTTTCTCCCAAGCGCTTGGCTAATTAAACAATCAATGGCCTTTTAAACTGTGGTGGGTATTGTTTTTGTTTGTTACTATGGTGTGTGTGTGTGTGTGTGTGTGTGTGTGTGTGTGTGTAGTAAGCTGCCCTGTGATATTTTGGTGAAGGGCGGTATAGAAATTTAATACATAATAATAACAACCTATTGCTTCCAGCATTCATGGCCAGCATTACAGATCACTGACATTTGTTTTGTACTTCCTAGGACAATGATTCCAAACCACTAGGCCACAGGATCTTAACAGATGAAGTCCTCTGGTACTGGTTATAGAAGATTGCCTGCTGTGTAAATCAGGCATAACCAAGTGCTAGTAAGTGTTGTTGAGCTGTTGAAAACACTTTCACTGTCAGCTCAGAGAAGCCGAAGCTCAAACATCATTACGGTTCAGAACAAGAGGTGTTATGGTATCTTACATGTATCTTTAACTAATTTACTGGGCATCCTTCTTATGGGTAGTAGGTTTATTTGAACAGAAAATGTGGCAGACATGGATAACTCCTAAAATAACAACTCAGGACTTCATATTTGGGTTCATGGTCCAATGGAGTATAAATGAATAGGTGAGAATGCAAAACAGACAATAGATAGCTGAAATGTGGAACATGAATATGGTATGTAACTTCAACCAAACTTTTGCAACAAAAACCACTGGGGCACAGCATTTACCTCATTTGGACATAACTGTAAATAATTGTTTAGAGTGGTGATCTCTCTTCATTTACTCCATCCTGCATGGCCACAAGAAGATCAATAAGCATTTGCTTCCATTTTCAACTGCTCAATTTTATGTCGAAACTGGGAACTGCAGGTAGTACTTACTACTGTTTATCTGAACAAGCCAGGATTGTAAACCAGTTTGAAGCTGGTTTGTTCAGACAAACCTTAATTAAACTAACAAAATATGTTCCCGTTTGGAAATATTAATAAAATGGGGTTAGTTGAAACCAGGAAGCAGAAACCAAAAGCAAAATCTCCTTTTCCTGCTTTGCTCAATCTTGTATTTTATGTAAAACTTTTTGGAAAAAAGAGAAATCTATTGCCATCATTGTAGCATTTCTGTCTCAAAATTCTAGTTGTTGCCTAATGAAAGAACTTCAAATTTTCATCACATTCACCTGTTCATATAAGCAAACAATTGGGACCAAATGTTTTGAAAAACTGAAGTACATTAAAGCAGATTATGCTGAACATAGGCTACCAACCAGCCAGCCATGAACAAAGGCAAAGATTGGGTGTTAAATTCTCTACCAGTAAAACAACTTTCCTTTCCAAGAGAACAAAATCTTTTTACAATCTCAATCTCCTTTTCTTTCCCATTTCTTTACTCAGTGATGAATAACCATGATCCATCTCTTCTTCAGTTTGACTGTTCCTGAAATGTGTCATAATGGATGATTCTGAGTTGCAAGTTGGATATGCATTCATAGTAAACTGTACAGAAACACCCTTTCAACAGTAAATAATTCCATAAAGTACTATTGTCGGAGATCTAAAATAATCCGCAGAGCAATTCTTTGGTAAATACTGATTAAATATTTCAACCTTAACTCATGAAACTAGAATATGTTTACCAAAGGTCTGCCTCTTAAGTTACACCTTCAACAGAAACACTGAGCTATTGAGACTATGCAAATGATAAAACAATATCTAGAAATACTCAGATTTACCAGAATCTAAGCCACCTGCACTGAAAACTGTGCAAGATGAAGTCATCTATTTCTAGCCCTATTATTTATAGACGACAAAAATCTTGTGCATATCTTACTACTGAAGTTGTTAATGCTAACATAAAGGATTAGCTACTTGGAAATCAAGTCCACACCCAAAGGCAATTTTCTGTGGTTCCCAGTGGCTCTATTCTTTTTGAATTAAAGCCATTTTTCAGGTGGTAAGCAACTTTGCTGTTACATCCATCTTTCAAATTTGAATGCAGCAAGTTTGTAATATGTAAATATTTTTATTTTTAGGGGACGCGGATGGCGCTGTAGTCTAAACCACAGAGCCTCTTGGGCTTTCTGATCAGAAGGTCGGCGGTTCAAATCCCCACGACGGGGTGAGCTTCCATTGCTCGGTCCCAGCTCCTGCCAACCTAGCAGTTCAAAAGCACGCCAAAAAGTGCAAGTAGATAAATAGGTACTGCTCCGGCGGGAAGGTAAATGGTGTTTCTGTGCGCTGCTCTGGTTTCGGTGTTCTGTTGCCCCAGAAGCAGCTTAGTCATGCTGGCCACATGACCCAGAAAAACTGTCTGCGGACGAACGCCAGCTCCCTCGGCCTGTAAACCGAGATGAGTGCCGCAACTCCAGAGTTGTTCACGATTGAACTTAACTGTCAGGGGCCCTTTACCCTTTTATGTGTACACAATGCTATGCCTGACCACAGAGGCTCCAATGGCATCAAATTTATTATGAAACTTGGTCATTTTTGATTACCCCTCCCCACACTAGAGAGGGCAGAATGTGCTCCCATCCAAGAATCGATAACCTGTCCAGTACTGTTCTATATAACATTACCATATTGTCAAAACTACCTTACATCTTCTCTCTTTCTCCAGGAGAGACTATAATACATATTTTCTTGGGATAAAACACTTGGATGTTATTTTCACAGGAGTTTTATTTTTAAATGGAGAACTAGTTTATGGACTTAAAAAGGAACAGGAAAATGTAAAAATGCCTCTGGCTTCTGAGCAGCAAGGGACCACTTACTATCTCTACACTCCCAGAATTAGGTTGATTCACTGGCCAGCTCCACCCCTTCCCTGTCCCCCTTCCCCAGCTCCCCAATAATATTTCTGGAGTAGTAAATCAGAACTGCTTCTGATTTTTGTAACTGTAAAATATTTTTCTTGTTTAACTAATTTAAGGTATGCAATGTCCATTTAAGATTCTATAGAAGTATAAATGTTTCATGGTGGCAGAGCCGATACTTGAGTCACAACAGCCAAGGTAGTGTAGCGGTTAAAATTCACTGGGTGGCCTCGCATAAGCTACTGACCTACCTCACATGGTAACCCGTAAAGTACCCTAAGCTACATTATAAGGGAGACTAGAATGTTACTATGAGTTCCTTGGAAGAATGAGATACAATTGTAACAACAAAAGAAAAGAAAAAATGTAATATGTATAACCAAGCATAAACAACGAGTGTACTAATTCGTACAGAAATGTGCTGTTTGCAAGCCTGAAAACAAATTATCCAGATTTGCCAGAAACAATGGAACAAATCAGAACTTAAAGCTCGGTGCTGCTATTTAACATAAAGAAAGAAACCTTCAGTATTTGATTTCTCTTCAAACAAAGCAGAACATATCAATTTCATCAGAGAAGTACTAAAGACCAAGGTCTAATTCAAATGTCAATATACTATATTGCCTACCTCATCCTTACCTAGTTAAATTACATTCAAGATAAGATAAACAGTGAAAACAAAAATGCCTAAGTCCAAGAATAAAGCAATATATAACTTATTCAAGATAGGGAGAAAGTAACAAATTTGATTGCTACAGCCCCTTACGCAGAACTAAAACTATGGCTACTTAACAACAAATGTGCAAAACAAAAGTAGACCCTCACCAAATAAGTGTTTGAACATAGTCAAGATTCTGAAATTGACAGACGCAATGCCTAACCCAATGTAGGAATAAATTAACACAAAAGTAGTCAAACAGTCAGACACCAAGGAAATAGCCTAAGTGTCACCTCATTGCTTATTTTTAGCATTTGTGAGTCATTTTGAAAAATATTTTCAAAGTGACATGCAAAAAGATAAACCAGTAACATTATATGATTAAAATACTAAAAATCAAGCATTAGGAAGGAAGGAAGGACCAATTTAAATAGCAAACAGCAATCCAATCAAGAGTTGATATTAAAATGCACTAAAACCTAGATCATTAGGGGCCAGTTAAAAGCCACATTGAACAGAAAATCTAGTGTCTAAATTAAAAGAAAAGAAGGTACCTCACAGATCTGTTCAGGAAAGGGTAGGGCAGTTCAGGATATCTGTGTGTGTGTGTGTGTGTGTGTGTGTGTGTGTGTGTGTGTAAGCCTACCCCACTCTGATTTATAAGGTGTCATCACTAAAAACAACCTCTCCATAGTAGCCACCAGATCAAGTGATATATACCACTGATCCCTACTTCTTAGCAGGTATATTTTAAGAATGTATTTTCTCCATATATTACAACAAGTGGTTATAGGTACCAGTATAGCTTTGGGCTCAGCCTGTTTCCAAAATTTGTTTCTCTCAGATTTCTCCCTATACTGCCCAGGGACTATACATTTTCAAGATTATTAAGTGGGTAACTTACCAAGTCAAGGACTACTGATTGGCCTCTTAGCAGATTTTGCAGGGGATGAGGTAGGAAACTCAAGCTCAGGGGGTAGTGCTTCAATGGTGTGGGTGTGTTTCCTTCTTTTCCTACAGAATATGGAAGTCAGCTAAATGCTGTTGAGATTGACTGGCTCTGTAGGCCGGAGTGGTAATTCTGCAGGAAGTAAAAATGCACGCCCCTCCCTGTTGGCAAACATACAGGTATTGGAATGTGCATTAGTCTTTGGTGGTGTACAGGATGTGGGCAGACTGAAGGATTTCAGTTGAATGGCAACAGCTAGAATAAAGAATTTAGTATTCTGGCAGGAATTCCACTTATATTAAAATAGGGCAAACTGCATACTATGGAAGTGGGTGGGTTCCCAAGTGTTTGGTAATAATGGAGGACTATTATTCTATCACATGTTACAACTCTTATCATCTCCCCCACTTGATGAATGTTGGGATTGCTTTCATTGCTGCAGTGAGATTTGGGCATACTGAGGCAAGCAAATTCTGGTCCAGATTTATACTTGAGTGCCATTGGTGACAGGTAAGGGGGTGAAGCACCTTATAGAGAGTGAATGGCTAAGCAAGACCTTTCTTCCTCCATGTATCTTTTGAGGACTAGATGTGTTCTCATATATCTTGCCACAGCACTTTACAGCTGGAGTCACAAACTGGTAGACCTGCTCCTGTCTGACAACACAATGGTCTACCCCATTCACAGACTGTTTCACACCATCCCATTCCCTATTCCCATGCATACCTCAGTGCCTGGCTCTGTCTTAAAGGGTCCAGCTCCACCCACATTCAGTTGGCATTTATCCTTAGAAGTTGTGGGCTAGGATATCAGTGGTATTCTAAGATGCCCTGAGCCCACTTTGATCTCCAGGATAACCAAGCCCCCCAAAATGCAATGTCATTGCCTTTCTGCAAATATACAAATATTTTCCTACAGCAAATTGTTAAAAGCCCAGAGTATACTCTCATACGGTAAGAGGTAAACAACCCCTGGACAGTTAAGTCCAGTCAAAGGCAACTATGGGGTGAGGTGCTCATCTCGCTTTCAGGCTGAGGGAGCCGGTGTTTGTCCACAGACAGCTTTCCAGGTCCTGTGGCCAGCATGACTAAACCGCCTCTGGTATGACAGAACACCATAATGGAAGCCAGAGAGCACAGAAACAGTGTTTACTTTCCTGCCGCAGCAGTACCTATTTATCTACTTGCATTGGTGTACTTTCGAACTGCTAGGTTGGCAGAAGTTGGGACAGAGCAACAGGAGCTCACCCCATTGCGCGGATTCGAATAGTTGACCTTCCAATCCGCAAGCCTAAGAGGCTCAGTAGTTTAGACCACAGTGCCACCCGCAAGTAGATAAATAGGGCGGGAAGGTAAACGGCATTTGACACTGTGTTGCGTCGCACCAGAAGCGGTTTAGTCATGCTGGCCACATGACCTGGAAAGTTGTCTGTGGACAAATGCTGGCTCCCTCAGCCTGAAGATGAGTTGGGCACCGCACCCCATAGCTGTCTTTCACTGGACTTACGCATCCAGGGGTCGTTTACCTTTTTTACCTTACTCTCACAGGGAGAGACTGAGGTGAGACATGACAGTTCTTTAAGTCCCAGTGAGTGTAGCAAGGCACATAGCACACCCTATATTTAAAGCAGAAAAATCTTTAAAACTAAGTCAGACTTATAGCAAACAAACAGTAACAAAGATATCTGTATGCCTTCAGGTTTATTTTTAAAAAGGTAACGTACTTAACATTTTTGAACAAATAAGCAACCACTGATTTTGACTTCTTTTCTGCCACTAATGCATTATTAACACAATGCTACAGGATCAGGTACTTCCAGAAAACTCAGGCTGCAGACCTATACAGTGGTACCTCGGGTTACATACGCTTCAGGTTACAGACTCCGCTAACCCAGAAATAGTACCTCGGGTTTAGAACTTTGCTTCAGGATGAGAACAGAAATCGTGCTCTGGCGGTGCGGCAGCAGCAGGAGGCCCCATTAGCTAAAGTGGTGCTTCAGGTTAAGAACAGTTTTAGGTTAAGAACAGACCTCCAGAACAAATTAAGTACTTAACCCGAGGTACCACTGTACATACTTACCAGGGAGTAAGGCCCATTGTTTACTTGGGATTACGGTCAAGTAAACATGCATAGGATTGCACTCTCAGAGAGTGAAGTACGATGTACTCACCCACTAGCCTCGTGGGGGAGGGAAACAAGGGACGGGACACAGCATGTCAAAGTACAGCTTCAGTTTCAAGTAAGGAAGCAGATATTTACTTGCAAGGCAGATATACCCACTTCTAGCACCACTAAGACTGTGGCAGACATTTTGTTTACTAGATTGAAGATAATGGGAAGCCTGCAAGAAGAAAGCAAGGGAGAGCAATTCCAGAGCAGGTCCAACTCTAATGAGAAAATTCTGAGAGAAAACAACAGCCACATGTTTTTACTTACACTTCTTTCCACAAATGAGGAAGCTCTCTCATCCCCAAGACTCTGCTATTTTATAGATACTTTCATACACCTCTAAATCTATAAAAACAACTCTTCAACTTTATCTCATCTGTATGAGAGAAGAAACAAATAACACTGCATAACCAGTGTTACATTATGAGAGACCACCAAACCCCAAATCTACAACCTTCCTGTGCTGGAAAATATGACAACATTTCTAATTTTACCTCGGGCAGCAAGGTCTGTTCCTGTGTACTTTCAGCCCATAAAAACATTTACTTATGCAACTGTACAGAAGAGTGAAATGTGTCTCTATTATTAACCAACTACAAATAAACAGAAAAGAGTCAGAAAGAGCCTGATCAACTTACTCTAAAGTATCTGAATTTCTGATGGTTTCTAATAATAAAGAGCAGATGCAGTCTTCAGCAGCGTCTGGTGCAGTACTTTCAGTCCACTTCTCTCGACTTGTTTGTTACCATCTCACACACAGTATTTTTCTAATCCACATGTCTGTCCTCATCTATATCTCTTCTTCACAATGAGCAAGTTCCTCAGAATTTGATGCAGGTATTAATAGGATTATTCCTGCATTCAGCCAATTTTGAGGAATTCTGTGCAACTCCCCAGAAGCTGATTAGCTGTCTGCTTAAGGAGGAGCAGGGACAGATTTGCTCCTACTGGCAGCAAACTCAGGAGACAGGCACTGACTGTGAAAACATGCTGTTTCCGGTCTGCGGTAGAGCTAAGAGGCACTTCCTAACTCAAGAGGGTGTATGGAAGTCTCCAGGAGTCTGAACTCCACCTCTTCACCAACTCAGTATTTAGAGAATAGGTCTAAGGTAAGAATTATGATTATTGACAGATCTGCTGCATGCCATGCATATGCAAACTCCAAATAGCACAGGAGTACCAAGCAAACTATCCTGCCCACTCACTTACTACATGTCTCAGTTTTTATCTGGGAACTTTCTCCTACATAATCTCCAACATCAGAGAATGTCAATGTGAAATTGATGTTGTTTTAAAATAGTTTATAATGGAGAGTAAACTGCATTCCAGACAGTATGTTTTGCTGAATTATTTTGAAGGAATCATATTTTAGAGTGATCGCCAAAAATGATTATTTCAGATGAGGATCTGATGCTGGATTAAATGATCATCTGGTTCACCCACTATTTGTAGCAGGTGCTTAAAAATATCTTATAGCTGGAAATATATTTAGCTGCACAAAGGTCTCCTGTTCTCTTAAACAAACTCTGCCCATTCCTCCATGCGGCCTCTTTTAACTAGAACTCCTTACCCAGAACACTTATGTGGTGCTACTTCTCACTTTAAATCCCAGTTCAAGAGTCACAACTTCTGTGAAGCCTTTAACTTACATCAGTGCCAAATGAAATGAAACCTAACTACATGTTACTTCTTAAATGAATTAAGTCCTTGTTACCTTCGCTGTCCCATTATAATAACTATCACTCTAAAAGTCCACATAGAGGAGACAACAGATGAAGTGGAGGATAAATGGGAAGGAAGTATGTTCAATTCAATTTGACACATTTAGCCTTAGTTTTACTAGGGAATGAGGAATTGCAGATTGTGCCAGAGGTTTCAGGGGGATAGTGGGTTCTGAGGAAAGATTTGAAGGAAAAAAGCACGGCAGCACCACACAGGTGTTCTGGGAAACAGTTTATAAGAAGGAGCAAAAGAGAAAAGGTGGAGTATTTTGAGTTAACAAGACACTTCCAGATGACTGAGGGTGGTATTATTATTATTTATTGAATTTATATACTGCCCTATACCCAGAGGTCTCAGGGTGGTTCACAGAAAAGATCAACATAAAAACCACAATATATATAATCAAAATAAAAACAACAACCCAATAACAGCCCCCCCCCCAAAAAAAGAGCCACATTTTAAAAGGGCATAGGATGTCAAGCAGACGGCCTGATTTTAAGGCCTGGTTAAAAAGGAACGCTTTTGCCTGGCACCTAAAGGTGTATAATGAAGGCACCAGAATTGGTAGAATTCTGCTCACGGGCAGGATATGACAGCAGAGTAATGCAAAGATGAAAGATCAAGAGTACTGCCAAAGGTGGAAGGGATGAAGTACATAAATCACAGAAGTGATCACCTTTCCTTTCCTTTATTGCTTCATGGGTGAAGAGGATCTTCATAAATCACATCACCTAAGTAACTTCAAAACCCCCTGCTAAAGAAATCTAAGAATGGCCTTTATTTTAGTTATTTAAACATATTTATATGCCACCTTTCTTAGTGTAACTTTTGCGATATAATTAGGATATCAACTATACAAAGCATAAAACTGCTGCCAACACCCCATAATCAATAAGCTAGCAGTATAACACATTTCTATCATAATAAAAAAACACAATTGCCACAGTATTAATAGTTAGAAAACATCCCAGTCAAGTGGATTCACTAAGACAGCATTCAGCTTCCAGAATCTAGGAGGGGTGATGTTTTAACAAAGACTCCTGGCACATTGCATCTCAAGGATCCTTCATCATGAGCAACCCAAGCAGTCTGAGGCTGATGTTCCATGGGTGCCATCTAGGCTATAGTACAACCCCACCTGAGAATTCAGTCTCTGAGCCCAAGGGACAATATCTGTTTAGCATGCCCTATGAAGCTGAAATCCAGTGTTCTAATTTATTTTGATAAGCTCACCAGTCAAGAAAAAAAGTAAACTTGGTTAACTTTTCCCTTTCTCTCCACAAACAATTACTTCTAAGAGAGTCCCATGAACAGCAATGCAGAAGTAGCTCAATAAGAATATTCTACCAATTCCAAAATTAACACTAGAAATTACTTTTAATATCGATGTAGAGTTCTGGAGAACCCAACATGGTGCCAATTAATGCTCTTTTGTTGTTGTTTAGTCGTTTAGTCGTGTCCGACTCTTTGTGACCCCATGGGTCTGGATGAATAAATATGTTTTAACATGATGTGTAACAATGGCCAAAATTGAGAGCTGTTTAATTTCACTTGTGAGTTCCATGAACTTCAGTGTATTGGCCTTCATCCAGCCCATCACTACCTGCAGACATGATCCAGCACCTACACAACCTCTCCTGAATGGCATATAAAAGAGTGATAGAGGTGAGTATCATCCCCATATTGGCAACACAGCAGTCTAAATATTTTTATAAACAAATAATAAATCAATCTGAAATGGTAGAAGCTTTTTACAACACGGGTGAACAATATGATGAGAAATATGAAGAAGCAGGAAGTGATAGTGATAACTTAGAAAAAGAATTTGTAAATATCGTCTGAATAAAATGAACATTTAATATACGAGAGATAATTCCATGCTAAACTAATGCATTTTATGTTCCTAAAGTAACAAAGTGACTTTCCGTATGTAAAGAGTACAGTATTGCATTTTTTTATTCTTCCCCCCCCATAAAAGCTCCATTTTGGGGGGAAATTTTATATTGCTAAGCTGGCCCTAAAAGGAATGTTATCAACTAGCAGTAGTTATCCAACTAGTCTTGCATGCTTCCCTCAAATAGGAAGAGGAAGAAGAGGAGGAGGAGTTTGGACTTGATATCCCACCTTTCACTCCCCTTAAGGAATCTCAAAGCGGCTAACAATCTCCTTTCCCTTCCTCCCCCACAACAAACACTCTGTGAGGTGAGACTGAGAGACTTCAAAGAAGTGTGACTAGCCCAAGGTCACCCAGCAGCTGCATGTGGAGGAGCGGAGATGCAAACCAGGTTCACCAGATTATGAGTCCACCGCTCTTAACCACTACACCATGCTGGCTCACGCTCTCCCTCCATGAGGTTATTCCCCATCCCCTGGAGCCACCCTGTAGTCAACTGCTCTATGCTAGATTTCAAAACCCAAAATGGCCACCCTATCCATATAATCAGGCTACAGCAACTGCAATTGGTTCTATAGACTTGAACCAGATGTGCTCTGGACATGTCTTCCAGGTGTGCATCAGCTTTGGTGTCACAGTTAACCAACAAAATATACTAACAATACAAATGCACAATGCCATGGTCTACCACAGGATTATAGAAAAATAGGCCTTTAACTTGAATAAACTATCTTTTAAGTATTCTTACAATATACTTTGGTCTATGAACCTCCAAAATTCTACATACTATAAAAATAGTTCCATCCATCATCCTTTAAAATACATATATACTGCACAGATCCCAAAGGCATGCAGAACATTCAAATGCGGCAGAGATAAAAACAGAATAAACTAAACCAATTTCCTGCCAGCATAAATGGAAACTAACAATATGACCATATTGAACTGGCTGGAAAAATTCAAGTACCTTCTCTTTTTCTAGCTTTTGCTGCTTACATTTGTCTATCTGTGGACACCAAGAAACTCCCAGAGGTTATGGCCAAATGGGATTGCTATGTCAATTTATTTCTGTCTCTTGCACAACCCAAGAAGATCCATCCAATATTTGCTGCAACAGGAAATGATGCTGTCCTCTTACAGAAGTGAATATTGGTACATTTTGGCCAAGCTTTTAACTCTTTTCATCTCACATAAAATCATCTGAAATGTCACAATCAACATGCAAAAAGTATTATGTAAAATTCTTTGGAATTCATGTCTGTCTATATGGAATTCATGACTAGCACTAAAGCATGGTTTATTATCGTGAAAATGAGCTTAGCCCTCCTCACTCCTCTGACATGGCCACAAGGCGGTTGAAAGCTTTCACTTTTGACTTTCCAGTTATAGTGTGTCCAAATCCTAAACGATAGTAATTTTTACTAGTTAGGTAAAATAAGCCATTTTCATAAATGATGGTTTGAGGTTAAGCTTGCTTTCACTAGCCATTGACCTGAACTCATTTTTGCAATACTAAAATGTGGTTTAGCGTTGCACCTGAACCAGAACATTCAGTGGCACACACAGAATTCCAGCTCCCATGTACAAAGTGGGGGCCCCAAGTAATTTCCAGGGGAGAAACAACAGGTGTGTACTTGACCCTGGCTCATCTACTATTTTTTTCTTTACAACTCTCTGTCCTAACCACTTTCCCTACCATCAAGTCTAAGTGTTTATTGATTAAAATTGGGAAAATTAGCTGGGAAAAGATGTTGCACAGGGAAAATCTTCCCGTTTTTCCTGAAATGCTACCCCGTGCTCCCATTCTGCACATAGGAGGCAAACATCAATATCAATGCCACTTGCTCCCACTATCTCCTATTCACTCCAATAATATTTGCCCATAACAGATTTGTATATTATTTGAATAGTGCCTAAAATTCACTTTTACTTTATCAACAATGGAATTATTGTGAATAGAACTGAGATACTTTTATAATTTCATTCCACAAAGTGATGAGTAATCCTACCGTGAAGCTGTTGTTGACATTTTTAGTGCTGGATTCTGCCACGCTGGCATCTGTCAGATCCACCTCATCAAAAATGATTGACTGGGAAAAGGAAAAATAAATGTAAAACTTCAATTAGGTTGTTTGTTTATTTCATAACTGCTACAAATCAAATATATATAATGAAGGGTTAAAAGAACTGCCTCTGGTGGTTAGTGCTGGCAAAGAATAAGATGGATTCTGCAAGACAAACAATCGGAGCTTCCTCAAAATCCTGCATGCTGTGTGTGGATGAGGGCAAGGCGAAGAATTTGCACAGCATCTCCCATAGAGGCAACCCATAACACTCCATTTCCCTGTCAAGCCACTGCCGTATGGGGAATTCCTGACATGACTAGCCATCCCTCTAAACTGGAGGGCCTCCTGCACTTCCCAAATTGCACAGTGAAGGTGCACCTTTTTACCCTGACCTCTGACCTCATTATATATATAGTTTTAAACTGATTTTAATATTGCATTTTTAAGTAGCCGTAACCCACCCTGGGACCCTGTGGTGCATGGTGGGCAAGAAATTGAAGAAATAACTATTCATTATTCCACAGGAACTCCAGAAATAAGCATCTGCCAGATGCTTTTAAGTACAGTGGTACCTCGGGTTACATACACTTCAGGTTACATACGCTTCAGGTTACAGACTCCACTAACCCAGAAATAGTACCTCGGGTTAAGAACTTTGCTTCAGGATGAGAACAGAAATCGTGCTCCGGCGGCGCGGCAGCAGCAGCAGGAGGCCCCATTAGCTAAAGTGGTGCTTCAGGTTAAGAACAGTTTCAGGTTAAGAACAGACCCCCGGAACGAATTAAGTACTTAACCCGAGGTACCACTGTACAAAGAAGCCCATTGATTAAAATTAAATTAAATTGGCTATGTAATTTTTGATCTGGGGGCATTTTAGGAGATGTCTATTTCAAGCATGGGGAGCCTCCACCCCATGGGTCAAATTAGGCCTGGGCAAGCATCCTGATTTGGCCTGTGAGGCCGTATTCTCAAAGGCACAATCACCTGTTCCCCATTAGACATATATGATGTTAGGTGTGAGACAGGTAAAGACACAGCTGAAGTAGACCAATGGCGAGCCTTCAAATGTGCTCCTGACAGTTTGTTGGCAAGCAGAGTTTGCATTCAACACCTTTTAAATTTGGTGCCAAACACAAGCAGCCCTTGGTGCCAAACACGCAGGCAACCCCTACTTGCAAGAAGGGCTTCTTTGTAAACATGGCTTAAACCCAACCTGCATGTGCAAATGAACCTTTTTCCTTGCATCCTGGCTTGAACTCAAGTCACACTGCAAAGGAGAAGCAGGTGACCTGACATAACAGTAACATCAGGTGCTTGACAGGTGAGTCAATATGACCTACCAAGGGAGGGAGCAGGGAAAATCTCCTTCTGGCTGAATCCTAATCCTCACCCTAATCCTCTGCTATTGAGGATCTCTGCTGAGAAGATAAAAGCAAGGGGCAGAAAATAAAACAAGAGAGAAAGCAGCAAAATGATCCTTGGGCTTGGTAATGGACACACTTGGTATACATAGTTTTGGCTGAGGCTCTTTTGAGTACTAACTTTCTCAGTGAAATCCATGTACAGTATATCAAGTGCTTTCACTATCCAGTCACAAGAGACACCTATCCTTTCTGATCCTATGGGTGTTAGGATCAGTGTCAACCAATGTTATGTAGAAAAAAACTTTGGGGAGATCCAGCCTCCTTTCGCTCTTAGCAATATAGGCCCCCTTTAATATATGTAGAACTTCTACTACATATAGAAATGTGATGCCAGTTTTTATTATTTAATCATATCTTTGTAATAATTTTGGCATCAATGTTCTGCTCAGCGGTAAAGCATCTGCTTTGCATTCAGAAGGACCCAGGCTCCATCCCCAACATCTCCAAGTAGGTCTGAGAGAGACTTCATCTGCTGCCTGTCAGTGTAGACAACACAAAGCTAGATAGTCCAATGAGTCCAATGACTTGACTCTGTATAAGGCAGCTTCCTGTGTTTCTAGCCCTCATGGACACAAAGAAAAACAATCTATCAGTACTTAAGTAAGGGATAACCAGTTCCTATTTTAGAATAGTTAATAGTTTTACCAAAGTAAAGCAACAATTATGAACTCCTAATAAATAAATAATAATAATAATAATAATAATAATTTATTATTTGTACCCCGCCCATCTGGCTGGGTTTCCCCAGCCACTCTGGGCGGCTTCCACAAATACCAAAAATACACTAATATGTCATACATTAAAAACTTCCCTGAACTCCTAAGTAGCAGGTTTGTGAGAGTAAGCACTCTTAGTAGCTAGTAACCCTTGTGCTGTAGTCATACAAACTGGATGAGTCCTATTCCTTACTACCCTCCCATAATTTCATGGACAGCCACATACCTTTGCTGTTTTGGCATAGTATAGAGTTCGTCCTCGCAATTTGAAGTAACGTCTCTTCCAGCGCTGAAATGAGCTGGTCTGTTTCATCAGCATGCCCTCTTTTATAATAGTCTAGAAGTCAAGAAAATATCAAGTCATAGAATCAAAGAATTGTAGAGTTAGAAGGGACCCCAAGGGTCATCATCTTGTCCAACTCCCTGAAAAGTAGGGATCTCAAGCAAAGCATCCAGGACATAGGGCCAGCCAACCTCTGCCTAAAAACCTTTAATGAAAGAGAGTCTACCATCTTACAAGGGAGTCCATTCCACTGCTGAACAGCTCTTACCGTCAGAAGGTTCTTCCTGATGTTTAGTTGGAACCCTCTTTCTTGTAACTTGAATCCACTGGTTTGGGTCCTAGCCTCTGGAGCAGGAGAAAACAAGCTTGCTCCATCTGCCATGTGAGAGCCCTTTAGATATGTGAAGATGGATATCTATCTCCTATCAGTCTCCTCTTTTCCAGGCTACCCAGCCTCCTCAACTGTTCCTCATAGGGCTTAGTTTCCAGCCCTTTGATCACCTTGGTCACCCTCCTCTGCACTCATGAAGCATTTCTTTATGAACAGCAAATTTTTCTGATTTTACCCCTCCCCAACCACAAAAAGAAGGAAAGTACTGGCTTTGATATCAATATTCTTTATTGTTTGACTGCCCTCTGCTGGAAATATCCAACACATTCATAAAACTGAGCTGCTGATCTTATCTATACCCAAGTGCAATAAACAACAGTCAAACACACAGTGAAGAGATTCCTTTCCTGTGTGAGAGAGATATTATCTTGGTGTGAGAAGGATACAATTCTTCAAACTAGTCAAGGTGATCTTATCAAGCTTTGATGAAGATACAGCAAACATCTTAAGAAAAACCTCAGTGTCTGAAGTCAGAGCTCTGTCCTGTCCAATTACGGCTCTGATCTCACCTGTTTGACTAAAGTGAGCACACAGGAGCCTGTCTCCTGTAAAGCTATCAGCATCTGACTACCACAGGAAACGGTCTGCATATTTAAGGGAGTGTGGAGGGCAGTAATAAAAAGACAGGAATAATCCTTCCAGCTTTTATATTTGGTATTTTTTTTCAGATACCCTTGGCTCTGACTCACTGCTTACTGGCTGGCTGGCTGCCATTTCCCAAGGCTAAAGTGCCAAGTCTGTCTACACACAGTTCTGGACATTTTCTCACTGCTCCACATCTAGCCCCACACACTATCATTCACATAATATGCATATCCAGGCTACAAGGCTATGTTTAGCTGACATTCATTTAGTTGCTCTTTATGATACACATTTGTTAACCCAGCTGAAGAACGTAATAAATACCAAAAGATACATTAAAATGCTACCAACACAGAATCTTAACAATAACTGAAGGACTACAAAACGAAAGCAAAGGTTAGAGCTTTAATTCACTACAAATACATAGCTCCTGCCAGTAGCAAGTGTCATAATATGGGGTTTTAATGCTCCATTTAATACGCCCCTTTTCCAAGGAAAGCATCATCTACAAGTACTTCAAGTAGTTCAATGTAGGAAAACATCATTAGGAGAAACTGCTGCAGGGATATCATAAAGCTGTCCGTTAGGTCGTTCTGTAACCAAAGGCTACAAAAGCAACATACTGTATATAGAGCACAGCAGTGTTCTTAAAGGTATTCACTGGAAGCCAGTATGACAATCAAGATACAATAATAACCTTGTTATATAGTCCCTACTAACTTAACATCCCACTTGAGTGATTTGAAAATTCTTCAAGAGATATTAAAAGCTGAAGTAGCTAAGTCTGCTGAAAAGTCAGATTGCCCCCCAAAACCTTTGTTAGTTACTTGTTAGAAATCAAAAGTCAAGTTTTTTCCAACTTGCAAAAGCTTTCCTTCCTAGCTGGTCAGAGGAAATTCCTGTTCACCACAGATTATTAGGCAAATGTCTATTTGCAATCGTAGGATGTCTTAACTTAAAGTGCCTGCCCCCTCCCTAACACTTGCATTTATTTATGCTTTTTCATATTTTCCTTTGCCAAACTGCTGTTCATCAGCAAAATGCTATATGCCAAAAAATGTCATCTTGGCCTAGCATGGAACTTCTCTCTTCAAAATCAGAATGACCTGAACTATAAAGTGAAATTGCGAGAGAAATTTTTACTGTTTTCCTATGACTTTCAGTGAGATTCAACAGATATACAGTGAGGAAATAGGAAAGGTTTGGTACAACACACTTACCACACACTTTACAGAGATAAATACAAAACAATTTGCAGACAAGTAAATTCTGAAATAATATAGGAAGATAGAACCAATAATTTCTGGAGGATGGAATCACTCAATATTGGCACCTTGACTGTGGAATGCTCTCCTCTCACATATTTGACTAAGGTAAAGGTACCACACCAACCCAAATAGGTTTTCAGTGTCAGTTAACAACTCATTTATCCATCCAGCCTGTAGCTAAACTGGATTTGGAGCTGGGCAGCTTGCCCTCCTTGATTTACTGAACTACTGTATTTCATTATAATGCTATACTTTTATAAAGCAATATCCAACTAAGTCATACTCAGAGCAGTTCTGCTGAAATCAATGGATTTAAGTTCACTGATTTCAGTGACTCTACTTTGAATGTAACTAATGTTAGATATCAATCCTTGTGTATTATGTATTTACTTTTATATTATAACCTGCTCTGGGATTATTTTAACAAAGAGTGGACAATATATTTTGTATAAATAAATAAAATCACTGGAGTCCTCAAAACGTTTTAGCATAATAATTGGGTTAAATAAATAAAGTGTATCAAAGCATGGTTTCCATACAGAAAGGTTCTGCCTCCATCCCCCACAGCCTCAGGAATTGATACTTCAGCACCTCGCAAAGCAGAAATCCGAAAATTGAAGAAGAAGAAGAAGAAGAAGAAGAAGAAGAAGAAGAAGAAGAAGAAGAGTAGTAGTAGTAGTAGTAGTAGTAGTAGTAGTTTGGATTTGATATCCCACTTTATCACTATCCTAAGGAGTCTCAAAGCGACTAACAATCTCCTTTCCCTTCCTCCCCCACAACAAACACTCTGTGAGGTGAGTGAGGCTGAGAGACTTCAAAGACGTGTGACTAGCCCAAGGTCACCCAGCAGCTGCATGTGGAGGAGCAGGGAATCGAACCCAGTTCACCAGATTACGAGTCCACTGCTCTTAATCACTACACCACACTGGCTCAGCAAACCCATCTTCCTACCTCCAGTAAAAACTGAAAGGGATCAAAAAGGATCATAAATACCTCCCACAAGTCAGTCCACATAATGGCATGCCACAATCAAAGCTCAGGTGCTCTACAAAAAAAACCAGCTGCATATGACTCAAGCAAGGGAGCCAATTGATGCACTACAGGGAAGAAGCAGAAGAACAGCTGAGCTTAACCATACCTAATTTTCCTATACCTGTCTCAAATCAGTCACAGCATGGCAGAGGAGTTTCACAAGAGCTCTACAATATCAAAGACGATAAATAAAATTAGGGAGAGTCCTAAGTGATCAGGAGAGTTTGTGCCTTCAAACTGCTACTGCTAGAAAGATAATGAGCTGAAAGTAAATGAAAGAACTGAAAAAGTGGCAGTGATGGATTCTACATCAAAGAATGAAAGTGATAGGCTACTGGAGGTGGAACTGCCATTTTGTGAGTTCCATGAGGTATCAGGTAAGTTACAGAGATACTACTATGGCAGGTTTGAACACATCTCCTAGTTCATACCCTACACCCATGAAAAAATGGATATCTTCCAGAAAAGAAAAAAAAAGTATTGGGCAGAAATCTTGAGAATTTTTATTGGTGAGATCCTGTGAATATGCGGCTTCAGGAAATTATGCAGAGTCCCAAACTTGGTCTGCAGAATAAGAAGATAAATGCCACTGAGGCTCTTAAAGAAACAACTGAAAATTATTATCCAATAGTCCAAAGACTTAAAAACAGGCTAAATATAGGCAAGGTTTGTGTGGTAAACATGAATAATAGTTTGAAGAACTACTGGGAGTACAACTGAATGGTTCATTATTTGATGAACTAAAATAGAAACAAATATCAGCCCCCCAAAGGGTAACAACAGATCCTAAATTACACAGTTTAGCTTGTTTTCTGGAACTTTCCTACCAACGCATCCTGATCAAAGAAATATTTCAGGTTCAACCAGCAGACTGCTGGTTTGATTTTGTATTTAATCAACCTGCAGTTTAAGCACAAGTTTGTAAGACTGATGCTCTGTACTCAATTCCCATTCTATTCTTTTTATTCATATATTTGTGAACTGATACCCCAACCCTGTTTCCAGTCTATTCAGGGACTGAATTCATACCTACAGAACAAACTCACCTGTGCAAATGATGAGCACTCCTCCATCTCTTTTAAAGAATGCTCTTTCAAAGAAAACAACACCACCCAAAAAGGCTGCCAACATTCTTGTCCCCCAAAGTAAACCAATGCATTTTCCTGCATTAGACTATCTACAGGAACCTCATAGGTACACGACTTAAACATGAAAGGCTAGCAAAAAACAACAACAACCTGACATAGTTGTTGGGCTGCCTCTCACACAACACAGATGCTGCTGGGGGAGAGAAAAAGCCTGTAGTTTACAGCTGCCCATCTCTGCAAGAGAGCTGCTGTTCTATTTATAGGCAGACAGCTTAGTAAAGACTTTGGTGGGTTTGGGCGGAAAGGGCTTGAGATAAGATCAAGATGACTTTATAGCATGTTTTCTTTTTCAAGCATTGCTGCTTTTCTTTGGCTTGATGTTCACTTCCCAGCTAGCATATTGCTCAGTCCTTCTGATACTGGTGAATGCTTCTGAGCAATGAGATCTGATGAAATGGTAACGGTTGAAAGCAACGTGACATTTTCCTTATCCTCCCTTTACAATCCTTACAAGAACTTAGAATCTATCTTCAACATCTGGTCATGTATTATTACGTGAACAGTGATCCACAGCAAATGGATAAAGGGAGAAATCTTATTCTGCCTCCTCACTCAAAAATAAACTGTCTTATTATAGGAATTTATTCTTAAATCCCATAGCAACCAGTCAGTCATATGAAGCAATGATGTTTTAATTATCTGCATCATTACTGGGAATAAATGCATGTACTAGTCAACTGAAAGTTAAAACAATTACCAGGAATTAATTTGGAATTCAATAACCTCACTTCCCTCCCAAAGGATGCAATGACTCCTTAAAAGAGGAATGAGTAGTTGCAAAAAGTTGTTCAAACTGCTTTCTTTCCCCTTGCTGGCAGCTGAGTGACCTATGTGAACCAAAAGACAGAGGATGCATGGGATTTGTGCCTTCTACCAGGATCTATGGTTACTTCCTTTATTTTATTATTACAGGTCCATGAGGTCCCGCTTTCTGCCATCTGCACAGGAATCATCAGGATAATCTTAAACTTAACCAAGTCAGATGGCTCTGATTCAGCTGGTGGTTTTTGTAGACCCATGTACATATTACTGGCTATACACATCTTATCAACAATATCCAGTTGAGTTGCAGGACTTTGCTTGTCCAGCTAATGTAGAGGCAACATTGTAGTGATAAGAGGGAGAGTTGTAGAAAGGGGGTGGCAGATTCTGTATTCCAACTGACAGCTGAAACCTATTCATTTTCCAGCCAAACACTAACCCTGAAGTCAACAACAACAAAAAGACTACTGTACTAATATCTAAACCACCATGTTTTAAGAAGAGCCTGTCCATTCAAACACGTGTGATAGATGTGTAAAATGAAACTGAGAATACACCAAAGTTGTGAATAAGTGTGTTAAAAAGTGAACATACTTCAGTAAGTACTGCCTCTGGCATGCATGGTGAGCAGCAAGCCTTCCACCTAGATGTAGAAGTGGGTGGAATCATTCAGGCGGTTGTGTGGCAATCCCTGTCATTTCCAAAGGTGCAAGGAAGGCTGGGGATTGTCCTGCGCCTCCAAGGGGAAGGCTCCTGAAGATCCTTAGCTACACAGGGCCAAACCAGTAATTACTTTCCACTCCCGTATTCCTGCTTTGGAGCAGGAAAGGTGGGGAGTGGGAGTATTAGGCACTGTGACCTGAGGGTGCTCTGTGTACCTTTGAGCACTGGCACTCAGTAACACACATTCCACAGTGGCCTTATCTTCAATAATGAATGGATGCCACTACAAAGCACTTCTGGGATGCTGTATGCAAAAGCACACACTTTTCCCCACCACCAAGCTTCTGCCACTCAGGAAAAAATTAGGGTGGATGAGCTGGAGACTACAATTTTTGGCTTGGCCAGCAAGACCAGCCAAAACTTATGGACCCCGGGGGCTTGGAGATATGCTTTGTCCTCAGAACAACCCTTTAAAGTAAACTGGCTGAGACATTGTAACTTGCACCAAGTTACCCACTGAACACTGTAACCATGTGTGGTTCTGAATTTGGGTTTTCCACATCCAAGTCCAATACTGTAGCAACTACATACACCTCACTAGCTTTCAACTGCAGTCATGAAAACAGCTTTCTTTCCCCTTTCTGTTAGCTTAGTGGCCTATGTGAACCAAGAGACAGGGGCTGCATGGGATTTATACTCATCAACTAATTCTCAAGCTATCACTAAGTCTTCAGGCAATGAGGAATCATTACTCTAAGCATCACATAATCTTTAAAGGAGACTCACAGTTAGCATACTAACTGAAATTATGATAAGAATGTCCCTTTTTGCAGTGGGGTAAAGATAAGTTAAATATTAGATTTCAGATATGATGACATCTTGGAAGATGTACTACAAATGAAATTAATCCGGTGGCAGCTTTTTTTGGTATTTCCATATTTATTTTTTTCCATATTAAGGAATGAGAATGCACACTATGAGCAGGATCCAGCCTAGCTATGGATAGAACTCCACAAGATGCTGTGCTGGAGAAGAAGCAATTTTTGCAGATTCCCCCTTTCCTCTGCAGACCCCTGAAAACATGCTCTGGCAAGAACAGCATGGGAGGTGGAGTTTTAGACTATAAGAGAAAGTTGTCTTCCCTCCTTCCTCCAGCAGGAGCCTTCACCAAAGCTCAGTCTCTTCTGTTTTTGTTCACAGAAATGCAAGTCTGGATCCAGCCCCATGTTGTTTGTGAGTTTGGAGGAATCCATTTGTGAACATAAAAATAAATAATGTCTGCTTCCAGACGACGTTTACTGTGCAATTGCTATGGCTTGTTAACTCATATTTAACAGGGGGTCCACATGATGCAGTCATCATTCCATAAATATACATTTTCCCAGTGCTCATTCATCTTTTTTCTTATCAAAAAAATCTGACTTTGAGTAAAGGAGTGAAATAGAAGAGCAACATCTCTGCAGTTGTGGTCAGAAAAATTTCGAATTTTGAGCCACATTGGGAGGAGCTGACCTTGGGGTAGGTGAAATGATATGCTGGGAAAATCCCTCCTTTCTCTATCACAAACTTTACAGATTCAGTTACAGAGCTGTTTCTTGTCCCGCAATGCAGGTCCTTTCCCCTGAAGAACACAATTCTAATATTACGCATTTTGTAAAATAAGTAAATGTCTTGAGGCGCTTAGAACTTCAAATGGGAGGGACACTGCAAAACAAGAGGCACATGAGAATTCTGTTCTCCCCAAACCACATGTCTAAGATTAGAAAGGAGAGATTCCACTAAAAATAGCAGTGTTTACTTCTGAATAAACATGTGTAGGTTCTGGCTCTAATCCTGTAAGGCCTCTTGCCCTGTGCTGCAGGCTTTAATTTTTTGTTGCTGTTGTTAAAAATAGTTTGGAATTATGGAATTGTGCTACAGTGAGTGGCAAAGCACAAGACCAGAAAATTAGGTGCATTTTTATTGGAGTACCCATGTAGCAGCAAAATATTACAACTGTCTACTGCCCATTTGAACAAATCAAAGAATATTTTAGGGAATTGTTTCCTCAACTGAAATGAACTGTCCCCAAACTCCCTACTAGTTTGTTTTTTATGGTAGTAAGGGCATGGTTAGTAGGAACGCAGGTGGCACTGTGGTCTAAACCACAGAGCCTAGGACTTGCTGATCAGAAGGTTGGCGGTTTGAATCCCCACGATGGGGTGAGCTGTCTGTAAGCATTCATTATTTATTTCTTATATAACATAAATGCTAAATACATAAATTTTCATGTTTCTTTTTCAGGTGTGCAAGTTGATGTCATAACCTTCTGAAGAGGCACCAAAACACTTTAAACTAGTCAGTGAATCCATTCTGAAGGATATCAAGTTCCAAATGATTGTAATGTGCCCTGAAAACATTAATTGAGCTGCACATAATGCAGGTGCATGTTATGCATAATGTTGATGGATGAGGAAACCACCATTAGCACATCAAACACCTGGGAGTAGAGAAACATCTTGACCTGGGGCTGAAAAAATGACAAAGTCTGCACTAGGTGGGTCTCACCAGGTGAAGCATTCCACAAACCAGGGAGAAAATGGGACTACTGAAAAGGTCCTCTGTGGTTTGTTGTTATGTCTGAATTCATACACTATTAACATATCAATTAGGATCATTGCTTTGCCTCAAAAGGCTGCTACAACAAGGAGGCAGGAGTGAACTTGTGAAGCTGGATGCTGAGCCAGTGGGAAACAAGTGGGAAACAAGCATACAAGCAACCATGGTTTGTCTGCTACACATCTGGAAGCTCAAACAATGGATACTTGACTATGGTTAGCACATACCACGGTTTCATATTATGCCTGCATCTGGTCATTTTTTCCACTTTCTAATCATGAATTGAAAATACACTTCTACAGAAGAGGAACCATTTGAGAAAATCTGGAGCAAATATGACTGAATGTGTCATTGCTTTACTAGCCCTGGTCAACAACACACATACAGCAGTTTAAATAAAATATATTGTCTGAACTACTTTGTCTCACATTTCTATTTTTAGCTAGCTGGCAACTATTTTTAAGGTCTTTATTGCTGCTGGTCCTCACCACGTCCTGTTGCACTGCAAACTACAGGTAAACCGCACTGTTAAAAATAGGACAAAGTAATGATGTAAATAAGACTTCTTCTTAATAAAACAACATAAGCGCCAGAAAGCAGCAAAATACTGCAGATTGTAAAATATTATGCAACATAATTAATACTGGTTTAATTTTATTTAAAAATCTGCATTCACATTTCTCATTTATATATTTTAATGCACTAAATGTTTCATAATATTTACCTTCCCATGCAAGGGAAGTAATCATTATTCCCACATTCTAGATGGGTAATTGATGCTTAGGATACAATCCTACCCTCTATTTTGAACCACAGCCAAGACACACTTACAGAACACGTGATCTGCACGGAAAAGATCCCTGGCCTCAAATCTATGCATCTCAGCCATGGTGTGACAACATGACAACCTCAATGCAATGGAACCTGGCTTCTGCAACACATTGCCCATTTAAGTTAGACAAGCTCCAACATATATTGTATATATTGTGTTGATGCTAAAATATTTCCTACTTCCACAGGGTTTCTTGAGAGGCTTTTCCAGATACTTGTGGGCAGCATCAGATTTCCCTTTGGAAAATGTGAAGGCAGAAATGCTTTTGAATACCAGTTGCTAGAAACCACAAGCAGGGAGAGTGCTCTAGTGCTCCAATCCTGCTTGCAGATTTCCTACTGGCATCTGGTTGGCCTCCATGAGAACATGATGCTGGACTAGAAGAGCCACTGGCATGATTCAGAGGTCTCTTTTTATGTTATCATGAACTGTTGTATCTGATTTATTTTGTTATATTTTTATTGTCATTATACATTTGCTATGGTATTTTGTAATGTTTAGTAGTTTGTAAATATTCCAAATAATAAGTAAACTCAGCCAATGACTAAAGGGAAGTCAGGAGCAACATGGAGCCAGTGTTGTGTCTATAACTAACTTTGTACAATTATTTCCTAAACATTCATATCAATTCACAGAAATGCTTTTCTGGTTCCTGGAACCTGGAAAACACAGAGAGCCATGGGTGTCAACTTGTAAAGTGAACGTTCTTTGGGAAAATCTGAGTCTTTGTTGATCCATTTCCCTCCAGCCCAGCTTGTGCATCAGCAAAGGTCAGTAAAGACAGGAGTATGAGTAATACAAAGCAGGCTGTACTACAAAATTCAGTGTTTCATAACACCTAACACCTCTCCCAAAATCCTGTATCTCTCTACAGGTCTGCTGGAATAAAGGCATAGCACAGCTTTTAATGCATAATACAATATTATGCTTTTACTGAATCTCTCTCTCACACACAAAACTCTGTTATTAAAGTACTGTACTCCAGATTCTCAGTTTTCTTTAACACAGCCAGTCTGCCTTCAGTTTACTGCTTCCATCACTAAGCGAGGCTGTCACTTGGGCTTAGTCTAAAAGGATCTTAAGCAGCAATGTTATATGCTAGAGCAGGCATAGGCAAACTCAGCCCTCCAGATGTTTTGGGACTACAACTCCCATCATCCCTGACCACTAGTCCTGTTAGCTAGGGATGATGGCAGTTGTAGTCCCAAAACATCTGGAGGGCCAAGTTTGCCTATGCCTGTGCTAGAGGAATCACCTGTTCTTTAGTGCACACTGCTAAATTACAGGAACCTTTGATTGCTTTGTGAGCATGAATAAGAAACTAAAGTAAAAACAGAATCTTCTGGCTAGCCATGTTTCAGGCCTTCAGGACACTTTAGATCATCTTGCCAATGGTTGAGATGGAAGCAAAGCAGTGCCTTAGCACTTGAGATTTATTGCAATGAGCACTTAAACTGTAACTCACTGGATGATTTAGGAGACTAAATTCATAGCTGAGAACTAACACTATTAACAATTCCAGAAACTCCGCAAGGCCAGTAATTGTTCAGAGTATCAGCAAGAACAAACCTAAGGTACCTATGTGGAAATATATGTTTAGAATATATTCTTGTGGTTTATTGGAAGCATACTGTCATGTGCATATTTCTCTTTTATTGTTCAGGACCTGTTGAACCTTCCTATATCTTAAATAGTCAACCTTATGTGACTGAGCAGCTATAAAGCTCAAATTAACATCAGGGTTGTCCTTTTCTCTGGAACTGCCATCTTTTTTCCACTCACTTCTTATGGGGAATCCTCACAAACCACTCTCAGATTATTACATTCCACTGTTTTCTGTGTTGTTGCCCAGTGTTTTTTCAGGCCCGACTTGTGGCTTTTTCTTTTTGCAGCAGCAGCCTGTTCATCATGGACAGGCAACATGCAATTAGAGCTTTTAAGGGTAACTGTTCCTTTAAACAGAAAGCGCCTGTCTGCAGGTTCAAGCCCATTCCATTTCTACCCTGGCCAGTGCAGCTGCAGGAATAGTGCTGAATTGCCCATTTGGCCAATTTCCCAACTCCCAAAGTGTGCATTAAATTAGTGGTTTCTCACCATTCCCCACTCTTTTCTTTTCATTATTGTAAAACAGCAATACTTTACTGTAATGGAAAGAAAAGATAAAAAAGCTACAATGGAAGAGAAGTCATTAATTTAACACATATTACCGTCAGGGGGTGGGGGCTAACTAAACAGGGAACAAATGAGTATTAATCCTCAAACCACACTTCCCAGAAAGCAGTAACATGTCTGAACCAGCAAACACGAAGCTTGCCATTAGCAATGTAAAGCATCTTAGCTAGCTGAACTTAGATATGAGTAGACATTAAAGAAGTATCTTGGCCAAGATACTGGATAACATAATGCTATATTGCGTGCTGTGAAGAATCTGCCTTACTTCCACTACCACCTAATTGCAGAAACCCAATTCCTCAGCAGCATTAAAGAGTTCTAGCATGGAAGCAACCCAAGTCAGTTTTGAAGAAAACCCTCAAAATGACATGCACAGTATACACATTAATCAGGCATTTGTCTTCCATCTCTCACTGGAAAAGAAAAGGTGATCAAAAGCTAGAGCGGAAGTAAATGTAGAAATGTATACATAATTAAGATAGCAAGTCACAAAACAGAGCAATTGGTAATTCTAAAATTGTTATCTTAAGAATCCAGTACTGCTTAGCTAGAGGTTTTTGTTAGATTAAAGCAATGGAAGCTTAATGGCGATACACAATTTCTGTTTATAATCCTTGTACTTAAAATGTTTATATTCACATAGCACAAGCAGAGTGTTTAGGCTTTTTACAACCACATTGACGTAGGAAATGATGCAAAGCATGGCAAGTGATTAAGTGGGAATTCAGAGCGGAGTTTGCCCTTATATGAACTATGGCAAAATATAAAACGTATCCATCCATGTCATATCTCTAATTACTGCAATTAAAACGTTCTAATTTGGGAAAGGCTCATTCTTTGTTTTTCTCACTCACACCAATGCTTAGAGTCCAAATTTGAGACTGCTGGATCCTTTCCTATTCCTAAGGGAGTCACTTCAAGTGTACTATTTAAATATGATAAAAGCATTTAAGGAAGCAGAATTTCAAATGTCCATCTTCAAACAAGATGAAGTTCAGGAATTTTCTCCAATTGTAAATGTCATATTCCCCAAAGTATAGATAGCGGCTCTCCATATACAAAGAATTTGGCTACCTGAGGTAAAAAGCAAGTAATCAATTAACAGTTTATGATGTCACTACCAGTGACTTTAAATCAGTACCCCAGAAGAAAATACTTCAGCATTAATACTACAATGTCAATAGTAGGCTTAACTACATGTTTTATGAGGTTTCCTCCTGTTTGTTTCTTTGTTTGTTTGATTAATCAATCAATCAATCAATCAATCTATATATACTATATATTCATAAGTTTGACCAATGCAGCAGAAATTAGAAGTGATTTTTCTATCTTAAACTTAAGGCTGTTTCCAGACTTAATTTAATAAAGAAAACAATGTGTCATTCAGAAACTTAATATTGGTTGAAACACACAGTTTCCCCACAGAGTTCTCTCCAAATATATGTTAACTACGGGCCTCTGCTCACCATTCCCTCACTAACACACTTCCATTTGCTGAATATTGTGCCTAATCAAGCAATCATCCCAGCCTTCCACTTCTAATCTGGTACCATTTTGTACCAAATTTCACCTTTCCTCTCATGGCCATGCCTGCTTCCCCCCCTCCTTTTCTGCAACCCCTATCCCAGAGTCCACCCCAGAGTCTTCCTCCTCCACACATTCTAACTACCAAACACCCTTTTTACCTTCACCCAGTAATGAAGCCACCATCCGTTCCTTTTCTGCAGCCCCTTTTGTATCCCTGCTTTCATCTTCACTCCCATACCTATGTCAACTCCTCCTTCCTTTTTCTACAACTCCCCCTTTGCACACACCCTTTTTCATCCTTCCTCTACTGTCATTTCTTACAGTAGGCACTACCCCCATTTCCATGCCTCCTCTTTCCTCCTACTCTGTAGCCCATCAGCTTCTGCAGAAACCAAAATCAGCGTTTGAAACCAAGATCAATGGTTCGTATGTAACAAGGAAATACTAGTGGAAAGTGAAACGTGAACACTGTGCAAGTCCTTAGTTCATCCATGTAGCAGAGGGAGAGGGGTAAGTGAGCCCAAGGCTTCACTCCAGCCAATTCAAAATCATGCACACAGTGCTAAACCATGCTGTTGGATTGTTGCAGTTTCCATTACCTCTGACCAAAGGCCATGCTAGTTGGGGCTGATGGGAGCTGCAGTCCAATGACATCTGGAGGGAAATAGGTTCCCCATTCCTGGTTTAGCATTATGTGTGAACCAGCCGAGTTTTTCTCCTCCTGAATGTGAAACACATTGCTGAGCCATTTCAATGTCACACGACATTGTATGATGTATGATTTTTTCATCCTTCATTTTTGCTGTTATTGCTATGCAACCATATGGTATGAAGCCTTTCAGTTGAAGTACATATAACACTGCGTCAAAGATACAAGTAGCATCCGAGAAGCTTTGCAGGCAGCAAATGCTCCCAGGATGAACAATAGGGATTTCGAATGCTGGGTTCACAACTTGAAACATAACCCATTATTTGCAGACTTCTGAGAGACACCAGGGGTAATTCCAATAAGATTCTATTTTTCCCCCTAGTATGGCTTCATAACCATGTTGCAACACGTAGAAATTCAGTGCTTGCAGGTTTTCCTGGCAACCAGATGCAGCAATAGGAAAAGCTTCCCTGGCTGAATTGCTGCTGGTCATTCAAAATAATCAAACCCGTGCCAGAATAATGGAAATGTTCATGAGATACACAGCAAGCACTGTAGACGCACAGTTCAAAGAACAAGATACAACACTCTTCTAAATTTCCAAACTCATTAAGGAACAATAGTTTTTGTGGCAGTAAAATTAAAATGGGTATGGGACACTGCAGGAAGCCCTAGGGAGGGTTAAGTGGGGACATTTAAGCAGCTCTAAGCATCCTGATGAAGCAGGTGAATTTGTGTGTGCGCGCACATACAAAGGATGACAAAGACATAGGGCCTAGCATCAGGACTCAGCGCTGTCGGGAAGGTGCCAAAGCCCCAACACACTTTGGGAGAGAACACGGGAATTGACCAACTCTCACCAAGGAAGAACTGCCTCCTCTGACAGAAGGAAACCCCCTTGGGAGGTTTGGATCACCTTTGAATAGGTAGAGTCCCTCCTCCTTGTCTCTTTGCAGAAACACCTTCTCTTCTCCACCTCCACACAGACCCTTCTGCCCAGAGTCACTCATGACTTAAAGCAAAAATGTGACAGTTGCAAGAAGGAGCCACCTCTGCTCACCCACCTGCTCTTTTTCTAAGCTGCAGTAGAGACTGGACCCCTAAGACACCTAGAGGGTGCAGAGCTGAAGTAGCTGTTCCTTTCCACTTCATCACCCAGAAGAGGGAGAGAGAGAATAGAAATGAGCTGGACTAGGCCTACCATCAAGGCAGAGTGAGGTGACACCCCTTCTTCATTCCTCCTGAGCCCCTGCCATTTCTTTCCTTCTCAGTTACCAGGGAACAAAGCTTGCTTGTTTGCTAGGCTGGATGAACACTAGGTATCCATTGTATGCTAGGTGAGCATACAATGGAGGTCACATTAGTTGCTGCCACCTGAAAGGAGCACTCACTTCTCATTATCTGCCAGCAAAGACCCCCACCCTCTCTCTCTGGAATGACTGCTTACCATAACTTCTCACCTCCACATAACTCATTTACCTGCCCTTTTACAGCCAGGTGAGATGAGACCATTGCTCCTTACCAATGTCAGTAGTTGCTCACCTATCCAAGTGATACCTCTGTTAAGCCTAATCACAACCACCATGTTGCCCAGAGAAAGATTGTGCCTCCCCTTGATCACTGTTTCTACTCTTTCTTAAAGTCCACCTCTGCCCAGTGGAGGGCAAGAAAGCGGAGACGGTCACCAACTCCACTTAGTTGCTTACACTTTGCATATGGGCTACACCAAAGTTGGATGCATTAACTTTGGGTGACATGGCAGCTTCTTAACTTACCACCTAGATAAGGAGAGTGAAGGAGAAAGAGACGGTGCCTTGTCACCTCTCACCTTAGTAGCCCCTCTGGGAAATATTTTTGGGATATCACTGCCACGTCAGAGAGAGAGAGATAGCGTGCAGGTAAATGCCTTACTTACACTCTCTCTCTGGGTGGCTAGAGCTGAGCCCACCACACAACCCACTGAGAAATAGAGTGAGAGACAGCATGTTCGGGTAAGAAAGCTGAGGTGATGACTCCTTGCAGGGACAGTTGCCTCTACTCACTCCTCTGCCTTCTCCCTCAATTCCGTGTGACAGCAAGGGCTGGGCCTATACTATTTTTTATATATGCAGCTGTTTTGTATATGGTTTTTTATTGTGTGGTGAAACCGCCTCCACGGGAAGCCATTCGTAAACGAAATACATAGATACATAACTACCCTGGGCCCCAATCCCAACCACTGCATTACCCAGAGAGCAAGCGCAGTCAAGCACACCTCTATTGGCTCCCTCCTCCTGGGTGTCGCAAAGCACGCTGCCAACCCCTGCCCCTTTCAAGAAGGGTGCGCTCGCTCAGGAGAAGGAGCAGAAGCATCTTCTCCCCCAGCCCCACCTCCGCACCTTGCTCACTCAGGTGGACGAAATGCCAGGGCAGCACAAGGACCAGCTGCTGCCTTGGCCCTTGCTCACCTGTGTGCCCTCTCGCCCTCCCTCATTGGGAGACCCAGCAATTGGGATAGATGGGAGGATGCAAGAGGTGGATGAGGGGTTCCCCACCACCACCATCACGGGCATATTTTTTTTTTTTGCCGAAGGCCCTAATAAAACCTGCAAAGCGCAGTAGCCATTGGAGGGGGAGGGGGGTTGGCATAGACCATGAGGGGAAGGGCAAAGGGCGATGGAAGTGCCACCCCTGCTGCTGACGAGAGGGCCGGGTTAGGGGAACGCGCTGAAGGGCTGCTGGAGAGCCCAGGCCCTGCACGGCAGCGCCGTTTACCCGGGGCTGGTCTGGGGAGGAGAGAGTGGGAATGAAATGGAGGATGGGAAGAAGGCTGAGGGGAGGGGGAAGCGCATAACCACCTCCTCCTCCTCCTCCTCTCCCCTGAAGGCCCGACCCTTACAGCGCTCACCTTCTGGCGGATCTGGCCAGACGTGGAGACCTTGCGGATGAGTTTTTGCGGGGAGCCGGGCTCTTGCTCCGGCTCGCTGTCCGACGACTCCTCAGTCGCCACCGGAGGGGCAGCGGCGGTGGCCCCGGCCTGGGGCTGCGAGGAGCCCGCCGCCGCCGCCGCCATGCTGCACCGTGAGGAGCAGGGCGGGCAGCACCACCTAGCGCCGCAAGCGCCGCGGTGCAAGCCGGCAGCCAGGGAGGAGGGAACGCGGGCGGGCGGCCGGGGAGCTCGCTATGGGGAGCGGAGAGGCGTTCGTAGCGGACGTGGCCGCCCTCTGGCGGGTCGGTTCTGCACTGGTCCTGAGGCGACCTCCTCAGGCCCCTAAAGTGGCTTGAAGCGAGGGGGGGGGGGAGGAAAAGGGATGCAGCCTCTCGGGAAGGCTGTTAGTTGGCACGCGGGGAATTAAGAATGCGCCCCCCCGCGCGCGCGCACACAGACGCCCTACTCGCCCATCTTTTGCAGGGCGGGTGTATTGGGGGGTTGCTGACAATGTTAAAATATTGTCGTGTCCTCAGTGAACGTCGCAGCACATCGATCTGCATCTGGCGTAGGAGGACTCAGGGGATAAAGCCCCGCGCCATTTATTTACTTCACCCTGGCTTAAAATCTACCCCCTGTGATAAATCATGCTCGCCTTTACAACTCAGTTCATATTAAAAACAAATATACATTAAAAAAAGACCTGGCGCATGAGGGGAAAGGGGATAAAACGGACTAGAATTTGTTATGGGTTTTCTTTTCTTTTGCTAACAGCAGCATTTTGTTTCGAACAGAAGGGAGCATTAAAAAATGAAGTTATTGTACCTGTAATCTGCCACCTCATAAATATACCATATCATTTTGGTTTCAGGTACAGAGCATGTCACGGCCACCTCCATTGTCCCACTGCCTTGTACACACATAGTTACAATAACTACTCTGCAAAATAGATATATGAATGCATGGCACTGTACCCTGTGTTCATACGCTCATTACAGAACTTGTAAGTCATAATCTTTTAGCACATAAAACCGAAAAAGCAGGCAACCTGCTTGTAGATTATTGCATCCAACAACCAATACATGTTTATTTTGCAGTGTATGCAGCTGTTACATATGCTGCTTGTTAGAAGTGCCTTCTGTGTAGGAATTTCACAAAGTACATGGCCTTCATCAAACAGCATGAAAGGGCACTTGACACAACAGGCATTGTATGGTTCACACCATGAATACCACAACTTCTGAATCAGAGACATAAACCTGAATCATAGAATTTAAGAGTTGGAAGCAGTGGTTCCCAACCTTTTTTTGCCCATGCACCTAAGCATCTCTAAAATCCTAGTGCCCCCCCCCCCCGTGACATATATTTCTTATTATTCAAAAAGTGAACTCCTATTCACATGGAGGAAGCCTAAAAGGCCATTAACTGTCAATAACTCATTCTTGAATTGACCCCCTTAAAAATCTAATTGCCCCCCTGTGGGGTGTGTGCCCCATGTTGGGAACCAGGGGTTGGAAGTGTCCCAAGGGTAATCTAGTCCAACCCCCCACAATGCAGGAATCTCAACTAAAGCATCCATGACAGATGTTTATAGTGTAAACTACAGCAGCTCCCTAGTGTACATTCACCTACTCACTTTCCCTCCAAACATAAAAAGGGAACATAGTGGCATCTGCTAGGGCTTATCAGTTGTCCCAGTTTGGCTTGCAATGCCACTTTCCCCAAACCGTGCACATCCACTCCACACCTGACATCATATGTTGAAACCACAGCATTTCCCTTGAAACCACTGCTAAAATGGAGGTTCTCAGCTAGGGAGACCAGCATATTTATAGTACAAACAGATCAGATACAAAAACTGACATGCTGTGTTGTTGTTTTTACAAAGATTATTTTCACTCCATTTATGTGCTATTAAAAAAACAGTGCATGCACACATATAATCTGTTTTACTGGATTTTATAGATCAGGCTTGTAAGGCACTGAATACAGTCTTGCCCTCATTCACCAGCACATACATTCTTCCAGATTCCTGCATTTTACGCACAGTAAAATACTCCATACCTCTACCTCATAAGAGATGGCTGGGAACTAGGCCCAGAATGGTTGCATTACAAGTTAAATGGCAGCAAACCTGTATTTGCCACTATATGTACATAAAGCAAGGTGCTGTGGTCAATTGTTGCTCCCTCACACACACCGACAGCTATAATGCCGATGATCAATACAAACACATGCTTATTGCTTCCAACATATTTAATATTTTTATATGAACACATACAAAATGTAATAGATGAAGCACTTTCAAGTTCTTTCTTGTAGGGTGAATGGTTTCAGTTTGTTCCTTTTTTAAAGTTCAAGCAAACAAAGTAGCACCCCCAGCCTTCCATTTAATTTAGGGACATGGGTTTGTTATGCTAAGCAGTTTTTTATTTTCTAAACAAATAATACTGGATTCACTCTTCACGCTGCAACTAGATGTTTATAGTGAGGCAACTGATTTAAATAAAAACCACCACCACAATCATCTCAAGTATTCGTTTCTTTATTCTAAAAAAGGGAGGGAAGACCAGTGTTAACTGACATAAAAAAAGAAAACTCTCCTGCTGTTTAATAGAATTACTTCCCTCTGTGTTTGCCATTAGACACAAGTTGTGTGGCTTCCATAGCTGACTCAGCCTCCTTTCTCTGTCATTCATCATTTAATGATTCCGCCTTTTCATCCTCATCTTTCAGCTGCTGGCGAGAGAACTCCTCAAACATGAGGTCACTAAGAAAAGATAAAGTCTGCTTTCAAAATTGCATTCTTCTTAGTATTTGGATACCTCTGCATTGTGAAGCTCTATTTTTCTTTGGAACGATTAGCCTAGCACACAGTCTGTCTACACTTTACATCATTTTCACACAACACAAAAATGCATTTTAGCATCTCTTGCAGAATTCATTTATTTAGATTTTTAAGACTGCCCTTCATCCAATAAGATCCCAGGGCAGACCACTAATAGCAGAATCAAATTGAACAGCACTTGCCACCATATGTAGTATGTAGCATAAATAATAAAACAAAATGATTAAACCATGCAACCATTCAGCAGCAGACATAAGAATGCCCACAACAAAGCTGAAACATGTCCCCCAATTGCCTGTGTGAAAAGGTTTCTCATTCTTGGCTCAGCTTCAGTAAGGTAGCTGCATCATTTCCTCACAATAAGCCATTCTCTGGAGCTTAGACAGAAGTTTAGCAGGTCATCCCACAGAACCCTATATTCTGACTATAACTAGGGCATTGGGCAACTGGGGCAATATAAGACTAAGAGTCCAATTCTATGCATATTTCCCCTATATGTAAATCCCATTAGATTTCATGGAGCACATTCTAAGGAACATAATATTTGTATAGACTTTTTACAGTCCAGTTCTATGCAATGTTCAGCATGATATAATTTTGCTATTAGCCTGCAATTTAATACATGCTTACTTGTGAGTGGGTCCTATTTACAGGTACACATATGTAGGATTCCAGCTATATAATATCTATCAACATCTTGTGAGGCAATAGCTGCAAATACTTCACTCTGCTGTATCACGCAGCTATAGCTTCTCAGTGTTTGTATGCCTTAAAATGCAGAAAGCTCTGAGCTGAATCCAGCTGAGAAACAGAATCAATTTCCACTGTCCTCATGCTGCAACTTTAATAAAGTTTGTTTATGAACAAAGTCATTGCTCATGAAGGAATAAGGATTTCAGGGCAGAGTTGGCTAGAAATATAATGAAACAATACTTACTTTTCTTTTCCTGTAGTCATTGGTGCGCATTGAAAAGAAAAGCGGGAGAAAGGCTTAACTAAATACGTTGTCTTGATTTTGATTCCTTAAAGTAGTTGGCAAATATTGTAAAGTCCATTTGAAGGGGAAAATATAAGTTACAGTGCCCTGCAGGTACAACTATGCAACAGGTGTGTGACCTGACAATAAGTCCGTGACCCAGGCTCCTCGGGCCATGCATAAAGCTTGGAAAGGAGAGATAACAATCTGTGCCTCTATGTGCACTGAGGTGAAAGGAGGAGAGAGAAAGAAAGAAAGTCCTAAGAATAAGCAAACTTTTAGCCAGAGGAAGTTTCATTCTCTTCAATGGATTTTCATTGAACCACAAATTTATGGCAATCATGTAGAAGAAGAAGAAGAGTTTGGATTTGATATCCCGCTTTATCACTACCCGAAGGAGTCTCAAAGCGGCTAACATTCTCCTTTCCCTTCCTCCCCCACAACAAACACTCTGTGAGGTGAGTGGGGCTGAGAGACTTCAGAGAAGTGTGACTGGCCCAAGGTCACCCAGCAGCTGCATGTGGAGGAGCGGAGACGCAAACCCGGTTCCCCAGATTACGAGTCTATCGCTCTTAACCACTACACCACACTGGTGTAGTGTGTAGTAGTCTCAAAGCTTGTCCAGCTGCATTCATTGCACCAAAATATTCCTTACCATCAACAAAAATTCAAAAACCATATTTGGGCAATACCTTAATCATGCCAGCCAAAATATTACAAAACAAAGGTTCAGTTTAATCCTTGTGCTAGTTGATTTGTAGTAGACCTCAAAATTATTGTTTTATTAAACTTTGAATATTCCATTCTGTTGTTTTTTTTGAAGCAGGAGGTGTTATTGTGTGCATTGTACAGATGCAAACTGAAACCTAACTGACGTGTCCAATGTCATACTAAGTTTTGGTACTAACTGTGGAAAGTAATTCTAGAGGAAACATGAAACAAGCTGGGATTGCTCATATGACTGGATTCCAAATTGATTGATTGAAGTTTGAATTCCACCAGCTCTGCGATGCAATTAGAGCAGAGCTAGAGAATTGTGGGCTCTCCAACAAGTGCTGCTGAACTATGCCTCCCATATCTTTGATCATTAGCTGCGGCTGATGGGAGTTGGAGTCCAACAACATCTGGAGCGTCAAAAGTTCCCTGTGAATGATTTTTTCTTAATAAGAAAGTTATTGCAAGCATAAATGTGAGAGCACACATACACAAAAGATTTCAGAGTAGAGCAAGCCCCACTGAACTCAATGGGACTTTTGCGGAGACATGCATAGGATTGTGCTTCAAGAGCACAAGAACGTCTACTGGAAAATATGAAAGGAGAACCATCTAACAGCATCCCTCCTTCTACTCCATCTGAAAACACCCCTCCCTGTAATTAAAATCTCCCTTAGAGCTGATTACCATTTCAATGGAAGAATAATCTTCTACCTTTTCAAAAAGACTTAAGGGTATCATCAGAATATTATAAACAACGCCCCAAGCAAGCGCAATGATATCCTACTGACCTGTTGTGTTTTCCTCCTCTCGCTTGCGATGCATGAGACGGAAGGGCAGTTCCATGGCTACCTCACTGTGTAGAGAGAGGAAAGAAAGTAGGATGATACCTACATAGCACCAAACAACCTTAGCAGTTCCCCACACTATTTGGTTTATCCAGTCATTAAAGGTAAAAGTAAAGGGACCCTGATCATTAGGTACAGTTGCGGACGACTCTGGGGTTGCGGCACTCATCTCGCTTTACTGGCCAAGGGAGCCAGCGTACAGCTTCTGGGTCATGTGGCCAGCATGACTAAGCAGCGTCTGGTGAAACCAGAGCAGCGCACGGAAACGCCGTTTACCTTCCTGCCAGAATGGTACCTATTTATCTACTTGCACTTTGACGTGCTTTCGAACTGCTAGGTTGGCAGGAGCAGGGTCAGAGCAACGGGAGCTCAACCCGTCGCGGGGATTTGAACCGCTGACCATCTGATCAGCAAGCCCTAGCTCTGTCGTTTAACCCACAGCGCCACCTGCGTTCCTTTATCCAGTCATTACCCGGCTCTAAATCTATGGGGACTATTTAACTCAGAGTAGTCCTGCTGAAATTAATGAACATGACTAAGTTAGGTCCATTAATTCCAGTGGGTCTGCTCTGAATAAAGCTTAGTTCAGGCATAAGCAAACTCAGCCCTCCAGATGTTTTGGGACTACAACTCCCATCATCCCTAGCTAACAGGACCAGTGGTCAGGGATGATGGGAGTTGTAGTCCCAAAAAACATGGAGGGCCGAGTTTGCCTATGCCTGGCTTAGTTGAATGCTACCCTATACCTATAAGCCTCCACAAGTATTTGGAAAATCAGCAAAGTTATGATTTTATTATGATTGCTTTCCTTCTGCATTCTTTTGCTATTAATTGTTGATGTAGTTTATATTTTTATTTGAAAGCAGTGTGAATTTTACTATAGATAGGTAAGATATAAATGTATTAAGTGAGTAGATAATGATAGAATACAAATACAATAATTAATGACCAGTGCCTGGTTACAGTTACTACGCAAGTGCTGACAATGGGTTAACAAATGAGAATACTTATTATTCAGCTAAATTTGACGAAAACCACTACTACCATGAAGGACTGCGAATAACTCTGCTCATGCTAGTTTACTGGCAATTTCTTATACAGTAGGCAATTTGAAATGTTCCACTTTCACTTTTCCACACTGTAACCACTGAAGGGGCTGGCACTGCAGTTTTTGTTTATTACCCAAGAAACTCCCACCAGAAAATTGTGTCCTGTTGGGGAGGGCATGAAAGGCGAACACACTAAAGAAACTCGCCTAACAACACTGGATGCTCAATAATCTGGATGCTCAATAAAAGAAAGTGAACAAAGGATGGGAATTCAGAGAAAAGGTATATTGTAGAAGTAGTAGTGTTCACTCCTCTGTGAGTAAAAATACCTCATACACAGAATATTGGGCCTAGTCCGTGGTGGAAGCTCATAGTTATTAAGCTAAGACTGTGAACACACTGTACCTTTAAAGCACATTCGAAGTGCATTCTTTCCCTCAAAGAATTCTGGGCACTGTTGTCTAACTCTCACAGGGTTACAATTCCTAGCAACCCTTAAACAAACTATAGTGCCCAGAATTCTCGGGGGTGGCGGCAGCTAAGAATGGGGGGGGGGGGGACAGAGAAAATCTTACAGATTTACCTGGAAATGAAATCTCCTAGCAGGCTAAGATATAATCAAATAAAATAAAAACAATCAAAGCTTACAAAATTCCATAGCAAAGTCAGACATATATCATATCCTCTTCATACAGAATGTAGCTCAGAATTATCCATGCTTGCAATGCATTATCCCATTCCACATCATTCAAGTATTCCTTCTTCATTTGGCTTGGCAGCATCTACTTACTTTTAAGGAAGAACATTTGCACAAATATTCACCATTTTACAAGATAGCTAATTTATTAAGCATGGAACCAATGTGTTAGAATTATCTATACAGTGGTACCTTGGTTTGCAACCGCTTTGGATTACAACCGTTTTGGATTACAACCACGTCAAACCTGGAAGTGCATGTCCCTTTTTTTGGATTACAACCCATTTTTTTTATTACAACCAATTTTTGGGGGGAGGCCCCATTGGCGAAAGCGCTCCTTAAGTTACAACCTTATTTTGGTTTAAAACCGGACCTCCGGAACGAATTATGGTTGTAAACCAAGGTACCACTGTATAATCTAAAGCAATGAGGATGCCACATCCTCATTTTGTTGCCATGACTCATCTTACTCTAACAAAACAAAAGCACCTATTACAAAAACTTTTGATATATAAAAAATAAAAAAATTGTCCAGTAGCACCTTAGAGACCAACTAAGTTTGTTCACTAAGGTGCTATAAGCTTTCGTGTGCATACACACTTCTTCAGATACCTGCACACGAAAGCTTATACAGTCATACCTCATGTTACGTTTGGTTCATGATACGTTTTTTCAGGTTGCGTCCCGCAGCAACCCGGAAATACCGGAAAGGGTTACTTCTGGGTTTCGCTGCTCGTGCATGTGCAGACGTGCAAAATGACGTCACACACATGCGCAGAAGTGGCAAATCGCAACCCGCACATGCGCAGACGCACTGCTGTGGGTTGCGTTCTATTCATGTTGCGAACGGGCCTCCGGAACGGATCCCGCTCGCAACCAGAGGTACCACTGTACCAGGAACAAACTTAGTTGGTCTCTAAGGTGCTACTGGACAGTTTTTTTAAATTTTTTTATATATTTCGACTGCGTCAGACCAACACGGCTACCTACCTGAATCTAAAAACTTTTAACTACAGGATACTGAAAACCTCTCTTACCCTGAGACAGTGAGCTTCACCTTTATCTTGTAAGCAACCAGGATCCCCAGAACTGTCTTGTCTAGCCCATCTTTAATACTATTGGGGATAAAAAGAGTAGGATTATGACATGCAATTGAAGCAATTTACTGTCCAACAGGAAGGAGGATCCTCCCAGAGCAGTTACACTAATTGAGAAGGTTCCAAGGCAAGATGGATCCTAGGGTGAATTCAACTAAGCATACAGGAAGCTTCTGCACTTACATTTATTGCTTAACACAGGAATAGAAGACATCCTATTTCCATATTCCACAGGCTGTATACACGCAACATTTCATTCCAAAATCAGTGGAGATTGAGTAATTGGTTTTTTGTATGTAATCCACAAACAATTTAGATCTATTTTTTTGACCATGAAAAGTACTTCTGAGGAAACTGGCTTCATTTTGAAAATAAACATTTATTCTGCATCACCCTGCTGTGTGTCCATTTGAAAATGGATGTAGTCCGTACCAATGACGGTACCCAATGACGTTGTGGCCATATGCCAAGATCGTAATCATCAAGTCCTTCTTCCTTCATTTGGGGCATGTGTAGGGAGGAAAAGTTGTGGGTAACTTAAGGAAGGGGAGGATTTTCAAATGCATATCAAGGTAGCATACTCAGGATCTAGAATTAATCTTGATGGAAAGAAGCATGTTGAGGATGAGCATGAATGAACCCAGACTGAGGGGGGAAACCTAGAGTTTTCTGCTGCAAATGGGTTATATGTCTATACATATTCAACTCACATGGTACTAGAAGCCAAGTTGGTGTCTTCATCTTTTAGCTTCCCATCCAGGGCTATGCCTAGTTTTACTCGATTGTTTGACAGCAAAGGCAGAACTGTTATAGTCTTTGAGATGATGCAGTTGGGCTGTATCTTCTCCCTGGAATACACATTGCAGGGGATTAAATAGAATACAAGTTTAATTCTGGATCCTTTCACACTGGCCAAAATTCAACCTTCCAACTTCAATAGGATCCAGATGAGGAGGCACAAAACATGAGACCACAGTTGAAGAAGGGAGGGAGGGGTATATACCTCTTAGCAGAAAGGTGCAAAGTTAGACCTCTGCCAGAGAGAAATCAGGAAGCAACACAATGTATAGGAGTGAATTTCTATGTTCTAGTGAGGTAGGCAGCTAAAGGGAATGTAACAGAGGGGGAAACTGGCAGAGGGAGAAGCTTAGGATGCACTCACTCTGCCTCTTCCAGAGCTACTGTCTTGGTGTAGAAATCACTGGAGTACAGGACCACATTGGCAACTTGTTCCACTGAGGAGGAAACGAGATGGGAAATTAACAACTGGAAAACCAAGAGGGTCTAGCCTATTTCCCATAATTCTTCTGAGCATTCTGAAGGAAGTTGTCACTTCTCTTTATGCTTCTGTTTCCCCTCTACTCTCTTGTTTGTGGCATCATATACAAAATTATGGACTGGTAGTAATTTTGCTTTGGCAGAGTGCAGGGAAACATGCTTCCAAGGCAATAGCAATAGCAGCTCCTGGAAAACCAAGTGGAGATCCTTTCACACTGAAAGTGGAGGGTTATCCCAACCCCACCATCACTGCCCATTATTATATTATGGACCCCTCTAGACTGCTGATTTGTTGCAGGTGTATTCTGCCACATATTCTTGACACAATACTGTAATAGTGCATTAGTGGTGGATTGATTCTGCTTTAGTTTGTTTAGTGATGCTTCCCTAGGGCTGCCCAGTGGGGCTGTAGTGCAACAAAAGCAGGACAAAAATAAACCAGAACATTTGTGGCATAAAAAGTTACAGGATATCAGGAGGAAGTTATGGGATATACACTGATTGGAAATGGAGCAGTGTAACAACCCCCAAGTGTTGCAGGTGCAAACCATATTGGAAGTGGAATTGTGTGTGACTCCCCCGATAGCATCATGGGCATAAATAATCATGGATGCTCAATCCTTCTACCCTGCTATTCCCTGATAACAAACATCTTGTGGGATTATGGGGAAAATTAGCATTTTACCTGACACACTGATCTTCTTAACCACCTTATCAGAATTGTTGATCACAGTCACCGTAACAGGGATTGCCTCACCGTGGTAAAAGACCTGGAACAATTGGACTGACTTAGCAGGAGGGTTCATCTGGTCTACATAAGACATCTTTCATCTTTATGCATTTGCATGGTCAGCCCCTGTAGGAAGGCCTTGGGCCTTGTTTATATCTCCTGAGAGTCAGCAAAAGGCTTTAATACACCAGACATCCAAGGGCTGATCCATACCAAACATTTAAAGCATATCCCATGAATGTTTAAAGCACATGGTTTCCCCCCTCAAAGAGTCCAGGAAAATGTAGTTTCTCCCCACAGAACTACAATTATCACCACCTTTAAACTGCAGTTCCCAGGAGTCTTTAGGGGAAGCCATGTGCTTTAAATGTGCACTGGATGTCCTTTAAATGTATGCTGTGGATCTGTCCCCAGTTTCTGTCAAGAAAAACTGTTGAGCGGTGGTCTATTAAATAGGAGATCAAATAACTCAGAGATGTAAAATGCACACTTTTTAAAAGCCAGAGCATTAATTTCCAAATGCAAGACCAGCTCACCTCTTTGCTGAGGCACGCCTTCAGGTGCAATGGTTTCTTTGACAGGAAAAAATGCCAGCTGGTCTCTGCATGAGGTTGGGGTCCTGGCACTTCTGGAGCATGCTGGACTTTGCGGATCAGCAGGCGTGCAGAATTCCTAAGGGGAGAAAAACAGGTTTGTTTCTGTGCTGAACTGCTGGCGGTGGCGAGCAGTTGTGGAAGCAGTAGTGCCAAGCTGTGAAATAGGGATGAAAGAGGTAGCACCAAGGGCAGTGACAGAAGGTCTTTACTGCCATTACAAGTCATCCTTGGTAAAGCAGCAGTAGGGTGCAGGGAATGGTACACAAAGTAAGTAGCCGTTCCTCTTCTCCCCCTGCCCAGAGATTCAGAGCAGGCTGTTAATTAAATATAGCTCCTTATTCAACTGCTCCATTTCCCCCATTTTCCATCCAACAAAATGTTACCTCTTGAGAACCTTCTCTTCCACATTTTCTGTCGAGTACGCTTTGACCTCAAAATCCACCCCGCAGCACTGCAAGGAAAGACGGGGTGACAGGTTATGGCTGTTGGGCTTGAGTGTATTAAGCATCAGCATGTAAAAGAACCCATCCAATAGCCAATTTAAGAGTCAAACTATGTGCTACATTAGCTGTGCTTTTAAGTGCAGTTAAATAAACAAACAACCAAATGGCCATTGTGGGAATCCCTGTAATGTCTGGACGTATGGCAGCCCTAGTGGTGGTGGTGGTGGTGGTAGGGGTAGGGTGCTTTAACTCTCTGCACCCCAGTATGGCCCCAGTCCATGTCAGAGGCCCCACACTTTCAATTTGCACAGGAAGAAAAGCTTCCTATGCATCTGTTATGGGTCATATGCACAGACCTTTTCAATACAGGTGCACTTGCACTGAGAAATCCCAACACCATTTCTGCCTAAAGCAGGAGACATACCATTGAGCCTTAACTGGAAGGAGATAGGATGCATTTTAAAATGAGTGTGCTCACTTGGTTTTTATAAACTTGTACTCCACCTGAGCACATCACAGAGTACCTTCACCTTTTGCTGGGCCTGGGAAGGTGAGAAGCAGAACAGACACAGGAAAAAGGCCCTTGCTTAGCTACACTTTCCTAGGGAGACCTGCAAGATTATCTATTACCATACACAAACTTTCACACTACATGTTCATTTTCAGTATTGTCTGATATTTTTTGTTAAGAGAGTGTTGCAAACGTTATTGTCTTCCTTGCTATTTGTGTCTAATTCTGTGGGACCAGCTGTGTCCAACATCCACTTGGAAAACAGTTCCCCTGAAACAAACTTCCACTAGGGAGCATCATGTCACCTCATCAGCAGTGAGAAAACATGGGAGCAGATGCTAATTCTTGGATTTTACTTTCTTAGTAAATATATACAATCCTGTTCCCACAGTTCTCACCTTCTCGACATCCTTGGGATGCTGCAAACATACTGAGCAAGGTAGATAGTCTGGAATCTGTAAGGGTGAGGAAGACAAAAGACACTGGACACAGGTCATTCAACTGCATGCTACAGTTAGTTTAGCTGCTACAGAAGTTTAGTTCTTGAGGCACGGCCACATTCTCCACTGTCAGAAGCAGCAGGCAGTCTGCCTCTGAATGCCATTTGCTGGGAATCAAAAGTTGGACAAGTGCTTTTGCGCTCAGGTCTTGCTTTCAGGCTTCCAGTGGGCACCAGGTAGGCCATTACACTAGAAGTGGATGCTGGACTAGATGGGCCTTTGGCCTGATCCTGCAGGGATCTTCTTACATTCTTAAGGTGCTGCAAAGCACACTGCCTTAGGTAATATGAGAGACCCAGCCGAAGGTCAAACCTTACTCAAACCACCTCCTGTATTCTGCCCACCTCATGTATTCTGCCGCTAGATATGAAGCAAAGAGTTGATATGGGGGGGATGAATGTATGGAGACACCTAAAGTGAAAATATGCTGTAAAGCCACTTTCTAACCACTTTCCTTTTTTTCTTTTTCACTTAATTTATTTATTATTAATGTTGTAATACATATATGAAATCTTTACATATTGATACTGTCAGGGAACTGCCATCGGACGGAAGGGAGGTGAAAGGGCTCACACAGGTTGGGAGAGACGCAGCAGCTGAAGAGGAAACCAACAGGGAGGTGAAAGGGCTCACACAGGTTGGGAGAGACGCAGCAGCTGATGAGGGAACCAGCAGGGGAGAGGAGCTGAGCTGGAGGGATGGCTCAGAGACACTTCCAGCGAAAACAGTGGAGAGGTTTCAGGACCTCCTGTAAGAACACCCACTCCTCGCCGGAAACTGTCACGCAGAGATTCCAGAAGACGTGTTTCCGTTAAGGAGCTTTTATGTTGGAAGCGATTACGAAAGCAACCACTGTCGGAATCTGCTAGTGACTAGAGTAGCCATGTCTGAGGGCTCTGTCACAGACAGAGGTTTGTGGACTTGAACAAACTCTGAGGGGATACGATTTTACGCACAAGCAGCTCATCATCCCATCACAGCATTCCGACAGTCTTTGAAAGCAGCTTGTGCAGGAGAAGGTATCATGAGCAACCCAGCCGGAACCGGAGAAGCAGGAGCTGGAGCGGGTCCAAGCCTGGAAGAAAGGTACCAGATGTTGGAGGTCCAGCTAGCGATGCAGACGGCGAGGCTTGAGGAGAGGAGGGCTCAGGATGCAGACAAAGGGGAAAGCCACCCAGTTCGCCAGAAAGGTACCAGGATTGGTGCAGAAGTTTGGGGGAGCCCAAAAACTATCATGGTTTTCGGACAGAAATGCAATATGCCCTCAATCTGCAGTTTGATGAATTCCCTGACGAGGAATCACGAGTGGCTTTCGTGATTGAGCATCTTGAAAAGGGCGAGAGACTGGGTTAGACCCCTGATGGCAGCGAATAGTGACGTCTTAAAAGACACGATGAAGTTCTTTCGCGCCATGGATCTGATGTTTTCCAGCGATATTGAAAAGGGAGTGGTGCGCAGACAGTTAATGGGTTGCAAACAGGGAGCCGATCTGTCCGTGAGTACTGGACTGAGTTCACCATGCTTGTTCACAGATTGGGGTGGGACTTATCGGCGGAACCCATTCAAATGCTCTTTGAAGAAGGGCTTTCTTCGGCTGTGAAAGACGAACTTTCCCGGGCGCCCAGGGCGGAGTCTATGGACCAGCTGACCAAATCAGCGCTGGCCATAGGGGCGCGCCAGGAGGCGAGAGCATTGGAGAGGCGGGAAGGGAAGGGGAACGTTGGAAGGAGTTCCGCATTCCAGACATTCCAGAGCCAACTTTCCCACCGGCAGAGCCGATGGAAATCGGAACAGCGCGCGCGCGCACAGTTTCAAAGCCCAGTGAGGGGGCAAAGAAGGATGGAAAAGGCGCCCGGAAATGCTATCTCTGCCAACAGCCAGGTCACTTTGCCAGAGTCTGCCCCCAGAGGAAAGAATGGCAAGGGATGGTAGGGGCTGTGGATGGAAGAGAGGAAAATATACCGGAGCAAGTAAAAGCCAACGCCTGGCTGCCACTGTCAGGGCACAGCAGCCAGGCCAAAGAGCAGTGAGAGTGCCCACGCCAGAACCTCCTAAACCCGCCCTAGTGATAGAAGTGACGCTAGAGCTGCCAAACGGACACCCTCTAAAGATAAAGGCGCTGTTGGACTCAGGCAGCTCCTGCAATTTCATGAGCAAAGAGTTTGCAGCTGAACACCAGATACAGACAATCCCTTTAAGCAGCCCCCTGCAGGTGACCACGATCGATGGCAGGGAGCTGTTGGGTGGAGAAGTCAGCTTGCAGACCGTCCCAATGATAATGAAGGTAGCAAGGCACACCGAACTGATAGCTTTTAATGTGGCCACCTTGGGAGGAGCTCCCATTATATTGGGGATGAGCTGGCTAGCGTTACATGATCCGCTGGTGGGCTGGCATCAGAGAGTGGTTTCTTTTGGTTCAGCACATTGCTTAGAACACTGCAAAGAGGGAAAGGGTTTGGCAGGGGTCCAAGCCACCCTAGCAGGGACTGAAGTAACAGAGAACGTGAAGGTACCACGACAATATGCAGATCTCCGTGACGTCTTCAGCGAAAGGGAAGCTGACCAACTACCCCCGCATAGACCCTTTGACTGTCAAATCAACTTACTCCCTGGAGCACAGCTCCCTGTAGGCAAGCTGTACGCCATGTCAGACAGAGAGATGCAGGAGTTAAGAGAGTTCATTGACAAGAACCTGAAGAGAGGGTTCATCAGAGAGTCCAGGGCGGTGGGGGCAGCCCAGTGTTTTTGTGGATAAGAAAAACACGAACAAGCCGAGGCTGGTGTGTGACTTCAGGGCCTTAAATGCAGTGTCAGAACCAGTAGCCTTCCCTATGCCCAGGATTGACGACATTTTGACAAGGGTGCGGAAGGGAAAGATTTTTACAAAGCTGGACCTAAGGGGGGCGTACAACCTGGTATGAATAAGGAAAGGGGTGAATGGAAAACCACTATGTTCACCCCTTTAGGGGCATTTGAATATTTGGTTATGCCCTTCGGCCTCCAAGCAGGCTCCGCAACCTTTCAATCGTTTATGAACCACGTCCTGGGGCCTTTGCTTTACAAGAATTGTGTGGCCTTTTTAGACGACGTGTTGGTGTATTCTGAGAATGAGGAGCAGCATGTGAGAGACGTCAGAGAAGTGTTGAGCAGGCTGCAAGCCAACCAGCTGTGGGTGAAACTGGAGAAGTGTCAGTTTCATACCAAGGAGGTGGAATTCCTGGGGTATCGCCTGTCAGACAAGGGATTGGCCATGGATCCCGGCAAGGTCCAGGCTGTGCTGGAATGGAAAGCACCCAAAACAAAGAAGGATGTGCAGAGGTTCCTAGGATTTGGGAACTTCTATCGTAAGTTCATCCGAAACTTTGCCCACCTGACGGCGCCCATTACGGACTGTCTCAGCAGTAAGAAGAAGTTCGTGTGGACTGAGGAGGCGGAGCGAGCATTTGAGGAACTAAAAGGGCCTTCGCCTCGGAACAACAACTCCTGCATGTGGATTTACAAAAACCGATGAGAGTGGAAACTGACGCATCAGACAGAGCGATTGGGGCGGTGCTTCTGCAGCCAGGCAAGAAGGGGTCAGAGTGGAGACCGTGTGCCTTTTTTCGCGAAAGCTGAACAAATCCGAGAGGAACTACACGGTGTATGACCGAGAACTACTAGCCATTCATGAGGCGTTCCGGAGATGGAGGCACCTGCTAATTGGCGCACAACATAAGGTGCAAGTGTGCACTGACCACAAGAACCTAGAGTATTGGAGGACGGCACGAGTGCTCAACCAACGGCAAGTGAGATGGGCCCAGGAGTTCTCCAAATTTAACTTTGAGATTAGTTACGTGCCAGGCCCAGAGAACATTAGGGCGGACGCTCTCTCACGCAAACCTGAATATTTGGAGGGGAGGGGCACCCGAAGAGAGACATGTCATTCCAGAAGACCGCTGGGTGTGTGGGGGCGGCATTGGTGGGACAAAGAGAACTGGTAGAGGAAACAGAGAATGATGAATACGCCCAGAATAAGCTCAGAGGTCTTAGGGGTGATGGAGAGGAACCAGGGGTTTCGAGGAAAGAAATGGAGCTTTGTATTACAAAGGGGCACTGTATATCCCTGAAGGAGAGTTAAGGGGAGGGTACTCAAGCAGTTGCACGACAGCCCTACGGCGGGGCATTTTGGACAACACAAAACCATGTGGTTGGTCACCAGGGAATTTTGGTGGCCTAAGGTGAGGGAAGATGTACGTGAGTATGTAAGAGGGTGCGAGCAATGCCAGCGAGCCAAAGGGGAAGGCGGGCGCCGGCGGGGCTATTAGAACCCTTACCAACCCCAGAACGACCTTGGGAGGCAGTGTCGATAGATTTTATGACTGATCTGCCGAAGTCCAAAGGGAAAACAGCCATCATGGTGGTGGTAGACCTACTAACAAAGATGTGCCACTTTGTAGCTTGCTCGCATGCAGTCACGGCGGAAGAGACAGCGAAGTTATTTGTAGAAAACATTTTTAGGTTGCACGGGGTGCCATTGAGGGTGGTCTCAGACCGAGGAAAACAATTTACTTCCAGGTTCTGGAGGAAGCTCATGAGCTTACTGCAGGTGGAGGTCAATTTTCGACTGCCCGGCACCCTGAAACCAACGGGCAGGCGGAAAGAGCAAACGGTGTCCTCCAGCAATACCTGAGGTGTTATGTCAATGACAGAGAGAATGACTGGGTAGAAAAGTTGGCGCTGGCGGAATTTGCCTACAACAATGCCGAGAATGTGTCCACAGGGATGAGCCCCTTCTTGGCTAATTATGGGTGTCATCCCAGGGCTTTCCCAGGGGAGAGGGGGAGAGATGGAGCGTCCCGGCAGCCGAGCATTTTGTGGAAGAAATGGAAGCAATCCATCGTCAGCTCCAACTCAACTTAGAAAGGGCGAAGGAAGAATACAAGAGGCAGGCAGACAAGAACCGAAGGGAAGGTGAAACCATAAGGGTGGGAGATAGGGTGTGGCTGTCAACCCAAGGGTTGCCGTTCAAAGGAGGTTGTAAGAAATTAAGACCCAGGAGGTTGGGTCCCTTTGAGGTCATTCAACAGGTCAACCCAGTGGCTTTCAGGCTCCGGTTACCCAACCACATGAAACTGCACCCAGTATTTCACAGGTCGTTACTGTCACCGTACGAAGGGGGACGAGAAGGGCTGGCCACTCGGGGACCGGTCGTAGAAGAAAGAGAATGCAGCAGCCATGTGGCAGAAATCCTCGACGCCAGGTGGAAGGGGGATCAGGTGGAGTATTTGGTAGCGTGGGAAGGAGAACCGGAGTCAGAAAACACTTGGGTAATGGCTGAAGATATCAATGACGAGGTATTGATAGAAACGTTCCATCAAAGGTTCCCAAGGAAACCTCAGCCTGTGGAGAGGTTCCGGGGGAATACTTTGGGACCACTGATGAAGGGGAGGAGTTGGAAGGATTCCCGGACTCGGAGGGGAAGGGGAGATGGACTCTGAGGAGGAGGTGTACTTCGAGACCAGGAACCGCAACAGGTTGAGAGAAGTGTTCGAGACATCGGAAGATGAAGGAAGTTCATTCCGGGGTTTTGCCTCCTCACCGCCCGTAGAGGAGGGCGAGAGGGGGTGAAGGGGGCCCTGGAGGGAGGTGGATGTCAGGGAACTGCCATCGGACGGAAGGGAGGTGAAAGGGCTCACACAGGTTGGGAGAGACGCAGCAGCTGAAGAGGAAACCAACAGGGAGGTGAAAGGGCTCACACAGGTTGGGAGAGACGCAGCAGCTGATGAGGGAACCAGCTGGGGGAGGAGCTGAGCTGGAGGGATGGCTCAGAGACACTTCCAGCGAAAACAGTGGAGAGGTTTCAGGACCTCCTGTAAGAACACCCACTCCTCGCCGGAAACTGTCACGCAGAGATTCCAGAAGACGTGTTTCCGTTAAGGAGCTTTTATGTTGGAAGCGATTACGAAGCAACCACTGTCGGAATCTGCTAGTGACTAGAGTAGCCATGTCTGAGGGGCTCTGTCACAGACAGAGGTTTGTGGACTTGAACAAACTCTGAGGGGATACGATTTTACGCACAAGCAGCTCATCATCCCATCACAGATACATATACATTATATTCGTAAATTCACATTTTCACATTTCATTATGTAACAACATTTATCCATTTCTTATTTCTTACCCTGTGTCTTCCCTCCATCCATGCATGACTTCCTTGTTATTATTTTGTGACTTTATTATTGAGGTTGTAATTTTGTATCTTAATAATTAAACATTCAATCTTATATATCTGCTTAGCTTAATTTAACTTAACTTTGTGAAATCAGTCTATACATATCAATAAATTCTTGTTGGAGCGTCTTTTGGTCATGTGTTTCTTCTACACATTTCCATTCCTGTTTGAGATTTTGATTAAATTGCATTCTAATTGTTGCCGTCATTTTTGCTAATTCAATCATTTCTAAAGATTTATTATTTCTAACCACTTTCCTATCAAATTGTCAAGTCACAGAACTGAGAGGAGCCCCGCAGAATACTTACTGTTAACACAAAAGGATGTGCGTTTTTACCCAGTTTATTCAGTAGGCATTCTTGCAGGCTGGAGAGCGGTCTCTGTTTTTCTAGCGATGGGTATACCTGTACCATGCAAAAATAGAGGTCCTTCCGGAAAGTCAGGCCCATTATATCAATATCTTCTTGCCCATACCGAAAAGCACAAGTGAGTGTCACATACACTAGGAAGAAGACACAACGAATGTTAAGAAACACTGTGCTAAACCAACTAGGGGTATCATCTGCTCACATGGAAAGTCTGTGCTTAAAGGTCTGAGAGTGGACACCTGCAAGCTGAGGGCCTGGGACAAAGCTCAAGGTTAAACAAGCTCACTTTATGTCTGTCTCAGCTAGCAAAAGACAGTCAGAAGAAGCTGGGTTCATTTGGTGGCTGTGGTTTTCCACTGCTCTCTTGGGGAGTGCAAGGTGCTGGGGTCAGTAAGCTTTTCGGGCCAGTGGGCACACTTGCAAACCAGCTAAAGTATCATGGGCACAACACACACATGCTGCAGCCAGGAACAATTTGCAGTCTGTTATACTGGCTGCAATACAATGCCTCTTTCAAGCCTGATTTTAATAAAGATTCTGTCAGCATGCATCTAGGAGCAAACAGAAGATTGTATAAAATGGACATGTGAATGCATTTGGCACCAATTACTGTGGTTATACTAACATTTGGTATTAGAGGAATTACGTATACATCTGGTCCAATGACATAACTCTTATACACCTCTGAAAACATGCTTGGTAACCAACAGGGGCCTTTTCTTTTCCTGAGTGGAGTTTGTTTGTGTAAATCTAGAGACATTTTAACTTTAAGGCTGGATATTAATACTTAAATCTCTAAAACACCAGTTAAGTCATCTGACCTTTTTTATCCTTGACAATATCAGGATCAACCAACACAACACCATCTGTATTGAGAAAGCACAGAAAGGAGCCACTCTGGGACACTGAATACTCAAGCTTTAAAAAAAGAAGTGTAAAAAAGATTTTAAAAACTTGAAATCACGCTGGGCTTACCCACAGGTTCCACCTCATCTACATGGTCAATGAAATCTCGCTTGCCTATGTAGATCGTAACCTGGAAGACAGAGAAACTCATGACTGGACAAGGCCGCTTCATAGCTCAACTTAAGGATGTGATTCTGTTGTAAACCAATGCCAAGCAAAAAGTGCACCTTCAGGGCAGACAAGACTACTCAAACCTCTTGATGCATCAGGACTCAGAAATGTAATAGAAGTAGAGTGTCCGGATGCATTGTACAAAACAAAATACCATATTTTTCCGTCTATAGGACGCCCCCATGTATAAGACCCCCCCCCATTTTTGCGGGCTCAATTTTAGGAAAATGAGGGGAGATGGCCCAAAGTTGTTGAGCCTCTTCCCCCCACGCAGCTGGGGGCAGGAAACGCTCCCTGGATTGTTTCCCTTGCGCAGCGGCATCGGGGGAAGTTGCGCTCCCGGGAGCGCAACCTCCCCAGATGCCACCATGTGTGGGAAGCGACCCAGGGAATGCCCGTCGCACGCAGCAGCATCGGGGAAATTTGCACTCCCCCGAGAGCGCAACCTCCCCCGATGCCGCCGCGTGTGGGAAACAACCCAGGAAGCATCTGCCGCAACCTTTCCCAATGCTGCCACCGCTCGCAGGAAATGACCCGGGGAGCGCCCGCCGGGTGCAGCATTGGGGGAAGTTGCGCTCCCCCCAACGAGCTGGCTGGCGGTGCGGCGCTTCTCCTCCCCTCCCCCATGCCACTATCTGTGTATTGGATGACCCCAGTTTTTTGACGTGATTTTTGAGTCAAAGAACCTCGTCCAATACACAGAAAAATACGGTATTTAAAATTAAGAATCAGTGTCCAGGAAAAGATGGTTAAAAAAACAGATTTGTAAGATGGTCATTACTATCTCCACAAATTACTTGAGGGAGAGCATTTCAGAGGATGGGTGCTTCCACCAAGAAGGCCTACTTCCATGCTCTCACCTAGTGACAATCTGCTGGTTGTGGAATGACCAGTAGGTTCTCCTTGGAATAAATTAAAGAACGGCTTGGTCTGTACTGGCTTGGTATCAGAGATTGTCTTGGTCTGACAAGGGGGACGAGGAAGCCTCCATTGGTGCCAATGGGCTCTTCCTGCTGCTGCCACCAAACCTCCCCTTGCTGCACACTGAATTCTGAATGAAAATCCCCCATGCTTACTATTTAATATTTTTTTACAACTCTGGTGTGCTTCCAAGCTTAGCATCTGTAGGGGAAACCTACACGGAAGACATTTTGTAGCTTGAGGACATAGGTATCAGTTTGTACGATTCTTCCTCCCTGCTTATTGGTACCTTGGGGCTTGGTTTGATTTGTGGTTTGGACTCCAGGGATAAGTAGCAGCAGAATGGGGGAGAGCAGAATGTGGTCTAGTTGCTGGCTGAGGGTCTGCAGGTAGCAGTGCACTGTAAGGCTGATTAGGCTGACCCTAATATTGGCCTAGCTTACCAGGTGGGAGGAATTGAGCTATTAGGCCAGGCCGCATGAGGCCACTAAGGGCCTGGAGTATATACACCATACTTCAATGTAGACTCTGATCAAAAGGGTGCTGTGTACTGGCCAACCGGCGTCTCTCTGTTCTCAAACGCTGGAGCTCCTGATAGCAGAAGTATACCATCTGGTTCTTGCTGTGTTGTTTCGCTTGAAGACTGCTTTGTTTGTGCTGTCTTTTTAATAGGAGCACCGAGGTTCCCTCCATTTGTGCTGCTGTTTGCCAGGGGTGGCCAAAGTCACTTTGGCTCCTGAGATAAAACATACCCTGTGATGAGGGGACGTGATGAGGCTCTGCAAAGCCTTGCCACGGGGGGGGGGGGTATGTCAAACTCTACAAGTGTGTCTGCAACACCTCCCTCTTGCTGTATTGGGGAGAAAGAGGTGTTATGGAGAGCTTTGCCACTGGCCTGCCTCCACCCCTAGTGATGGAGAGAGACCAATGGCAATGCTGTGCAGCAGAATGTTCTGCTGCCCCTGAAGTCTCCCTTACCTGGATTGCTTCTCTGGCAGCAACGAAATTGGTGGGGCACCATGTCTTGTGTTTCTGCCACCTGAGGTGGCTGCTTCACCCTGCCTAATGGGTGAACCGGCTCTGGATATTGTCAATGAATCCCAAAAGTGCCCTTGCATTTGGCAAGGCAGCATCGCATGTGCTTTTGTCTCTTAGAAAGAAGCACTTCTGTATCAGAAGCTTACCACTGAAGCAACACACTGCTTCCAGTCCAAACCAATTGTCGTGCTAAGTACTCACAGCTTTGTCATGAGAGGTCTTCTTGTAGACATGAGTCTTAAAAGGCATAACATTCTTCAGAGAAATTTCAGAAACAGAGACCATCTTTGGAGTGTCGGGGCAACTCATCAATACGGTTACGTGACCCTGGTAAGAAGGAATGTTTCTTGCATTAAGGGATCATTAGATCAGTGACACACAGCTACAAGACAAGCTGAGGATGGTTTGAAAGCATACTGAGGGCATGCAGAAAATCTTAGTAACTTTGTGTGGAGCATTCAATGGTGGCCCATGAGTCAAAATAGCATGTAGAGCAGGAGTGGCTGACCTTTCTTGGCCTGAGGGTCACATTCACTTGTGGCATGTCATGCCACCCCACCTCATTCTTGTGCACATACTTGCATGCACACAATTCCCCCTCTGCTCCTCGGATGAGCAAGCAAATCATCGGAAGGAGGCAATTTGTAAACCCAGCATGATGCTGGGCTCCACCAACCTCAACCCTCATATATATATATATATATATATATATATATATATATATATATAGGTAAAGGGACCCCTGACCGTTAGGTCCAATTGCGGACGACTCTGGGGTTTCAGCGCTCATATATATAAAATTTATTTTTGATGCCACAACCAAAATTGGTGGAGTGACAGAAAAAATTGCTTGGGAAGTTGGATCATACTCCTTCACTGGGATTAGCCAGCCCTGTATTAAAGGTTCAGGCTTGAGATTTGAGTGGTGCTGTTGAAATGTTAATACAGGCTGCTTCCAGACTATCACTATTTTGCAGGATGAATTCAATAAAGCCGGCAAATGTAGGTTTGTGCCATTAAACCCATTAAAATTTATATATATTTTCCAGTAAGGCAAGTGACAGGTGGCCAACCAAATGTCCTTTCTGTGGTGTATTCCTGATGAATTGTGCTCATGATGGTATTTGGGTGGTTATACACAATCCCACTTTCAATACTGGCTGCGCTTGCAAATGTTTTGCAGAAAAACTGGAGAAACATTGAAAAGCAACTTTCAAAGGAGAATGATGTGTGGACAGTCCTGTACAAATCCATTACTAATGCACTATTATTGCATGAATGACATGTTGCAGCATATGCCCACAGCTCCCCCCACCCCAAAGTCTGGAGGGGCTGGTAGAAATGTTTCCTGCTTGGCAGAGGGTTGGACTCGATGGCCCTTGTGGTCTCTTCCAACTCTATGATTCTATGATTCTATGAAATGCACTTGAATGTGTGGAATGGCAATTGAATAATGGAGAGTTGTAGAACCTCTGCGGCAAGAAATCTTAATAACTGCTCAATAAGCAGGTAATGTGGAAGCAACCTTAAAAATTCAGTTATCCTGCAGCACTTATGTTCTGCTCCAATACTGTATGAGCACTGTCTGTTTATAGTCTACACAACAGTGATAGCCCAGTTTGCAGAAGGGCTGGAGCTTGCTTTGCCACAGTGAGAAATTTTATTGTCAGAATAATGCAGTTGAACATGGCAGTTGTGGGTGTGTTTACTTGCATGCACACAATTCCCTCTCTGCTCCTCGGATGAGCAAGCAGATCATCGGAAGGAGGCAATTTGTAAACCCATCGTGATATATATATATATATATATATGTGTGTGTGTGTGTGTGTGTGTATTAAGACACAGATTTTGGAAGGACAACATACTCAAAACAGCTTTTGAGGAATTTGTGACTGCCTGCTAGGATCTCATAGGAACCATCCAACAGGAGTGCTATGACCCTTGTGCTTCTGGTCGGCACCAAGGGAGCTAACTGCAGTGGTCAGGACGGAATACTGGAGCCATGAGCTGCTGTTTTCGCTATTGGCTAGCAATGATTTGTCTAACAGCTATTCCTCCTTAATGGGAGCTATTCTTGAGCGATGTCATCAGTCTGGCTCAACAATTATGCTCCAATTAAGGTTCAATTATGATGCAGAAAAACTAATTAAGCAATTCTGAACACATTATCTTTCAGTTACAATTCTATTAATTACAATTCTGATATGATTACATAATTTTATTAGCATACAACTGATTAACCAAACAGTGTTACTGTCATAGCAATAAGAAATTGTGTTCACTTTTAAAATGCATTTACATGCTTATCTCATACCTGCCCCGTATATATTCTTTATTGGATTTAAAAGCAGTTTAGATAATATTATAAAAGATACTCTTTTTGAAAAAGTGAAGTATGATTTATAGAATACATTAATTCCCACCCCTTGTGTCAATGTCGTACATTCAGTAAGGGGGCGGGGAGAACCATTAGTACCTGTATACATGTTGTCATTTTCCCTCTCTCTCCGTCCCAAGATGGGAGCAATCTTGTTGGTTATCAAGGGCATGATCCTCAAGAAATGAAATGAGCTTCTCACCTCCTTTCCATCTGTCCAGGTGAGCCAGACAGGGGTGTCTCTGTGGGGAGTCCTTTGCCCCTGACTGATTCTATATTCACATTATCTTATAAATCAACTTCATCACAAGATTTCTTACAGAAGCATCCAATGCATGCTTCTTCTGAAGTAAAGGTGCTTCCAGATTACCTATTTAGAGCATTAATCCACATTTGTTTGCAGGGAGGTTAGAAGACATTGTGTCAAAGCAAGTGTTATCCCACACTTCCCATGCATTTTCCCATCACTTTCCTTTTAGCAAAAAAGTCCAACCTTCTGAGGAAACAGGATTGTTCCACAAGGCCTTCCAAGCAACTATAACAGCCCAAACCTGACTTTGTCGGTATGTGGTTGAATGCAAATGGAAAATGGCAACAGCCTGGAAGCACCCAAAATCTCAATGGGTCCACTGGAGATGAGCATTGCTCGCACCAGAGAAATAAAGAGTAGGACATTTACAGGACAATCGTAAACACCGCTTACTTAGAAATAGCCCACTAAATTCAATGGAGGCATTCTTAAGAATGCTGCCTTAGGTAGCAAATTTGCAACAAGAACAAAATATCATACCTGGTGGATTCCAAATACCCCAGTGGTTGAGGGAAAGAGAAACTTCCAGGAGCAGTAAAATGAAGACCCAACCTAACCCAACATACAAAACAACATAATCCAGGCCGATAGAGCTTGCTTGGTCTTCTGTTCTCTAAGAAGGTGAAGCATTAGGCCCTTTAGAGGCCAGGGTGGCAATTTGTAGCGGATCTGGAAATGGGATTTTAGTGCTTAGGGGGCCAAGTTTCCAATAGCGAATCCAGAACCAGAATGTTATACCTGGATTATCAGATTGGAAACTGGTTAGATCAGCGGTGCTGGGCATTATCTAAGGGACCTCAATTCTACAATGTCAAGCTTCCCGATTTCACAATGCACATAGACAACACACAGAAGATTTAGTAAGCAGGTTATTGAAAGCAGCTTTATTTTAAACCTCTTTATCTCTTCCTTACTAGGGCTGAAAATCATCCCAGCCTGCTAATGAGCTAAAGATAAGCACTTGTTTGTGCATTACCGATTCTGTAATAGTTATAGCATGCCTTTATAAAATGCAAGCACCTTATAGAACTGTATATGCCTCACTACCATCTCCCCAAACCAAAAATTCCCATTTTGTTTGTGTTTCTCGTTTTTCCAGTCTTAAATTCATTTATCCACATTTCTGCAGCAGTTTGCTATGGGGAAAAAATGTGTATTCATGAAAATTCTTTGCATTTTTTGTGAATTTCTCCTAATAAACATATTTTTATGTTTATGTACATTTATGTACAAATTTATGCAAGCAATTCCCCCAGTACAATATACCTTTGTATGTTATTTTCACACATATTTTCATTTTTATGCACACTTGCCTATAATGCATGTATTTTTTGGACAGTGTTTGATTGGAGAACTGCATCATAACATCTGGGCAAGTGTGAAATATGAGAGAAAGTAAAGCAGTGTGTTTGTGGGGACATCAGGGCAAGAACTATTATGTACCTCATGGCTGTGTTCTCCCTGTTCTAATATGACTAGAACAATAAGAACATTTCTCCTTTACAACTCAATGGGTGCTATGGAGAGCAAAGTCAGGCTCCATGTGCTAAGCCTACAATACATTCCATTTCCTTGTCTTGATAGGCTGTTACAGCAGAATGTGACAGAACCCTGGAACTGTTTTTAGTATATATTGGAAATGAATGTGGCACGTTTCTCTGTGAATAACTGATAGAGCATTTTGAATCATCTGCAGCCTCCTTGATATAGCTATCAGTTTGCCCACGCAACAGTGGATTTGGAAGCAAAGAACGGCTGCACATGTGCGGCACTGTCATTAGCTATGGGCCAGGGAGGGAGGCAGGGAGAAACAGAGAGCACATTCTGAAATACATCTTCTGCACGTGCATATTGGAGGCTGATGTGCACGTTAAGCTGAACTACAAAAATAGATCTGGGTGTGCTCAGCACAGACAGCATTTCTTCCCCACCCCACATCATCTCATGTGGTCCCCGTTAACTGCCCCCTCTGGATGGTGTGCACAACCTCACAACCTGGTTAGAAATGCAATCTACTAATAACGGCCCAAATTTTCACTAAAAGAGGTTGCAGTGACACGTTTAATTTCTAATATTTATGACTGCTTGAGACAGTGTGAAGCATTCTGAGGAACAGAATGCACAGAAACTGTAAAAATATAATTCACTCCATTTGGGATTAGCTGAATAATAGCTAGCAACCCAAAAGTGATTGATAAGGAGGATGGCACATCTGAGAAGTACACGTTAAACTCACCAATGTTTAATCAATTTTTCGGTGGCTGGAGTAGTATTTTGTATTGCAAACAAATTGGAAGTGGCATTAATGTTCATTAATGTTCAATAATGAGATTATTTCAAAGAAGTCTTTCACTTTAAAAACCCCACCCCCACATCATAAGGCTCACGACACTTCTATGGAAGGCAAATATGACTTAACTCATGGCAAAAATGTATTAAGCCCGGGGATGTGGGGAGGGAAGCTCCTTCTAATTAGTGCAAACAACAAAATTTCCATAGGGAGGGAGCAATTTGACATATTCCTAAGCATTCAAGTTTGTGCAGACCTCAGTTCTTCTGAGTTTTATTCCAAGGCTCGTTGCTGGTATTTAATAAAATTTATAATTCAATCATAATAAGGCTAAACAATAATACTGAACAATAAAATATGCTCAGTATCCCCTTCCAGTTTTAACTTTCTCTAAAATGAAAGCCGCAGCTCCTTAGTGAGGTGGTGTGTGGAGGCATGACGTATAATCATAACTCTCCCTATGGAAGGTTGCATTGGGCCTCCATTTCACTAGATCCTCAGTTTTGTAGCACAAGACTAACCCTGCCTAGTTTATCACATTACACCTCACCACTCCCACCTCTGCCTGCACCATTCTCCTCCTTTGGAAACAATGCATAATCCTTAAGTAATCCTTCATCCCACTGATTCAGCACTAGGAACTGTCCTAGGTATTTGCTAGATCCCCAAGGTCAACTATGCAGAGTGCAGATGATAAAGGGCTGTAGCTCAGTGGTGGTGAACATGCCTTCCTTACAAAAGGTCAAAGGTTCAATTCCAGGCAACCCCAGCTAGAATTGAGAGAGCCCCCACCCAACCACACGAAACCCCCAAGTGCCACTACCAGTCAGTGAACAATAGCTAGATGGAGCAACAGTTTGAGGCAGCAATCTGTGTTGATGCTTTCTTAGCCAGGATATGCAATGTCAGATTTTTACTACATGAGGCATCAAGGCACCATACATACAGATTCCGTGGAAAGGAGGCAACTGCGGACATTTTGTTAAATCCACCTAACATTGTAACAGGTTTGTTGTCAGGGCTTGCATAGCTCTGTGCAATGCACTTTGCAAACCCTGACAATCCACTGAGTACACGGGTCTTTCCAGGTGACTGCATCTTCACCTGCCCCATGCCTGACATCCTGGCGGGATTAAGCTCTCAGGCTCAAAGTTCCCACTCCTCCTCTAGCAGGAGGAAGACGGAACCCCCAACCACACCCCCATGTTTCTCAGCAGCGGCACGAAACATTGCACAAACGAGAAGGGGGGGGATCCTCTTGCTAAATGGGGAAGACTGGCATTCTCTTTACTACTGCGCAGCCGCTAAGGGCTCTGTGCACAATGGAAAAGCAACAGGCAGCCTGTTAAGCAGGTGAAAAGACAAAGGAGTCACATTGTGGGAGTCCACAGCAGCAACTTTGTTCCCCCGCTGTTCCTAGCCCTTCCTCCACCTGGAGGGTTTAATTCTACCAGGTTTAACTCTCTCCACTCCTAGCCACTGTTGCATATGGAACTGCTGCTGTGAGAAGACACCAGTCAGGTGCCCACCAACCTCGCTTACAGACCAGTTCGACCTTTTTTGCAGTGAGCAGCTTTTACTCTGGATGCTGCCATGTTGATGGTCTTTGGAAGAGGATGTGAAAATAATTCGGCAGCTTTGCTATGGAAACCTGCTGTGCTCCAATTCGTAGACAAGAGGTTGCGGAGGTTTGGATCAAGGGAAGGTGCTCCAGGCTGTGTGTGTGGAATTGTCTGTTCCAGTAGACCTGAACTACGTCACGAATTTGTGTCAATTGTTAAATATCAGCTGTGTAGACAGGAGGGAGAGAAATTAAAGAGAGCCACAATGTGTGCAGACTACACTGAAAGGATGCTAAACCTCTGCAGGCTGTGCAGTATTAAACGAAAAACTCATTTGACCTCCTTACAAACAGATTCCTGGGTAGAATGCTTAGCTAGGCTGTTAAGTTCAGGTGAAAATTACCTGAGTCATCCCTTCTTCTGCCTCCACCACCTTCCAACAGCAGCAAGACACAACGGTCAGCAGCAACAAGCAGAGCCCACATGTAAATAGCTTCCTACTTCCCACCACAATTTAAGAGAAAGTCTTCTGCCATCTGTTCAGACACTTTTCTACACTTCCCCTGCCCAAAGTGGATAACAGAAGAAAGGGAAAGCAGCGTGGATTTAGAAGCAGGACACAGGTTTATTTATAACCGGTCAAGTACTAGTGGGCGGATTAATACAATAAATAAGATCTTTGTCCCGTGTCCTGTTTTCCTCTGCAGAAGTTGTCAAAACAAGAGGGGTCCCCTGGCAAAACCCCCGGACATGAATAATTCCTGCTCACCTCTGCCATTCAATACAAATACTTCCCTACAAAAACAAGCTTAGGAAGGAAGCAAAATTATAAAGTGCAAATTAAAAGGCAATTAAATGCTGGTGGCTTGTCTCACAGCCCACTGGATGTGGAAAATGTGTTGGGCTGCATCAATGTTCAGTGCCACAAGCTAGCCCCTCCCCAAACCATATTGTGCATTTGAATGCCGAGGGGCACAAGCCAACCACCCTGCTCCATGGCAGAGAAGAGAGAGAAAGAGAGAGAGAGAGAGCTTGAACACAGGAAGAATATTGCACATTTTCTCAGTGGCAAGTGATCTGAATTTGCCAGCACCAGGACATTTACATTCAGGGCTCTATCCCCCCACCTTTGCTCCTCTGCACTCAAGAAGCTCCAATACAAGGAGGACAGCAGAAGTAACCGTGTATTTGGTTTTGGTGCTGAAGTCTTGCTAGTTGTACATTCTTCATCACAGCAGCAGCGCTTATCATTCTAGCTCACAATTAAAACCCAGTACAAACTGGGTCACATTAAAATGCATCCGTTCCACTGCCACCTGGAAAGCCTTTGGAGGATGCAGCATCTCTGAAAAAAACAACAACCCTAGAACAGACAATTCCCTCAATGGCAAGTTAAGATGATACAGGGCGCTGTGATTTAGTAAATGCTAGTGTCTCCCTCGACGCAACTGCCAATGTCATGGGCTTGTTCATATGAGATTACAGCTGAGCCCCCACCCTTCCTATGTTTCAGGATCCTTCACATCGCATCTTAAGCCAGCCCACAGAAGAGAACACAGGTGACAGCACATGCATAACATCAGGACAAACAGGAACTCTGCTAGAACACTCCAGAGCTTGAAGTGCCACTGGAAAGTAAGGAATTGTTTGGCACTGCTGTCTGGTGTGGAAACTCTTTCCAATGCAGAGATGATACATCTTAAATGACTCCACCCAATGAAGTCAATCCTTGACGGAGGTTGAGTGCTAGCAACGTACTTTCGATGGGAAGGGGTTTTCTTCCTTGGCTGATGCATCAGCAGCTCTTTCCCAGACCCAAACTTTTGTGTTTAGCAAAAGACTTTTGCCTGAAGTTAGGCACTGGACTTCTGCCCTGTCCAGACAGATGCGGACCACTGCCCTCCCATGCAGGTTTTTGGCATGCTGGTTTTTGTGCTTTCACGTCAAAATTCAGACCACAGCACAGCCTTGTTTCCTTTGTCCACACTGACCACATGGGCTCCAGATGGTGACCATGCCACAGCATTGATTGAGTTGCTGAAACGAAGCATGAAATCAGTTTATTAGATTGCGGAATACACTCAGAGTCCAGGTTAAAGGGGAAAAAAGTGCTATTCAGTCTCTGTTGATTCATTTTTTAAAGCGTGTGCTGCAACTTAGTTGAGCCACTCAAGTTTGCTCGGATGTCATTTCTTAATCTCAATGCATACCAATGATACATTGAATTATGGGGTGATCCTAACCAAGTCTACTCAGATTTAAGCCCTACTGAGGCTTACTTCCAGGTAAGTGGGGTTAGGACTGTTGCCTTAGTCATTAAACCAATCATTGAGGGAGTGTTAAACTTCAGCTTACAGGCTTCTATGTAACTACCTCACCATCACACAAGATCTCTGGCATTCTGACAGCATCATCTTGCCTCACCTGTGATGCTTGGAGAGTACCCTCTCCACTTTCCCAGTAAGGACATTCCAAATATAGAGTGACCCGTCTGCTGAGCCAGCCGCCACATAATTTCCATCAGGGCTGAAGAATCATGAGTTTGGTTCAGGGAAAGAGCAGAAAAAGATTCATTTATTTACCTTTTTGTCAAGATACTGGCCTCCACCACTAATTTATACTGTGCTCCTAATGCAAAATCCCTATGTAAGCTCACCCACCAAAGCCTCCCAGAAATTCAGCACTCTAGCCATAGTTTAAACTAAAGCTTTGAAGTCATAAACTAAACAGACTCTCTTCAGAGAGTCGGAAAGGACTATAGTAGTGCTGTCAACACAAATTATTCAACACAAACTGCAGTAGATGAAAGGTGGCAAGGTACCCATGTTGCAGATATTTGGCAATTAATCTGCACTATTTCCAAAATTCCACCCAGCATCGTGACTATGGTAGAACAGCTGCTTGTCTAGCCAGGTGGCAAAGTGTCATAAAGGAATAGAATGATGGGGACACCCCTTCTGTCAGCTTGGGGAAGTGGGGGAAAGCACACATTTAGTTGCAATGCAATAAAGAGTTGGTGCTAAATTACTTTCTTCTTGTCTAGGGCACCATAGAGTGTGCTCCACTCACCAGCACTACAAGCTAGCATAGGGGCTCTAGAATTCATAATTTTTTTCAGGAAAATTAGTCCAGTTTAACGAGACACTCAACCTAAAATCTCTTCTTACTAAACAGTGGGAACAGAATCTTGAGTCCAAAGCTTCATACAAGCACAGAACCCCTTATCTACCTTGAAGGGAGAGTACCAAGTTCATTTCTCCACGTTTGCTAATAAGTTTTATTATGTTTTTATATATGCTAGAAGCTGCCCAGAGTGGCTGGGGCAACCCTTTCAGATGGGTGGGGTGCAAATAAACAACAACAATTATTATCATCATCATCATCATCATCATCACCACCACCACCACCACCACCACCCATTGATCAGATCTTTCACTATGTAGCACCCAGTAAGCAGCATGTGCAAAAATAATAACATTCACACAAGGAAGCTAAAATTCTGAAGCTAAAACTGGGTAACTTAATTCTTAGAATAAAAAATTATTTTGGAACTTTGGTTACTTGGACATGAAATGCAACATTACTTTTAATAAAGCAGATTACTCAGGATCTTGAGTGCATAAAATGAAAAGTATCACACATCCCTCTCAAGTGCCCTGTAGTTCAATCAACACTGCTGCTTACCTGAATACAGCTCTGTTCCAATCAGACCCGCATTTAAACCCTTGAGCACTGGAAGAAAAAGACCCAAAAAACCCCCCAAAAGGTTAAATAAAACTCTATCTTTCACATTTTACTTTTAGGGCAGCTATGAAATAATTGACATTTCATCTCTACAGATCCAAATATGAATAACCCAACAACAAGGGAACTCCTCACAGCACCCCTTAGATACACAAACCTGGATCCCTCCTGGATTTAACAAGCTTCTATATTAGTATGAGATGTACAAAACAGAGGTTTTCCAGGACCAGACTAGCCTACTTACTACCTTTGCCAGTTATCATCATGGCTAATCCTGCAGTCCTAGTAGCAACACTACACATACAGCAGGCTTATAACTCCACAACCCACTTGTAAAGCAGTACTCACCTGAAAGTCTGTTTGACAGCACTGACTCTGAGATCAATAATCTTCAACAGGTCATCTCGTGAACAGGTGAGGAGTTCTGTTCTCTCTGGGTTGAGATCTAGAGCTGTAATCCTACCAAGCAATTCCATTTCCCGCACCACACACTCAGTTCTAAAAAACAGAAGGTGACAAGAGTTAGCATTTCTTTTAAGACTACTTTGCTCGGTGCTGCCAGGCATATGAGAATGCAAAGCCTCACTAGTTAGCAGCAGCATACTATAATAAGGGATGGAAACCAGATATCACGGTTCACATGCTATACACAGGATTAGTTAAATTCTGCGCTGTACCACTTGCAGTCTGGAACAGAATTTGTTTTTCCAAGCACGTGAGCAAGAATTTAAAGACAAACGTATTTCTAATCTTCATGCATGCAGAGGAGTATTTAAGTAATGGCTCATGTTGTTTTCAATAAAAATGATCACCTCCTTTTCATGCAACCCCTGACATTAATAACAACTCAGACACAGCTGTGCAACATCCTGCAGGGAACGGTGCAGTCTGAACTATTTGAATAAATCACAGCTCAAGGAATCTCCCATGCCCTGGAAGCAGCGGAACTTCACTGATCATGTTGCCCATTACAAATGAACCAAAGCTAAGTCAGAGGGCCTTTTCAATGTTCCCTTACCCCAGCGCATCCTCCACCTTAATCTTACCTAATATCCCAAAAGCGAATTTTCTTGTCGAAGTGTCCACTCATCACACACTGTTCTGTGCAGACCAGATCATTGCAGCTGGAGCCAGCAAACACTGTTTTTATACCTTAAAAAAAGAAGACAACAACTATAACCCCCACACTCCAACCATACTATTCTCTCAGCAAAAAACAACAACAGTTGAACCCATCACTCAGGCACCAAACACAATTACTGTCTTAATCCAATTTCACTAGAACTGTGACTAACCAGTAAGAACGCCAGCCCCATAAGCTAACCCCTCTAATCATAAGCAAAGTAGCTCCAAAGACGGACGCTGTCACAAGAATCTCAAGCAGAATGATGATGTGGTGCCCTCTTGCTGAGCATTATGGTAATACAACATGGTAGAACAAACTAGTTTTGATTCCAAGTAGATATCAGAATCTTAACAGAAGGGTGACCAGTACCAAGCTTGTACACTTTTGAGAAATAACAAGTCAATAAAAGTGCTGCTCTTATGCCCTTCAACACATGCGAGACACACAAAAGCAAGGGAACTGCTATTGTATACGTGGAATAGCTTCCTTACAGACTTTGCTGCGCAGGTCCCACAGTTTGAGGGTTCTGTCGTGACTCCCAGATACAATGCGTGCATTGTCCAATAGGAATTTGGCCGACAAGACTTTTCCACTGTGCCCCGTGAGCGTGTGCTAGAAAGAGATTGACATCGTATTAGTGAAAAGGCTTGGCAACAGTTGCTCTCTCTAGCCATGCCATCCAACCATTTAGCAAGCACAGAACGCTGATAATGTTACCCAGACTCAAACCCGGTTTGAGATCTAAACAATCCTAGTTTGGTGTGCCAAATGCTGGTTTGCCAAGCACCTGCTGTATAGAAGACCGCATCCACATCTCTTAGTTGGGTAAGGTGTCGGCAACCATAGAGGGTGGGCCTATGAGCCATGATTGCTAAATGGAAACTCAGAGTTCAGTGGGAGTATATCCCAAATTACCTGGTGCCAGGGATATGCAACAGGAGATGGCTTTCACCACTTTGTCCTGCTTCCCAGAGATATATGGCTGGCCATCTTTGGAGATGGAATACTAGTCTAGCTAGACTTTGGTCTGATCCATAGGGAACTGTCTTATGCCAAGTCAGACCATTCGTCTATCTAGCATAGTACTGTCTACACTGACTAGCTGCAGCATTCCAGGGTTTCAAGCAAGAAACTTCTCCAGCCCTACCAGGACTTACTGGGGATGGAACTCAGGCCCTTCTGCATGCAAGGCGGGTGCTCTAGCATAGAGTCACAGTCTTTCAGGGAAGCAATTCCTAGAATCTTGAGGCCTCCCCCCCCCCCCAAGTTCACACATATTAGTATTTACAGTTAAATGAAGCTCCTTCTACTGGGTCCCTTCGAGCCTCTAGTCTACTGTCAACTCCAACTAACAGTGGAGGCTATTGCAGCTATCCTATCCTAGAAGATTTTGATCTGGAGTTGCTGGAAGCTGGACCATCTGCATGGCAGAGAGGGAGCAAACTAGAGAGTGAAAGAGATGAACGTGAAATGTGTCTTTATGCTTACAAAGACCAACTTCAAAATGCAAAGGAGAAATACGCTACTTTTATCTGTTCACCAACCTAGAACTGGTCTGCTTCCACCAAAGCCATTATCATTCTTCAGCAGTGTTTTAAAATTAATGTTAAGCAAAATTCTGCAAAGTATAAAAATTTCTCAGGAAGGTTCTCCTTCAGAACCTCTCTTGGTTTGCTGATCTCTCAAACAGTACATTCTACCCGTATCAGCAATCTGCATCCGCCAGGTTAACTGTAAGAGCTCTTTGTAAGTAAAAGCAGAAAAGAGATTAACTAGCCACTCAATTTTGAAAGGTATCAAGAGCTGCAGTTAAAATCCTGCAGCACATCCCTACAAATTTCTAACACTTTTTGATATATAGAAGACAAGTGAGAAGCAGGCATACATGCCACACCTGTGGGGGAAAAATACTCACCCGTAACCGATGATCATCCACGGTCCAGATCCTACTGGCAAAGTCATTTGAAGCGGCTAATAAATAAGAACCCTGGGGAAACACAATTTTAAACTCTTTCAATATGATCTTTCTTCTTGTAGAACAAGGATGGGGAACCTCTGGTCTTGCAGATGTTGTATGGACTACAACTTCTAGGCAACCTAACCCACTGTCCCCACTGGTCCACCACCAACTGGAGGGCACCTGGTTCTCTCATTGTTGTAGCAATGTTTTCTAGAACCACTACCACCTGTGTGGTCATCTGCATCAAAGGAATATTGTATCCGTCTGTCACCATCTTATTTCAGATCACTGCCACTTCCTGCTACTTCTTCTTGACCTCCTATTAGGTCTCTTCCTGTCCTCTCTTTTGATGCTGAGACAGTGAGTACTCTTATCATTAAGATTCTGTATTGTCTTTAAGCTGCTTTCTGTTTCACCTTCTTACCCGAAGTTAAAGAACCTCTCACCCAATTTTCTCTACTCATCTACCACTGCTCCATCTTTTCACACTTAGTGCCCCACCCAACCCCATTCCTTCTCCCACTTTCTTCCTGCCACAGCTGATAACTTGACAAGAGCTCTTGAGAAAGATGTTTTGCTGCAAAAGAGGTCTCAGCTAAAAATTTGAGATCATATACCCATAAAGTGGCTCCAATACCTCAAAAACTCCATTATCTGTTTATGTTGGATAACAATGTCAGTCACGTCTACCCAGTGCTCTAGAGTAACACAAACTGAACGTATCTCTATTTATCAGCAAATACTCTCCCAATCATAGCATGTCTAGAGTATGATGGAAGCGAAAATGCTGGGAGCTGCGATGGTAAAGGAGGCAAAACCACTGGGCAAATCAGACCTTTTACTGTTCATCACTGACCTCAGCAAAACACTGTTAGATCTCAAAAGAAGCAGAGATTTATGCCATGTGTCTCACAAGTTATGAAACTGTGACATTTCATACCTTGGCAAAAAATCAGTGCATGTTATATACAAAAGGCATAAGCAAGTCAATCTTATGAAAAGGACAGTATTAATCAGTGCTAAAATGGCTCAAATTTTGTACCTATTTCTGGACGATTGTGTCATTTCCTCCCTTATCTATTTTGTGCTTATTTCAGAGACATGGTTTGGGAAGTGCGGTGGGAAACAGTTGCAAAAAAAAAGGGCTATAATAAATACTCACCGCACTATCAAACTCTATGCTTGTAATCCCTGCATTACTGCCAGATAGAGAGCCTTTAAGTTCACACTTTTCTGTGGTGCAAGAAAAAAGAAACAAGAGTTAGGAGGCAGGGAAAAGATTGAACCCATGTCTATTTCATTCAGCCAAAAGCAAGAGTAACATGTATTTATTTCATTTCATTATTTTCTTAGAGGATTTAAAACTAGTTCTTCATTCAAAGAAATGTCAGGGCAGGGTGCAACAAAAATACACAAAAAAACGGCCTGAAAAAATATCAAACCATCACAATAAATCAATTTATCAAGTCATGTATCATTATGGAGGGATACTTTGGGATGATTTCTGATGTTGTTATACAGATATTGAAAGAAAGTATTTGAAAAAAGCAACATCATAATGAAAAGACACAGATCTGATATTTCAGGATCAGTGACATACAACTGTAAGTCATATACATTTTCTTGGCGATAGGAAGCTGATCTGCAAGCAAGACAGACTACTACTTCTGGCTTACTGGGTCCACTGTCAGACTGACAATGACTCTTCAGAGTCTTGGTCAAAGAGACAGATAGAAAGACAGACAACACAGACAGACACTCTTTCCCAGTTCTGGTACCCAATAGCCTTTTCACTAGAAATGTTTGGGACCAAACCTGGAACCTCTTGCAGCCAAAGCAAATGCTGTCCCACTGGAATGATGAGTTCTCCCTTCTCTGAGTAGCAAACAGTTCTGGAGAAGACATTTATCATCACAGCTGAGTGGGGAGTTGAAGATGAGTTTCCTACATCCAAACCCAACATCCTAGTCACCCTATGAGAATGGCTCTTTCAAACGTTCTGCACTGTAGCTGCAGATCTTCACAATTATTTTGAAGATGTCAACTATGGAATCAATCTTAGGAGGAAGCTCATTTGTACCTATTTAAAGAACTTACCTCCGCAAACTTCCCAGAGTTTGACTCTCCGGTCCAAGCCTCCTGTTGCCAGTAACCGGGAGCCAGGGCTGAACTGAACAGCATTCACCTCCCCGTCGTGCGCATCCTAGGGGGATGGAAAAGAAACAGGACATGAACAGTTATAGATGGTATCAAGAGACACTCCAGCCTACAAGAGATACTGCAAGCTTGAAGCATGAACCACACTCACACAGTGTAACACCAAGTGGATCATTTGTCAAAACTACTATTTTCCTGTTTGATTTCAACTACATGAAACCAAGCATATATAACAACCAGCTCTCTAGAATAAACATCCCTAGAACAATGGCTGTAGTCTCTCAACCAGCTAAGATGGTTAGGGGACTCCTGCCCATTATATTTTAGATGGAACGGATTTCTCTCACCATTCACAAGCATGAGGTCTCAGCTTGAAAACTAAAGATCATGCACATTAAGACACATCCCAAAACTACCGGCTCCTTGACTCACTTTGTCAGATAGGAGTCGGTGCCAAGCCGCTTACACTTTGGCAGCATGCACTGACTTTATCCACATATTGTCAGCAGCCTCATAACACCTCACAGCATTACTAAAGTGTGGATGGGAGATAGAAAGCATAAAGCTGCTGGGAGCTGAGAAAGTAGTGGGTGTGCAATTCACCAGTGCAATCAGAGATTTATGACATCATCACTGACCTCAGCAAAACATCTATTAATGAATGAGTTTGTGACTTGTTTTAGAAAATTCTAAAACAGGGTCCCAATTTCGGGCTGCCCTTGTCAGCCAAGCCAATTATTGTGGGCATCAGGACCCTGCCTCTCCCTCTGCCAGGGACAATCATTTGGCTCCTCTCCTAGGCTCCAGGTTAACCTCTAGCCTTCCTCCCAATCTTGGAGCTGGTGAGGGGTCAGGGATTCCCTCCCATTTCTGCTGCTCCAAAGTTGCGAGAAGGCAGGCTGGAACAGGTCAGGCTCACCAGCAGATGGCAGCACACTCACGACTGCAAGCACAGTGAGTGAAGATATGAAAGCAAGAGAGGGACATCTGCATAAATGGTTACAATTACATAATGATGACATCAGTAAACAAAAAACAGATTTACCTAGACGTTAAGCTACTAAGTTCTACATCTAATGTCTCTCAAATATACTTACAAAGACACACAGAGCGGTGGTAGGGACTCGCACCTCTTTGCTTGTGCCTGGATGTGCCTCCATGTTATCTTGAGGGGTGGGGCATGAGGATAAAGAGCGTCTCCTGAGAAAGGGCACAACCAATGCATATAGTTAGGCACAGGTGGGAACCAGCTCTGTCTTCAAATTATAGGCAGGGAGATGATCCCGACTACACAATAGAGTAAGAATGGGAGGGAAGGGGCAGAGAAACTTCAGCCCGATTCAGGTATAACAGCAGTTGGGTGGTTACACCCACAGAGATGGCTTTGCATGGTTGGGACTCCCCTGGCTGCTATAATCTTTGCAACTGACTTCTCCCGTGGACCTGATGGATGGCATGGTAACTTGAGGTTGCTGTTGGCCTGGGGAAGGACTCACCAACGTTACAGCAGCCTTATGGAGTCCTGAGTTAAAACTAATCAATTCAAAGATCACTGCTAAGACAAGTTCCCGCAGCTTTTCAATTTATTTTAAAGAAATGTTTATTTTTCTCCCATATAAAGTAAATCCCACTGAATTGCAAAGGTATATACTTCTCAGTCTAAAGCTCACATTGCATTTCTACACCTAGACATGGATGCTCAGCTCAGTGCAGGACTGAACTACAATGAAAGGCCACAGCACAGTCATTGCAACTACAGTTAACTTAGCAATTAATTTTGCTCTCGCTTTTAACCCAGCCCTCATATAAGAGGGTAAAGTGCACCTTTTAACAGGGAAGTCTTTTCACTGCTACAGTTAACAACATCAAAACAAGGCAGTTACTTCAACATCCCTCACTCACATGCTGGATTAAGTGTGAATAATTTCAAGCGAATTTTCACCTGGCAGTATCAGAAGAGTGATGTCCCAAAAGGGGAGACTCAGACAGACTGGAGGGAAAGATCAGAGGTCAGCACACAGCAGATGTAAGGAACAGGAAGTTGAAAACAAAAGAAAAAAAGGGGGCAGGGAGGCAGAAGCTAGAAAAAAAGGCTGAGATAAGGACAACTGTTTGCAATCCTTGCATCACCGTAATATTGGTGCATATTGTACCGATATGTAACAAAAGAGGCGAATGTATTCTAACCTACCCAAATATATTAGTGATAGAGTCCAGAAGGCCTCCAGCTGGCTGGGAGTGTCGCTTACTAAAGAGGAGGGGAGGACAGATTTAAATCTTGTTGTTCAAGCAGAGATCAAAAACACACATAGCCCACAGCATGCAACAAGGAGAGCATTTCTCCTCGAACCCCAACTTCAAGCAGGAAATTCAAATTCAGGACAGTCAAAAAAGTCACCACGTTGGAACTGAAGAAATAAAAATGCTCGCATCACCAATTATGAATTGAGCGCAATTCATGTTGGCCTAACAGCAGGAAGAGGAGGCACCTTACAGAGGTTTAAGCCATTTAGACTTTGAGAATAAAATTAAGAATTTGTATTAAGAAATAAGTTTTCAGAGCTAAACAAAGCAATCAGGTGGTTATGATCCACAAGAGGAGCTTATACAGAAATATTTTCATAGCCGAATATGAAACTGAAAGAGCAGCTTCATAAGAAAAGGATATATTTTTATTTTTAAAATAAAAATTTTGATAAGAGCTTTGGCCCACTAAGGGTGGGGGAGATAAAGATCTGTCTCCATCACTCTCTCTGTCTATCAGTCTTCCAAATACTTAAAGCCAGCCTGCTTCCTGCTTCCCTTCCACCTGCAGTTGCTGCCACTATTATAGGGCTTTGCCACATCCAGACACAGAGTGATGGGTTAATTACAGCTCTCCAAAGCTGTGAGAGCCAATTTAGGTAGCTGTGCCATGGTCCTTTCAGTCAAGAGAAGAACTGTCTGCAACAGCTCCACACCATGCCTCCTCTTCATTGGAACAGGACCACAGACCTGACCACACCGCCAGCTCTTGGCCTCCTTTGCATTAGCGCTGCAGTGCTCCCTCCAGTTCCAGGAACAAGAACCAGCATGGCAAAGGGAATTTATGGAAAACAAGGCAGCAGCTGCTCACACTCTGTTTTCCTAGGAGAACTTACAAGTCAGGAAATTGTAGTTCTGGGATACTTCCATTAAAGTATAATGATATTGTAAAAAAAGAAATCTCCCTAGCTAAAAAAGCTTCTGTGGAAAACAATTCTGATGCTTCACAGAGTTTCACAACTACTGATATTTTGAATGGCATGGGCATAGTTCACAGGACCTTTTCCCAATGAAATGAATGGGAACACAGAACTCCAACCCAACAGGGACTGCATAGGAGATATACTCAAGTACATTCACTGCTTCCTCAGATGCTGGCATTTGTTAGCCAAGAAATCACAAATACATCCACACTGGAAATAACAACTCTCTCAAAAGTATTTTCCCTTTCAGGAGACAATAGCAGCAGTTCTCAAACCGCTACACCATTAAGGATATGTGCAATTCCTCCCCCCACCCTTGGAATTCTTTATTAGCTTCTTGTGGATCAGGGCAGGGGATCCATTATTTTATCCCCATTCTTCTTACCTGGCTGTTCGATTGACAGCGCGCACCGGAGATGTCTCATCAGCAGGGTCAGAGGTTTCATCCGCCAGCACTTCAATATCGTCATCCCTGGAGGACAGGACCGTGCCTTTTTTGAATCATTTGAGAGTTGAAGGACATTCAGGCATTTGGGCTAAGCAACTCCCTGTCCTCTCAACAGAATTCATAAGCTTGCTTCCTTATATGGCTAAAGGGAAAGTGCACTTTTACAGACACCTTCTTTATGCGCACTAAGGAATTATGGGAATAATTAGCCTAACAGTAAGGAGAGTTTTACCACTGATGTTTTATTTGCTTTTTTGTTTTTATTACCTGTTGATTTTTAGAGTATTTTTACTGTGAAGCGTTGGTTTTGCCCAATCCAAACCTAAGTTGCCTTGAGCATCTAAGTAAGGTGGGATTCTACCCTTTCTTTTCAGTCAAATTTTGCCTTTGAAATTCAAGCTGAGCCCGCATACATTGTTTACATTTTACAAAGTGTGATTTCTGTGCACTCCAGGGATAATAAAAGAAAATGAGAGAAAGCAAATTTGTACTCTATGTCAACGAAACCTTCAGCACAGAACTGATCAGCTTTCACATACTAGTAATTTAGATCAATATTTTAAAATATTTTTGATTGTAGGTTGTTGGTTTTTTTAAAAAATGTAGTAAGTATAAACTAACAGTAGCTTGTTACTTTCCAGAAAAGTAGGAAATTCAATTTGATGTGGAAACTTGAGGTGTCTTCCCTACCACTGCCTTGTGAATTCTCTCAAATCAGCAAGCCAAGGATAGCCCAGAATGGTTGGCTGGGGGTTGAGAGGTGTGCATGGACCACAGGTTAAGAACCCCTGATGTAGTGGAACATTCCTCTTTTCCGAAGAGGCTGCTGAAGGAGGAGACGCACCACAGCAACAGCTCGCCCGCTTCCTTTTTTGCTGGTTCCCCACTGCATTCCCTAATGCTCACAATGCAGGGACCTCCAGTTTCCTGACCTCACAGGGAAACCCTCCCCATCTCTTATCTATCTCATCCATTTCTACAATCAAGTAATGCAACACTGCCAACTTAAAAGCTGTGAGCTTATTTTGCATTCCTCCGTTCTCTTACAGGTAAAATTAAGAACCTTTCCCCCCACTTGACCGCACACTTCAAAGCGCAGAATGCTATAGTCAAAATTTAATGAAGAACATTCAAAGCTTGAACAGACCAGTAATGTTCATTGTGGGGTCTGTGTCTGCTTCCTAGGACTGGCATATGTAGACATTAGGGAAGAATGAGATGAGGGAAGACTTACTGTTCAATTGGCAGCGGCTCCTTTGCAGCTTCTGCTAGTTCCTTCTGAAGCTTGGCTTGCCGTCTTCTATGAGGGAAAACAGAAATGCTAGGAAATCCTGTCACTGGCTGACCTTCTCTGAAGGAGTGTGCAAATGATTCCAAAATATCAAGGGTCTAATAATCAGAGGCTGAAATCCCAACTGTCTTACTGAGTTCAGCACAATACCAAGAAGTGCTTCAATAAATATCTCTATGTCATATTGATTTCTACTGCCTTTCGAATTCTCTCTCAAAGGAATGTTCACAATTTTTTGCATTGTATCTTTGTGTACCACTTAAGATGCTTGTAGTTAAGTGTCATAGAAATTGTTTAAATAAACAAATAAAAAGTACTCCAAGCAACTGAAATCATGTGTACCACCAAGCTAGAACCAAGGATGCACCCAACCTACACACTTGCTCTTTCAGGTAGAGTTCAATCCTATTTTCAGAAGGTCACTTGTCCAATTCTGGGACATGAGAATCACCAACCGACAAGGATTCAGTCTCTGTTTTATGCCCCACTTCCAGCCCATTACAGTGCCCAGACATCAGTTCAGTATTCACACAGCCTTCCCTGACTCAGATGGCACAAAGTAATACAACTGGGTGTCATCAAATGGTACCCAGCTCCAAACTTCACCCAACGCTTTCACTCAGGATACAAGATTAGCATTACAAGCATGCATGCAAATGAGGCTAGTGGGGACCAATTGAACAGACACAAGCTGTATTACATAAACCATTCTTAAACTGCTCTACATTCAGATCGACTTCAATCTCAAAAAATGCCCTTTGCCACGATTCACTGAGTCGTTAAGTGGCCAGGATTACTGGAAAAAATACTGAGATCTACACACAGAGACACAGAGTTTCTATGTTCATCCAGAAAAGATGGGGGTAACATTTGGGGGAAAAATTTTTTGGGGAGGGGCTTCTATTGCAAATTTAAGCTCAACTCAAAGGTTTTAACTTGCTGGTATCATACCTGGAATCTTTCTCATTTTCTGCATTGAGCCGATTAGCTTCTTGAGCTTTCTCTGCCATCCAGCGTGTTACCAGCTCTTGGTTATCTTCCGTAGTTTTTCTCAGTTTTTCCTCAAGGGCAGTAAAGGTAATCTGGAGTGCATCATACTCATCCTTAAGAGTCTGATTGGCTCTTTCAAGATCTTGTAGCTTGTTCCGCAGGTCCTGGCAATCTGTCTCTAGTTCAGATATCTTCTGCAAATATTCTACAATCCTTTAAGAGAGGCAACCCATATATTTATTATTTAGGTGGCGCTGTGGGTTAAACCACAGAGCCTAGGACTTGCCAATCAGAAGGTCGGCGGTTTGAATCCCTGCAACGGGGTGAGCTCCCATTGCTGGTCCCTGCTCCTGCCAACCTAGCAGCTCGAAAGCACATCAAAAGTGCAAGTAGATAAATAGGTACCGCTCTGGCGGGAAGGTAAACGGCATTTCCATGCGCTGCTCTGGTTCACCAGAAGTGGCTTAGTCATGCTGACCACATGACCTGGAAGCTGTACGCCGGCTCCCTCGGTCAATAAAGCGAGATGAGCGCCGCAACCCCAGAGTCGGTCATGACTGGACCTAATGGTCAGGGGTCCCTTTACCTTTACTTTACCCCAGTCTAATTCTTAAACATGACTCAGGTAGCTCACTACACTTAAAGATCACTTAAATAGTATAACAAAACCGAAGGAAATAAAAACAGGCAGGCAGGCAGGCAGATAAAGCACAGTATTAAAAAAAGCCACCAGCTACCTGTCAGGGCAAAAACATGTCAGAATAAAAAGGTATTCACCCACCAGTGATAGCAGGAGAGGTGGGCATCCAAATTTCACAAGGGCAAAATGCTCCACAAAGCTGCTGTGGCCACTGAGAAAACCCCCTGACATTATTACAGACCGTGCTTCTGATGTGGGATATAAATAAGGGCTTCTTCACCTGTTCTTACGACAACAGGCATGTGTGTACAAAATAAGTCAGTCCCTTCACTTATGATGGACCCAAGACATTTAAGGCCCTAAAAATAGTCACCAACACTTTTAATTGAGTCCAGAAGCAAAATGGTAGCAAGTGTCGGCTATGCAAGGCAGGTGTAGTAAGATACCAAGGGCACCCACCCACCAGCCTTCTTGCTGCCACATTCTGGACTACTGAAGCATCTGAATACTCTTAACAGTAGCCTTATGTAAAGCACTTTGCAATAATCCAGTGTAACCAAGGCATGTGTTACCACAGCCAGGTCTGGCTTCCCCGGGAAAGGGCAGAGCACGTGCACCAGCCTAAAGTGGGCAAAGACACTCAGTTTTAATGAGAATTCAACCAAAAATTGGCATCCAGCACCAAAATCAAATTCTGTAAGTAGTAAATGGGTTCTACTCACTTTGTATTATTCGTTTGCATCTCACTGTCCTTCTGTTGTATTTGGTTTTTCAGGTCAATCACAGACTGGGCCAACTGTGAAGGAAACTATGTTACTGAGGGAAAGCAACTATTAATACAGTCTACTTTTTGTGTTTGATTTTCCTCTAACCTCAGTGTTTCATTTTTTTCCTGAACACCCAAGTATACATACACCTGCCAACTTAGCATAACATTTCATGCATGCTGAAATCGTACTATTATTTGTTAAATATTTATTAAAACATTTATTACAAATATTTACTCTAGTCTTTGAAAACATATGGAATATTTGCTAGAACCATGTAACTAATTTTCACTTAGAATACATCTACCGAAAGTTATAACTATGACATAGGTCTGTTGATTTCAATGGGTCTACTCTGAGTAAAAGTTAGCTGAATACAATCTAAGTGTCTTTATTGTTTTTCCTTGAAGAGATACCTGCGTAATTATTAACCAATGTCACAATATTAGTATACAGTCAAACCTTGGTTCTCAAACAGCTCCGGTTTTGAATGCTTTGGCTCCCGAACACCAAAAACCTGGAAGTAAATGCTTTGGTTTCAAATGTTTTTTGGAACCCAAACGTCTGATGCGGCTTCTGTTTTGAGTTTCCCTATTGAACTGAGGCTTCCGCTTTCAGTTTTAGAACGTTTCGGAAGTCGAATGGTCTTCCGGAATGGATTACGTTTGAAAACCGAGGTTCTACTGTACAGAAGTTAAGTTTTCAAACTTCTGAATCCCACAGTAAGCCTATAATTACTCTGGTACCACTGCAAAAGAACAGTATTGAAATGTTACACATGGATAAAATGGGTGCTCCTAACCTCGCCACGTTTCTTGTGCAGCTCTGTCAGCTCCTCTTGATGCTTAATTCTAAGCTGGGCTATTTCTTGCATGTGACAATCATTCCTTGCACCATCATGTCCTGGACTGGAATTTTCCAGAGGATGAGAAAAGAAAAATTCTGAGTTTTTAATTCACAAAGCATTTCAAACTACTTTTTATCCAATTTCCATAATCCATTTTTCTATCAAATTTTTTGTTTCAGATGGCTATCCCTATATTTAACATATTTAACTTCATTTAAAAGAGTAAAATTAATGTTTCAATGTAGAACTTAGATTACATAAGCAGAGCACCGTATCTCCATATCAAGATTTTCTTTTTTCCTGTTCGTTACACCAGTGATTTTATGTACTTTGTTGACCATTTTAGCTATGGGTGAATTGATCTCCAAGATAAATGCCCGCAGTTCCTGCAGATATAGTGAACATCCATTCTCTCTTCATACCCTATAGATATCCTATATGGCTCAAAATCATACTAGCTAAACTTTTCAAAAACCTAGTATTACCAACACATTTAGCGTATGTTATTAAATAATATTAAATAATATGTACCCTTCCTTGGGAGTAAGCCCAATGGTATTGAGAAGTTACATCCAAGAAAATATGTACAGGGATCAGACAATGAGCATTATAGCAGTTCTTAGCAGTACAGTGGTACCTCTGGATGCGAACGGAATCTGTTCCTGAACCCCGTTCGCATCCTGAAGCGAATGCAACCTGTGTCCGCGCGTCATGATTCGCCGCTTCTGCGCATGACGTCATTTTCAGCGTCTGCGCATGTGCGAGTGGTGAAACCCGGAAGTAACGCACTCCGTTACTTCCGGGTCGCTGCGGAGCGCAACCCAAAAACGCTCAAGCTGAAGCAACTTCAACCCGAGGTATGACTGTAGTTTTAATAACTGCTATACAAGAGAGCTAAAATATATTTATATATTAAGAACATAAAAGCCTTGCTGCATCAGACCAAACACCCATCAATTCCAGCATTCTGCATTCAGTGTGATCAGCCGGAGGTCTATAGGAAGCCCTAGAAGGACATGCATGCAACAGCACTCTCTCACTAATACTGGAAGCAGTACATAGCCATTATGACAAATAGCCATCGTTGGTGGAATAGGAACAACACCAGACACAGTAACCATCACTTGTACTGATTCAGCAAGTACCTGATCTCATGCCGGCTTGGCAAGTCATATTTTTCCACTTGTAGCTTGTCAGCCAGCACTGAATGGAAATCTGACTTCTCCAGGAGCTTGTTATCTAATGAGGAGTTCAGTTAAAAACAAAAAGAAACCACCAGTTTTACAATCCAGCAATAAGATGATAATGTTTTACTTACTATAACCTTTGCACCGGAAAACAACATTATAAAAGCAACATTCTCCATACATGCTCTTATAAGTATAAGGCCATTAAAACAGGGCTGGCTACTTCAATCTGACTAAGAAAATTTCAAGAGACTCTCACCCAGACGACAAGTTGTTTACAATCCCGCAAGAATAACCTTCCTCACACACTATGGCCTCTCACACACAATCATTTGGTTGGCAGTCAGTTTTGAACAATGTATGCTGTTGGAGCTAAGCTGGATACTTTCAAGCAGCCACCAAAACCTTTACTTACACTGCAAGATAATCTCTTCAAAGGCCTGTCTCTGCAACCGGTCCCGTCGCCTCAATTCGTCCAGGATGTGCCGCTTCCAGGCGGGGAGGCTCGCTGCCCTGAGTCCAGAAGACATCTTGCCTTCTCAGCCTCCTCAAGAGTTGAGCCGCCGGCCTGGCAACACCTTCTCCCCCTGCGAGGGGCTCTATGAAAGCGAAACGACGAGCCCTAAGAAACAAGCAGCCAGCAGAGGAGAAAATGAATCAAGGGGCGCGGCGCTCGGTTCAAGGAAAAGAGAGAAAAGGAAAAGCGAAGAGGAAGCGCCGGGAGAAGGCGGCGGGATGGGGAAAGCATGGAGGGGAAAGGGAGGCGTCCAGCTACCCTGAGCCGACTGGGGCGGCCCGCGGGAGAGGGACGGGCGAAGAGCTCACCGCCGGCTACTGAGGAGGAATGGCGCAGCCGCGGAGCTTCCCTCCTCTGCAGGGCCCCTTCGCCATTCTTCCCCCGGGCCGCAGCCCCCATCCAGCCCCACGGCAACTTCCCGCAGGCGCTCTGTCGGTCCCGGTCGTATAGCGTCAAGAGGGACCTTCCACTCCGGAGTCGCAGGTTAATGACGTCACATCCTAGTTCGCTGCGCCTGACTGACCATTTCAGCGACATTAGCAGCGTCGTCCCGCCGTAGCTGCACGACCCTGATTTTCTCTGTCACTGTGTTCCCTCCTCCACGCGCTCCAAACATTGCTGAGACTCTGCCTCATTTAGGAGAGTGGATTTAAGAGACTGGCAAATGCGCAGGTCGACTCTGTAAAAAAAATGGCCGCGGGCAGAGGGCTTTCCTAAGCTGCTCCGTTTTTTGTTTTCTTTTTTAATAGTCTGTGCACCGACCTCCTTCTCGGGAGCGGATCCTGGGAAGAGGCGTCTCCGAAGCCGCCATCTTAGGAAGGGAATCGGGGGGGCAAAACAGATTTTGAGGGTGTGGACAATTGCGTAATAGGGGCATTTCAAGCTCTTTTCGTTTGTAGCCATTGTGGTGAGCTTGAGTATGTCTTCCCACAAGACTTTCAAGATCAAGCGGTTTCTCGCTAAGAAGCAGAAGCAGAACCGGCCCATCCCGCAATGGATCCGCATGAAAACTGGCAATAAAATCAGGTACAACTCCAAAAGGAGACACTGGAGGAGGACCAAGCTCGGCCTGTAGAGAGAAGCGGCTCCAATCTTACCGGTACAACCCTGAATCTTGTATCAAACTCTCAAGCGCCAGAATGGTCTCTTCCTACCAACCTGCCACATTATCAGGGCTGGAATTCTGTCTTGTGCTGTGCAGTCTCCCCCCCTTTGTAAAAATATTTGTTATTACAAATATTAATGAATTAAAAACTGAATGGTGGAGGGGGGGAAAATAGGGGAATTTCAACACGTTCTTCGCCTCGCCCGTATTCTGGCCGTCTGCAAATGAAAGCTGTGCCTTGTCCATCTCAGCCGGGCAACTTTTTCCCCGTTTCAAAACATGCTTCTTAGTTAACACCCCCTCCCCACACCGTCCAAAGGCTCAGAGCCCAGACAGCTGCTCCACTGATCCTCCTCAAGAGAAGGAAGCAGTTTTTCCATCCCCACCCAGGTCATTGCACATTAGCCACACACTCTCGGCTCATCACGGCTGTCTGCTGTGGGGAGACCGCGTCGTGATTCCCCAAAGACTCCGTCAACGTGTCCTTAAGGCTCTGCACGTTGGCCACCCGGGAATAGTCAAAATGAAGGCGTTGGCTCGGTGTTATGTCTGGTGGCCTAACATGGACGATGCCATCACTGCCTGGGTTTCCACCTGTCAAGCGTGCCAAGAGTCGAGGCCTGCGCCACCGGCAGCTAAGGGACACACCTGGGAGACGCCCAAGACACCCTAGTCGAGGGTGCACATAGATCTGGCCGGCCCCTTTCGCGGCCGGACCTTTATGGTAGTGGTGGACGCCTATTCCAAATGGCTGGAGGTGGCCCTGATGCCCTCCACCACTACCGAGGCCGTCATCCGGGTGCTGCGAGGCCTCTTTGCGACGCATGGGTGTCCTGATGTCCTTGTCTCCGAGAATGGACCACAATTCACATCAGGCACTTTTGAGCGGTACCTTTTGGGACTGGGCATCCACCATGCCCTAACAGCACCATTTCATCCATCCAGCAACAGGAGAGAATGGTGCGCTCGGCAAAAGAGGCACTGGGGCACCTGGACCGGGGAGACTAGCACGAGGGGGTTGCCGAATACTTGTTCGTGCAACACATCACCCCTCATGCGGCCACAGGGCAGAGTCCTGCCGAACTGCTTATGGGCCGCCGCCTCAGGTCCCCGCTTGACCGGCTGCACCCAGACTTTGCCGTGGCCGAACCCCCAGGCTGTGCCAACGCGCCACGGTCATTTGTTCCAGGAAACCAGGTCTTTGCCCAGAACTTTGTGGGGGACATTCCTTGGGTGCCAGCCACAGTACTGGGAGTCACGGGACCTCGCTCGTACCAGGTGGCACTCGAAGATGTAAGCTTGTGGCGCCGGCACATAGACCAGCTTAGGCGCAGGGTTGGGGACTTTGACACTACCGTGGTGCCCCCAACTGCGCTCGTGGCTCCGGAACAGACACATACAGATGGTGAGGCTCCACCTACACCTCTCTCACAGACTGTGGGCGTGGAGCCGAACCAAGCCACTTAAGAGGGTCTGCCGGACTTCCCACAGACTCAGACCACTGCCATGCCTGACATTCCGCCAACTCCACTCGCAGAGGTTACACCCACAGCAGCGGATCCAGGGGACTTGGTTTCAACGCCACCTAGGGTTGCGCCACAGCCTCAGCAAGAATCGGGCAGCCCACCGGACTGGACTGCTCCCCGGCAGTCTGGCAGAGTTTCCAAGTGCCCAACTTATTTAAAGGACTATGTTGTTGAATATGTAACACTGTTGGTCTAAGTATGTGGAAGTATGTGAAATGTAACCGATATGCTTTTGTGCCTAATTGAACCATTACATGTAGTGCTGTATATAAGGAAACCATTACGATTGTAACTAACGCTTTATCTCGGTGGGGAGGGGTGTTATGTACTGAAGTTCTCACCCTGGGCCGGCAGGGGGATACTGTAGATAGTTATGCAAATGAAGGATCAAAAGTGACGTTCAGTGATTGGATGGATACTGTAGATAGTTATGCAAATGAAGGATCGAAAGTGACGTTCAGTGATTGGATAGTTTTAGAAAGTTGTTACAGTAACATGCTATTGGAGCTCTATATAAGCAGGCTGACTGAGCCCTTCAGTTCAGTTCTGTTCTGGCCTCTGAATAAAGAAGAGCTGTTTGAAGAATTGCTGTGTCGTCTGATATACTTCAGTACATAACAATCAGATGTATAAAGTGTTGTCTTGAGTTGCAGGTACATACTTACACTAGGGAAGCGAGGGAGAGAGATTGTAAACAGTGTGATCAGAAGGAAATGAAATGCCATAAACTACAGATAATAATAATAATTTATTATTTATACCCCGCCCATCTGGCTGGGCTTCCCCAGCCACTCTGGGCAGCTTCCAAAAAAATATTAAAATACTATAATACATCAAACATTAAAAGCTTCCCTAAACAGAGCTGCCTTCAGATGTCTTCTAAAAGTCTGGTAGTTGTTCTCTTTGACATCTGGTGGGAGGGCGTTCCACAGGGAAGGCGCCACTACTGAGAAGGCCCTCTGCCTGGTTCTCTGTAACTTGGCTTCTCGCAGTGAGGGAACCGCCAGAAGGCCCTCGGTGCTGGACCTCAGTGTCCGGGTAGAACGATGGGGGCGGAGACGCTCCTTCAGGTATACTGGACCAAGGCCGTTTAGGGCTTTAAAGGTCAGCACCAACACTCTGAATTGTGCTTGGAAACGTACTGGGAGCCAATGTAGGTCTTTCAAGACCGGTGTTATGTGGTCTCTGCAGCTGCACTAACAGTGGCATTCACATCAAAACAGTACAGTACAGTACAGTAGTATCTCGGCTCCTGGATGTCTTGGGAGTTGAACGTTCTGGCTCCCGAACGATCGAAAACCGGAAGTGAGTGTTCCAGTTTTTGGAAGCCAAACGTCTGCCGTGGCTTCCACTATTGTTTCTGGTGTGCCTGCACAATCGGAAACCAATTGGAAGCTGCGCCTTGGTTTCTGAACATTTCGAAGTTGAACAGACTTCTGGAACGCATTCCATGTGACTTCCAAAGTATGACTGTAATGGATAACACAGGCGAGCTAATGAACACACGTAGTTTAATAAAAACAAACCTACTGTGCCAATTCAGACAGCAAATTACAGCACTGAAATGGTGCTCTCAATGGTTTCATGCCACAGTCTCTCCCTTTAATTTTTCTTTGGCTACCTTAAGGTCAGTTACAGAGGGGCTGATAGATGGTAATGTGTATGTATACAAAAGTATACATAAGTTCTGCATTATTGGCCTGAGGCTCCTGTGTTTTTAGGCTGTCAGGTGTAGGGCAGGTGGGCATGACTTGGCCTGGAAGGCCTGGTTAGGCTCATAAGGCCAGAGGTTTCCCACTCCTGCATTAGTGAGTGAGGCAGTCATCTCAGGCAGCAGAAGGTGAGCTGCAGATAATGGTAGTGAGATGTTGGAGGACAGAGCTGTGCTCTCCTTGAGTTAGTCTGCTGCCCTCAAATGTGGTGGAGAACAGTGTCCCCTTGTCAGTACTGAAAGAAGGTTCAGCTGCCAGTATCGTAGGTTTCTGTATGTGGAATGGAGCAAAGGCGCCATCTTGTTCTTTGCATGTCTTCAGCCAGGCCAAGCCACTATTTGTAGTTTCTTAAGAAGGGACCAGGCCAAACATTTAATATAAAATGGGATTCTCTGTTATATATCCAAGCTTATTGGACTTGATTTAGGAATCTTTTTATAGGCTGTTGGGTAAAATGAAGCTTCCAGTCCTATAAGTGTTAACTGCAAGAAAGCCTGATAGAACACAAACAAAGGATTGGACAGTGTATGTGTGTGTGTGCGCACACACGCACGCACGCAAACACACACCTAGATCCTTGGCAACCCAGCACAGATTTATGTCAGTGTAAAATGGTATACTAGAATTGTATTGTGCATGCATTTTTAATATGCCAAACAAAAAGTTACCTTAAACAGAGGAAAGGGTGAAGCATTTCTAAAAGCGTTGCCAAATGAGTCTGAATGTTGCAAAATGAGTCCTGTGATGTGCAAGGAAATATTAAAGTGTATCTGTTGCAAAGCAAGGCTCATCATATTCAGTATACCCAGGTATGGGTGAACACACTTGCACCCTATATTGATTTTGAAATCTTTGTAATTTCAATAGGACTCTGAAACAATGAAAATGTTTCCTTTCTCCAAGGAGCCAAACAGTGAGCACATGCAGTGGCTTTTGTAGGAATTAATGATGCTTCTAATTTTTAATAGGTGGTGAAAGAACACCATTTCAAGAATCATGACTCAGAGTGTATAAATAGCTTTTCTGAGAGCACAACAAAAGCATTGTCACTGTCTTGCACAGCAGAGTCAGAGTACATGACAGTTTAATGGGTGTTTAGTGCAATAAATAGCTAAATGCATGTGTACCATGAAGCATGTGTTACTTTCCATGAGTTTCAGAGGAGCTGGGGATTTTTGTTGCTACTTTCAGTCTATAATAATATTAAAATATTCTCAAAAATACTTGTAGGCAACCTGCAAATAAGGCATTGCAAATGTGGGGAGACAGCAGGGCCTTGTCAACACTGACCCCATTTTTCTGGATATTTCTGAAGCTCTAACATGCATGTTAACGTTAATAGAAGCTGCAGTTTGTTTACCTTTGAATAACTCCAAATGAACTCAACGGGACACAAATAGGAATGGCTGTGAGTTACTTGGGGAAAAATTTTGCTTGCTGTTAGTAGCTGAAAGCAAGGAGTGGGGGAAATTCCTTTGCCCATGGAAGCTTGCCAGGCTCCAAGTTTGTATGCTGGTGGTAGGCAGGGGGGCCAGCTCTTGGGGGTTCAGTTCTTTTGTGACCCCAAATATTTTTGGAGTAGGGGCTGGGCACTGGAGTAGGGGCTGGAGTAGGGGCTGAGAGAGAGAGAGAGAGAGAGAGAGATGTTAGCTAGTGGTGCATTATTTTAGTTTTGATCTGTTTTTTATTGTATATACAGTATGTTATGCTCTGATTTCCCCCCATGAAATCGCAGTACATATAATTGTTTTTATAAATAAATTGTGTGTGCATGTATTGGGAAGGCTGTTTGGGCATCTTTTCTTCTTCCCCACATTGTGGACCATCTTGAGGGTCTGGGAGCTGGGGGCACTGTATACAGTGGTTCTGCTCCTTCCTCCTGGGCCGTGTTCAGAAAGTGGTGTTGGGGGATGAGTGTTCATACCCCTGGGCCCTCACTTGTGGGGTGCCTCAGGGTTCCGTCCTCTCCCCCATGCTTTTTAACATCTACATGAAGCCGCAGGGAGAGATCATCAGGGGGTTTGGACTGGGTGTCCATCAATATGCAGATGATACCCAGTTCTACCTCTCTTTCAAATCAGAACCAGTGAAGGTGGTGAAGGTCCTGAGTGAGTGTCTGGAGGTGGTTGGAGGATGGATGGTGCCTTACAGATTGAGGTTGAATCCTGACAAGACAGAAGTACAGTGGTACCTCAGGTTACATACACTTCAGGTTACATACGCTTCAGGTTACAGTTTCAGGTTAAAAACAGACCTCTGGAACGAATTAAGTACTTAACTCGAGGTACCACTGTACTGTTTTGGGGCGACAGGAGGCGGGCAGGTGTGAAGGACTCCCTGGTCCTGAATGGGGTAACTGTGCCCCTGAAGGACCAGGTGCACAGCCTGGGAGTCATTTTGGACTCACAGCTGTCCATGGAGGCGCAGGTCAATTCTGTGTCCAGGGCAGCTGTTTACCAGCTCCATCTGGTATGCAGGCTGAGACCCTACCTGCCCGCAGACTGTCTTGCCAGAGTGGTGCATGCTCTAGTTATCTCCCACTTGGACTACTGCAATGCACTCTACATGGGGCTACTTTTGAAGGTGATGCGAAAACTACAACTAATCCAGAATGCGGCAGCTAGACTGGTGACTGGGAGCGGCTGCCAAGACAACATAACACTGGTTTTGAAAGACCTACATTGGCTCCCAGTATGTTTCCGAACACAATTCAAAGTGCTGGTGCTGACCTTTAAAGCCCTAAACAGCTTCAGTCCAGTGTACCTGAAGGAGCGTGTCCACCCCCATCGTTCTGCCCAGACACTGAGGTCCAGCGCCGAGGGACTTCTGGTGGTTCCCTCACTGCGAGAAGTGAAGTTAGGGCCTTCTCGGTAGTGGCACCCACCCTGTGGAACACCCTCCCACCAGATGTCAAAGGAAAAAGCAACTACCAGACTTTTAGGAGACATCTGAAGGCAGCCCTGTTTAGAGAAGCTTTTAATATCTGAAGGACTATTGTATTTTAATATTTTGTTGGAAGCCGCCCAGAGTTGCTGGGGTAACCCAGCCAGATGGGCGGGGTATAAATAATAAATTGTTGTTGTTGTTGTTGTTGTTTGGGTCTGGACAATAAATCTTGCTTGGTTGGGAAAACGACATGCCCAGCAGTGCTAATATGGCACTGGAATCCACTACAGCAGTTCTGGGCAGATTTGGAGAGGGGGTAGAGCCCTGGAGGTGGAAAATTAAGCAAGGAAGCAACTCTGTAGCATCTTCCCCTTTGCATCCATTCCACTTCTGCATTTCACATTTTGGGCTGCAGCTGGATGAGTGTTTGCCGATTGCAGCATGAGTAACATAATTTCATTTTTTTAAAAAATAGGTCCAAGAAATTATAGACCTGTCAGCCTTAACCCTGGGGCTAGTGCTAGGAGGAGAAATCTAGATAACTAAAAATAAAGCAATTTGCAGATTAGAAGTACAAGATCCATAATTTATTTGCAACCAGAAATGAAGTGCTTTAGGAAAAATCTTAAAACTGAGGGCTTGCCTTACAATTAGACTTCAGGGCACCTGGACTCACCACCTTTAAGTCTGATCGTGTAAATTAATTTAAGTTATCCATATTTTAACTGTACTCTGCTGATGACATGCCATGCCAGTTAATGGACTGCAAATATATTGCAAATTCTCTTTTTTAGCCAAGTTCCTTAGGTGTAAAGGTAGTCTCCGCCATTATGGAGTTCTCATTTCACCAATGGATCTAATGGTAGGAGTGTGATGTAATGGTAGAAGTGTAGTGACAGAGGTGTGCGTGTGCATGTTTCAAATTTATTTATTTAAATCAATGACTAGGACAAATATGTTCAGGCATGACAGAGTGCTCCATATGCTTGCTTTTATATACAGTCTTTCTGTCAAAATTTAAGTGTTTTTTAACAATAGCTTTGAACTACACTTCCTTTTTATGTTAATTGTTGTGTGATTTTGATGATACTGAAGCTCTAGCATGCATGATATCCTTAATTGAGTTACTTGGGGCAAAACTGCTTTTGCTTGTTAGGAGCTAAAACAAAAATAAAAACAGAGAAAGAAAAGAACAATTGCAATTAAGCATAAATTCGTGCACATATCATTCTAAACAAGGAGATAAATCTGTGTGGGTGAATGGCTTGTATTGTGTGAATGCTTTTATTGTCATTCTCACAGCTTTTGTTGTGCTGCTTATTGAATCCACCGTGGATGTGAATTGTAAATAAAATTTACAAGGAAAAGAAGTACAAATTAGCAATTATAGTGTGGATTAGTTTTGTGTCCTGGCCTATGTTGTACTATACTGACTATATGCTTCTGCAGTATTTGACACAGAGCAAGAATACACCTTAATTGGGGGGGGGGGCAATGCTTTCACAACAATATATTTTGAACAAATGTGGCATAGGATTTGTCTTTTAAATTATGTCAAGGTTTTCCGCATGCCTAAGAAAACTCTTTGATGCTTTCATCAACTGAAGTAAGCAACCAAGAGGAAGTCTCTGAAAATTACTTATACACTGAACTGTTATTATGAATAATTGCATAGCTTCTTGAGAGAAACTCTAAATGGAGCTCTTTACTAACGGAGAAAAGGGCTTGCTATTAATGGAGAAAAGAAATACTTCAGCAATCAGCTGGAAACAGTGGCTCTACATGGCTTTTAATATAGCACATTATTAATATCTATCTTAATGTCCAAAATCTTTCTATAACATTTTCTCGTCTCATTTAGCAAAGGTCCCCTGCAACGTTAGTTAGAAGCTTCCTCTTTCCAACTCCAACTCACCTGATTACTTCTGTTCAGCACAGTGTTCCTTAATTTTTCTGTAACTTATCAGTTGTTTCTTATGGGGTGGGTTGTCAATTACTAGCTTCCAGACTTTTTAAAAAAATCATTCACTGCAAAACAGTACTGGTGATGAAAGCCCCTCCCTTCCCCTTGCACTGTTTAAGTCTCACAGTAATAGCTGGCGACATGAATGCTTGGTCTGGGCAACGACACTTGCCAAGTATGGGAGAAAATGGGTTTTCCATCAGAAGAGTTTACCTCTTTCCCCATTAGGGACTCTGAAGAGCGCAGAATTAGTAAAATGAGAGCCAGTCTCTTTTTGTCCTTGTTTTTAAGTTCCATCTGTGTATTTGTAACGGGATGGATAGAGATGCAGAAACGGATCTTCCTGCATGTATTGGATGAAAGGGTAACAGTGTGGTAGATTTTTTTATTCTCTCATAGCCAGCAATTTCTTATTTTGAGAACTTCAAAAATTCTCACTAGGCCTGAGAGTGATCACGTGCCAGTCCAATAATAACAATTTTTTCATCACTTGGACTAATACCACCAGTGATAGTTCCTACAGATTAAGCAGCAGTGTGTGTGGTGGTGCAGATGGGCCACTGCTGCTGCCTGGCTTCTGATCACAATGGCCCTTAGCAGAGGGGAGGGACGAGACATGGGGCACTCAGTACTGTGTGGCGTGGCACAGCCCGTTTGACTCTCTTGCTCATGTGTCTGTACAGCACCTCACTCCCTACACCTTGCCCCTCTGTCTCCAATAAGTGCCAACAATATGTCATATTCAGAAGCCAGCACAGCAGTGGTTCCCCCACCTACTTCACTGCATGGACTGCTACTGTAATTTGAGTCCAAGAAAGCAAACAATTGTGTTGAAATAGAAAAGTGGAAGAAAGAATAAACTAGCTTGCAATGTTCCCTGAGGATATTTTTCTTCGAGAACCATTTTTGACTTACCTGGAAATCGTTGACACAACAAGTAATTAGACTCTTCATGGTTATCTCTAAAGCTGCCTACCCAGTTAAACAAAATAACGAAAGTGTGCTGCTCAGAAATGCACTTTAGCTGGAGCGATAAGGAAACGGGGGCAAGACGATTCGCTAGAAAATGTCACCTATATACATGTGCACAGAGGGTATTAAAATTCATTGCAATCTACAAGGGATTTGATTTAAATCTTCTAAATTCAAAACATAGCCCCATGCTCTACAACTGCTTTGTCAAGTCTGATATCTGATTTGGGGGACCTCTGGCACGCAGGGTCTCTGAAAAACTGAGTGAGAGTGGATATCTCTTTGGAACTAAAGTTGTGAGATGGAAACTGGAGTTTTCTTGAATAGGCAGAACAGTAAGGAATTCCCACAAAATTCTGAACCTGAAGAAGACAATGCACCAACTGTGGCATCTGTTGTCCTATAAAGGGTGCAGTTTTTACACTTTTGAACCCTACAGTCCAGATATGAATGATGCTTTAGTCTGTGCTGATCCACACAACTTACAGTGAAAATTGCGGCAGGCTCCTACAGCGATTGCAGTGGTGTCCTAGGAAGAAGGTACCTGACTTATCTTTGGGACACTTCCTGCTTTTCCTGCCCTACATGCAGCAATCAGCCAGAAGTCTGGGCAAATAGATATATAGATAGGACCTTGTTTAAGAAGACATATTCTACCTAGCTCCCCATCCTTGAGTTTTAGATATGGCTATAAAATCAGGCAGCTCACAGATAAAGCTGATGGCACAGCTCACATAGGAAATGGACCATTTAAGTGTTTCAGATTGACTGGCAATCAAATCTGGGACCTGCATTCTTTAGGACTGACCTGAGAGTGACAGGTAAAAGCTGTGCGAGCGATCTCTGCTGTGGGGGAAAGCAATCATGCTTTTAAAATGTCATTGCATTCTACATGTTACAAACTGTAGCTGAAAACCTTCAAGCATTCCTGACAGCTGGATCTCCATGGAAATACGGCACACTGAAAGAACACAGCTATTTTAAGAACTGGGCTAAAGTTGGGAAGTGTATCTGTGGGAAACAAACTGCGTGAGAGTACTCACAGTAATTTAACAGGCAAATGGCTGGGATAAGTGGTGGGAATGTGTGGCAAAAGCAGTGATATTTGATCCTGAGTCTCCTCTCAATCAAATATGATCTTTCTAGGCAAAAAGCAGCAGGAAAGAAAGAAAACTGATTGTCCTTAATATATATTTCAGGTGGCACTTTGAAAGATTCCTAATCGATCTGCCAGTTGGCTGTTTACCTTCTTCTTTTCAAAGCCAACAGTGTATTAGTAGGGCTATTTATAGATATAATGTTACTGGTACTGAGCCTTTGGCCCAAACTACGTTTTGTGAGAGATCCATGGTTAATACCTTTCTCAGAAGAGCTGACTTTTGTGATCTGTGGGGTCTCTAAGATTCCCCATATCCCTCATTCCTCCAGAATCTACCTCCCCATAGCTCTACAGTTTATTTCCCCATGCTTTCCCCCAAGTTGTGTAAGCAAATGAAATAAATTTTAAATGAATATTGATCACCATCGGGAGGGGGTGTCAATTAGTTTAAGAGCCATTACTTAGGAGGCTTATGGAGATATTAAATAATGAGTGCTAGCAAGAGGCTGCCATCTTTTGGTCTGAGGCACAAATGCTCAGCAGGGCTGAGAACTGATAGCACAGGTGACAGCAGGTTTGTTGAACCATGACGATATATAGCTAGCTGTGATCTTGATGCATTCAATTTATTTTGAAGTGGCATTTCATTTACCTAATTTCCCTTAATTTCAACACAACTTTTGATTCCCTCCAAATCAGCTAGAAGTGCTGTGTTGTCAAGGGGTTGGCTAGTCAATGTTGGTCCCACAAAAGATGGCATTCCTGTTTTCATTATACTCCCTCTGAAGGAGCAGATATGTAGCTTGGGGGTCCTTCTGTATCCATCAGTCACTGAGTACCTTCCCTTAATTTTGGCTGGTGGTCTAGCAATGCCTGGACAGTGATAGACTAATTTATGTTGTCTATGCTATGGTAACCTCTAGGTTAGTAAAGCAGCTAATTATTATTATTCATAATTTTCATGCCAGTCATTTAATTCCTGGTGTTCACACTACATTTTCTGTTAATGTAACTTTTACATAGCCCGTTAGGTAAATGAACACACTCTCTGCATGGAGGACAGGGAAGATCACTGCCTTTTCCTTTCCCTGCCTTGGCATAGCTGTCAACTTTCCCCTTTTTTAAAGGGAAATCCCCTTATTCCGAATAGGATTCCTCGCAAGAAAAGGGGAAAGTTGACAGCTATGTGCCTTGGCCCTCACATCCTCTCTACCAGTATGGGGGCGTGGCATTAGCTAGTACTATGAGTCTGCCCCTCAAATGCTTTACCTAGAAATGTGGCTGTCCCACTTAACGAGGAAGACTGGCTACAGGGCTAGGTCTGGGAGATCACCTGAATGATGTGGGATAAGAAAGAGGGACAGGAAACTGTCCTCCTGTGAATTTCATTACATTGCATGCCTTAGGATGCAAGCCAATCCATTTCACAAAAAGTTGGAGAAGTGCTCCAGGGACAGGTTTATGATGGTTAGCCAGATGCCTGGTGGAAATCCACAGGCAGGACCCAAGCACAAGAACACTCTCCCCTCCTTTGGCTTCCAGCAACTGGCGTGCAGAAACATGCTGCTTCCTACTGTAGAGGCACAGATAGCACAGCTATCATAGCCTTCGATAATCCTCTCCTCCATGCTTCTGTTCCATCAGGCAGAACCAGCTTTTCTCAAGTTCAGCCATGGAGAGAAAACAATTCATTTGGATAGAACATGGCAAGCATGCTTCCCAGCACACAAATATGCTACACCTGTATTTACTTACTTGATCATTCAGTATATTTTATATCCAACTTCTCTCCCAAGGCAGTGCACCCTGAGCACCCAGGTGGCAGCTGTAGACCCTTTATAATTATCAGCACATAAAAACAAATTATCATATTTTTTTATTTTAGCAACACATTTTAACAAAGTAGACATCAGAAACTGCACAGTTTTATGACAAAGCTGTGCACAAGAGTCTGAGAGAGACAAGTAAAAAGAAACTAAACATAATAGCTGACATCATGTTCAATGAAGTCAGCTTGTATCTAATGCCACTAAAACAATCAGGAAGACATTCTACTCTGCAGTAGGATTGACTTTTAAAAAAATGCTAGACTAACTTCTTGTGGTCATTTTAATTTGCTTCACATTTGTACTTAAAAATTATATTTTAAAAAACCTCCACATTTTTTCCCTACTTACTAATAAAAAAAACCACAAGGACAGATCAGATTGCTAAGGCTCTTCTGGTATTAATACCTAGGAATCTTTCTGTACCTAGTAAGGAGCCCCTTTATCCCAATCCATGCTACCCATCAAACTAATTGGAAGAAAAACTCGGTGGCAGCTTACTATTAATAGACCTGCAGTTTCAAGGGACACACATACTACCAGAAAATCCATACTCTTTCTGCCCTAATCCTATGAAAAATACAAAGTTATAGCACTTTTGACAGCATTGTTTGTTCTTGCTTTTCCACTCCACTGAGGGGAGGAATGCCATGAAGCTCTGCCAATTTCAAGATGGTTCCTGCTGAGAAAGAATTGCCCTCATTCAGGTTTGAAATACAGTAACCTACAAGCTTGTGTATGCAGAGCACTTTTTGGATGTACCTAACTTGTGCTTTTCTCCTTTTCCCATCCTTAGTACCTTTTGTAACACAAATGTTCACAACTCCTTTGCTCTCAAAGGAATTACCAAAGCTGCAATGTAAAAAATCTATTATTATTATTATTATTATTTTAACCATTACGGCATTTGCTGGTATCGGACATCTTCGTGTATCTTGGCCTAAAGTAGTCTTGCATGATGTCTCAGGAGTTGTGTACTGATAGATAGAGATTATCTCTTTCAAAAAATTAAAAAGAATTCCAGGGCTTTGTGAACCAGATCAGAGGATATAGACATGAACTCTCGAAAATGTCCATGCAGGTTCACTTCAGGACTCGTTTCAAGGTCTCATCTGTGAAGTTGTTCACTGCAAAGACAAAAAGAACATCCACTCTTCAGCTTACCTACAGAATAATTATATAGCATTTACACTGCCCAAAGGCAAGGACCCTACATCTTAACCAAGACATTGTTTGCCTCAAGCAATATCTGCCTTGTAGATGACACTAGGAGCCATTGTTGGTGGATGCATTTTGCATTAAGCCCAAGTTACTGTTTGCTTTGCAAAAGCACTATCTGTATCTGCTCTGGTGATGCTCTTGTGTAATACCTCAGCAGGTATTGTATCTCTGCGCAAAGGGACCCTCAGATATAAGACTTTAGCTCCTAAAGTTTTAAGCAGCCAACAAATACTTAACAGTTGTCTCTGGTGCCATTGAGGCATACAGCTAAAAAGTATTCTCCTTTATCTTCTTCCCACTACCCCAAAGCTACCAGTGCAGCAGAAGACCTGCTTGCAATCAGGATCTTCTCTAAAATCAAGGAAAGGACTAACACCAGCACTTTAGCAGGGTGCATTATCTTGTCCCTAAACTCGCTGCCTGTTACTACTAACATGTTTTTCAAAATAAGTTTTAACCATTGTATCTCCGGTTATCAGTCTAATATTTGCATTATTAGTTTATTCACAACCCAAAACCACTTTGTTCTTTGGTGGTAAATGAACGGACTCTCATTTACCACCCAAAGAATTAAGTTGGTTTGGGTTTAGGGAACTGACTGCTTTTAATGAATGGTGTTACGCTGTTTTTATTGTAATTATTGGTATGGTTTTAATAGGTTTTATATATGCATATACAGTAGTTTTACTTCTATCAACTTTTTTCATGATCCCTGTAAGCGGCCTTGAGTCCTGACATGGAAAAAGACGGGATAAATATATAATAATTATTATAAAGTAACTAAAAATGCAAACACTGGTGGTAAATGAGAGTCAAACCTTTTGGTTCTGTGTGGCCTTACAGCAAAAGTAATCACCAAAGCACGGCAGCATCCTGCCCCAATTAAAAATTGGCCCCCAAACTTCAGCAGGCTGTTGAAGCACATTTTCAACAAATGGTAAGTCCCTTTTCACTACAATGATACAACACTTCTAATCATGGCAATGAATCACATTGGCTTACAACAACAAAAAACAAAGCTCAAACAAAAAGCTCAGTGACAGAGCACCTGCTTGTTATGCAAACAGCCCCAGGTTCAGCCCACAGCATCTTCACGCAGGGCTGGGAAAAATCTCTGCCTGAAGCGCACTGCATAGCAGCTGCCACTTCCTGCAGCCCTATCCTAAACGTACCGGCATCGTTGTCCGGCTTACAGGTCCATTGTCGTTTTGGTGTTTTCTGTGGTGTGGAAGTTCTGAGCTGTCTCGATAATCTTTCCCCTTGGTGTTCTGCATGTCAAGCACCACTTGACTCTTGGATGGAAGAGGTGGTTTGCTGTGTCCTACTTCAGACCTTGAGAATTTGACAGGTTTCTTCAATGGTGGCACTAGGGGGTCTAAGTTGGAACAGGGCTTCTGCTTGCCAAAAGTCTTTTCAGGCACTGCAGTCTTTCCCTCGGATTGGTTGGAATAGGTGTGACAACGAACTCTGGATGCAGGGACTGGGAAGGGTGGGGAGGACTGCTGCTTGTATGCCGATTTGCTACTGTCAGGCTCCGGTAACTTGGGGAAAGGGAAGCTCTGGTCAGGGATATTTGGGAGCTCTTTTCGAGACATCTTGGAGAATTCCTGCTCTCTCTTGGACGGCATTTTGTCCTTGGTTTTTGCAAAGTCATAAAGTGGGTTATCAATCATCTCTGGTTTAGGGTACATGTCATCTGGTAGAAATGGCTCTATCATGCTTTTCCTCACCTCGGCATACCTGCAATGGGAAAGGAGCGGGGGAAATATCAAAGGGAAAGCAAGGACAGGTTAAACCAAAGAAATTAAAAGAGGCCGGGAAGTAATCAAAATGACTGTGATAAAATACATGAGAATAAAATGCTGGTGAAGACTGAACTTTATACAATAGCAGTGGTATTAAAAACCTGTTCACCACCACAACAGTGCTCAGATTTTAAAAAGTGCCTTCAGCTGGGCTGGAAATGATTTGTTGAAATTAGATGTACCAACTATGCACTTCAGAGAAGTTACTGTGTCTGCCTACCAGGAAGGTGGTGATGCTGGTGGCACCTCACTTAATATTTTCTCGTTTCTGTGGTTCATGGGTGGGGAATCTGATGTCCTTGAAATTTTGGACTACAGCTTTTCTTAGCCACAGCAAGCATAGCCAGTTGTCTGGCATAATAGGAACAACTGGAGTGTCTTAAGTTCCCAATCTCTGTTAACACCTGGCACCTACAACCCAGTCAATCTCTCAAACGCCGATGAATTACTCTGCTAAAGAGAAGGTGAATGAGGAGGAATTAGAACATCTCTAGAGGGTGTGCAAAAACTCACACTTGATCCTTTCGATGAGTTGTAGACTGAGTGGGTGCTCTTGGAGATCCGGGTGACTGGGTGGAAGGTGTGGTGGGAGACTCTAGTCCCATCAGACAAGTACTGTCTTTGGATTGTAGGTCATAGTTCCATGCAGCAGGCAGTTGGTCTGGTGAAGGGATCTGCTTAAGTTGGCCTGTTGCAGGGAATTGTTGAGAGGCAGCCGCCATCCGTAAGTAGCTGGGATTATTGATATCTGTGGCCACCGTACTTCTGAGGAGAAAGAGTTGCGGAAGACAGAAAATCAGTCAGGACCATAGAATACAGAGTTAGAGAAGCGAATCCCAACCCTTAGCATAGAATATCAGTAGCTGGGAAGTGCAGCTGGGCAGGTTGCGCTCATGTCCAGTTTATAAGCTTCTCACAAACATCTGGCTGGCCACTGTGAGAACAGGATGCTGGACTAGATGGGCCACTGGCCTGATCCAGCAGTCTTGTGTTCTTAATACAAAGTTAGAGAAGCAAGGTTTTTATCTAGAGCAGCTTTTCCCAACCTGGTGCTCTCCAGATGTTCTGAACTCAGCTCCCTATCAGCCCCAGCCACCACAGCCAATGGTCAGGGACGCTGGGAGTTGGGAGTCAAGCAATATTTGGAGGCTGCCTGCATTTCCAGGCTCTTCTTCTAGGCAGGAAGAATTCTTTAGTGCATACAGCAAAGCACACTAAGGTAAAAATCACTACCGCAAAGGATCAGTCTTGCTCGGTTCATCTAGAGAAGTTGTCGCCGTTCCTCGATAGCGGGCAATAGCTGCTGCTTCTTTGGCCATTATGTGAGTGGATTTTCTGCTGGAACAAGGCTCCCTTTCAGGGGAAGACAGTACGTTAGTAGGTTCCATAATCTAATAATTTTCAAGCATAATGGTAGCATTTTCTCCATGCAGCCATTTTTCACAGCTGTTACTTTATTTGGAGATAGTTTTCAATGCTCTTATTATATTCTCTTGGTGTGCTGGGGAATAATACATGTAAACAACTTTCTTGTTTATTCTGCAAAGCACACAAGCTCTGGCATATCCATATCTGCCTGAGGGCACATCACCAGCCAACATGTCAGTCATCTTTGCACACATAAATTAACTGCCTTTATCCTACCTATTCACCGGTTCCCACTCTTTGGCATAGTCTACACAGCTCGAGACCCTCACTGGTTTCTGGCCAGCAGCCTCATCCCGTTCAATCTTCACAAAGTCTAGAGGAAAGATACAAAAGAAATATAACAGTGCTTAGGGCTGCAGTACAAGTTTGTAACATTTAGGTTCTAAATCCCTGAGATGCAGTCTCCACCTAAACGGTTCCACAAGCACAAGGAATTTTAGCTATGCAATGGAACTTCCTCAGCCTCTCCTCCCCCTGTGTGACTCCTAAAACTGTTCCAGGAGTCCCAACAGGTGGGTTGCAAGACCAGGCCCACCTGCCTCATTCTCTAGTAGAATTTGGGTGCTTAGCTGAATTAATCTCCCCTCACTGCCTACATAGGCCTGAGAGGGTCTCTGTACTTGTTAAGAGTTACATAAATGGAAAAAAAACCAATCCATTCATCCTAGTGTAACATGGAGGAAGCTCATGGGGGTGAGGGGCTGGGCAGTGGCATTCTCTTGGCGGTACTAGGGCCAGGATGAAGCAATGTAGTGAAGGGGGCAGGTGAGCTCCAGGGCTGGCACTGCAAATAATAATAATAATATAATAATAAAATTTTATTTATATCCCGCCCTCCCTGCCGAAACCGAAGCCCAGTTCCTCAGTCCTCACCACCACCACCTCTCCTTGTCCAATCTCTGTCATGACGAGCACATTGCTACAAGGAAAACATCACTGCCTCCACTACCCCTCACAAGCTACAGTAACATTGTGAGAACCACAACTAGTGAAATGGCCCTATGCTGGAGCCACTGGCACTATAGAGACAGGAACAGCTGCACTTTGGAAAAACTCCCCCTCCAAGTATCTCTTGAAGGTACAGATTGAATATTCAAAAAGGTTTGATATTTGCAGGTCTTTCCAAGCACTATTTAAACAAAGATATTTCTTTTTCTCAAGAAGAAACAACACATAGCTACTTCTCTTCCATGAATGATATTTGATATCAATGCTTTTCTATCAGGTTTTTAATTCTATTTCGATTATGTTTGACATCCGGCTCAACAATGCCAAAGATCACTAATGTTTTCAAAAAGACAACAGTGATCTGCATTTTAGAGCCAGTTTGGTACCCCATTTTTCAACATATCTGATGAAAAGGAGAAGGAGAGGGAGAGGGGGAGAGGGAGAGAGGGAGACCTGCTCCCAGAGCCTGATCAGCAATCACATTTAATTTTTTAAAAATTAAATACTACACCCTGGATTGCGATTGGCACCACAGCACAAGGGAAAGTTGAAACCTTCCCATCCCAGCCAAATTCTCAGTAAAAATCACACACAGCTCCTTGCACTTGCAGCAATAAGTACTGGGGTTGGGGGAACATAGAAAAAAAATCTTTTCAAATGCTTATTAGCAGAATCATTCTTCAGGATTTTCACAGTGATTACGGCTCTTCTCTTTCACACACTGATATTCCCATTACAAGGAGATTATCTCCATATCCCCCTTCAAATATCAAAATGTCTAAAGGGCATTGTGGGTTTTCCTCCTCATTCTAATTGCTGTGCATGGGTGTGTGTTATTTTTTACCAATATAGGTGCTGGAGAGGGAAAATTTAAGCCACCCCTCCCTTGTGATGCTGATGACAACCCCCCTGCCCACCCACCCCCAGCACATGCCTGTTATTAAATTTTTAAAAGCCTATGACATGGCTGCTAATCACATCATTCATATAATACAGAGTGAAAATAAAGCAGAAGCATGTGAAATCTATATTGCTGACCGTCAGGTAGAGGGCTCCCTCTCGCTGTTCATTTGGTTGGAAGCAGGAAAGAAGAGCTATAACTTTATTCTGTAGATCTCCTGTATATTTGTTTATACCACAGTGTGGGGGCGGGAATTACTTTTCAACCCCAAAAGCCACAGTGGTTTGTTTTTTTAATGCTTAAACTCTCCATTATCAGAGTCAATCTTCAGGATCTTTCACAATAAGGCTTCTTCACACACTGATACTCTCCTTACAAGGAGAATACCTTCACACAGGAAAACATCTCTCCATATATATATATATATATATATATATATATATATATATACACACACACACACACACACACACACACACACACACACACACACACATATATATATATATATATATATATATATATATATATATATATATGGCAACGTGAGATTCTCCCCTGCCACATATAAGCGATTTTAGCAGACAATGACTCATGCTACCCGTCACATATCTTCTGCTTATGGATGTAACACACAAACAATGGTTTGCCATTTTGTGAATGAACCTTGGATTCATGGCCTCCCTAATCCCGTCTCCCCTGCTGGTGCAGCTATGAGAAGAAGATCAGAAGCATTCACTTCATTATTATTTTTAACTAACTTGCTTTGCATTATGTCTGAACCCAGAAAAATTGTGGTTAGGCTTAACTATGGATTACCAAAACAAGTCAACTTCAAGCTGCGGTTTATGAAGCTGGTTTATTTTCATAAAACCTTAGTTAAGATTAGCCACTGTTTAGGGTTTGGGCATAACACTAAACGATGGTTAACTGAAAATGAAGTGAAAACTGATCTTCTTGCAGACAGGCTGAAACAGGAGAGGGAGGAGCCCACGAGCCCATTGTTTGTTCATGTAACTTGCCTTACCATATAGTTTTTCTCTCTGTTTCCCTTCAGATGTTTGCAGCTTGAATTCGCCTTGGAAGATGCCTGTCTTTTCCCCATGGTGTGTGAGCATAGTTTGGATTGGGACTTGGGATTCTGTAGCTCCACTTCGAAGGGCAATGCAGCCTTCACCTAGAGAAAGACAAGGGAACAGATAATGCCAGAAGGACAGGTTTGCACAGGTAACTTGTTGGAGGGAGACTGGATAAATCCATAGCAATTATGTTCCTTGTGTAAAGAACCACAGTCCTCAGCAATACTTCAAATTACATTTTTAAAATATATGCTGTTGTAAAATGTTGCTATCGTAGAAAAGAGATCCTAGAAACCTAGAAATTCATACACGCATTTTCTCCCACACATTAAACAACTTTGTGGGGAGGGGGAAACGTAAGGAGAGGTTGACTCATGTGTAAGCTTTAGAGGCAAAGTCTTACCATAGGATTCATCACTATCTGATGATTTAATGCTGATCAAAATGTGCTGGTCTAGCAGGTACTCTGGATCTGAAATAATTGGAGTCAGCTGCAAGAGAAAGCTCAGAAAGGTCAGTAATACCAGAGCGGGGAATGTATATACAATATCTATGCCAGAAAGTAGCACATTTCCCTTACAAATGCAATTGTGTTAAAGTTAGCCTCTGTAGTCAGTCAAAGCTTATGCCATCAAAGCTCAGAGTACTACAGGACTCCTTGCTATGGTTTTCATTACCCTTTTGGAAATTACAATTAAAGTTGTTATCCTACTTGCGCTTTCATAGGAGTGAGTCCTATTGTGATCAGGGGATTTACTCTCAAGAAACAATGTTTAGGATCTCAGCCTAAGGGTAATATCAGAGCTGCTTTTGAATTCCAGTGTTACAATTTTTTACTTGCTGAACAAAAATTACAATGACTGAAGGACCTACACTTGATGGGTCGTTGTAGCCAGTCCTGGATCTCCGATTACTACATTTAGATAACATACAAGTTTTCCAATACGTTCATACGTTGCATTTTAGGTGTACATGCTTATAAATGTACACCTAAAAATATGGGATGTGAAGCAGCCCTCAGAGAAAGGAATGGTGGAAATCCTGTAAGGTACAGAGCTAGTGCAGTGGGAAAGAGACAAAGCTGGAAGTCCCCAGTCTGAGCCTTGCCTCTGTGAGTTGAAGTCACAAGGTAGTCCTAGGTAGAGATGTCAGGAAATGTGAAGATCTTGGAGGGCTGCTGAAAACACCTGTACACCTAAAAGATAATCTTATTCCCTGTAGAGGGCATTCTGCAGATACCATCTTATCGGGAAGACTGTTTCACACCATGTTGGAATTTAGTGTGGCATTACCTTCCCTTTGGAACTCCTTCCCACTTGATAGCAGAAAGATGTCTTCTCTGTTGTCATTTCAGCACCTGCTGAAGACGTTCCTTCTAATCAAGGACAAGCCTTCTAAAATATTTATCCCAATTGATTTCTCTTGGATTTGAGTAGCTTTTATGCATGTGCTGCTATTGTTTCAAACTGCTTTTATTTTTATATTTGTTTTTAACTGATTTTATATGTGCAGCTCTTTAAGCTATTTTTATCTATGCAACTATTATACATGCTGTGTAACCCTAATCTTCATAGGACGTGATTTAATAATAATAAATAAAAATAATAAAATAATAATTAACTAAGTTATGTGACATGCTTTGAACATTAAAACACACTATATAAATGCCAAGCAAATGTATTAGCGTATCTCTGTCTGCCTTCTAAGAAACCACTGGTACAATTCTTTTTGACATTAATGACTTAGGATGATTTGCATGTGCACTTCTGATATCACAACTCTAAAGCAATTATAAGTTAAAATATAACATTTTCAATGAGACACAGTTAACACTGTGATAAAAGAATGCTAGAATTTCCCTGATGATATTACAACACATGTATTAGCAAAGGTGGAAACAAATATTCCAGTTGACCAACAATGGTTTTCAAGGACGAAATCCCTGTTATTTGAAGCCACATCATATAATCTCTTTCATTTTGTAGCTGCTTTAATATATTCTTCAGGTTTTTAGAACATCTGGTTACAAATACGGGTTCTGTATCTGAAAGCGATGCCCAACTCCAGTTTCTGAGCTGAAAATCTGCGAAGGTGAGACCATGTGTGGCCATCACAGGGTGTCATCATCGTAACATCTTGTTAAAGTAGAAGGGAGAATCAGCCATAAGGTCTTGTCCCTTCTTATGCTTGTTATGTAGGAGTCTGGAATGTAACACACCACAAACGGCTAACTGGGGTTACTAGATTTCTCTTGGCATCCCTTAGCTGCAAGTCCTTTTAAGGACACCAGCTGGAATGTCATTTCAACATGTTCTTCCAAACTATTTAATTACCCATATGTTCATTTAGTATAAGTATTTGGAGCAGGGCTCCTAAGAAAGCATTCTATAGCCTATCTAGAAGAGAGAGGGAAATTCAAAAATTGGGGGGTCTGAGCTTTTGATTATGTGGAATCATAAAACCTTAGTGTTAGAATGGATCTGCACTGTGGGTTGTTGAAGAAGATCTAGAAGTTTTTCTCCCAAGTAGGACTCCTGTTTTGGGGGAACTGCATTTCCACAGCAGTCAAATCTCAAAATGTTGGTGCAAGGAAAATGCAACTTTCACCCCAACCTTGTCATCCCACCACTTAGACGCACTGGGAAGTGCTCATCAAGAGTGACTCGTGACATACAGTAATAATATCTCTCCCACATGATTGTGTGTTAATTTTATTTATGTAACTGTATTGTGTACCTTGTTGTACCTTTTATTTCAGTATACCCTCCATCTGGCCCTGCAATCTTAAAATGCTCCCCTGCTTTAGCACTCAAGCAATGGGGAGAGTGCTTGCTGAACTAACAAAAGTGGTGCTATACACTCTTGAGAGTCCCATGGACTGCAAGAAGATCAAACGCATCCATTCTTAAGGAAATCAGCCCTGAGTGCTCACTGGAAGGACAGATTGTGAAGCTGAGGCTCCAATACTTTGGCCACCTCATGAGAAGAGAAGACTCCCTGGAAAAGACCCTGATGTTGGGAAAGATGGAGGGCACAAGGAGAAGGGGACGACAGAGGGTGAGGTGGTTGGACAGTGTTCTCAAAGCTACAAACATGAGTCTGACCAAACTGTGGGAGGCAGTGGAATACAGAAGTGCCTGGCGTGCTCTGGTCCATGGGGTCACGAAGAGTCGAACACGACTAAACGACTAAACAACAACACACTCAGCAAAACGACCTTGTAATTTTGAGGATTTCCCCCCTAATTATTTTTTAAACTTCCTGTGCACCTCCTCCTCTGCTGCTGAATGTTAAAAAAGAATTTGGTCAGTTCCACTTCCCTGCTGTTCAGCAGCAGGGAAGTGAAACTGACACAAACATTTCTGTGCAGCAAGATGATTCCCTTGTCTGTCTATTGAGTACTGGATGTAGCACAATCAGAGACACGTGGAAGGATTGTACAAGCAACAATGGTGACCGAGGATGAACTTTGCACAATCTTTTGTGTTTTTATATAAACTGCAGCAAAGCTACAGATGGAAGACATTTGTTAAAATAAGCATGAAACATACTGCAAGGCTACCTTAGGAAGGGCTTCAACAAACTTCACCACCAGTTCGCCTTCATTTCCTTCCTCATTTTCTCCCTCCTGGCTCTTTACAAAGCCTGCAAAAGTGTTAGAAAAGAAAAATCATTTGCCAGCTGAGAAATGCACAACAAGCACACACATTTGCAAAACTAAAATAAAAAAAACTTGGCAGCAAATGGAAACTGCTAATTATTCTGCTTTCTGGACACAAAAATGGGAAGCATTTGTGTGTACAAGAATATGATTCTATCAGAATGTTTGCAAAGTCCATTTATTGAGTCCACTGAATGACCTTAGTATCTTGTCTTTTTATTATTTCCTTTCATTTAATAAAGGTGTTAGAAGTCTCAGTGCATGTGTGGACAAGAGGATAAGGAGAACATAACAGCTCTTCCTACGCCACTCAAGATAGCACATTTTTGAAATTCTAATTTAAGATTCCTAACACATGGTTTCCATAGAAATGTATGCAAATCTCTGTATATCCCCCCCAATTTTTTTTGTGTGGAGCTGGATTAATCGATCTCTGTGACATGTGAATAAGAGTACAGTAGAGGCATGCTATTTTTCTTTGCAGAGGAAAGAATAGTCAACAGACTTTGGGCATGTACTCTCTCACTGCATAAATGGCTGAGATTCAGGAATTCATACAATTTCCAGCATTGATGTACGGTTCTGCTTACAAAACAAACAAAATGATTGTCTCCCAAGTCATCAACTGTTTTTATTGGCTGCAATTCACAATGCGATTAAGCTGTAGCATTCCAATTTAAGTTCTGATAAAATACAAGGCAATTCTCCCAATCTTGGGAGAATCGATTTACATGGCTACCCCTAATATTTTTCTGCCCAAGTTGCTCTGCAATTGTGACAAAGGAGGCTCTGAATTGCTTGTTATGAAGATAGAAAACTGATTTTGCATGCCACTGCAAGCCTTCCAATTTAAGGTAGAGAGGTTTTGTGCAAAGACTATGCAATCTGGAGACAAGAAAAGCAAAAAAATGACCTCTCTCTCTCGCTCATACACACACACACACACACACGAGAGAGAGAGAGAGAGAACAAGTTCATTCTCCTACAGTGAATATAGTCATTCCACCAAATGCTGTGTACTACTATTATACAACACAGAATTAGGTTTAGGACTAGAAATTACATCTGTTGACTGCACTATTCTACCTTGAATGGGTTCAATAACTTGGTATATGTCCAATATAACATAACAATGATGGACTACACCCACATCACATTTTCTTCCAAGCTCAGACCAGCATGTATAGTATTTCCCCCTCTCTTCTTAACCCTAACAATAACTGTGTGGTAAGTTCCAGAGCATGGTCTGAAGGTGCATGGTGCGGCAACCTTGTTGAAGCCAAGTAGGTCTGGTGAGTGCCAGAATGGGAGGCAACCCTCTGAGAGCTCTATATATATCACCTTCTATGGTATAACATAAATTAAAATACGTGATTTATGGAGAAATATAGGGATATGCCATGCAGCAGCAGCAGACTAAATTGCAGGGTCTGTGGCTAGTCTCAGTTGCCTGGCTGGCTTGTGCCCTTTGGATAATAGAATTGTAGGGCTTTTTTTTAAAGGTATACTGCATGTATGAAACTTAAGTGATAATAAGAGAAACAGCCCTGATGATGAAATTTCAAGGGAAAGCAACAAATAAAAATTGGCAAAATACAGCAATTAACAACAAAGCGTTACTACAACAAAGAATGAAGTATTTCAAAAGACAAAGTGGATATATTCTGATTCTCTCTCCCCACTTTTGAGTTTGTCAGTAGCCCCCCTTCTGCAGTATTGTCCCTTCTTGATAAACATCATTAGAGCTTCTGTATAATAAAGACAAAAGGTGGAAGAAACAGTACTTTCTAGGCAGCTGGAGTAGAACTCAATGTAGAATTTTGTCTGAGACTTCGTCTTAAGGGTGGCACTGCAGCGCAGGAATTCAATCTGTCCCAGGGAGTCTGTGTACTTATCATCTGGAGAAAGGAGGACATTTGTTCAGGTTAAAGATAATAGTTTTTAAGCAATGAATGAGATTGTTTTCTACTACATCTTTCTTTATTAAGGGCAGGGAAAGCTTGCATGGCATTTGCTTACCATTCTTCGAGACAAACTGAGAGGTGACAGCAACCTCAAACGTAGCAAAGACAGGACTGTGGTCACTTGTCATGATGTCACTGGTGCATCCTAAGAGGAAAGTCAGATTCTAAGCACCTGTTTTTCTTGACCTCCCAAGGATGGAGAGAATAATGCAATTGTCTGTCCTGTACTCAGAGTTATCTATGGAAACAAGAAGCCCCATCTCTCCAAGGGGGTTGTGTACTAGATGGATCAGTCCATCTAGATGGATCAGTCCATCTAGTACACAAAAGTTTTCTGACACCAGGCTTTGGACATGGTTACTTGAAACACCACATGTTCATGAACAAATCAGTCCAGGTGAGCCTTGGGGACCTTCTTCAGATTTCACCCCTCTCTGAAATAAGATAGGTGGTGGTGGCCAATTGCGGGGCCTTCTCTGTTTTGGCACTATACATTTGGAATCCCTTCCCTAGAGAGCTTTATCTTATACCCATTTTAATTTTCCTGCCATCACCAGGCCAAAATGACCTCAGATTGAGTGTTTGCTGTAGAACTATAGTTTTACAGCATTTCATGTTATAGTTTGCTATATATCATGATTTTGATAAAATATTTCCTGTGATTTTATTTTATGTGTGTCATTTTGGTAAGACTCTGACAGCATTTGCCGAAGAGGTGCTTATAAGCATTTGATTGGGAACACATTAAAAATACATTTAAAAGACAAACAAACCCAGAGGCCAGAACTGGGAGCCAGGATTAAGAAACACTAAACCACCAGCAGCCCTCTAATGCTACACAGCTTTTGACACAGGAAAATGGGATATTCTATAGGTTACTGGCGGTAGTGAGGTTCTTCCTGCTTAGTGACAGCGGGCTAAGGTGCATTCCCAGTTATCACACAGCCAATTCTCTCCCCACTACACATCCAAGTTTTAGGAGCAAGCATTCCAAGCCAGAAACGACAGGGTGCATCCATTGCTGAGAACTTGGCAGCGAAAGGCAATGCTACAGATTCAGCTCTGAATCATTTCCGTTTAAACCAGCTTTGCTGTTATTCCCAATCTGTTCTCTACCCACCATAAGATTGACACACCACATGCACCAGGGGATATGATTTCCAGAGCACTCGATCACACCAGGATGGCAAATTGTATTTCACCTGCAAACAAAAGGAGAATCAATATCGAAAACACATCACTCCACAAGAAGGAAAGCTCTGGTGCCAAAAAGCCAGCAGCTTGTTCCCAATTAGAGTTCTTTCACGGTGTTCCTCTATAGAAAGAGGAGCAGTTCTGGCAACAGACACCATTTGAAACATCGTAATGTGCTGGAAGATATGGCATACCCCTGTTGCTTTCTGCTTGGTGTAGACATAATGCTCCCGGGTGTTCCTTTCAAAGCGATAGGTTGGGGCAAATGTTATTTCTTCCTCCTCTGAAAGAGACAGATGGCTAGTTATTGTTTTAACCAAAACCTGGGTACACATGTCAAAGCACATCATGCAGGTTACTTCAAATCAATGTAGGGGGCAACTCCTAGAACACAGTTAGCTGTTAGTATATATGGTCTCTCATGATATGGATCGGGCAATTTTCTTAACGCAAAGAAATCAGTTGCATTGCAAAGAAAAAAAGGATCGTCACAAACAAAACATTTACCACATGTGTCAGTTTCTATACAGAGCAATTTAAAGCAGGTAATCACTCTCTCTACTGAGATTACTCTCTCAGTGATTACCCCTTTAGAAGGGTGTTTTTCAATGGCAGAGTAAAAAAGGGCAAAGGAATAGAAGCAGAACTTACCAAACTGCAGAAACACCTTTTGATCCCTCTTTTCAATGAGAAGCTGGTCATAAGGCAGTAGTTCTGTGTACTGCATCTGTTTGATCTTATGGACGATATTGTCTGCTTCCTGATAACAAGGAAATGTCATAATGGCAGATGTACCACTCTCTTTTCTTAAAAAAAACAAAAAAACCTTCCTGGTTAATAAATAGCACACTAGCATCTGAGGCCACAAAAATCTGTTACTGAGGCCCAACTACATCTGATACGCAACTAGATCTCCTGACACTTTGATTCTCAAAACTGGTTGATAGCAACGGTACATTTTCCAATCCAATCCACATACATTTTTCAAAGTTGCTGCAAGGACTAAGAGCAACTTGGAACAGGAGTGATTTAGATCAGGAAAACGACATGAGGAAAAGAGGATTTTTAAGGGATTTTTTTAAAAAAAAAGGATTTTCAAAAGCCATCCCAAAGTGTTCCTGCTCTGATTCCATTTGAAGCTTCCTGTAGCAAGTTTTAAATAACAAACTAAGAACCTATCAGTTTTCCCCTGTGTTTTGTGTAGTTCCTATCCTTAGTTGCAAATACACCATCAAAAATGTTACCACCCTGGAATAGAGTTCAATGGGGCTTCTGCCCAGGAAAGTGGATATAGGATTTCAGCCCTCAGGTGTTTAGTTTCCTAGGACCAAAATGTATTTGCTATACTGATCTCTTGATTACACTGCACCCAGTATCAGCACCCATTACGCCTCTCGTAACACCCCTAACCATCCCTTGGTGCTTTCCCACATATCCCTAACAGTCTTCTTCCGGCTTTTTCTTCCTGCTTGGCTACTCAGCAGCTGCAAATAGCCATGCTTTCCTTTAGGCTCCATGATACTTGCTTGCTTCAACTTCAGTAGCAACCACATATCCAGAGAAAACACAAGTCTGATTATTGGAAGAACAGGTTTCACCCAAGCTGAAGGGGGTGGTGTATGTGTGAGCAAAATGTATGGAGAATGATTCCAACGTAGGTTCATCACTAAAATCATGAATGTCTGCATGAACCCTAAGAGTGTGACCTAATTCAAATCTCATCCCACCCAAAAACTCATTAGGTGACAGGAATTCTCTCAGTTTCAGACCTTTGCTTGCTATATGAGGATGGTGTTATATGTTGGGGGAACCTCGCTAAACCCCAGAAATTAATAAATTGATTATTTGGAGTATTGAAGGGAAGATTGTAGGCCACTGGAAAAATACAAGCAGTGCGTCACCTGGGATAGAGGCATTAGCCCTACGAAAGGTGTTGATGGCCCATCTAAGAGGAATCTTGGGCCTGGGCAGACAAAGATTTGCCAAGGTGATGTTGTGTGGGTGTGAGGTGACAGGAAAAGAGTGTCTTTAGCAAGGTGTGCTGGGAAGAAGAAGGATGAGAACAGAGAGAGGGGTCCATCTTGGGCAGGCTGAGAGAGAGAGATGCTTTGGACTCCAGCACTGAACTGCTGTGGGGAACAAGCCCCTCTTTGAGATGACCAGGCTGTAAGATGGGAACTCACTCCATGCAGAGTGAAGGTGTAAACATATGAATAAACCACATTTTTAAAAAGTTACAACCATCTCCGCCACGTCTTCCAAAGGAGGATGGGTTCTGGATGAGTGCCTGGAACCCCCTGGAATTTTGCTACTGCTTGACAGAGAGTGGAAGTAAGTGCCCAACTTTTGTAACAATATAATAACAGAAGTCTACTTTGCAAAGTTATTGTAAGGATAGCCAGGTTAAAGCATGTAGAATGCTCCAAACACTCACAAGAGTTCTGCATAAATGCAAAGTACTATTAGCTAGTAGCAGAGTGCTGGACTAGGACATGGGAAACCAGGGCTCAAATCCCCACTCAGCCATGAAGCTTACTGGGGGACCTTGGGCCAGTCACTCTCTCTCTCAGCCTAACCTACTTCAGAGGTTTGCTGTGAGGATAAAACTAGGAGGACAAGGACCATGTACACCACCTTGAAATTGCAGGAAACGTGGGATAGAAATGTAATAATAAAATGCAAAAGTAAATAAACAGGCTCTCTAACCGCTGTGGGCAACTCTAGGCGATAGTTCAGGTCTCCCAGCCAAAAGAGATGAGTAAACCGGTGGGTGATGTTAAATGGACTCAACTTCTTGTCTCCCAGCGACAGAAACCGCAGAATACTTGTGTAGTTCTGGTTCCGCCTATTAAAACACAAGAACAAAGCTCAGTATACCATTTTATTATATGGCCTCTCACCAGCAGCATTATCAGCAGAGACAGTTGGCTCAAAACAACAGTGGACTAGATAATAAGCCCATGAATCTTTCCCTGTCTTGGCTCTGGCTAAAGCCTCAGCTTCCCAAAGGCAATATACAGCCAGACAATCAGTTCTGTATAGCTATAGGAGTAACTTGTCTCTGTGCATTACTATGGAATTATCTGATCCAACTTTGGCCACTAGCTTGGCATTGTACACATTTAAATGGAAGTAGTAGCTGCTTGGTTGCCAGAAGAAAAGGTTTATGGGTTCTGTTTTTCTGTTTACTACTGATAGTTAACTGACTGGTGAAACTGGTCTAAATTTGAAGGGTCAGCAGCTTGAGGTATAGTCCGTTTCCAATAAAGGAACGCTTTTTTTAAAAAAAAAGTCATTCACTGTGGAAAAAAGAGAAAGCACATACTATTTAAATGTATTGAATAAAAAGTGAGATCTATTTAAATGCCAGGGAGAGAAAGCAACCTTGCGCTATTTTTGCAGTATTTTAAAAGGGGCATCTTTAAGTGGATATATATACACAAATTTCACTGTAGGAAACACAAAAATTAAGAAACACCTTTGGAAATAGCTCTGTGTGTATATGTATGTACAGTCATACCTTGGATCCTGAACGCCTTGGTACTTGGACGCTTTGGCTCCTGAACGCTGCAAACCCAAAAGTGAGTGTTCTGATTTGCGAACGTTCTTTGGAACCCGAATGTCCGACGGGGCTTCCATGGCTTCCAATTGGCTTCAGGAGCTTCCTGCAGCCAATCAGAAGCTGCGCTTTGGTTTCCAAACGTTTTGGAAGTCGGACTTCTGGAACGGATTCCATTCAACTTCCAAGTTATGACTGTATGTGCATATTTGCCACCTGTAGCACTATACAACAGCTGTCTTAAACATCTGCATTCAATGCACTGCAATAGTGCTAGCTGCATTTCTGAGAGCTTCTTGTATTTGCATCCTGCTGGCTTCCAGGTATACCTTGATTTAAACTGATTGACCAGAGAATATTGTACAATGCAAAAAGAAATGCGTATAGCAGCAATTCAACATTATTGCTTCCAAATCTCTGAAAAGTTGTTGCCTCTACACAACCAAAAGGGCTCTGGGAATAAGATCCTCCATTCAAATGCCCTAATGCAGTCAAATCTGCAGGAAAAGAGGCAGCTTTAATTTACCATACATACTGTCTCTGTGTGAATGTATTTATTATTTATTTGTATTTATTTTCTGCTAAGTAGTCAGGAGTGCTTCAATACCTTCAGAGCTACTGCAACATTGGGCCTTGCACAAACAAATACGGGAGAACCGCCAAGCCTGGGGTACCTTGTTGCAATCTATGAGTGTGCTGGGGGACAGAAGGAAGACCTTGAAGTATGTGTTGCCATGGGAATTTGCAACTGCTTCAGGAAGCAAAAATTGGGGCATGTGAAGACGGAAAAGTACTGTGATATAACACAGCTCGACTCTTCTGCTTTATATTGGCATGTTTGCATGGTTTCTATTTCTGGAGCACACAGCAAAGGGAGGGCTATGCATTGAGTCAACAAACAAGCGAGACCTGTAAGCACAAATAGTTACAACCCCTCTGTTCCTGTTTTACTGGAATGTTCCCTTCTAAACCACAGGAAGAAACAACAATGGAAACCCAATCTTCAGCTATTCACTTGTTGTTTTTAGAAAAAGAAGAAATTGTACAATCACAGATTCTTCAACTATCTAGCTACATTTTGTAGCCTGTGTCCATGCCCATGTGTGTGTATTACTGTTAAGTTGCACATGGTGGGGAGATGCTGTATAGCAACTCTCTGGTGCATTGAAATTTTCACCCCAGAAAAATGAAGACATGTTTCAGGTGCCTAGGACTTACTTATCTGCCAATGTTTGTGAATTTTGTTTACACCACCAGCAGGACTGCAGCCTCAGGTCTTTGGTCCAAATAACTATCTGGGCCAAGATAAATAATCTGTGCCTCTTTGTATAGAAAAAAAAGCTTTTTGAATACATTCTATGTGTTCCATACTTCAGTGGGGCTTCTTGTTCCAAAGAATGCAGCTCAGGGTCATTAACAGCATGCTTAGCACTGGCCACTTTCCTTTGTCAGAAAAAGCAGCTGCACAGGGCCCCAATCCAGTTGGGACTGCAGTGCATGGGAAGAAGTTTTTATTTAAAAAAAAATTCCCTGTGCAAAATTCTACCCCACACCCTGGTGCTATTTGCAGACACAGCACCTTTAAGTGAAGAGGTAAACAGAGGAAAGGATTATCCCTTTCCATTGGGTTCCTGATCCCTGAACTAGATGGATTGTTGATTTGCTCCAACTGGGCCCCCTTTATGCTATTATAGTCTTAAAATTGGCGGGTGGCACTGTGGGTTAAACCACAGAGCCTAGGACTTGCCGATCAGAAGGTTGGCAGTTCGAATCCCCGTGACGGGGTGAGCTCCCGTTGCTTGGTCCCAGCTCCTGCCAACCTAGCAGTTCGAAAGCACATCAAAGTCCAAGTGGATAAATAGGTACCCCTCCAGCGGGAAGGTAAACGGCATTTCTGTGCGCTGCTCTGGTTTGCCAGAAGCGGCTTAGTCATGCTGGCCACATGACCCGGAGGTTGTGCACCAGCTCCCTCGGCCAGTAAAGCGAGATGAGCGCCGCAACCCCAGAGTCAGTCACAACTGGACCTAATGGTCAGGGGTCCCTTTACCTTTACTTACTAAGTATCTTTACTAGAGATAAGACATGCAAGGGTGACTATTTGAAATCCTTCCCATGCGTTTCTTTTCTTGTTTAAATAATACCCACCACCACTACCAAGTTGTCACATCTAATTTGAATATTTGTATTGATAGGAACCTCTCTGTCAGCAACTGCAAGGCTTTCCAATGGCCCTCAGAATTTTACCTGTGTTTCTTCTCACTTCCAGAAGTCAAATGGCTGTTCACAAAACCAAAGGAGGTTCCATTAAACATGAATGACACCCCAACAGCTCCTTTGTTGCCTGAGAGGTAAAACAAAACAAGAAACAGAGAGATTGAGAAATCAATCCAACCCCCAGGGCTAACTAGAACAGCAAAAGACTTCTAAAGTGGAGTAGCGGATGCAGAGAAGAGGAAACCAGAACAGCAGGACTTCACATGTGTAATGCAGAGTTCCACTGAATATTTTCTTCCAAAAGCTTAGGAAAGAAAGTGAAAGACGAATTTCCCTCTGCAATTGAACAAAGTTCTATTCTTCCAGTTAAGGATTTTTTCAGCAGAGCAAGAAACCCTACGGTTTTCATTGATGGGGCAGTTCCTGCAAATTATTCCTGTGAATAACACTGTAGTGGAAAAAGGATTTATATATATTTGCAAGGATGCAAGGCATTCCTGAATTCCCATCATACTCACATCTGATCTGACTTATGATGGTATCAATGGAATGATTTGTGGGAGCACATTGATGAGCACACCTCTAACACTGAGAGTACATTATTGCATGTGAGTACACTCGCACAAATCACTGTAGGATTATATCAGCTATTATAGTACATTTCCAAAGGATACATCAGTAATTTTGCTGATAAAGTTGAAAGAGGAAGCAGTGACTTTCAAGAGTGGTGATGAAAAGAAGCATATCTTAGGATACTCTTTCATATTCTGTTTCAGTCTTTGGCTTCCTCTCATTTATTTGAATGTATAACCTTTGAGATCCAATGTACGATTTTTTTTTTATTTTTTTTAAAAAGGATCTATGTGGCCCAAAAAGGGTAAGCCTGCCCTCCATACCTTCTGCCCTGGTAAGCCAGCAAGGCTTTGGAAGTGGTGGTGCCACTTCACACACAGAGACAACCCCAAATCACACCGTTAGAATAGTGCACAAATGAACCTTTGGCTCGGGTGCATGATTTAGGGAAGGAAATCCCATCGCTGGGAAGCAGGTACTGAAAACACCTCTCTGCATATCCTTCAACCTTTTGAGACTTGTTGTGATGAGAGTGTCTGTCAAGTACATTTTGTCCAAGCCTTACCCAGTCTGTTTGCAATTCCTGTCTTCACGTTGTCAATGCAGAGGTGGCTTATGCGATTCTCATGTTCTGGCTTGGCCAGGACAACAATCCTGATGTTCCAGAGGGTATGGATTGCTACCTAATCAGGAAAAAGGAAGTCAGCTGTCACATAGTTTGATGCAGCTGAACTGTAATATAGCCTAAAGCCATAGTAAAGGTTGTAGGGACACGGGTGGCGCTGTGGGTTAAACCACAGAGCCTAGGACTTGCCGATCAGAAGGTCGGTGGTTCGAATCCCTGCAACAGGGTGAGCTCCTGTTGCTCAGTCCCTGCTCCTGCCAACCTAGCAGTTCAAAAGCACGTCAAAGTGCAAGTAAATAGGTACCGCTCTGGCGGGAAGGTAAACGGCATGGTTCGCCAGAAGCAGTTTAGTCATGCTAGCCACATGACCCGGAAGCTGTCTGCGGACAAATGCCGGCTCCCTCGGCCAATAAAGCGAGATGAGCGCCGCAACCCCAGAGTCGGTCACGACTGGACCTAATGGTCAGGGATCCCTTTACCTTATAGTAAAGGTTATTTGTATTATGACAGACAGAGGTCTATACTAAATCATCTTCAAACATACCTCTGGTTCTCATTTTAGGGGAACGGCTGTAGTTCATTGACGAAGTACCTGCTTTGTATGCAGAAGGTCCCAGTTCAACCCTTGGCATCACCAGGTAGGGGTGGGAATATCCCCTATCTGAAACCCTGGACAGCTGCTGCCAGTCAGTGCAGACACTACTAAGCTAGATGTACCAATGGTCTGATTCAGTATAAGGCAGTTTTCTATTGTCTAAGCATGCGACCTAAATGAGAACGCTACTGAGTTGTAGGCCACATCCATGCTAAAGGACATTTAAAGCACATGACTTCCCCCAAAGAATCCTGGAGACCATTGTAAAATGTGAATGAGAATCGTAGCTTTTTGAGGGGTAAACTACAGTTCCCATTATTCTTCAGGGGAAACTTTGCGCTTTAAATGTGGGGTGTGACCCTCACTGTGTACAGAAATAAACTACTGAATGGAAGTTGGGTTCAAGATATGCCCTGCTTTTTGATAACAACTGGCACAGCATATTCCTGCTTCTGGGGAACAGCATTTATAGCAATGGCATAAATTCAAGTGAAGCACAGGGCGCCCCCCCCCCCCATATTATACCCAAACTATATTTTACCTAATATTAGAGATGAGAAGCAGAATCAATTTTGATCTTTAACATCCAGTGTAGAATGATAATTAGTGGCATAAGATTTTTGACCCCATTAAAATATGTGCTGTAGAGTGGCTGGGGAAACCCAGCCAGATGGGTGGGATATAAATAATAAAATTATTGTTATTATTATTATTATTAGGTGTCTAATATATCTAACAGCCTTCAGAAACAACATCTAAATTTTCTTCAAGAAGCAAGTATGCAGGCAATGTGGATGATATACATTGCTAGTGAAGTCTACTTTCCCTGTTTTGCTTTAAGCGTCAGAATAAAAATGTCTTTCCTTACCACTTTGAAGCTGATACTTGTAATCTCTTGCAAGGATTGTCTTAGAATCTCTTGCCATTCTTTCTCTCCCAGGGAGTCCTCCTGTGTGCCAATCACATAGATGTCATGTGGAATGTAGTCAGCTGTGTCATCTCGGGTCTTCCCCTGCCCCTTAGAGAGAAACCAGGAGCTGATCTTCTTTGGTGGAGGAGCATCACCTAGATGGACAAATCCAAAACCAATATGAAACTGATCCATCTAGTGCAGTATTGTAGTTTCCCCAGGCCTTCTCAGAGGTGCTAGAGACCTTCTGCATGCAAAGCAAGAGCTCCACCACTGAGCTGTCCCGCAACTCTCCACTAGCCTACAAGGAGATAGCTTTTATATGGTTTACTACATGCAGAATCTCACATGGACATGCACACATGGATAATATGCTTTGTGCCACATTTTATCTGCATTTCTCACCACCTCCTTTCCTAGCAGATGTTTAATTCAGCAGAAAAATCACTGTGGGGAGGGTTGTCCTTGTTGATTCCCCCACCCTGTCACCCAGCTCTTAGAAATAGGATCCTCCGTCAGAAAAGGAGTAGCCATTGAGGTGCCCTTGAGATGTTGTTGAACTCCCAACTTCCATCAGCCCCAGCAACACGGTCAATGGTCAGAGATGACGGAAGTCCCATAACATCTGGCAAACACCATGTTTGGATATTCCAAGAATAGATGAATCTGCCTATCTGATGATTCTCTTATACAAAAGAAGGCAATACATTAAATGACAGAGATGTTCAAGCAACAAAGGAGTATAGCAATGAGGGTAGCTGGCAAAGCTGTGATATGGTTACGTTAGAACCAAGCAGCACAAACATGCTAAACTTTATCGGAAATTCATTGAGATGAAACTTGTAGGAATCTAAACAGCAAAGATTGGGACACAAAACTAAAATGTATACCCAGGTTCCAGGTCCCAATGAAGATGGTGATCATATCAGGCTCTGGCTGCTCAGAATGCTTATTCTTCATCTGCTGTAAAAGTTGACAGAAGCCTTCTCTCTTCTAAAAATGGAAGAGCAAAATATAAAGAAACCTAGCTAATAAGATTACACTTGTTACACGGAGGCTGGAGCAAATTCCTCCCACATGGTGGCGTGCCATGTGGCAAGGACTGGTCATGCTGGTGCTGAATTTTGAAAAATTCAGATTCTTCTGAAGTTAAAAACCAGGATAAGTATGTGAATGCTTGGGTCTGGGGCAGCCAACATGGTGCCCTCCAGACCATCCAATAGAGGTCTAATGACTATTACAGTCTGCAATATCTGGAGAGTACACATTAGCTATGCATCCGTTCCAGTCATTCTTTTACTTAAACTACGTGACGACTGAAGGCAGTTCAACTAATTTCCACTAAGCTGCTCCAGAGCTGAAGTTTGTATTCTCCTTTCATCTATTACAATGAATGACTGAGATCTAATCTGCCAATTTCCTTGACCCTGTGCAAACACAAAGGATAAGCATGACTCATATTACTGCATAATTTTTATTACAGACTCACTTATGCTTAGGAAACGGTCTCTGGATATATTCTAGCTTTATTTGAACTGAATGGATGAGAGCCCTTAAAAGAATTCACTTAGTTTTCTCTTTGGTATAGGGTAGGGGGGGCCAATGTGGTGCCCTCCAGATGTTGCTGGACGACAACTTCCATGAGCCCAGCCAGCATGGCCAATGGTGAGAGATGATGGGAGAGTACCATGTTGCTGGCAAAGGCACACAAAGATGCCAACATTCTTCTCCAGAAACTCACATATGGAATATGTTATTGAATACCATTTAGGGGTGCCATCTCTTAGGAACGGAACCTTTTTTGGGGGGCCCAATGTTTTTTTGGGAAGGGGCCAGCCCCACAGTGTTCAAATGGGGTGGAGGAGACCAAGCCTGGAACCAAAAGTGGTGTGGCTTCAGTGGCAAGCTCCTTCTCCTCCACCTGGGGACTGGCAACCACCGCTACACCACTGACCAGTTTCTCTTACTGGGGATGGGGACAGAACTTGATTATTTTCTCTCTTTACTTTTTTCTCTTTTTAAAAAATAGCAAAATAATGTCATAAACAGCAATGCCTTGCCTGCGTTAAAGGGCTCAGTGCGCACAAGTACCCATAGTGAGGAATTTACCTTAGAATCAGCAAATACATATTCTTTTCGGTGTGTTTTCTCTTTTTCTGTTTCCAGTACAATTACCAGCTTGTTAGGAAACTTCTGAGACTTGATGAGCTGTAGAACTAAGAAGAAGCAAGAGAACACTGGTTCTGGCAGCACAAATTCTGAAATGAAATGTACTACAATGCTGATACATGTCTGTGTATATGAAGTTGTAAACTCCAGTGCTATTTATAACCTCCTGGTCTATGATGAATAAGGTTAGGTTAAAAAAAAATGACAGCAATTTAAGACTGAGCCTGAGGTACAAGTTTGTTATGGTTTCAAGGCCTAACTACTGCTGGAACACTTTCTGGTCATGAAACACTGAAGCTGCTCAGCACAAAGGAATATTGTGTAGGCTCTATGGCCCCAAACACTTGAAGGCCTTGCCCACACTAGAGTTTATTGAGTGTTTGCAGCTGTTTACTGAATGTTTGCATTCCTCTTTAATTTGTGTAGTCCACATGATACCCTCAACCTCAACATTTCACCCCTGTAAAATTGGGTTTATCTGATATGCAGCTAATCCAATAAATTGGGGAAAACCAGGTGCCCAACTGCTCTATTCAGTGTCACAGATTATTTGTCTGGGTGGGGTGTTTGGGGACGACGAGTCAATATTCCCTTTCTGCTCTCCCCTTTCCACTACTTCCTCAAAGCTTTCATTTCTTTTTCAGCTGTGTTTCTACCTATTTCCTTTGCACTCATGAATGAAGGGGTATGTGTGTGTCCCCCTCAGATTTGCTCAAACCCAGAAAACTCACAAGTAAGCAACTTTAAAAATTGTGCACTGAGAATTTATAACCGCCATTGTAAAACACATTTCCTGTACTGTTGGCTGCCAGATCTCTGGAATATCAGCAAAAATATTCAGTGAATCCCAGTGTTCTCACCCATCTCAAATGAGCCCAGTATCTTACTTTTATTGTGAGAATAGAACTTGTCTTCAGGGCCATCCTTAGCTTTCTTGATAATGAGTTTTCCTAATTCAACATCAACCTTAAGATGTATTTTGGATGGAATTCCAAGAGAATCAGTTTTCACCTATGAGAAAAGGAAAACATTATTCATAAGTGATCCCCCCCTACCATTTTGAATGAGATAACTAGCTCTTAACACTGCATACATGCAAACACACACACACACACACACACACCTATATATATCCAGTATGCAGATTTTCTTGCGGCATTGTACTGTATTGAGGAACTTTGGTTGAGTGAACATGGAATGTTATTTTTTTTAAGAAGGAGAGCACTGTACCCGTGAATTAAAAACATGGGTTTATAGTCAATGTAGGGCTAGGCAGATTGCTCCATCAGCACATTATTCTATAGAATGACCTCCCCCTCTTCTCCCACCCACCCCCAATTTGTTCTGCGGTTTTCTCCAAGCCTCCAGAACAGATTTGGGTCTAGAGCAGGACACACATCCTGGGGGAAGCAACGGTGGGCCCTCTTGTGCTAGTCCTAATTCTTGTGCTAACCCACAAATGACATTTAATACCACTCAACGTGCTGTTCTGACAGTCATGGTGCTTCTCTATAGCATTATAAAAACTTACTATACTACTGGAGGGGGAAAATAAAATTCACCTCAAAAGTTACAGGAGGGATAAGCGAACGTCGATGTGTTGAGTCGGGCCCTTCAATCAACAGTTTTTTCACCTGTAAAAATGCAAGCACATAGATTTCTATTTGAAAGTCCTAAACTGCAGTTGGAGGGATCCCAGATTAAGACAATCCATGTCATAATGTGCAGATCAGCAACGATAAATAAGCACTCTAATTTAGCGACAGAAATTCAGATTGTCAAATTAATTAGGAAGAAACAGATTATTATTACTGAGATTAAATTACTATATCACCCTTCATCCAAGGTTCATAGGGAGGTTTACAATACACAAATGCAAAAATATGTAACACAATATAAATAAAAAACAACTCCAGTTTAAAAGGCCATATACAAAAATACATACTAATGTAAAGTGTGCATTAAAATGCATCTATTAATGAAACTAGAATACAAAAATTCATTACATTAGGGGAAACTGCTTTCCAAAAATGTATATATTACATAAAATGTATATTTTAAGAAAAAATTTGCACTAAAATGTTGATGAATTTTCATGAGGACTTTAAAAATAATAGTGATCAACTGATGTGGAAATGCGGATAATTGAACATTGGAAAAAACTGAAGATTGGAAAAAATGAGAAACTGAGTGTCATTTGCTAAGGATGCTAAGAGTGGTTAGGGGACCCCTATTCTGTTCAAAGAGATGCAATTCCCAGAGCGGTTTTTAACCATCTATCCCTTTCCCCATGGAACTCTTGTAATTGTAGCTCTGTAAGAGGATCAGTTCTCAGCACCCTTTAACGAAGTACAGCTCCCAGGATTCTTTGGAGGGAAGCCATGACACTTTAAGGTGGTATGATACTGCTTTAAATGTATGGTGCAGTTGGGGCCCAGATCTATGGAAAGGAGATGCTTGGGGATTTAACCTATGCATTGTTTGAAAGGAAGGAGGCTAGACACCTTACAAGAGCTTTTAGTTCCTGGCTAGCAGAAGAAAACAGAATTTCATGTCAAAAGGTTTCTGGCCTCCCCACTCCCACCCTATTTCCCTCAATAAGCGCTGGGATAAAGAAAACATAGACATAAGAATGACAGGTGTGTGAATAAAGCTACTGGAAAATAAAGAGGGAGCAATGAAGAATTATTGTTTCCAGTGTTGAACTCATTACTTGGCCTTCAGCAACTGGTCCAAGAGTGGCTTACAACAGTTGAAAGTTCAGTATTAAAAACAGTTAAAACTAATTAAAACAAACATTGCCATACCTTGTCTTCAATGGAAGAAAGCAAGCCAGTCAACTGGACAAGTTTTCCACGGGTGGCATCACAAGATGGCTAGTAGAAATAATGCAGAAGAAGCAAAGTGTTAGGTACCAGTGAAGTAACTCCCTCCCTCCCTCAGTGGAAGCTTGAAATTGTACCACAAGCATAGATCATCTGTGATACGTGTCAGAAAAAAGAAAGAAAAGCCAGCACTGGAGTGCCTTATATTATGTCAGCAAGTCTCCTGCATCCTGAAACACGGCAGCCTGGAATTTAAGCGAATTTGCAGAACAGATAAATCAAAAACAATGCATTTCAAACTTGGCATGTTGGGCAGAGGAGGCTAGCGGGTGATGCAAAGGCAGTCTTGAGTCGAGCCATGTAGGAAAACTGAAATGGCGACATTTACAGAGCCACAGGTGGAAGAAGTACTTGGAACACCTGATATATGTGGGCTGATGGAAGGAAAGTCTTGCCAGAGGAATACAGAGGGCCCATCCAGATAACCTGCTTATTTAACATGCATCCTGATTTGCTTACACGGAGGTTGGACCATACCTGAGGATGCCAGGGATTGGATCCAGAACCTTTTGCATGTGCTTTGTCTCCAACTGCCCTGAAAATGCTGGGACCGTCATGAAAACCCTTAAGCCACCATGGCTTCTCACTATGTCATGCAGAGTCCAAAATTTTGCAAGCGGGGAAAGGGAGTGGGAAAGGGCAGGGGCAAGGGGAGGAGAAGGAGGTGGCCTGGCCCCTCACAGTGGCAGTGGTCATAGCCGCCAACCGTAGAGACTACATTGCTGATGGAAGCCTCGCAGTTTTAGCATATATCATCTAAGGCTCCAAGACATTTGCTGGTACAGTATTGCTACATACTCCTCTTGGCAACAGCCATTGGGGCAGTTCAGCCAGCATACCCTTTTTTCCATTGGCAGTACAGTGGTACCTCGGGTTAAGAACTTAATTTGTTCTGGAGGTCTGTTCTTAACCTGAAGCACCACTTTAGCTAATGGGGCCTCCTGCTGCTGCTGTGCCACAGCCGCACGATTTCTGTTGTCATCCTGAAGCAAAGTTCTTAATCTGAGGTAATATTTCTGGGTTAGCGGAGTCTGTTACCTGAAGCGTATGTAACCTGAAGCGTATGTAACCCGAGGTACTACTATACATGTATATAGGGGCTGCATGGGGGCAGCGGTGGAGCAAGCCGATCGGGTGCCTGGGGTGGCGTGCATGCCCTGCGCCCAGGAGCAGGCCCAGCCACCCATGGGGCGGGTGAGCCGGGGCAGGATGCCCTGCAGGGCCTCCGAGGAGTCTGCATGCCTCCTCCTACTCAGCGGCCCTACAGCTGAGGAGGAGGCGGTGGGTGGACCGTTTGGGGCAGCGCAGAACCTGCGGGTGCCCAAGCCACCATGTCACTCCCAGGAGAGACGTGTGGCTTGGGCGCGCTATAGGCCCCACAGTGAGTGCCACCCAGCATTTTGTTACCCCCCTCAGTGGTGACACCCAGGTCAGCCCGTCCCCACCGCATCCCCCCTTCCTCTGCCCCTGCATGGGGGACACTGTTGTAGAACAGAATGTCTCTATTTTCATCTGAGGAATGTTGGAAGGTATGCTATATCCCTTCCCCTAAAAGGGTGGTGAAAAACTATATACTGAGAGATGTAACAACAAACTTGCAGTCTTGGGCCTGAGGAACCTTGATGCACTTTACCTTATAAAACTGAGGAAACTGAGAACACAAATGTTAGCGCAGTGCAGCTGACCCTGCTCCAAAGCCTGCAGTGTGCTCCATCCCTTGGAGTCAAGAAACAAGTTATTTGGCATAATTATGCAGTAAGTGCTTTCCCACATCGCCTGCCAGTTTGATGCTCTCATTTCAACCTGCTCCACCTCCTGCCTCCTCCAGCAGATCATACCTGAGAATGTCGATGGAGCCCTGGAGGCAGCTGCTGGTCAAACACCATCTGTAAGGACTCCAGAGAAGGAAGAGTCCGAGACACCTCACTGAAAGCAGAAAGATATGAATTTGAGATTTGTGGTCATAAGAACCTCTCCGTGTAGTGCTAGACAGACAAGCTGTTGCTAATCAGCCCAAAAGAGTCTGCTTGAAATTATGCCATGCTGATTTTCAGTAGCACAAGCTGCAAAGGTCAGTCTTTAGAAACCTGAATTTAGTTCTATGATGCATTGCTAAATAAGCAAGAAGCTCTAAAAAAAATGCAGGTCTTCAATACAGGATGTGACTGTGTGGGTAGAACTGCAGAACTGATAACAAGAGTTAAGCTGATAGTAATTCCCATGTGTGCTCAAAAGGGAAAGGAACATCTATATTTGTCGGTCAGATTCTGCAGCAAACAGAGTAGTCTCCCACCAAAAGGAACATGGTTTTGCAGCAGAATTGCTTCAGTAAACTAGCCTTCAGGAAAGGCTTAACATACAAATTCTGTACACGCAGAATTTCCCTGTTAGCTACCAGTCTAAATGTGCCTCCAGAGTCCAGACTAACTTGTGTTTACCTGAAAAGTCCTTTGCAAAGTGTTGCAAGCAATTTCTTCAGCTGAGGGAGATTCCAAGGCGCTTGCTGTACTGTCTCAAGATCACTGGTGACATGAACTCGCAAATAATCCTGGATGAGTTTGAAGTGCTCTTCTGGAATACTGTGAAGGAAAGGGGGGAAACTGCTTGGAAGACCACTAAGGCTTATGAGCTTGCAAATGGGCAAAATATCGTAGTGAATGAGAGCTAGTGTGATATCAGACCTGAGAACAAAGGGGAGGGAGGGAAGCAGGGGAGGCCACTGTGGCAGGGAAAAGGTCCCAATTCTGACGCCTATCCTTTAAAAAATGATGATTTTTTTTTCTAAGGAAGGGAGCTGTCTGGGGGGAAAGCTGCCAACACCACTTCTGTAATGGTAACTCACAATCATATAGTGATTTGGGGAGTGTTCAAACTACTTCGTTCAAACTACTTTTTCAAGGTAGGTAAATAATGCAGATAACAGGGGCAATAAAAAGTGAACAAAAAACTTCGTGCTGTAGGCAAGAATTAAAGCAGGGGCACCTTGATTTGTAGCCCAGTGCTGCACAGCTTGGTCCTATGAACCTTTACTCAGAAGTAAGTTCTGCTGAGCCCAATGGGACTGACTCCCAAGCATGTACACAGACGACTGCAGCTGTGACCATGATGCTCCACCAGCTATTTATCTCTTTCTTGTTCATTACTATGTTATGTATGAGTAACTCCTTATACTGAGGGAAGGAAGGCGTCCTTCCTGTCTACAACCCACACAAAAACAACCCTTCTAACCTTTTCCTGAGAGGACTCCCAGCCAGCTCATTTAGCTGCCATCTGCAAAATAATTTTGAGCCCCACCCTCTTATCAGGTGGCAGATTTTTGTGTTTGCAGTATTAGGCTATCAAGTTCAAGTTCAAGTTCAAGTTTATTGCGGCCAAAGCCAGTGACACTAAACATCCCAAGATCAGACAACAAGAAATCAGCAACAACTTCAGAAAAGAAAAAAAGGTTACACAAGGGAACTTCGCAGTGTGCCATTCAACAGAAGAGATTTACGTTTCTTAATTACTAAAGTGCAAAATTTAGCCACCTCATATGATACTGAGCTTGAGGAATCTTCCAGGAGGTATTTTCGAAGAATTTCAGGGGAGGATTCCAAATAATATTGAAGGGGTATAAATTTTGATAGAAGCGGTAAAATAAGTTGAGCTCTGTTCTTCACTATAGAATTCGCAAGATAGAAGAATGTGTGTGACAGATTCTACCTTATTAGACATACAAGGGCAGAGACGCGCATGCATTGGAACCCGCGTGAATTTGCCGTACAGCACTGCTGAGGGCATTGTCTCAAAGCGGGCTCTAGAGAAAGCCCATCTATAGGCTTCGCTAGTGATGTTGGTTAAGTAAGGGGCAGCTGTAAAATTAGGCCAAGCTTTTAAACATCTATACGTCTCTGGGAGTAGGGCGCCTTCTTGTTGTAATTCGATATCATAAAGTCTCCGAGTAATAGTAGCTTTTGCCTTGTTCAGAGTTCCAATAAAAATATTTTCAGGGTTTAGGCCAATTTGTTTGATCTTGTTAGTTATTTGCATAAGCCAAGGAGGATAGGGAACTGCGGCCAGGAAGCAAGGTAATAGACCCTTAGGATTGTAATGGATTTTCAGCCAGAGGGATATTGCTTGTTCCCAGACTTTTAATTCCACTCTGGGCAGTCCTGCCTCTTGCCTTAAGACTGCATTAGGTGTACACTTAGGGGTAGCAAATAATGATCTTAAGAATTTAGATTGTACTGTTTCAAGAGTCTTAAGGTTGGCAGAGGGGCTAATTTGAGAGCCATATAGAAGTTGGGCTAAAGATTTTGCCTGAAAGACTGTTAGGGCCATCGGGAGGAAGCCAGCTCCTTTCCTTCTGAATAATCTAAGGATAGCATTTGCACTTCTTTCTGCTGATATAGCTGATGTGGTCAAGTGTGCTGAGAATTTGGCATTATAAGAGAAAGTAATGCCTAAATATTGGAAGGTCTTAGTCTGTTCAATGGCGTTTCCCTTTACGCTCCAATTATCCTTCCTGAAGGAGCGGTTAAAATGTACAATTTTGGTTTTGGCAAAGTTAATTGTTAGCAGTTCAGTGTTACATTGGTCACTAAACTTTCCTAAGGCACGTTTCAGACCCACTTTGGTTTGAGAGAGAAGAACAGCGTCATCCGCATACATTAAAATTGGTACTTTTCTGCCATTGGAGAACACAGGGGGGTGGGTTTCAATTTCACGGCAGCATGTGACCAGGGAGTTAACATAGATGTTAAATAGGAATGGGGCTAATAGGCATCCTTGTCTAACTCCTCTTTGGACTGGGATTTCTCTAGAGAGTCTGCCGTCCTGTGCAAGTCTTATCTGGAGGGTATTGTTCTCATGAAGCTTAATCATCAGAAGTAATAACCTTCTGTTAATACCCATATTGGCCAATTTGGCCCAGAGCCTGCTCCTAGATACAGAATCAAATGCTGCCTTTAGGTCCACAAAGGCCGCATATAATGACTTTTTCCAATATTTCGCATACTTATAGACAAAGTAATCTAACACCAAGCAGTGATCAATGGTGGAACGTCCGGGTGTAAACCCTGCTTGTTCAATTTCTAGCAAGTTGTTATGATCTAACCATTCCCATAATTTTAGGCATAGATGTTTTGTATAAAGTTTACAGATCACATTCAGGAGACTAATTGGTCTATAATTAGATGGATCAGAGGGGTTGCCCTTTTAAATATGGGAACAATTATAGCTAGTCCCCAATCTTTAGGGATTTCAGTTGTCTTGTCTATATATGCAAATAGATTTGCAAGGACCGGGGCCCACCAGTTTATTTGCGCTTTCAAAAGTTCAGCGACAATGAAATCACTTCCTGGGGCTTTGCCAGATTTCATTTGTAGAATTAGCGAAGCGATTTCAGTTTCAGATGTTGGGGGCCATGGTGTATCATTATCTAAGGGGATGTTAAGCGGCGCAGAAGGACGATCTTCCCTAAACAGCACTTTATAGTGCTCTTCCCATGAATTTGCAGGGATTATTGTGCCCTCATTAGGAGCTTTGGTTTGACTGGAGATAATTTTCCAGAAATTAGAATTGTCTTTTTCTATTGACGCTTTTATGAGGGCCTGCCAGATGAGAGAGTCTGCGGTTCTTTTTTTGGTTTTTAATAACTCTTTGTAGTTCTTTTTTTTAAGTTGTAACTCCAATTTAGTGATAGGGTTAGGATTTTGCTGGAAGACCTTAAAGCATTCCCTGAGTATAAGTTTTGCCTGAGTGCATTCGTGGTCAAACCATTTTTTGTTGGTAGGGAGTCATTTTGGTTAGATCTTCTGGGTCTTGACAATAACGGTTGGAGTTTTCGGATTAATGTGTTATAATGGTCAATTGGGGAGGTCTCTTCAGTGTCGTTGGAAGTCAGATCAGCCCAGAGGAGTTGACCTTCCATTGATTGTGTCCAAATACCAAAATGGTTATTAACATAAGGGGACCATTTAATTCTGGATCTACCTATTTGTTGTAAAGCGCTAGGATCAGGAGTCTGCGGGGCAAGCCCACATCTAGAGGGTTCCCAAAATTCAGTCCTTTTAAGATTTAGGGGTAAATGGTCACTTTCGGTTCTTATATCTACAGTAAATTCAATATATTCATCGAAAAGTTCTTGGGAGACAAGGATGTAGTCAATAACAGAATGCCTTAGGCCTGACCAGTAAGTAAATTGGCCAGGGCAGTCCCCCGAGGAGAGGCCGTTTAAAATAACAAGGTTTAATCTAAGTGCCATTAAAAAAAAGGCATGTACCAGCAAAATTGGTGACTGGGTCAAGTGAGTGACGCCTGAATAGGGGCCAATATTCATCATTAGCATTTAGGGGACCCATTCCACTTTCCTTGATTAACTGTTCGTCTGAGTGGCCTAGCCTTGCATTAAAATCCCCACCAATAATTAAGGAGGCAGAGGGAAACTTATTTGAGACAAGGAGAATGCAGTCTTCCAGTTCGTTCCAGATGTTTTTAAGATCAGTTTGTTTCATAAGTGGGTGAATATAAACATTGATGCATATGATCTTAAAATGGGTGGAGAATATTTTAACGGCCAAAATCCATTTTTTATCGATTTTCAATTGGATAGGGGAGGCTCCTAGATCTGTCGATACGAAGGTGCTCAAACCTCCCGCCGGTCTTCCGCCTTTTGGGCCGATTGAGGCAGGGGAATGGAAAGCAAAGTAATTGTGTAGTTCGAAAGGATTTTGCATCCAGGTTTCTTGGAGCAGGATGATCTTGAACTGTGATACGTAGGTTAAAACGTCTTTGTCCCTTGTTTTCGATTGCCATCCAGCAACGTTCCAGGATAGTAGTAGGGGTGAGAGTCATTTTGTCTCTTCAATAGCATCTAGTGTTATCACCTTGTCGTGGAAGATGCAACCATTGGATGGTTGAGTCTCCGGTAATGTGATTAGGGGCGCCACAGAGATTTCGGCGTGGATTTCAGATGGGCAGAGTAGAGGTGTGTGTTCTGCCGTGACCTGAGGAGATTCATGACCCATTTTTCGCTCCAAGTTAGGTGGAATATTTGCCTCTTTTATGGGCGCTAGATCTTCAAAGTTGCGGAGATAGAGTAATAACTCATCTAGTCTGTCCGTTATCTCTGTTTGTTCGGCTTTTGGCAGATGGGAGAAGGAGACAAGTAATTCCTGCTCCATCGAATTCTCAAGATGAGTAGCCTTTGATAGGAGGGGCATGGGGGTCTCTGTCCAACTAATTAAGTCTGAGGGTGGAGAGGTAGAGCTCGTAGTAGATGGAATGCCCTCATTTTTAATTGCTTTCCTTTTAACTGGAGAGTAGGGAATAAGAGGGCAAATCTTAGTGTTGATAAAAACTCTTGTGATAAAAATTCTATAATTAGTCAGGTAGCTTCGTAAGGACATCATATAAGTTGGAAGCTTTTAGAATCAAAGGTGAGCAGTATCCTCTGCCTGTGTGGCTTGCTGTAAATGTGGACAGCGGATTTCAGATCGATGGAAAGAGGATCTATGCCCAGAAGCTCAGCCAAATGCCTTCTTGCGACATGTGTAGACGACCAGTTAACAACCTGACCTTTGAAGGGAAGGATAATTAAACAAAGTCTAGTGGCTTGTAACGAAAGATTATAGGAAGATATGGTGTGTGAATCTTCCATAGATTGTTCTGCTTTCAGTTGCAGCCAGTGTTACGAATAGGGGTACCTGGCTTGGTTCAGCCCTATCCTGGTAAACGTCTACAGGGCTGACATTCACTTTGGTACAAAGGATGATATTTAAGGCCTTGATGTTCTTATATATTTAAGTCAGCACGGTTTTAGCCACTAGGTCTAGTGAGAGTGTTCACAGTAATTAGAGAGTTTCTTATCATCTTCCCTGAAGGGCATAGTTGGAGCTTGGGCCTTGTCCGTGGATTGTTTAAAGTTAATGGTTGTTTAGTGGGTGGTTCTTCGGTAATTTTATATTATCCTAATGGCGAGAAACTGTAGTCGGATATTAAAAATGTCCTTTGTTTTCATGAAGAATGATTTTGGTTTGCGAACACATTTGGTCGTTCTTCAACCTGCTGCTGATTGCTGGTCCTCTCCCTTTGCCTCTATCCCCTAAATTTTCAGGGATTTTCCTTGAAAGCTATCAGGCAAACACAGAGCTGACCACTGTGGGGGAATTAGGGTTGACAGCCTCCTGTACCTTTTATATAGGGACAAAAAAGAGAATTCCACCGCGTGCAACGTCTCCTGTTACTGCAGCACCTAGTAAAAGGATCTCCCTTGGGGGCTCTATTCAAAATGGCTGTGATAAGCAAAACACAGTAAAATACGTTTCTAGACTTACTGTTTCTACTTCCTCAAATAAATGAATGGCTAGATCTCACCTGCTGGTGTCTTGGTGCTGTAATCGCTGGAGCAGCGTCTCAGAAAGGGATGGTTTGCTCACTTCCACCACCTGGGCATGTTCATTTGGAGAAAGATCTTCTTTTGCCTCAGTTGCCAGAGGTGGCACTGACATGCTGCGTGGAGGTAATAGAGGCGGCACAGGTATAGGATCTGGCGCAAAGGGGAAGGAAAGAGTAAGATCCAAAAGCTCTCCAGCTGTCTTTCCATGCTACTTTTAAATGGCTTTTTGAATTTTCAGTTGGGTGCTATTCTGAGGGTATCTGTGCTGTACTCTGTGTAAGTCAACAGAATTTTCGTTGGCTTAAGCTAAGCCAGCATATGTTGCCCCGATGTCCTGAGCCTGGCAGTGGGAGAACAAACCTTTAAGAGTTTTACTTATACCACCCTTTTGGCTGGCCTAAGTTCTGCTAGATTGCCAGGTCATGTGATAGGACTGAAAGAGCTTTGAAATAGGTGTAAGTCTCTCCTTAACCTGCCCCACCCTACCCCACCCCCAAAACAGTTACACCCATAGGTTCCACAGGCTTTCATTCCACTGGCTAAGCACTGGCTGAGCCAGACAGCCCAGTATCTGCCTATTCCAAACTCGCTCATTCTGGAAGATCTTGGGTTTTGATTGCACTGTTAAGAGGATTCAAATCCCCACTCAGCCATGAAAATCACTGGGTGACCATGGGCCAGTCACTGTCTCTCAGCTGGTTTATGCCACGGGGGTGCTCTGAGGCATAGGAGCCAACTGCTAGGAGCCAAGGTCCCTTCGCCCCCCCCCATAAAATATTTGAGGGGGTCAGGGCCCCCCCCCAAAGTTGATGGGCATTGACACTGAAATGGTGTGCATGTACCACATCATGTGATTAATTATGTGGGGTGGGACTTACCTCCCCCCCCATATTTTATTCAAGTTGGTACCCCTGCTCTGAGGATACAAGGACTGGGGGAACACCCCATGTACTCTTGAGCTTCTTAGAGGAAAGGTGGGATATAAATGAAATAAATCATTTTACATCTCATGGTAGACTGACATCAGCGAACACACCCAGCAAGCAGTGGAAAAAATTACATCCTTGCAAAATATATTCTCTTGGGAACCAAATATCAATGAAGAATTCACAAATTTCACAGCCAGAGCTAGGAAGGCTTTGAAGAGGTTTCATGTACAATGTATACCTTCAGACTACAGTGGAAGTATACAACCTTAATTACCAGCTTCCTTTCTTTATGCTTGCAGAGCAATCAAAATACAGCTGGCATATTAAGAAACTGAACCATTTAAATTTAAGTAGTAGATTAGAATTTTTCTTTAATGATCTTGCTGAATTGTCAAGAACTGCAGCCATGGTTATGAAAACTTAGCTGGAAGCAATATGGTATTTTAAAAGTAGTGTGGTATTACTTTTCAGACTCTTTCCCCAGCTAACTTTGGTTGCTTCTGCCTTAGCTGTTTTGTCAGCAACTGCCAAGCTTCATTTACACACTTTTTACACAGAATATAGATGACCCATTTCATGCCAGGTTTTTCTGTGTTGTCGTTTTTCAGACCTGATTTGTGGTGCTTGCTGTCACTTTAGATGCAATAGCAGTGTCAGCATCTTCATTACAGACTGGTAAACGGTTACTGGGTTTTTTCCAGGACTACTGGGTTTTTTCCAGGACTACTGTGCCTTTAACTATATAAGCTTTGTCTTCGTGACTTCTGATCCTGTAATTGCTTTCTGTTCCATGAGGGCACAGCAAACTGAACTGCCTCTCAATTAATCAGTGTTTCTCTTCCTGAAGCGAGAGAGGGGTGTGTGTGATTGAACTATTGCTTTCCATTTTTTAAATTATTCTTATTATTTTGTTTTAAAATGGTGAAATAGTAATTCAAGGCCCACATTGGTAGGACACATAAACAAAATATTAAACAACATTTGAAACAACTATTTTAATTGCAGTTCCAAATGACTGTACTGTATAAAAATTACGTTTTAGCAGTACTAAATGACCCCGGTGCGGAAGCTGCCTTCTGCAGCTTAGAAGTACAAAAGAACATTTAAAACTAAGGATTTGCTGAACCAACAAACTGAATTGGAATACAAAGAAGGGAGGTATGAGGAGGTCTGGGGAAATAAGAGTAAGGAAGATAGGTTATGGAACATTATTGTGTTTTTAACTGTTTTATTTTGTATGTTTTTTCTTACTTTTTACTTTTTTGCTGTAATTTATACTTTTTTCTTTGTTTTCTGTATTTTTGTGAAACTTTAATAAATATCATTTAAAAAAAAACACAAAAGAACATTTAAAACTGAAGCAAGAAACTTTAATGAACAAAGAACAATGAGTGTGCTAAGTGAATGAGAAAAATCGGAAATAGGAAAAGAATTATAGATGCAACAAAAGAAAATTGAAAACGACACCTCTGTGGAAGTACTGAACTAAATATGCCTTTGTTATAGAGAATTTAAAATGCACAGCCAATGAACCTTAAATCCATTACAGGATATGTAGCAGCTTATTCCTGTTACTTAAAGCAATTAGCTGTTGTATAACATTATGTATTACCCTAAGCAATGAGTCTAAGCAATGGTCAAAAGGGCAGATATTTAGAAAATTAAGAACAGTTTAAGCTGTTGTCCTGCAAACTTGCAATAATAATAATAACAATAATAACAATAACAACAACAACAATAATAATATTGCCTAGACCTGCACAAAACTTGTGCAAGGTGAATGCAAGCAAGCAGCAAAATCAGGACATTTATTGAGCCCCTAAGAGGCTGGTCACCATATATGGACTACCTTTCATTCAGTGAGTCAAAATTTCTACTGGCATGGCTTATATATTTGTGGTACTGCCCACCTGCTCCTTGAAGTAAGTGTGTGTGTGTAAGAAAGACAGCCTTTATAGCGGGGCAAAGGCTAACAATTCCTTCTTCAACTGATGGGTTTTATTGATTAGGTCTGGACAATTTAACACTGTTATTTCCAATAAACTGACAATCTTGGGAGCACAGGCTTCTGTGTTTTGAATTTCTTACCCATATCCTCCTCTGGCTCCTCTGCTGCCTCCTCCTCTTCCTTCTGGACTGGAAATTTAAGGCTCCGGATCAGACCCATATTCTCTTTCTTGTAAAACTCTATCAGATCATCCAAGTTGTTGAAATACTGCACTGGAACACCTTCAGATGCCTGAAAACACCCCACAAAGAACAGATGTCAAATATTGCTAAATATCATTCCCACCAAAAGAAAGAAAGAGCATATAGTGGTGGACAGTAGTAAAATGAAAGCTCAGTCCACACAATGTCACATCCTTTGTCATCTTTCCAATTAAGTCTCTGGCACTACAGCAGCTAGGGATGATCAGAAATGGAAACAGAAACAGCCACTGCCACAATTCACATGTTCGTCTAGAGTCAGGAATGGAAATCATGCAATGAATACAAGCAGTATTTGCTATTGTTAATTTTTTTTTAGTCCATAAATGTTATGCAACCAATTATCTGCAGTTTGTTAAGAGTTGCTCTGTGAGGGATAAACTACAGTGTCCAGAATTCTTTGAGGGAAGGAATGTGTTTCAAATGTACTTTAAAGGTATGGTGTGTGTGTGCATGCAGACCATTATCAGCTATAGCCCATTGCCTCCCCAGGAACAGTTTTAAACAATGGGCAGCTGGTTAACTTACTTACATACAGAGGAACTCTGTCTTCACAAGCAAATAGCTAGATCAAGAGTGTACCCCTCTGCCCTCTTTCGTCAGAAGCATAAAGCCCCATTAAACTCAGTGGGGCTTATTTCAGATGAGACATGGATAGGATTGCACCGTAGGTACATCAGACCAGACAAGCACTCCTGTGTTTCAAAGGATACAAACCTATGTAAAACCTTCTCTTCAGATGAGTCAGGCTACATACACAACAAATATTTAGGCACCCCCAAAGAATCCTGGGAATTGTAGTTGCCCCCTAAAGAACTGTTAACAAACTACAGTTCCCTGGATACAGCCTAAGTCAGCAGTGTGCATTTCCCCCTCACACTTGCCTATGCCTTAAAGGAGAAAAAGTAGAGGTTTCCCATAAAATTTTCTGGTACAAACAGATTATGGAACAGCCTTTATGTACAGTGGAACCTTGACTTACATACAGCTCTGCTTACATACAATTCCACTTATGACCTTCAGTAGGTGCTTCGACTTATGAACTTTCCTCTAAATATGAACACAGGCCTTGCTGGCAGCCTGGCCGGCTGCAGAGCAGCACTGGGGCCTCCGTCGCCGGGGAGAGGGCCCCCATCCCACCCCCGAAGCTGTGGAAGAGGTGCCGCCTGCAAGAGGAACAGCAGGGCGCACTGCAGCCCCAAACCCCGCCAAAGAACTAACCTGAGGAAGTCCAGAGAAGAACCTGGCCTGGCAAGAAAAAAAAGTGCCCCTGGCCGAAGTGAATCAGCTCTTTACTGACCCTTGCCCCACCCCCAGCTTGTAAGGTAAGCCAGTCCACCCTCAGTGCACGTAAGAAAAAAATTAAATGTTTATTTTTTTCATCTACAATACTGTCTTATTTATTTTATAGTATAGTACATTGATCATTGCCTTCATTTTATGGATCTATGGTCTCGTTAGACAGTAAAATCTGTGTTAAATTGCTGTTTTAGGGGGTGTTTTTCATCGTCTAGAACAGATCAATTCACTTTTCAAATACTTTCCATGGAAAAGTGTGCCTCTACTTATGTACGTTTCTAGTTATGACCGGACCTCCGGAATGGATTATGGTTGTAAGTAGAGGTTCCACTGTATAGGCATTTCATTTGAGAAAATAATCACAAGAGTTTCAGTTTCTTCAATTCATTGATAAGGGATTTACTTCCTTGTCCCTTAAATCAGATCACTGTTGTCCTTTCCTGGCTTTCAGCAAACAGAAGTTTATAATCTATGCACCATAATATTTCTATTCTGGGAAAAAGAGTGCTGTGGCAGCAACCAATCTGTCTGGGCTGATTTCCATTTACTGCAGGCACAATCATTTACTGGTTCGCCTTATTCTCTCTCCCCCCCCCTGCTTTTAGCTTCCATTTACTACCACAGTAGTAGCATTTTCATTCCCCTTCCTCCATCACTTCTTTTAGACAACATACTAGAAAAATTACCAGAGCTAAAGCCAGGAAGCAGATCCAAAAAGAAATCTCCTATTTCAGCCACTTCACACCAATATTCTTGGATCCTCTTACACTCCCACCACAAAAGAAAATTGTCAGCATTTGTACTCATGCATCTCCATCATATCTTTGCATTCATTCTGCAGAACGTAATTAATTTTGTAGCCAAGAGGCACCATCCATATGAAACCTTAATAGAATTGTCTCTCAGACTTGTAGAAACTGAGTAGCTGCTTTCAGTGTGTGAAAATAACTTGCCACATTTCTTCTGAAATTACTGGTTCACAAATATTAACCCTACTTAACCCTACTCAATCCCTTTCACCTTTACATTGGTTCATCACTACACATCACTACACAACAATAGCTTGTAGACGGTTGGCAAAAGCACTTTGGGGGATTTTAACCTCGACAATGTTTTTTCTAGCGCACATTCTTGATCTGCTTATGGTGTGTGTCTCCTATATCAATCACTGCAGCGGCAGCCCATCTATTACGGAAAGTAGGGTACTGCTCTACCAACCTCAGCCAGCCCCCATCTATTTTCCTTTCTTCCTACTTATCTTCTTCCTAGTCTCAGTGTTACCCTTGTAGAAGGGAAGAGGATGGGGACAAAACTAGAATTAGTTTATTATCTCTCTCTCTCTCTTGTTAAGGCCACATTCACACCATAAATTTAAAGCACTGTAATACCACTTTAAACCACCATGGCTTGACCCAAAGAATTATGGGAGCTGTAGTTTGTTAAGGGTGCTAAGAGTTGTTAGGAGACCTCTACAGTGGTAGCTCAGGTTAAGAACTTAATTCGTTCTGGAGGTCTGTTCTTAACCTGAAACTGTTCTTAACCTGAAGCACCATTTTAGCTAAATCTGTAACCTGAAGCGTATGTAACCTGAAGCGTATGTAACCCAAGGTACCACTGTATTCCCCCTCACAGACCCACAATTTTCAGAGTTCCCTGTAAGCAAGATGAACTTTTAAGAGAATTGTAATTTTGTGACAGGAATAGGCATCTTGTAAGTTAACAACCCTCAGCACCCTTAACAAGCTGCAGTTCCAAAAATTCTTTGTGGGGAAGCCATGACTGTTTAAAGTGGTATGGTGCTTTAAAAGTACAATATGAAAGCAACCTGAGTCTGGCTCCACCTCCTTTTTGGGCTCCCTGCCTTGTACCCTACCAGTCACAATGGGCACCAGCCACCCCTGAATTCCCACCCCCACCAGAGAGATCAGTCCTTCCTCAGTATGGCTTGGAGACTGGAGTGCACATAGCAATATTTATCCCATACAGACCCAGTGAAAATACCAAAAAGTGCTATTAGTGTCACCAGGGCTGCAGCAAAATCTTGGGGAAAATATTGATTACATTTAATATAAACCATCTATGTAAGAATGTGGAAAGTTGAGGAAAAACGTGAACAACATAGATTCTGGCTCTGGGTGTTTTTACTTTTTTAAATTTAATGAGGAACAGAAATGGAAACAAGCAGTGGAAGCAGAAGTGAGAAATGCACAACCGCAGAAAGCAAGCTGGGATGACGGCTGAGGTCCATGAGAGTCACTATCTTTAGTAGTCAAAAATTACAGTTTCAAAAGACAGTCTCTTTTCTCCCCCTCTGCTCATGTTTGAAATGCAAGCCCAAATATATGGGCACAGCACACTTGCTCAATGTGTAGAATAAGGCTTAAAGCTAACACAGAGAAGCTGATCAGGGGGAATTGCTTCACCGATGTGTTTTAGGGTCATCTAGCCCAAGTAAGCCAGATCACACCATCAAGCACATGGCTTCCATCAAGGAATCCTAGCAACTGTATTTTACAGAGCTGTAATTCCCAGCACCCTTAACAAACTAGAGTTCTCAGGATTCTCTGGGGAAAGCCATGTGCTTTAAATGTATGTTTTGGATGTGATCTGACTTACTTGGGCTAACCATGTGTGGATCACTATATAACTGTGAAGGTCCACACTCCGTACCTAAGACATGCATAGGGATATTTGCCACATGGAGCTGGGAGCCATTAGCAGAACCACTAATTGGCAACTGGGATGCGGGTGGCGCTGTGGGTAAAACCTCAGCGCCTAGGGCTTGCCGATCGCATGGTCGGCAGTTCGAATCCCCGCGGCGGGGTGGGCTCCCATCTTTCGGTCCCAGCTCCTGCCCACCTAGCAGTTCGAAAGCACTCCTAAGTGCAAGTAGATAAATAGGTACTGCTTTATAGCGGGAAGGTAAACGGCGTTTCCGTGTGCTGCGCTGGTGCCGGCTCGCCAGAGCAGCTTCGTCATGCTGGCCACGTGACCCGGAAGTGTCTCCGGACAGCGCTGGCCCCCGGCCTCTTAAGTGAGATGGGCGCACAACCCTAGAGTCAGACACAACTGGCCCGTATGAGCAGGGGTACCTTTACCTTTACCTTTAATTGGCAACTAAAAAAACCTCATCATTGCCCACTCCCAATATGCCCCTCTTCCACCGCATCATGTCTACTAAGAACTCTTCAGTAGCAGTCCCAGGTTTCCAGCTACTTACTGTGTAACACTCCCCTTTCTACATGCCACTGTTTGCTCTCCAAATTCCCCAAATGCCAACATTTGATTCACTGGATCCACTATCCATTATCCAGACCTTTCAATCTGACTTCAAACCAGGTTTTGGTACAGAAACTACCATTCAGTGCAGATGTAAAATGCATGGCTCCACACATTAGAGCACATGGCCCCCCCACCTCAGAATCTTGGGAACTGTAGTTTGTTAAGGGTGTTGGGAACTGTAACTCTGTGAGGGGGGAAACTACAGTTCCCAGGATTCTTGGTGAAAGATATGTGCTTTGAATGGTGTGGTTCTGCCCTTGTGGTCACTGGATGGATAGCAGGGGGAATTCCACCCTCTCTGTATCATTGAGACCTGCACTGTAAATTTTAATAGAATGGGGTGGGGAGTTGATGTTGAGGTGTCCACTAGCAGCCAGTTTCCATGGCCCCAAATATCATCTCTGTGGAGTGTAGCTAAACTGCCACAGACAATGATGCTGTCAGAGCAGGACAGGACTGAGGTCAGGTCTTCCCCTCAACAGAATAAGCAGGAGGGATCCCAAATGCAGCAGAGCTGTCATAAGACGTTCTGAAGTGAAGCAATACACATTAACTTGTAAAAAAAAAAATCCCTCCCCGAGTAAGGCCACCGAGTTTAAAATTATCTTACTGCACCACAGGCCAGAGAATGCACTTTAGACCTCAGTAAGCCCCTTGGGCAGAACCCCAAGAGCTGGAGAAGTGAGATCTCACCAAAAATAGCTGTCGTAGCCACTGCTTCACAAGCACCACCATCAACTTATGTAAAGGAGGCTTTGGCGGAGGGGCCTTCGGTGGTGGTGGGACAGCAGTGGGATGGCAGCTTCCTGTTTCACCTCAGGTGGCTAAAAGGGACAGGCCGTCCCTAGGTGCAACAAGCTCTGCCCCCTACTGTGGGTGGGAAACACTGAGATAGCATTTGATTGGAAGTGCTCATGTGTGGGTGAACATGCACAAAAACGCACATGCGCATTAGTAGTCTGGTGAGTGTGCGGCCTCAGTGTGTGTTTGAGTGGGTGAGAGGGAAGGAGCTATAGCTGCCTGTGAAGCAAGGAAGCTGGGGGGTGGGGAGAGAGAAAGCTGTTGGGGAGGGAGAAAAGGTTATGCAGGCCCTGCTCCCCCCTCCCCTGCCAGATATGCTTTTGTAAACATCGTTTACTAAATCTAAGAGCCCTGAAACCCACTTTGGGCAAAGCAATTCCAGAAGCCTATCACAGTAATGTGACCTTAAGATGGGACTTGCAGCTGGAAGAAAAAGCTGTTTCCCAAAATACAAGCCAGCCACAAGTTTAGACTATTTTAAATGCAACTTTGCGGGTGGAAAGGAAAGTGGAACTGAATGAGGATGACAGGGGGAGTGTGAGCTTTGTTGGTGTGGCTGACAGCAAGCTGTGCTCATTACTTGTACCGAGGTTTAGCTGTTCCTAAAAGCCAATGTGTCGAAATCTCATGTTCATCTTTCTACAAAAGTTCTCACTAACAGCAGATGAGGTAAACCTGTTTCTGGGCTGTACCACTGTAGACTGAGTGCACGAAAATGTCCCTTTAGATAGAAACCTAGCTTTCTAGAAAGAAGTCTAGGCTAGAAAACTTTCCTTTCACATCTAATTTTTTGATAGGGGATTTTTGTATGCAGGAAAAGTCTGTCATATGAACCCCCGACCTGCATGGACAACCTGAAGTGGGCACAGAAGGGAAGCATTTTTTACCTTCTCTGCTGTTCATGGTAATTGGGATAAAACTAAACATGATGTTTCCTCACAGTGCAAAAACAGCACCAGGGGCTGGGGGAATGTGATTTTAACTGGGACCATAACCAGGGTGTGGGTTGGTAAGAGTTAAACTCTTCCTCCTGGTCCGCTGTGGCCCCCAGTGCTCCTAGGATCCAGCTGTGATGACTACTTGCATTTTTTAAAAAAATGCTCACATCAAAGAGGGATATATCCATCTAGCTTAGTACTGTCTACACTGACTGGCAGCAGCTCCCAAGGTTTTCTGATAGGGACCTTCCCAGCCCTAGTTGGAAATGCTGGGATTGAAGCCTGGACATTCTGTGCATGAAGCATATACCATACCTCTAAGCTACAGCCCTTCTCCATTTTAACATCATATTTAATCTGGGGCCTGGTTTAGTCTCAGAGCTGCATTCCCTCCCTTCCAAAGGGCAGATGCCCGTGGGGGGCAAGGCCAGCAACAGATGTGCCTCCCACCTTTGCACATTAGGTACCTTTTAGCCATGCAGATGTTTCTATCACCCACCCAGACAAGTTAAAATGTATTATCACAGTTCAAATATACATTCTAGGCAGGTGAGAGCACAGGGCAGGGATGGTGACTTGCCCAGAGAGATGAGACATGATCAGGGGAGAGTCTCAAGGGCCAGATCGAGAGGCCTGGAGGGCCACATCAGACCCCTGCTGTTCCCCTCCACTGCTTCAAGCCTTCATCAATAGCACTGAGTAATAAAAAGGTCTATAAATAACATTTTTGTTGGTAATTTTCTTCAGCTCCAGGGGTTTGTTTTTTTAATGCAATATGTGTTCTTTAAGGCATCAGCTCCTGGGTTTAGGTTTTATTAGGGTGCAATGGTCGTGGGGACCCTCTTATTCCTAAGTCCTTATAGAACACAGTATTGAAGACACAAGCCATTGAGATCTTAGAGAAAGATAGATAATGCAACAAACTCCCTTTTGTTTGGGGACATAATTTAAAAGCAGTCCCATTAATCTATCAATCATTAATCTATTTCTTCCGTTATTCACAATAATCATGTTCACAGGATTGTGTGCAACAAAGCTGTACCATTAGTGCAATGATTTCTACCTGCACAATAGGAGTTCCTCTCCCATTCCTCTTCCCATGCCCGCTCCAGACAATTCTATTCTAGTGGCTCCCCCAACCCTCTGGAGCAAATCTGGGGTGTGGGGTGCATGTGTGGAGAATGGAGAGGGAGAAGTCCCATTGCGCATGGTTTTTTGTGCTAGTGGGAGGATTTTGTTGGCTACAAACCATTGTTTTCTACTAAAATAAATTACATGTCATAATCTTCTATCATTTTCAATTTTCCTGTTAAGAGTACATCACGTAGAATATATATCTTAGCTAATTTCTCTTTTCACGGTTTCTCTAATATTGACGATTATCATCACTGCCTTTCCTTTTCCTGACATGTGAGATGCCCAAGGGGTAGCCACATGCAGCTGTTGTTAGTGGTACACACTGCATTTCCTCCCCATTCATAAATGCCAGAAATTTGCTTTTAAAATAAATGTTTTTCACAGGTTTCCAAACAACATCCAATTGTTTATTGAAATGTTCTAGTTGCCCTGGGTTACCAGGAAAATGGGTGCTTGCATGCTTCTGATAAGCACCTAAAATTTGAAAATAAGCTATTTAGAACACTCTATTCTGTATATGCCCTAAAACAGTTATGCAGGAGACTATGTGTGTAGTTGAAAAATAATTATCTGCCAACATATGCATTATAGTACAAGCGCACAGCATTTACGGAACATACCATGCCGACATTGTCTAAAATACTGGTACTTCCTCTTTCCAACAAGTGTTGGCATAAAGACAAGTAACACCACTCTTTGCGTTTTCAAGCAATTCTGTCATTTGAAAAGCTAAAATAGCAGTGGGGTGGTTTTTTTGGCATGCTGTTAATCTGAACTGCTAAATGCAAGGCATGAAAAGATTTATATGTAGTAACAATAGCTGTAATGCACAGTGACATATGTAATCAATTGAATCTCCTAAAAGACAGAAGCATCTTCCCAAAGCACTTTGAGATTATTTACACAGTCAGTATCCAGAGGTTATTATTGCAAGATTGTCATACTGAAACAGCAGCCTAAATCTACATGAACCAGGAATGTTTGAGCTGTGCAAGGTTTTCTTTTCTTTTCTTTAGTATATCTATCCCTAGGCCCCAACTGCACTGTGCATTTAAAGCACTGTTCCATGACTTTTAGTAGTCATGGCTTCCCCCAAAGAATTCTGGGAACTGTAGCTTGTTAAGAGTGTGGAGAGTTGTTAGGAGACCCCTGTTCCCCTCACACAGCTACAGTTCCCAGAATTCCCAGGGGTTGATTGTTAAACTACTCTGAGAATTATAGCTCTGGGAAGTGAATAGGGGTATCCTTACAATTCTCAGCAAAAAAAAAAAAAAAGTGTAGAAAATGCATATAATTTTAATGCATTTTTGGTGCTTAAAAAAAATCCCACCAAACCCAGGGTGGAACAGACCTATGATGGAGTGTATGCAGAAGTAACACAGAATGCAAACAATTTGATCCATCTATCCCCAACTGACATACAGGCTCATGGGGAGAAAGGCAATCCTCTTTGTATTCCTGCCTTGGGTCATGCAAATCTTTAAAAGCCAAAATCAGCCATGCATTCTCTTTGGCCAGTAGCAGGTCACTATGTTCTTCTATGGAACTGTGCATCACCCACCAGAGGAATGGCTCCTACTCATCTTTTACATGGCTATTTTCCCCAGGACGCAAGAGAGATAAGCCAGGGGTTCTTGGTCTTGCTGTGAGTAGGTGACTTTCTCCACTCACTTCAGTTCTCCTTTGCTCCTTCAGCATGTAAGCAAATGTGGATAACTGGTGGCTGTGTAAAAAGGCTTTCAAATGTGACTTTTCCAAAAATGATGGAACAGAATGCCAATACACACAAACTGAAAACTAACTGATCTCTTGGTTTTCAATACTGAAAATATGAAACTGGTTAACACAGTGCTTCGGGCTCCCTATAGGAGCATACCAGAGTTGTCTCCAGGTGTTTGTGCTCATATGGGCAAATATTGTGAAATGGAATTGGTACAGACAGCATTCTTGCTTGCCTGGGCGCCATATTACATTTGTCACCATGAAGGTGTGACAGGAGAGAATCAAAACTACTTGTATTAACAAATAATAATTGTGTGAGCTAACTCAGTTACTGCTCCCACATGCTGTAAGGTTCCATAGGGTTGCCATATTTCAAAAAGCCTTCGAGCTACAGTGGTACCTCGGTTTATGAACTTAATCCATTCTGGAAGTCCGTTCTTAAACCAAAACCGTTCTTAAACCAAGGCACGCTTTCCCTAATGAGGCCTCCCGCCACCAGTGCCCTTCCACCATTCGGATTCCGTTCTTAGACCGAGATAAAGTTCTCAAACCAAGACACTATTTCTGGTTTTGTGGAGTTTGTACACCAAATCGTTCTTAAACTGGACTGTTCTTAAACCGAGGTACCACTGTATTTTGAACTGTTATTTACAAGAATCGGCAAAAACGGCACTGTCAACATGGCTTGCCATATGTCTGGAATTTTGCGTACATATAGCTGATTTCCGCTCAGACACTGCTTTTGACCACAGTATTCTGTGTATGTCCGGGAAATTCTGGACGTATGGCAGCCCTACATTATCTCATGTCAAACAGCCATCAGCTGTGTGCAGGATAGGCCACATCATTTTTAAACAATGGAAGGATAGCTTCCTAAGGTCATTATCAGATGGTTAGAACAGCAAGCTAGGGAGGGTGGACTGGCAAAAATTCCAGTGCAGGAACTGGCACAGTTCCCAGTATAGCCCTTATTCCCATTTCCACATAGAACTGACACTGGAGACCTGACACTGTGTCTCATTTGCACAGGAAAATAAAATAAAATTCTGTCTATGACGTCAGTGACAAGGCCAGTTGCAGGAAATACAGGATCAATTCTAAGCTGCCATACTAATCATACTAGGGGAATATCCTACATATATCTGCACAGATAAGGAGGGGGGGAAACTGGTGTGATTGTTGACTAAATCTTTTTACTTAGGCAGGAGCAAAATTTTATAGCTGTTTTGTAAGTTATGTTCTGTATGTTTTATATTTTAATGTATTTTAGTTAGTTAGTTTGTTTATTCCATTTGTATACTACCTTTCTGCTAAGGTACCCAAGGAAGTTTAAAGTTTAAAAATAGTAAAATTAATAAATTGGAAGGGCAATAGCTCAGTGGTAGAAGGTACCATGTACAATCTTCTGGCATGCTACCTAGTGGATGCTAATATATGTCTGCAAGACCCTTCCAGGACTCTCATAAAACATCAGTTACAACGGCTGACTTCATGGCTTTAGCATCATGCTATCTTTCTCTTTAGCTTGTGGCTATATAGTCAGTTGGTAGAGCATGAGACTCTTAATCTCAGGGTTGTGGGTTTGAGCCCCACACTGGGCAAAAAAGATGATGACCTTCGTGGTCGCTTCCCTTTAATTCTATGCTTCTAAGCTCTTAACCTCCCTATGGGGAGGCATGGGGTTGAATTTATTTAAACCTGAGTTATTCAGAACATTCATTTGGAGAACTGTGTGTGTGTGTGTGTGTGTGTGTGTGTGTGTGTCATATCCAAATAGGTTCTGAACACTTGCTCCATTTATTACAATGCGACTTGCAGCCTAGCCCTGTGCAGCACAGTTCTTATGTTTTCAGTGGGGACTCCAACAGGAAAAGCACCTTCATGTTTATCAGGCCCCATCAACTCTCCAGCAAGCTGATAGCTTCTAGTGTGATAAGAATGCATAAGCATCCTACAGTTTCAGCTTCTTTTGGTGAGCAATGAGTCACAGTTGCTGGGCTGCTTTCGAACTACGCACTGTGTGTCATCGATTTCCTGTTACACAGAGTCCCGACCTCAGAGGCGGAGCAGGAAAAAAAGTGACCAGATGCACAAAGCTTTCATCAGTCTGTGCAAGGCCAGAAACTACCGTGGAATCTTGAGGTCAGGAAGTGCTGAAGGAGAGCAAAATCAGAGCCCTTTTATGCCAGGAATGGGAAGGATATCCTTAGACGACATTGGATGAATGAAATGCTTATGAATAATGCTGGGCATAAAAGGCCCAGCATTCAAGGGTATGAGCAGCCCAGTCACATCCCTGCTTTAGGTCAAATGATGGAAGAAGAACGATGCATGGCCACAGGTAAATTAGTTTCCCATCTCACATAAATGGACCGGACATCTGCAACTTGGTCATGCTTGAAATTTAAAAAAAAATCATATAATTTCCCCCTATGCTCAATGGGATTGCCCTTAGGATGTGCCTCAGGCATTCTCCTTCCCCCAGAAGACTCACTGAGCAGAAAAGCTGGATTATATAAAGGCCTTCCCCAAAGGGAAGAAAATGCTGCATCTGGAAATCAGAGGCCAAGTGCAGTCAGTGTTTTCTGATGTCCCACAGTGGGGAAAAGGTAGGATTGTGGATGGTTCTACAAGGAATGGTTGAAAGGATTGTGTGTGTTTAGCCCGGAGAAGAGAAGTTTATAGGCTGACACTTATTTATTTTAGACATTTATATACTGCTTAACTATTTGAATTTCTAAGTGGCATGCATAAAAAATTATCCACAGAAAATGGGAGAATAAAGCAATAAAGAATTATCACAAGACCAAACACTACCTTAAAATGCCAGCTGGAACAAGAAAGTTTTAGTCATTCACCTGAAGGTCAGCAAGGAGGGTCCCCGCTGTCAAATCTCAGTTGGGAGTTTGGGCCCAATTCACTGAATTCATGGTTTCTGGTAGTTATGAGCTGTGCACCTGAGCCATGGAAGACCACCATCAGAGACTGCCCTAAAGGTCTCAGTAGATCAGGAACAGGTGTCCCTTAAGATACCCTGGATCCATACCATTAAGGGCCGGTTAATTTATACAAGAATGTTGAACCTGGCCTGGTAACATCTGGGCAGCCAGTGCAAGCTTTTATGTGCTGGTGATTGTCTCTCCCCATCAACAGTCCAGCTGCAGCATTTTGTCCAGTCACAAAGTCTTGAGGTTACCAATGCATTAATCACCACAAATGGGCGATTCCATGATAGCAGTCTTTCTACAATCATAGAATTATAGAAATGTAGAGCTGGAAGGGACCCCAAGGGTCATTTAGTACAACTCCCTGCAATGCAAGAATGACATGTGAAAGACTGTCTTGCAGAAGACAGAGCTGTTTCACAGCAGAACATACTGCCTCAGGAGGTGATGGGCTCTCCATTGTATTATGCACTGAGCAGAGAGTTAGACTTGGTGACCTCAAAGGTACCTTCCAATTCCACGCTGTGCAGGAGAGTATAAAATGAGACTGCATATGGCTTTCCTGAGCAATCAGCAGCATTTATTGCATAGCCTAGGAAACATCTCCATGGTAATCGTCCGCCCGCAGTTAGGGAATCCACTGTGAATAAAAATACCTAGAGCTACTGACACTAGGGCAACAGTGCACTTCCATTGCACTCCTCAACATTTTGTTTACCAACACACCACTCACTGTTGTCTCTGGTTAGTATCATATTTGAGATCCCTCTACAACACGAATGGTAAAGCTGTGGCCCTTCAGATGTTCTTGGACTAAAGCTGCCATCATCCTTGTCCTCCCTCTTATGATATATTTCTCATATAAGACAATAGAATGTGAAACTAAAGTGCCATATTTAGCATTAAACGGGGGCTTACCTGGATAACTAGCTTATGTTCTTTATTTGGTAGAATCCTGTACGTATACACACAGTTCCGATACCTGGGACACATAAGAGGAGAGGATGTTAGAAGAAGAAAAGGTAAGTCTGGCAAGATATTTTGACCACAATGTTTATTGTTGTGTTGATAGTCTTTGGGGTAGAGAACCTGTGCCTCTCCTGATGTTGCTGAGTTCTCATCAGCCACAGCCAGCATGACAAATGATCATGGCTGATGGGAGTTATAATTCAGCAATGTCTGGAGAAACAAAGGTTCCCTGCTTCTGGTCTGAAGCATACAAGGCCAACTTGATCAGTCTGAAAACTTTATTTTTATTTTCCCCTTGATATCTAACTGCCTCGCCCCATTCCTGACTCTTGAGGTTGCAAAAATAAGCTTGAAAATGTCACATCGATACGTAATCATCAGGAAGGTTGTACAGTGACCCCACATTTATTGTGTTTTCAAATGTCACCATTATTCAAGTCCATCTTGAGATTTCAAAGGCTGTTTCTGGGATTCCAAAATTCTTAGTATACCTGGAATATTGAGTCTGAAGGCCTAATCAGATTTTACAAGCTACAGAGCTGTTCAGTATTTCTCTTTCTTGTTTCCACTGATAACGCCTAGTGTTACATCAAGTAAGAGTGGATGTCATCATGTTTCTCCTATGCCACAGATGACAGCTAATGAACTGAGCTGGGGACAAGGAAATGTTCAGGAAGCTGTTAGCAGTAAGAGAGGAAAAGAGATATGGTGTTGGAATGACTCCATATGTATTAGTTTTAACATATTTGAGTTTTAACATCTCGTTGGCCTGGAATTCTATGGATTGGGGCTTCCAGGACAGATGGAATGGTTTCTGCTTTCTGGCATTTATCTCTCTCCATCCATTTCCTTCTCTTTTAAATTTTCCATTTAAAAAACAGAACCTCTAAGGGCTTGTGCCTTTGATTGCAAAGCTATGATGCCCACAGACATGGGCCGGGGGGGCGGGGCGGGCAGGTTTCCATCATATCAAAAAGTGGAATTAGCAGAAAGACAGATTACTGGTACTTTACAAAAATCCACCAAAGAACCTAAGACCATTTTTGCATCCGCCACTTTTTTGGCCATGGTCATGCTTAAGGATAAAAGTATCAAATCACAATGTCACTTAGGACAGAAACTGCTGTTTAGCAAGGAGAGAGGAGGTTATTTGTTTCAAAATGGGAAACTAATCTCTTATGCAGCAGAGACATACATATAATTGAAAAAAATTCTGTGGCTGCATCAATTCTAATCAAAATACTAGCTGTTGAATGTGCCACTTGTCATAAAGTACATCATCTGTCTCCAGCCATAATCACATATTTTGAAAGACACTGTCTTCTGCAAAATTTTTCAGAGGCAAAGCAGAATTTCTGCTGAGAATCACTTGCTGTTCCGTAAGAGACCATGCTATTTGCTTCTTCATCACTTCCAGAAAATAAGAGCAAGCAGATCATCTCAGGATTTGTCAAGACAGTTTTCAGAAATGTCATGGGGAAACATTCTACACAGATATTTCTCCAACACTGCTGCTCTCCCAGTGTGATCGAAAACAGAGGCAAATCCACCAGGAGACACGGGTAAAGAAAGGGCTTCTCACACAGAAAGCATATCCACGCCATACATTTAATGCACATTTAAGCACATGGCTGCCCCCAAATAATCTTGGGAACTGTAGTTTACCCTTCACAAAGCTACAATGATCAGCACTTTTAACAGGCTACAGTTCCCATCATTCTTTTGGGGGAAGCTATGTGCTTTAAATGTATGGTGTAGATGTGGCCTTAAAACCCAAATGAACCATAGCAGACTCTATGCTTCTCCCCCTGCTCACTACTAGAGCACTCCCATCTGTCTGTGAGCTGCTGAGGTAAATGAGGGGAGAAGTATGGAAGGGTCTGTTGCTGTATACACTGGGAGGAACTAGAATGGCATTAAAGACGTTTGCCTCTTTCTCTGAGGTGCCTAATAATAGGAGAGCTTAATTAAAACCTCTGGTTGTTGAAAAGGAAAGGGCCAGAAGTCCTTTGGATAAGGAGCTACACAGGGGCTAGATGAAAGCCCTCAGTGTATTTGTGCTGGTGCTTATTTTCTATGATAAAGTCATTTTGCTGCTGCTTCTTTCTTTCTTTAAAAAAAAACCTTCTCTAAATTCAAGCATTCTTTTCCTTGGGATTCACTGTAAATCTCTGTTTGTGATTGCCTACCATTAATTATTTTATTGCTTAAATGTGCTTTAATGTTTTGCTCCACTCAGGAGTCTATGTTATTGAATACAGCGGGGCTTATTTCCAGGTTTACAACCTTAGGCTGAGAATTGGAAATAATTCATTTCATTTAAATTATTTATCTCCTACTTTTCTGCCAAAGAACACAAAGTGGCATATATACAGTAGTTCTCCCTGCACGCACGCCCCCCGCCATTATTTTCACAAAAGCCCTGTGAGGTAAATTATGTTGAGAAATAGTGACTGTCTCAAGTTCACTCAGTGAGATACATCACTGAGTGGTGATTTGAACCCTAGCCTCCCAGATCCTAGTCTCACACACTAACCTATCCTTTTTCAACCTTGGGTCCCCAAATGTTTTTGGCCTACAACTCCCACCATCCCTAGCTAGCAGGACCAGTGGTCAGGGAAGATAGGAGTTGTAGTCCGACAATAGCTAGGGACCCATGTTTGGGAAAGGTTGCTCTAACCACTACACCAGGATTCCTCAACCTCGGCCCTCCAGATGTTTTTGGCCTACAACTCCCATGAGCCCTAGCTAGCAGGACCAGTGGTCAGGGATGATAGGAATTGTTGTCTCAAAACATCTGGAGGACCAAGGTTAAGGAAGCCTAACACTACACCATACTAGAAGTGGATGAATCTGTCTATCTCATTTTCTCTATTTCTCTCTCTCTCTTTTTAAATCTTATATTCAGTTCTCCATATTTCTGCATCATTCTGTGAAGTTATTTTTAAAGTCCTTGTGAAAATATGCCAGCATTTTAGTACAAATTTCTCCCAATGGGCACGTTTTTGCTGGCATTTCCCCCTAATAAAATGCATTTTATATGCTATTTTCACTAATGTATGCACACTTCTATACACATTATTTGGTTGGAGAGTTGCATCATGAAATTTGAAGAAGTGTGAGTTTCAAAAGGTAGCTGTGTTTGCATATTGTTTCAGAAACTGCAAATTAGGTAGGTTCTTCTTATTGAAGTTCACACCAAACCCAGTTTCTTCCCCATCCCTACTCCCCAACAGCTCATCAATGGTGTTATGTACTGAGTTGAATAGGATCCAAAAGGCAGCAGTCTGATTGGTCCTAGAACAATAGGATTCAGAATGCAAGAGTCTGATTGGTCCTAGAACAACGCAGCAGTATGATTGGTCCGCAGGAGCCACCCAATCCAGCTCCAGGTGAAAGTGAATCCGCAACCTGATTGGCCTACAAGAGAATCCCAGAATTAGCCAATCACGTGCAGCCCATTGCGTAAATAATGTATATAAAGCAGATATTTTGGGGGAACTTTCATTTCCTCACTACTATGAGCTGAATAAAGAGCATGAAATCCACACTCGACTCTGAGTATATTTCAAGTAATATGACTGAAGAGTTGAGGACTAGGGAAGGAATTGGATTGCCCACAGGCCAAGATTAATTCTACCCACTGCTCTTTACAGAGAGACATCCAAGTGTAAAGAACAACATGGGTGTGGAAACAGCATTGCCTCAGCCAGATCCAAAGAGTTTGGGCTGTTTCTGCAACTTTAAGAATTATAAAATGTGGATTGTGAGGTTTTAGGGATGCAACTATAGCAGGCAAAGGCAAACTCGGCCCTCCAGATGTTTTGGGACTACAACTCCCATCATCTTTCATGAGTCAGTTTCCAGAGTTGTTTTTTTTTAAAGGGGATGTTGACTTATATTGGCCCATAACCCTAAGCACTTTTATCCCTGTGCAGTATACAGTGGTACCTCGGGTTACATACGCTTCAGGTTACATATGCTTCAGGTTACAGACTCCACTAACCCAGAAATAGTGCTTCAGGTTAAGAACTTTGCTTCAGGATGAGAACAGAAATCGCGCAGCAGCAGCAGCAGGAGGCCCCATTAGCTAAAATGGTGCTTCAGGTTAAGAACAGTTTCAGGTTAAGTACTTAACCCGAGGTACCACTGTACTTCCCAGTATCAACACCAGACTGGGGGAGAAAAGGATTCAGAGAAAGGGATTTCAGGAATATAATGGGGGTGGGGGTTCAGCTCCTTTCATCCACAGGACACTTTTTATGTAAAAAAACAGACCTATTACTACCCTCCCTTTATATGCAGTCCTGGCAGATATGTGATTCAACAAATGCAACATTTCACATCTATTTAGGTTCTGAATGTGTGAGACTTAAACTGAATGTGTGTGGCTGCACTCTGTCAATTCAGATGCATTCATGCTTTTGAAAAACTGATACAGTGCCTCTGGTCTGCATTGTTATAATGGTTATTTTACTCGATGGATTGCCAAGTAATTAAATGATCCTTAACTGAACACAGAATCAAAACACCACCCAAGAGTATTCCCCTTCTGTTCTCTTTCTGTTGTATTATTTTTTTAACTCAGGGAAGAAAGAGCAGAAGATAAGAGTTTTATCTGAAGAGTAGAAAAGATCAGAAAGAGCCATTAAAAAACCCCCAAAACCAACAGCTTTTAGGCTTAATTTCCAGACTTCTATAGTAATGGGAGTCTCACCTCCAAAAAGGACAATTAATTGGATGCTTTGCTCGGGGCTGGAACGATTGAACCAGTATGATTAGAATATCTGAGGGATCCTCACTTTTGACTGTGGGCTTTGATGCAGACAGTTTTCTGAAGGTATTTTCACACATGACAATTACTGTATTTTTCGCTCTATAAGGCGTACCAGACCACAAGACGCACCTAGTTTTTGGAGGAGGAAAACAAGAAAAAAAATATTCTGAATCCCAGAAGCCAGAACAGCAAGAGGGATCGCTGCGCAGCGAAAGCAGCAATCCCTCTTGCTGTTCTGGCTTCTGGGATAGCTGCGCAGCCTGCATTCGCTCCATAAGACGCACACACATTTCCCCTTACTTTTTAGGAGGGAAAAAGTGAGTCTTATAGAGCAAAAAATACGGTAAATATATTTTTGCAGTTATTGTGGTTCTGTTTTAAATGTAAACCCTCCCTTGCCCTAGAATGTCTATTCACTTTCAGATGTGGCCCTCTCCTATGCTCTGTTCTTTCCTGACAGCAGTGTAGTCAAAGGGCTAATGAATCTTAAGGGCATTTATAAATACATTTTTTAAAACAACAAGAACAACAACCTTCTTTTATTTAGCTACAGGCAGTTCTGTTAAAGACAGGAAGAGCTCAGAGAACATACTAGTGCAGCTATCTGTCTCATCTGTCTTTATTCAAATTTTTATTTCCATCTCAGAACATGCTAGGAAAATTACTACTTCTTCCTTCATGGTAAGCACCACAGGACCTTTATTCTCTCTTCGTTAAGCTTTGAACACTTTAGCTAGACAAACTAGTCCATTGAAAGGGTTTAGTTAGCAAGCTGTCTCATCCCTGCTTGAATTCTTAACAATAAGCTATTTTGATGTATGTTACGAAACCACATTTTTAGCTTACGCTTTGCTTGTGAACTTTTACAAGAACTGCTGCATTGAAGCATGATTTACGTCACAAACTGTTAAACACTGAATGTCCAGACAGTCTGTTCAGTTCCGAATATATTTGTGTCACTCATTTGCTATCATGATAAAAGTTGCCTACCTAATTCGCAGTTTCTGTAACAATATGCAAAGTGAAACACAGCTACCTTTGAAACTTCCACTTCTCCAAATTTAAGGATGCAGTTGTTTAAGCAAATAATGCATATAAAAATGTGTGTATTGAGGCAAGATGTGCATAAAAACACATATGTTAATGAAAATAACACATAAAATAACATAATAATAAAAAATCATGCCTTGCATCCAACTAAGTCCTGCACAAAGTAGACCCATTTAAATTCATGAACCTGATTTAGACATGTCTGCTTTGAGTAGGGCTAGCATTGGCCACAGTCATAGATGTAACCTAAAAGATCATATATATCCATTTCCACATGGGTGACCACATGAAATTACTGTTATGGTTGTACAGCAGCCAAGGCAAACATAGACACATTTCTGTTACTTCTTTGTTGTCATTCTAACTAAAATGCTAATTCCTCTGATTTTGATCAGTTGATGTGCTCCTTCAACAGTAGGCAGAAGAAGCTTTTCTCCTGCTTCCTCACCACAAACACAGCATCTTAAGTTATATGGGATATTATGATGTCCCATATCAAAAAGTAGAGGGCATAAGTGAAACATAGCAATGTATACACTTTCCTTAGTGCTAATCTAGACAGATCAATGAAATAATTTTGCAGTTCATGGTGAAGCTATCAGGAAGCACTCTTAACATTTGCCGTTAAATAAAGATCACTAAACAAAGATATCTCCCACCCACATCTTAAATTTAAGCAACTGAATTTAAGCAACTGACACATCAGAATTTAGAAATCTAGATATCTAGATAAAAGTCATATAACTTGACCACCTGACTAGCAAGTAAGCAGTATTGGTTGCACAATCCAATTGAAACACTTTGTTAAAATGATTCCTTGAAAGCTTCTCCCGGCCTTCCTCAGCCTGGTGCTCTCCAGATGGCTAGAGTCCTAGACTAGGCTGGAGGAGATCCAGGTTCAAATCATCACTCAGCCATGATACTCACTGGATATCATTTGGGCAGTTACTATTTCTCCGTCTAATCTACCTCACATATGAAATATGAAATATCTTAAATCTATAATATTAAAAGTGACATAATCATATTCTTATATTTACCAGAAGTACTCCTTTCATAATATAGCTGATGAGGGTACCCCCTGAATGCAACAAATTGAGTTTAGAACCTTGTTTTGATTGAAATTATTGAAAGGATTTCAAGTCAGGAAGCCCATCAAAAGCCTCAGACAGCCTTATAGATTCTGCGGGTTTAATTTTAGCTGCAGTTCTTAACGCATATATTAGGAAGTAAGCCCCATTGAACTTGGCGGGACTTGCTTCTGAAGAAACACACATAGGATAAGTCTTTTAGTTTACAGGATTAAAAAATAATAATGAATTACTTACAACCCCCCCCCCCATATGCCCTCTAACATTTCAGGACCTCACTAATATACTGCTCATTGGATCAAGTTTTTTAAACATAGATACCTAAAGCAGGGTCTCTATACTGTATCCACATTTAAATGTTAGCATGCCAAGAAGTGATGATGCGTCAAGCAATTTGTATATCATATGCTTATGTTCTGGAGTCTATAAATGGTTTTCGGCTGCTAATTTCGGCCTTCTTTTTTTCATATCTTGACTGGAAATTTTTGTTTCAATGCATGACTATGGCTGTACTGCAGAACACAAGCATGGTTCCTGAGAAGCCCAGTTTTCCTTTTTTAAAAAAAGGAATACTTTTAGGCTTCCACATTTGTGCAGGTAGGTTTTAGAAGGCATGGGGGGGCCCACTTTGCAGACGACATTCCACTCCTTGAAAGAGTGCCCAGACTAAGTGCAGTTTAAATAGCCATAAGGAAAGAGAGCAGGGACCTTGAAGTTCCTGACTTGGACAGTAGACTGGACACCTCATCACCATTTCCCCCCACCGTGGTAAGATATATTTGTAGTTTTATCATAACAATTATTTCTAAATGTGCATATATGCACACAAATTAGCATGTGCACATTTTATGCAAATCTGTGTCCTCATTCATCCTTCTTCTTCTTCTTTTTCTTGTAATGCATTTCCTCTTCTTTGGCAACCTGTAAGTGGCAGCTCTAAGGAGATGTGGTTATGCTGACATTTAAGATAATGTTTTCTCCACTTCCCCAATGCTACAGTGTTGTGTTTCATACGGATGAAAGAAAGCTTGTGGTATTTTTCTAATATTTGTTTTACGTAGCAGAGCATAGTGGAAGCCAATAGGCATCTGCAGCAGGGAACAAATCTACTGACTGATCTCAAGATTCCCAAAGCAACAGTGTAGACTCACTTCTAAACGACTTCCAGTCCAGCTGAATTCCAGCTCAGAAACTGACCAAGAGAAATTGATGCATGTTCTTTGCTGTGAGTAGCTGCTGAATTAAGGATATGAAAAGAATAGGAGAGATCAAAGGTGGGTCATCTAGGTGACTGCAAACAGGCCCTTCACGAAGCAGCTGATGAGCCGTCAGTCTATACCATCAAATAATATTCATATTTCTTTATGATTGGGGATTTCTCTCCAAACTTCTGGGGCGCTACCTCCCAGTTTCTAAGGTCCAAGAAATTCTTAATTCAAACCTCCTGAATTCTGCCAAATGTCCCATTCATGTTAAGCCATGTTTTACCTCTACAACCATAAACTTGGCTTGGGAAGTGTCTGTCTCTGCAACTCTAATTTGAAGTGCCTATGATTCATCTTCATGCTTCAGCCTTTGCTGGTCTCAACTACTTTGCATCCCTGACAGCAACAGTCAGTTGCACAGTCCATATAGCTGATCTCCCAGTCCCACAGTAGGGTCAGTATCCAAAACATTCATTTAATGCATTCTCATGCCTCTTTAATAGACTTGGCTCCCTCCCCCCAAAGAATCCAGGGAACTGTAGTTTGTTAAGGGTGGTGAGAATTGTAGCACTGCGAGGAGTCTCCTAACAACTCTCAGCACCCTTAACAAACTATAGTTTCCAGTCTTCTTTGGGGGAAGCCGCAGCTTTTTAAAGTAGCACAAGAGTGCTTTAAATGCATGGTGTTGATGTGACAAATAAATGGATTGCACTCAGGTCCTGCTTGCGGGCTTCTCGCAGGCATCTGGCTGGTCACTGTAGGAACAGGATGCTGGCCTAGATGGGCCATTGGCCTGAGCCAAGAGGCTGCTCTTATGTTTTTATGGATGATCATGAGGTAAACAGATTTTGCCTTTACATCTTCCCAGTTGTGCACTGCAGCAGCAGTGGAGCGTATGCCCGCATTGCCTGGGGTGGGCGGGCAGGGTGCCCGCCTGCACACCGCAGTTCAGGGTAGGAGACAGGTGAGGAAGCTGCTGCCCAATCTCCTCCTGCTGTCCGCTATCCGGTCAGCCAAGGCGTCCCCTCTCAAAATTACGCCTGGGGCTGCAGCACCCACAGCACCCCTCACTCTATGCCTCTGCACTGCAGTAGCGTCCAAGACTACGTACATCCTCTAAATATGTCTGAGTAGTTATTCAGAAAACCAGCACGTTTGTAGTATGCAAAAAAAACAACCAACACACCTGTTATGGTTATATCAACTCGAGAGACGGAAAGGGAAAGAATGAACTAGTGGACTCCAAATTATCAGTCCAATCCTGTACACGCCTACTCAGAAGTAAATTTCATTTTCAATGGCACTTACTGTAAAGGACTGCAGCCTCAGTGAATTAATGGAAACCTTTTAAAAAAACAAAACAAGGCAAACCATAGGTGCAACAAGATGAAGCCTTACTGCTACCTACATACGGTAATTGTTCAAGAAATTGCACTTTTGCAATTTAAATCTTTCTTTAAATCTGCTCATGTGTAGCAACTCTTCTCATGTAGCTTATTCTGTCATGCCAGCCATACACCCAAGTTCTTTTGCTGCCTCCAGTTGAGCACAGGCATCACCTGTCACATACAGAGAGATCAGACCGTACTTTTAGCTCCATGCGCGGCTTGCTGCAGAAGGAGGAGAGGAGCCGCTGAGTACAGTGGAGGCACAAGCCATACTTACAGCAAGCACAGGGCGTATGCTGAGGGGATGGACTCACTGGCCCGCACAAGGAAGCTTCCATCCTTGCCTACTTTAGAGAGCAGGTCCTCAGCTCTTGAGCGGGTGATGGTTCCGTGGTACCAGCACTGATCCATGCCTTGACTCGCGAGGGAAGGAGCCCGTCCCGAAACGAAATGAAAACAAATGTTAATTTAAAAATAACGATAACCACCCAACCGGCAACTTGTGTGGAGATCCCAGAGCTGTCTGTGTGTAGTGCTCAGAAGCAGAAGCAGCTGCTCACTCAGCTTCCTGTTTCAAATTGTGCAGAGAGAGGGAAAGGAAACAGAGCTGAACTTCCTCATAGAAATCAAGAGAGAGAGAGAGAGAGAGAGAGATATGCCACGCACACTTCCCTGGCCCCTCCCTCTGTGCCACGGCACAGCCCACATCAGACGGAACCCCATTCTAGCCACCAGCTTTGCACAAGTTTGATGGGTACAGTTTGCATTGCAGCCTCATTTGTCCAAAAATGAATCTGACCCTAGTCAACATAGCATTCTTCCCCCTTTCCCTCCAGCCCACCCCCAGCCCCATTTTGCATGTCTCTCTGTCCTCGGACACCTCTGACTTAAAACACAGTTGTCTTTTATCTGCTTTGCCTGAAGAAAGGCCCAGTTTCAATTCCTGGCATTTCCAAGTAGGCCTGGAAGAAACTTCGGCCTGGAACTCTGGAGAGCCATGGCCAGTCAGTATAAAGCAGGGGTGCCAGCTCCAGGGGGCCAAACCGTTTTGCCTCCCACCTTCGTATGGAGGCAAAGTGTGGAGCTGACCATGGTGGCCGGCTCCTTCTCCTCTTCCTCCTGTGACAGAGGGGAATGTCTGAAGCAGCCTCCTGCTGCTGGCAGTGCCTAGAGGAGGAGGAGCCACATCTCCTCCTGACATCCTGATGTCATGCGCGTGACATTGGGATGTCACAACATCACACATGTGATGTTGCCTCCCACCCCCAATTGCCCACGTAAGCTGGTGCCTCTGGTATAGAAAATACTGACTAGATGGACCTATGGCCTAACTCAGTATAAAGCAGCTTACTATGTTCCCTCAGTACAGTAGTACCTTGGGTTAAGTACTTAATTCGTTCTGGAGGTCCATTCTTAACCTGAAACTGTTCTTAACCTGAAGCACCACTTTAGCTAATAGGGCCTCCCGATGCCACCGCACGATTTCTGTTCTCATCCTGAAGCAAAGTTCTTAACCCGAGGTACTATTTCTGGGTTAGCGGAGTCTGTAACCTGAAGCGTATGTAACCTGAAGTGTATGTAACCTGAGATACCACTGTACACCACTGTACTGAATATCGGGGGGGACGGGTCTCAGACTTTGCCACAGCTAATTGTTGAGAGGGGAGAAATAGTTTAATCCTCCACAAATACAAGCTCTTGCTGGTAGTGGGGAAATTGTGCAAATGATTCTTGCTCCTGTCCCTAACATGTTGGAGGATTTCAGCATGTTGGTCAAGGCTGATATTAGAGGGCAATCTCGGGAGCTTCTGGCTTTTGTGAGAATTGTGAATTATTCCATATAATAAATGGACTGACATACTGGTATGTGACAGAACATTCATTAAGTTGTGAACTTAATGATAGGGATGGGTGAATCTGACCATGTTGGTTGTTCCCAGCTTTTTATTTTTCACAGTCTTGTTACATTCTCCACATTTCGATATCATTTGTGGCTTTTTTAAAAGTTCTCAAGAAAATTCAGCAGCATTTTAGTGCAAATGCCTCATATTTTGCATGCAATTTCTCCTAATATAATGTTATTTCCATGAATATATTTTAAGGCACAATTTACCCTAGTATATGCATTTTGTACACAGCAGGAGAACTCCCTGCAAAATTCAGAGAAGTGTGAATTTTTGAAGGACAACTGTATTTTGGATCACATATTGTTTTGAAAAGAGCAGATTCTGCAGGTCTAAATGTGAATTGAATTTGTTCCCTATCCAGTGACTGAGGGTGTGTTGAAAAGACACTATTGTCAAGATCAAACTATGACCTTGTAAAAACATAGGTCCCTACCATTCAATGGCCCTGTTAGAAATGTATGGACTCTCTTTCACCCCTGCTCCCAACCATGCCTGTTTGAAAATTTGGAGAATTGGTAAGAGGCCTTTAACTTCTTGTGGTCCCTTTGTGTAATCTCCTTATATTTCTAGCCAGCTAATATTTATGCATAGCCCAACATGGCTGGCATATATGAACATTAATTAGTATACAGCATTAGCAAATGAGCCAACATCTGCCTTCTGTGATGAACCTACCACCCACTTTGGGGGCAAAATTGCTTGTATATGGTTTGCCTGGGAGCTGCTTAATTACAGTATTAGTATTTGAGGTATCAGCCTTGCCTTGTTTTTAACCAATTAGTTTCAGCTGGTGCACTTAGAGGGCTCTCTTGACAGCCACTTATGAACCAGTTCCAGAATGTCCCTCCTACTGGTTGGGGTAAACAATGCATTTCTAAGAGTAAGTGCCAGGCAGCCTCAAATGGATAGTGGATCCATGTATCCACTGTCTTGTTCAAAAAGCCATATCATTATATAAATTCAGCAGCCATTTCATGTCTTCTCTCCAACTTTCCTTTTGGGGGGGGGTTTGTGTTGGAATTAGAGCTCACCAGGTTATTGTTCGCATTTTAGATCTGGGCCCAAAATGACTTGTGCACTCTCTCTTTTAGACTAGTCTCTTGCTTTCAGTTCTCTGAACCATGAAGCCTTGGTGACTTATCCGCAAGAACTGGCAGGTGTTTATAAAGTCACTCTTGATTTGAGAGGTTCCACAGTTATTCTTGGTAGAAACATCTCAGGGTTGCTGAAAGGCTGAATACTCATCCTCTCCCAGCAATTCCCCAGGGAAACTCAAGAGGCCCCATCTTATCCCTTCTCCTGTTCAATGAATGTATGAGGCTGCCAAGCAAGACCAGACATGGGTGAGAGCTTTGACAAAGAGGTTCCATAGTGTGCTTTGATTTTCAAGCAAAGGTGCCATTTTGGTTATGGACATAGGCAGATCAGTAGAATTCATGTAAAATCTGAAGTTTCCCGGCAGATAGCAAAGACACTGTGCATTATTTAGACATGTGTTCCAAACAGTGGTTCCACAGCATGGAATAAAACTAGCTTTAAAAATGCTGGGGAGAATTTTGGCAAAGTATATTTAGTATTATCTCTGAGATAGTACAGCAACCTATCCAAGCCTGATCTGTCATTAACTCTCCTGTCAGTCACTTAAGAACCCCATAAAAATATTTTCCACAGGGAATTCACCCTTCTGTTTAATCGCTGCTACCAGAATGGAGGTTGCAAAGTATGTGTGTGTGTGTGCCTGTATGTTTCTGTATGTGTGAAACGCCACAGTCGCTATAGATTGCTCACTGTTTTTATAGGAAACAGCACTGTACAGCAACAGACCAATTCAGTCCCTGAGACAGTGATCCAAAACAAGCATAAAGCAGAACACCACATTTAGTTCATCATAGCACCTGTAATATTTCATTCTGATTGAGGGAATTAGGCCATACCTGGAGGCGGGGAAGCTCAAAACCTTGGGATAGTCTCTTTTCTGCAATTCAGTCTGAAGTCTCCATTGTCTGTTGACAAGAGCATAATGTCCAATTACTCAGAGAAAATGTGCAGAGCATCTTGCTGTGGCTGTCACAAGATTTAATAGACAAGATATACCTATGTGCATATGTATGTGATGTGTGCATGTATATATATATATATATATATATATATACACACACACGCACCCATATATAAAGCAGATACTTTTAAAGGAAGATTTTAGAATATTTTTGGTATTTTATTTTAACAAAATATTTACAGAAGCGTTCTGACGCTGAATAACTATTCTGGTACGGAACACTTTTTAAACGTAGAAAACAGGCTTTGCAAATTTCTACACAGTGGGACATCAATGCAGGCATGACAATAACCATCTGGCCACAAGAGGGCGTTCAGACCTTTGCCCATATATGGCGAACTGTCATCCATCCAGCAAAGTACCATGTGTTATATAATGTATTTATCACCTAGCCCAGATTATAAATGGCTTCCTTGGGGAGAAGGGTGGGGTGGGGGCAGACTGCTGTGAGATTAAACCATTATACCAGGGGTGGTATAATAATGTAATGGATGTAATGCATTCAACAGCCTTGCTCATTCTGTGCTTAGATTTTGCTTTGGTTCTTTGGTAGAAATGGTGTTGCAGGCTTGGTCCTGTAGGGTATTAATTATTACTATTATTATTACAGTTAAAGTGAATATAATCAAAACTAAAAGGGGGAAGGGGGTGGGAAAAGGCTCCATCAGAGTCTGCTGGGATGGGAACTTCATGCAAACACCTGCTGAAGGTAGCTTCCCCCCGCCCCCATATGTTGCAATAGTAGATAAGTCTTCTGACAGCTAAGCACTGGGGAGGGGGACATAGGATATAGATAGCAGCAGATAGATCATCAATTAACAAATTATAATGTCTGCACGTTAAACCTTTGTTAAAGGCAAAGGAGCTGGCTAAGCTGCATATGTCCCATACAATTAAAGCACGCACACACACACACCGAACCCTGGGAACTATAGTTTGCCCCAGAAAGCTGCAGTCTCTAGCACCCTTAGCAAACTACAGTTTTCAGGATTCTGTTGAGGTGCTTTAAATGTATGCTGTGAACACAGCCAACTGTTCTTTTTCTGGCCACCTGGCAATCTGGGGCAGAAATGGAGTTCTGACTTTTGTATTTTTTGCAATGCTGTACCTGTCTGTCTAATCAGAAGTAAGCTCCACTGAATTTAGTGGGATTTAATCCCAGGCAAGTGAGTATAGAATTGCAACATCAAGCTGCTGGCATAATCTGTTGAGTGTTAAATTGTTATTCATTTTTGCTTTTTGTTTCTGCTTTGATTTGTTAGGATTTTATAGCATTCTGCTTTTTTTATTGAGAATGCCCTGGGAACCATTGGTTGTAAGGTCAGTAAAATATGTGAAATAAATAAATAAATAAATAAATAGAATTGCATATATATATATATATATATATATATATATATATATATATATAGCAGCTCTTTTATAACAGTTCTCCTGGCAGAGAATGTAGGGCTCAAACATTGCCTTTCAAAATATATGAATGTAATAAGGAACAACGGGGGAATAAACTGTCAAACACTGAGAAACCCAGTAAGTAATGTTGATTGATGTACACTCAGACTTATCCCACATGGAACAATTAGTCTTATGTGTGGTATGAAATGGCTCCCTGTGCAGCAACCATGCTTCTTCATGTTGCAGAAAAGCGAATACATTCCCTTCTCCTGAACTTCTACTTAAGCATGTGTTCTTTTAAACCATTCCGGGGAGGGTTGCCAAATCAGAAATGTAGAAGAAACACTTTGAAAAAACAACAGTAGGATCCCCTCTCCCCACTGTCTTTGGCACCGAATGAAACCTTATCTCATTTCCAACCTTTAAATCCTTGTAGCCGAGATGTTCCACAGTTTGTCTTCTCATTGCCTCTTGCATGCGCCTGTACTTTACTCCAATTAAAACCCAATTAGCAGGATATCCTCTGCTTCCAGGAACGGGTGGTGGTGGTGGGGCACAGCAGTTGGAGTACTCCATGCACTCAGTGCCTTTGCATTCCTTAGGGAAGCGGGTGCCAGACCTCAGGGCAATCCGCAGGTGAGAGCCCATTCCTCTCTCACCCAGAGAGGAATTTAAAAAATGGGTTTCCCCATCATTCCTTGTTTATCTCTGTCTGTTTCTCCCTGCAATGTTGAGGGAGACCTCCATTCCTGGCGCAGGCAGAACAGGAAGCCCAGAGAAGGGTAAAATTTGAAGGATGGCTGCGCTTTGCAGTTCATCTGTTGTTTCATACCTAACCCCAAGCCATGAAAGGTTTTAAAAGCCACATCCAGTATCTTGAATTGGAATCCACACTGGACCGAGAGCCAGAGAGGATGATAAAACACTGCATGAGGTGCTCAATATCCAGCAGGGAAAGGCAGGAAATGGAGCAAACTTATTTTCCATCACCTGCATCCTCCATTTCATTTTAAAAAGAAAAAAACAATACACACCCCTTTATATGTGAGCAAGGCAAACATGTAAATCTTATAAAAAGCATTGCTGAACCTGGCTATGCAATTCTGTGCCAACAAGGAGAGGCTGATGATCAGATTGGAGGAAGGAAGCACACCAGGGTCCTCTAGAATAGCTTTCTCTAGTCTGTGGTTGTTCCTTTCCATTGGCTGTGATGACTGGGGCTGATGGGAGTTGGATTCCAAAATGTTTGGAGAGCTCCAGGTTCAGGAAAACTGCTCTATAAGGTTGCTGCCTTTGCACCACATCCTTTGTTTGGTTGGTATTGTCTACTACACTCCCCAGCAGCAGAGCAAAAAGAAGACTTAAGGACTACTGGTCAACATATGCACAATATGTTGGTGCTCAAAGTCAGATATTACAAGGGGACGATGCACACAGGACTCTGTAAATATCCAGGTTGGTCACTATATCCTTCATTTTTTCTCACGCAGGAAAAAAATTTGGCTTACAGTGGTACCTCTGGTTAAGTACTTAATTTGTTCTGGAGGTCCGTACTTAATCTGAAACTGTTCTTAACCTGAAGCACCACTTTAGCTAATAGGGCCTCCTGCTGCTGCCGCGCTGCTGAAGCCCAATTTCTGTTCTTATCCTGAAGCAAAGTTCTTAACCTGAAGCACTATTTCTGGCTTAGTGGAGTGTGTAACTTGAAGCGTATGTAACCCGAGGTACCACTGTATTTGTAAACCCAGGTCTTTTGAACAAAGCATTGATGCTGCTTCTATGAGAAGCTTAGCTGAGCAAAATCCATAGTTACATGCAAAAGATTGCTTCTCTCTCTTTTTATGCCCAAAGAGATGTTCCATTGGGATTAACTAATTCTAAAAAGAGGAAGGCATTTTAAAACATATTGGGAGCAATTAGAGCACTAATGTGCATCTGTAATGGATAGCTTGAATAAAACAAGCGAAGTGGTTCTGTTAATGGCTAGCATTTCCAACTCGGATAATTTCCTTTGTTCTCCTGTTCTTTTCATATGAATTGGAATGTTTGGTTAGTCTAAGGCAGCCTTTCCCAATCTTGGGGCACCAGATGTTGCTGGACTACAGTTCCCATCATCCTCAGCCAGCAGGGTTAGTGGTCAGCAGTGATGGGAGTTGTAGGGTATTTACTCACTCTTCAAAGTAATCTTTGATGGTTTTACAGAATTGTTTCTGTTCTGAATTTTGGAATGTTAATTTGGAAGTTTCAATGTCTCCTGTAGACCTCAGGGACCCAAGTAAGAGACCCTGGAGCTTGGATTGAATTGATTGTAAAAAAGAGGAGCCATTAATATATAGACTGGAGTACCAGTACAACAGGAATTTCTGTTAATTAGCTGCACTGTCTAAAATGAACAGAGCTACTAAATAGCCTTCCCATTTGTTTTAATGGAGTTTGCACATAACATATTCCCTGGAACTCTAATTGGATTGTGGCCTGAGGATCCAATTTGGCATTCAAATATGAATATGAGCTTCAAAAGAGTCCAGTGGGGTGTATTAAAGTTTTGGACTTTGGCCAGGGTGATCATAGTTCAAATTCTCACTAAGTCACAGTGACTTTGGTTCAGCCACACTCTTTCAGCTTACCCTACCTTACAGTGCTTCTGTGCTGATATAACAGGGGTTGCCATGAGCAATTTTGCAAACATGAGAAATTGTTGGGGGTATCCCTTACATACCACAACCACACATGCAGCCCAACCATGTGTGTATGCACACACACACACACACCCTCTTTCCTCCACCCCCATGAGCATTTAGGCTTGAAAAAATGGTGCAGATTCCCCCCCCCCCCAAGCCTGGGGAATAGGGGGATGTGTGATTTTCCTGGACAGTAAAGTTGGTGAAGCAAAAGTTAACTTTTCTTCCCCCGCCACAATCTACAGAATGATGCTTCCTGCTCTCTCTGCCTGCCTGCAAAAATCAGGCTTGGGAAAAGACTATTGTAGCCAGTAAAAATTCAAGCTGAAACTGCAGTGGGGGGAGGGCTGATAGCAGGCAATCACAACTGGAGAGGATTTGTTAACCATTCCCTCTCCAGTTGTGACCCCTCCCTCTGAATCTCTCCCCATACTGTATGTTCCAAATGCAGTTCCAAATTCAATTCAACACAGTTCCAAATTCTATCATTTTAAAATTGAGGATGCAGAGTTCCACACATTTTGGCTCTCTGTGTTAGTCAACCATTACTTATGGTCACCATTGACCCCTCTCCTACTTTGAGTCATCCAGAACACACAAGAAGACTTGGGGAAGCATCTTGATCCATCCTTCATCTCGCTCCAGAATTTGAAAACATTTGGAAGCAACAAGAGAGATTCTGGTTCCCCTCTGAATGTTGACAATGCACAGTGCAAAATGAACATCTTCAGATGTTCTCTGCATGCGCCAGAAAAATCAGGGGAGGAATTGGGGAGTCTGTTGCTGTGTCACCAGTGATGTAGTGAGAGACCCAGAGAACGCTGGCAGAGACGTGAAGGGATTTTGCACTGTCCTTGACATTCACAGGCAAATGCACACTGAAAATAACAATGATTTATTATTATTATTACTACCACCACTACTACTGTTCAGTTTATTACATCGCCTTCATCAATAGGTGCCAACTAGACATATGAGGATTCCTGCACATACACCTGAGTAGCACTCCAGCAACAGAGTCGCTTGCTTTCTGAAAGGCTCATCTATCCACATTCATCAGCTACTCCATTAAAGAGATGAAGTGAGTCTGAATCCCCTTGCCTTGTACACAAAAGGAAACGAGCAGCTAGAGTTTACAGAGATTCAACAATTTCCTTTGGAAGACCACCGACAGCATAAATCATCCCCCGTCAACAAGTTACCTTTCCTGCAAAAGAGCAATGCTGAATGCTGTAATTAGCCCTAAACTGTTACTTAAGCTGCTGAAAAGCAGCTTGGGCTTTCTGCTGTGGGCCTGACTCCCCACTTGCTTCATTGGCATAAATCAGGAATGAGTCATTTGGAGTTGCAGCGGCATGGAAGCCAAGTGAGTGAGGGCAGAATCAAGCCCTTCAACGTCAAATTTGTTCCTCTGTTGCTCTTCCATTATGGTAGTTCCAATGATTTTTTCCCCCACTTATAAAAATGCAAATAAGATGCGTGGGTGCACTAATAAAGGGATTCAGAAATAATCTGGAACGTAATATAATGACAGCACATTGAACAATGAAGCACTCACTTGGAATACTGTGTTCCGTTTGTAGTGTCACCTCTTATGAAAAAGGTATTGGTAGCTCCCAAAAGAAAGAAGTGGGCAGGGGTATGGATGTAAAGTATTGATAAGCATCTGGAAATAGAATAGTAACCTATTTAGAGACATAAAGCTATTTAGCTCTATAATACTGTTTAGATCTATAATGCACCATATCCCTCAAGTTGCATTGACTTATTTGGATTTTTCTTGGAACCTTTCAGTGCTACAGATTTCTGGATCTAAGAGATAACCCTTACATATATTTACTCTGGTTGTATTATTGTGATGGCCATGTTTTCCAGACTGTTGTAGCACAACAGTCCCACACAGAGCTACAGTTGTTTAACAATCCATCCCTCTTCCCATGGAATTCTGGGAAATGTAACTTTGTGAGGAGATTAGGCTTTTCCTAACAATTCTCAGCACTACAGTTCCCAGGATACTTTGGGGGAAGCTATAGGTATTTAAAGTGCCATGCTACTGCTTCAAATGTATAGTAGGGCTCAAGAGACACAGGTGGGTGGCTCCAGATGGATGTTTTTTGTGTGGGATCAGTACCACTGACCCATACAAAATGCCTATACCCCCCACTTCAGTTTAATCTGGGTTTACGATTGCTGTGGAAAATCCACAAAGCGAAAACAATGTGTTGTCAACAACCTGCTAGTTGCATCTGAATGACTCAGTTGCGATATTAAAACCTCCATTTGGAAGCATGCAAAAGAGCGAAGCACTGAATAAACCTCGACTTTAGCTCAGTTGCAATGATGCTTACTCAACTTCATGCCCCTATTCATAAAATGATTTTTTTTTAAATAACAAAAATTCTAAATTTAAAGGAAGGCCTGACCATTTAAACAATCTAATAGCATAACTGTCACATGGCATAACATTAAGTGGCTTTTAGCCAACACTTTGCCACACCATAAAGCTCTTTACTGTTTGACTCAGTCATTTTGCAGCTGTCTCATGTCTGCACAAAGGTTTCAGGCCCTCACCCAGATATTTTTACTATGGTTGTTTGACTTGACTAAGCCTTGTGGCTATACCTTCAAGCAGCACAAATGACACTTGGCATTGTGTTTGCATTAACGTGCCTGAATAAAAGGGATCTGTTGCTTTAAATCATGTTTGCTGTGACTCTGGAAACTAAGTAAACATTATCTTGGTAAAGCCTTGCAGTCTAATACAGCAGGTTGGTGACAGAAGGTGCCGGGGCTGAAGGTCGTGGCTGTTTCAAGCAAGGATTTTCCCAGTCCAGGCCTCAGAACTTCACTGTAAGCTCCCTAAATCACTGTAAAGACGGGGCAGAATTTGCGACTGCGCTGAACTGGATACCCTCTTGGTAAAACTGTCAGGCTAAGAGAGTAAACCAATCGTACAACAATAGGTGAGTAGAACAACAACAAATGGAAGAAAGGTAAAGAATTATTTGTTCTGTGGGGGAAAAGAATCATGGGGCGGAGGATGGAAAGAAGGATATAAATCTGGAAACCCTGGAAGAACATTTGGTGATGTAAATGGGGCCACTGCATCTGATCGGGCACAGAAAGCCACTGGGAGTTATTCAAGCTGTGGGAATGTCAGATAAGCAGAGGGGGCACATCACTGGCAAAATTATAGTAACTGGGTCACCATGACAAGTAAGTAGAAGATCCAGTATTCACAAACTGGCCAGGATAACACAGCTCACCAGTTCATAGGAAGGAGGGACAAACATTCCTAAAGAAACATTCCAAGAAACAATTTGCCACATTATTGTAATTTTGAAGAGACAACAGGATGACAAGCAGTGACTGTTCTTGGTGCTTTTCAGCACATCTCTTTTTCAAAAGAAACAATTGTCCTTTTTGTTACGGAAATTATCTTTCCCATTAGGGAGCTACAGTATTGTTAGCCCAGCAACAAAAACCCATTGATCTTCAATTGCCTAGGATCCTGTATAATACTTAATGCAAATGCAAAAATGAGACGTTCCATCTTTTAAAAAAATATTCAGGGATTACTTGGGTTAAAATAAATCAAAAATGGTTTTGTTTTGGTTTTTTGGGATCAAATAGGCAGTACTTTCAATATCTCAAAGCAGGAGGCTGATTTAGTATAAAAACAGAATTTTGAGAACATGGTTTTGAACCTGAGGCCAAAGCAGTCAGTTGAATCCAGATTAATTTTTGATATATGGGAGGAAATAGGCATACCTTCAGATTTGCCCCAAATGTTAGCACCTACCCTTGCTATTAAAGTCGATTTTATAGGTACAGAAGGCCATGTATGTTAACAATAACATGTTAACTGACAGAACAGACAATGACAAAGATATTTTGAGAACATAGTGTTCTGACAGCTCTATGAATAATAGGGATTTTTCAGTCCACGCCCATTAACATTGTTAAATAACCCAAAGCCAGGCATGAAGAAAGCCACACCTTTGAAAAGCATTTGTCTGAAAGCAAAGCAATTTAAATTTTTTAAAAGGTCATTATTACTCAGATTGAAATTTTAAAACTGCACCTGCTTGGACAAGATCAGTTGCCAGCATCCTCTTAACTGTACCATTCATAAATCAAGATCAATTGATCAAGGGCCACATAAAAAGGGTGCCCTTCCTTTGGGATCTTGCCTAAATTTTAAGCTCAAATTCTTTCCTCACAAATGCTTTTAAGTGGCTTGTCTGGACAGAGTTAAACCATCCTGGAAACATTTTAATTTCTCATACCTTATTATATTTTGTATATACATTTTATTCTGTTGGGATGACGTGTATTTTTTTTTTTTAAAAATCCAAATAATGAGATAAAAGGCCCACTACTATGCTGCTGCTTCCTTCTCCCTGCCCACCTGCCATGTGCCATCTCACCACCCATTTCCTTCTCCCTGGCACATCTCTCTGTTGCTGTGAATAATCAATACATTTAAAGCACATGACTTCCCCCACATGACCGTCATTTGTTAAGGGTGCTGGGAGATGAGGAGTAAACTACAATTCCCTGGATTCATTGAGGGAAGCCGTGTATGGTGTGTACAGTCCCCCCTTCCATCCCCTTCTCACTCATCTCCTTTTCTCTCACCTTCCCCTGTCCTCCTCTCACCCCACTGTCTTCTGCCTGACCCCTTTCCTAAGCAATGTGCTATTTGCAGCAAGGTTTCATTGCGGCAGATGAAATGCAATATCAGAGAGATGACACAGATCATAACACGATGTAGTCTAAAGTCTTGTCACATTAACTCAGGCATAGGCAAACTCGGCTCTCCAGATGTGTTGGGACTACAACTCCCATCATCCCTAGCTAAAAGAACCAGTGGTCAGGGATGATGGGAATTGTAGTCCCAAAACATCTGGAGAGCCGAGTTTGCCAATGCCTGCATTAACTGATCATGTTTCACAGAGGGCAGCCTGCATTCCCCCTTCCCAATTCATAAATTTAAGGTGCTGCTTATTACCTAAATGACTTGGGACCACAGTACCTAAAGGACTGCTTCCTCTGGCATGGGTCAGCCTGCCTTAAAAGATCATCTGAGGGGGCTGTTTTGTGTGTGCTACTGCCCTCCAGGGAGAATCAGTGGTGGCTACAACAGGGAGGGACTTTTCCATTAATTGGAACTAGTAGTTAGAACTCTCTGCTATGGAAGGTCAGCGTGGGGCAGCCCGCATTCAAGCTGGTGTTCCGTCATTGCTTGGAATTTTTTTCTTTTTCAGCAAGCTTTTGCTGCTTACATATTTATTTTAGTCTGGCTCTCTGTTGATTGTTATGTTACATGCAACCCCAATCTCCATGAGTAGTGCGCGATTTCCGTAAAGTGGTGCAAGATTCTAAGAAAGACACACCTGTTCCAGATGCACATAAGAAATAAGTTAGTAAAGGCATTCAGAACAAATCATCAAAGCAGATCAGAACACAATGACACTTTTTAACTCAACACAGCCCAGCAACAGTCTTTCCCTTTCTAGCAATTTCCAGTTCATCAAGAATTAATCAGGCTTCCTTCTACCTTCTTGGTGCGTACTCCAGCCAGATCTGCATTTCAAAAGCAGCTTTCAAACGCACCAACAGCAATTCTAAAAAACCTTTAAACCGACAAAAACCATAAAGCACAGTGTTTCAAAATCCATTGCTAAGCCTTGCAGGAAGAATCCCTGCAGCAAAAGTAAACAGTCTCAGAAATCAGACCCAAACCTCTGCTTCTCCTCCACCAGGCAGCTGACTGCATAGCCCTTTGTCCTGGGGCTTCCGTGTTTTCATAGAGTTCTCAGTTCAAGTGAATCAAACAGCTACACAGAATTCCTTGTTGTGGAATCTTTACAAAGTTCAAGCAAATGACACAGCTACTTCTGGGCTCCAATCACGGGTTCAGTTTCTCCGGAGCCTGTCTATTTCTCTTTGGCCTTCCCTTAGGTTGTGGGTTAGAAACTCTAAACTCACACCCCAGTCCCAAAACAGTTCCTGTAGCACAATTCCAGGACCAGATATCTTATCTGTCACAGTCGGCGTTTGGCGCCAGGATCTGGGGAGAGAGGTTGGGGCACTCTCAGGCATAGTGCACCCCCCAATAGCAGTTCACCCTCAAAAGTTCAGCACCAGAGGAGGACTTGCAGACCTTCTCTTCTCGCCTCTTGACTTGATGTCCGCTGCTCCACCCTCTGACATGGCTCAGTTTTGCCACCTTCCTCTGAGGCAAAGCGGAGATTGTGGCGTCTTTATGATAAATGGTTTATTTTCACATATATACAACCTGAGCCTGCGATGGAGGGCTCACAGCATTAACACTCAAGAGGGTTCTGTTTCTCCCATTTCTGCAGCAGCCTTGAATTCAAAAAGAAATACACCATAACTCTCTGTCCCCCACCCTCTAGCTTGCTGCGTTTTACAGACTGCAGTACCACCTTTTCTTCCAGTCAACTGCAATCCTAAACTTTGCTTTGTCTCTGCTAACTATCTCAGAGCTGAGGGAGTGACCCTCCCTCTGTCAGGGACAGAGTTCCTCTTCACATCTTTCTTAATAGCTCATCACCTTGCTTTTGTTAAGTTAATGACCAGTACTTAGCAGCCATTATCAGGCTGGCCTGGCTATTCCAGCCATTTAATCCCCGCTGGATCCAGGGATTCAGGGGGCTTGATTAAATTATAGCACTTACTAAATCCAGGAATTATGGGGAATGTGGCATCTTCAAACCCTGGCACCTACAACTCATAAAATATTGTATTGGGCATCTTCAACTGGACCTGGAAAGTAGGGCATAAATTGTGTTACAAAATAATATAAATAAAACATACTGCAGCTATCATTTGAAAAGCCAAATATGACACTAGCATTAAAAAATGTGGCTATCACAACAACAAAAGCTAAAACAAGAACCTCATATTTCCCCCATATAGTTCCTTGTGTTTTGTAATCAAAATAGCACACCATTAAGATGACTCAGGGATGGTAGTTCTTTGAAAATCTCCTCCTATTACGCTGCTGTGCCCTTTGTCACAATAACAATATGACTATTCATGAGGATAGCTCAGGGTACTTCTAGCTTTGCAGTGTTACTGATAGGAAGGTTTGAAATATAATGTGTGTCTCTCTCTCAAAATGATCATAACCCTTTTCTGGCAAAAAAGAAGAAGAGGAGACCATAAGCCAAATGCAATATATAAATAATCAGTTTGTCTGATCACAGTATAGAAAGGACCTGTGTCAGACCGGAGCTTCTCTGTTGTCAATGCATCTTCCTGCAAAGGGGTGTTGTGGAGATAATGAGATTGATGTCCAGGGGGGATTTCTGAAAGGCGGCTCTTTGTCCTACATCTTACGCAAGTCAATCAAAAAATCATGAAAGCTCAAGAACTTTTGGGCTTGTCTAAAAACAACTTTTGGGTTTTCCTTAAAAGAGTGCATCAATTCTGTGGGTTCCCTTGAAAAGGCACAACAACTTCTGGGGTGTCCTGGTTTTTACTCTTTGAAAATTAGCAACCCTAGGGTATGGTCGTCATCAGCACTTATGTAGCACATTTGAAATTTCACAGTGCTTCACATGCATTGTCGCAGCAGTCTTTACAACCACCCTGCAAAGTAGGCCAACACAATATCCCCATGGTGCAAATGGGCTAAAAATGAGAAGAATAAGCAGTTTGTAAACTAATAAGAGAGGGGCACGGATGGCGCTGTGGGTTAAACCACAGAGCCTAGGACTTGCCGATCAGAAGGTCGGCGGTTCGAATCCCCGTGATGGGGTGAGCTCCCGTTGCTCGGTCCCTGCTCCTGCCAACCTAGCAGTTCGAAAGCATGTCAAGTGCAAGTAGATAAATAGGTACCACTCCAGCGGGAAGGTAAACGGTGTTTCCGTGCACTGCTCTGGTTCACCAGAAGTGGCTTAGTCATGCTGGCCACATGACCCGGAAGCTGTACGCCGGCTCCCTCGGCCAATAAAGCGAGATGAGCGCCGCAACCCCAGAGTCGGTCACGACTGGACCTAATGGTCAGGGGTCCCTTTACCTTTTACTACACTAATAATATACTACAGAAAGTACTATTGCCTATTGCCGTTGAAACCTTTTACAAGCACACATTAAGGATCCTGTGCTGCTCTGCAGAACAAGGAGCATAAAGAGAGACAAAACAGGAGAGAAGGAATGCATATGCCATTCCCCAAAGGCAACTGAGGCAGAAAGAGAGATTAAGACACTTGCTGTTGCTCCCAAAGGGTGCCAAACTGGAAAAATATCCACAATTTACAGGCCAGTGTCTTAATCACTGAGTCTTGATTCCTCTCTCCCTCCCTTTCTTATTATAGAAGAAAGTACAGAAGAAAAATAGAAACTGAGGGTGTTTCTCAGAGGAACTGCCATGTTCTAAAAATAGGCTGAGACAGCTCCTAGAAATACGCCGAAGAAATGACAGTAAAAAAGAAAGAAATGAGAGGCTCACTTGCGAACCTCTTGCCATTTGGGTGTCGGACTGGCAGTACAAATTCTGACCTTGGGAAATAACTCAGCATGACATTCAGTGGGTTGATGCTATCAAATTTGATGCAGTCTAGCATCTCTACAGTGTGATCTTTCCACCATACTGAGCACCAGTTACTAAGACAATTCTCTGCCAACCTCATTAAATTTATACAATAGGTCACAGAGCCGTAGATGTTTGCTCTGTGACTGTGGCACTGTAATACAGGATGCTAGTTATGTCTAGATCCACCGGTGCTTGTAAAATAGATACAGATATTTTCCTTCAAATCATATTTGTAACACTTTAGAGATAGGCAAGCCCACACAAGAGAATTGTGCAGAATATTCTTCCAGGCCTCAATCAGATTGGGGAGTGGGTTGAGTTACTTCACAGAGTGACTGGAGAATAAAGACCCCCCTCCCCTAAAATAGCCCACAAACCAGGCTTGCCTGTAGAATGCCGGCATGCACCAAAAATATCCTTCATCTACACCAAGGTCTAGGACTGTGGGATAAGCAGCCTCATATAACCAACATACTTAAGTGTAATTAATGTATGAAGGGGTTAAGACCATAAAGTAAACTGTCCTGCCAGGCTTAGCTCACCTTGGGAGAGACTAGGACCTAGGTAATCAAGCCTTTGTTCCACCTCAGTCTACCTGTGAAGACATCTGAGCTGGTTGCTCCAGGCTTACACTGCATGCCTCTCACAAGCCACTCTTGACTTCCTATACCAATAATTTAGGAACTTTCACCACTGTGACTGAGCCAGGTTTTACTGCCTGTGCAACTGTTTCTAAATGTTGTATTTTTTAAAGCACAAGAACTTGACCTTTGGATAATTTGTAAGTAAACCATTTTAACTTACCAAGCATGTGGCCTTTTTCTATGCTGGGGATGAGGGCAACTTTGGAAAGAACTTGGGAGGACATGTTTTAAAGGTCTAACAGCCTATATTTCCACACTTTACTTTGCTGCATATTTTGTGCTTTAAATCTCTGCTGGGGTTCTCTCACTAAAGATTACTTGCCCCAAACTTGGATCTTGGCATCCAGGAATTCTCTTTTTGTACCTATTTTTTCCTTGAACCAACCTAGTGCCCTCCAGATGTTTGAGACTGCAACTCACAGCAATATAAGCTAGCAAGTGTAGTTGGTGAAGGCTGGTCTAGGCCCATCCTTTCCTGTGGTTCCCCCAGGAGTATACAAAGATGGGAACCTCCCATTTGCCAGACACTCCTAGACAGCTCAAAGGGCTTGGATGCTCCTATGTATGTGCACTATATTCAAAGACAGGACCATGGGAACTGTATATGTAGAACCCACTAAGTCTGTAGAAGTATGTGATGGTGATAACTTATCATTTATATGCTGCTCATCTGACTGTGAAACCATACAGACTACAGCAGCTGGAGAAAAGAGGTAGCCAAAATGGAGGTGCCTCCTAGATATTTTGGACTCCAAATTCCATCATCCCTAACCATTGGCCATGCTGCCTGAGGCTGATGGTTGGGAAAGGCTGATCTACAAACACCTGACTCTTTTGTTATGGTACCATCATTGCTATTGTGGTTTAACATAAACTTAATATGCACTTTCTGTTATGGGGTCCCCAACCCCATTTTATCCTCAAAAGAAACCCTGTGGAATAGGCTAGGTTGAGAGATAATGACTTGCCCAAGGTCACCAAATGAATTTCCTGTATAAACAGTGATTTGAATCTGGTTCTTCCTACTCCAGTGATTTATCCATTATATCATTCTGGATTTCCCAGCCCCATGGCACTACAAAGTGTGCTCCAAAAAAACCTGGAAATTCCTAGAAAAGCATTTCATCCTATTTCAAACTACATTGTGGACATGTATATTAGAAGCACTGCCCATAGTGGGCTAACTCCATGCCTGCTGGAAGTTGATCTTTCTTGTTGATCTTTTGCGTGTGGTTTGGTTATTGTGTACACACCCATCCAAGCATGATCATTACAATTATGGGTGCTAGTGGGGGTGCATGGTTGCCGAGCTGCTTTGATTAATACAAAAATGGAGGCAATTGTGAAGAGTGCAAAGAGGAAGTAAAACAAGCATATTTGAGTACTGAGTAATCAACTCATAAATATTTGTGTGGTAGAAAGGAATGATGGGCGGTCAGGTACACACTCATATCCAACCTACCAACACTTTTTTATCACGGGTGTGGACAGGGTGATAAGCAATAAGACAAAAGCATAAACTTTTAATACTTGTTCTGCCCAACTGCTACCAGACTGTGTGGAAAGAGAGAGAGAAACCAGGTTGAGAATACAACTAAACCTGTATAGATTTATATATTTTAATTCAGTATATTACCTTCTTATAACGACTAGTCTGATTTTACATGTTGAGGACCATGCCGGAATAAACCAGCAAAACATTGTAAACTCATAGTTTCTGTCTGGTAATAATCAATATTAACAATATTCGATTAAATTGTAAAATGTAGTTTACTTTGAGGTGAAGTTCTTTTCTTTTCAAGTACTCTTTTGATATGCTGTATGGACATAATTCAATAAGTGATGCTCAGTTTTGGAGTAGAACTAATCCAATTTGTCATCAACTCAACCTGTCTTTGTTCTTTTAGTCCAGCTTTCGCCAGATGTCTTAGACTACAAGGACCATAATCAGCCCCAGCCAATACAGGTGATGGGCATGATAGTCCAAAACATCTAGAGGGCACTAGGTTGGCAAAGGCCTCTCTAGCCTAATAAATTGTGTTGGTTCAGCCATTATGGCAAACACCCACACCTTATCAAGCCATTTCAATACATAATATTACTGACAGTCTCCACTTCCCCACAGAAATATGCCAGCAACTTTTTTTAAAAAAAAACTTCTTTACATTCCCACCTCACCAGGCCTTCAACTAGTTCATTAAGAACATCAGAGCTAAAGAATTTTCATATCCTAAACATGCTTAGATGTTACTTAAGAAGTAGCAAGAAAGAGAAATAAAGTGACAGTTAACAACACACCTGTCTTCAGTTCAGAGATCTACGCCCTCCCATCAGATGTCAAACAGATAAACAACTATTTGACTTTTAGAAGGTATCTGAAGGCAGCCCTGTTCAGGGAAGTTTTTAATGGTTGATGTTTTGCCATGTTTTAATATTTTGTTCGTAGCTGCCCAGAGTGGTTGGGGCAGCCCAGTCAGTTGGGCGGCGCATTATTATTATTACATATAGTTTACGTTTTTAGAATTCTACCGTAATTCTAATAATTGCCTATACTTTCTGGGGCTCTTGCAAGCTGAGAGTATTGTTGCATTAAGGCTGGGGTGGTGAACCCCAGGCCTTAGGCCAAATGAAGCCCTCCATTTCTGTCTATCTGACCCTTGGACTCTATTCAGGCCACACCACTTCTTCCGCAGGTTACACCCCTCAGCAGCACTGCTTTGTATCCTACTTGAGAGCTTTTGCGTTGCTGGAATGTGTCAATGAACTCCAATAATGCCTCTTGCTTGCATTCATGGTAGAGAGGGGTGTGCAAAGGTTAAATTTGCATTAGTTTCTCTGCCCAGTTTTGCCTCTTGCCTCTCTGGTACTGGCATCTGACCCTCCAAAAGGTTGTCCTGAAGGGAATATGACCTTCAGGCTTCAAAAAGGTCCCTCACGCCTGCACTTAAGCCACAAAAAAATCCTATTTAATTGTGTTTTGACTAGATCTTGGGCATTGGTGATGTAAGTTAACAGCAGCCTTATGAGAAAAAGGTGTTAACATTTGTCCCACTGAAATCTGGAAATCACCTTGAAGTGTGTAAGATTGACAGCTCTGGCCAATTTAGATTGATTGATGTTTATCCACACAACAAGGAAAGAAAGAATGACATCGAAGCAAGCTGTTCTCCTGACAACTTTTTCATCCCTCTAAAATGGAAATAGCTTATGCTACTATAGAATGAGCCAGATCTGGGTTCTGGAATGTGATCATGTTTCACGCTGAAAAATAGGCAGAGGAGGTCAAAGCTTCCTTTAATCCGTCTTTACATTTCATGATAGATTCCCTTAGGTATGGGAACTCTTTACAGAGAAAAGGACCTCCAATCTTTGCTTATGAACTAGCTTTAGGAATGTGAATAAAATAAGGTTAGCCTATAGTTTAATTAGTTCTGAAATCTTACAATGGCAGTGAAAAGGCCTTCTGTTTTCCTTAGTTTTCAATATACTGAAGGCTGACTTTTCTGACATGACAATGACTGCTTAATAGCCCCAAAGGAGCAATCCTACTCTAAGATAACTGCTTTTAGCTGCTTCCCCTCGATGAGACCCATGAGACAAAGCACAGATTTGTGCAGGATGTGAATGATCTAAGTGAACTTTGATGTACTAACTATTATTGCAAACATGTTTTATGAACCCTGGGTATCTGCTTTTATTACATAATGAATCAATACCAGAAGTGTGAAAAAGCAGTACCTTGTTAGCACATATAGAGCAATTCTAACTATAATTTTGCCTTTAAATATGTAACACTTACATGTTTAATTGTTACCCACATGTTCTAAGATATGACGTTTTAAGAATTCAACATTTTAAGATGGATTTTTAATGTACTACGTACTACTGTTTACTTCCTTTGATCTATCAACTATGACAATCACAGGCACACATAACTGGCCTAAAACCCTCTAAGGAAGATTATGTGAAGCACTTTCACAACAGGCTGTGTAAAGCCGTGTCTGATCCATAGGCAGCATCATGGGAAAGTGCTTTCCCTGATCCTCAATAACCAGTCCTCTATGACTTTCCTTAAACTGCAGGGGAAGTAAAGCTCCTAGTTTAAATCAGTGGTTGGGAATGTGTAGCCCTCCAGAATGTGTGTTGCTGGAATCCAACTCCCATCAGTCCCATTAGGGATGACAGGAGTTTAGCAATATATGAAGGGCTACATGGCCTCTATCTTGTCAAAGTATCCTAAAAGGACAAGGAAGGTTTGGGGTTGTGTGCCATGAGGTGTGTGTCCGCAGACCCTAATTCCCTGCTAGTGCACATATTGGAGACAGGTGTACCAATCCATCTGGGGATTAGGAGAAGTGCTTCCTGCCTAATCTCAAACTTTAGAAGTCATATGTCTCGTGCTATGTAGGGGGTGGGATTCCCCGTTTTTTATACCTTCCAGGACCCCAACTTATACATTCCCAGGGATGGTATCCAAATAAGTCATTTTCAGAGCAGACCCTCTGAAACAAATGGAGTTGAAGTAATTTAAATCCAATAATGAGTTGTCCATCAGACATAGCGCTATCGTATGAATCCAATGAAGATCTTCTAGTAACTGAAATCCAGCCACTTTCCTTCTCCGAAAGCAAGGACAGCTTATGCTTTGTTTTCCACACCCATGCATCTGACTTTGTCTTTCTTCAAGGGGTCCTTTTGTAAAGTTATTATAAGCCTTTTGATGTTTTAACTGATGGACAAGAGGAAGCCAATTCAAATACAGCAATACTTTCATTGAACAGTAAAGCATATACATTCTCCACATTCTTCAAATTCCTCATCCATTGCCTAGCCAGTCTTCAGCACTGCATTAATATTTGACCTTATTAGCCTCTCTCTGTATATTCTAGAATAACAACAAGAACATTTCAGTATGACTGTCAGCACAGGATTACTAACCCAAATGCAGTATAAGCACTAGAACACTCCAAATGTCATAATATGTTACCGGAGGAGGGGGTTCTGTTCATTCTCCTCACAATAAAATAATGCAGCTTACTGGTCCATAAAGTTCTGATTCTGCTCCTTGTATATTAACACATTCTCTGGAAAAATTAGTCATATTTTCAGGGTGCAAAGGGAGCTCTGCCTTTTTTTTAAAAAAATGACAAATTTCATTAATTTTTAAAGTATCAGTAGAATAAATAATTAATTACATATCACAAAATGTAGACATAAAATTACGTCTCCCATCCCTGGCCAGTCCTAACTCAATGTCCCACCAACATCAACAACAATAGAGGAATTTGAAGTGTAGGGGGGAGGGAAAGGGCTTGGCAAAAAGAAATGTGAGGCTAAATCAGAACCACAGTTCAATGCTGCTTTCGTCTCTTGTTCAAATAGCTCAAAAAATGTCTTCCAGATTTCCCCTGCTTTCATATCTATAATATATATTTGCTCACTTATTGCTTGATCCAGTATGTCTTCTGTCCAACATTCTATTGTTGAACCTCCTTAGATTTCCATTGTTCCTGTGACCTGATCAATTTAGCATTTGCTCTGGTAGTAATGCGTATGATGTGTACCACCCTCGTTCTCTTAGAATGGCAATGGCACCCAGTTGAGAGGTGCTGAAACTGAGTTCCGACAAGTTCTGGCTGAAACAAAGCCCCGGCTTTATTTTCTTTCTCACACAGCCAAGGAAACCCTATCACAAAACAGTTTATATTTCTTGCCTTATTGCAGAGGACTTGTTTGAATGCTGTTCTGATATAAGACACATACTTTGCAATAGACCAACTTTGACATGCCCTCTCCTTTTTTGATCTTATACTGAGAATGTAGTAAAGCTGGTTCCCCCTCAGCTATTTAGAATTATATATGACAGCAGCAGATTTTGAATGCAAGTCACTGTGGGAAGCAGCAGCTAACCAGCCACTTTTCACTCTGCAACTCTTTCCTCCAGCCCCTTTTTTCCAATATGATATCTGCTACTGGCTAGGGGTGGCTGTGTTAGGGAAGCAACCTTGAAGGAGAGGTTTGTTAAGTATAATTGGTTTAATTGACATTGAAATGGGAATGTCTATCTATTGGTGAAAAGATTTAGCATAGGGAGATTCCACTGAAGCTTTAGAAAAGCAAGAAGAGCACTCTGAGCTCTTGGTGAGTTGATAATTAACTGATTGTTGCTTTCTGCTAGCTAACACGTGAGTGAGTAACCTTAGATCAGGTGATTAAGGTATTGAGTTGCAAATCTGCCATCTTGGAAAGGTGGTGGCTGCTTCTTTGTTCTATCCCAGGCTGCATGGAACGAAGATTTAAATGAAGCTCTCCAGGAAAACAGATCTAGACAAAATGGATGTTGAAAGAGAGAGACCTTTACTTATAGGTCTCTTTGGATTATTTCATATTTTGTAAGATGCTGAGCCTATGACTTTGAATGGCATATGTCTTATGGAACTGTTTGGATGTATCATTGGATGTTTTAATTCTGTTATGAAGAAAGTTCTGCAAGTAAAGTTTGAATAATATTTTTATGATTCGGGACAAAGTTGCCTTCCAAAAGGAGTCAGTTCTTTTGCTTCAGACTGCACAATATTAATATCTGCAACAGGGCTGTGGTGAAACAGATAATGGAAAAAAGAGTTCAGTACCCCTCTTCTGCCCTCCCTCATTATTTTTTTACTGTGGTTTGACAGCAATCTACATTTGAAGATAAAGATCTTGCATCATGTATATTTCCACCCCCAGAAGGCTAATGCTTCCAAGTCTTCCAAGTTTGAATATTATACTCCCTTCAGCTGCGCCCTGTTGTTCTTCTTGCTGCATTTCTCCTCACCTCTCTTGAGAGCTGTTACACTGTTAATGAGTCATCTTCGCAATTTCAGCACTATTTGTTTCCTAGAGGTGAAGCAAAATGTCTCTTCTGAAAGCACATCATTCATTTTAGTCTTTATGTAGCCCCTTCATGCCAGTGCAATTCACCTACTCAATCAGGCAACAGCGTATTGCTTCCTATGAGGACATTTTTGGGCTGCCATATCCTACCGCCGCTCTTAACAGGATGAAAGCCACCACAAGCTGACTGATGGCATGGTGACTCATCCTGTGAATGCTCCAATAGGTTCCATCAACCGATGCCTAGCTACTGTATGAAAGCCCTCTCAAGATGTGAGTGGAAACAGGAGATGAAAGATTATGGTCTCAATAAAGAATAATATTCACAAGGCCAGTCACAGCATTAAAAAAATTCAGCTTGAGTGGCTTCAACAAATCTCCATTTTGCCAAAATGGTTGTATGAATGAGTCTTTTACTTGCTTTATGTTCCTTTACCCATGGCTTCCTAGAGTACTGAATGCAGTGGAAATTGACAATAAGCTTGATTACTATTCCGAAACGCCACAATCTCGTTTAATTTTTGTAAAAAATAATAATCACTGAGTCGTATCCAACTTCAGTTCTACTCAGAGTATATCTATTCAATTAAATTGACTAACTTATGTACACAATGTGGTTGGATACAACCCACTATGTGCAAAGCATTAATATGACAATGGTGGCAATTGATTGTCCCAATAAATATTGTTTTGGAAACAAGGCTGGCCTCCCTGTCCTCAGTTTGGATGCTTTTACTTCCATTTACTTGGGAGTAAGGCCTACTGAACTTGATGGGACTTGCTCCAGAGTGAGCCTGCATAGGATTGCACTGTTAGACTTCCATCACATTTGCACATTCTTACTATGTGCTTTCTCCACTGTACACAATCCTCTTATTTTTTATGCCTATTCTGGACAATGAATGTCTTTTTTGTTTTGTTCTGCTACATAAATGCTGCATAGTCCTAGATTAAATTTGATTTTAGTCTCATAGGGTTAGGCTGCCAGTGTTGCAATGTGGCCTTTTATATCTCCCAAGGAATTATTGAGATCTGTAACTGTTCAGCATGTGAGTGTGGGTGAATGTGTGCAGGTGTAGGTTGACTGAGGTACAGAATATCTGCTAACCTGGGGCTCTGGGGGAGTGGCATTTGCTGCTCAGCATGGCCACGGTTGGTCCAGGGGTGCCACCATTTTCCTGCATGGCTGGAGGAGGAGATGGTCACTTGATGCCACCCACCTCCGACCACACCTGTTAAATCATCAAGATAGGAGTGAATTTATGAAGCTGGATTAAAAAAAAAAAAAAAAGCAAGCAGCTCTATGCCATTATTTACCTAATGCATGTAGGGAAACTCAGACCATTGATCAATCCTAGACTATTTATCGTTAGCTGAAACCACAGCTTGGTGTGATGTCTGAAATGAGCTATATTTACATACAGGTCCAGAAAGAAACAAGTTCTGCAGACAACTGAACATTGGCAAAAGTTAAAAACAAGACTGGCTGTTTAGATTATAACTGGATTTAAAAGGTAATTTTTAGTATAAGCGTGTGTGTGTATATAGTCTTAGGCAATTAAGATGTATAATTGATGTAATTGTATACTGAGCTTTTTCTTGATGTTTTATATATTTACTGGAAATCTGTTATATTTAATTTTCAAAAAAGATTATTGAAAACCAGAAAGGGAAAGGGAGTTGTAAGAACCAGGATGGGTGGGCCTTGTTAATAAGTTAATGCATAACTGTTTCTTGTTTGTATCTGAAGCTTTTGCAAGGTACTGGATGAGCAACAACAGGTCATAGCTAGTCAAGGAGGATATTTATTTCATGCATTGGTGGGGCTATATGTGGAAAGGGTGGACATGCAGCAGACATTAAACAGCCCTGTTGCTCCAGATCCAGTTTTAGTTAGGAGTTATGAACTAGCTTGATTTTTTCTGTCTTGTAAAACAGCTTCCTGTTTGCCCTAAACAAACTGGCAAAGCTCTGAGAAATCAATGACATCTTTTTGCTTGGGGGGGTGGGATTTGATAATGACATTGAATTAGGAATGTGCTAAATTTCTTATCCTTGATACTGAGGCTTGACAGCTACTACTAACGATTCTTCCTAGAGAATGGCAGTTACAGTAATATATCCACCCCACAGCATTTGGAAGTTGTGAATAAACTAAGAAGATCAGACGTGAAGTTCATTGTATGACCAATCTGAACATCTCACACAAGGTTATCAATGATAAAACTTTATTTTTTATTAAATTTATATTTCACCCTTTCTCCCAAAGGAGCCTAGGTAAAGAGCCTAGGTGATAAAGCTATAAGAATGCCTTAAAAACAATTCTAGTAGAGATGCAAACTGGGAAAGAGCTCAGCTGAAAAGGGTTGTTTAAGAAGGAAGGTCTTTAAGAGGCACTGAAAAGACAGCACTTATTGGCACTTGTCTAATATTTAAGAGAAGTGAATTCCAAAGGGTAGGTGGCTGTCAGGGAGTCTTGATAACAAACGAGCGTAGTTAATTAAATAGAAGATTTATTGCAAAAACAGAGTTCACTGGAGTGGTGATCACAGTCTATAAATCAAATATGTCCCTTCTGAGGAGGGTGTTTCCAGCAAGACCAGGAACAGCCGAACTTCCTCTTGTGACATATTCTGTCCCATACACCTAGACCTTGGACTAAGGGGGTCAGCTCCCACCCCTTCCTCATTCTCTGAAACAGTACTTCCGTGGTCCTTCCCTCTCTCTGAGCTGCTTTCGTTTCTAGCCCCTGCATTTTGTCCTTCACTAGCACGCTGGCAAGCTGCTGGCTGACTCTCCACAATTTTATCAGTTGACATTCCTAAGGGCAGGGGAGTTGGCTCTCGGCTATAATCATCCTGTCTTGAGAGATTAACCCTCTCTCTTCCTAGCTACTTCCTTCACTGGGAGCTGGCTGCAAACTTTCCCTGAGGGCTGGCTCATTCATGACAGCGGCACAACAGAAAAGGCCTGATTCCTATGCTGAGCGGAGAAGAACTCCTGATATGATGGTATCTGCAGGGGGCTCTCATCTGCAGGGCATAGAGATCAATTGGGTATATAAGAGGTGAGCTGTTCAATGAGATTGTACATTCCCAAAAGAAAGAGGAAACAGATCAAACAGGTTAGGGTCCTGGGCCCCACTGACAAAACTTTGGAAGGTGTTGTCTCAGCTAATAGCTGGAGTCATCCAAGACCTTATGTAGTCCAGCAAGGCCTATAGAGCAGTTGCCACCACCTCACTGAGGAGCTGGCTGTGGCAACTTAAAGGATCCTTGTCCAGTTCTGCAGGTGTCAGTCTGGAGGGGAAAGAGGAGGTGCCAAAGGTCCTTCCTGAGTAGAGATGCTTGCATTTTCCTTAGGGTAGAATAAGGGGTCAGGTTCGGGGATTATTGCACTTACTAATCTCCATCTAGATCATTTTTTGTTCTTTGTTTGTACCATATGAATAGACAATTTAAATGAAAGTGTAAAATTGTGTCTTCAAGGGTGTCAGAGAAGACCAAATGTTTCCCATTCAAAAATAACTCTATTGCAGAGGAATTTGGAGTTTAGCTTGAATAGCTTTTCAAGGTGATCATGACATATCATGTCCCGATGCAGTTTTTGAAAGCATGATAACTCTAATATCAACATTTAAATTAATGTTTCAGACAGTTTGATAACACCTGTGCCAATAACAATGAACCATAATCAGGAACATCCCCTAACCTTCACCCTTGCCATCCTGTGTGTTTATGTATCTCCAGCTGAAGATTACACTTCCTGCATCTGATGAAGTAGACTTTAGTCCATGAAAGCTTGGGTCATAATAAAATTTGTTAGTACTTAAGGTGCCACAAGACTGTTCATCTTGCTGCAACAGAATGATTAATATGTCTCCCCTCTGGAAATTCTACATTGTTATAGATGAAAATTTTCCTTTTACTGTTTAAATAAACTTTCTTACACTTTGTTTTTAATTCTAAAGCCAAGAGACCTGATGGAATTTATAAAGGTTCCTCGTTGTCTGCTTTGGTGTTATTAAACAATCCAACTTGTTGCCATGGAGACAGAAGAACTAGAAGAGGTGGAAAGACACAGTAGGAAATCAGTCCATGGTCATTGGAAGGATAGTTCTTCGCAGGCAGTATCATGCGTGGACTTGATCTGCGATGATGAATCAGAGGCTTCTGACCATGTGACTGAGAAGGAATCACAGACGCACTACATTCCGATTCGAAGAAATTCCAGGTACTACCGCTCCTTCAGACTTCGGAACAGAGGGAAAGCGAGGAGCAGCAGAGAGGTTCAAACTGAAAGTGTTGAAGGTAAGTAGTCTAAGTAGTTACTCTCCCTTCTTTGCCCATTGAGACTGAGAGTTATGGGTAAAAGTATATAGCAAGGGTTGGGGGAGAGGGTTTACAGGAAGAACAGTGAGAGACTTCTTAAGACTCTAGAATCTGGGTCCCTGCCTTCGTACACCGGCTGCACCTACTGGATATCAAGTTGCTGCAAGTCTAAAACTGCAAAAACAAGAGAGGAAGCCAAATGGGATGAGATCTGATGCCATTTCACTTACAATGAAGCTCTGTTTGGTTGGCAAGACCCACAACTAAAGAAGGAACGAACAGCAAGAACAAGCAAAATATTTCATACAAATGATAGTGTCTACTGGAGCAAGAGACATATTAACAGCACAATGCTAGACAAGTTTACACACAAGTCCATTAAGTGCAATGGAACTTACTCTTTAATAAGTGTGTTTAGACTGCAACCTTGAGAACCAAACACAACAAGATTATTGTTGTCTAAACCACACAGCAAAGTAATTAATAATACTTAGCATGTCTATAGCACATTTTAACCATTCAAAATTCTTCCTCTACGTTATCATGATGATTGTTGTGCTTCTGCTTTTCTACTTTTCTTTGACGCCAGGTAAAGATAACTTTGGTCGGCAAAGAAATGGGTTTTTCCCCAAAGAGATAGCTGTTTTTTGTTTCTACAAATGAGCTTAGATAACAAATTACCCCATCCTAATGCCCTCTCACAGAAGACTGGGCCCATTCTTTCTTGCAATATAACACACAAGGCAAGTCTCTTCCCTTTCTCCAAGCAGATAATCACAAGACTAAAAACTTCTACTTAATATGCTGCTCCAGTCATCGTAGTATGGTATATGGACAAAATGAGCTCTTTTGTATGCTAGGGCAGACATTTCTCCACCCAGTGAATGCAGTATGCAGCAAGGCTAACAAAACAGATTTTCTCATCGAGTCACCTGAGCTCAAGAGAGCCTCTGCACCAAACTTGGTGCAGATGAGGAGAATCTGACCTACACACAGCACAGATTCATAACAACTGTAAAGAAAGACATCACTGCCTGTTTCAGTCCCAGCAGAATTATTTGAAAACAAGCTGATCTGCTACAAGTTACAACTTAAATCTGTGTGGTCTGACCAGTTGCGGTCCTACCTACTCTCTGCTGTTCCACTCCTGAAGCAGCAGCTACTCACCTAAAGAACTAGAAGAGGAATTCATGACGTCTTCAGAACGTAACAGGACTTTATGAAGAGCCAGGGAATCTCTCTTTCACCTAAGCTAACATTTATTCAGACAACTAGCAGAGAATTATCTTCAGCCTTCATACCTCAATGGGTACTGTGTGTCCCTGTAAAGCCTAAATCTTGGGCATATGGAGAACCTCATCTTGCGGCAATAACTAAAGTACACGGACAGCAACGATGGGTGATCTCTTTTATCTTACATTTGAGATCTCTGATGTATTGTTTGTTTACAGAACTGCGCCAAGCTGATCCTACTCTGTTTATGTAGAACTGGGTCTGGGCATTTGCCCCTTGCACATGGGCTCTGTGTTCACCTGCCACCTCTCTTATTTTGGGGTTCTGGAGCAGTCTGGAGCCAATTGTGGTCATGGGTTTGTCCTCCTATCCCACCCACCCAAATGAACCAGCTTGGTGTGAAAAGGCTGAAAGGGCTGAAGTAGCAGCATGATTAATCAGCTGCTTCCTGGATATAATGTGCCCCAGTATCAAGGTCAAATGCCTCATACATCAAATAGCAGACTGGCTCAGGATTTACACTTTGCAGGTAGAAGAGGGTAGAGAAGGGCAGACAGGAAAAAGCTCTACAATCCATTGGTAGAATGAAATTTGACACAGAAAAAAAGGCAGAATGGTAACTAGAAATTGTATGTAAACTGAATATAGTTATGTATCAAACAAATAGCCAGGGAAAGCTTATCACTAATTTCATCCCAAAACAATATTTACTTGGTCCCCATTAATCCCATGTAAAAATGCTCATACAAAAATGTTCAGTGCAGCAACCATAACAGCAATCAATGCACTGTCTGGGAGAAATGCTACATTTTCCAAATAAAAAATACTGCATTTGCGAAATGTGATATTCTTGCTACGTGAGTGTATCCATCAGACACGAAAGTGTGCAACAAATGAGGGAAAATGCATATTAACATCAAAGTACATTATGCTGGTAAAATGGTAAAGTGCATCATTTTCATTCCCATCCTCCCAAATTTTAACAAACAGCCATGAATCAGATGAGATCATGTCTGGTTTCTTGTGGGAACTTTTTCTGGCTCATTTTGATGGAAGCATGTAGGACTTTTGTCATTCTGTTCCTGGAACAAAAAGCTAATTTAAAGCCAATGCCAGAGAACATATCTCTGAGCCTTCTTTCTCAATAATGAAACTAAGTTCTAGGAAAGCTTCCAGGAAACTAAGGGCTGGGATTTCTGCAAGGTAACAGCCACAAGCTTACCTATATATGTATCAAGTAGTCATGTTTTTGTAAAAAACAAAACAAAACACTGTGAAGAAATGAATCAGCCACAAAACAAAACTCTCAACCTCTCTTTTTTCTTAACTGCAAATATTTTATAGAACTGACAGAAAACATTTATTTCTTTATTTCAAAGCCTCACTAAAAAATGGTAATACCAGAAATGAGCTTCTGAACAAAGACGAATTGTTACGCATATTTCACAAGGGCCTGTCTCTGCATGTAAAACGAGATATGACAGCCGCAGAAGAACAATGGTTGCAAAGGTAAGGAAGAAAGTAATTTCCCTTGAGATACAGAAGGCAAAAAAAAAGATAAAATGGGTTTTAAATGAGTATCAAATGGATTGGTCAAATTGCGTGCAGCACTTTCACATTTATTACTTTATTCTGCAGGTTTAATTTTTCAATTACTCTATAAATATGTACAGGCATCAGTTGCTTGTTTTCTTTTTTTATGTAGCCCTTGTTGGATAACGATGGCTATAGGCTGCTGTAGAGCTCTTTCTCCCCAGTTAAGAGAGGGAGCACAGGAGCCAGAGGCCTTCCTGGTACAGCTATGGAAAGGTCTGTGAAAAGTATGGGACAAAAATTGGATTCTGGGCATGAGGGAAGACTCCACAAGGAAGGGTGTTTGAAAAAGGGTGAGGGGCTGCCAGCTCTGCAGGCAAGGGTTGACATAACTGAGCTCCTAAGCGCCACAGGGGTGCCGCAGAAAGAATGTAGGTGGTCAAGGGAGCCGTGGACTCAAAACAGTTGGAAAACCTCTGGTTTAGGAAGTGGCAGTTCCTTCTCAATGGACTATCCTCTCCTCCCCAACCTCTGTAGACCACATACATTGCAGAACAAAGTGTTGGCCACAGACAAGCCTATCATCTATTTAAGATCAGAGAATGTTAGCTTTATAGCTCGATGAAAATGTTGACCCAGTGTGTGGCAGCTGTGGAAAAGGCAGATCTCATGCTTAGGATCATTAGGAAAGTAACTGAAAATAATACTGCTGATACCATAATGCCATTGCATAAATCTATGCTGAGACAACATTTGGAATACAGTGGTACCTCTGGATGCGAACAGGATCCGTTCCGGAGCATCCTGAGTAGAACGTAACACGCGACTGCGTGTCTGTGTGTGCATGGGTCGCGTTTTGCCGCTTCCACGCATGCTTATGACATCATTTTGAGCGTCTGCGCATGCATGAGCGGCAAAACCTGGAAGTAACGTGTCCTGTTACTTCTGGGTCGCCGCGGAACATAACCTGAAAACGCTCAACCTGAAGCATATTTAACCCAAGGTATGACTATAATGGAATCCTCAAAAAGGATGAGTTTTCCTCGCTTCCTTTGAATAAAGCCATTTGCCCACCTCATTTCTAATTCCTTTCATGGAAAAGGTCTAGAAAAAGGCAACCAAAATGATCAATTCTTTTATGAGGAAAGGTTGCTTTGGTAATGGGAGAAGTTCCATGTGCCCAGTCGCTTGGTGGGTGTTCTATGAGTGCAAACAACACTCTGCTTGTTCCCTTCCACACTACTTCTTGGCTGTTATGGGTCATGGAGTACAATCACCTTGTATTAAGATTTGTAAGCTGCTTCATGGCTAAAAAGCCACCAAAGTCGCATACAATTGGATAAAATAATGATGTCCCAGTTATCTGTTTAGTAAGGGGAAGAGAAGGGGACTCTGACTACTGCTGCAACAGAGGGTGGTATTATCAAGGCTACTGTATTCTTGAGTAGTTGTTTGAAAAAGAATTACTAAAGATTTCAAATATTTGCAAAATTGTTACACCATTACGATGCAGAAAGCCATTAACTTACTGGCACACTAGGTGAAACTATTAAGCCTAAAGTTAAAATACAGCAAAAAAAGAAGCAAAAAATAAATTCTGCCTACACAGCTAAAAGATAAATACATGATATATATCATGCTCTGAAGGTCAGCAGACTTAGGCTTTATTGAATTCACCGGGGGCATTAATCCTAAAATAAAGCATTTTGTAGATAAAAATACCATGCAGTATTTCCTTCTCCATTTCAGATGTCAAAATATGAGTGTCTGTGACCACATGAACATGTTCTGTCTTTAAGCTGCTTCATCTTAAAGATATCTGATCCCCATCACATATAAAGTTTTGCTTTGATTTCAAGATCAAGGCCGGATTGGCATTCTGCTGTCTTAAACCCAATGGCCAAATGATGATCAAAACTCCACTTCCCATGCCCTTCCCATCTGCCTCACCTCTGTTCCCTCCATCATTTTCTTTTAAAATTGTGTTGCAAATAAATGTAATCTTAACTATACTCTTCAGCATAAATGTTCAAACTGTTGCCGAACTTGAGAGAAAATCACTGCTAATTAGATTTGAGTGAACCCATGGATAGAAGTAATCACACCAGTCCCCAGAGTGCTTGCAAAGCTATGGGAACACAAAATAGGAAACTAGGAGCTAACTTCAAATTTGTTGCAGAGTTTTTGTCAGAGACTGGAGAAGTGCAGGTGGAGAGACTTGTGTTTCAACAAATTGTGAGCACATTTATGTAGAGTGTCAGTGACCAAATTTTCACAGCCAGAGACAGCTTTGCCATACAGGAAAGTCAAGCTTCAGACAGCACCATAGTAGGAGGATAAGTGAAGGCAGAAATTGGTGTCTGAGTGATCAAGCAAAATCTTTGGCCCAAGCAGGCAGATGGATACATGTGGGCCCTGCTTCTGGCAGCAAAATGTATTGATCTGGCACTGCACACACAACTTGTTTTAAATGATTGGTAGTTCTGTATTAGTCCTTATAAGGACTAATAACATGCTCCCTAAAAATCTTCTGTTCCTGATTCATTGACTAGTTACAGGAATAAACAGTCCAAAGTTCATACATACTTGGCAAGTCCAGAGAACTTTAGCTGCATGTCACATTTACTGCAAATCCAGCCCAGTAACCGCCTGTCCCTGCCTTGAATTAAAGACAAAAAAAACCCTCAGTGCCTTCAAAAGCAAAAGCTGATTCCTCCTGTGGTGTTTTTTAAATAATGTATTTGCCCACAAAAAAGTAAGGACAAGAAAAATGCTATTAGCCGTATAAAATTCCTGCATGTTATTTAGAGAAATGGCAATGCCACAATTAAGTATGCAGGAATCCTCCTTCCCAATAAAGTTATGCTATATATCCCTAGCCAAATGTTTCTTTCCACATAATTCCCCAGACATTTTGCAATAGCAGGAGTCTCCAAATTTGACTTGAACTTGAAGGCAAAATTCAGTGCCAATATAGGGTTATGAGTTGACCCACTCTGCTCCAAGGAAGTTCATTAGACTAAAGACTAAAGTACACCATCTTGGCAAATCTTGTTTCTAACATTTCCTTTCTTGCAAGGGGAGGGGGCTCAAGGATGCTTTCCTCCAGCAGGGTTTACTTCAGGTTTCAGAAACAAGACAGCTAGGAGGAATGATTAAAAATGACCTAGGGGCAACTGAAAGGAGACTTGGCAGGCAGGGAACTGCCTCCCACAAGCCAATTCTCCTCTGCAGTTTCCCTAATCCAGTCCCTATATTAGCATGAAAGGGGGGTAAAGGGGCTAGGAATGTGCTGTAGCATCCTTCAAAATTCCTTAGATGATTCACTTGATTTGGACTGTCCAAATTCACCTCCAAATTCTGCTTTCGGCTAACTTTAGTAACGATCCTTGTTACATGATGTAGATGGAAATGTTCTCATTTAAAAAACAAACAAAAAACCCACCACAAATATTTTAGCATAATCTGAGGTATATATTTCCTCTTGGTTTGAATAAAAATTCCTTAGAGCAAGTTTTTAACACCTTGTAGGGTGTTTTTTCCACCCCTTCTAAAATTTTTTTGCTATTATATCATGACAGATATAAATGAGCTAACCTCAGCTGCTAAGAGAGCTACAGCAAATTACATTTAGCAAATGTAAATAGGATTTTAAAATGTAAATAAGCTGTCAGTTTCACTTTTGCATTGGAAAGAAAAATCCCACATACCTGAAATACACAGGAACTGATGTCAGAAGTAACCGAATTGTGAAGGAGCTTAAGGACTTACATGCAATCACTGGGGGGGGGGGGGAATAAATGAAGATTTTAAAATATGTATTAAGAAAATTATTAGGAGACTTTGAGCTTCTCTGCTGAATTATTTATATAGGTCATATTTAAGCAACTATATAGGACAGAACCCAAGCAAGAGCATCATAGCTAGTCCAGCTTTCCCACCTCTGCCTTACTCTTGAGAGCTATATTCATTCCCTAAATCTATTATGGATGGGTAGAATATCACATTAATGTCACTGACAAGTTACTTCATATATCATGTAATTGTGGGATAAGTCTGTTGATCATGCAAAAAGCACTAGTTATACCAATTTAATTACTTTTTTGAGGTGACTGCTATCTAACCTGCAATATTTATGTATAATAGAATTTAACAGAAAAAACTGCATTACAAAACCGTAAAAAGGTCAACCAATTTAGTAGTACATAAACCAATTTAGCAGCACATTGTTAAAGAACTGGCCAGATGCACTGAATTGTTATAAATGTAAAAACTAGGCATCAGTGAATTGAATTTTCCATTAAAGTGTACTCAAGTGCAGAGATTAAAGTTAAATGATCACTTTGCTCAAAAAATGTGTTACTGGATGATAACACTGGAAGAAATAACGTCACAATTCATTATTATCCATTTGTGGTACAAAGGAGTAATAAGGCATTTTAGAAGTAATTCGTTCAAATGCAATGATGGGGTAGAATCTTTAAAGAGATCAAGTATCCAAGGTCTAAATAATTTTAAATTAGGTATTGGAAACGATCCTGCTATATTTTCCTGTATTGTTTTTCAACAGATACCTGGGTAGTTTCAAATCCAATCTTCTACTGTGCACATTTTTATTTCTTCCTCTTTACTGTTTCTTCCCTTTTAGCTGACAGTCCATTAGCACACAACTTCTATTACTACTTTTGCTTAATCAAAGTCTTCCTGCTTTCTTTTACCTCAGAAAGGAAGTGGTATACTGTACACACCCGTTTCCCATTACCCTATGCAGTACTCCTCAAAGCCCAAATTCAGGTAATAGACATTGAATCTAGGTTATGCATTGCAGTCAGGTTGATTCCTGGTTCATCTAATTGGTTCTTCGGTTTATTCATTTATTTAGTAAAGGATTCCTTTCTGTTTAGATTCTACATAACCTTTGCACAGCTTCACTCATGCCTATAATCTGAGGTTGGTTCTAATATCAGGATCGACCCCCACAACCCTCTCTTCCATCATATATGTGACTTGGCATTATCTCTGCAGGAATGCTGGCAATATTATGAGGGAGTCTTCATATCTTGTGACTCAATCATTAGGCCAAAATGCTGTTTTTCAGTCTTTTCTAGTAATCAGTGCTTTGAATTGACTGCCAAATTTGAAGTTTCTATATTTTGTGGAAACACAAAGAATTTGGGTACCTTCATCAGTGTAAGTGAAGCCCAAGCATCTGTATGGAGATCTACATTGAATTAACGTACAAATCAAGAAGCACAGTTCAGTGAGTGTACAATTCAATATGTGCTACAAAATAAGTAATTACTTCCCAGTCACAGAACCTTTAATTACTCATACAGAGATTCATACAACCTTTTCCTTTGAGCCACCCTTTTCAAATATGAAAGACAGTGGAAATCTGGCTCTGTTCTCCTGCTGAAGGATTGAGGTCTACCACCACAACTTGTCTCAACCTGTCCAAAATTTACATAAGAACAGCCTGCTGGATCAGGCCAGTGACCCGTCTAGTCCAGCATCCTGTTCTCACAGTGGCCAACCAGATGCCTGTGAGAAACCTGCAAGAAGGATTCCAGCACAAGAGCAGCACTCTCCCCTCCTGTAGCTTCCAACAACTGATACTCGGAAGCTTTACTGTCTCCAACTGTGGAGGCAGAGCATGGCCATCTTAGCAATACAAGACAAATACCTGTATTGGCATTGTAAGTTAAGACATTTAAAGTCTGTGGGATAAATTAAAAGGGACAGGCTATCAGGGCCACAAGGCACTCAATTGTTCTGCTTCACCCTGTCTATTCCCTTGAGGGATGATTCATTAAGAACCCTTTCAGGTAAGATGGAGACAGGGCCATCTTTAGCAGATGCGGTGCCGGGGTGCAAATATCTGCCCAGCGCCCCCAAATTACCATGGACAGTGTTGGAGTGGTCATAGCTGCACACCGCCAGCCATCCGGGGGGGGGGGCGCAACTCTCCCCCATGCCACTACGGGAGAGCGATCCTCGCAGAGGCTTGGGAGTGAAGTTGCACCGCTCCCAAGCCTCCTTGGGAGGAGAGCGATCCTCGCAGAGGTTTGGGAGTGAAGTTGCGCCCCTCCCAAGCCTCCACGGGGATTGCTCTCCTCCCAAGGAGGCTTGGGAGGGAAGCTGCACGCCCGCCAGCCTTATGGTTGGCGGGGCACAGCTGGTGGGCGTGCAGGGAAAGGGGAGTCGCCGGCAAAGCTGCGCAGCTCCCCCACTTGCTGGGGCGCCCCGAGAGGCTGGCGCCCTGGCGCAACTAAGCCCTATGGGAAAGACGGCTCTGGATGGAGATTAAAAAGGAAGCCACTGAGGCAGTAACGTCCTTGTCCCTGTCCTCTAGGAGGAACCTCATTTTGCTTTTTCTCAGAGCCGTGGGTCGCAGGTCCAGCATCTTGCTCAGCATCTGTTTGCGGAGTATGCTGCCACCTTAGCTAGCGTTCATCCATAGCGCTCTCCTCCATGAATCTGTCTAATTCTTTTTTAAAGCCATCTAAGTTAGTGGCCATCACTGCCTCCTGTGGGAGCAGGTGAAGAAAATCTACTTTGAATCCCTGGCCTCTTCATATTCTGCCCCTCATACAGGGTGAATCCTTTAAAAGAGGCCCTGTGGATACAGAGTACACATGTTCCATGGGGCCTCTTTTAAGAGACTCACCCTGTACTAGGCTGTAGCTACCCACAAACTTGGGCATGCACATATGCCCCTCTATACATAATGCTTCAAGAAATGTACAATGTACCCACATGCTCATGTTTTCTGTTTTTCCTCAAATGCCCCTCCCACCTTACCATGGCCTAGCCCTAGGCCTAGGGTGAAGAATCTCAAGTTTCCCATCATCAAGAATATTACTAGGGCTGCGTCACTGAAATTTCTTCAACTTAACCATCCAATATTTACTTCCATCCACTAAAATTAGCTGACTGGAACATAAAACTTAGCCAAATGCCCAACCCACCCTGCCCTGCCCCTTTTATGAGCTGCCAAACCCCTCAAGTAGCAAAATCATTTTAACCTCACCACCACCCCTTATTTCTCAATTACACATACAATATGGGTCAAACTGTGTGCTCAAGCAATACCAGTATACAGCTAAATTGTTCATGTAACTTGACCCAAGTGGATACCAATTTAAGTGAAGTAATTTTATCCAAACTGTTCTAATACAGAGTGTGTGTGTATCTAAAATATTAAAATATAATTGAAAAATAATTGACTTTTCTTTAAACCCAGGAATACAGATATAGGTTATGTAACACTATTGCCTATATTTCATAATTCTTATTTCCTACTGTTTGCATAATTTCCAAAGAGGCAGATGAGAACTAGCCTTTATACAAAATGTGCCCCATTTCTGAGTTTTTCTTTCAGTTCCCAAGCTTGGCATAAATATCTAGAGGAAGATGTGTTTGCTCCAATTTGGCACATGAAATAGAAATTAAAATGCTGATGTTTGAAAAATATCCCTGAACATAAAACATTGAAATCCAAATCAAGAAGGGTTTTTGTAGCATGTATTATTTTCCTGGGTTTGTGTGGAATTTCTGCAGAGGTAATGAGGGAAGAGACTGCTGAGATTTTCTAAAATCCCCAGAACTGACATGTATTTCCGTAGTTTAGATCTGGTTATATTTGTATTTTTGGGTGACAGTGAATTCAATTATTAATTTTCATTCTGTAAAAATAACTGCACCAAAATAGAAAGAAATAGAAGAAAATAACTCTCTTCCTACACTCCAGCTTGCAAGAGAATGCAAACTGGACATCAGATGAACATTGTAATCTCTTTGCTGGATCAGAGCTAACATCCTTATTATGATCCAGCATTGTGCCTTCAGAGTGGTCAGGCAGATAGTCCTGAAAAACTCATGAGGAAACCTATCTATTGTTGTTTGCCTGCAGATATGTTCTCTTGGAAGATGGATGCCCCATTTTAGCTATCATGACTAATAACAAGTGGTAGACTTCTATAAATTGCACTGTCCTAATAAGAGGCTAACTTCATTCAGGATGAAAAGCCATGTCAATTCATGTGACAAACGCCACAAACCGTATCATTGGTTGAACTGCTGCAGTTGGAACATTTTTATATGTAAGCCACCTTGCGTTCCATCAGGGGAAAAGGCAGGGTATAAACAAATATTTAATAATAACTACCATTATTGCCCGATTTTCCACGCGAAAATACAAAGGGGGATCCTGAACATAAGCGTGCAATGAAAGGGAGGGGGAACTAAAACCCTTCCTTTTACCATTCCGAGTGTGACTTGTAAGATCATTGAATCTTTTATAGGGTTAAGTGTTCCCGTTAACAGCCTTATACAAGTTGTCTGTTGCACAGGAGAGCTCTCGGGTCCAATCCCTGGCACTACAGGATCTCAGGTGGCAGAGCTGACTGTACTGAGTGAGACCTTGGAGAGAGTCTGCCAGTCAGAGAGGACAATAATGGGCTAAAAGGGTAGGCTAGTTTCTAAGGAGCGCTTACTCCCAAGTGTTCTCCAGACTCCTGGGGGAAACAGGTGTCCGCTCTTCTGCGTGGATATTACCTGTTTTGCAGCGGTGCGCGCGCCTCTCTCTGCCTAGAGATCTCTTTTTGGGGGCGGGGAGGGGGTCTCGTTAAAGACCAGTGCGCGGGGGTGGTTGGGGCTTTCTCTTGAGTTTTGGGCGCAGCAGCTGCGAGGGACGTCTCTGCATGCTGTTCTCCACCGTGTGCGCCCGAGAGAGTGGTCTTTGTGAACAGGACAAAAACTGAGGGGTGTGGGGAGGTCACTCCAGTCATTTCGCCTTGTTCAGGAAGGTGGCTGTTTGGGGATTGAGCGGAAGAAGTGGGCGCTCGGGAGCTGCTCAGGAGTAATAAGGCGAGGGAAAGCGCAGAGGGGGCGGCAGTGGCGGCGGCGGCGGCCTCCCTCCCCCTCGTGCGCCACCGACCTTTCTTTTCTCTCTCTCTCTTTTATTTCCCCCTCCCGCGCAGGCTGCTCCCTTCCTACCCCGGTTACCGTGGCAACCGCCCGGACTCCCCCAGCCCCGCGCCTGCTGCGGAATCGCTCCGTAGCAGTAGCAGCCGCTCGCTGCAGGACTCGCTGCTGCTGCCGTCGCTTTCGCCGCCTCGCATGGAGCTCCTGGCTGCCGCGCTCAGCGCCGCCTGCGCCCTGGACCATGAAGGCTCCGCGGAGAGCGTGGCCGGAGCCCGCCCGTCCGGCAGGTGAGCCAAAGAGGAGGAGAGCCGTTCGCCCTCCTAGAGCAGGGGGCGCCCCCTTCGACGTTAGACCTCAAGACTCGCGAGCGGGAAGTTCGCTGGTCTTGGCGCCAAGCCGCGTGCCCCGCGTGCCTGCCCGCCCCCTGTAGGGAATGTGGGACAGAGCTCCCCTCTGGACTCCCCCGCAGGCAGGCACCCGCCGCCAAGTCCGGAGGCTTAGTTTCCAGGTCTCCTCGCGGCTGCCCTCCTCCATTTCTCTTCCCGTCCATTACTCGGACGAGGGAGCGAGGGTTAAAGCAGCCGCTGCCCTCCCCGCCTCGCCCCCCGCGCTTCTGAGTCGGGGCGTCGAAGTGGTTCCCTCCGCCCCTCCCCTCAGTGCTGTGAGGGACCGGAGGCCAGAACTTCCCGAGGTGGGGGGGGGTATAGCACACCAGGGAGTGCGTGTGAGCCCCGGCACCTCTCCTTTTTGCAATGTTATCATTGGCTTGCACCTCCCTAGGAAAGGTTGATTCCTCATTTGCCCTCCTTTCTGTTGCCGCTCGTGAACCCCATCCTTTTTTTCCTTTCGCCTGCTTCACTTCAGCAGGGGCTTCCTGGATTTTTCCTTTCTTTCTGGGAGGGAGCCCAGTGTGCTCAGTTTCCAGGGACCGTGGCAGTGAGGGCGTGATAGATCCCGGAGTCAAATTTTAAGTTTGGTTTATTTGCCTTGGTCCCTTTAAGAGCACTTGCAGCCCATGTAGTCCCTGCTGTTAGCCCGAACTGATTCTGCCAGTAGGGTGGGAAGGAAACAGAACAGGCATCCATACTCCTTGGTTTGTTTTTGTTGCTTTTCTCACCCAAAGTGAGTCTCCTTCCATGGCTGGACCAGCTTCTAGTTCCGAAGAAAGCCCTGTGCATCCCGACTGCCCGGCTGCTTTCCCTGAGGCTCTGCAAGTGATTCATCCCATGACAGCAGACTCTTGGAAAAACTTCATTGAGCAAATAGGTAAGACAAACACTCCGGCTGCAGTCGTGTGTGCTACTAGTTACAGTCAAATGTTCCTCCTTCTGGGAAAGTTATTTTTCTTTTTCTTTTAAAATGGTATTGGAGGTTCTAGTGTGTGCAAATGAATCTCACATGACCTTAGCCCGTAAGTCATATTCACCTCAGTAAGACTTATTACTGCATAAACATGTATAGGATTGTTGCTGTACTATATATAGCAAAACATAGAGGGCAGAAGAAGTTGGCTGCCCATTTCCCACTTTCCATAAAACTGGATAACATTCTTCGTTTTTCTATGGGTGAAATTAATATGTGTTCATATGTCGTTAAGAAACATAAAACACACCAGAAATAAATTTGAGATCTGTAAAAACACCTTCCCCACCCCAAGGACCCTTGACACTTATGAGCAGTATTTTCGGAGGACAATTTTTCCTCCAAAAATAGGCCATCTAAGCAAGATCATTTCAGAGCATTTTTCCTGAACTATTTAAGGCACCACCAGCAGCAGTATATGCTATCGTTTCTCATAAAAGAACTGAACTGGCTGTCTTTGTTAGCATCTTACCAGCTCTCATCATCCTTATGCTTGTTGTTATCACTTGCAGTGCGGTAGCGTTCATATTGGATGGTGTAAATAAAGGGAGCTTGTGAAGTGGGGACCAAAGCTTGTCTTTCCATGACAGCAGTATAAAAAAAACCCCATCCCATTTTACATTCAAGAAAATGATATCTGGAATATCTGAGCAAACTGGTAGCATATATGAATAGTAATATCCTGCTTTTTGATGATCTTCTGGTTCCATACAATTGTAGATTTGGAAGGGATCCCTAAGGATCATCTAGTCCAACCCCCTGCAATGCAGGAATATGGAGCTGTCCCGTAAGGGGATTGAACCGGCAACCTTGGTGTTATCAGCACCACGTTCTAACCAGCTGAGCTATCCATATCCCTATAGAGGCATAATCATATCTTTTCAATATTATGACTTGTTTATTAGCTCTCTTGAACTTTATACTGCCTGACCAGCAAATAGTTAAGGTATATGCTTCTCTTTCAGAAAAGAAGCTTTCTTGTAGTCACTTGAGATATATATAATTACTGTCTCCAGCCAAAATCACTAAAGTATTATTTTCCCCCATCCCATTCCTTTACCATACTCATGGTTTTGTTTAATGCGAAGCATAGCCTTGATTATTTACAAAAAATAAATTATCAGCTTTTGAAAATATGTAATAACATAGTTCAAGTGGAATTATGCAAGTATAATTTCACTAGAACAGCACAATGCATTTAAGTGTAATCTCTCATTTTCAGTTAAGTGTGGGAAGCTAACAGGAAAGTACATGGTTTCCAAGGTACAGTTTCTCCTACTGCTATTTTAGTCCCATTCTGAATAGTGTTCCAGAAAGAAGCGATTACTGAATATACTTACACTATGGGAAAAAGCTCGTTCCTTATACCACTTCCCCATTATAAATCATGTGCATTATCTAAGATTATAAGCTAAATATAGTTTAGTATACAGAAATATTAAAGTACTTGACACAGAGGTATGTGAAGCAGTTCATGAGTTACAATTTTGATTTTCTTTACATTAGGTAAAATGTAAAATTGTACTGAAATAAATATACTTTTGAAAAAGTCCATTCTCTGCTTACTGGAGCTGAAGGGGAAAGCAATTTTAAATTGCATTTAACTTTCAAATGAAGGGAGTGGCTCACAAGAAATTAGCACAAACTGGTGTTTTGATTTATTTAAAATAGGATTTATAGTTTTATCTGGTACAAGATTTTATTCACCTCTTATAGGGCAGGCCCAGTGAAAATCCAAAATAAATTTTGTCAAACTGTGGTATTATTGAAATCCCATAAGAAATAGTAGGATTTGGTTATTATTGTTATTATATATTATTACTATTTTTGGTGGCCTTGTATAATACTAATTATGAAGTATTCCTCATATTTCTGCACAACCTGATGCACAATTGCAGGAGCATTCTTGCGCTGCTAAAGTTTGTTTTTTGAAGGTAACGTAGTGTATTATGGGAAGACCTTGTATCTCGTTGCGAATTGTGGGGTACTACAGGTTTCATTATATATTCCTTCATTGTCTACAAGTTGGTGAAGTTGCTGGATCAGATCAAGTGACAATTTGAAATTATGTGCTCTCAGTACAGTCATGTCCCTTGCATCTGTGACCAGAACATTGGTTAGCACAAACAAAGATTGCTTCCAAACTATGATTTGCAAAGCCATTTCAAACCATGGTTTAAAATAATAGTTTAGAAGCAATTCCTGTTTAGAACTAGCCAAAGTTTGCCCAATTTAGACATCACAGCAGGCTACCTTGAAAGGGAAGAACATAAAAGGCAAAAGAGGGAGAGGACTATGCACCCATTTGTCCAGCTCATTCCTAATCTCCAAGTTATACTCTAGATTTTAGACCAGCATGACAACTGACCTTGGCCTAAGTTGAGCTGTTCTTAATTGCTATTTGGTGGCTTTAGCTAGCATGCAATATTTAGTCCTAGATATGTCTAAGAGACTAGAATATTGCAGCCTAAATGGGTGGGTTTTTTCATGCTCAGATTGAGCAGCGTATTTGGGACTGGGGAGAAAATTTCCCAGGTTGGATAGGCTAATGACTCTAAGTTTTGGCTTTTCTTTTGCTTGCATCAACTAGAGCTATTTGTTCTGCAGCGATTTTTCAATGGCTTGTATGATGATACTGATTTAAAACACAATCCTGGGAACTAGGTATTTGGAATCACTACTCTAACATTGTTTCAGATTCCAGCTTTCCTTTTTCTAAACTGTTCTGGCTGAAGCAGCCAGGATATACAATATTCAAAATTTGTGCATTAGCAACTACTGTTCCTCGATCAGGACATGGCTCTGGAGGAGTAGACATTCAAAGAACAAATCTGTGTGCTTTGGTGCTTTGTAGGGCTCTTGTATCAAGAATATCGGGATAAATCTACACGTCAGGAGATTGAAACCAGGCGGCTGCAGGATTCACAGACAGATGCAGAAGAGTGCACAGCTACTGAAGACACAGCATCACAGACAGAAGCCACAAATACCGAAGAAAGCAAGGCTGTTCCCCAGATATGCTTGCTCAGGAATTCCACTTCCAGGTTTAATTTGTGGCAAGATCTTCCAGAAGTCAGGAGCAGTGGTGTTCTGAATATTCTCCAGCCAGATGAGATCAAACATCAAGAGGTAATACAACTTCAGGGAAGGGTGGATGAAAGGAGCATTGCACTGCTGACATTTCAGTGGAAAACTCTGTGGGTTGACTCATTTAATACAAAATGACACAGTTTAATGTTAATCTCATTGATATTAGTAGAGCGACTGTTTTGTGAAATCTTTAATTTACTCTCCTTGCTTTTGAAAAGTCATGGCCATCCTGTTTTTTCTCAATCCCTGCCTGTTTCTGCCTCTAGAACAGGGTTGGGCTGCTATAGTAACCTTAATGGAAGACAAAGGGCTAAAGTTGCTAAAACTGATAATGCAAGTGTCTTTAAGTTCACCAAAAGCAATAAAGCAGACAAAAAGGCACGAGAGGACTGTAATAAACTCTACAGAAGTGTGACTGAAGGACCATTGGATTATCTGTATATTCTTCTCCATGCGTGGAGATGGAGGCCTTCTCACTGTGGTATATAAAAAGCTCTGCTGTCAATAGGCTGTTAGGGCAAGAGATGGGCACACTCCCATTCTTCTGGTACAGCCTTAACAAGCAAGAAAAACTGTACCAGCCCTGAAGGTGGCATAGCAATTTTGCTTCCCATTGAATGCAAGGGGGGGCAGGGAATGAAAGAAAAAACCAAAACCAAAACTGATAACCAGGTACAAAGAAAGAGAGTGAAAGGAAAAAGCAGCCTCTAAATGTCTGTCCTGGGTGGTATGGTATTGAACTTGAACCTTCCCTTTCCTCTTCAACCTCTATAAGATTGCTGTTAGGAAGAAAGAAAGAAATTGCAGAGATTGCAAATTAATTAAATGCATCAGTCCTTATTGTGAAAGATGTTGGAAGAAGCTCCCTTTCTTTTATTCAGAAATGACAGTTTTTAGATGAACTGAGAAACTAAACCATAATTTACTCATTCACTGGGAGTGGATGGCTTTCACCAAAGAGTCCTTCAAAATCTCAAATGATAGAATTGTTGATCTTATAATCAAAATACTGCACATAACTTATCACTTAATTATTTAATAATTGGGAGGTAAACAATGTCATACCGTTTTTTTCAGAAGCATGCCAGAGGCTCCAGGAAATTATTAACCAGTCAGAAATTTCTGTGTAGATTGCCTTAATAGTTATTTCCACCAAACATCTATTCATTAATTTTTTTTCATTTTGGGCTATGCAGCTTATAATCAAAGTAATAGCAATAAAATGTAAGCTATGCAGCAAAATAAACAAGACAGAGAGCTAAAAATAGAGCCAGCCAAGAGAAAATAATAGAGCTGTTGAACGTATACAAGAAAAATCATTACTGGGGGCGGGGGGAATCAAGGGGAAGTTTTAATGTTTGATGTTTTACTGTGTTTTTAATATTCTGTTGGGAGCTGCCCAGAGTGGCTGGGTCAACCCAGTCAGATGGGCAGCATACAAATAACAAACAAACAAACAAATAATAATGTAGCAATTTTAATACCTGGGTGAAAGATGCAATTTCCTCTCTTCTGCATAATTATTAAAGGTGCAGAAGCCCTGTTTTGTTTAGTACGTATTTCACCAGCTGCTATACATTGAAGTACATATGCTCTTCAATACGGAAAATCCAGTGAGCACATTTGGAATACTCTGTATGGATGTAGTCATCTGAAAAAGAATATTTAGGAGCTGGAGGAAATACAGTCTGCAGGTTTTTACTGTGGTACAACGAGTGCTGGGCTAAACAGATCTTTGTTTTGATCTAATGTTCTTTGTTTTGATTCGGTAGAGTCGTTTTAATGTGTGGAATCATACATAGTGTAAATGCAGAACAGCACAATGCAATTGTTGGGAATTCAGAATTCAGCATCCAGAATATTTCAGCTGCTATCGTGGTTTTTAAAGGAAATTTCTAATCTTTATAGTTGTACACATACAAAATAGGCTTAAAATGGTCAGAGTTCAGCTTTTCTGGGCACAGCATTTTGGTTACCTTGGTGCATTATTTTTAATGGTGAAGAATATGCATACTTCCACAAGGCACAAAACTGGGGCAGTCACTATATACCGTATGTCCCCATGGTTGACATATAGCTGCAATCCTATACGCACTTACCTGGGCATAAATGTCATTGAACTCAATGAGGGTCATATCTGAGTAGTGGAATATGACTCTGGTGTTTGTCTGATGTTATGCCTTGCTGCCAAAACTGCAGGATTCCTGCCATAGGGACCTATTTTTTTCCTGTTTTTGGCTGATTTCATTAAGTCTAAAAATAGCTGAAGAGTTGTAGGAGTAATGACAGGCTCCTAGCTCCAAGAAAGGATTTTAGCTCCCAGGAAAGGTCAACCATTTCTTATTTACACTTTGTACGACCAGCCTGAGCGTTAGTATCATTTCCTATTTAGTAATTCTTAGTCTACAGATGTTTTAAGTTCAAAATCTGAGAGCTTTGAAAGGCAGATATTATGGAATTAATGATGGTGATTATTTTCTTCGCCTTGCTTTTCATAACTGGGGCAGATTGAGCTGAAGTATGGCTTAATTTAAATAGCTTCGTGCCTTATGCTTGTTTATAGTATGTGCTGCAGTTGGAATAGCAAATTTTTTAACAAGTCTATTAAAGTATAGCAATTCAAAATGAATAGATGTCAATAGAGGCAGAAGAGATGCTAGAGCCATTTACAATAAATAGCAGAGTAATACTTGTGAAATAAATATGTATTGTATAAATATACCAAAAAATGCAACAACCCAAAAACGGTTGTTGAGGTGTTGATATTATTTTAAAAAACAAAGTTTAAAGATTTTTTAAGAAGGGGGGAGAACTTGACATAGAAGTATCCTTTTCAGTGACATCATGCATAACATGTTCCAGCCTAATGCATATGTCAGTCAAGAGACGTGGTTATACAGGTCCAACTTTTTTCAAGGCCATTAACTTAAGACACTGTGATGGTCCACAAAGAACAATGAAACTAGAATGGTGGCCTATAGCAACTTTTAACAAATTTTTGTTCTAGATCAGTTGGCATAGGCAAACTGGGTCCTCCAGATGTTTTGGGACTACAACTCCCATCATCCCTAGCCAACAGGACCAGTGGTCAGGGATGATGGGAGTTGTAGTCCCAAAACATTTGGAGGGCCGAATTTGCCTATGCCTGTTCTATCTAGGACATAAGAGCTTCCTAGGATGGAGGATGAGGGCTGCTTTTTGTTTGGTGAGGGGGAAAGAGCCAACTTTGAAAAAGAGCTATTGCAACGAAGTACAGTAATCAAGGGTACTGTTTAAGGTTTCATAGGGAGGTGCACATAGCGATATGGGAAGTGGGTAAGATTCACAGCAAGGTGCAAAGGTATATATTCATAATTCAGGATTAAATTAAAGTTAAAAGCATTTGTGTTTTTTTAAAATATATTTTATTAATTTAAGATACATACATATATGAAAAAACAGACGGACAAACAAGTAAACAAACATACAAACAAACAAACAAACAACAAAAGAATCAAACAAACCACCACACTATAAGATACATCAAGATAATTATAACACTCATCATATATACTCCTGGTACTGAAATCAATTATAAAACTTATAGAGAAGAAAATTTAAAATGACTTCTAAGCATTTGTTATTTTTTATGCCTCATAATAACCAGATGTGGTTGCCATATGTAATCTGGCACATGTACAGGGGAGCTGACCCAAATGTTGGCCCTAATGGCAACAAGAAAGGTTCTGGCTACTCTGAAATGGGTCAGCATTGAGTCCAAGTGGTACATTGACAGCACTGGCACAAGGAGGCTCTGGAACTGACTGATTAAAATGATGGGAAATGAGGTTTTTCTGGAGTGGGGTGGCAGTTTGCTTTCAAGCCTCTTGTATCCTATCCCACTAGAGAGTGCTGACAGCTTCTAATACTGCAGCTGCTGGGAACTATCTACCCTTGTTTTACGCAGGGTGGCATTGAAGCAATTGTGGCTCAGGCCTTTATGCGTACTGCAGCAACTACAGAACGAGACAGAATTGGTGTGCCCAACAAAGATTTATACCTAAAACAGTACAGGCCATTCTTAAAGCAACATAGGCAAATTTTGGTTGAACAATGCTAAGAAAAGGGAATTATATAAGTGTTCTAAGTTATAAAGCATCAAAAGACCATAGGCAACAAAAAATGAATTGGAATGGATGTTGTGTCCTCAAGCGATGGAAAAAGTAAACTGCTTAGAAAGTAAGTGATAAAGTTATTTTGAAAAGGTTGACAGAGGTGAATATCACTATCCATATTAGATGAAATAGTGAAATATGCAAAAGGCTGAAAGACTTGACTACGCATCTGTAAAGCAAGCAAGCAAATGTTTGCTAGTACAGTGTTCCTGAATCTAGATCTGGATCACCATATTTCTGTTTTTAAGCCTGTCCAAACAGGTTTTGGTGTGAGACAAAGCAGGGGGAATTAGGGATATAGGTTTCCAATAAACACAAATGCTGGTTCTAATTGAAAATTAGAAAAACTGCACAAGATACTGGGCTGAAAAATTGAAACTGCTAGGGGTTATAAGGAAGGAAAAGGAAAACAAATGGAATACTGATAAAAATGGCTATATCACTGATGGATAGCTTTAATTATCTAAACATCTGTTGAGAATGAATCACCAATGTCATTCTTGAGCTATATCGAAAATAATTGAAAGATGCAGAGGAGACAAGCCAGAGAGAAGACATTACTCAGGTTCTTGTACTGGTCTAGCATGGAGAATGTGACTGTAATGGAGAAGACTTGGAACAACTATCTAGCAATTATAAGAATTCATAAATGTATTACTATATCGTAAAAATACTTATTCATGATGATGCTAAGCACTGAGCTGTTCAAAGCAGTGAGTGAGCTTGAAGGCCAAGAACACTTCTTTTGGCAATTCTAAATATGTTTCTTCCTTCTTGGTGATTTTAGTCTTAATACTTTGTTGTACCCTATTCCAGTTCACATCCAAACTCTGGTCTTTGCTGTGTGCTTTGATTTAAAACTTAGTCTCATCCTGGACTTGCAGCATTATTTTTTCCTGCCACAGAGGATTATCTTTGGAGGAACACATACATAAGATACTTCACCAGAGTGAAAATCAAAATAGATTTTTGCAGGGAAGTATGTGAAAATGAGGCTACTAACAAAGACTTTCCCTCCTACAAAAGTCATGTGCATTTTCCACCAGTATTTCACTACAGAAGACAAATGTTATGTAAGAATTGGAACTTAAATGTTACATTAGGAGTTGGTCTTCCTTTGCTGCTTTTTCATGACTGAGTGCAGTTATGCAAGAAACTGATTAATATGAACATTTATTGAACGTTTTTGGAAGACAAAACTATTAGGGAAAATTGATATATTCAAAATGTTGCTTGCAGTGTTGTACCACATTTTTTGCACACCACTATTTGTTGAAGTGGAAAGTCGGGTGTCAAAAGCTGTTTTTTAAATACCCTCCCTTGGTTGGGTTTTTTTTTTTTTTTTAGTTTTGGCACTATTTTTCCACTAGCAAACACGATAATGACGCAGCACCATAAAGCCTGTCAGATTTAGCTGTGTGACAATGTCACTGACAAAGTCTTTGCAGTGCCGTCACTGATTGGAGAGGAAAGAAGGAATGAATCCCTGTTGTTGCCAAGGAGATTGGCAAAATTCACATTCCTTGCTGTGCTCAGTTTTGCCTCTGCCCCCCCCCACTGGCATGTGGCCCCCAGAATGTGGTGGCCCAGGAAGGAATGTGGTCCTCGTGTTCCCCACCCCGTTACAATATCTTCTGCACAATTAGAAAATTAAGTATTTCAGGTAGCATACTCAAGTTTCAACTCTTTAGAAAAAGCATTCTGAGGTGGTTGTGGTTGTTTTAAACTTACATGTTCTGATTCAGCTGTAGCTGTACTTTGATTAGCAACTCCAGATGGGATGTTCAGTCCCATCTGCATCAATTCTGCACCCCAAAGTTCGTTGTCATCCAGATCCATATGGTGTGGTCTGGCTTGGTAATCGGGGTGGTAACTCTATAGAGCTGTGAGCTTTTGCCCTGTGACTATGAATACTAGACTTGCCTACCTGTCACTGAGGCTTTCAGAGCCTTCACTTATATTGTGCATCATTCATGTAAAATTTTGGAATTCTTCTGCAGGCCATGTTTGAACTGGTTACCTCAGAAGCTTCATATTATAAGAGCCTGAACCTTCTGATATATCACTTCATGGAAAATGAGCGATTGAAAAAGATTCTACATCCTTCAGAGGCTCACATCCTCTTCTCCAATGTCCTAGATGTCATGGCAGTCAGTGAGCGGTAAGGCTTTTAGTGATTAATATGTGTAGGAATTAAATCTCAATTTTGTTGTTGCTGTCCCTGGGGAGGCATAGGTGGGGCCTGTTCGTGTTTTCAGCTTCTGTAAATTATCTTTATAAGTTAATGTCTCCCCTTTTATACTGTAGAGAAATGTACCATTGTCCATAACTATACAGTGGTACCTTGGGTTACAGATGCTCCAGGTTACAGACGCTTCAGGTTACAGGCTCCGCTAACCCAGAAATAGTACCATGGGTTAAGACCTTTGCTTCAGGATGAGAATAGAAATCGCGCGGCGGTGCTGCGGCTGGAGGCCCCATTAGCTAAAGTGATACCTCAGGTTAAGAACAGTTTCAGGTTAAGAACGGACCTCCAGGACGAATTAAGTTCTTAACCCGTGGTACCACTGTACTGACTTAAACAGCATCATTGTTGAATCCCATACATAATCCTTTATTTTGAACCAAAAGCGATTACATATAAAAGGCCTTAAAATCAGATGGAAACACAGTTCCCTCCCTATTATAGGGAGGTGATTGTCCTGGGTGGAAGATGTGTGGGTGTCATCGTAGTGAGCTGCGAATTTGACTGATCACTGCTGCTCTTCAGCATTACAGTCATGCAGCCTTGCCTCCCATTTCAGTCCAGTGCTGCAGGCCTCTCAGAGCAGGCAAGATATAAAGGATGCCAGGATCAGAGGCCCAAGCATGTGTTGTGTCATATTCTGTCCTTCTCACCTTTCTTTGGTAAATAGTAATGCCTAGGTATGTACTCATTTTGTGTTGTGGTGACTGGATAAATATGCCAGGGAGAAAATAGAGTACAACTGATCCTTCACATAGCAACAACAGTGTCATTGTTATTATTTAGGTTTGTCCTCATTTTTGGCATGATAGGTTTTGTGGGAAATCTCACCCTTTTCAGGGTGAGAATTCTGTGCATACAAATTCTGTTAATGTCTTCATTAATATATATTTTCCGTGTATATTTTGCTAGTTAGTTGAGGACTAAATTAATTTCAGATCAGTGCTGAATTAGAGACAAGCCATATTATTTATTGTTGTTATGGCATGCAAAAGGCAAAGGACCCCTGGACGGTTACGTCCAGTCAAAGGCGACTATGGGGTTGCGGTGCTCATCTCACTTTCATGCTCCAGGAGCTGGCGTTTGTCCACAGACAGCTTTCTGGGTCATGTGGTCAGCATGAATCAACCGCTTCTGGCGCAACGGAACACCGTGACGGAAACCAGTGCTCATGGAAACGCCATTTACCTTCCTGCTGCAGCAGTACCTATTTATCTACTTGAACTGGTGTGCTTTCGAACTGCTAGGTTGGCAGGAGCTGGGAGAGAACAACGGGAGCTCACCCCATCATGGGGATTCGAACCACCGACCTTCTGATAGGCAAGCCCAAGAGGCTCAGTGGTTTAAACCTCAGTGCCACCCACGACATGCATACCACAGTCACTTGCATGCATTTTTCTACATGCTTATTCCCTTCCTCACCTATACATAGGAAAAAGCTACATTCTCTTCCTGGAAATCAGGCAGTTTCTGTCTCATGTATACATTTAACTTAAGAAGAGCCTGCTGGATCAGGCCAATGGCTCATCTAGTCCAGCATCCTTTTCTCACAGTGGCCAACCAGACACCTGTGGAAAACCAGCAATCAGGATTCAAGTACAAGAGCCCTCTCACCATCTGTGGTTTCCAGCAACTGGTATTCAGAAGCATAGCTGCCTCCAATTGTGCAGGGCAGAACATAACTATCATAGCTAGTAGCCATGGTGTGTCTACAAAAGTGTACACATATAGCCACATATCTCCCATTTTGCCTGATCTCTGGGGTGGGGGGGGGGAGGAATAAAAATTTCCTTCATAAAATGTCATTGCCAAGGATTAATCAATAACTATTTTAAACTACGTGAAATTCTCCACAATTCCCCTAGAGGGTAGCATGTCTCACTCTGAGAAGCCGGTACAAGATCAAATTATTGTTGACGTCGTACCACTTATTAGTTAGACCTCTTCTATTAAAATAGAATGAAAATAACTGGACTGGTCTCAAAACTGATAGCCAAAGATTAGCTTGGTTGATACGCTCTCTGAGTTTTGGAAAAACTAGCAGAATTAATTTTGAACTAAATGCTTCATTTGGTTCATAGCCAAAAGTATTTCAGAATCATTTTTTTTATCTATAAAAATAAAAAGAGGGGAAATGGAATGTGGCAGAAGCCTCTATTTTAATTATTTGTGTTTGTTGGCTATGTCTGTTGCGGACACTGATGTCAATGATTAATTCTGGGTTTCTTATTTAGTTTCCTCTTGGACCTTGAGAAGCGAGTAGAAGAGAACATTGTGATCTCAGATGTCTGCGACATTGTCTATCAGCACACCATTAATCATTTCTCGGTGTATGTAACCTATGTCTCCAACCAAACCTACCAGGAGAGAGCTTATAAGCAACTTCTGTGAGTGCAATTATTCAGTCATGGCTTGCTTAGTAAAACCAATCAACTGAGAGTGACCAATTAGACAACAGATGCCAAATGGTTTAGCACACCGGGGCGGGGCGGGGGAAGAATTTTCACCCATGCTTAATAGAAACTTTTCTCAAAAATGTGCTTGGGTGTTCACAGTGTAATCCCATTGCCCACTGGAAAGGAGATAACTAGGCAGAAAGCTGGGATTTGGTATGCAATCAGTTGTGAGTTATTTTTGTCATTTTGCACAATTTTCAAACATGCATCTTCCACTGGGTGACTATGTCTAACTGTTATAAATGATCTATTGCACTGGAAGGATAGTTCTGGTTGATGCCATCCTTACAAGACAAATGTATGAAATTATCCATAGTTGTGTCTGTTCTAATGGTTTTCTATTGGGCAAGATCGTTTTGAAGCATGTGAATGCATTTATGGCATGTGCAATTTGTCTAAAGATTTTTCAGTGTTGAACTGCCAACCTTTTATGTCCCCCTTGCTTATGATGAAGTGGAAGCAATTTAAAATTACAATCCACTTACAATTTATTTCAGCAACCTCACTTCCTCCAAGTTCCATTCAAAGCCTTAAAAAAAAAAAAGTGAAAAGAGGCAAAGTTTCTTACAATAAAGGGAATAATTTCTGATCTGTAACAGATTTCAGATGTGAAACTCCTGGAATTCTTACTTAAAGCTAAGCTTGCTCTTTGAATAATGAAGAATCTTGAGCAGTATGATCCTGTGCATGTTTTTATTCAGAAGTCTTACTGTATTCAGTACTGTTTACTCCCACCAAGTAAATGTGCATAGAATTGCAGCCTTTCTCCTTGCCAGTGCAATCCTGTGTATGTTTACTTGGAAGTAAATCTCACTCTGTTCAATGGAACTTACTCTCTAGTAAGTGTGTTTAAGTTTATAGTCTAAAAATTAAAAATGCTCATTTATTACAGTCCTTGTGTCACGTGTAGCTGAATTGAATTAGGGAATCTGCTTCGGACGTTTTCATAATTTAAATTTAATGATAGTAGTCTGCTAGGATTTGTAATGAGTCTTCTCAATGTACCCACATTATATATTTGGTTCCTTTGCAAAGGAGAATAAGGGGACTGGAAGCCTCCAAAGCATTAAGATAAAAATACTTTAAAAGGATCATGAAAGCTGGGAAATGTTTAGCTGCTTACTTGAATGCTCTGAATGTTTCAGAATTTTTCCACTGTTTAGCTCAGTACTTTTTCTTTTTCATGTTTATTTTGACCACTTTGTTTCTTCTGAGAAAGTGAGTAGAGTTAAGTAAGCTACAATTATTCTAGTAAGGTGAGGAAAAAACCTAATAACTCATGCAATTTAGTCTTTCCTAGCTTTCACTGTATAGATAGAATTTTAATATGCTCAAAGGAAGAGAGATAAATCCTTAAACGAATTAATTCCCCATAGAAGCAGACCTTGGCGACTGCTTCTAACCAGCAGCTAGGCTGTTTTATGAATGCTAGGAAACGATAGCAATCTTGCTCCTTTTCTTCTCCTCGCCATTGAGTCTTTGTTCTCGCTAAAAGAACTCCTAGTCAATTATTTAATAGTAGGTGACTAGATCAGCATACTTAGAGGTCTGTGATGACAAAGGATTAGAATCCCATTTGCCTTCCGTTTGACAGACTGAATATAGATAACACTGGAAAGGAAGTATGGTGGAGAAGAAGGTGTCAGTAAAACCAAGCATAGGCTTAAAAGTTAGCATAGTGCAAGTGCTTCAGCACTCTTTGACATCCCGGTCAAGGCACTGAAAGACAATGAATTGATTTTCAAATTGTGACTGTGAGAGGCACCAATCTACTATTGGGAGCAAAGCAGACATTCACCTGTGTTCCACCATTAATAGAAGGCAGTGGCACAACAGGACAGGAATATGGAGTCAGCTTTAACTCTTTCAGGAAAAGCTAATGTAGAAGTTTGGTTCAGTATTTTCTCAGTCACATATGTGGTGAATGGTCATACCATTCTCAGTCCAAGGCTAGTTCAATTGCTAGTTCCATTCTTTCCTCCCTCTGCTCCAGAAAATAAAACCCTCACCTGGACCACACTAGGAACAGCATCCTCAGTGGTTATTGCTATGCTGTTAACAGTCTTGTGTGCCTCAGGACCACAATATCTCAAGGGCTGCCTCTCCCCACATGAACCCAGCATTCATCATTGGAGGCCCTTCTTCATGTGTTTCCTCTGAGGGGAGATGTGGATGGAGGCAACATGAGAACAGGCATTTTCAGTGGTGGCTCCTTGCTTGTGGAATGCTCTGCCTAGGGAGGTACTCCTGGCACCATAATTATTTATTGTTAGGTGCCAGGCAAAAAGATTTATTCCCCCTAGACTTTCAGCCCTTAATTTCGAGTGTATTAGGCATACTTGTGCCCTCTTTGTTTCTTATTTTGTAGTGGGGTGTGTTATATTGGACCTTCCTTTTTATATTTATTATGGCTAGGGTTTCATTTCATTTCATTTTTTTCATACTTGGTTTCAGTGTTCGTAGATTTTCTGAGTTGCTTTAGGTCACTTCTCATGAAAAAAGCAACTAATAAATGCAATAAATAGAGCTGGGGTCTGAATGTGGCCTGAGTTGTTTTATCATGCTGGTGCTCGGACCTGTATGCTTCTTCCTATGAACTGTGCTAATTAATCATTTGTGGGTATGGGGCTGTTCCAGAAGCTTCTAAATATTTGGTATTAGTTATGAATATTGGTATTAGTTCCCTCACATTAATAGCCTTTTTGTCAGTGAGAAACCAAATAATCTGCGCTAAAGAGTGTGTGCCTTTCTGTAGCACTGAATTCACACTAGCTGTAGCTGTGACAGATCCTGGCAGTTCTCCAGTAGTCTGAGATGCTTCCAGTTTATGCCAGATAAGTTTTTCCTCTTGTCATTTCCAGCTAGGCCTACCTCGGTTAAATCACTTGATGGAAGGCCTTGTTCCTATGACTATATGTATTTCACCTTACTGCAACAATCCAACTGTGTAAAGATATATAATTATGTCTCTGACTCATCTACTTGGACACACACCCCATTCACACCCACCCACACACACAGCATATGCTGCTAAGTTTGTATGTGCTACACATGTAAAAGCATTACTCTGGCTTGCACATTAAAAGCCTATTTCTCCATTCCCAAATACTATTAATAGACCCAACTTTAAACCAAAATCCACTTAGTGCTAATATGCCCCTCCCCCAAATTGTAAAAAAACCGAGAACAAAGCCAAATTCCAACCCTGAGGGGAAGGTAGTGTTGTGAAAATTAAAACACACATAGAACATGTCGGTTACTCACACAAGTTTAAAACTGAATGAAATAACAAAACACCACTCTCCATCTGTCTCTGCTGTCAGCCAGGACAAGCCAGCTTTCCGGGAGGTGATCTCACATTTGGAACTGGATCCGAAATGCAAAGGCCTGCCTTTCTCATCGTTCTTGATTTTGCCTTTTCAAAGGATCACAAGGCTGAAGCTGCTGGTACAGGTATAACAGGGTTTTACTCTTCCCATATATCAGTACCACCTTGCCATGTCTTAAAGTGAGGTCACTGAGAGACTGAAGAGCTTTAATGGGGAGGGAAAAGCCACCAAGGAACATTCCTTGTGGGTAATAATAATAATAATAATAATAATAATTATTTATTTATACTCTGCCCATCTGGCTGGGTTTCCCCAGCCACTCTGAGCGGTTTCCAACAGAATATTAAAATATAATAGTCTCTTAAACATTAAAAGCTTCCCTAACCAGGGCTGCCTTCAGATGTCTTCTAAAAGTCTGGTGGTTATTTTTCTCTTTGACATCTGGTGGGAGGGCGTTCCACAGGGCAGGCGCCACTACTGAGAAGGCCCTCTGCCTGGTTCCCTGTAACTTGGCTTTTCACAGTGAGGGAACCGCCAGAAGGCCCTCAGCACTGGACCTCAGTGTCCGGGCAGAACGATGGGGGTGGAGACACTCCTTCAGGTATACTGGACCGAGGCCGTTTAGGGCTTTAAACGTCAGCACCAACACTTTGAATTGTGCTTGGAAACGTACTGGGAGCCAGTGTAGGTCTTTCAAGAATGGTGTTATGTGGTCTCGGTGGCCACTCCCAGTCACCAGTCTAGCTGCCGCATTCTGGGTTAGTTGTAGTTTCCGGGTCACCTTCAAAGGTAGCCCCACATAGAGCGCATTGCAGTCGTCCAAGCGAGAGATAACTAGAGCATGCACCACTGGCGAGACAGTCTGTGGGCAGGTAGGGTCTCAGCCTGCATACCAGATGGAGCTGATAAACAGCTGCCCTGGACACAGAATTGACCTGCGCCTCCGTGGACAGCTGTGAGTCCAGAATGACTCCCAGGCTGCGCACCTGGTCCTTCAGAGGCACAGTTACCCCATTCAGGACCAGGGAGTCCTCCACACCTGCCCCCTCCTGTCCACCAAAAACAGTACTTCTGTCTTGTCAGGATTCAACCTCAATCTGTTAGCCGCCATCCATCCTCCAACCGCCTCCAGACACTCACACAGGACCTTCACCGCCTTCACTAGTTCTGATTTGAAAGAGAGGTAGAGCTGGGTATCATCCGCATACTGATGAACACCCAGCCCAAACCCCCCTGATGATCTCTCCCAGCGGCTTCATGCAGATGTTGAAAAGCATGGGGGAGAGGACAGAACCCTGAGGCACCCCACAAGTGAGAGTATAGGGGTCTGAACATTCATCCCCCACCACCACTTTCTGAACATGGCCCAGGAGGAAGGAGCGGAACCACTGTATAACAGTGCCCCCAGCTCCCAGCCCCTCTAGAAGGTCCATATGGTTGATGGTGTCAAAAGCCGCTGAGAGATCCAGCAGAACTAGGAAACAGCTCTACCTTTGTCCCTAGCCCACCGGAGATCATTGACCAGTACGACCAAGGCAGTTTCAGTCCCGTGATGAGGCCTGAATCCTGACTAGAAGGGATTCAAATGGTCCGCTACTTCCAGGCGTGCCTGGAGTTGTTCAGCAACCACTCGCTCAATCACCTTGCCCAAGAATGGAAGATTTGAGACTGGGCGATAGTTGGCCATATTGGCCAAATCTAAAGATAGTTTTTTAAGAAGCGGTTTGATAGCCGCCTTTTTCAGCGGGTCTGGGAAGGCTCCCTCACAGAGGGAAGCATTCACCACCCTGCGAAGCCCACCGCCCAGCCCTTCCTGGCTAGCTTTTATAAAGGAAATGTATCCTTTTATGCCCATAATGTAATTGTCAAGAAGAATTTGCCTCCTCTCTCCATTTTTCTACATGTGTTCAAGTAGAGCCTGTTTATGGAAATGTATAATAACAACCTTCCTTCATCTTGTACAGAATATCCTGAAGAAAGTGGAGGAAAAGTCTGAACGTGAAATCACTGCCCTTGAGGCTCACAAGGAACTGGAAACAGTAAGTCTCATCTGCCTTGTCAGAATATTCAGGATTTTTCGGAGCAAATGGGACTTCTTCTCTTCCTCTGTGCCCCTCCCAAAGTTGCTGGCCATTGCCATTCAAATGGTGTGTGTGCGCCGTGTCATGTGATTGATTATGCAGGATGGGGTTTACCTGCCTCCCAGTATTTTATTTAAGTTGGCACCCCTGCCCTCGCCATGTGTTTTGAAGAATCCCCCTACCCTCCAGAGTGGATTTGGGGGTGGGACATGTAGGAAAAGGAGAGGGAGAGGTAGTCCCACTGTGCAGGCATTAGTCCTTGCGTTAATAGGATGACTTTGAATTTAATGCTTAATCATATGTATCTGGTATATGAGGACATATCTGGAAGAAAATATCCAAGGAAGAGTTGCCTCAGATTTCAGAGAGCAAAAGCTGTAGTCAGACACTTGAAGGTGATAGATTCCACAGAGAGCAGTGATTTAATTAGCTGCCACCTGAAGCAGACTGTTAGTAGGTCAGACTTTATCCAAGAGTACAAACTTATTTTTCTGACCCAAAATCACGTGTGCCATAATATACCTTTTTATTAGTGCTTCAGCTCCTTTTGAACTCCATTTCTACGAGGCTTCTTATCATGTGTGTTGCCTGTCTAGTTATATATTTTGAGGTTAGGCCAAGTACAGTATACTTTTAACATGAGTCTGAACCAGTCTTACCACATGCAGGGGATTGCATCAGCCCACATAAAGAAGCCACCCAACTTCCATTGTCCCTGCATGTTCGCATGGAGACAGAAGATCTTCATACAGCCAATGCACCTAGACCAAACTCATATGATTAATCCCATGGAAATAATCTGGAATGGGCCACACAAATGTTTACTATACTTGGTATACTCACAAATGCAATTAGAGAGGCAACACACAAAGATGGTAAACACATGTTCCCCTCCATGAAGTGGGCCAGATCATAACTCCAGTCCAGTGTCATTGGGATCAAGTGGATCCTGATTCCTCTTGAGCCAAGTTTTAGTGGACCCTCATTTTCTATCTCTATCTGTCTGCTGAATTACATAGGCCCCAGTTTCAGACATGAGCCTAGTAGAATTGTTCCTGAGTCTTCAATGGTGCAGCAAGCTGGGGTGGGAAGCCACTTGGAAATGCACTTCAAAGTGAAGGCAATGCCTTTACCTTCCTTCCATCTGATGTCACAAATTATGCCAGGGGTGGGGCAGATGGACGTGGTTTAGGGAAAACTATATTGTGAGCTAAATTAGGGCCCCTGCCCCTCCCCCGGCCCTGCTGTGAGGCTGCCAAAATGTGATGATGTCATCAGCAGTTGATAGCACAAATACCTCTAGGAATGTGAAACACAACCTGCTACATTGTTGAAAGCTTCTGAATTTGTGATAGAACTGACCAGTCAAGTAAATCTGAGTTCCATTCCATTTTGGCTTGGTTCCACCATTAGGACTATAGTAGAATTTGAAAGCTTCTCTAGGGTTTAAATTAAATCAGAAATGTCTTGGCTGTATAAAACTATGAAATCCACTGAGCTACAGCCATTTCTCTTTCTAACCAGGAACCAAAGTAAGTATTAGTAAGCCTCAACTCAGGTGATTCTTGCTTACTATTTTATTAATAGTAATTAATAATAATTACTTATTAAGTAATAATAGAGTGGGAACCTATTCCCCTTCATCCGTGGGTGCATGTCCCCCCTTATTTTACTGGGGTGAACAATGCTTTGATTTCCTTCACATGAGGTTGAGCTAATGCCTCGTCAGTGACACTTACTTTGACGTGAACAAGTTTATTATTAAAATCTTGTTGATGTTGCACTTTTATTTACAGAACCACTTCTGAATGAAGTTAAACATGCTTTTCTACTTCCACCTCATTCAATCTGTTCTCATTGGGGTTCCAATTTTCAACCCTGAGACAAGGAATCGTGTTTCTGATATACTCTCATTTCTTGGTCTCTTCTAGGTGGTGAAGGCATGCAACGAAGGCGTCAGGAAGATGAGCCGTACAGAACAGATGATCAGCATCCAGAAAATGCTAGAATTTAAGATCAAGGTAAACATGTAGGCTAAGTTCTAAGGAGAGGAACAGATATATGTTACAGGGCAAAATCATTGATGAATTTAGCAAAATGGTTGCCCCTAATGATTATATTAAACAATCACTGATCTAATTTAGTCAGTCCTAGCTTTGGTACCCTTTTTTAATGCAAGTCAGGGTTCAGTCTGCCTGGCTGCTTTACCAAGTTGCCTGGCTACCCATGTTTCCTGCTCCACTGACTGGATCATGCAGAATGCGTGCAGTGATTATGCGTGCTGAGCCATTCCTAGTCACTTGTATTATTTCTAACTCAGTGCTGACTAATATAGCTCTGTGGAGCTCTCCTCCAGCTCCTTTATCTGTTTTTTATTTGTATAATTTTCTTACGAGTGCTGCAGGCCAGCTGTGTGGTGTGAATTTTGTTTAAATTAACCTAAAGAGGTTCTTGAGGCAAGATATGTCAAAACATATCCCACTCGTCATTATTGTCCTTTTGCTTAGAATGAGACTTCAAAGTTTCCAATGGATAATTTAATTTCCTTTGATGATCTGCAACGACCATGTATTTTGTTCTCATTATATACATCTTCAGAGAGCCAACTTTTAATGTTACTTTTATTAAGTATTTCACAGGTTAATAGGAGGAAAAGGGGGGAATATGAGCATGCCAAAAAGTTATAACTTTTACAATAAAGAAAAGACAGCATGCAGTTGGCTGCTGTTGTTAAACTTCTCATTGCTGTGTTGAACAAACACTATCCACAAAATTATCTGCTTGGCATTACTCCCTGAGCCTGATATAATTTGTAATTTTGGCAATCTCGGCTATTCGCAGATCCTCTTTAAACAGATTTTAAGCCAAGGAGTGACAGCTTTTTTGAAATTCACTGCTAAACTAATTTTGGCTATGCGCAGATGATTTGTAGTAAGTTCTGGGTCACATCTCTGTCTTTCCCTTCAGGTCATACTGGGTCTAATAGTGTTTCATATACTTTAATTCATATATTTTTAGTTGAATCTTCTCTTCCAGTACCTTGCCTGATAGATACTGCTGAATAGGAACGAAGTCGTATTCTTCTCTTTATATATGAACGAAGTCCTCTGCAATAAAGCCAGACTTTGACAAAAACCACTTTCTCATATTTTGGTATCTTAAAGGGATGCTAAATACTGCTGATCAACATTTTACATTTTCCCCCCAGTTGACAGACACAAATTAATTTTAAGAGAACATTGACAGTTGCTGGAAACCCCAGGAGAGGATAGTGCTTTTGTGTTTATGGTTTCCCCACTGGCATCTGTTTGGCCGCTGTGAGAACAGGATACTGGAGTCGATGGGCAGGCTCTTATTAGGTTCAACCTGGATCCATAGCTTCTGTATAGTCTATTTTTAAAGCTTTCCTTTGCAGTGAATTCAGAGGGATTGCCATAAGATGCTATGTTGTAGTGCTCCTGATTATTATTTTATTTCCTTTGTTAGTCTGTGCCCATCATCTCTCACTCCCGTTGGCTGCTAAAGCAGGGAGAACTGCAGCAAATGAATGGCCCCAAAACATCACGTACCCTCCGCACAAAGAAACTCTTCAGAGAAGTCTACTTGTTCCTCTTCAATGATTTGCTAGTGCTCTGCAGACAAATATCTAGGTGAGTTTGAAACAGAGAGGAACAGAATTTGAGCTGTACTATGTTTATTCAGCCTCAGTTGGCTCAGTCTCAATCCTGCCAGAGATAGTTTCTGATTGTTAATTTAATCTATTGATGTGCTGCCCAAGCAGCTGTAGACGAATTTTCAGCACTCATAGTAAAGAATTAAGCAAAGGCGGATGTTTATTCTGTTGTTCTGGGTTTTTAAAATAGACAATTCTTTACCTTTGCGTCCCGTTCCCCCTTCAAATTGTTAGGCAAGGACTAAAGCAGGGGTGAAGAGCTTGTGACTCTGCAAAGGCTGTTGGTCTCAGCCAGCAGGGACACTGGTCAAGGTTGATGTCCAACAACATCTGGAGATCACATGTTCCTCATCTGTAGAATAAAGATACGATGCATTCTGTCCTTGAGAAGAGAAAACTTGCATCAGAGGAGGGTCGTGAGGGAAGTGCGTGCCTAACTTTCCCCTTTCTAATCACTTCATGTTTGTAAAAAAAAAAAAAAAGGACCATGGAACACTGGCAGGGGGTTAAACAGCTGGCTTGGGGGAAGTTTCAGAAGGAAGTATATGACTCAAGAAGAGTTAACCCCTCCTTTCTCTGCTGTCCTTTTTCAGATGCAAATAATCTCTTCCTGAGCATGCTTAGCAAGATTTTGTTATCCCCAGATAACAGTTTCAGGGGTAGTTTACTCCTTCAACACTAAGCCATACATTCTTCAGAAAGAATATTTTGCCTATGAGAAATGTAATCACCTATTTCTCTGCCCCATCTTTTAGGCCCTGCTTATACCCCAGCCTAGGCTATAACTAGTGTTTCTGACACCTTTCTTTTCTCTCTCAGTGACAAATATCAGGTGTTTGACTCTGCACCCCGAGGACTTCTACGGGTGGAGGAGCTGGAAGACCAAGGGCAGAGCTTGGCAAATGTCTTCATCCTGAGACTGCTGGAAAATGCAGATGACCGCGAAGTCAGCTACATGCTAAAGGCATCATCACAGTAAGCATAACGAGGCAATATCTGGAAAAATTGTAGATTGTGCGCATGATCCCATTGCACTTTCTTACAATAGATTCTGAACTATTATTGCTCTTGGGATGAACTTACCTATCTTTATAAGCTGGCACAGGTATTGTTCAATAGGCATCACGTTTGATGGAGACTGTCTTCTAAATGACAGTATTGATTGTGAGTTCACTTGCCCCTTGTCAACATCCTGCGTAGCTCTGTCTTGTGCAACGCTTTAGGGTAATTTGTTTCCTACCACAATTCTTTACTTATTCTTTACTTACTGGTGATTCTGTCATATGGTCTGCTTCAGTGGCTGCTTGTGTATGGGAAATGCAGTCTCCAGTCCCTCCCACAGAACTAGATTGAATTTGCCCTCCCTACTGCAGACAAAAAGGGAAAGGCAGGCTGATGTCAAAGGAGGCTTCTTGTTTGTCCTATGAACTCATACTGTAGCCGTGAACAAAATATTCACGCCTCCACACACACTCCAGTGGTGGAGAAAACACCCAAGGGAAAGAATATATTGAAACACCCAAAGACTGAATTCTGGCCGATTGAACTAATGGCAAAAATATTGTTGACCATAGAAATCTGCTCCAAAACTGCATTTGAATTCTGCCTTCCCTCAACTCTGTCCTCATTTTGTCCTGTATGAATGACAATTTGTAGATTATTAAATGCATGGACCCCAGGAAATACTGCAGTATGTTTTCAAGTAATCCTATAGGAATATAAACTGTAACTGCCTATGTGCTAAGCACAATAAATGTTACGTACATAAAATATATCATTTTGGAAGGTACAGAAGCTTAGAAACAGATGGTAATAACTATCTTGTTAACTGCCCTGAGATCTTTTGATGAAGGATGGTATGTAAATATAATTAATAATAATAATAATATCCATCTTCCCAGTGTGCAGATGGCATATTCAAATGGGTTCATCCTTCATACTGTTACCCCAAATCCTGCATGATGCAAAACTTTGTATTTCTTTCCAGCACTACTTCTTTGCAAAATTTCACACCTAGCAGTGCTGGAAGCACTGTTTCTGCTCCAAATTAAGCATGTTGCTAACGATAGATTAAGAAAAGTTGGCACTCGAAGTGTTCTTTCTAGTCCAACACCCATTCGAGCAGAGAATTTATTCAGTTAACGTGCATTACTGACAAACTGTTGCAGATGGAGGACATGGGAAATAGGAGAAAATATTTCTTCCTTTTGTTGTAAAAACCTTGTCCCCCGCTCCCTTCCTGGTTCCCTGGAGTAAGCGACAAAGACAACCACAACCTCAGCTGCTCCTCTGCTTAAACCCGGAAGTGCCTGGCTTGAGCAGAGAAGCAGCAGCAAAAGCTATCCAGCCTACACAATGATTCCAGTAGACTGAAGAAGTTGCTGGATGCTTCCCCCCCCACACTTTTTTTGACCCTAAAGCTTCTCTAACTGAGAGAATGAACAAGGAAGGTGGTGTGACGTTAACATATGAGAATGCTGGAGGTGAAATAAACAGGTTACCTAATCAGAACCCAGGGGGGTGGAGTCAGAGGGACTATAAAACCAGCTCTGGGAGGGGCGAAGGGAGGAGTTCGTTGGGAGTTGGATGGTTGGTTGGAGTGGGAGTGAATTGGGATAGAGTCTGTGGGTAGGTTGAGTTAGTGTAGCTGAGTCAGGAACAGTTAGGGGCTAGGAAGACAAGTAAATATCTGAGAGGTGGTTTAGTGAGTGAGAGCAGGTAGCGGAAGTTATAGGTCTGGATAGGCACCCCATAAATGTAATTGACCGATACCATTTATGAAACCACACGCTTGTTAAACTGCAATAAATAAACAGAAGTTTATGTTCCAATTTAACCCTGACTGGACTCAGTATTGTACCAGGTAGGGCCTGGGTGGTGGCAGCGAGAAAAAAAGTGGTGGCACAGGGATCAATAGACAGTGAAACGTCCGTGGACCCTGTGTGATTGCTACAGATGGCTTCACCCCTTGAGCTCAAATTTCATGACTCCAAAAGAACATGGAGAACATATTCCTTTTCACTTTTGTCCACAAAGCTATTACTGGAAAAGGTATTTGGCTCAGGAAACCCTGCAGTCACTGAGACTAGCCAGAGACCTCAAACCTATCGTTCTTTAAACTGCAAAAAGGGAGACAAAGAAGGGGGTTAAACTGGGCTCTTTCTTCCCAGACCCCTGTTCTTCTCAGGGACATAAGCATCCCAGATCTCCCATATCATATCCACTTTAACCCTAAGAAAGGGAATGACTGTTCCAGGTATTTATAGAAAATAATACATGAAAAACGAAGGTGAAAAATGGGATAGAGGAATGAGTCTTCTGTCAAGGGATTCTGAAACATGGCTGAGCTCTTTCAGTAGAGTTCATGGATTTGCCTTGAACTCCTTATTGTCTTAGCTTGTGCATGACTTTCTAACCAGTGAGTGGGAGAACATGAGTCAGGATGCGTGAATGAGTGACACTTAACTGACTTAGCTGACAGGAAAGGGAGAGAGAACACATGGATTTTACCATTAAAGTAGGGGCAGGGGCAGTAAGACAGAAATGCAGGAATGGCACAGAATGCAGAAAGTGGATTTATTTGTCCTTTATGTTTGTAAATTTTTGCAAGTCACTTGTAGACTCCTATGTGGCAAGTCAGATTCCACGGACCCTTTCCAAATTACATGGAAAACACTGGTTGCCGCTCTCTCTCCTGTTTTATTCCCAATGCAGAAGTGAAATGAAGCGCTGGATGATCTTGCTGGCTCCGAATCGGCGAACCAAGTTTGTTTCCTTTACATCCAGGCTCATGGGTAAGGAGGGCAAGGGGGGAAAGGAGGGAATGATAGAAAGTTGTCATCCAGATGGATTCTAAGAGCACATCACTGCACTTGGTTAGGTTCTAGCATTGTCAGTTCTAGGATGCAAAGGCAGATCAGGTCCTAATTACAGAACAAAATTCCATTCTAAGCTTCATTTTTAAATTGTGTGCCCTGAAGCAAATTTTTGTGAAGCTGAGAAGTCAGCTTCGTATCCCTTTACCGAAAGGTTCAGTAAGAGATTACCTACCCTATTCTTGTCTACAGAATTTTATGCAACATCCCTGTTCCATATTTATCGGCTGCTCAGTCATCTTAGTCCCTCATCAGTACCATTCCATGTTACACCCAAGTGCAAGAAGCTAATCTGAGATCCCTTCCCCTCTTGTATGAGATTCTATGCATTTCTCAAAACCTCTGACTGAGGATGTAACTGTCCCCAAGATCAGCCATTGCACTTGCTGGCCCGTTGGTTGAATTATTTGCTGAGATGACACAGCCTAACGAGCTTACCATTTTTTCTCTAAGGTGGTTCCTTTCTAGCTACAGTAATACAGGCAACAGAAATTATCAAGGTTATGCTACAGACTTTTGCTATTCTAAACCCTTGACCAGAGAGGCAAAAGGCCTGGTCACTTTATGCTACACACACACACACACACACACACACACACACACACACATTTTAGTAGCAGACATCCTCCCATTTCTCCCTTATAGTATTCATAAAGGGTCCTGCAAACTAGTAATTTCCCTTTTCCACTTGCAGATTGCCCTCAAGTACAGTGTGTCCATCCTTATGTCGCTCAGCAGCCAGATGAGCTGTCGCTGGAACTGGCTGATGTACTTAACATCCTGGAAAAGACAGACGATGGTAAGAAGTGTCCATATTTGGGTTTTAATGCAGGCACAAATGCACAACAAAATCATAACAGGGGAACTGTGTAGGAAGCTAATACCTTGCAGCATTAAGGACTGATTGTACAGTATGTTCCAGCGCTCCTCAGATGGTGGTATATGACCTGTTAATTGGGTTGTCAGGAAACGAATGAGGGCCAATGCATTTTTTTTTTATTTTTCATACTCTCTTTTTCACTCGGATTGCCAAAGCATTGCGGTCCCAGTGAAGCAGAATTCTTATAAGCCTTTGTAAATTGCAACATCTGCTTCACACGGAAAATATTATGTAACCAGCTTCCCCTAATATATTCTGATATGATTGTTGTATAACTTCCCTTCTTGTACCAGTTTTGAACCTTGCTTGCATTAACTCATCGCTCCTTTACTGAGCTGCCACTATTATGCTTTCTCCACCCACAATCATCCTTTTTCAAAAAATCTAGGTTGGATATTTGGGGAGCGTTTGCATGATCAAGAGAGAGGTTGGTTCCCCAGCTCCATGGGTGAAGAGATTATGAACCCCAAGATTCGATCTCAAAACTTAAAGGAGTGCTTCCGGGTACACAAGACAGATGACAGTCAGCGGAGGAAGATGGGCAGCAGGAATAGACAATGATCACTGCACACAGTTCTGGGCAGTTGTATTTCAGAAACAAGGAATGTCAGATGCTGAGACAATGGAAGGTGGCACAAATATCATTTTTTTGTCAAGCAAGTCCTCCCTCCTCCAAGCTAATGAACTTCTTTGCATACTTGATGCATCATGGATAATATCTCTGAGGACAAACTTGAAAAGAGGTGAGGCTGCCGTGTGCCTGTACAGAACTAGGAGCTGTAAAATGTAATTTCCTATTGTATTGCAAAGAGTGTAAATCTCTTAACTCTGCATGGTAAGGAAACAGTGAATGCTGATCAACTGGGGGAAAAAGTACAACAAGGCCCAAGAGGTTAGCAGCCTGATTCTTTAATATTCCATCAAGTGGCACAAGGTGTAGCATTTGATTTTCCAGTGTGCAATCCAGGTGCACAGGAGCGCACCATCTTTGAAAGTGTGTACAGTATCGGTATCCACACTTCTACACTCAGGAAGTTTCTCCGTAGGAACTGAGTTTGGAGTACCCAGACAGGCACATCAACAGGTATCCCTTATAAATAAACACATTGGTGATTCTTTAAATGCATTGGTGATTCTTTAACAGAGGTAAAAAAAATTAAAATTATAGCAGAGCAGTCTTCTGTGCTACAAAATATTCCACAGAATTATTTACACTGTACTCTTGGGCTACCCTGTAGGAAACTGCAGAGGAGAATACTGACGTAGAGAAGCTGCATGGTTTCAAACAGGAGTGTGAGGCCTCTCCTCCTGCTCAAGGGCAGTATTGCTTCATGAGCAACTTCCAGGGGGCCATACAACAGGGATGAACATGGCTATGGACAAAAGTGGGCAGAGCAAAAGCTGGGATGAACCTACATTCCAACTTTACAGAGGTCCCCTACACATGCTGCTCTCCATCCAGGCAAGGAAGAGGAATTATCGCAGTTGAACATTTCAAGTCAGGCAAAAGCAGTCAAGGGGGCCATAGCTGGTGAGAGTCCCAAGGGTACAGAGGTATTCTACACACCCACACCTAAGCATGAGGTTCTCCATCCCTGACCTAAAATAGGAAAAGACTGGAAATTCACTGTTTCTCATAGCCGTGCAATTCACCACCTGGACCCATATCCTAAGTGCAAACTATAATAATTACTAGCACTGCAATCCTATAGATGTCATTTCAGGAGTAAGACCTATTGAGTTCAATGAGCCTTACTCCCAGGTAAGTGCATATAGGATTCCCATCTGACTGCATTTAAGTTTTACAACAAAGTTCTTTGAGAGAGCCAATGGTAGGTATCGTAAACTATGTCTAAATATTGAGAGGGTGGCTGAGTGGATAGTACAGACTTAGGCCCTGAACAAATGCACTGATGGTATCCCATAGTATTCACTACTCAGCTCTGTTGCACATACTAAGGAATTTTTCATGGGGGGGGGGAGAGAGACAAAACAACAACAAGAAGGAGTGGAGAATCAGCTCAAGGCATGCATGACATTCTATAGTCATGCTAAATCTGGAGAGCTAAAGAACTCAGCTAGGGCCAGCAAATTTCTGTGTAATTTCCCTGGTGTATATACAGACTCTGATAACAGTATTTCATATAATATTTCTGTCCAGTTCAGAGAGTTTTGAATGAAATGCATCCTTGTCAATACAAGTGGATTAAACTGATTATGGACCAAATGCTCATTCAAAGAGGAACAGAGGCCACTAGGCAGCAACAACAACATGCTTGAGGGACAAGATGGCATGCTTTTGTACTAAATGTTGTCTGCAAAAGTTTTACTAAAGCAATAGGAAGGCCTGTTGCATATCAGCTGGGCATTGATCCTCAGCTGTACACATGAACTCTATGTATAATACTTTAAAGCTGGTGTATATAAATGCTTACAAAGCCAGGAAATATCTTCTCCTTTGCTGCAAAAGTTACAACTGGCAACAAGATGCTTCTCTGGAAGGGGGAGAGAAGATTCACAATAGAGAACATTTGACTAAGGACAATTATAGAGTCAGCCATGAGACAGAGATCGAGAAATTAAAAGATTGTAAAGCACTTTGCATATTAAAAGTGTTACATAAATAATAACGGATAAGGAGTATTTATTTAATAGCAATGATCCCCAATGCTCTGTGTTAAGAGGCTCCTTGCACAAGGGCTTGTGTACATTGCATTTTTCTTTTTCAAGCTAGTTCACAAGGTTATGAATGTATGAATCACTTGTTCTTATACTGTCTTTATACTGCGTCATGCTGCTCCACCCAGCTTTGTACTATCTGCTCAGATTGGTCACAGCTCCTCAAGGTCTCCTACATACCTGCCTTTCAGCTGAAAATGCCAGGGATTGGACCTAGGACCTTCTGCAAAACCTTTGATTCTGCTCAACTATTGCTGTGTTTTTTTAAAAGATTGCCTTTCATCCCAAATCAGGCCTTCAAGGCAACTTGTATAACTACATAAACTGAGAAATAAAGGTGCTATTTAGATTTGTTCACAAAAAATGTAACAAAACAGTCTTCCCACATCTTTTTGGCCCAGGTATATAATCACCATTTGCCCAATGGATAAAGGCAGCTGATAGAAAATGGCAAAGCAGCCAAGGACACGTACCTTGTAAACTTCTATTGGGAACACTTTTGAACCTCTTTCAGCTCTTACTTACATGCAACTAACTTAATTTAAAGTCAATCCAGTGTGGTGGAGACCAGAGTTCAAATCCCCACTCTGCCATGAAGCTCACCAGTCACTGCCTCTCAGCCTAACCTACCTCACAGGGGTGTTCTGGATATTAAACGAGAAGGTGGTGAAACCTTGCGCTCCTTGGAGAAGTGGTAGGCTAGAAATGCAATAAAATACATAACATTTAAGGCAATGATAGTAACTAACATTCCTGATCATTTAGTCATGCACAGCTTTCACTTGCACTGTTCAGCCATCCCCCTAGCATTACACTATTGCCAGAAATTGAGATTTTTTTTACAAATGAATTGTTAACACCCACAGCCAAGGAGTAGCATATTGAACTGTACAAGGCTAAGGTTACCCGATAGCTGAGTTATGGAAAGCAAAAAGCTCCTGGCATTCACCAGATTTAACCAATCCTGCTAATTTAACAAAACGTCTCAGAGAAATGCAAAAGCAGATTGCTGAAATTTTGAGTGCCGAGTTACACAGTGTACCAATTAACTTCCTCCAGTTACCAGAATTAGGTAGCTTGGTGTATTTTTACACACAAGCATAGACCTTGGGCCATTATGACACCACCAGAATGAAATGTAGGAGAGGGAGGTAATATTTTTTCTTACTATGAAAACAGAAATGGCCAAACAAGCAGCTTTCAGTACTTTGATTTCTCCAGCAGCTAGCTCTCACCTACTTCACCCTGTAGTCATAAACATGAATGTACTAACTAACCACATGCACATACTGTCCACAGATTTAATTACATTGTATGGGAACGTGGCTTATTTTCCAAATCCGCTTCTTACATTCAGACCTTTAAAATAATATTTTATTGAAGCACAAGTGTACATATTGCAACATGACAAAACAAAGGTGGGTTAGCACATAACACATACAAATGACTGCAGCCACAAGTATTTCTAGACTAGAATGCAACATAATTACATTATAATCTTTCCAAAAGAATAAATACAATGATGGAAAAAGAATCCCTGGCACATATTTATTGACTTGAGAGATGAAAAGAAACCATGTTTTGAAGGAATCTCTTTAACTGCCCTCTCCTGCTGGTCTATTTTGATACATTAACATTTTCAGTTCTATGGATTCAGTTCTGGATTGAACATCTAGAGAAGCTTTTCCAGTATCTAGCAGCCTTCATTCTAGTCATGTAAACAGAATAGGATGATCTCCTTGTAGAGAAGCTGCTGCTAATCCTCTCAATATAATACAGGAAGAACTACTAACTTTTGAGTCAATCAGGGTTATCTATATGTACAATGTGCAATGTATAATCCCCAAAACCTCTTTGCAGAATGTTTTAACAGCTTTACGTGTCTACATGTTTATCGGAGAATTTCTTTCCTTGCATCACTCTTTATTAATGGATGGAGATGGATGGGGGTAAGACAACAACTCTATTCAGCTCGTTAACAAAGGGCTGTGGAATCACACCTTTAGCCCGGCCCCCTTTTTGTACTTGTTCCTTCTGGCTTTGCACATACTCATAGCAAATGTGGTGGCGCAGGCTGTACTTATGAAGACTGAAGGCAGGGCCACACAGGCGCTTTGTACTTGAATAACAACTGAACAGGGCTCTATATATGAGCTTCAATAAAGCTGAGCTGGACCTGAGCAGCTGCTTGGTCCATCCAGGAGACCAATGATGTTCTGCCTTTTCAAATCCAATTGCTGTCTGCCATTGGGCTGGTTTGTTTTTTTAAAAAATACACTCTATATAAACAAAGATAGATTAAACAATAGACAATATATTTTGCTACCAAAAAAGCAAGAGCCATCCATGCATTTTTCCTCTTGTAACCTAAAAGCCATTCCTGCCAGTGTCATATAGTTCCTGAATTCTTAGCTATGTAGAAAATGAAATAGTGCCAAGCGTCTCCAAAGTCATTGTTTAGCCCCTGGCCTCTCTGATTTGCTTCATTCTTTTTTTTTTTTTTTTTTGGGCAATGCCTGCTTGCCCAAATATAACCATACCATTTATTCAGGTGAAAATCCTCACTGGTTTTCCATGGACATCCAACAGCTTACCTGTCTGCCATCATAAAAAACAAACAAACACAGTAATTTGCTTTGTTGTTAATTTTTTTTGCTAAGGTTGATTTAGTTGAGGCAACATGTTCCTCAGCCACCCCTGTACTACATATTTGTATCTAAGTAAGTAGAGGTGCCTGCTTAACACAAACAGGAGTCAATGCAGGAGGCTTTTTAATCTCGCTTCCCCCACCTCCCTCAAATATTATATCCAGGTCATACTAATAAGGCTTGTTGGTGGCATGAGCCATTAAACAAAAGCCAGAGCAAACAGGGTACAGTGGACACTTGGGTTGCAAACGTGATCCGTGCGGGAGGCACATTCGCAACCTGCAGCGCTGCATTTGTGCACGCACGGGTCACAATTTGGTATTTCTGCACATGCGCAAAGTGCGATTTAGTGCTTCTGCGCATGCGCGAGCACCGAAACCTGGAAGTAACCTGTTCCGGTACTTCCGGGTTCGGTGCGGTGTGCAACCCAAAAACGCGCAACCTGAAGCGCTTGTAACTCGAGGTATGACTGTATTTAAAAGCAAAACAAAAACAAAACACAAGACCAGGCATTTCACAAATAAATAAAATATACCAGGCTCCCACCCCCAGCTACTGCTACAGAAGCTAAAAGTCAATAATCTGATTACAGTTTTATTCTAGCTGTAGCAAGAGCTTGGAAAGATGCATTCGAGCACACGTGCCAAGTTAATGTGACTTTTAAAACAATGCACGCAATTTATCGCATTTGGATTAGTGGCACAAATACATATATATATATATTGGTCAAGAAGCTCTGACTTTACAGCAGCTTCTCAATTTGTGTACACACATCCCTCAGTCCCCACTCTAAATCCCACTTGTGCCATCACTAATGTTTTAAAAGTATTTGTGTTAGAAAAGGGAATCTGATCCCAGGAGGTTAAAAACAGGCTATATATCCTATAACATTTGGACAACGCAGGTGCTAGAGGAACTTGGTTTTTTCCTTTTCACAGACAGAAAGCAATAACTGCAGAAGAAGGAAAGGGCTCAGACAGGTGTATATTAGGAAAAAGGACCTTTTTTATTGATTTCAGGAAGCAGAAAACTTTCGCAGGGTGATGACGATCAGGGCCACAATCACAGATGTGCCCAGCAGAGCAGCGATCACTATGGCACCAATGGCTCCAGGACCCAGAGACCCTGCAGGTGACAAAGAGGAGGGGAGGGGAAGCAGACAGGTTGAGGAGAACAGAAAAGTGCCTCTGAAAAACATGGGCAGGAAATACACAGTCTTTCCCACCATACACCTTTGCTAACAAGTACAGCACCAGGAAAACAACACTGGATTGTACTGGATCATTCTCTTAAGTAATGCCGTGTATAAAGCCCATGTGCTAGATCCCCTAAGCCAGTGGTTAGCGGGTGGGCCAATCTAGGTCAGAGGATAAGGGCCCATATATGGCTCTTCCCCCTTCTTGACGCATTTGCTGACATCATGCATACTCTCAGTTGCTGGTTGAGGGAGAAAGTCCGAGACTAGAATGCTGCCCTGACATTCCTTGGGGAATAGCTGCACAGGGAAGGTAAAGAAATGGCTCTGTTGTGTCATTCTTTACATCTACAGAAGAAACAGATTTGATTTGGGTTGCAAGCAGGAGTGAACAATGATCTCTAATTATACCAGGAGTTTTAAGAATTTAAGGCAGATATGCAGCAGATCACTGGGGTTGTATGTGTTTTGTTCTCTCTATTTATCAAGGATCTTACATGATTTATTCAGAAAAATCCAAAATCCTAAGTCAGGTGGGGGGGGGGGTTATTGCTTTCTTTTGTCAATGTTCTGGCTTTTATCGTGCATTTTTTTGTTTTATCTTGTAATTTTTCTGCTGTGAATCACCCCGAGATCTTCAGATGAAGGGCAATATACAGATTTAATAAATAATTATAAATAAAAGTAGTGTCAACTTTAGATTGCTTGTTTCCTTATGCTATAGTTAACACGAACCACAGTTTGGCTGGGTTTAGATATAGTGAATAACTGTGGGTCATTTAAAGTGGCTGACCCAGAGGAAGTGAAGGAAGAACACGAGACTGAGATTTTTGCACATGAAGGATAAATTATGATCTGGCATTAAGAGTGAATGCAGCCATTATCTGACACCGGGAGTGCCAACTTGGCACCCCATGTTCTTAGGATGTCTCTTGGGCTTGCCAGTCAGAAGGTCAGCAGTTCGAATCTGCGCAACAGGATGTCAGAAAAGTTCCTTCACTGACTCGGAGTGAGCTCCCGTTGCTCTGTCCCAGCTTCTGACCACCTAGCAGTTCAAAAGAATGCCAGTGCAAGTAGATAAATAGGTATTGCTGCAGCGGGAAGGTATGCAGTGTTTTCATGCACTCTGGCACTCGTCACAGTCCTCCATGTGCCAGTAGTGGTTCAGTCATGTTTGTCTGTGGTCATGCCAAGGGAGCTGGCATTTGTCTGTGGACAAACACTGGTCTGGCTTCCTTGGTCTGAAAAGCGAGATGAATGCCACACCCCATAGTCACCTTTGACTGGACATAACCGCCCGGGGTCCTTTACCTTTTTTATCTTTGGAGCAGAAAGTGAGCTTCTTAAATTCCAAAGGAATGGTATTGTTTAAGGTGCATCAATAAAATGGAAATCTGTTTCTTTTGTATTTCTGCTTTACAGAGCAATGCAAAACTGCTAGTGGTTGTTGTTTTAGTCATCCACTGCAGTATTTCATTTTGCTACTCTTCCAAAATCATGTTAAAATTTGTTGCATTAGAAGGAAATGGTGGTTTCCAGTACAGCCATCCCAACATAGCAAATTTTTGTGACCTCACACAGCGCCCCCGCCCCCGCCCAAAGCCGTGTTGTTTAGCACCCCATCTCCAATAACATGTACCGTTCCCATTATCCAGTTGGTGCAGATGGGTTGTGTCCTCTGGTTCATAATCAGAAGTGTAAGGTGGGAATCCTGGAGAGTCGGAGAAGCGGGCTGTGGTGGTGGTCTCTGAGGGCCCTCCACCCGATGGCAGCTCTGGTGGATCATTCCATAGCGTTGGGAGCGGCCCTTGGGGGTATTCTGCTAGAGCAACACACACAAAAGCCCAGTTAATCTTTTCAGACTATCCGGACCACAGCCTCTTAAATTCTGGCACTAGAGATTCAACAGGAACCCTGTTTCAAATTTTCTATTCCATTAGACTTATGCAGGCTTTATCTTTCCATAATAGTCAATTTCTGATTTTAACTATTTAATATGGATTTATGCACAATTAGTGTTAAAAAAACCCCCATCAAAAATCCCTTTGATTTTTTTTAATGAATAGTGGTATATAATTAGGTTTGTAAAATAAATTAATTAATTAACACTGGGATGCTGAAAGGCTCATTAAGGCTTCCTCCTTCCCTAGGCAACAACAAGTACATCTTAATAAGTGGTAGCAAAAGAATGGGTTGCATTGCCCTCTGCTGGATAAAATCATCAGAGCTGTTCAGTTCTCCCTTGGTTCTGAGCCTGCAACCTCCAGCCACACCTAATGGTGCTTTGAAATATTCATTCTAAACTTTACATCATCTCTGCCCATCTTCTTTCTGTTTGCTCTGTTGACAGTTTGACCAAAATTGGCCCCAGAAGGCTTGCCATTTGGGCACAGTCAGTTACGGCAGTTCATGTGGTTTCATGCTCTACCTTTCAATTACAAAAATACGTATTAGCATGATAATCTTACCCATACATGTTGTGGGGGGAACCTTGTTGTACTTGTGTTTGCTTTTTGCTTGGGTGGAAAAATGGAGAAATAAGCATGGCAAAGCTGAAGAGGGGAGTACACAGTATTCATATACTTTAAAAATTAGAACCATCTTTTTAAGGGATAAAGGGAACCCCAAGTGGTCCATATAATGGTCACTAGAAACCCTTAAGAACCATAAACCTAAAACGTCTTCTACCATGACATATCATGCTTTGCCCACAGTTTTTAAAAGCTAGGAAAAATAAGGCTGCAATAAACAGGAAATAAGGAAATATGATTGGATAGAAAAGGGTACAGCTTCAGATAGTTGTGTTGTGTTGTTTAGGCTCAACTGTTCAGTGTCTTGCATGAGTCCTTGGAAATCTAGATGGAACTGGAGGGTTTGAAATACACCTTTGATTAGTGGCAAATGTGTATTTCCACAGGGAGGGAGTATATTTGTCACAACTTTTTTCACTGCAAATGACTTGAGAAACTGGGCCCAGTCTTTCCATGCAAGGCCTATTTGCAATCTAGAGCCTGCTCTGATCACCTTAGCTTCTCAAGTTTAGACGATACAATACAACCAATTCTTCTTTTGATTTTTGCTCTTGGAGGCTTCTGCCTGCTGAAGAATTTACAGATTGAAAAAAGCTTGCAAATATTTTAAACATCTGGTGAGTCCAGGGAGAGGCCAAGCACTGAGCACAGTTGCAGGATTAATGGAGCCTTTGCGTTATTGGCAATCTTCTCCCTGCCCACAATGTTAGCTTCTCACTCCCCCGACAGACTTTCCCTGCCAGGACTTTCACAGGCAGGACACACAGCCTTGGAACTAGGATAGACAGGAACCCAGACCCTCCCCTGACGGTGCCCCTCAGATGCCTTCTCAGGTGAGATTCCAAAAAAACTACATTTTCTTTGATGTTGCCATTCATGTCCTGTTTTCCCCCCCTAAGTGGGCTCTGGAGGAACTCAAAAGGCCCTTTCTGTTTATATGTGGCTGGACCCAGAAGGCAGCGATCAATGCTCATTTTGTCTGAGCAGGACGAGGCAGAGGCCCCAGCAAGAACTGGAGACATTCTGCAGGGCTCTGTCAAAACCACTGGAAATGTCACACCAAACTGAAAATGTGGAGCAAAACATTCAAAGCTATCTAATCGCATAAGATGATCCCCAGGCCTGAGGGGAAATATAGCTGAGGGCCAAAGGTTTCAGTAGCTTGCTTGCCAGTAGACAAAGAATGTACAGAAGTTTTGTTTTTTAAAAATGAGAAAAAAATGCACAACGCTGTATAAGAAAAGTGGGATCAGGGTAAATTTCACTTCAGGCTAGTGGATAAAAAGACTTATCAGTGGTAGGACCAGTGCTATTTTTCTAGAAAAAGAGGTGCCAAAGCTCACCATTAACTTGTCCTTTGTTCTCTTAGAATGGCAATGGTGCCCACCTGAGTTCCGGCTGAAAAAATAGCCCTGGGTAGGACAGTCAGTCTTCACGTGTGGAAAAGCTTCAGTCCACAGCTTTGCTTCTTGAAGACTCTCAAGTAGAGGGCTAACCGGTCAGGGTTGATAGCATAGGCTTGCATGAATTGCTGCCTTAGCGATCCTCATAAAGGGGTCATTTAGTCTGCCAGCAGGACAGTCCGATTTGGTGCACCACATAGTCAATAAGTGTGAATTATACCAGTGGCATTTGGATCGTGCTGAAATTCCATCTCTAACCTACCTTGATTAGTAGGGAAAAACCTGCACACCACCGAGTATAAATAAAGCTGTGGTCTGCAACTGGCCAAACTGACAGCTACGAGTTGGCCTGCAAACTAATGCTGGCCCCTTCTAGATTGTGCCTCACACCTTAATGAAGAAACTACTGTGCACAGAGGAGACAAAAATCACAACACATGTTGTCTCGTGGATAAAGTTTCTTCACAGTTCCCCTCACAAACAAGTATTAAGGTTACTGAAGCCATGTGTTGTGCAGCATCTGTAATAACGCTAGACTGAGGTGAGGAAACTGTGCTCCAAGGAGCGCATGCAGCTCTCGGTCTCATTTTGTGCGTCCCTCAGCCTAGTTCCAAAGCTCCACCCACTGCACAAGCCCCACCCACTTTGGCTCGGCCCACATCACCTATGACAGTGGTGGCGAACCTTTTAGAGACTGAGTGCCCAAACTGCAAACCAAAACCGACTTATTTATTGCAAAGTGCCCTACGTTTTTGAGAAGAAACACTGCGATTCTCGCCATCTTTAAAGCCCTATATGGCCTAGGACCCTCCTACCTATGGGACCGCCTCTCCTGCTATGTCCCACGGAGGACCTTACGGTCTTCAAACAAAAACATCTTGGAGGTCCTGGGCCACAGAGAGGTTAGGCTGGCCTCAACTAGAGCCAGGGCTTTTTCGGCCGTGGCCCCGACCTGGCGGAACGCTTTGTCACAAGAGACTAGGGGCCTGTGGGACTTGACATCTTTCTGCAGGGTCTACAAGACAGAGCTGTTCCACTAGGCCTTTGGCCAGGGCACAGCCTGACTCCCTCCTTCAGTAATCCTCACAGAACTCTAGCCCAATGGTTGCCATTAATTTGACTCTGAATTGATTTTAGAATGAATTGGTTTTAGAATGTATTTCAATTAATTGATTGTGATTTTATGTAAACTGTGTTATTTTTACTATTGTTATTTTGTGTTATTTTTACTCAGCCACTCTGAGCCTGGCTTCAGCAGGGGAGGGAGGGATATAAATAAATTATTATTATTATTATTATTAATCTCCCTCCCTCTTCCCACCTCCCGCCGGGCGCTCCCTGGCTAGCTGGCTGGCTCACTCTTGGGCTGCTGCGAGGAGGACGGAGCAGCCCTGAGGCCAGGTGAGCAGCAGTGGCCAGGAGGAGAGGGAGAGCCCCCACCCCAGCCAGCCAGCCCAACAGCCGCGGCTGCCTGCCTATATGCCTGCTCCCCGCCACAATCCCAGCGTGGTCTTCCCCATCTTCCTCCCTCTCTCCAGCAACGTCACCGCGGCAAAGGGGTGAGGCTGGGTTGTGCCAGGCATGCAGGGAGGCGGCGGGCGCAAGTGCCCTCCTAGCCCAGGCAGGTCGGGCCCATAGCAGGCAAAGGGCCTGCGGAGGATTGGAGCGGGGGGGGGGGGTTACGATGGAAAGGAATGGGCGAGGCCTGGCTTGGATGGGGGAGCTGGGAACTACCACGCAGCACTGAAAAAAGTGCAGGAAAAAAATCACAAGGGTCAAATAATGATAGCTGTTATGCCCAATCAGAAACAGCCACTGCCGCAGCCAATTGAAAAACAGACCAATCGTTTGTATCCTATGTGGTGGGAATGTAGAGAAGTTAAAAAAATTTGGGAGATGATATACAACGAATTGAAAAAAATGTTTAAAATGACATTTGTAAAGAAACCAGAAGCGTTTTTGTTAGGGATTTTAGGACGAGACCTGCCAAGAAAAACAAAGAATTTATGTATGCAACAACAGCGGCAAGAGTCTTGTTAGCACAAGGATGGAAGAATGAGGAAATCCCAACGAAAGAACAATGGCAAGAAAAACTGATGAGTTATGCGGAGTTGGCAAAATTGACATATAAATTACGTGAGAAGAACAATTATTAATAATAATAATAATAATAATAATAATAATAATAATTTTTTTATTTATACCCCGCCCTCCCCAGCCAAGGCCGGGCTCAGAGCGGCTTACAAGCAATAATAAAAACAAGATGAATGATTACAACTTAAAAACAAAAATCAAATACAACATTAAAATAATGGAACATTAAAATATTAAAATGTAGCCTCATCGCAGGAGGAGAAGGAAAGGAAAAAAGAAAGAGAGGGAGGGAGGGAATCAAATTGGCTCCAAGCCAAAGGCCAGGCAGAACAACTCTGTCTTACAGGCCCTGCAGAAAGAAATCAGATCCTGCAGGGCCCTGGTCTCATGAGGCAGAGCGTTCCACCAGGCCGGAGCCAGAGTTGAAAAGGCCCTGGCTCTGGTTGAAGCTAATCTAACTTCCTTAGGGCCTGGGACCACTAGGGTGTTGTTATTTATGGACTTTAAGGAAGAATTGTGACTTTAAGGAAGAATGGGAACTTTTTGCAAACTATCTAAAAAAACAACAAAATGATTTGGACTCCTTGGCAGGTTTTGAATAAACATCCACAAACTTATTAGTAGAATATATGATAGATAAGGCAATGGTATGCACCATTTTTAACATGCAGAGAATAATATGTACAAACAAATCAGAGAGGGGAGCTGAGGGAAGTCCTTAGGGGGTGGGAGAGGGAGGGAAGGGAAGGGGGGAATAAAAAGGGGGGGAGAAATGTAATTGGTTATTGTGACTGATAATTTGTTTGGCTAAAATTGTTTAATAAAAATATATTTTTAAAAAAAGAAAGAAAAATGGACCAATTGCCGAACACAATCGCCGGCCAGCAGCAAAAAAGAAGAAAAAAGTTCCGAGTTTAAGCAGTGGATGCACACAGTAGCGTGGGGAAGAGTGGGAGCACAAATGGAAAAAAACCAACAAAACAGTGCAGATGGGCCGATGGCGTGCGTGCCAGCAGTGAGGGCTCCGCGTGCCCACTCTGGCATGCACGCCATAGGTTCGCCACCGCTGACCTATGACTTCAAGCTCTTTGGCACTGCCAAGCGGTCTAAATCTGATTACCTCAAGGATGCAGCCCTTGGGGGAGGGGAGGTTCCTTTCCCTGCGCCTTAGGCAATAATCCTCCAGCTAGTTAACAAAATTAAATCCTACCACAAATGATGTAAAATGCATGTTAACTTGGTTCTTAAAGTGAGCAATATACAGTACTCACATTTGGAAAGGTGCCATTTTTGACAACCTTGTGAAGGATCGCTTTACCTCACATGTGTCCGATTGACTGCTTTGATCTGTGGAACTGCCACTTTTGCCAGTGCCACATCATGTTTGTTCTGCACTTGCAAGGAATTAGGCCTTCATTGTGGCAGCCCCTGCACTCTGAAACTCATGATCTGTTAATATTAGGCAGGTGTCTTCACTGTAACGCTTTCAGTGCCTGCTAAAAACTTTTTTGTTCAAGCAAACCTACCCAGGTGTGTATTGTTTACATGGCATCTTATAATGCTTTTTTAAAAATGCTGATTTTATGTTTTGTAAATTCTTAGATCAGTTTGTTTTAAACATCTGATTTTATCAGTATTTTTAATGTGTATTTTATATTGTTTTATGTAACCTGCTTAAAGGTTTTGATGATTAAATCTTGTTAACACCTATGTTTTTCAGATTCTGCCATAGGTTGGGGATGAGTTCTCATTGCCAAGGAAAGACATCCAAGCTAGGTTTTTCTTAAGTAGGGTATTTGCTTGAAATATTTTCTCTGCTTTATTAGAAAACTTTTGTAAAAATCATTTTACATAGCTTCTCTCTATGTTGTATATTATCTCACTGTGCTGTATAGAACATGACATTCACTTTAAGGATGTTCCTAGCAATATGTTTCCTTCAATCCCAGTCATGACATGATTTGCCTTATGATATTTACTTGCCCCGTGACTAATATATTGGCATAATTTTTGGTCATGAAGATTCATATTCTTTAATACACAGTATCAAACAGATACTGATTAAGCAATCAAACAGACCTAGCTTTTTCTTCAAGGCTCCTGCTATCAGTTTCATTCAAGATAAACTTTAACTCACTCAGGAGCAACAGGTTGGAGCTAAAGCCTCAAGTGCCTTGGCTAAAAAATCTTCACCCAAAGCAAGCAACAGCTGGTTTCAGGCAAACCGGTAGCATAAAGATCCTTGCCAGGCCACTGCTGCAGTTACCCTGAGGTACCTCAGCCTAAATTTCCCGCCTTTCCTTCCAAAGGAGCCCATGGAGGCAAAAAAGAACTGATAAAACCATTGCAATGCAGATGTAGACTGTACTGTTGAAGAGACGGTACCTGTCTAATATTTAAGGAGAAGGAATTCCAAAAGCTAGGTGCCACAACACTTAAGGCCTGGTTCTTTACATTGTGTGGGGCAGATCTCCTGCTAAGATGGTATCTGCAGGAGGCCCTCAGTTGCAGAATTCAGTGTTTGATTGGGTATATAAGAGGGGAAATGATCTTTCATTAACCCTAGTCCCAAGCATTAACCCTAGTCCCAAGCTTCATACACCAAAACCAGAATCTTGAATTTAGCCTGGTTGGCAGCTAAAGGCCAATGAAGAACCTGAGGTAAAACCTATTACTGACAAAATGTCCTTCCCTTGAGAATAAACAGCCATAGTCTGAGGTTGGGGGCTTGAGATATTCATAATCCTCTCCAGAATTGTCAGAGTGTTTCATTAAATAAAAATTATACCCACTTGCACAGGAAGTAGCAATTTGACTCCTCCCTTTGAGTGATCTGCCCAGTTTGCGAAAGTACTGATATCCCTCCACTGCATGCTGTAATGACCAAAGGAGGGGAAAGCAGCTGGAATGCCTGTGCTTTCCTCCCTTGTCAATTATAGCAATAGTTTTGCTCAAATTCATAATGGTTGTACATTGAATTTCCTGGCTTGAAAACAAATTGGTCAGCAAATCGATTGTTAGGAGACATCTACACCCCTCAGAGCTACAATTCCCAGAGTTCCCTGGGAAGAGGGGTTGATTGTTAAATCACTCTGCAAATTGTAACTCTGTGAAGGAAAGAGGGGCCTCCTAACAACATTCAGCACCTTCCAAAAGCTACAGTTCCCAGAATCCTTTGGGGGGGAAGCCATGACTGTTTAAAGTGGTATCATAGTGTTTTAAATGTATGCTGTGAATGTGGCCTTTAATTTGGAGACTTTCAAGTGTAACAATGCTTAAATCACAGTGCTGTGAAAAGTTTTGACTTGTGATTTCTCCTATAGATCAAGCAGCTGCTGTTCAAAGCCCAAGGCCAGGCCTGTTGCCCATCTTCATCAGTTGACAACCTTTTCCAATTTGAATGCTGTGAATATAATTTTCCTTCAGCCAAAGTGCTACTACCAAGAGACAACTGCAGCAACGGATGGTCTACTTGCAGTTGAGGCAGCATGTTAACATCAGCTCTCTGATCTTAAAACAACCAATCTCTTCTCTCTACCATCCCCTCCCCTTGCCCTGTGCTATGTGAAGTGTTGTGATTGGCATTTATAAGCACAGGATAGGAACATTGACTTTGTGCCTAAAGTCTGAAAAAAACCGTTTTTGTTAAAAATGGCCAAAGCCCACCAAAAAATGACATTTCCAACTCAAATGGCACCCAGGAAGAAATTATTTCCCACATAATTTAAAAGTAACAGAGTGGTTGGGATAAGCAAGAACCCACACTCTCTCAAAGACTTCCTGATCAACAGGGATTGGTGTTTAATTAGAGTTGTTACAATCTCCCTTTAATTTGAAACTTGTCACAGGCCTAGAACACTGATCTAAGTTAATGTAGCTTGTCAAAGAAACTTAAACTGGGATGACAATTTAATAATGCTGGCAAAGAGATCGTGCTTGGAACAAAGTGCTAAAAGGTCCAGGTTATGTAATATATACTCTGCTGAGAAAACACCACAGTAGTCCCCATAGTATCAGTTTCAAACCAACCATGGTACAAGTAGTCTCTGAAAATGAGGATGCCTCTGAACAAACTGACATATTTTAGTCAAAAATGGGGGCGCTGCAACATGCCATCTTGACACATGAACAAAGGCAAAAATAAAATGTTTGAGAACACATGCTTAGTGAACCACTGTGGCTCAGAGATAGTTTATTTTCACCTCACTTCTTTCTCTGGATTAGTTATAGGCTACTTTTTAAAAATGAGGATCACTTTGCAGCAGCTCCTCTGGAGAAATCAACTCCTCTTCCAAAGCACATACTATCTCCATAGCCACTAGTCCATCATCCATTTGTACTGGGATGAGTGAAAAAGGCAGCATGACTATTTTAACTGGGGCATTAGCAGACACTATGACAGTGTAGAGTTGTCTCAGGCCATCTTGTCCCTGCTCTTACAAACATAAATGTCCCAGAAAGCTTGAAACCAATCTCCACTGCTGTCTTGCAAGTGGCCTGATTTAAACATGACCCATACGCAGAGTACAAATCATCAGTGTTAGCCTTGAAGCGTCTCCACCCCCATCATTCTGCCCGGACACTGAAGTCCAGAGCCGAGGGCCTTCTGGCGGTTCCCTCACTGCGAGAACCAGGAACCAAGCAGAGGGCCTTCTCGGTAGTGGCACCCGCCCTGTGGAACGCCCTCCCACCAGATGTCAACTACCAGACTTCTAGAAGACATCTGAAGGCAGCTCTGTTTAGGGAAGCTCTTAATGTTTGATTCATTACTGTATTTTAATATTTTGTGGGAAGCCACCCAGAGTAGCTGGGGAAGCCCAGCCAGATGGGTAGGGTGTAAATAATAAATTATTATTATTATTATTATTATTATTATTATTATTATTAGTTCAAATCAAGAGACGGAAGCCTCCATCTGCACCGGAAAAACTGGTTGATTCTATGCCGTGCATATATGAAGAAACATCTGCATGGCCTCCTGATTCCATCACTTTCATGTAGGTTTGCAGGAAAATTGAGGGGTTTTGACTGTTCTTTCCACATGGATAGCTGTGAGGTGAAGGTGGTCAGGGACTAATTCCTTGGGTTGGTTCTCAGCTACTAAAGATTTAAAACATCAGTAGTACTTGGGGGCTGAGATCAGTATCTGCCTGCTCACTTTGGAGGTTTCTGTTGTGGAAAGCCAGAGGCGCCGGCACAGAAAAGCAGGGACCCAGAAGTGCTCTCAGAGACCAAGAGTGGGCTGTACGGACTCAGGTAGCCCCAGTGGGCATGTGGCCAGTGTGTGGATGAAAGAAGCCCTTCTTCAGAGGCACAAAGGGAAGTCTGTGATGGTACAAGCTCAAGCATGGGTCTACACAAAGCACCATGGTTGCTCTGGATGTTAAATAAACTTGTTTACAAAAAAAAAGGCCGGGGCTATGTATATAGCTTACACAAGGGGACTGGCTGTACCCCTTTCATCATTTTGTTGGGACACATGGCAAGGAGTTTTCTTCCTGACTCATACGTTGAAAGGCAAATTTAAAAACAACCTCCAGAAGGCACAATGGGAATAAAAATTAATCCTCTTTCACAGGGTGTGATATCCAACACATATGTCACTTTTAGAAAAGTTACAACCATATTATAGTATGTTCATTCACTGCCATTTTCATAAACTGAACTGGGCTGGGCTGCTCCTCTTTCAGAGGCCATCAGAACCAACCGCCTTGTGAAAAAGAGAACGTTGGGTTGGAAAGCTGTTTTTTTTGAGGTCCACAAAGACCTGTTGCAGAACTGTGAGCAGCTAACAGCAGCAAGCCCGTATGTTCTTGCCTTGTAACCAAGATCTAGTGCCCAAGTTTGCTTCTCCCTCCCCAATCCTTTTTCCTTTTGTGTCACATGTTTTTAAATTGCAAGCCTTGGGGCAGAGACTGGCTCTTTTTTTTGTACCCTAAAAAGAGTGAGGTAAAAATGCTTTACAATTATAAGTAAAATATATTATATGTTGACCTTCTACGTCACCCTGAAAGTTGTTTAGCTTTTTAAGGACAGGATAAAAATGATTTAAGTAAATTATCAAAGTAAATAAATAATGGAATTTTATCTGGGCTTCACCCATTACCTTTTAAAATGCTATTTATGTTCTACAGCAGTTCTAAGCTAATAGGGAAATCTAAACAGTCCAATGCATTAACTGACCTGAGATCTTTTGATGAAGGGTGGGTTATTTATTTATTTATTTCGAAAACTTATAAGGCAGAAGTTTCATCCTGGATAAAAGAAAAAAGGGGCAAGTTCCTAAATGCCTGATCATTACATCACAAATGCAATATTCAAACGATGAATGACTGAGCAATCACAGATAAAATACAACAGAGAAATTCATTATCTCCTCCAGCACAAAGCACTTCCAACGGTCAGCTCATACATACAGCTGTGAGTCAAATGTTGAAAAATGCGGGGATAAGACATCAAGGGATGTACCAACAATATGAAAAGAGAGAGAGAGAGCGAGCACAAAGATGATTCTGTAAAGAAAAGTTATGAGATTGCCTGTGTTGAAAGGCTCATTGCTGGATACAGAGCTAAACCAAGAAATAAATTGCACTTTAAAGCGAAATGAAAATGCTAATATCAATAGCAAGTCCCTTGGTCAACACTTCCAAATATTATCAGTACTGTGGAGACAAAGAAAGGCAATGTGGCAGCATCAAACAATGTTGTTGCAACCATACTGCCAAGTTCCAATAAGGAAAACCAATGCAATTAAAATACTGCAATACACTGTAGAGAAAATGATTAACAGATTTATCATGTATGGGATTCTTTTACCATATATGAAAGCCAGGACTCACATTTTATGGTAAAAATATAATACCCTTTTTGGTCTCTTAAGCAGATGACTTTTTCTGCTGCTTCTGGAAGCGAAGAGTCCTCACACATTAAAACAATATATTTTATTGTATGAAGGGGTACAGATGATGTTCCTAAAGAGGCAATGTTGTTTGTGCCAAGTTAAAGATGGGGATATCATCTCATCTTCCCTGCTGTTAGTTAGCAAAATATATGTTGACTCCTTTGACGCAACCTACCGAAGACAAAGCATTGCCACTAATGCTCATAGTTATGAATTAAGCAGCTTCGAAGCTCCAGTACTGTCAATCCAAATGCAACAAAGATAGGATGAACATATTGATAATGGCTTTTCATTATGGCTTTGGAAACTCTGTTACCATTTATATCTGCAAGTGAAACACCACAAGCTTCTAACAAGCCCTTGTGGCTTGTGTCTGTCTAAAATGTACTGCAAAGGTCAAGAAGTTTTCTGCCCCTTCACTGGGCAAAGAACTTTCAGAGTTTGCAATGAGCAATCTAATGGTGGAATCCTAGACATACATGTCTACTCAGAAGTAAGTCCTATTCAATGGAACTTCCTTCCAGGTAAGGGATATAAGATTGTAGCCTATGAGCCTTGAAACAACATTAGCAGCAGCAACAAAAATCCCCCTTAATAGAAAGGATGCATGGACCCTATTTCAGTGGTAGCTGCTTTTGACTCAAGAGGTCCAATATCTGGCACAATCCAGGTAAAGGATTTCAGGTACATTATTTTCCCACATAAGGCTCTGTTCTGCTCCAGGGGTAACCAATTTGGAGACTTCCAGATATTGTTGGACCACGGCTCCCATCACCGGCAGCCAGCAAGGCCAATGGTCAGATAAGACAGGAATTGTAATCAAAACCATCTTTAGGGCCACAAGTTAGCCACCCCTGTTTTATTCAGTTGTCACACGAACAGACTGCCCAATCCAAGAGTGTTTTTTAAAAGGGATTGGGGAATTGCAGTTAGGTTACTTTTAAGCTTACAAGTAAGCTTAAAATCTTTTAAGCTTTTAAAATCATATTTTGCATGAATGTTTTTCTGACACTGAATTCCATTGGTATTCTCAGCATTGAACAAATAGGCACACGTGGATCTTTCCAAAGGGAACACATTGATTAGGACTTGTGTACACACACTATGTGTTTAATAATTAGAATTTTGAACTGATGACTCAAAATCAGCACAAAGAAAAATGATGCCCTACAATTTATGTATGATGCAAGTGATGTGTGATGCATCTTGTATATATGCATTTTGTAATGTTTGCCTACTTCACGTAATTTCTTCTACGAATCAGGGATAGGGGGAAAGACATGGAAAAGACACTAAAACCTGTCCTCTGGACCACTGAATCTCTTATTCTGCCACTTGTGTAGAGATTTAACCAGTGCAGTATTTCCATACTTTTATTTTTACAGACAGGACTAAAAACTTCCTTTTAAAAAAAAAAAAAAATTCTCATGTTGCTGAATTATATATACACAATACCAAATTCCACATTTGTATGGTGCCAGCACAAGAGATACAGTCCTAAAAATGCTAATTCAAGCCTAAGTTTGCTGCTGACAACTCTTCAAGGTTTTAGGGCACCAATGTTTTTCCAGGTGCACACAAACTCACTGAAACCTGCTCCTCAGTCCATAAAATGCTACCCATAGCCTCTCTGTTTTGCCTAGATTTTAGATACTTCACTTACACAGCACTAGCAATCAATACTCCGATTGAATTCCACTTTGTTTGACGAGAAGGAACACAAGATGCTTGGGAGAGGTGAGGGAACAAGTAAAGAGGTCAGGGCTGCAATGGTAGTTTGGAAAGAAATCCAACTTACCTGTTTCCACAAAAGGGACCAGAACTCCAGACAGTGTCAGCAGGATGAGACGAAGGACCTTGGTGTGGGGCATTGCCTCCTTCGGGAATGCTCAGACTCTCTGAAGCCTTTAATGAGGAAGCAACCTTTCCTGGAGCTAATGAAAACCTTGTCCAATTAGCTCTCAAGCCTTTTCACATGTGTATACAACAGAGAGAGAGTTGCAAATACTCTGCAGAGGCTCAGCTCATTCACACACACAGATTCAGACAGACCTACCTCTTCATGCCAGAAGGCAGCTCCACCCATGTTGTCTTCCACCCCCCACCCCACCCCAAATTCTACCGTTGGTCCTTGGAAACCAACCCTCCCCACCAGAGCAAAGCCCACACCCTCTGGCAGTTAGCTGCAAAACCCAAAAGGCGCCAAGGACTGCACCGAGTTTCTAACAACTAGCGTACACATCTAACATCACCATATGTTAAGGACAGTGGTGAATAACAGCATTCATTAAAAATTCTAAACCCGAAGTAGACACATATTTGGATAAGCTGTAGCATACATCCTGCAAGTATTCAGCCCAACATTTAACTGGGAAATAATGATGACCACAAAACCTTCTGGGTTATCGGAAGTGTCCAACTGAACACTAACACACTCTCAAGGCAAACTGGGGTGAAAACAACTGATATTTGCTGCATTTTATGAAATCCCAATTGATTAAACTCTCCTCTGATGCAGGTTTCTGTAAAGGTTTCCTCTTCGTTCAAACAACTGAACAGTTTCTTCAGCCAGAGACATGGAAAGATTTGTAAAAAGACTTGAACATTTCAGAGATCACTCACTGTTGCTTTGAGATACTGATAGGCTAATGATCGCACACATTTACTTTGATGTTAAGCACCACTGATTAAGTATTTCTTATTGAATGAACACTTAAAATATAGAGACGGGGGGGGGGGGCATTTCCAGAGACAAACCACTTCAGGTTTGAATAGCTACAGTGCCCAGTTTACATGTGATCTCAAAGCATCCAATAGTAGTTGGGCACTTTGAAATCCTTAGCAGCAACGAACAAGTTTGTCCTAAAGTTTACATTCAAACTGCAACATAAACATCTTTGCTCAGCCCATTTTACTGGAAAAACAAGCCAACGATTCAAATGGTTTTCTTTCCCGGGGCAACTGTAGTCACTTTTCATTTTTGAAAAAAGGGGATGGGCAAAGAGAGAGAAATCAAGAACCAATCTGCAACCACATTATAACTTTACCTGCTATAGCTGTGAAAACAACTGGTTCTAAACTGTTGTTTAGAGGTATCTTTGTAGATGGGAAACCACATCTGGTAGCTTTTAGAAAAGTCAGTATTTACTTCATTATTTATATTTACTACAAACTCACTGATGACATATAGAGTTCCAGCTTGTTCTTTAAGAGGCTGCCAGCCTCTTTTGAAGCAACAGTATATATTAAACCCAGTTTGTTTCATAATCAAGTATTGGATTGTAATAAAAGTTGCACATTGCAGTACAATGAAGAAGTAGTGTGACTGGGAGAATTTTTGGAAGGTGACAGATGTCTACAGTTCTTTCCATCAATCAAAACTTATTTTCTGACAGGATAATTATGTGCACTGAGCCTGTCAATCAGAATACTTTGCACTGTGTCACATATGAACTTTTGGGATGGCTTTTCTGAGCTATGCTACAAAATAGAATTTTGCAGAGACTGTGAAAATGTTTTCCATTAAATTTGCAAGCCAAATTAACAGGAATATGGTTTTCTTAAATCCGGAGATTAAATAGTATCTAGTGCACCTCATTTTACTCTTATGTATTTCACAGGAATACCATTATACCTTTCCAGTGCACACAACAGTTTGAAAGCACATTGGGAACAAACAGAGCTATCAATGTAAACACAGATGGTCATTCGCCAAATTATAACTTTCCATTTTGTGTATGGAGCCACTTTGGCAAGCCCGTGTTGTATTTGGTAGTCTGTATTGCCTTGTCAAACAGTCACATCTGCACCTACCATGGTATTTTAAATAAACAATTTGAAGTGATTTTTTTATCTTACCCTTTGGACAAAACCATGTGGTAAGCCAGCCAACAATGCCCTGCAAAGTAGTCATGATAATCTTGCATTTCTGAACCTAATCTGAAATTCAAGGCAGCAGGGGAGTGGTAAGATTTTCCCTACCACTTGGCAGCACAGTAAGAATGCCTTGATTTATGAAGCTGTTCCCATGCACAACATCGTTGCATTAAGTTACCATGAAGCAAATCTTTAACGCAGGCAGTACACTGTAGATGGGCGTGCACAGACAACCATTTGCCTAGATTGTGCATATGACCAACAGTATGCTGCACTGTCCTCTCAAATGGTAAGGAGAAACTTGTCATTCCAATTTCCACGGATTTCAGGGACAGAAATACAGTACAATTCCAACCAACACCATCATTGGACAAGACAATACAAAGTGTTCCAAGTGGCTACATGTACACTGGGGTATTATATAATCTATACCCCAATTTTCTACATTAATGTGTACTCAAAGCAGCTTTTACAAGTTTTGCTTGACAAAATGTTAAGTGACAAAACAATGCACTTTAAAAAGCCTCGTTATGCTTAAATTATTGAAAGGCAAATGGTAATCTAATACCTTGCCTCCCAAGCGATTTTATTCACATTGTGGTAAATTACTACTAGGTAACTGATTGACTCCAGACCAACGTACACCATCAGCAAACAAAATTACCACATACCCATCCTTTTTAAAATGTCAACAAATGTGACACAGACCATTCTTTTCTTTTCTTTACAGCAAAGTGATACTTCTGAAAAAGCTATTCATATATTGTGATACCATTCCATCATGGCAGAGGCTGTGCATGTGTGTGAGCAATAGCAATCCTACAAAATTGTTGAGTTCAATTCCTCAATGTTGGAGACCTAGGAGGGAATCTCCTGAAATACAACTATGTGTAAAGCTCAGCTCAGCATGTTAAGGCACTTGCATAAGCAGCTGACCATATTTGGTTGGTTTTAACCATGTCACTGTAGATACCCCGAAAGGAAGGGTTGCTCTGGGTGTTTAAAATCTGCTCAAATCCCGTGAGAAGCTGCTCACACAAACAACTTACTACACGTCCATGCATTTACATTACAGGATGCTTTATGTACGAAAAAGGTCTTGAAATAAGGCACATTTGTGTTCTTACCTTCAATCTCCCACCCTGCTGCGAAGTTTTACTAGAATAAATTTGATTTAGCATGAATTTTAAATTATTCTACAGCCCAAAATTATTCCTATCCAAGTAAACAAAATGTGGCTACTAGAGCAGGGCCTTGTTCTTAGGTATGGTACAAAATAAGCTACACTTCAATGGTTTTCTAAGAAATAGATGACCAAGATAGATGTTCAGTTGTAAACTTATAAATACTGGAGGGGAAGAGAAGAAAAATATACAGGTGAGAAATCTAAAATGTTTTATAGGAAGCCTGACACTTAGGGGTTGATCAATTTCATTTGGTTTGGGTCACTGATCATTTCTTTCACCCCATCGTCATATTTCAGTGTAATTATTTTGAAAACACAAAAGAAGCAATGAAAACTATTCTTGGAAAAATGTGAAACAAGCTGCCTATGTCTATATTTAAGAGCCACATAAAATCCCCTCTGTCCCTAAAGCCCAGTGTATTCTCGGCTTGGGTTACAGAACCATTGCTTTGGTTTGCAAAAAAATAAAAAATGTTGGGGTTGGTATAGCACTTGCTGTTTTGTTCACAGTGGGCTTATTAATGTTTTTTTTTTTTTACATGTTTACAGCTTAAAAAAGAACTAGCCAGGCTTAGTCCTCTTGCATAAACAACACAAGAACATGAATGGGTATGTGTCTGAGGATGAAAGAAGGGAAGAGTGAAGATTTGTCGAACATTTCCAATCTCAACTTAACTGATGTTTATTTTCACCTCTAAAATTATCAAGTAGCAAAACCACCAACATTCCTCCAGGGGTATGAAATAAAGCAGCTGCTGTCCCTCCATGTCCTGTGTACTTGATTGTTACTTGATGGAACAGGCACTGGTAGAGTTCCAGGTCAAGTTTAGCACCGGAAAGGATTGCCAAAGCTGGCTTTGACAAAAGCAAACAATGTGTGCTCAGGTATTAATACAACCAGGTTTTATTTAAGTTCTCTCTTCTTTTTTTATTACCCCCATACTAGCAAGAGTTCCGAGGGAATTTAAAGTTCTGTAAACATTAACTACCCCCTTCCCCCCTTTGTAAGTTTACAAAGCAAAGGAGATCAGGAGACCAGATCTGTGACAGCACCTAGCCTCACTGAGCTACCAGATCCAAAAACTATATACAAATCTGCAGCTGTCTCTGTAAGAGTTACTGTACACGTTGGGGGTGGGGGAAAGGGGTAAGAGAGAAGAAAATCAAAAGAAATAAAATCTAAATTAATCTGCTCTGGAGCAACTTCAGTTGTCTTCTTCAGGCGATGATGGCAGACCAAGGTCTTCATACAGCAGCGCAACTTCCGTGGGCACATTGCAGCCCTGTGCAAGTGGGAGCGTGGAGGGTGGGGGTTTAGAACTAAGTGCAATGGCCACTTCAGACTTTTTAACATTCTGGGGTAAGGAATGGAGAAGGTGGATTACATAAATATATAAGCACAATGGATTGGAAGTAATGGGAGAGTGTACTATATAGTAAAAACCAGCACACCTCGCTTTATCCCCCTCCATGTGATTTTTATAAAGAGACTCTGCCAATGCTCAGATTCCTTGCCTCATTTATTTCACTTTCAAGACGACAGCTCCCTGTTCCTTGGCGTTAATGCTGCTGCAGAACTTACAAAACTCTGAACCACCATCACGTGTGACCAGATGAAATCTGGCTGGGTTTCAGGTTCCAAAGGTAGTGTCAACTCCCACAAAAAAACCAACTGGTGAAGATACATATGGTAAAGATCCTATGCGTCTCTGAAACGAGACAAATTCACAGCAGAAGGGTCCAAAATAACTGGCCCAATCACTTTGGAGGAAGTATAATTAAAGGAGAAAATCAGCCTGAAGGAAAAGATGTGTGCCTCCTCCCACAATTTGAGTCCCCAATTGTTCAGGAAGGCTGGAGTGTGCTGAAGCATGAACTCCAGCATCTTTGACATCACTACCCAATGAAGACAGACTTGAACTCCTCCAAATTCAATGTGCTGAAGAAGGCCTGGCAGGGATGTGCATTGCCAAACCAATCCAAGCTGAATGCTGCCCACCACCACCATTCCCTGCTGTTGCCAGTTCTACAGTTATGAATGCGCTTCCTGGTTCGGAAGGCATCTTTTGCCCTGATGGAGCATGGAAGTCAGTATCTGCGTGGCATTTTGGTTCTGAATTACATCTGTTAACCATGAGCTCTCCACTATGATTGCACCAGTTAAATGTGACGAGAATGACAAGAGAAGGAAAGGAAGCTACCATATGTAGACCTCCAAATGGCTTTACAAATAGCTTGGGAGAAGAAATCACAGCACCGTGATTTGCACTCGGCCTCATATATAAATCTTCTTTCCCAACTATCCAGAAGAGAGAACCAGAGGCTGATAAAAATGAAGGTGGTTGTGCAATCCTGGGCAGAAAAGGGCTTGGTTGAGGCTAGAAATAGCAGCCTGAGATGATTTGATTCTGTGATCCATTTGCAAGGCAAAGATGACTGCTGCAGCAGATAGAAAAGACTCTGTCCAGCAGTGGAGAATGCATGGTTAACAGGACACAGGAAAAGCCAGGCGAGTTGCATATACTCAGTAGTCATCCAAAGTCTCTATTTCTCCCATGTTGAGCCGCTCTGAAGAGGCATTGACAGAGAAACCTGCAAAACAAGACAGACAGATTTCTTAGTGCACAGATGTGTACAGCTTATTCCCAGATCTTACATGTCTTCATAAAGTAATCCATATATATTAAAGACAATATTGAAGGCAGCACCTGCCATCAATCCAGCTATTTTTTCCAGTGCTTTCAGCTCCTGCTTTAAGGATATTTACACAATAAAAGCATGAGTGAGTGAGTGAGTAATCTTCCCAATAAACCCCAAAAATATTGAAGAAATGTTCATCTTTTATAAATCTGCTAACCATTTCCTAGCAATTTGAGAAACAAGAGAGAAACGAGCAAAGGGGAGGGCTAGTAATCAAGATTAAAATAGACTGACAGGCACGCACAAAACCTTCAGCGCTTATTAGCCTGTCTTCCCCCACATATCTGAGTGTGAATGGAACTAACTAATAATGGGGCAAGCAGGGGTAAGAGCTGGAGTGGTGATGTCCAGGCAACACCTAAATCTGGCTACAGCTCCAAGAGGGGAAGAAAGCACCCAGCAGCCATCCCTGATTCTGGAATCTTAGCTTTTATTTTCCCCTTCTGACTCTTGCCCCATTTATTTAATGTACCACAAAACTTGCCTAACAAGCTGGGATCTGCTCGAACCATTTTTTGTTTCTTCTTCTTTTTACCACTCTGCACTGCCTCAAAGTTGGATTGCTGGTTGTTGCTCTGATTAGTCTGAAAGACCGAATGCAGTGAACTGTGGTTCATCCCCCACACAGAATCCTGGAACACAAATAAATAATGTATTACAAGCTGGAATCATGCCTTGTGCACTCAGTAAAAGTAGAAAAATAACAATGATCCACTGCCCCAATCACAGGCAGTAGACCAGTAACATTTCTGTTTAGCACACTCGCTGGTATCTCTGTTAATTACCTGAACACACCCTCACTCTCATACCCCTATTCTACGTTACTTACAGAAGATTTTAAGGTCAGCTGCACATACAACACAATAGCTGTCTAATAAGCAAGGGGTGAGAAATCTTCTCTCTATGAAGGGCCTTGTCACAAGCCCCTTGGAGATGTCTTAGAGGGAGTGGTCTGATGGGGAATGGAAAGAGATTGGGAATTTGGTGCAGTCTGACCCTGGGGGTGGACCCAGTGGATTGAGAGGTGGTGATGAGGACCCAGGAGATCCAAGTGGGATGGCAAGAGAATGCCCCACTTCAGTGTCACTGGACACCCCAATGTAGAGTCTTGGCTGGTTGATGAGGGCTCTGGCACCACTGAAAAGTCATCCCTTTCAGAGGCAGCGCAGAGCAACACATCTGATGGTGAATTGGCTCAATCATCTCTGTCTCCATAAACCAAGAACATGGAGACAACTGTGCTGGCACAAACAGACTTCACACGTTCAGCCCACTTGGAGGATTGCTTGCTTGCATGCCCATTCCCAGCCTTGGTACACAGATCACACAAATGAAGGTACCTGTCCCACTCTTCAGAAGGAGAGTTCAGGGGCATCTCAGTTGTTGGGTCAACGTCTTAGTTTAAGTCTAACCATGTGTCTAGAACTCTGCTGTGCTTCCTGCCTTTGCAACTTATAAACTGACTTATGTTTGGACATTGTATTGAAGTTTGGAATAAAGCCTTTAATTCCAACAACCAAGTGGAGTTTCAGCATTGCATCTCTGTCTCTCTCTGTCTCTCTCTCTGCCATGCCACCTCACTCCATCCCATCCCACATTCCCTGTACTGCCCTCCGTGCCCTATGCTACACTCATTTACTAGGCAGTAAGTTTAATTGACCATAACGGGACTTGCTTTCAAATAAATATGCTTAGGATTGCATTGTATTAGCGCCACAATCCTAGGCAAGTAAGCTTGTCTAGGAGTGCACTGTCACTGGGAGAGAGTTTTTGTCCTGATGACTAGATAGTTGTTGTTTCTGAGGTGGTTGCTTAACATTTTGAAGTGGCCATCTGGAGCATCAGTCTGCCCTGGGAGGCGCTTGTTTGCCTCTCTCCTTCTTCCCCACTACACGACTGAATTTAGGTTTCACTGGAAGGATCCAAAAAGAAGAGCAAATAGCTTCTTAGTAGCCTGTTTTGTCATTCAGCCAGTACCACTTGCTTTTCTCAGGCACACTTGAGGGCAACTTACCTCAGTCAAACAACATGCCCCCTCCCCTGCAAATTTTTGCCCAGCCTACCATGCCTAGGGAAAATCCTGCCATTTCCGGAGTTTCCCCCAACTCAGTGATCTCTCTCTCCCCCATCCCTTGCTTTGAATCATGCTTCCAGCCAGGTACTCAGAATAGCTCCCTTCATCAGAATTCCTGGGATTCTAAAATTCAGGTCAGAACATGGGAGGGACTGGAAGAAGAAATCTATTCAGTCAAGTTGCAGTGAGAGAGAAGAGAGCATGTGAGAAAGAGACAACAGTCACAGTGATAGTACACATGGCAATCTCTCAACAGGAGTGCCCAGAGCATTTCATGTAAGGGCATTTTGTATTTTAGGATGCATCCAGTCTATGAGCCAGGAGTTCCCTGCCCCAGTTGTAAGTCATTCCATAGTCAAGCTTGTCCTCGTTTTAAAACAGATTGCTAAACTCTACATCAACCAGAGAGACAGATCTGGTTTCTCCAGTAATCACAGAAATTCGCTTGCAAATATTCTCCAAAGACAGAAGCATGAACCTGTTGCTGCCGCTGTTGGTTGGCTTTTTGTTTGGCACGGCGCTCAAGAAACTGCTTGGCAAATTCCTTGGCTTCAGGGGTATCTCCAAGGTAGGCTCTGATGTAATCATGGACCTCGTATGGAGATTCTACTTCCTTCAAGAAGGACACAAACGTGGGAACTGCAGCCGGAAAGGAAGACAAATCACGAGATACTTACAACGCCTATAGGTGCATAAGCAAAAAAAAAAAAAATCCAGAGCTTTTCAATATCATACATTTCCTTACAAACTTTATGTAATACAGTATTATCCTTACCTGCAAGAAACAGAGAGCCCTTTCTCCTTATTCACTGAGATATGGGATGAATTAATTTCCTCACTAAGACAACAGTCTCTGCTGGATTCCTAATGATTATTTCCTATTTAATCTAACTTTTTAGCAATGGTGTATGCCTTATGGTACAACTTAACAGGAAAGAAAATATTAACTGTAGCATCAGCCCTGATCTGTGTAAAATCAGGAATTTTAAATATTTCCCAAGAATACTGGGGATACCAAACCTTTTGCAATTTCCCCATCTTCCTTAATGCTTCTAAATACAATTTTGGACAATGTGCAGTAATGCATCACATGATAATGTGCAGCTATGATGCAGTTTCTCAGTGTGTTAGACTGAAACTTTCACACTCCTTTTTCACTGCTTACCATCCAAGTTGTTGGCTGTGTTGAGTGCATGAAGCATTTGTTCACACCATTGAGTGAATCCATCCTGGGCTTTATTAACCCCCTGGAACAGCTTTAGCAACTTTTCTTCTTCTTCCACCTTCTTATTCTGCCTGCTTGTAACACCTATAGATTTACTAAGACAGGCAAAAAGGCAGTGTGTGAGGAAGAGACACAGGTTACCAGGAAAAAACATGCAAAGTATACAAGACTAGAAAATTCAAGCAGCTTCACAAACATTTCTGCCTTCTGTCAAAATCACAAATATGAAAGTATACTGAGATGGGAGCTAACAGAAAACAGAAGGAATGGAACCATAAGAAATCCTGGCTGCACTGATACAGCACACTGCAGGGTTTGGTGGAAAGGTTCCATCCACAAGACTCCAGATGTTTTGGATGACAATTCCCATCTGTCCCAGTCAGCAAGGCCAATGGTCAGGGATGATGTAGCCAAAACATCTGGAGGGCACAAGGTTGGCAAAGGCTACAGTAAAATAATTTAGAGACCCTGCAACAGGCCTGAGCCTCTACAATGAATTGAAGGGAAGCTCACTGCATCCCAGTTCCTACCTGATGCTAGCATTGCTCTTGTTTTTATTGGTTGCGTTCCGAGGTCCAACTTCTTTGACTGCATCGTCCCAGAATCCCATGTTTGAGTTTTTTGTATCAGCATTGCTCCAAATGCTGCTGACAAGGTCTGATGCCCACTGGCTGCTAGGATTCGTGTTTAGAGAGCCCCATACTGAATTGCCAATGCTGGTGTGCAGATTAGAATGTTGCTGGAACAACAGTAATGGAGATACTGTTTATTATCACCAATAGAGGAAAAGCAATACAAATAAAGTTTTGACTTCAACAAGATTATTATTATTATTATTATTATTAGTTGTACTCACTGTAGTGCTGCTGCGGGACCTGCTTTGCTGTTGCTGGTGTTGCTGCTGTTGCTGCTTCTGCATCTGCCTTGCCTCCTCCTGCTGTATCTCCAAGAGGGATTTTGTAGTACCGGCAGGTTTGGCAACATTTCCCCAGCCAGACAGTTTTTGTTGCTGTTGCTGCTGTTGCTGTTGCTGCTGGAGGGCTTTCATTAGTTCACGCTGCTGACGCCTTTGCTGGAAAACAGTCAGTGCAGGACATTCCAGTTCTTAAATGCATACTTGATTATCTTCTACTGTTTTCAACACATTTTCCTCAAAGCTGGATAAATCTGAATAGGTATGTGTTTCACTGGGGGTACTGAAATTTGCCTCAGACACACTGATCAAAGTCTCTGGTCTTGGAAAGTGCACCTGGACACAAATACTTTCATATTCTGCTTGTTTTCCAGTCAAGCAAACATTACTCATAGAACAAATTACTTTTCTACCCACCCCCTCATTTTTAAATTCCTAACTAAAACTAGATGGGCAACGAATCTAATTTTAGGCTTTACATTTAACGAGAATCAGTAGAATTAGCATTTATATTAACCACGATTCTATGTCTTTAACATTGTATCATTAAACCAGGTAAATTTGCAAAAAAGAAAAAGGCTAGCTTATGAAAATCTCTGCTCTTTCAGTCTTGGTAATCTAAGACTATGATAATATTTGGGCAATTATAACTTGGGTTTATTAAAATGAGACATATGGAAGCTTTTTGCCTGCTTATGCTCTCCTTCTTCTCCCTTTGTAGCACACAGCAGTTAAGACTCAAAAAATATTCAATTAAGCACAATTTCTACTTCATCACTGGGAAATCACAGTTACTAGGTTCAAAACCAACTAGGATTTTAACAATGCTTTGAAGTTGGCTTCAGAGCCTGCCTTGTTCTAAAACTGGTAACTGTAGTTTCCCAGCTCAGATGATACAGGAAACTATGCTTAATTGGCAACTTCAAGGTTTAACTGCTGTGTTCCATGAAGGGAGATGAGAATGAGCTGTGTAAAGCCTCCTAGGTATCTTGGGTTAAGCTTATTAAGTGTTTAGAAATTGTCACAGTGACTCCTAGCAGTGACAAGCCACAACTGCACACAAATGAGCAAGCCATGGGCTGTCTAAAGGCAGAAAGTAGTGGGAGGTCACCAGATGAATATATCTTTCACAATGGGTGAAAGAATATGTCTTTCATAACGATGTAATGGTAAGGAAATTTGACTATTCTATTTCAGCAGCAACCTAAAGCCTCTTTACCAAACTATGAATTTTACCTCTTCTCGAAGCTGCCGCTCTCTTTCTTCTTCAAGCTTCTGGATTTCTGCTAATGATAACGTCGTTTGGGACTGACATGCCCTAGAATTTGATTGCTGACCCCATGTTGAAGAAGAAGGGAGCTGGGAGGAAAGACATACAAGAAACAGCACTTAAATTTTCTTAATGGAAAGAATGAATACATCAGGATATATGCTGAATCAGCCACTCAAAAACATGCAAACAGTTGTTACTGTCTGCCACAAAAGCTGCTAATATGCCACAATCTTTATTTTGTCTCCTTGTACTGTGGAACTGCAACCTTTTCCTGCCAGGTGTGTACCCAACCTCCAATTAATCTTTATAATACCAACAATAGTCATAATTTCTACAGCAATATAATAGTAAGATTCAAGCACCTGACTGTGTTGTGAATGAAATGGGAATTATTCAAAGGAAAGGAAATGAAGCAAAGAAAACAGCTGAGGGAAGAAGGCAGTAGTAGCATGGAGAAACCATGAAAAATGCATTTTAAAAAGTCTGATGCAGAGACCCATGCCATTCAAAACCAACAGCTTCAGCCTCCATTTCTATACGGCTCATCCTCCCAGGACCTGTGTACATGGTACTGACTTCATTTTATCTTCACACCTACCTGGTGAAACAGATTAGAGTGGCCCAAGTTTATCCAGTGAGTTTCATGACAGTGTGATGATTTGAATCCAGGTTTCTCTACTCCCAGTTTTATGCTCTAGATCAGGAGCGGAGAACCTTTTTTACCCAATGAACCAGAACATTATTTTCCCCACCCCTGCTGGTCAACTCTGGCAGCGGGACAAGAGGCATCCACCTTTAAATCATCTGGTGCCATTATGATGTCAAGTCACTGATAGCTGAGTTGTCTTCAATTCAGTGGATAACCAGCAACACTCCTGCTAATGGTCTGAGTGAATGAGCTGAGATATAAAAGTTCAGGCAGTTGCTAAGGTACCCCGGACCTAAGTTGTTTGGGGCTTCTAAATTAACAAAAGGACCTTAAACCTGGCTCAGTAGTAGATGGGCAGCTAATGCAGATGTTTTAACCATGGTGTCACATGTTGTGGGCTATGTGCCCCCACCAACAGTCTGGCCACTGCATTCTATACCAGCTGAAGCTTCTGGAGCACAACCAAGGGCAGTCCCACATAGAGAGCATTGTAGTACAGTGGTACCTTGGGTTACATACGCTTCAGGTTACATATGCTTCAGGTTACAGACTCCACTAACCCAGAAATACAGTGGTGCCCCGCAAGACGAATGCCTCGCAAGACGGAAAACCCGCTAGACGAAAGGGTTTTCCGTTTTTGAGTTGCTTCGCAGGACGAATTTCCCTATGGGCTTGCTTCGCAAGACGAAAATGTCTTGCGAGTCTTGAGATTTTTTTTCGCTCCCCCCCCCCCTTTTTCTAAGCCGCTAAGCCGCTAAGCCTTTAATAGCCGCTAAACCGCTAATAGCGCTAATCTGCTAAACTGCTAATAGGGTTGCTTCACAAGATGAAAAAACCGCTAGACGAAGACACTCGCGGAACGGATTAATTTCGTCTTGCGAGGCACCACTGTAGTACCTCGGGTTAAGAACTCTTCTTCAGGATGAGAACAGAAATTGTGCTCCGGCGGCACAGCAGAAGCAGGAGGCTACATTAGCTAAAGTGGTGCTTCAAGTTAAGAACAGTTTCAGGTTAAGAATGGACCTCCGGAACGAATTAAGTACTTAACCCGAGGTACCACTGTAATCCAGCCTCAATAATGCAACATGGACTACAGTAGTCAGGCTATCCTTGGTGAAGGATAGTTCCAGGTAGCACTCTGGAAGGGTTTAGCTTAAAAATGAGGCATTACTCAGGATATGTGCACCTATATACATTTTTGGTAGGGTGGCAAGTTGCTCCTCATTGTACTTTCTCAGATCTATAGCTATGGACAGAAATGCACACCCTGAGCAGGGCGGGGGGCAGGAATTATGATATGTGTCAAGGAAATCTTAATTTTTCTGTAAATTAGAGAGATTTGCATATCTATACTACTTTCATGTTTTAGTTATTACCGTATTTATTATTAATTTCAACAACTTAAATATCACTTAGCACTGTAATATCTAAGCAGTGTACAATGAGGTACACTGAGCAGTAAAGAGATAACCTGGACAAACTGGGATGCCACTGATTGAAGTTAGAGCTGCCCATCTCCTGCTTCTGGTGCCCAATTCCAAGAGCGTTAAAAGGCAGGTTCTGGCAATGGTCATGTAAATTTCAGCACAGCTAACAGGAGCTTCTCTGCTGGCTTGGGCTGTGAGCATAACTTGTGAGAGTGGGTTTGTGGCAATGAGAAAAAGAGTAACATTACGAAGAATCAGTACCTTCATCTGTGCAAGTTGCTGCTGCTGTTGCTGCTGCTGCAATCGGCGCAAAGCCTCCTGCTGCTGCTGCCTCTGCCTCATAATTTCTTTCTGGCGTTGGAGTTCCAGCTCTTTACGTTTTCGTTCTTCCTCTTCATGCCTCTGTCGGGCTGCTTCTTCTTCCATGCGCAGCCGGTTTTCTTCTAGCTGACGCTTTGCCTCTGCTTCTTCACGTGCCCATTTGGCAGCCTCCTCTTCCTTCCCAGAACAGAAAAAATATGCAGAGTCTCTAAAGTGGACTAACCTAGATTAAAATGCTTCCTTTTTGTTTGTTTCAAGATACATAGGATTGCAAAGAATCCTTTGCTTCTAAGAATGCAACCTGTGCTAGAATACAACAATTTGCTGAAATATAGCTTTAGAAAATGCCCCAGAGTAGCCATGAAAGCTCTTATTACACTCCTTGTGTGACTTTGTTTCAGAAATCCAAAACTTTAAGACCATTTATCAGTTTTGAATTGGTAGAATCTTAAACAAAATGAAAGGTCCCTCTGCACTGTTTGAGCTAATAATGGCTCATCCACTTATGCAATATCACTTGATGTAGTCAACAAGTGAGCATACATGTGCAAACCAGCCTCTGATTCTTGCAGGTCTTAACTGCAAAAGATTTCCCTTCTTTTCACCTGTTTACGAAGCAACTCTTCTCGCTGTAGTCTTTCTTCCTCTTCTCTTCTCCTCTCTTCCAGTCTTCTACGTGCTTCCTCTTGTTGTTGCCGTTCTTCCTCTTCCCGCTGCCGCCTTAGTGCAATTTCTTGTTCCCTCTGCCGCCTTAGGGCTTCTTCCTGCACACAGAAATAAAAAGAATGAAATTAGCTAAAAGTGTGGATCTGCATTTAAATTCCTATTTATGGTATGCTGGATAGTAAGGGTCCCCTGACCTGGCTGCTCTGATTCTGACCTGAAGCCAGAGGTCTTTTAAATGACAGCAGTTGGGAATGCGTAGGGACAGGGGCTGACTTCACTTTGGAGGTGCAAGTCAGCAGTGGGCAGGGCCATCCTCTTTTCTTACTCTTTCTTTCTGCTCTCCAAATTAATACCCTACCCAGAGATTACCCAACATCAAATTTCCCTTTTCCTGAAATTATCACCCAGGTGCTCCAAATTCAATTTAGTGCTCCCCCAAATTAACATCCCACCCCAAGAATACTTCTGCCTTCCTGGAAGGCAAGACTGGGGCTGCTGGTGATGTGTGTTCTTGCTCTGGAGGCTGTTCATCAGGCCATAAGCCTAGAGTAGACATGTGCTTGGTTGCTAAAGATAAACAGAGAGAGTCCTTAAACAGTCTTTTCCCAGGTGTCTCCCCCGAGTCACAAAAGTGTTCTAACACAAAAAGTGGCAATCTGCCTCCTGTTGATGTAGGCAACTTAGAAGTAATAGGGTCCCTTCAAGGGAAAAACAGGCTTTTGATAAGCCTTGCCCTTGGCAGTAGCCAGGGGATGGTGCTGAAGAATGCAGCCCCATGGAGTTGTTTCAATGGCAAGAGGCCCCTTTACCGGCTCTCTTCCTGGGATGTAAGGCTTGGGGGGGTGTCATGTCCTGCATTGCAGGGGTTAGACTAGATGACCCTTGGGTCCCTTCCAACTCTACGCTTCTATGAGGAAGAGCTCCTGGAACATAACATAGACCATACTTCCCCCACCTGTCCTAAATAAAATTCTTATTTATTTATGTATTTTCTTTATTATGGGCAATTTCTGCACATCCTTCAAATAAATCCCCAGGGTGGCTTCCAAAAAATAAACATGTATGATTGAGCTGAAAACTGAACACACTTTGGACTTAAAAGGTGGAAGGAACAGGAAAAAAACTTATCCAACTTCCTTCACAGGAAATGAGAAAATGTGTTCTCTTAAAGATACTGAAAAAGTAATTTATGTATTTGAGATGTCACCTGCTTTCTGCGTGCCAGCTCCTCCTCTTCTCTTCTTTTTCTTTCTTCTTCTTGTCTCCTGATTAGCTCTTCCTGCTGCCTCCGTAGCTCCTCCTGTCTTTTCCGCTCTTCTTCTTCTCTTTTGGCCCTCAGTTCTGCTTCTCTCCTCTCCTGCTCTAGCTGAATTAAAGAAGTAACATTAGAAGTAAAGACCTCTTCAACTAGCACATTATTCCTGCTAGTTACAATCACTCCCATCAGCGTCCTCTTCTACAACTACCAGTTTGATTGGTCTTCCCTAAACTGTGTCCTTGTTTTTTTTTTTTAAAAAGCCCAATTAAGAATTAGTAAGTTGTGTCCCAATTACACTAAATCAGTACAGTATAAGGCAATTACACTAAATCAGTATAAGGAATGTCACAGTTACTCAGAAAACAAATGAAATGAAATGAAAAGCTGCAACTGGAATGGTTTCTACTGTTTCTTACCTTAGCAGTTTTGGCTTTTTCAAGCTGCTGTAACTGTTCTAGAGCTGGTCCCTGAGCTGTAGTGTCGATTGGGAGATCCCAGACACTGCTTCCTTCCCAGACTGCAAAAAGGGGGGAAATGTAGGCTATTAATTAATATTTAAATTAGGAGACCACAGAGCCAAGAAGCTAGCAATTCTGTGCACCCAGGCAAATTCACTGGTAATTAAAAAATATCACATGCACTATATGTTTTGATCGTTAAGACGGTTAAAGACCTCTTTTGTGTACCTTTGGTTTTTCCTTTTTTAGGAAGTAGAGGGGGAGGAAGCCTGCTAAGGATGTGTAGCTAGGCATAAATTAAGGAGGTAGAAACGAGGCTGCTGACAGAAAGAATGAGAATGAAGAGACCACCAATGAGGGCCTCTAAGATACAGCTTTCGTCTTTTATCTGCTTTATACTTTTATCTGTACCTCTCAAAATGGCAGCATCCCAAATCATGGTTTGTGGGCTTTGATCCAGGAGCCAACCATAGTTTTCTCAAGATGTAGTTTCAGATCCTGTTTTGGCAATTATTCACAAACCGTGGTTTGTAAGCGACATTCATTTGGATGTCATTTCAGGGCAGTTTGTTTTGTGTCTGAATGTAGTCAATATCAAAACACTGTTTCATACCTGTAGCTTGTGGGGCTGCTGACTGAAGCTCCCAAATTGAGCCAGTGTCTGGCACTGACACAGACCTTGTTACAGGTGTCACCATGTTCTGCTCAGCTTTCCTGGAATATAAAGAGGAAGATTCAACATGCTACATCAAAAAGCTAGTTCTACTTAGAGGTCACAGGGGTGTTTTCTTTTTATTTTAAAATACAATGCTTCTCTTTTTTCTCCGTCTTCTTCAGAACCAGTATTAAAGTGATATTAGGGCATAACTTCCTGACAATTCCAACACTGCTGAGCAAAATCCAGAACTCTTGAGATGCACAAAACTGTTCTTTAATGCTGACCAGAATTTGAATGAAATTTTTTTCTCTGGTCAATTAACAGAATAGGCTTCAATGAAAACAAATATGAGATGATGACAAATACAACCAACATAAACAGACAAAGTGACAACAGATCTATTTCACAGTCTTAGTAACACTGACTTGAAGCAATTTTGAACAGGCATGAACAGAGTGCTATATATTCAACAACCACTATCATGAGTAGACTCTATAGTGCCACTTTATACATTATATTCAGTGTTATATTACATAACCTTTTGATAATGTGAAGTATGAACATGACAGTTATGTGCATGCCAACATTTCCAAAGACATGTTCTCAGGAAACCATTCATGGTGGCCTGAAGTTTACTTTCAAAGTACTGGATTTACTACTGCATAATGTGTGAAATGGCCCTGAAACTTGCATTCTTACCTCATTTTAAGTGCCTGGAACTGTTGCAAAAGGAGAGCCAGCTGCTGCTGCTGCTGTGATGAGAGAGCTGCTTTTTGCTGCTGTGCCATTACCTGGGCATACTGTTGTCTGGAAAAGAGAATGGGGAAAAGTTTACTCTACTTAGTTACAGAATGACTATAAAACCCAGAAGAGAAAAGAGCTGCTAGTTCATACCACAACTGACATTCAAACACATCAGGTCAAACCAGCACCCACCCACCAAGAATAAGAAATTTTAAAACTGTCATTTGAAGTGGCTATTCAAAACAGCGACACACAACATTTACCTAAATTATAGATTGGATTCTAACTATCCCTTTGTCGTATAGGATTCCCCCTTTCCATGGAAAGTTTTCACTGAATGGAGGATCATGATGGTGGAAAAGGAGTTTACTGGAGCCAACTCTCTCTACCCCACAAGCCCTCCAGGGGACACATGGGAAAGGAGGGGGAAGGGGAAATAAGTGAATGTCACTTTCTCCCTTCCACTGGCAGGAGCATCCCATGAGCAAGTCTGCTCATGAAAAACTCCTGCCAGCAGAAGAGAACTCAGGTTCCAAGCCTTTTATTTAAGAACTAGGCTGGCAGACTTAAGCAACCAGGAGTTACAGGCAGGCTGTGCCCAGAATAGAAACCAAATAGGCTATTAACAGAGGAACACCAAAATGGAAGCCCTCTACCCTGGATACTGTGGACCACAACTCCCACCAGTTCAGCCAGCATGGCCAATGGCCAGGGATGATGAGAGTGGTAATCCAGCACCAGGTTGGCTAGCCCTGACCTACAAAAAAACAAGACCCTATATTCTCAACTCCTAGCCCACCTACTTGCAGTAGACATACTGCTGTCCACAGAACCAGAAAGTAATGACTGATGTTGGGTAACTGTGACAAAGAGCAACTTGAATCAAGAGCTGCCACCATCTGCCAAAGCTCATCTTTGTCATAGCCACCACTTTCCCACTGTTCCTCACACTTTCTTGCTCACTCCCTGTCCTGACCATCACGGGCAGCATGTGCCCTATACTAGCAGGATGACGCAAGACAAACCAAACTATCTAGGATAAATTTTGTGAGCCTACTTACTCCTCTTCCTTGTTACCCTGAGGGAGACTCTAGGTAAGCAGACTGATGCTGTAGATAAGGAGCAGCAACAATAAGTGAGCTGGCGGAATTGCTGCTGGATAGTTTCAGTTGTCTCATAATGGTTCCTCCTTCTGCTAGGTGACAGGGGTATATGCCATCAGCAGGGACAGAGGACTTTGGATGGAGTGGGTGGCAGCAGCAGTGGGTGTTGTTCCTCCTCCTCCTCTCACCACCCAGGGGGAGGTATGTGGCTGGGCAGTGAGGAGAAGGAAGAGCTGCCATGTACAGCCCACTTAGTATGAAAAATTGGACTACCCTGCTCTAGATCATTTAAACAAAGCAAAATGGCCATTGACAAATATTTCTATAGACCAGGGGATGCTAACCTGTGGTGCTCCAGGTGCTGTTCCATCAACCCCAGTCAGCATGTGCAATGATCAGGGATGAAGGGAATTATAGTCCAACATCTGGAGGGCCAAAGGTTAGCCACCCCTGATATAAACTTACTGTAACAAAAATTGCTGGTACTGGAGGTGCTGCATTTGGTACATGGCTGTGAGTTCCTGTTGTCTAGTCAGTCGTTCCTGGTCCAACTCACCCTGTGGTTGTAAACAAATCGATAGCTGAACTTGCATCAAATGTTAGGATTCACGAGCATATGCACAACTCTGATTACAGTGACCTACAACATTATGATTATGAAATACCGTTTATATTAAAAGTTATTAAATGGAACAACATTTTTACAGATTGCTGTGTTTAGTAAAAAGGTATAAAGGATTGTGTGAAGTGGAAAATAAAGGGGTGTATATAGTTAAACTGTGTCTAGGGACCATTCCTTGGCAAAGGAAACTGGAGCAAATATCCCCAGTGCATAAGATACATGCTCCTCTACCTCGAGGAAGGCCCTATGCTTTCCTACTTCACCTCTCCCAGTTATGAAGAAAGAGGGAGAAGCTGTGTGCCACATGCTAAATCAAGCCACAGCGGCAGAAGCAAGGCAGGCTTGTTAGTGTGTGTGCTCCAATCCTTTGGGGTTCCTTTTACTGTCTCACAGCAGAGTTACCCAGAAAGTCTTCCTGTGTCTTCACAGCGGCAGCAGTCCAGCTCTCTATCGGTGAATGCCCGTGAAGGAATAAACACCTCACCCATTCAGTTCTTCTTCAAATATTTATTTATATTACAAGTTGCATAACTTTATATCACTACTGGTCTACATAAATAAAACAGAACAATATACAGAGATTTCAATTCTCTCTGCTCCCTGCAGCAATTCAGCTAGAGAGACAGGTTCAGAGACTCTTATAGACAAAGGCAGACACTGAATCTCTCTTCCCCCAGACATGCCTAGATAAAGACACCTGTTGCTGGGGAGAATTCTCGCTGCTAAGCAGAATTGGTTCAAGGACAAATCTGATTCAAAGATCGTTTCAGGTTTACCTTTGGACTACACCAACAAGTCAGGAGGGCCACAACTAGTAACATGCTTGGAAAAAGGAGTAAGGGTCAGGGGCCTCAGTAGGAGCTACCTTTTACTGATTGTGGCTTAATTTCCTTCTGCAATTTGCTATGCATAGAAAGCAGTTCAGCCAGATCCAACTGAAGCAGCATTCAAAGGCTTTTAGGTAAGTGAACGAGTAGCAATGAGGGCTTTTGCTATTTCACTGCTAGGTACAGTAAGCACTTTTGCCTTCCTGTATGGAAAGCCCATTGTATTGCGGCTCAGAGTATATGTTCAACATACAGACAGTCTCTCTAAAGGTCATTGCTGCTCTGTGCCTGGTAGCACAAAAGCACACAAAACCCTAAAACTGGCATCGCTTAACTTTCTAATTTAATGTTAACTGTTTTACACATTGTCATATTTACCAAATGCAGAGGTGGTGCTGGACCGGGAGTGAAAGGAACCCTGCCCCACATTTTCATGATGTCTCCAAGTGGCTGGAAGCTCTCATCACATGCTCTTTTCACCAACAGTGACATTGTGAAATACCCGGCCTGGAACCACTCTGTCATCTCTTGGTTACTGAATGGACCTGCAAAATCATCAAGGGATGAAATCCATGAAGACAAGAGTGAAACCTCTACTGAGTGTTGCACCCAACAGTCACAGCCCATATAGAGCCTGGTATCTGGGGGACTGCTCTATGTATGTGTCTTCATCTTACTTGCAGAGCTAGACATTTTCTGATGCCACCCTAAGTACATAGGCAGTGTATTGTAATTTCCCTTAATATTCCAGTGAAATAAAATAAACATAATACCTGACTAGTTTATATCTTAAGAGGAATTCCAATTTACATACCAAGCAAATACTTTCATAAAATTAAATCTTTGTTTAGAAAATGCCTTTGGGGCTCTTCAGTTACAAGAATATCTATGCAAAAAATGGAAATACCAATAAAAGGAGGAGGATTTGGGAGCCCTGACTTAGAATTGTATCACCAAGCATATTTACTGTCAGGTATACAATTCTGGAGACCCATAACTAAAAACAACTGTCCAAATTGGGCTTCTTTGGAATATTCCTATGTAGCACCTTTAGAAAGATGGGTAGCACTTGGGTCTAAATACATTAATACTCAAGATGCTATTGAAACAATAAGATTAGTTCGAATGATATGGCATCACATGTCCAGAAAATATAAATTTGACCTTTTCTTCCACAACAAATGACTTTGTGGGGAAACCTCTCTTTAAAAATTGGGAAAGAAATAGTTGTATGGAAGAGGTGGATGAATTTGGGTATATTAACGTTCGAACAGCTGATAAACGAAGAGGATGAATTTTATACATATTCTGTCTTAAGAGACAAATACAGATTACCGTACTTTTCGCACCATAACACTCAGTTTTTTCCCCCTAAAAGGTAAAGGGAAATGTGTGTGCGCGTTATGGAGCGAATGCAGGCAGGAGGAGCCGCTCTTGCTGGCTGTTCGGCAGCCTCTCTTCCTCCGCTTGGCTCGCTGAGAAGCCGGCAACAGCTGAGTGTCGGGAGACAGCCTCTCTTCCTCCTGTCTGCCTGCTCTATGGCTTTTTGGCGAGGTGGGAGAAGGGAGGCAGCTCGGAAGCCGGCAAGAGCTGCACGCAGCGTGTAAAAGCCAAGGTGGGGAAAGGGAGACAGCCTCTCTTCCTCCTGTCTGCCTGCTCTATGGCTTTTTGGCGAGGTGGGCGCTCGGAAGCCGGCAAGAGCTGCGCGCAGCGTGTAAAAGCCAAGGTGGGGAAAGGGAGACAGCCTCTCTTTCTCAGTGTCTGCCTGCTCTATGGCTCTCCCTTACACAAATGTAAGCGGCTCTTACTCTGCTTTCTTTACAATGAGCCGGAAGGAGGGACAAAGAGGGCATCCCCTTCCATCCCTCCCCCAGCACCTCACCAGTAAATTCAAACAAAGCGGCTTACAAGGCTCGTGTCCCTGAGTCTCCTCCTCCTCTTTTTGCTCCGGTTCGAGGCAAGGCAGCTGCACAAATGTGAGTTCCCCCTCTCTCTTCCTTCCCTCCCTCCCTCCCTCTTCCAACTTCAAAAAGTATTGAGGGGACAGCCAGGTAAGCCCCACTCACATACCACAATGGGGGGTGGGGGATGACTCCCTCAAATATTTAATGGGGGGGTGAAGGCACCTAGGCCCATAGGAGTTGGCTGCTTTGCCTAGGACAAATGTGAGCTCTCCATCTCTCTTCCCTCCCTCCCTCCCTCCCTCCCTCCCTCTTCCAACTTCAATAAAATATTGGGAGGGGGGGCAGGTACAGGTAAGCCCCATCTCACAGACTGCAATGATCTCAAGACAAAGTGCATGCACACTGGTACCTTATATGAATGGCAATGCCCATCAGCATGGGGGGAAGATGACTCCCTCAAATATTTAATGGGGGGGTGAAGGCACCTAGGCCTATAGGAGTTGGCTGCTTTGCCTAGGACAAGTGTGAGCCCCCCCCCTTCCTTCATCACTGTATTGGAGATACCATACATTACTGACAGTTCCTTCATTCACGTGGTTACAAAGCATGGATCCACATGGATCCTCAGGATTTTTGCACTGGGTCACCCCAAATTCACCATCAGATCACATAGCATGTCCATGGCTACAGCTTGCACCCAAAAAATCATGCACCCACTGTTGCCTGGGGCAGCAGTGGTGCAAAAACGTGGTTACAAAGCACGGATCCACATGGATCCTCAGGATTTTTGCATTGGGCTACCCCAAACTCACCGTCAGATCACATGTCTGTGGCCATAGCATGAACCACAAAAATCATACATCCACTGTTCGTTTAGAATTTTTTTTTTCTTGTTTTCCTCACCTCAAAACTATGTGCGTGTTATGGTTGGGAGCGTGTTATAGAGCAAAAAATACGGTACCTACAAATGCTCAATGGCAATATCTCCAGATAAAAAACTTGCTAACCACCATCTACGGACCAGCAGCTTTTACAGCCAGAGAGACCCCAGAGATATTGAAGCAAGTGATTAATTCTTACACAACAAAAAACCCGGCCATCAACATATATAAATATATGTCACTAGCAAACCAATTTGATATACAGGTACTGAGGGAGAAATGGAAAAAAGAATTAGAGATCTCAACTTCGACCCCAGAGTGGGAATCTGTGTTAAGTGCTATAACAAGGGTGTCTCTGGACCTTAAACTGAGGCTCAAAAAACAAAAAATAATATTTAGAATATACTGGACCCCATTACGTTTGTTTAAAAAAGGGCTATCTAAGGTATCTAACTGTTGGAGATGCAACAGGGATAATGCTTCTCTAAAACATGTTTTTTCATTGTCCTATTCTGAAAGATTTTTGACAGAAGGTAACTGAAACTATCAACAGAACTATATGGAACAATCTTACATTTACAGAGCAAAATATCCCTTTGAATTATATACCCAGCACACAGAACCTTACAAAGGGACAATATGAGTGGATTCTCCATGCCCTTACCACAGCAAAAAGACTAAGACTGATGAATTAGAAAAATAAAAATGCGGCTCCCTTCTACGATTGGATGGAAGACTTATACAAACTCACAACATATGAACAACTTGCATATAAACGCTGACTTGCCATGGACAGATTCAATGATATTTGGAATCCATTCTTACAAATACTGTAATACAGTAGGTTAATATCTGATGGAGTGCAATAACAACTTTGTAAAGTATACAGTATACAGGGATTTCTCTCCCTCCCCCCCTTTACTTTGCCTTCTACATGGGTGGTGTTTCTTTTTCTTTTATTTATGTCTCACCCTTTTTTAGTGCACATATAACTAAAAAACAACAACATTCCAGTGAAATAGAAATAAAAAGCGGTAAGGATGAAAGCTTACCCTGAATTTCTCCCTGTGGATCTTTGTAGAACCACTTTTGCATGGCCTCATGGAGTAATGGTACTGAAGTACCCTTTACTCTCTGCTCCTGAAGTTTGGCTGCTAGCCTTTCATCATCCAGGGCACTGTCTTGCAAATATGCCACCATTTTTTCTGCTTGCTGCAGCAAGGGCGGGGGGGAGACATTAAGAACGACTGAGGTTACTACTGCCAGGTTACACACCGTCAGTGGAATAAGGTGAAATTCAGCAGAAAGCCTTATGAATAATACCATCATGGTTGGTGGACTCAGATACAAAGGAATGAAAAAGTAAGTTTAAATAATTATGCAAAAAGATAATAAAGCTTGGTGGAACTGCTTGCCGGGAAGCAAGTCTTATTATCTGGTAAGCAGCAAGGATGGTCAGCTTCCGGAAACAGCTGAGGATATTTTCGTTCCAACAGGCTTTCCCAGATTGATAAATGAGTCTTTATCACAAGTGTCTGCTTGTTGGGGTTTTAGTCTTGTTTGAAATGTCTCTGTTGCTTTTGTGTTTAACTGCTTTTCATTATTTAAGTGTAAATCACCTTGAGAAGGTGGTTAACAGGTTAATTGTAATAATTGTAACGATGATGTCTGTATACATCGTGGTTGGAATTTTACAAGAAATTATTGGTCTTTAGAAATTCAAGTTTCTTGCAACATGTTTAAGCAACATTCAAACTACTGGAAAACGAAGAATTGTTTCTGGAGTCATCTTCAGAATCTATGTTCAGAGTCTTTTTCAGTCTGCATTTTCACTCATTTTTTATCTGCCATTTTTACACTGAGGGGCTCCTATATAAAATCAGCAGACAGGGAAGGGCTCTGAAGATGATCATGTGTACATATCAATGCTATACCCTTAAAACATATGTGACTGACATGCAAAAGGATTGGCCCTCTGTTCATGTGTATTTTGAAGGGGGGAATACAGTGTGTGTATATTTTGTACTTGAGTATCAGCAGCATGAGGCGACTCTCATATTCTCTACTGCGTACACGCATTCTGTCACAATGCTCATGAATGAAGTCAGGTGATTATCTATTTATATTAATGTCGGGGTGTGTGTGTCCATTTTTCAACTTGATTCACTTAGTACTCAGAAAGTTAACCTACTGGAGTTGCATACCAGACAAATATACAAGATAGATTAAACTTTATTTTAGAAAATAGGAATTCCCCTTCTTTAATTAACAAAAATATTAATTTTCCAATTTTTTTTGAGGAGGAGATGGCAGGAACATACAGGTTGAAACTGTTTTAATGAAAATTAAGTTGATTATCTGAAGTATTGTCAAACTACAAAATATGTTTCATTTTTGCCCATTAATACATCAATATAGTTTTGCCCATTTTCATGATCAGTTGCAGGAAAACATTGTAAAAGCAATTAGTTGCCAGTCCTGCCCAAAACTAGTTTTCCTCTGCAGTTGCCAACTGTTGGTCTATGTGAGGGGTGTGCTAGTCTACAGTTGACTAGGTACATTAGCTCTAGGTTGCATCTTGAACTCCTGGCTCCACCTTGGGTGCATAAGCACTGCTGACTTGTAAAGGCTATTGCTATGATATTCTCAGCAACCGGTCTAAATCCCAAAGCTTTCACCCACAATCACCTGAATCAGGTAGCTGCATTTACAAGGTAAGTATACAAAATAATGTTTTCTTTCAGCCTTTGAAGCACAGCAACAAAAAACAAACAAACCAGAATTCACGAAGATGCTCTACCTGTTCTAAATGTTTGAGGCCCTCTTCGTCATCAGGGTCAGCAGGAATATTACCCATCCCTGGAGCAGCTGTGACTGATGTCTGAACAGGCCTTAAGGCAGGAATTGGATTTGACTCTGGAGGAGGAAGATGAACAAGGGAAGCTGCATCTGGAGAAATCTGTGGTAAAGGCTGGACAGCAGAAATTGGATCTGGGGGTGGGGAAGAATGGACATTAAATTCCTTTAAAGGCCCTTCTTTCTACCAGAACTGTTATTATGTGATAAAATGTATAATCAGACAATAAGCAAGATGGCATGCTTTCAACAATGCTGAATGCTCAGTTCATCCTTTCCACCTTGCTTTGTCACGACAGTCTTTTATTTATTTATTTATTTATTTATTTGCATACTTTGCATATACATTATGCCAAACCTGAAATATGATTACCTTCTCTGTTGGGCACTTTGGCTGATGGGATATCCTCCATTTGGTTTTCTTTATCTTCTCTTTTTTCTATTACTTCTGGAACACAGTCTTCCCTTCTTTCAAGCAGGCTTGTAGGTAATGGCTCCTGTGACTGGGATTTTGGTGGAGTACCTGACCTGGTGGATGGTGAAGATTCTTTGACTGTTTCTTCTGTTACTTCTGAAATGATTGGTAACTTTATTTAACTGAGCTGGAAGGTGGAAGCAAAATTTAAAGGATAGACTTGAGAAATCCTTCTTACCTGCTGCTGCTGTATGCTCCGACTTAACACTTTCCCTTCCATGTGTCTTATCTACTTCTTTGGCTTCTTCATTGTGACTTCCTTCTGAATCAGACCTGTCTTCCCCTTCCTCTACAGGACGGAAATCCATTTCCTGTTCCTCAGGAATTGGTTCCTTTTGAACCTTCTAAGGAAAACACACATGCAAACAACAAACTTTATACTACTGGTTATAAATAATACCGTTAAGATTATGACAAGTTCACAGAAAGTTTCTCACTTTTAAGGAGAGGAATGCCCCAGATGAGTCAAAAGTCCCCATTTCTTCTTCTGCATCTTCTAAGCACCATTCAGGAAGGCTATCCCTATCATCATCCATACTGCCACTGCCACATCGCACTCTTCGATAACCCCGCTCATCATCCCGGTCTCGGAAGTCAAATTCAAACCTTCGCCGTCGCTCCATCTGTTCTCTCCAGCCTGCAGAACGAGGGCCGTCTAAGGGGGCGGGAAAGTAACTTTACAAAAGAGTCCCATAGGGCAAGAACTTGTTTGGAAGGAGAAAGGGATAGAGGAAAAGAGGATAGGGAAAAGAGAGGACAAAGTGACAGCACTTCAGAACGCCACTACAGCTTATGGTCCACCTTGAAACACGCATTTTATAAATATATTATCACTATTTCCCCTTTAAACCACTGTCACTTTGAGCTATATTATTAATTTAAAGGACTGTACAACCCAACTCCATGCAAGTGGGCTTAAAAGAACAAAAACAATTTAACTATGAGTTAATCCCAGGGCAGCCTCACAATCTTTCTGAATAGCAGCCTCACAATCTGTTCAGCCACAGGGGGGCAGCCTTTGCTAGTAAGACCATTCTATGCGGTTCTATGAATCCAGACAAGTACCACTTTATGGGGATTACCATATTTTTATGCTTCTCTTTGAGGTCACTGGCAGCATCTATTCTACTAACTCCCTCAGTCCTAAAGCATCTTCAAAACTGCTTGCCTTCACCCTCTGTCTGCTAGCTGACAATCCTCCTTTCTGGAGTTTGGAGTGTAGTTTGTAATCTGTGGTAATTAATTCTATTTATTTAATCTGCCCTTGTTTTGTATGTCACTATGGTGAAGTGGCCTGCTAGCACTATAATTCTGGGAAAGGATTTGTAGCCAACAAGCTTGTTTCTAAGGGCTGTGCAACTGTGCCCAAGCCTGCATGAGAATGAGGCAGGCAGGCACCAGCAGGTGTTGATGCACCTTTCTACAACCTGGGAGAGGTGAAGCATTTCCAAGCAAGTTGGTGTGAGTGATACTGGGGCTTGAAACGTGGTGTGAATCTTGAATCTTCAAATGTGGCTTGGCATAAGCCACTTATTTTGGCTAACTTGGTTATACTAGATACAGGATACTATTTGTCATCCTGATAGAAATGGCTATTGGAATCAGAAGTCTTGGATGTAGCTGATAGAGCATCAAGCCTGCAGAGCAAAAGGATAGGAGAGGAGTAGGGTTGCTCTATTACCTCTGCTGAGAGGCCAGCTGCCTTTGACTCTCCCTCCGCTGTCATCTAACAGCAGCCATTCTATCAGGCTAACTGTACTGTTTCCATCCCAGCAATAATTAAAGGAACCGTAACCTTTAAGAACTGGTGCCTGAGATTGCTTTCTTCTCTTCCTCTCTGTATTCCGTTTTCCTTGTGTGCCATGCCTTTCAGATGGCAAATCTGAGGGCAGGGACTGTTTTACTTACTTTGTAAGCCACTCTGGGAGTCTTTTGGGTTGCACAGAAGATTAAAAGCTGTTTAATTAATTAATTAATTAATTAATCAAAGCCTCCCTCTCTCTGTACACACAGAGAAAGAACAATACTTTGACCAACCAGTAAGGAACTGAGGGTTGTAGCCCAATACTGTTTTGTGTGACTTCATTTTCCTCTCCTCACTAACCCCAAAAGTCTTCCATATGCTCTCCAAAATCAGGAGTTTGGGAAGTCTTTTGAGATAGGGAGGCCTCTCAAGCAGATTTTTTTTTGGGGGGGGGGGGAGGAGAGAAATATAAAGTCCTGTTGTATGTGGAAGTCTGTTCATGCAATAATGGATTCCACCTGAGACTACTGCAACGCCCACCTCTTTGATCGAGAATATTCCATTACACAAATGACAATGAGTAAGTGTTATCCTAAAACAGCTATATCTAAATTAAAGAGCAACTACAGAAAAACCCTCAGTATTCTACACAATGTGGCGTTTCTCTACACTTCCTTTAAAGTAGCAGAAATTATCCAATGATATTTCAGCCTCGGGACTTCTGTCAAAAGACAGATGGACTTATTGAGAACAAAAATTTTATTAGCTTGTGGTTCTTCATATGCTAAACAAGAAAATACTAAATGAACTGCAAGTACTTGTCCCTAAGTAAAATCTTCACATCTGATCATGTGGTGCTGGTTCAGCTGTTTCAATACTGTCAAAGTTAGACACACTGCTGCTTTATTGTGCATTTATCAGTTATGTCTGACGTCAGGAAGACACACAATGCTGTATTCTCCATGACAAACAGTTTTTCCACTTCTATACAAGTAGCTGGAAGCATATGACAGAACTTCAGCCTCATGATTCAGAGTGATCAGTAAAGGAAGCTACATTTGGCGGAAAAGAAATCAGAGCAGGTAAGAAGAGCTGCTTTTTTCTAGACGTTCTGGAAATAGTGGGTTAAACAAAACAACCCATTAAAAAAACTAAAAACGATTTTGCCATCATAGAACAAGCCTTTCAAATATTGTTTTAGGACCTTTTCCTTCCAGACATTGCTAGCTTGCTGCCTCTGACCAGACTGTGCTGCACTTTTCCATACTTCCTCTCACCTGGACTATGAGGGCGCCATCTCTCACCATCCCTTCGCGAACCAGCCAGCCGCCAACCTCCATCATCATCTTCACCATTTTGCTCTTCCCTGAAGATGCGCCAGTTCTCGCTCTCAGAGCGTATAAATTCATGCTTCCTTCCTGCTGCTACGGTTCCAGCATCCTCAAAGTTTGGTCTCACTGCAAGCAAATAAATATGCAAGTATGTAACAGTCATTGTGAAGGGCACCTGGAATAGAATTCAGACCTTATGCAATTTAAGTCATAAGATGCTCAGGTGAAAGAAAACAAGAACAAATATATATTGCTTTACTTTTCTTATAATGATAAATGCTTTTCTTTAAGCTCTTCTTACAGTTTTTGTGGGCTAAAAAACAAATGAAGGATTTCAGACTTCAAAAAGGAGATTTACAAAACAGCTGTAACCATTTAAGAAAGTCAAAAGTTCAATTTGCAACAAGCGATGGAAGAGCATCTGCAAAGTTTGCATAAACAGTTAGATGCCACCTGATGTTCGATGAGAGATTGCTTTACCATAGTTCAGAGGTATCAAGGCACTATTCCTGGTCACATCAAAGTTTACAATGGCACAAGCATTCTGTTGTTGTTTGTATGGGAGGTGTTCTTAAGCACTGCATAATCCAACTCAGTAAAAATGTTCTATTTATCATCTTTAAAATGTAACTCAACATGGTCTTCTATTTACCCTAGAATAGTTAAAACCTACAAGCAGAATCTCTAAAATTTACATTTGGGTCAACAGCAATAAAATAATAATGACCAGTGCCAGATGACTAGCATTAAAACCTTCATTGTCATTAATTTCAAATAACAGAGAATTAAAATAACTGCTTCATCCAAAAAACAATTGTCATAATGATGCTTAAAGAAATGATTGTCATTTATGAGCAAACTAGGATAATTTTACATTCTATTCAATCACGTCCTTCCTAAAAAGTACAAGCAATATTCACCCAAAGGGTAGATTTTGACTAGCAGCATGGGGGTCATAGGGTTGGGCTTTGGCCCCTCTCCTGATGACAAAGGAAGAAGGAAAAACCCTTTGGGACATGGATGGCTCCCAATCAGTTTGTGAACTCACCAAGCTTGAACAATCATCAGAGTCTTGTATCAGCGTAAGGAAAGCAACACAAAGGTGCCCATGTTCCCAAAGTAAACAAGGTGGCTAAAATGCCGTCAGGTAGAAGATATTGCGTCCCATATTATGGAAAGCCCCAGTGACCCCACAATGCCAGTTGAAATCTACTTTGGGAGAGTACCAGTTGTACTGTTTCCTCCTAGCATCGTGCGATCACTGCGTTGGAACATACCAAAGTGTACCCAATCAGGCACATCCCAGCTGAAAGGACAAATGAATGTGGAAAGCCTGTTGTAGGGTACTGCAGCCAAAGGCAGCTTCAATGGAGACACAAATTCCCATCTTGTAATGCATCGTGAATGCACTGGGAGATACCCATGTGGCTGTCTTACAAATGTTCACTAGGGGGACTCAACCCTGGTAGAGTGGGCAGTCAAATTTGTAGGGCGAGATACGATTCACCAAGTTGTAGGCTATAGAGGTCCTACCTAGATAAGGTGGAAGGGTTAACCTTTTTGCCCAGTGAGTTAGGGTGGAAGGAAATGAACAGGGTTTCTGACTGTCCAATCTCTTCAGTCCTGGTAATATACGCTTTAAGAGCTCACTGGACATCAAATGAGTGCCATGTCTTCTCTAATAGGTGAGAGGGGTTGGGGCAGAAGGTGGAAAGGATCAAGTTCCTGCTGAATAGGGAAGCTGGAAAGTACCTTGGGGAGAAAGGAGGGGTTCTTTCTAAGAACCACTTTGCGCTTGTTGAAGATACAGAGATGTCTAGCTATAGACAGGGTGACCAATTCAGAGACCCATCAAGCCGAAGATATTGCTATTAGAAATACAGTGTTACCTCAGGTTAAGAACTTAATTCGTTCCGGAGGTCCGTTCTTAACCTGAAACGGTTCTTAACCTGAGGTACCACTTTAGCTAATGGGCCCTCCCGCTGCCACCAGGCCGCTGCCGCGCAATTTCTGTTCTCATCCTGAAGTAAAGTTCTTAACCCAAGGTACTATTTCTGGGTTAACGGAGTCTGTAACCTGAAGCGTCTGTAGCCCGAGGTTCCACTGTAAGACCTTTCAATGTAAGACTTTGAGAAGTACTTCCTTCCGGGGCTCAAATGGAAGTTTCTGAAGGGTGGACAGCACTTTGTGAAGGTCCCAGGAAGGGAAGTGGTGGGCATCTGGGGAACACTGTAGGATTGTTCCTTGTGGGAAGCATTTCATTAGGGGGTGAGAGCTGGAAGAGGTGGTGTGTTTGAGGAAGAAACAGCTGCCGCCTGATGTTTCATCAGAGTGTTGCGTTTTAGACTTTTGCTGAGGCCATTTTGGAGGAATGCAAAAAGATCCAGTACCATTGCTTTGCATTGCTTCAGGAAGATCTTCCATGTGGCTTTGTATATTCTTAGAGTGGATGGTTAAGCGAGAACATAAGATGGTGGAAAATACTGTGCTGGAAAACAAGAGATTCCAGCCTATCTGGATATGTGTTCCAATGTGAGGCTGAGGAGGTGATGTTTCGGTCACTGTATGAGGTGGAACATTTCAACTGGGAGATCCCAGGATTTGGTGATCCCCTGCTTGTTGAGGCAGGATTTCAAGTTGGAGTTGCCCATGCGTAGGAGCACGTTTGATGTGTGTGGAGAAAAGTGCATCAGAGCCAGGTGGGCTGCTCCAGCCGAGTGTTCAGCTTCCTCTGGAGACTTTTGGGCATGGATTATCTGTCCCTCACAGTGAGACCCCAAATGTAGAGGCTGACATCTGTGGTGACCACTATGAGGTAAGGGTCATGAAAAGATGTGCCCTTCTGCAAGTTTCTGCTAGATGCCCACTTCATCACTACCCACACTTTTGGTGGCATTTTGATGTGGTGATGTAGAATGTGTGTGATGGCCCACTGGTGGAGTACAAGAAACCACTGCAGAATTCTTGCATGCAATTAGAGAGGGTGCTTTGGAGCCAGACGGTCGATAGCCCTGCTTAACTCTGCATTCCAGTGGAGAAGCCATCAACATGGGATAAGATGTCTCTACCACTCTCTGGAAGCTATTTGGATCCATTAAGTGGTGGTGGCAAATCATTCAAATTGGTCCTACATCCCTGCAGAGGGGAAGGGTCACAGAGAAGTCCAGTTGCATCAGGAAATGATCTGGCCATGGCACTACAGATAATATTAAGTATATGTCATAGAATAATTCCTCTCAGGGGGACTGGTTCGATAGCTGACATGTTGAGACAATGCTATACACAATTACATATCACCTGTTATTTGACTGGACTGTTGGAGGATCAGGGATGGGAGGAACCAGTTTAGGGGTGCCAGATGCTCTATCATGTATCCATGTGATATAGTATTGAGAATCCAGTGGTCTGTAGTAATCTGACACCAAGAGTTGAAGAAGGCTTGTAGATGATCCCTGACTTGGGGCAGAGTAGCATCATTGGTTCTGCTGGTGATTATTTCTGTAGGTGTTGGAGGGAGATATCTTGTGTTCTGCTGCCTGGGTGGCTATCACTGCTGTTCCAGGAGGACTTCTGTCTGTAGTTTCTTCCTTGCCCCGGGGAAAGGTAGTTCTGAAAGGACTGGTTGGAAGATTGGTTGTCACCAGTATCTTTGCGTCACCAGCACCTTCCACTTATCTTTAGTTTGATCAGGATATCCTTGAGGGCATCCTCTCCAAACAGCATAAAATTGGCCCAGTCAGCAACGCTGGGCTGGAATGCCACAGCCCACGAATATCACGTGGCGTGAAGTTGAAAAGTAATCGGGTGCTCAATGGCTTTATTAATGTCCCTGTCTGAGAAAGAGCAGTCAGAAGGAAGGATGATAGTAAAGTGGAGATAAAATTTTCAGGTTTTTGTATTTCTGAAAAGGTACAGAAAGCCACAAAAAGGAGAGTAGGAAAGGGTGTGAGGCAGCCGATTAAAGGAGGGGGGGGCACGTTCTCTAAGAAAATGGTGACAAAAGGTAAAAGAAGAAAAATAACAGCCTGGTAGAAGTAGAGAAAATGGGGGCACTAGTGAAAGTGACTGTCCCAAAGAGTTTTTTCCTCCTGTTTTCATTATCAGTGGAGGAGCCTAAGCCCAACCCAATGACCCCACAATGCCAGGAGGAAATCATAGAAGAAGGGAGGGGACAGAATATCCATAATTAAGTTTGCAATTCTAGCATGCTCACTAGAGAGAAAGCCATGCTGAATTTACTTCTGAATTGAAGGCTATTAACTGTGAAACAACACGGGTGTGTTTGTCAACAGGTAACAACACATTTCAAAGCTTAAGGGTACTGAAAAGAGAAAACACAGAACTGGATGAAATTATGTTTCAAATCCAACTAAGAACAGACCCAGGTATATTACGTTCTGAAGTTATTAAAAATGAAGAAGTAAATAGTCGCTCAGTCAACATTAGTACACACATACGTCAAAGTCTAAAGTATTCTAACGAGGAACGTAGCTTATACCCCTAGCATGTTCATTTCACTTGGTTTAAGTTACTTGGTGTGGAGGTCGGTGTTTGGCCATGATTTCCCAGGATGAAAAGGAAAAAGAAAAAGATCTGTGGCTTTGCCTCAAACTAATTGACTGGACTTCCTGAGGAGAAGGAGCAGTGAAAGGGCACCTGCATTCCATGTCTGACCCCAAGCCAGCAATGGTGTTTATGGAAAAGTTCAGATACAACAAAGACATCCAGCCAACAGAGTCTACAGCTATGTAATTTGAAGTTTTAAAAGGGACTGACTTCAAAGTACTAAAGTGGTGTTCTGGAATACAATCTTCTGAGAACTTGTTTATTGAGAAATTTTTTACTAGAATAGCAAATAACAGTGTCAACAATCTTTCTATAAGACACTAAGACACACTCACTCACTCTCACACACATTTCTATTACAAAAATAAGTTTAATTTAGTGTCCGTTTTCAGGATCCTTCAAATAACTTTTAATTGTTGGCTACATAGTTTCTAAACCAAAGTCCCTCGAGTACAAGACAGCTTACAATACTGTGAAAAGAGAAAGAAAATCACTGCACAACCTTGAATCATGACCACACACAAAGTGACTTAAGAAATCACTGGTCATCATTTTTAGGGTACAGGCAGACTAAACCGTAATCATATTTCATTTTAGTTTTGACCATCTCTGTCTCTAAACAACTTACCAGAATTTTCCCATGCACAAATGCTTTTTCCTCCAAGAATTATGCTGTTTTCCTTACTGAAAGCTGAATTTGCACAATTGTATCCATACACATCAGTCTTCCTACCAAAATATTGCACTCCAATAGTCATGCCAACTATCCAAATCCTTTCACACAAACAAGTGCAACATTTCATGGACAGTATGTCTCACATGCGTTTAAGTTTGCTCTATAGTTCTGTATATGCCACTAACCTTTACAGATATGGCAGAACAGCTTCTTACCTGCATTGTAATATTACTACTCGCCACTCCAATCTTCACTGAAAATTGCATTTCTGAGGCAGTTTAAAGGGGTGTATCAGGAACACACATACTTCTAATATATGGTGAATCCAGTTTTTATTTTAAGATGTTAGTATAGTAATTTATTATTTGTACCCCGCCCATCTGGCTGGGTTTCCCAAGCCACTCTGGGCGGCTTCCAACAAATATTAAAAAGACATTAAAAGTATAAAAGTATTTGTATATCATTATCTGTTAATGTTTCTTATAGTAAAAAGAAAAGGCACCATGCTATACTGAGTGAAAAGTATCCCCTTGTCCCCATACTCATGAAGGTCACAAATGCATGTTTCAATTTTAAGGTGCTGTGTCTCAACATGTATTACAAGGTTCTCTGCTAATGAAATGAAGAATTAATGTTTTGTATTTTGTGGAGAGTTTTTTTAAAGAAAAAACATGAGGGAGATTTTAGTTTCTAAGTAGCATTATATTGGTCTACATTAATAATTTTCACAGCAGGTCTTCAGTACTTTTACTGCAAACAATCACAGCCTTTGTTTCTCAGATCCTCTTAGGTCTGACGTTCGATCAAAGTCCTCACATCAGCAGCTAAGGAAAAATGTGAAATGCTGAACTGCACTACAAAGCTACCCTCACAGATCATGCAAGTGATTCTGAAAGGTAGACATTATGGGCCTCTTTTCGGCTCGTTTTTATTAGTCAGATGTTACATTTAAATCTAATTTGACACAGCATAATGTAAACATCTCTTTTTTGGTCATAACCATGTTACATGCAGCAATATCCTACATAATATTATTTGACGTAATTTAAATACAATCCTATGAGCAATGCTGACTTAACAGTAGAGGCAAAATAAGAGACGCAGTAAAGTTACAGGTCTTGCATCTAAAATTTGGTTGCAACTATGTAAACTATGTAAAACTAATTAGCAACCTTGATCTCTATGATACCGATATCCTGTGCACCACATGGTACAAAAAACCTAAAAAGAGAAAAGTGAAACAGAAAGCACACCTTCACCTCAAACTGCCTGGTTTTGGTTAAAATAAAATATCAAAGAAATTGTGAACTCTAAATAGCTACCACAAGAAAACTTGAATGGAAAACAGTCCTGAGGAATTTCATTCCTTTGAACCTCCAAGTAAAACCTTTAAGTAAGATTATGCAAACCTAAAAACTCCATCCTGATTAAGATAAAAAATGCACCCCTTTCTCCAAGTAAGTTCGTGTGGATTTCTCCACAGCTGCTAGGGTATGTGTTGGGGAAAGAAAGCTCGAACAAATCAGCATTCTTTTCCACATGACCACAGCTAATTGGCCCCCCTGCAGACAGAATGACCAATCACATCAGCTTCATATGAAAGCCAACCCCCCACATTATAAACTGTGGAATGAGACCCGTAAGCCCATTTTGAACAAACATCCTTCCAAACTAGTTGTCAAAAGATTTTTTTCTTCCTTGGGATCACTATATACAGATACAAGATAGTTTGGTTTGTTTTCAATATCCAGGACATCCGCCTTCCTCCCTTTCCCTGCCAGGTAGATAAAAACTACAAATACACTGGTAAGTACATGATGCTAACATAGCATCACTTTTTTACATTAATATTTCCTGCTTTGTGGTTTTAGACTTTCAAAAACAAAAATGGAGTTTTGGAGGATTTAAACAGTCCTGTTTTGAAAAAATATCAATTGAAATATCAACTTCAAATATTGTAAGACTTTTTCAAAGGAGATTGTTTTCCAAACTAATATTGCCCAGTGACAACTTCCAGAACCAATTTCCATAAGGAACAGTTCTGTATAGGAGGTCCCTGGAAGTAACTTTAGCATCTTGCATGGCTATTTAGCTTTTAATAAAAGGCATGAAGCAGATCTTAGCTGTGCAATTCTAAAAGAGTATTTCTTCAAAAAGGTAACCATCCTGTGACCAGTCAGATATTGAAGACTGATTGTGTACTTATTCCTGGAGATGTTGTTTTTAATAGTAATGTAGATGACTAGAGTTTTAAATTCAATTCCAGGTTCCAGCAATATCTCATCTTTCGATTTTAAAGTTTTGAAAAAATATGTTATTGCTTTAACTTATATAAAGCATGACTGATAGATGGTAAGTAATTTGCTAGCAATTTGTGTAGCAGTGTAAAGAAACTTCCACTTAAATTCAATTATTTTAAAAATCATTTGAGTGATTCTTTTGATTAGACACAGGTTTTCTGGTTGCTCACCACAGAATATCCATTTGAATGGAAATTAAATGTTATGTCATAAAGCAAATTTAAATTTTATTGGTTTCTAACCATATAAACAAACTTTTCGAACAAGTTTCTTCATTTGTCTTACACAATGTCAGTGTTTAAGAAACACCTGATTGCTACCTATGTTAAGATTACTCGTTTGCCCAAAGCTATTTTATCTCCTACACATGGAAGATCCTATTTAAGGGGACAAATGATTGTTGTGAAGAATTAGGATATTTCATGCATGGTAATGCTATCTGGGGAATAGTTTTAAACTTCTAGGGAAAATTATAAATAGTCTATTCAATGAAAAAAATCAGTACATAATAAAATGTGCAAAGGATACCATTTTTATTTCATTGATACTATTCAAATGTATCACATTTGTGTTTTAAATCCAAAGGCACATGTATCAACCTATTCAGGTTTAACATACCTTCACTTATTTCTTCACTTTGTAGCTAGGTTACACTTAACCCTTCACTATTTTTGCAAATACTCATTTTGAGGCGCAAGACAAATTACAAGATCACACACACACACACACAAACACAAACTCCCACACATTCCAAGTATAGAAGTCAACAAGACTGCCGTTGGATACCTGCAATGGGGGGGGGGTTACCTGAGAGCAGCAGCGTAGCTTAGAGGTCGCAAGGCACACACATAACTATACACCATGCTTTCAACATTTGCCGCCTGCCTAACGACAGACCTGCTATATTGGTGCGAGTACACACACTCAACACTTCCTGCAAGCTTTAAGAAGAGTTTGAACAGGAACCTGTTCTCGGGGAGCACCATGGCAAAACTGCTTGACATCAGAAATGATGGGGGGGTGGCAGTGGGCAGTACCCCTTTGGTTGCTTCCTTGAAACAACTGTTACTTGCTCTAGAGCAGCCTTCCCCAACCTGGTGCTCTCCAGATGTTTTGGACTCCTACATCTGTCAGCCCTAGCTGGCACTGCTATGGCTGATGTGAGGGGTGGTCCAGAGCATCTGGAGGGCACAACATTGGGGAAGTCCACTCCAAGCAAATGGCAAACTGCACAGCTGCAATGAGCAGCACCTAACACTGTTTCTTCAGACTAGTGCAGCATGTTATCTTTTACAAATTCTAAGTGATATAATCTATGGCTTTAAACTTTTGCAAGTGAGTTCAATTTCAAAGCCTTTATATTAACTCTGTTAGAACATCTATGGAGAGAATGACTATGATATTCAGCAGTAGTTTTAGAATACCTTATTCACATCAAATGGCAATATTTTCTAGAGGAATTAATGCACTATTCACTGTTACAAACAGGTACCAAAGTAAATTTTCTGAAGTGAGCTGGATGTCAAAACTACTAGAGATTTTATAAGCAATCTGACTTAAATTGAAGGTGCCATTATTACAATGACTATCAATTAGGAGAATATCTACCTATCATTGGATGTTAAACTTATATAACAAATATATAATTTAAGATACATACTTAAATGCTAAAGAAAGTGTATCTACTTTGCAAAAATGTAGTGTGGAAAATTTAAATACATTTGATTATTGCTGGTTTATATAGTACCCACCCTTCACCCTTAGGTCCCAGGGTGGGTTACAGTAGTAAAACACAAATGTAATAACAATTGCCAAATATCACTTTTAAGCAATGTTTTGTTGGTATTAAGAGTCATGTGAAAAATTTAATTGAATAGGAGAGTCCTTGAATCTTTACATACATCTACGTCTTAACTGCTCTTGTAACAAAGCAGAGAAAGCCAAAGGGACAAAAAATCTGCAACACTGACATACATTTTTGCTCAGTTATACAAATGAATAAATATTTTCAATTTACACATTTAAACTCCAAATCCAAGTGCTTGGAAAACATGCATTTTCTAGAAATGGTTTGCAGTAAGGGGAGGGGGGAGTAGTAAACGGTAGGCAACAGAGTGTATAGGTCAAAGAAAAGTGACCAGAAGCCATGAAGTTGGTGAATGCAGTCAAGTGGAACACAGAAGCTCTATGTCCATAAATATCTGATATCTTGTATAGATACTATCAACCTGTTTTCAAACCCATCTTCATGAACTCAAGGACTAAAGCAAGGGTAGCCAACTGGGTGCCTGAGCACCAGAAGTTGTTTGACTACCGCTTTAATGAAGCCCAGCCAACATAGCTGTAGACCAACAGCATCTGGAGGGCATTGCATTGGTTACCACTGGACAAGAGGAGTTATTTTCTAATTGTTAATTAGAAGTTGAGATTCTCAAAAATTTTCACCAAATGCAGAAGCCTGGGGTGTGTGTGTCTTATTTTTAGAGTTAGCAAATAAGTGGTACGGTGTCCTTTAATAGGCACATATGGAAGTATAATGATTTGCTAAGCTGAAAGTATAGTGCAGAAGTCTTTGTGAAAAAAGTTTTATTTTTAACTCACTGAGTTCTAGATACATTTGCTGAAGATAGCATCACAGCTCTACAGCTGCACACTTGAGAAGTCATAACTCCAGGTATATCCAATGTATTAAAGTTAGGAATACTTATATAATTCTCGCCACTATAATTTCTCCCCAGATTCAGTGATTCTAAATATTTAAACAAGGTTACAGAGAGAAAGCAATGAATTAGTAACCCACTATTCTTCATTTGTTGATTTCTGAACTTTGTTCAAACCACTGCACATGTACAGCTTGTAGAATTTTCATTTTTTTTAAAAAACAACAACATCAACTTGCAGGTCTATCAATTTGCACATAAACACTTATCAATTCAAAATTAATATTAGAAATTCTCTTAAATGTCTAAAGCAGAGTATAGGGCAGAGCAAACCCACTAAACAATAACGTTAAGAAAAAGGGGAAATCCAGGCATACTTTATTCTAAGTCCTCTTTGTAGCATTTAGACAACTACTGCCTTTAAGTAGTTGATTATGCCTATAAATTTCTGAGCACAACATGGTTGCATTCTTGGGAAGACAGAACTCCACATGTTTCAGAACTACAAGTATCCAAACTGGTTGAAATACTCCAGTATACTGAAGTCATAGTTGATTATTTCATTGATATATCTATGAAGTAAGTGGCAGAGACAAAAATGGAAAATTCCATGCTAGAGATTATTAGGAAAGATATTGCATATAAAATGGTCAGAATGGTCCTTCATAAATCTACACTGCAGACACATTTGAAGAACTCTACAGTTTTGGTTACCCCATCTAAAAAAGGGTACTAGAACTAGAAAATATGCAGAATTGGGCAACAAAATGATACATAACTGAAGCACTTTTCCTGTAAAGACAAGTTAAAGCATTTTGAGATAGTAAAAACAGGACAGGGCTATTCAAAGCCATTTCCTTTAAAAACAACCAGTTCCCCAAAGCCTGTTGGAATAAAACAGTATTTGCCTGCTGGCTTTAAAACAACTCCTTTCTCTAGGAAAGGAGTTCCAAAGTTTCGGAGCAGCTACCAAGAAGGCCCTCTCCCATATAGTCCTTCAGATAGCCTGAGCTAAGATGCATAGGTCATAAATAGGACTTTGAATTGTGCCTGGAAAAAGACTGGTGTAGCCAGTGGAGCTATTGTAACAAGTAAGGTTTATGCTCCCTGGCGTGCAGCTCTTTAGGCCAGTCAGTTTCTGAGCACTTTTCGAAAGGCAACCCCACATAGAGCATGTTACAGTAAACTATACAGGATGTAACGAAGGTGTGTTAAGTTTATATAAAACAATGTTCCAAAACAGACAGCTCTTGCAGCTTTTGCATATGACTACCTCCTGGAAACAATAAATAAAAAGGAATGTTTGAAGAGGAACAAGTCAACTGTTTTTCTTGTCTGTGGAGGTGTATTAGCAGTATAGTACTTTTTCCAACTTTCCCAGTAGATAATCCTTTGAACACTAGAAGTTCCTTGTCCCTGTCTTTACCTAGTGCACTGGAATCCAAGCCCAGCAAGGCAAATAGCAATTTTTGTGTGCTTCAATTGTAGTTGATCAGGTACGTAGTGGAACTCTTAGCTCAAAAGTGCATTCCGCATACAAAATGAAAATTAATGAACATGGGTCAGGCAGAATATCACTATTTTAGTAATAATTATTATGCGTTATTATTATTTAGATTCCTTAAACATTATTCACTATAAAGTCCCAAGGTGGGTTACAGCAATATAAAAATACAATATTAAAATCAGTTTTAAAAAATTACTATCAAAAGAACAGGGTGGGTCCTAAAAACACCTCAGTTGTCAAAGGCCAAGGTAAAGAGGTATGCTTTCAATGTATAATGAAACCTATATAATGAAGATGTTGGATGCCAAGTTAAGGTTGCTTTCATTCAGCTGTTAACAAAGATTACTATTAACAAAATTTTAAAGTCCAGAATTCTTACACAGGGCCCAATTATGCTGTTCCTTCCTTTAATTTTTAAAAAATGTGTTTTATTTACCATATTCCTATTTATAAAAACAGAAACACTTAAATATGCAAAATATAAATATATAACTACCAAATCTTAAAAAATAAATTCTCACAAAAGGCAATTTAGTGCCTATGGTAGGTTTAATACTTCTATCAAATACCAAGCATCACCTTCCAACAAACCTTGTATAAAGTAGCATCTTTGTTTAAAAAAGTTGAAACTGTCAGCATTACTATCACAGTAGGATAAAGAATCAATTCATAGGTCTGTATTTCAAAAAAATGTTATTTTTGACACAGACCCTACCTCCTCTAATGAGGTACGGACATATGCAGGCAGCTCAGCAGGCTATTACATGGAATACAAGGCATGTGCACACCTGCCACATCACAGTCACACTCAACCCTTCCACTAGATCAAAGGATGCAATCTTGGAGTTCATGTTATTCCTCTGGTGATCGCTCTGGGCACCACACATGCAATGGACTGGCTTGAACCCATAATATAAACTTGCATGTTTAGCATGACATTAGGATTGTTTGCTTTCATTTCAAAATGGTATTTTTCTCATCATTTTCTCAAGTCAAGAAAAGTTCTACTTCTGACAGAGTCAAAAGTCATGTTCAAAGAGTCTCTTTTAAGATTTCAAATGCAAATTTTATAATTATATTTTCTACCAGGGAACAATTCAAAATGAATACTTTGTTGAACTCTAGCCACTTGCAAACTACAAGCCTCAGTTACCTGTGTTTTAATGGGCTATGTACTTTATAGAGACATTGTGCTTATATTTATATTTCATTGGCAGAAATAATATATGATGACTTCACTAATACAATTTTCCGATACACTATCAGAACAGCCATTTTACTTGAAGTGCTCATATGACTTAACAGAATGAAATGACGGTGTGGAATTTTTCCCAAATTGAAGGGAAAAATCTCTCTTTAATATGAGAGCTCATTTTATGCTGAAATGAAACTGAGGCACTGGTATTCAACTTAGTTTTAATCAGAGCAGACCCATTGAAATTATGAACATGATTTAGAGCCACTGATTTCAATAGGTCTACTCTGAATAAAATTTAGCTGAATACTACTTACTGTCAATATGTTTTGCTAGTACAGCATGAGGGTGAAGAGACAGAGCTGTGGATCATGGAACCAACCCACAGATCAAAAGTTACCTCTCCGGTGAACAAAGCTTCAGGTCCCTACAAGCAGAACTGTAATAGAAATACTGACCTATTTTATAGCCTACAAAGACAATTACAATAATGTATGTGGAACACTTCTGAAAAGTCTAAATAAACCACTACATACAGGCTAAGTATTATTACTAGCATTTTTCATTGCCCCATCAGCTTTATCAATTAGTCATGGCTTTGTTCACCAGTGCTCCCAAATCCCAACTGTGACTTACAGACACATCTTGTTCAATCCATAAGACTTCAACTTACTTTTGCTGTACGTTTAAGCTTAAAATGTTTCTGTTGAGGGGATAGCAGTTCTATACTGTAGATTGCATGATTTTTTCATTTATCATTATCATCATCAATAATAATAATTTTTACTTGTTAGTCGCTTGCTATATAAAGTCTCTAATCAACTTGAGACACAGGCATGGCATAATATCAGGAACATAACAATAAAAACCATTATAATGACTCATGTGCAAGCTTAGCAAAACAGCAAAAAAGGAGTCGCCAAGTACAACATATGCAGGAGATAAGCATCTGATTAGCTCTGCACAATCAGTGAACTCTACTCCACATTTTGTCAAAACTGACTGATTGTAAATATCTTAGGTGCGGTAGTACTATAAAAAAGTGCAACTACTTTTTGATGACTGGCCCATGACTAATTTGTGTGTTTTTTATTTAACACATTTTTTATTTGCTTGATTATAATTAATTTCAAAGCAGTTTAATACACCCCACCCCAAGGAAGCCACCTTACACATTTGTAAAGAATATATTTCAATCAAATTTATTATCATAACTATGCCTGTAGTAAGCATGTATCAAATTACAATGCAATCATTTTTGCATTTTTCTTGAAGGGGAATACTAATGTCTAATATCTGGAAAATGTGATAGCCTCCCACCAGAAGTTGTTATTTTGAAATAAGATATCTGGATCCCATTCAGAGAGAAACAAACAACACACAATGATTGTGCAACAAGATGGACCAAATATGTTTCAATTTTACCATCAATATTAGATCAGATCTGGTGCTCTGTGACTATGTCATTCAGCAGTTACCCCAGTTTAACCTCTCTTTTCAAATATGCCAGCATCCTTTCTCTCACATTTTTCATTTCAACCAGTCTCTAGTAAATAGTGAGACACCATGATTGAATATTTTGCTTTCTTTTATGTTTGTTAATTTTAAAACTGTGAGCTTTTTCTGCTATAAGAGAAAAGCTCATAAAAAGCACAGGGATTGATCTTTTATTTTCCGACATACTCAATATTTGTAACTCCACAGGAACCCAAGCTGCCACACTACAGTATTAGAAACACGATTAAGGACACATAACAAAAGCCTCACTCCAGTTTCCCCTTTGGCAAATTGGGCTTAGAGATGTTTTTTTTTCCTCAGGACTTCTCTCGGCTTATATAATTGCATAATATTTTCCGTATTATTCTCTATCCCCTTTTTAATACAGCTTTACAACAGCAGTGGCCTGAGTATGTTCAGCAGAAGAGGCTATATCCCAGGTACCACAATTCTAGACGATAAAAATATCATGGTTGGTAGCAGTAAACATATTTAGGTAGAAAACCCCACAAAAGCTTATAATGAGGAAATTTTAATTTATTATATTTGATATGACAGCCTTCAGATGGCCACCAAAAGAATATATAGAACATTTATAATATTAATAATAGCTTTGATAGTGTGCTTGGCTTAAATATTAAACACATATTTGCTAAAGTTACAGAACACACCTCTGAATTTCAGAAAATTAAGACTTGCTGTGCTCCTTCACTATCAAACTAACCACTAGACCCACAAATAAACCTGAGAAGTCAAAAAGTTTGGCTTAGGTTTCTAAATTATCATCAAAGAAGGATCCAACATTAATTTTTGTAGGTAATCATTATCGTACAATGGAAGCAGTGGCAAACCTGGCTCTCCAAAGTTACTTTTCTCAGAACTGCATGTTTAAAGACCCCCTTGGCTAGCTGCAGGTAGCTTCTGGTCCACTGCCAATGTGTCAGAATCTCTGAACATCATCTGAACTACAGATAAACAAGCATCCAACAGTTTTGTTTCTTTTCATTTTCAGAAGATGAGGACAGAAGTGATAGAAGGCAACAACACCAAACCTAGTGCTCCTCTCCTGGCCCAACGATATCCAAGAATGGTCACGAAAGATGGACACAGCACACTACAAATGGATGGTGCCCACGGGAAAGGCCTGGCATACCTAAAAGATGCTTGGGGAATCCTTATGGATATGCGCTGGAGATGGATGATGCTGGTATTTTCTGCTTCTTTTGTCCTCCACTGGCTTGTCTTTGCAGTTCTCTGGTACCTACTAGCAGAAATGAATGGGGATCTGGAGATTGATCATGATTCTCCACCTGAAAACCACACTATTTGTGTAAAGTATATCACAAGCTTTACAGCTGCTTTTTCTTTCTCACTGGAGACACAGCTCACTATTGGTTACGGCACAATGTTCCCAAGTGGAGACTGTCCAAGTGCAATTGCCCTACTTGCTATACAAATGGTACTGGGTCTGATGCTGGAGGCCTTCATCACAGGTAATTACATACTATTTCATAACCTAGTAGGTTTTATGTTATAGTTTAAATAAGAGCTTTGTCATAAAGCTACAGCAAGAAAACAAAGATAGGGCTATGTCACTCAGCATTCTGAAAAATACTGTTCTTTGACGAGGATGTATTTCCATTTTACAGTATGAAAAGAATTATTAAATAGCAACTTGTACTAAACATCTAAATAGGTGATTCAGTTCTTCCCAAATGCATGCTTTAGTTCAAAAACCATTTCTTACATTATTTTTAAAAGTGTGATTAGTTAGTAGAATTAACTTCCCATACACATTTGCATAGTTTAAAGCTAACAGATGAATCCTTAGCAGCTTTACCAAGAAATCAACATCTACATAGTTCAATGAAGTATTTCCATAAGTATGCTTAGGACTGCCGCGAATTACTGATAAGTTTTCAATGAATATCAGAGAATTTTCAAACCCTGCTATGTTTTATTGAAAATAATTTTAAATGAGTTAATAAATAACACTGTGCTATATTACTGAAAGAAAATTTGCTATATAATAAATGAAGCTTATAACAAAATAAACCTACTAAGAGATTACTTAGCAGACGATTAGCCTGAAATGCTATATTATAAAGCAGAGACTGTGGTCTTATTTTGTCAAAAGCATATGTCATTTCAAGTTCACAAAGATGGTGGCAAATATTTTAATGAACACCTGATTTAAAAAATATTTACTATAAAAAGTATTTTTGTGGTTTAGGAAATTAATGTGATGGACCTGAATAATGTGGGAACCATAATTAAAAATGTGATATACTTATGCTAATAATAAATGTTGTGATCCTAATACAGTGCAACTTGCTTTAATTGTGTTTGCTTTCAATATACTATAAAGGGAATCAGGAAACTATAATTATACGCACAATCTATATGTAAATTCTCTTTTTATTTAGGTGCATTTGTAGCAAAAATTGCCCGTCCAAAGAATCGAGCTCTCTCCATCCGGTTCACTTATTCCGCTGTAGTGACACACAAAGAAGGAAAGCCATATCTAATGTTCCAAGTGGCCAATACTCGCCCAAGCCCACTCACCAGTGTTCGGATTTCTGCAGTTCTTTATGAAGAACAAGAAAATGGTCAGTTGCATCAAACCAGTGTGGATTTCCATCTAGACAGCATCACTTCAGAAGAGTGCCCTTTCTTTATCTTTCCTTTAACCTATTATCATCCCATAACTCCATCTAGCCCTCTAGCCATTCTCCTGCAAAGGGAGGCTCATCAACATTTTGAGCTAGTAGTCTTCCTTTCTGCCACACAAGAGGGCACTGGAGAAACATGCCAGAGGAGGACATCCTATCTTCCATCAGAGATCATATTACACCACCATTTTGCCTCCATGTTGGTTCGAGGTGCTAAAGGGGAATATCAGATCAAGATGGAGAACTTTGACAAGACAATCCCAGAACTTCCAGCTGCAGACTCTAAAAGTTCAAAGAGGACTGACATGGAGATCCGCATCAATGGGCAGCACATTGACAGCTTCCAGATCTGTGAGACTCATCTGACTGAATAGACTTTGAATGTGATGCCAGCTTGTTTTCGTTTTCAGCAATTGGATTAGACTACCACACCAATGTTTTCACTTTCCTCTCTATTTTATTGTGCTCTTTTTATTCTCTCAATATCTTTGACTTCAGAACAGTTCACAGAATAAAGAGCATAGCATCCATGTAACTGGATGAGCCACTGGAGTAACTGCACAAAAACAGAGTCAGGGACAAGAAACACTGCACAAATTATGGGAAAACAGAACTGCTACCTGCTGAATTCACTAGACTATGATTAAAACTGCACTGACCCTGAAACAAGAGACTTCCAGACTCAAGACAGCTTGTCAAAATTCTAATTAAATGACATTAAGGTAAACACTGTGGCATTGTAGTAGAACTAAGAAAAAATTCACCTGAAAAGGCCAAGATCCCTCAGATTTGTTGAATCAGTCCTCTCGTGCTATACAGTTACAACAGAATATGCTGATGTCTAAACATGCTATGAAGAATGTTGCTAGTATTTTCTGTGGCAATGAAGTTGCAATCCTGCTGTGCTTGTTTATTAAGGAAAATCACAAGCATTTGCTGAAGCTTTGTTCCAGCAGCTAAGAACAAGTTCAACACCCGTAGGCACTTTCGTGATGAAAGTGAATGGCAAGAATTTTTACATGTATTAGACTTAAATATTCTATATTGGAACTATTTTCATACGGAGAAACATGCAATAAATTTAGCAGACAACAGGAATTCATCGATCACTATTTGCAATTCTCCTCTCAAGGATAATCAACACCTCATGTCTCTGCCTTGTTGCAAGTCAAAATCTAATTACTCCTGTCATCAGAAAGATCCACTGCTTCCCACATTTATTGCAGTTTCTTTCCAAAATAACCATTCAGTTAATAAAAACAGAGATAAAATGCATGACTGTGTAAAATAATTGTACAAACATGAATATAATTATGAGACATTGAACATAAGGCTCTATGCCAAGTTGAATCATGATTATTACCAGAACCAATTACAAGAACTAATGGTTGTTGTTGTTTTTAAAAAAATTAAAATGAACCAAGTTTTTAAATGGTCCAGAGGACCACGTTTATGGCTTCTTCACATTTGTTTAGCTAAGGGCACTAGCTACTCTGCACTCAAAACCAAGGAAGAGCATCATCAAAATCACTAAATACTTGTATGTTCAAGGATCATTAAAAGGCTCTTCTCAGAAAACATTGCATAGGTATCAATACTTTACTTTAATACTGACTTGTGGTTATGAAGAGCCTGGCGTTTTTTAGCTCTTGAACGTGGATAAACATATTTATATGTATATACTAGTGTGGATGTTAAGATTTGTTACCAAATCATAGAGTATTTTCTAAGAAACTCTCTCTTACTTCTCCCAAATCTAAAAAATGGTTTTGTGCCTGATTATAAAGATTTGGATGTTGTGGTCAACTGAGACATGGTGGGGCTATGGAACAATCAGCTGGTCCCAATGGTGCTAGCTGCCAATTCACAGCTGCTAAAAGGCAACTCAAAGAACCAGCATTTTACTAACATTACTAATGTTGATGTTCTATGTAAGCAATGATAGAGTAGTCAGCCTATACACAGATGGGAATAAGTGTATTTTTGTAACTGAATGTAAGAAAGCAGGGGGTCATGCAATCTCTGTGTTAGAAATAGTTCGTTTTTGGAACATAATCACATCATAGCACTAGACCCTTGTGATCTCTTACACTGTAAGACATACAGGGTTGTTGAAGTATTTCTTCCCTTGTCTGTGCCGAGGCTTTAATCTTTTCATTCACAGTGTACTGTAATATTGGATTAGCCCAATGCAGAGACCGGATAGTAACAGCAATCACTACCTTGGATTAATATCTATTAAATTGTACTTGTACTCACTTTATTCTTTGTCCAGCATAGTCACTTAAAAAAATTATCTCCCTTTTACAGCATTATTAACCTCACATAGTGAAGCTTAGTCCCCCCCCCATTCTCTAATATTTAAATTTTTGTGGGAGGTCCTACAGCTTAACGTATTCCATGTGCACAATAAAACTAATGCAAAACTTCACTCAAAAACTGAACAATCCAGTCAGGTTGTAATGTATTTGCAAACATTTCTACATAAAAAAGGGTATGTGCAGTGCCATTATGGTTTTTTCCTGCCACGTTAGTCCAATTTCTGACTTATATATCAATTTAGAGGGGCAAATTATCCTTGTAAGCCAACAGCTTTGTCTGTACGGTACTGTAGGACTAATATTATACTACTGCTTCAAAAATTCAGGAAAGACAAGTTGCATATATTTAAGTACAATATACAGCACAAGGTATGCAGTTCAGTTAGACCACTTCAGCACTGAGTACCATGCTAGAAATAAGCTGCCAATAGACAGAACCTGCAGCTAACCATCCATATTAAAAGCAAGCATCTTAACTTCCAACAACCATCTGCATCCTACCTCCACTGCACTCTCTGTTGGGACACTGCAAATTGCAACAGGTATCTTACCCATAACTTACTGAAAAAACCTGAGTATAGATTGGCAATGTTCACATGTATCACTCAACCATGGCTAAACCATGGTTTAGCATTACAAACCACAGCAAGCTTCAGACTCACCTCTCATCCTCAGGTGCAGCCATGAGGAAGAGTTCAGAAACTTTCATTTCACGTTTAGACTTCAGCTTGTTGTGGTCCAAACCTGGACAAACTGTGGTTAGTCTTAGCCATGGTTAGTGGAAACAAGCCAACTTCAAACCATGAGTTATGAAGTTGGATTGTTGTCACTAGCTTCAATTAAGACTGATCACAGTTTGTGGTTCAGATAAAATGCTAAACTGTGGTTAATAAAAACATATATGGAAGCTTCCTCCTAATGGTCATGGAAGAGGAGAAAACACAAGCCCTAGGCTTGCCATGACTTGAACTCATACCACTAAACCAAGGTTAGCTTTACAAGCCATCTCTTGACAAGTTAGATGCCTATACAAAACCCCACAAAGCCCTACGGCTTCAGTGGGATGGACTTTGGGTATCATAATTTTGAAGATTAACCTATCTTATAGAAATGTGGAAGAAAAATTAGAAAAGGAATTGTAAATCATCTTTTGCCATGAAATGCCTTATAAAAACGATATAAATTACTTTTAGGAGCCTAAATATTAACTCATAGCTATAGAGAGAAAAATGTTACTAAGTTCAGACAGTGTCCAAGAAACAAAATGATTTAAATCTATGTATGACTGAAAGCCAGAGGAATTGGAAATATGCCTTCTAATTCTGTGTTACCAACGTCGTAAGAACTAAAATAGAACAGCACAACAACATAACTTAGATGCTTTAAAGGGGATTCAAAGGGCATTAAAACAGATGGCGATTCATACAATTTTCAAGTTTTGATCACCATAGAAATCTGGCACTGTTACAAAATTCAGAGTATATATATTAAAAGAATCTCCTAACAAAGAACAGCAAGCTGCAGTTAAGCACTCAAATCCTATTGACTTTCAGAAAGAGTGCTTGGTGGCTATTAGCACCTTTAAAATTCCTCAGAAAAGCCAAGTTCTTTTCTTCAACTTGAGAAACCAGTTCACCAAAAACGTTAGGAAAACAACAAGCCCCTATTTCACAATACAAATGACCTAGTTCACACATAATGATAAACCATAGTTTAGCATGATGAGGATGAGCTGCAGCAAGTCTTGGGCTTGCACATTTTTATCTTCCCCAGCATGGCCACAAAGAAATGCTATGAGTAATCTATGATTAATGAAAGTAAGCTAGTTTCATAGCCCATGGTTTGAAGTTGTCTTGTATAGTTAACACTAACTTGTAGTTTGTTCAGGTTTGAATGTCACCATAAGCTATAATTAGTTTAAAACAAAAGTAAAAGCCTGAGGCTCACTCTCATAGCACTATGTAGAAAGGGTGAGGTTCCTTTCTCTTTTTTCCAGGGAACTAGGAAACAGGGGGAGGGGCAGAAAGAAGCACAGGCTATCTGCACTGTAGGTTGCCTGTATATAATAAACCAACTCCTATAGACAGCATCTTTTTCTGGACTACCTGATCCAAGCCAACAAGTTGTAACTTTTATGCAATTGTGTTGGGGGAATTATGGACTAACTGGGAAGGGGTATTAGAGAATTGGTTTTTCCAAATGTTATCTTGCATTACACTGCAAAAATGCTCAGAAAGCAAACTACTTGAGACATAACATGGCATGATCCAAAACTTTACTTTGGTCTTATCACCACTGAATGCATCCAATGGCTTGCCAGAGCAAATTTCAGCACACAATTTAGCAAGTAATTTTTAATCCCATTGACCTCATTACAGCCCAAAAATTGGCTGTGTGGCAGAGCAATCTTGTAGCATGACCAGCTCTAATGGGCATATGATTCACTATGTACCCCAGCCAACTTGAGGTCATGTGAAATGACCCTTAAAATAGCCTGTTGCTTTCAACAAGATGTGTATTATGAAAACAAAAAACAAAAAAAGTTTGTTGGTCACTAAAAAATAAGAAAAGTTCAGTATTGTGCTTTAAAATAATTATAATGTAACTCTAAATGAAGTAGTACACAATTTATAACTCCCCCCCCCCCAAAAAAAACCTTCACTCTCTCCAATTCATACAGGCCAGGCTCTAATCCAATTCCTAAAAATGTTGGCCTATTTTGTAAAAGCACATATCTAATCCCATTTCCTAAAGATGCTGGCCTATGTGTGCATATGATTTTGATAATTTCAGATTTAGACACTGAATCTCAATTTCTTACTAATAAAACAAAATCTAGATATCCATACCATTTAAAAAACAACAAAAAACAACCCACATACCTGGTTCTTTTCGGCCTGGTTTTTCAAACCGCCTGTCCCCCCTAAAAAGGCAAAATAGCAAATTACCAAAGCATTTGGAAACACTTAAGACAGGGAATGGATCACAATTATTTCTGTGATGTACGAATAACAAGTTGAAATAATGTTTATTAATAGCATACTCTGGGCAGAATATATATACAGATATAGGTATCAGAACAGGTAACAAAAGTCATTCTGAAGACAAACCTGTAAAAACGTGTGTTACTGGTGTATTTCTACTATCCATTTGCCCTAACGATCAATGTTTTGTTATATTATTGAACTTCTTAATAATATTTGTTACTGTCAATGCATGCATCCTATTTTAGTGCATACTAATGTTCCATGAATATCAATCTATATTAGCCTGATGACACTAATTTACTTGTCTCATTTTTAAAAATCTAATCTTGATCTGTCTAGGGTAAGTTTATAAAAATATAACACATATGAGGGGAAATCCCCACTGGTTAACTAATATTTGCTTGTTGGAAAATATAGCTGATGTTTTCTCTCTTGGCATTTCAGGAAGACATCAGGAAGAATTAATTTGACCTTTTTGAGTCACAATTTGTGTTTTTCCTTATGTGGATCAATTTATTTCAACCCATTAGAATACAGTTTAGTTGTTTTAGGTTCGAATCCACTGTGCTGCTTAAGATCATTCAAGTGGTGTTTGCTAGCCCAATACATTTTGACTTGCCCCCACTCTTTGAACAGTTAAATCAAGTGCCATTAACACAAACTGCTTTTGAAATTCTCCCTGGTTTCAAAAGCATTGCCTTGAAGCAGAGGCATTTGCTGTTGAGAGAAATAAGTCTAAGTCCTCTTCTGATTACAGATCTAATTCCTTAGTTCTTTGGATACTGACCATAATCTCTTCTCTCCTAAGCAGGTTCAATTCTTCCTTGTTCTCTTAGTAATTCCAGATAAGTACTAAGCTATGATGTCATGAAGGCTACCAATTTCAGATCTTTCTTAAATTCTACAAGGGATAATTATGTTTTGTAACTTGATTTCCTGAATCATCAATATCATCCAATAGTGCCCTGGTTCAGTTAGCTTGTTTAAGCATTTTTATCCACCTGTTCTTATAGAAGGCTCTGTCACTCATTTTAGATCTTATAACTTCAAAATTTATCGAAATAGCTGGACCTCTATAGCCGTTCCATACATTGCAAGGCAAAACTAGTTTGCTATTAAACATACTCTCAAAGGGGAGTCGCTGCCAACCCTGGCTCCCTGGCAGGTGTAGTATACTCATGCTTGTGGCAAAATAGGTCAGTGCATTTGGTTGTTAACCAGAAGGTTGGTGGTTTGAGCCCACCCAGGGACAACTGTAGGCAGCATTCCTGCATTGCCAGGGGTTGGACTTGATGATCCTCAGGATCCCTTCGAACTCTACGATTCTATGAAATCTATGCTCACAAACATGGTGGCCACATCTGTGACAAGACACCTAGAAGGACAAATTTTAGAGCAGCCAGGATTCTACCAACATAACAAGTTATCTGAGCTTCAGATGCAGTCCATGCCAATGTATATGTTTATTGAATTACCTTTCCTCCCAGCTCTGGGATCTGTGCATTTCTCTGCCCCCTCCTCGTCCAAATCCACCTTCTACATCATCAAAACTTCTTTGGTAGAAACCACTTTCTCCTCTACCTCTGCCTGAAAGACAAAATATGGTTGAGATCTTATGAATTTTACCATTTTCCTTTGGAACCAACAAGACCAAAGCTGATTCTTGCACTTTGCCAAAGTGCCAATCTTCCTTCAAAGCGAGCTCTTAGGGAGACCAATTAGAAAATGCACATTGTTTGATTTTTCATAAATCATAGGTTTGTAGCAAAGCAGGTGCTGTCTTACATGACAGGTAACTACTGGGCCATGCGTGGAATCCGAACCACAGAGAACCATCAGTTGGTCCAGAGAAAGTGTTGAGTGCTCCTGGCACTTGTCCGATTATGACTAGCAATTCTATAAAACAGAATCAATAAATGATGTTTCCTCTTCCTCAGTCACCAGTAAATATTAAGAAAACAAAACTAATAAAGTGAGCAAACACTGAAACAAAACACTGAAACTACCTCTTTTACATCTTACTTGTACACCATTTATTATCACTCCACTTTAGCGGAAGGACTGCAACTTTCCAGTCATATTTGTGAGCTCAGTAAGAATTTAAATTAAAAAAAGGAAAGGAATAATCATGTGTGCATTGCTAGGCAACTACACAAGCATTCCTTCTAATTTCTGAGTTACTCCCATTTTCTGCTCCCCCACCAGCATGAACCCTGCTGGAAAGTTATGCAGTTGTCACTTCTCTTAAAAGTAGTGGCAGAAACAGCACAGGAATTACTAGCACAGGCGTATGGCCCAATGACAACACTAGCAGTACTAGATTGCCAAATACTGTTGCTACAGTAAAAGGTTTTAAGTGAGGAGCAATTTAATACAAAATACACTTTTCCCCAGCACACAGTTAGGACACTCTACTTTAGGAACATTAGCAGAAAATACTACAAAACCAAATATGCACTGGGGAACATCAACAAGTATGCTTGCAAGATTGAAAATTTAAGCATAATCACTGCTAGATTATTTCTTTTTCATATCTAAAGATCTCCTACAAAAAGGTCACAGTAAAAATGAGTAAAGAACAGCACAAGCATGGTTCTATAGGAAGCCTACAAAACTGTCATTTGCCATCATCCTTTAAATAAATGCCTGTTGAAATTTTTTTTATGCTACCCAGTTTATGTAGACAATTAAGAAAACATATTTCTGCAACAGCTAGTTGATGATCTATTATTTAAATGCTTACATGGTTACTATTTTTTATGATATAGCAGATTATATTTTTTTTATAAATAAAGAAATAAAAACAATATTATTTAAAGCAGGGATGGTTAACTTATGGGTGACATACAGCCTAGAAGAGAGATACATAACTAGTAAAATGGCCTTCCAATAAGACCCACCAAAATGTTATTTTAAAAACCTGACTGCTCCTATGCATCCCTCGCTGTGATGTCATATGGCAAAAGGCTTTTTGTGGCCTCAAGGCACTCCAAAATTTTATTTTAAAAGAAATTCCTAATTTTAACTTTAAAAAAAAAACAAAACAAAATTAACCTAATAACCTTTTTTTACAGACTGCTCCCATAGATATCCCACTGTGATACCAAAATATCAACGTTTTATTATTATTATGACATTAAAAAAAAATACTGACCACTCCAACAGGTTCCCTGCTATGATTCTGTGATGCTAAGTTTATAGCCCCCCCACTACACTCAAAATGTGTTCATTTCTATAATAACAAAAAATGAACATGAATGCTTTGAAGCTCTTTACATTCTTTTAAATTATTGCCTTAAGTAGTTTTTGTTCTACACTTCTATGCTACAAATATATCTATGACCAGCTCCATGCAGTCAGTTAAATGAATTCAACTATTATGTCTACATTTCTTGCAGGTTGTTGTAACTATTTTACATCTGTTCATTCTACTACCTCACATCGCAGAGGAGGTCTAAGATGACTTTGTGGGCCATTAAAGGCAGAAATTGTTATCATTTTCCCGTTTTTGTAATATGCAGATGGCTTGATATATTCTACTTATTTATCCAGTGAACTCAAATATTTTATAGTAAGAGTTGTTATCTCAGCTCCTACCTTAAAATCCACTAAATATTGTTTTTCCTTCACTAAATCCAGGAATATTGGTCAAACATTGGGAAAACCAAACACAGGATGTATACGTATACTGAAACTTCCTTAATTACTTTGCAGTACTGCAGCCCTTACCTTCTCTCATGCTAGGGCCCAATTCTATCCCAGGTTCTCTCTCTTACTGGCTTACATTTATTTTTTGTAACATTTATCCCACCTTTCCTTCCAAAGAAAGAAAAGCCATGGCAGATCATAAACCCCCAACATCTTCATACGGGGTTAAGCAGTTTAATTCTAAAATGTAACAATGACACTACTTCACATTCACAAAGCCTCTCACCTCGGCCTCTAGAGGAACTTCGACCTCGAGGAGCCCCTACCACCGTTCCTCCGCCTCGTCCCATCAATCGTAGGACAGCAGCACTATTTACAGACATAGAGAAATTTCTCTGCCAAAAAGAAGAAACACGGTGAGAGAAATATTTCGTAACAATACTATCATAAAATCAGACCTATCCCCCCCCCCCCCACAAAATTTTAATGTATTATTCAGCCATTTTCAAGCTACGTAAGTATTGCTGGTGAACTTCTGAGGTCACAATTTCCTTCAATATTCAAATATCAAAATGAGCTTTTTGCAAATGAATGCTCTAGCATGTTTGAACAGTGTTTGACTCACTAGTAGAATATATGTGAAAGGAAAGAGCCCATGTTCAATCTTGTTAAAAAGGATCTCAGATATACAGCAGGGCTAAGAAAAAATTCTGCTGACACCTTGAAAAGTTGTTGCCAGTAAGAACAGCAAGTACTGGGTCAGATGGACCAACAGTCCGACGCACTACAAAATGGCTTCACGTGTTCATCATGTTTAGAATATTAATTACGCAGTTACTTTGGATTTGTGTATAGTGGATGTCACTTAAGACACCAAGGAATGATTTTTCTTTTTCAGATTAAAGAAAGTGGCTTATGTTTCAAGTTATAAGAATTACACAACACAGCAAAGCACTTGATTATATGCATATTCAGATACAATATTTGTATTAGGTTCAAGCCTTGGATTAAAATGCTCCTCCCTTCTCTCCAGCCCTGCTCCAATATGCTTAAAATGAGAAGATTGGATTCTGGTTTAAACTATCTATAGTTTGCTAGTACAGTGGTACCTTGGGTTAAGTAGTTAATTTGTTCCGGAGGTCCGTTCTTAACCTGAAACTGTTCTTAACCTGAAGTACCACTTTAGCTAATGGGGCCTCCTGCTGCTGCTGCGCCGCCGCTGCATGATTTCTGTTCTCATCCTGAAGCAAAGTTCTTAACCCGAGGTAATATTTCTGGGTTAGCAGAGTCTGTAACCTGAAGTGTATGTAACCTGAAGCATATGTAACCCGAGGTACCACTGTATGTCGAACTAGGAACTCTCTTAACTGATCTGTGTGTAACACAGTCCCTTATTACCTGTTGTATATGCTATTCATGAAGGGGTTTCATGGCTACAAATGTAGCAACATAAGAGGACACCTAAAAATTATTACTTGTAAATCCCATTGTGTTCAGAAGGACTTACTGTGGATTTTAATATTTATCGTTTAAATTATAATTTTCTAACGGCTTTGGATTTTGTATTTTTAATTGTGAGTCATCTTGAGCAATTATTTGGATAGGCAGGAAATAAATATATCAAATAAAGGAGAAAGAAAACAGCAATACAGAATTCAAATATAAAACATTATGTTCTCCTGCAGTGTATTCTGCTGAAACTTACTGTATTTGTGGGGGGTAGAAGGCAACCACTTAACATATAAACAGATTTCAAAATTCCATTTCTAAAGTTTCTGATAATAATTAAATAGTAATTTCACAGCTTAAACAATGGGGAGCAATACTTTTTTGCATGTTTCAAATATGTGTTAAAAACTCCCTGGATTAACTTGCATACTTTGAATACCCTGTAAAATTCTCTCAGCCTAAGATTTCCCAAGCCATAGCAGACATACAGTGGTACTTCAGGTTAAGAACTTAATTCATTCCGGAGGTCTGTTCTTAACCTGAAACTGTTCTTAACCTAAAGCACCACTTTAGCTAATGGGGCCTCCCGCTGCTGCTGCGCCGCCACTGCGCGATTTCTGTTCTCATCCTGAAGTAAAGTTAACCCGCGGTACTATTTCTGGGTTAGCGGAGTCTGTAACCTGAAGCATATGTAACCTGAAGCGTATGAAACCCGAGGTACCACTGTATTTAGAATGAAGCATACCAATATCAATTCCAGTTGAGTATCACCCCTGGGCAACTGCTTTGTATTTGAGTGCATCTCTCTAAACCTGAAGGATCAATGAGATACAATAGTGGAATATTCCACTTTTCCTACATTAATGAAGTATAAGGCTTACAGTAGTAACTTGGTTCTCAAACGCCGAAAATCCAGAAGTGTTTTCAAATATTTTTCGAAGGCCGAATGTTCAAAGCAGCTGTCGGCTATTGTTTCTGGGGCACCTGCACTAATCAGAAGCTGCACCTTGGTTTTTGAACATTTCGGAAGTCAAACAGACTCCCGGAACAGATTACGTTTGGCGCTTTTGTTTTTGCTATTTATTTTGCGTTTTTGAGGCTTTCTTGGTTAATTTGTTTTTGTGACTGTGTGGAACCCAGTTCAGCTACTGATTGATTGATTGATTGATTGATTGTGTGACTGTGGTAAGGGATAAAAGCCCCCCATTCAAAAATGACTATCATCAGTGCAGGTAACAAAATAATAATAATTTTAATTTTTATCATCTACAATACTGTCTTATTTATTTTATAGTGAAGTACACTGATTATTGCCTGCATTTCATGCATGAATGCTCTCATTAGATAGTAAAATTCATGTTAAATTGCTGTTTGAGCAATTTTTGTTTTTTGTTTTTAAAAGTCTGGAACGGATTAATCCGTTTTGCATTACTTTCTATGGGAAAGTGTGCCTTGGTTTTGGAACACTTTGGTTTTGGAATGGACTTCCGGAACGGATTAAGTTTGAGAACCAAGATACCACTGTATAGAAATTCCCATTTTCTGTTTATTCAGAAACCAACCTGTTCTTCTTCTGTAAAAGGTACAAGTGCCAAGGGTGGTAAGGGCTCCTCCTGTAGAATAGGCAGAAACTCCTTATCAAGAAGGTCTGACGGTATCTGCAAGGGAAGAGAGAATGTAGCAAAATACATTGACCCTCAAAACATAAATGCCATGGACAATACCAATAGCCAAAAGAAAGTACAAAGCAAATAATTTTTTTTCTATTTCTTTTTCCAGGTCTCAGTATCTATTCAGACATATCTGGAAACCAAAAATGTATACTAATAAAATGAATTATGGGCATAATTCTAGCAACTACTAAAAACTCCTTCAGAACCCTAAGCAACTAATGACCTTTCAAAGAAGTTTAGAGTTTTATGAGTTTAGCATTTTCTTCTTGGTTTCATTAGCATACACTTAAAACTATGAATGGATTTGCAAGCAACCAGACAGGAACATTCTTCTCCTAACTTACCTTACTATCTTTCAGGAAAAGTGCTAACATTTCTTCTCTCCCATAACGATAATCTGCTAATTTATACTTTGGCAAAGCTGGAGAAAGGGGAGGAGATGTCACACTCCCACCACTAGACAGAGCTCGCAGCCTATAGGGGAACAAATAGGGAAGGAGAAATTAAGACAACCAATTACCGTATTTTTCGCTCTATAACACGCACCCGACCATAACACGCACATAGTTTTTAGAGGAGGAAAACAAGAAAAAAAATATTCTAAACGAAACAGTGGATGTATGATTTTTGTGGTTCATGCTGTGGCCACAGACATGTGATCTGACGGTGAGTTTGGGGTAGCCCAATGCAAAAATCCTGAGGATCCATGTGGATCCGTGCTTTGTAACCACGTTTTAAGTGGGGAGGGAAGGAAAAGCACTCAAGGGACAAGGAACACGCGTGGGGTGGGTGGAGAAGGATGCTGTTAATAATGCAGAAGAGGGGTATAAGAGGAGAAGGCTCCTCTCCTCTCCCGCTTTGCTCCTTTAAAGCAAGCAGGCTCTCTGTCCCTCTCCTCTCCCCCCCCCCCCCACTCAGCGGCTCTTCTCCCACTTTGCTGTTTCAAAGTGAGCCATGGAGGAGGGAAGGAAGGGGAACCATGGATCCTCTGCTCACGACTGCAGCAGATCCCCCCGCCATCCGTAGGCATTCGCTCCATAACACGCACAGACATTTCTCCTTACTTTCTAGGAGGAAAAAAGTGAGTGTTATGGTGCAAAAAATACGGTATGTACTCTGCTGTCAGGACAACAAACCTTCAGACTACAGTGATGTCAAACAGAAATCCCTTTCTATCCTGCAGAAGTAGCTAAAGAAAGCTATTTTTATATAGCTTTAGTTGAAAATTATTCACAAAAGACTCTTAAATGCACTTCACATAGTTTTAATGTGAAGTTCATATGGAGCCAACAGTTGGGATTTTTTTTTTATTTATTTTTTTGTTCCATTATAACTGATGTTCTGAATTGGCTGTTGCTTAGGCCAATACATCTAAATAGGTCACCATGTCATTCACATTACAATTACAGGCGACACATGTGCAAAGGTGGTTATCAACATACTGATATTGAAGACCTGATACCACCATTCAGCGCTGTCAGACAAGTGCTGAATCCCATGTGACCCACATGGACCTGCTTTATTTTTCATTTTTTCTAATGCCTGGCACAAAGGAGCACCAAACTGAATGACTAAAGGTGCTACCAGCTACCCTGAATGCATCTGGGTCCTTCCCCTCAATCATCACTCTGCAATGCTTCATCAGGACTCAATGGAATTCTGGACAAAGTAAGATGGCAGTGGTTCTGATCACAGTATTCCACCTGAGATGGGCAGTGCTAAAAGGCACTACCACCATCTCACCACAGGTCTCTGCTATGGCTTCTCTCGCTAGTGGCATTGCCACTGGTCCTCACCACTCCATCTCTCAGAGCCAGATGAACTGCCACTACTCTTGGTCCCATGGTCGGTCTTGGTCCTTGATTCCCAGGAACAAACCTGGCCCTGGCTCTGTAATGCATATTCTGTTAATAGTCTATGACTAAAGATACTGAAAAGAAAAGCCTACAGTTTGAAGGCGTTGTTGCAACATAAGTATAAGAAATACAATGGCCCAGATTAAAGAACTCTATCTGCCCAGAAGGGTTTTATACTTGCTTTCCCACTAACAGCATTCCTACAGCCATGCTGCGTGGCAAATAGCTTCTGGAAGTAAATGGACGTTTAAAAAAGCTTTGTGATACAGCATGAGAATGTCAGCTGCTCAAAGGAGAAAGTTCAACTTGGCTGGCAAAAACTCCTTGCCCATGTCTAATTTGCTTTTTTTCAGGGCCTAGTCACAGAAAGCAGTATGCTACTAAGTGCTGAAGGATGTACTATGATGACAAATTTGAAGATTTAAATTTATTTCCCCATTCTCTTTCTCATTCACCATCTATTTTCATCTTCTCAAATTCCCCTCTACCTAGTCTCTTGAAGCTACTTACTTCAGAGACCTGCCCTACACTCAGGGAGGCTACTGTACTCTGAACTAGATGGGACCCTGAAGGCCTATCTACCACATATGAGCCTGTCAGAGAACTCACTGTTTAATAAAGAACTATGTATACTGACCCTTAGGGTGAAAGGTTAGTGTGAAAAGCTTTCAACAACATCTTGTAAAAGTTACAGATACTAGCTGACCATGCAGGAAGCATTCCACAGTGCATAGAAATGCTATCCTCTTCCCTTCCTTTACCAGGCTGTTTACCCTCACAGCCTGCTCTACAGTGGATTGCAGCATTAAAGCAGCAGGCCTCCATCCTGCCTGCTGCTTCTTAGCTCTTGAAGAAGGCAGGGTATAGAAGCCTGAACAAACCCAACGTGTATAAAAATCATTCCATGTATTATGTATCCCTTATTCTGATTCTGCACATGTGCCACCAAACTTATTCTGAATTGGAAACCAGAATTATTGGGGATGCAGGAAAGTGATCTGTTCTGGATCCACAGCAGGCTTTCAAATAACAGTTCCATCTTTTCTTTTTTTAAAGTTTCAGCGTGGTTTTCACTTCAGGTTCAGTTTGATTCTGAGTCACAACATGCATTTTCTAAGGTCTGAACTTTATTTTAGTTACCACAGTTTAATCAAACACAAATAAAACTAATACCTTATTCAGACAACCCCCCAGAACTAGGAATGGGTCACAGGTTTTTACACTCCCTCCTCGTGAATGGATTCCCACCAGCATTTTACAGCTGCTCTAACCAGTTTCCCATAATGTCTCAATTGGGCAACTATTATCAGCACACAACACAACACAACACAACAGCCACATTTTGATGTTATGCTAAACCCGTGAAGTGTGATGTGAACTGGCCTTTGGCAGGAGGAAGAGTTTGGTTTTGAAGCCAAATTGCTTTGCATTTTGAATCCTAAACTGTGATTAATGTTAACTATGGCTTATTTAAACAAGCTGGATTCATAACCAATGGTTAGACGTTGGTCTATTTTAAACAAACTGTTAAGATAACTGCAGTTTCATCAGACAAGATGACAAATGAGCCATTTTTATGCAAAAAAAATGGAAGCAAGCATAAATGCAGCTTTATTTACATTATGTGCTTTATATTTTGACAACTCCAGAATTATGTGTCAGAGATCTCCAAGGACAGAGGTTTTCAGACCAATGGCATCATAGCTGCTGTCTGTAACAGTAACCAGTGACTAAGGATTGTGATTTGTTTCTGTGTATGTTGTATAAAGTGTAAATTGTAGGTAAATGTAAACCTATCTAAAATAATACTGTTGAATTAAAAGGCAGCTAAACTGAAGTCCAACATCTGCACAGATCTGAATCTCTTTACAAGTATTCAATAAAAGCTACTGCTAACTAGTGGAGAGCCAGCAATCAAAAAGTTACTCTGAAATATTACAAAAACTATATAATGTTAAAATCAAAGCTTATCTCATACAACTTTTCAGATCGCTGCTGCTATTTATAATTTAGGAGGATTCAAGGCACTCCAACTAGCAATTTGGGATTAACTCTCATTGGTTTGCTGCCACCATGTGGTAGCACTTTTCATGACATTTAAATAAACATCACTTGTGAATAACCTTCCACTTTTATATGAACCAAGAATCTGAAAAAATAAGTACTATATAATGGATATGAAAGGTATCAAAACAATACTTTCTGAAACTCTAAAGCAGAGGTAAGGAACCTCAGGTCCAGGAGCCAGCTATAGCCCTCCAGGCCACCATGTCTTCCCAGGACACACACGCCTTCACCCTTTACTTGTCCTGCTCCACACTCTCAACTGCCTTAAACTGTGATGACTCTTCTTGCTTGCTTACCTAAATGGAGGATGGGGAGATGTGCATGTAGGAACCTCTGGTTTTTGTGTGGCTGGAACTTAGCCTACCGGACAAAGGCCAGACTCATCTTTATAGTTTCTAGCTGAAAGCTGCCCACAAAGTAATGTGGCCCTCAGGTAGACCCCAATCCTGCTCAAAACTAATGTGCCAAAAAATTACTAAAGATTTTTAATTAAACTACCGGTAATTGCTATTCTCCATTTTGCTACCAAATGGTTTTTAATGCGCAGTTAAAAACAAGAACACACGTTAAAAATTATCTATTAGGCAGATAGGAAAAAGGAAGAGGATTTTCATAATATAATTTATTGAACAATGCCGTGCATTTGATATATGCCCATTAAAAGCTTATATATTGTTTTATATTGATTTGCTTCATAACTGGAATGCATTTATGGGAATCTAATGCCGAAACTACACATTACACGTAGTTCTTCTAGGGCCTGTTGCTTATAAAATAAAACCAACTGAGGTTGCAGTCTGAAGCAGAGGGGAAATGGAACAAGAGACTTTTAACTCTTTCTACTTGTTCCATTTTCCCACCAAGAATTGTCCCTTAGATTACTTTTACGAGGGTGTAAGAAGTTTTTTTTCCAAAGTAGAAAATGAAACAAAGCAAAATGGTTAAGAAACCCCCTCATTAGTCTTCCACTTCACATTGCTACCTTCTCAGCTGTTCTAAATAAAAATAGAAAGGCATAAAATGCATAGAGGCCTCCAAGCACTTGGTGACTTTCTTACTTCCAAGTAAAAGCAAGAGTAGTGTTATAATGGTGAATTCACAGCAGCAGTTTTTGCTTTGTACCTTCTTTCTGACAAAGACTTCTGCTCAGCAGACTCTCCCACTGGTGGGAGGGGAAACAGGTGATTTCTGCCAATAGCCGCTTCTCTCTGCAGCCCCCTATGCTGCCCTCATCTGATTTTCATTGAAAAACATTTAAGACTAGGAAAGGAGGTTGGAAATTGTTTCAGAGGAGGGAGCAAGGAACATGCATTCCCAAGATTACTTCCTGCTTTTCAAATCATGGTTTTCAAGAAGCAGGCATTATGTCTGCACCAGGCTAATATGCTTATTAGTAGCAGAAGGATGAGAATGAATGAAAATATCCTGTTGAGCTGTGAAGTATTAATCTTTTGAATAATGTACTGTTAAGTATGCACATTTGCACAAAAAATGCCATTAAAAATATAGCATATTAACTATGTACACTTTTCCTGCATGAAGGTATTTTATCCACAGGTAATTTTAATACCAACAGTATTTTTACTGTAAGGAATGGCAAACTTTACTTGAATAAGCAAAGGTGATCCTTATCCATTCTTTCCTGAACATCCATACTGGATGATGAGAACAAGTCTGAAGATGCTAACTAACCACTGTGCAGTCAAAGCCATGGGCAATTTCTTTGTAACAACGTCTTACTTGAGTAAGGACATGTTTAGCCACACTTTCAACATAGAATGTACAACACAGTGGGAAGCTCACTCCAATAACGCATATACCCTGCATATCACTGTGACCCCGAAACTGTATATGGTTGCAAGGAAGAGTGACAATAAGCAGCAAAAATATTATAAGTATTTTCTGTCCGTGGTATCTCCTGGTGGGAAAGTAAGTAACTAACATCTATAGCCCTCAGTGCTCCTTTTAAATATTTCTCTCCCTTAGTATCATTCTGATTTATTCTAACTGAAATGTCCTCACAAAAGGGGATTTCTTCAACATTGTGACAACAGGCTCCTGCTTCTTAATTCAAGCCAGGCATATAATTAACCAGCTGTAATTTAAAAAAGCTAGTTCAACAACTCAAATATGCTTTCTCATTCACCATTTGAAGCAATGCATCTACAAGCCAACTTTTGTTAAACTCATTAGTGAAAAGTTCACACAAGTATTATAGGTAACTCACCACTCAGGCCCAAAGTTAAGCGTCTGGGTTTCTGCTGCCATTTTTTAAAAAAAGTTTTAACCTGAAAAAGAAATGCAAGAACATGAATCAGTACTCTTATATCAACATATGATAAGCTAAACTTAGTTGTTCCAGTCCAGACGTTCCCAACTGCATCAACATTTAGAGCTGATATTTTCCCTGCTGATCAGGTGGGATAGGGAGCAGGGGGTGCCTGGAGTTGTTTCTCCCCATTCAGAGGGGAAAGAGGGGCTGTGCCCTCATAGAATCAGTGTTGGAAGTGATACCAAGGGTCATCTAGTCCAACCCCCTGCAATGCAGCAATCTCAGAAAAAGCATCTATGACAAAAGGCCATCCAACCTCTGCTTAAAAACCTTCAAAGGAGGACAGTCCACCACCTTCCAAGGGAGTCTGCTCTACTCAGATATGAGAAATCCTCCTCCACTTATAGGGCAGCAGAGTTGCTAGATTCTCCCAATAGCCCTATATCCACAGCAAGTTCCTGAAACACAGCTTGAGTAATCCACGTACAGAAACCACTTTTCATACACAGAACACCTCTCACTGGCCAAAGGCCAATCTTTCAACTTCTAATAAGCAATTAAAATTGTTATTTCAAAATAACTCTTAACAACTTCAGTAAAATCCTTTATTATTACCAGGGGTCCACAAATGTTGGCTTGCCTTACAAGTCAGATATAATTTGTGTTCACCACCTATGCACCCACTCCCGTGTGTGCCAGAGTACTTGGAGGAGGGGAGCGTCACATATCATGCTGGGCTCTGGAGAAGGCAGAAGCAGCAAGTCTCTCATCATATTTCTTCTTGTTTCAAAGCTCAGCAGCATGACATAAGAAAATCTTCCCATGATTCAGAAGATGGAAGGCGGAATGAATGATGTTATTATATTGAAGAAGGGCCCTTGGCCTTGGCAAATGGATTTGTGGAGGCTTCAATATTACAAATAATATTACTAAATAATTATATTTAGACATTATACATGGCTAACAAAAAGCCACTCATGAGGTTGCTCGCAACAAGAAATACCTCCAGGCAACCATAAAGCGAAAGCTATGAGACTGAAATAGAGTTCTTATTTCCTTCAAGCCATTTACATACTACAAATGACTAACATAAGAATAAGTGGGTGGGCAGTAACTTACAAGATAGACAGAATCAGTGTGATTATTTTTGCTTAAAGATAAAAGCTATGTTGTAAAACAAGCAACTAAGCATCTTCAGAGAGCTTTGGTTTTTGTAGGAAGCAACAATTCTCTATTAAACGCTACAATTTATTACACAGTATACAGTCCACTTTTCTGTTTTAAGTACAAAGATTATTAATCTGTTTTGCTCTCCTGACCCCTGCACATCCTGCCTAGTAAAAACCTCTATTTCTCCATAATGTATGTGTCAGAGAAGGCTGCACGTGATCTGGAGCATTGTCTGGGTGCAGTGATGGACTGGATGAGGGCCAATAATCTGAATTTGAACCATGGGAAGACAAAGGCACTTTGGGTTGCTAGCTCCATGACTGAGACTGGCCAGGTGCCTGTTCTGGATGGGGTTGCGTTCCTCTGAAAGAAGAGGCTCGGAGTTTGGGAGTGTGCCGCTAGATCCATGTTTGCCACTGGAAGCTCAGGTAGCCTGGGTGGCTAGGAGTGCCTTTTACCAGCTACAGTTGTGCATATAGTGTTGTGCACCAAATTTTATGGATCTCCTTTCCAGCTGAGGTCAGACAGACCTGCTTCCTTCTGAACCTCCAGTGCCTATTGAAGGCTATTTTATTCCAGCAGGCATTTAAACTGAAGTTTGATTTTATAGTTTTAACTAGTGTATCATTGTAAACTAAAGACAATTGTAGTTAATTGGTATAAAATAAAATATATTTTTTTAGAATGTTTCCACATTTTGAACTTTAATTATAGAATCATAGAATTGTAAAGCTGGAAGGGATCCCGAGGGTCATCTAGTCCAACCCCCTGCAATGCAATGACTTAAAGCTTGCCCAATGTGAAGAAACACATATTGGAGTAGGGTCCAGAGGAGTGTGACTGGAAGTCTGCTGATGCAGTGGGGCATTCCCAGCTATCCTCTCCTATAGCAGCCTCTTGAATCTCTTGAGGAATTGCTTCCAGTGGTTGAGAGATGTTCTGGAAGGCATGAAATGTGACATAGGGGCTGCAGCAGGAGGGGGAAATCAGAAGAAATGTGGGGGCAGAAGTATGTTTTTATTTCTGCTAGTGACTCTCCGAACAGTAAATCTTTTCCTCACACAGCATGTCCACCCAATCATGGCAACTTCAAACAATTACTGTACTTACACATATGAAAATAGTCACTACAAATCACTTGATATCTCATACTTTTCCCTTCCCTTCCCCAGTCATTTTTCTTTGCCCGCATCCTTTTCAATTCATGCCTCCACCTGTTTCTTTTACTCCCTGCTTTTCAGGCAACTAACCATTCTGTCCTAGTTTCTTTAACAACCCTAACTCTTGGGCAGTACCCTGCCTGCCCAATAAACCTATCACAGCCACTTTTCTGGGAAGAGCATGCAGCCTATTTGTCCTTAGGCTTGGTGTCAGCTTTTCCCAGAGTTGTTGCCCTATTATTAGACCTTTCCTAAAACATCCTGTTTACTCTCTCCTCTTTTCCTCAAGTCTGTCTCTTCTACCTGTCCTTCCCTAATGTTCCCATTTCTCAGCCACTCTACTCATTTCTTTAGACACTCTACCTTGCAAAAACTTAAGAGACCATAAGCTTGATCTCCTAGGATCTCTTCTCATCCAACTTCACCTGGGCCTGTCTTATAATTCTTTTTGCCATTCAGGCTTGTGTGAGGCTTTAATCAAAGCCAAATGGAAAACTCTTTCACAGAAGCTTGACTGCAAACATTCTATCACTGACAGCTTTACAGTGGTACCTCTGGTGGTTCCGAAGGTCCGTTCTTAACCTGAAACCGTTCTTAACTTGAGGCGCACTTTCGCTAATTGGCCTCCTGCTGCCACGCAACTTCCTCTCGCATCCCGGGGCAAAGTTCGCTACCAGGAGCAACTACTTCTGGGTTAGCGGAGATCGTTACCCGAAGTGTTCGTAAGGAGGACGGTACATAACCAGAGGTTCCACTGTATTCCCCGAGTAGAAGTGGCAACATCCATGAATATTTTATGATCTCATTATCTTCTCGAATCAATGACTATCAGGAGTTTTATACCCTGCAACACATTTACAATATAGAAAGATGTTCCACTTCAGACAAAACATGCAATATTCAAAAGAAGAAAAAACAAGGGAAGTTAAAGAGCAGTAGAGAATATATAAAAATATAAAAAAATTGTCCAGTAGCACCCTAGAGACCAACTAAGTTTGTTCTTGGTATAAGCTTTCGTGTGCATGCACACTTCTTCAGATACACTGAAACAGAAGTCACCAGACCCTATATAAGGTGTATCTGAAGAAGTGTGCACGCACACGAAAGCTTATACCAAGAACCAACTTAGTTGGTCTCTAAGGTGCTACTGGACAATTTTTTAATTTATATATATATTTCGACTGCATCAGACCAACACGGCTACCTACCTGAGTAGAGAATATGTTTGCTCAGAAATGGAAGCTACTCTTCCACCAAACACAAAAGGCCACAACCATTCACAAGCAATAGGTTTATTTATGTATTATCAATTCAAGGAGCCTCTCCACAGAGATTCTTGTGCTGAGGGTGGAAGAGCATCTTCCATCTCATAATGGAAAAGAAAAGAAGCCAAATCTCACCAAAAGTGTTGGAAGTGCCTTTTACCCTTCTGTGGTAAGTAAGACCGTGATCATCAGACTGAGAAATCAGTGGCTGGTTGCTGCATAGACCAAAGCCAAAAGCTACCTGAAGGCTGCTAGCTCAGTAAGAAGGCAGGGCACCATAGCTTAGCACCATGGCTGGTGAGGCAGATGCCACCACAGGACGCCTCCTGGATCTCAAGAGGTGCAGAGAAGGAGGCAGGAAGGTGAGCTGGAAAGCAAAGACTCAAACAAGGCTGGATCTATCACAGTGGGGAATGCAGCAGCTGCAGCCTGTTCATCCCCCCTACCATTGGGAGTCAGTTGCTACTTCAATCCCTCTTTTTCAGGAGAAATATCCAGGCAGTGAGAAAGTACTGCAGGATCAAGCAAGAAAGGCTCTATTACAGTAGTAGCCCAGGCCCTAGCCTGATCTCACCCTGGGGGTGTCTCAACCAGGCAGGCAGGCAAAGCACAGTGCTGACTTGTGCTTGGTCAGGCTCATTTTGCGGCAGAGGATGTGCCACTGCTGAAGCCTTCACCAGTTCCTCCTCATCTTGTGCAGGGCCAGTTCGCAGACCCTCTGGGATAACTCCACTAGGAACCACTGCTATAGAAAAAATATATTCAAATCAAATCAAAATTAAAAATGCACCATGGAACAGAAAAAGAGGCAAGAGGCTGCTGTATAATACTGGCTTTGCAAACAGTCACACTAAGAAGAAAAATACATCAAAAACAGGAAGCATCCAAGGAGTGTGTTTAAAGAGAAACCAAACTTACAGAAGCAAAAAGAAAAAGAAAAAAGGAATTGGTTCCTCATTTATACACTGTGCCCAACGCATTTGGCCAAAAAAGCTTTGGCCAAGGGCTTTTTTGTTGTTGTTTTTGACCGAAACAATCTAAGTTTCTGTTGCACATAAACATTCACACCAAGCAACTAAAATGACTTCTGTATCAAGAAGGATTAATTGAAACACAGCGATTTAAATCATGATTTTTAAAGGCCTATTTAAATTACATTTCCCATCAACATTTCTTCATATATTGCCTAAACATTGGTATAAACATGATAACTAAAACATGTACATTTACAACTAAATAGGGTATTATTTACAAAATTTCTTCGTTCTTAAAACCAAGCTTTGCATCTTTTTGTCATGCTGCTTCTGTTTGCACATAACAGTAAGCCGTGGTCTAAAAAAACCCATAGCCTACCACAGACATGAGGCAACTCCAGCCTGTGGGCCAAATTAGGCCTACCATAGATCTTAATTTGGCCCACTGGGCCATTTCTCCCCAACTATGCCCACCTGCCCCATAAGAATGATCATAGCAAACATACTATTATCCTTGAAATTATGAAAAGTACGTATGATAATTGACCAGTCAAATATTGTCAACTGATCATATACCATTTGATTCTGGACAAATACTGTCAAAATTCCTTGCAAACATGAATGTCACCATGTAAGTAGCAGCACTTTTTTGTTTCACTTCATTATGGTGTTGTTTGTTACTTACTTCCTGCCTAGAAACATAGCAAAGTTTCTCTCACAAGTCACCTGCGAAAACTATAGGCACCTTTAAACAAAATCAGGTCAGAAAGCAGACAGCAGCTGCAAAGGTCACCACTGCCTTGGATCATCTAGGACTCTATCTTGCATGCTTCAGGAACAATCTGCATATGATCTGTCCATTCTGTACAGGTTCTAGGGAGCCACTGGACTCCATTTTTTGGTAAATGTTTTATTGTTCCATGGTAACTTAACAAATTTGTTTTTGCAATTATTGTAAGCTATCTATGACTAAACTTAATTTTTAACAACATTATCTGGCAATATTTGACCAAATCTTCTTTGCCTTCTTAAATACCCAGTCCGAAAGAGTTACAGGGGGCGGAGGGGAGACACACACCTTGATTTTATAATACTAAAATTAAACTAATAAGCCAGAAAAGCACATTACATCATATTCTGCATATTTCCACCCTCATCGTTCAGCCCAGACACTGAGATCCAGCACCAAAGGCCTTCTGGTGGTTCCCTCACTGCGAGAAGTGAGGTTACAGGGAACCAGGCAGAGGGCCTTCTCGGTAGTGGCGCCTGCCCTGTGGAATGCCCTCCCATCAGATGTCAAGGTAATAAGCAACTATCCTACTTTTAGAAGGCAGCCCTGTTTAGGGAAGTTTTAAATGTTTAATGCTGTATTGTGTTTTTAATATTTGACTGGGAGTTGCCCAGAGTGGCTGGGGAAACCCAGCCAGATGGGCAGGGTATAAATAATAAATTATTATTATTATTAACACTACTACTACAATATTTCTGAGAAGCACAAGAATAGCCTTTAAGCCCCTAAAAAGCAGTCACAAAACACATGCACAAATTTATCTAGAACATTATGTGCTAACCAAAGGAAAATAATTTCTTTAGGGCAAGGAGTGATACAAGCAAAAACAAACAAACCATGGCTTCATGTTCACTAGAGATCACGGGTCATTAGGGAGAAGCAAACCACAATTTTGGGCTCGGACAGAAGAACAAGTCAAGACTCCCCATAACTGTTAAGTGACTTCAAAGAATTGTAATAATCCACACAAACACAAAACAGTGGTCCTTATGCATGAAAGTATCTCAAAGTTTCCAAACCAATAGTAAGCTTCTGTACTAGCTTTCATGTTAAACAAACAAAGTAGAACTACATAACAGAATGACATAAGCACGTGGGAGAATAGCAACCACAGTGTTTCCTGGATGAGAAACATCCTTTATCAACCCATTTTCATCTGCCTTTAGACAAAACTTCCCACTCCATAGTAGGGCAATACCTTTATTAAGACCAACCAAAATGTCACAAAATAGTGAGTAAGCTTTCAATTCTGCAGAACTCTTCATCAAGCTATATGTTACTCAGATTGGCAGGGGTTGGGGGAGAGAGATTGAGGGAAAGTGAAAGCATGGTGGAATTTATTTGCTTGGAGGGTCACAGGGGAAATTTCAACCTGCTAATCCTCTCAAGACATTTACATTGTAGACCACTACATTTTATCACCTTAGTTGCAATAACTTTCAGCCATCAAAGGGGAAGATCTCAAATATTTACGCTCTTACAGTGGTACCTCTGGTTACGTACTTAATTCATTCTGGAGGTCCATTCTTAACCTGAAACTGTTCTTAACCTGAAGCAGCACTTTAGCTAATGGGGCCTCCTGCTGCCGCGTGATTTCTGTTCTCAACCTGAAACGAAGTTCTTAACCTGAGGTATTATTTCTGGGTTAGTGGAGTCTGTAACCTAAAGCGTATGTAACCCGTATTTAGGCAAATGGAGTTCCAGAACAGCCTTAGGCAATGCCTGCTCAGTGTACTGGATGCCAGAATGCAGCGTTACACAAAGGTTCAGTATTTAGTTATTTAACACTTATACAAAATCACTAAATAAGATTAGTGCGAGTTTTAGAGTGCACTATCCTCACTATACTGGAAACATATACAGCAGAGTGTTAACTAAGAATCCTATCTCTCTATCCAATTAAATGATTTGATGCCATGATCAAGAAGATGAGATTTAGAAGAATTAAGCTAAATCGAGCAGTGGTGGGCAAGCATGATGAGCTTTTAGAGAAGTTCACAACGGGGAACATGGGGTCTCAATCAATCAGATAAACAGTCTAAAAGGAACTCCTGGAAAAACACAATGGCAGCTGTGATCAGTGAGGCCCAGTGTTAGTTACATACGAACTGAAGATTCAGTCTTTGGTAGCAGTTAAGCATGCTTTTGTGGCCCCAAGTCTTGAATGCTAATCTTACTATTTATTTCATAAAATTTATACTCTGCTTGATTTTTAAAAACCTCAAAGTGGCTTACAAAAAGTTAAAACAATAAAACTGAGGGAAAAATCTCAACCATACTTCAAAACATACAAACCTACTAAACCAAATTAAAATTACCTCAACTTTCTAAGCATCTGGATACCATGTCTAAACAAGAATGCTTTTAGAAGGCGCTGAAAAAACTACTGTGAAGACAACTGCTTGTTCTCAATAGGCACTGAGTTCCAAAGTGCAGGTGCTGCCACACTAAACGATTGAGTTCTTACAAATATGGAACGGGTATTATGCGGCACCTGTAGTAGTGCCAATATGTGATCTATAATATGTCATCTAGGTTGGACTTCTCTTAAACTTTTCAGAAGCTACTAATACCACAGCCCAGTGCCTGATGGGTGTGGGGAGAAAGAACCAGTTTTGCAGCAACTGAAGTTTGCCAGCATGTTTCTGGACCCAATTAAGCAGCTGTCATTGGCTTGCAAAACTCATACAGAATGGGTCTATAAACCTTGAGCACATCTCTTTTTACACATATCCCAGGGTTCACAGAAAGGATCCTATAATTGCAAGAAGAAATAAGTTAGCAGCACAATAGAAAAGTGCTTGTCTGTGTTCATCCCAAGGCCCTGGAATTCCCTATGGATAAAGTATATACAAATACCCATCCATGCCTTTTTTCCAGAAATATCTCATGTTTTGTCAGACATTAAGAGGCAGAAGTTTAACTGCTGCTGATCTTAATTATCTATGACAATGCTAAACTTTCTGTGGATATTATTATTATTATGACTATTGTTGTTGTAGGTTATATTTGTTGGGTCTTTTTAAAATAATTTTTATGCTTTTAACACTATACACTATGCTGATCACTGAAAAATGGAAAATCAATTTAGCAAGTGATCCAACTTCTTTACCTCATGACACCCAATTTTCTTAATATTTTGTACACTTGTTGAATGATCAAAACTAAGTTTAAATTTCAAACTTTCATTTTTTTATCTCATCCTGTTTGTGAGTTATGAGGGTTTGAAATTTCAAAAAATTGACAATTTTGGCCTTGCCAGACTATACAAAAACCTTAAAAGCTCAGCCCAGAATTGAGATATGGCAAAACTAATACCAATCTCTTCAGAACATCATGGGCTTTAATATATGTCACATGATGGGTTTACTTTATATTATAAATATAAGTTACAAAATTAAAAATTAAATTTTTTTTTATTATTTAATATTTCTAAGACCTACCTGCAAATTTTCATCTTGGAATCTCAATGGGATCATATTCTAAAAAAATATTTTGTACATACATGTCTGCCTTATTCAGTTCTATTTAGGATAAATGGGTCTTCTTGAGAGTAAAATATAACAGAATAAACTAGACTTCAAACTGTAATATCAGTTACTTAGGGCATTTTTAAAGGAAGTTATTCAATTAAAAGTTATCTGAAAAGCTAGTAAGGCTTTTCTTTTAAAAATGTGTTCCAATGCAGTGTGATAGCTTGATCACTCTTAGTTTTGATCGTTCAACAAGTGTACAAAATATTAAGAAAATTGGATGACATGAGGTAAAAAAATTGGCTCACTTGATATGGAATGACCCAGAAGTTCACTAAGTGAAGTAAAACTACAACAACAGCATCCCAGATGTGAAGTCAATAGCACTTACCAGGAGAGTTGGTGTGGTCAGGGCTGCATGAGCACACACAGTGGGGAATGCCACATTGGTTCCACCAGTGCACCCACATAGCCCCAAGCTCACCATCCCATCCCATCTCCCTTGCAGGCTATTGCTATAGATCCACCTTGCTGGGCAAGCCACTCCTGAAATTCAGTAAAGAAGTAAATGTTAATTCTCAGTTCATATTATCTCAAAGTAACCTGACAAGACAAAATCCATGAAATATAATCTTCCACATGGAGTTCCTAAACATTGAAGAACTGGACATTTAAACAAACTGCCCAGCGAGCCAACCAGTCAAGTAACAGTTGCTCTGGCAAGGATAACTTCAAAATGTGGTTATTAATCTAGGCTTTTTAAAGATAAACTACAGTTAAATAAGTGTGTTTTTTTTCTTAGAAAAAAGGGTGCTGGTACTCACCATGATCCCCCCCTTTTCTCTCTCTCTCACACACACTCTCCTGTCACCCCACAGTTAATTAAAGCTCCACTTTGTGCACACCCTTCTTCAACCTCCCCCCCACACCTTGCCCAGTCCACTCGTCACACCCACCCTCCCATTTCTCCTTCTCCTCCCAGCCACCAGCCACACCATCCACACTCACCCCTACAGCTTGTCCCGCATCTAGGGGGAGAGTGTGCAAGGGGGAATGGTGCAACCTGTTGACTGAGAGCAGAAATACAACCCCAAACAAGGGCCTCCTTTCCTTGCCACCACCTCAGCCTCCTGCTTTTCACAACCCCCTTTTAGTCATGGTTGCTTGCTTGGTCTCACTACCCTCCATTTACCTTACTGCAAGGTTGGGGGGGGGAGAGGTGCCGGTACTGTGTACTGTTGAGTTCTGCCAGAAAAAAAGCACCGGCTAAAACTAATCATAGCTCCTGACTTGAACAGAATGGCAAATTGCATCTAGTATAAAACAAAGCCAAATGCTTCTAAACTGCTCCTTGCTGCCTTACTGCTACTTAGTACATAGTTTGGATACAAGTAGTTTCTGCTGTGTCCTGTTCTCACTAGCTTTAGGTTCAGAGGAAAAGGTTGCTAGCAGACCTCTCCTTTTGTATGTTCTTATATATGTGATTGTTCTTTCTTGTAAAAGTAAGAGCTCTCCTTGTAAGAGTAAGAGCTCTCCTTGTAAGAGTAGCCTTCTGGTCTTTGAATCTGCTTGCTCAGAGGTGGGAACCTGTGGTCCTCCAGATGGTGATGGAATAGAACTGTCATCATCATTGATAACTGGCTATGCTGGCTGAGGCTGATAGCCAATGTAGTCCAAAAACATATGAAGGGCCACAGGGTCCGCATCTCTTCAGGTAACTCATAATACAGTCGTACCTTGGAAGTAGAACAGAATCTGTTCTGGAAGTCTGTTCGACTTCCAAAACTTTTGGAAACTAAAGCACAGCTTCTGATTGGCTGCAGGAAGCTCCAAAAATAGTTTGGAAACTGGAACAGTCACTTCCGGGTTTGCAGCGTTTGGGAGCCAAAACGTTCGAGAACTAAGCTATTCGAAAACCAAGGTACAACTGTATCGCCATGCTTGCCTCACTTCTGCTTCCCATACAGACATGTTGATGCTCATCCTTTGCATCTGGCCACAAACTTGTTTGTCTACCTGATTGGTGTTCTTGGTCCTAATTTTATTGTGCCTCTTGACCATTCTCCCTACAGCCAAAGTCTCCTGCATAGTCTCTGTGCAACAGCTCCTGTAAGCTCATCAGCAAACACAATTATATTAATCATACTGCTATAAATAATGCAAAGGCCATTTATTAGACTAGTATTTTCTTCAGATCAGGTTATAACCACAAAGTGGCTCACTATCCTGAATAAGCTTCAGAAAACAAATCTGTCTTGCCTGTGTCTACTTTTATATTATTTGCTTGGTTTATAATATCCAGAGATGGCCAGCTCCATCTTTAATGGCAATCACCTTGAATGTCCAACAGTTGAACGTGAAGTAAGAAAATCTGTAAGAGCACTGTTTTTGTGCAACTTTGAAACATATTATCAGATAATAAAAAAAACCCAAGATTAACAGTGATACAGTGATTCCAGTTTTTTTAAAAAATTCAAACTGATGGGAAGTGTAGTGGAAATGGATCTCTTCTGAGGAGATCTCTTAAGAGTCACTGAAAAAAACCAACTTCAGTGACAATTACAAAAAGTAATTTTGCAAACTAGTATCCCTGGAAATAAGGTTGCAAACGTAAGACCTACCCTAGTAACCCATTTGCTAAGGGCTAGTAGTAAAATATTTCTGGTCATTTAAGAAATTGTTCTGCTATACCATGTGTTATTTTCCAACTGTAAGTAAACTAGCAATTATATGAATTGAAGTTATGTATCATTTGTTCATAACTATCTTCCAGGTTGCTTGTGGGCATCTGGTTGGCCACTGTGAGAAAAGAATGACGAATCTGACAGGCCTTTAGTCTGAAGCACTAGAGCTCATATTTTTATGCACAAATCTCAATACAACTTCACAGAGAGAATGAATAGTAAGAGAATATTCAAATTAACAGATTGCTATCATGCTGTCCAGAACAGTTTGTTACTTGAGAAATGACCAATATATGTTTAACCAGAGTTTCTACATCTCCTACAACCCCCTGTATTTAGTGGAAGTACGTGTCATTTCTAGTGGCCAGCATATACCTTCACTGTCTTAAATCTCAGGAGTCACCAGATATTATCAGCTTCACTTCAAACACCACTATCACCCCACAGCTTTCCCCCAAAATACACACAACCCTCCATTTGTAAAGCCCTCGTCATGAGTGCCGGTATAATGTTCAACTAACCGGCTCATTAGGCAACAGCTGCTGGAGCCTTCCTTCCCCCTTGGCGTTGACAAGTCATGGCCATGGAGTAGGAAAGTCTCTTTCTACAGAACGAGTTGAAGAGGAAATTGTCGCAGGGGGAAGCACACAGGGACTGGGAATAACTGCACGTTCCTCTGTAGCTGCCAGCCAAGGAGTAAGTCCGTATCACCCGCCCACCCGGACCCAGCAGTTCCTGCCAATATGCCGCATGGAGAAGGAAAGGCCCACAGCTGTCTTGTGTCAGGTCTGAGCCAAGGCAGCTCCTAAACCCTCAGAACTTCCTCCCACCCGCCCAGGCACGGCAAACCACCCAGCAGCCCACGCCACAGCTAAGGAACCCCGACGCCACGCTCAAGCCCGTTTCCCCTCGCCTGCCATGCGCTTCTCCGGACACGAGACATACGGGAGACCGGTGCTCGGCGAGAGGCCTGGGCGTGTTCGCGCGGAAGGGCCGCGACAGAGGGGCAGCCGCTTGGACCTGAGGGGAAAGCGGGAACTCAGCGAGGGGGTCGCGCCCGAAAGGGAGGGCGCAGGACGGCCAGGGGGTCGGTTTACCTGAGGTCGCGGACGGAGAGCCTCTCGGATCCAAAGCCTATCCTCAGCACCGACAACACAAGATGGCTGCCGCGCCGCCACGCAAGGTCATGTGACCTCGCTGCCGTGACTCCGCCCCCTTCCTTCCCCGCAAGCCGCGGACCGAGGAACCCGGAGAAGTCGCGCTCTCGAACGCGGGCGCCAACGGCGGCTCCGTGAGCGGAAGCCGCGCTCCCTCGTCTCCGTCTTCTCGGAACGGCGGAGGCGCCTGAGAAACGGGCCCGTGGTCTCACTCTGTGGGACCTACACAGGGATAGCTAGTGTCTGTGCGTCTGAGTGTTTTCCCTCACACACGGAAAAGGAGTTGCTCCCTCACGCAGAGTCACTAAAACACTCATTAAAAGAACCTCGACCGTCCACAATCGACTCTGAGGGAAGGAACCGAGCCTTGTTCTTGACAGTCCAGAAGGATCATTGGCGGGCAACGAAGAAGACACTTTGATCTGTTGTCACAGGGACACCACCAGCGCCGTGTTTCACTACACGACCAAACACGGGACGGTGTGCGTGTGTTTGTGTCAGTGTCCAGAATGGGATGCCAACCTGCGAGTTTCTTTAAAATTTCTGTGCCACTAGAGGGCATACAATGACAGGAGGAGGAGGAGGCGGCAGAAAAGGGGCCAAAAGCCCTCCTAAATACTGTAGTCAAAGCACACTCTAGTTCAAGAAGCAGAGCGGAGCTTCCTTTCTGGGGCAAATACAGACATTTTTGTCTATCTAAATTTCTGTCTTCCCCTTCTCTCAAAGGAGCACAGGGCAGCAAAGACAAAAGTGATAAAATAATACTTTTAAAAATGAAATGAAAACCATTTAAAACACCTAAACATATTTAAGAGTACCTAAATAAATGCAAAGCAACCACATTATCTGACAGCTAATAATTTTTAAGGTTACCAAGAATAGTGTCTTTCAGCCACCCAATGCCTGGCTGAGTAAGAATGCTTTAAAACCCCTCCTGAAAGTTAATACAGTAATGAGGGAGAGACACACCCACCACCAGGGAGGCTGTTCCATCAGCTGGAAGCCACTGATAAAGATAAACACAGGTGGAAAGAGTTAACCCCCTACCAACACACCCAGCATGGTTCTTTTTTAAAAATAAATAAAATAAAAACATCTAATGATCACACATTTAAGATATTGTTTGGGATCAGGATTTTAAATGATCTATACCTATCATAACTTGTAAAAATAAAGACTTGATAGAACCGGAGAGGACTGCAAGAAGATCAAACGTATCCATTCTTAAGGAAATCAGCCCTGAGTGCTCACTGGAAGGACAGATCGTGAAGTTGAGGCTCCAATACTTTGGCCACCTCATGAGAAGAGAAGACTCCCTGGAAAAGACCCTGATGTTGGGAGGGCACAAGGAGAAGAGGACGACAGAGGACGAGATGGTTGGACAGTGTTCTCGAAGCTACAAACATGAGCCTGACCAAACTGCGGGAGGCAGTGGAAGACAGGAGTGCCTGGCGTGCTCTGGTCCATGGGGTCACGAAGAGTCGGACACGACTAAACGACTAAACAACAACAACAGAATCAGAGATGGGGTTTTTGTACATTACATAAGTGTGAAGATGCAGTATGACAAACTGGGCCTCTCGTCCCATGCATGGTCTCATGTTGCAGGGGCATAGCATGGTGGGAACAAGGGGGCTGTAGCCCCAGGTGTATGATTTTGAGGAGGCGTGAACCAGGCATGCCAACACAGGGATCCCCATCCTGCCCTGCCTGCCACCAGGGGTCTCTGGGCCCCAAAGCCACCACACCCTTGGCCCCCTTGCTGAATGGCCACCCGGCCAGCATCGGAGAGATTCGCCCACCAAGGGTTGCATAGGCTGACCAGGTTCCCCTATGCATGGGCGGTGCAGGGCAGCCTTGTGAACCCTCTGTGCCCATACCCAACCAGCGGCAAGGGCTGGGCACTGGCACAGCAGATTTTGTTCACCCTCTGTGCCCTGCACCTACTCCTGCCTGGTGCGCTCATCCCAAAGGACACACATCAATATGAGGAACTGTTGGAATGATAGTGCTTCAGGCACCACTAGTGTTTGAGGTAAAATTAACCCCTACTAGAAATGGCAGCTTTCTGTGTGTTGGCACTTAATACAGTAAGCCCATGACTTATGTATGGGGTTACATTCCAGGAATAGCACCTACAGCCAAAATAGTGTATAGTCAAAGCACATTGGGTGCAATGGCAGGTGGAATTGCCATTCCCCCCTCCCTCCCGGACACCCACCCTCTTAAAAAAAATTTTTTTGCCAAACACATAAAGCTGTTTGCGCACAAGTTACCGGTAAATATGTGCAAGTTGTGAGTGTACTGTACTGTGAAATTTCCTCTTCATTGAACTGGGTAGCACTGCTTCACTGCACGCTTTACGACATCTGTGAAGGTATTTTTTAATTATACCAGGCTTTCCCAGAGTGAAGTTTGCTGTTAACATACATGAGGTAGATTGTTGCTGTGCATTTGGTTTTCTTAAGTTTCTTAAGTTGTATTATTTCATTTAATTATAAGCAGTTTTGCGGGCCTCATGGCTAAAAGGTGCCCTATATTACTTAGGTAATAAAAGGATTCTCCCTGATTATATGGTGAGAATTTCTCAGTACTAGGAAAACATCCCTATGTTTCAAGCACATTGGCAATGAGCCAGGGTCTGAAGAATCCCTGCACCTAATCTGCTCATTACACCATACTTTACTCCTTCAGTCAACACCAGTGCAATTGCCAAGTTGCCACCTCTTTAAAAGCCCATTAAAAAACTTGCCTGGTAGCATTATAGGTGTTTTCCCTTCACTACCTGGAGACCATAATTGCCGTGAAACCTTCTCATTGGTATGCCATGAGTGCAGCTCTTGGTTAAACCCATCTGCCCAACCTAGTTTTGTATCCTCTGTCAGCACACTGCTTAACTTGTGGTACCACCATAGTTTTTTATTGCTCACTGCTAAAGTCAGGAACTTGTTGAAGGAACTGTGCAGAAGTTTCAAACATAGGTAACACTTCTTAGGAGACACTCAAGGTGTCTAGTCTGAATTTACAATATACATATATATTTATGTGAATTGCCCCGAGACCTCTGGGTATAGAGCGGTATATAATTTCAATAAATAATAATATTTACAGATTTCAGCACTGTGCATTATAGAATACACACACAGTCTAAGGGAAAGCAGTGGGGCAGACAGAAAACTGCTTGGACCTGTACCTAGAAAGCACAGGACAAGCAGAAAACCATTCAAACCCGTGCTTTCTAGGTACAGGAAAAGCAGAAATGTGGATGGGCCCTAATTTCCATATGTCATAGTACTATATACTGCATAATCCTAGCAAGATGGATACTGCTGACATCAGAAGAATACTGTTCCCATGTATGCCTCTTGAGCAGGAGGGGGATTGGAGGCACCGTGTTGAAGGAGCTGTGCTCAGACAGCTGGAGCAAGACCTACCTCTCTGGAGCATTTCTTAAAATTTGTGACAGTTCTGAAACCCTCCAGTAGGTGGTGCTTAAACAACAGGAATTTTAATTAATAGTGCAAAGCTATTAGAATCATTCAATTAAAATGTCCTATGATTTACCCTTCATCCTGTCACTGATAGCCTTGTAGTTTCTTTTTTCCAGTTCAAGCCCCCGTAAAGGCAATTGCAATAGGCAGGGATAGGTTGTTCAGTGCTTCCTTAACTGAAATTTCATTTTTTCCCTTCAAAATAAAGAAACAAGTAAAAAGTCTCTTTACAGACTGACTGCATTTGAATGATCATCTCTTAGCTTAAAAAGTCAGCGTGCAAAGAATAATATTGGCCATGCACACAGTCCCTTCACGTGAGCCACCAAACAAACCAGGAAGTATTCCATTAGCTATGGATCTGATCATTGTACAGTATGATGTTTTCAGCTACTTCATTATACACTACCATTATTTGTTTTTCAGTTGACAGTTTATAAATATTCTTAAAAACAAATAAACATTTCCCTATTTCATCCAAACTAGGAAACAGGTAGTTAAAGGGCTTTGGAACAAGTCAGCCTATTAGCCCGAATCCCAAAGACAAGCAGCCACTCTCTCTCATCAAATAGAAAGCTCAAAATAGCTCCAAAAGTGGCATATTGATCTAGGTCATTTCGCAGGAATTTTACAGAAGATGGCGGGGAGGGAAGTTAAATAGTTGGATCTAGGACATTGCCTATTCATAGACTCTCTAGAATAAGGAGAGGGAACTGTTGGGCCTCTATATGTCCTTGGACTCCTATCAGCCGTGTGGACAGTGGTCAGTGAGAATTGATTTACTACACCAGTAATCACTTTACACTTTAAAAAAGGTCTCAAATGGATTTATAATACAGTGGTACTTCGGGTTAAATACGCTTCAGGTTACAGACTCCGCTAACCCAGAAATATTACCTCGGGTTAAGAACTTTGCTTCAGGATGAGAACAGAAATCGTGCTCCAGCAGTGCGGCGGCAGCAGGAGGCCCCATTAGCTAAAGTGGTGCTTCAGGTTAAGAACAGTTTCAGGTTAAGAACGGACCTCCGGAATGAATTAAGTACTTAACCCGAGGTACCACTGTATATACAATACAATAAAACATATTAAACAAAGCATAATATATATAAAGTAGCAATTATATTAAAAAATACTAAATCCCGGATCGAGGTTTGTATCTAAAATAGTACTAAATCACTCATTGCATTAGTGCAATGATTTTAGCTTGCACCACAGAACTCCGCCCCCTCCTTCTCCCATGAAGGATGAGACAGAATAAAAGGATTTCAAGTTAGCCTCCAGCAAGTTAGAAAAGTTTTATTTGCATAACTAAGCAACAGGGGAAGAAAAATCAAACTTTTGCATGTATAAAAACATTTATTATAAATATTTTAGCTAAAACATGTGATTTTTATCAAATATAATCTGTGGTCTTGCAAATACAGTTTTAAAAAATTGTTTAGCGATTTCCCCACCCATTATTAAATATCAGATGGGCTCCCTTTGTTATTCCACACTCACAGTTTAGTGTCACAGTGTAAAAAGCTAAAAGACAGTGAAAATAAAGTTGAGGATGAGAGATCCAGTTTATGATCAGATGACAAGCTTGGCAAGGAAGAGGATGTTTTCCTTTTCTATACATGAAGACATATACGTATATACACACACAAGTATAAGTTCTGAATATAGTACAAGCTTTCTGAGCAGAGTAACATGCTGCTTTCTGCTTTTGGAATCTATTTTCTCTTGCAAGCAGAACTGGCTGTTTTATGTAAGTGTTAACTCTACAGAAGCTCTTTCATTTGCACCAATGTTTGCAAGAAGATTAAAAATTCCATGGGGTAGGAAGCCACTGTGTCCCCAAAACTGTACTAATCCACTTCACTGAACATCTTATTGATTGATGTTTCCTTGCTTCTTAAAATCCAATGGCTTTAAAAAATAAAAAGGAGAAAGTGGAAAACAGCTATGGACCTACACAGAGAATGCAATGGAATGTGGCCAGAACTTAGCAGTTCTATTTGTTGCTCAAAAAGTACAGTCGTTTGTATACATGGAAAGGGTAAAATTGAATGGTGACTGCTGTATCCCTGAACAGAATCTTTATGAGTTAAAAAATGGCTTGGACCCAGAAAAGCATGAGTAGAGTTCTGCCCACACAACAAGGTTTTCCTGCCACCTCTTTCAAGTCATGGTACCTTGTGTCCCCTTGAAAACCTGCTTGCAGGGGTCAAGGGATGATGGAGGATATGCAATGTGGGGGCTGCATTGGAGGAGTGGGGTGGCATTGGCTTGCACAAGAATTTGAGGATTGAGTGGAAGATGTGCCTGCTATTCACCCAAGAAGCTCTTTGGATCTCAGCCAATATTTACTAACTGGGTTTCCCTTCATTACTGGGGAGCTGTTGTACCAGAAAGCTGTCGTCTTTTCCCTCCACCCCCAATAGTGAGCACAAAGACGGAAAAGAATGATACATCAGGAATTGGGGCATTTATTTGCACATGAAAGGATCGTGATCTGCACCTAGAAGAAGGGTCAGCTTGTTTAGAAGCAAGAAATGGTTTTGTAAAATTCAGGAGGAGTCAAAAGGTATACAGAAAGGAAGCCTGAGGGAAATTACAGAGCTATGACACAGAGACATTCAGAAGGACACAAGGCGTGTTTTCTGACTAAGATGCAAATGGTAAGCACTATTATCAGGTGCTTCAATCATCTGCCTCAGGCTAAAGCATTAGGACATTTTGATTCTTCTAAGCAATGCCTATTACAGAAATAAAGGGGGTTGCTTGAACCACTCCTGGTTTTGCATCCTTCTGAATGCCATTGCGTGTATGGCACCCCCCCCCCCACCATCTAGGTAGGAGGCTCAGAAAAAGAAAAGGCTTCAAATCAGTTTTGTTCCCTCTCCTGGTCCTTCGCCTTGTCAAAGGCAAAACTTGTAAGATTGTACAAAGTCCCTCAGGTGGCCGATAGGTTGCCTCAGTTATTGACTGAATGCAGACTTGAGTTCTCGGAAGGCTGCTCTGCGGTGACGTCTCTCCTCTTCCTCACGTTTTCGCTCATCTTGCTCTGCTTTTATCTCTGCTTCAAACTTACTGGCTGAGGACAAAGCTTGAACCTAGAAATAGAGGAATAAAATTGTAACACAAAGGAAAGATTGAGAGATGGGTTTGTATTACATCTGGGGTAGGGGACCTCTGGCTTGTGGGACAATTTTGGCCTAACAGTGGGTCCAATTTGGCCCATGAGACCATTTCCCCAAACCACACCCACCTGTCAACCAGTGGGTGCCATGGGGTGACAGCTGATGGGGCAGAAATTTAATTCTGTTGGCTAACTTGCCAAAGTTAGTCTGCAAGGGGCAGGGGAGATATATAAACATCTGGCTTGCAGGGTCAAAAGGATTCCTACCCCTATATTTCCATCATTGGCAACTTATTTCACTTATCTAAGACAGCTAGCTCTTAGCTGCCCTACAGGTGCTGTGAGATCACCAGTTCTAGCCAGAGTTGTACACAGTCAGCTTCCAGTACTGACAGACACTTAATTTCCCCTGAACTTGATCTGGGAGAAAGGATGGTGTTTTAACCAAAACCCACAATGGACTCATCCACACATCCTATTAATGCTTGCATCTCCCAGACTAGTAACAAGTTCAGAAGAGACACGTATGAAAAACTATATGCTGCAAACCATCTGAGTCCTCAGGCTGTTAAGCACAGCTATTTCTCTAGCCTGTACGATGTAACTAATACCACAGGTTGCACACCCAATGGTTCTGTTTACATCCAGGTGACCAGAGTCAGCTATCTTGGTGTCAACCAAACACTATTTTAGTTCAGAATATGGTTAAATGCCCTGACTGGTTGTGCTCACCTTGATTTACTTTAAAATGAGAGGGTAATTTAATTTAGGGAGAAAAATATATTGTGACCAAGCACCAGGGGTACTACTATAGAAGAGTTATCAGTACTGAACTTAATAGATGACACTTATCATCTTCCCTTGGTCTTGGCCCATGAGACTTTACCATGCAATTGGAATTATCTGCAGAGAGGGGCAGATCATGTTGTATATTCACAGCACAGCCTTCACCAACCTGATTGCACCTGCTTTCCACGTGCTTTGGACTACAGCTGCCATCAGCCCCAGCCAGCACTGGGCTTATGAGAACTGTAGTCCAAAACACATAGAAAGTACTGGGGTACTTTTTCCACCATACAAAGATTTGGGGGAGGTGTTACAATACCTCAAAAGTAGCCAACAAGATTGACTTGGTGGTGGTGATGTTTTTTAAAAAAGAAAACTATGTGGCTTTTGATTTCATAGTGAGACACAGGAAACGGAACAAGCATTCATTAGATCTGATTCATCCAGTCTCGGTTCCACTTGCACTTTCACCCAATCTGAAACAATTGTACTTTCAGCTTTTAAAACAGCACTCTGGTTTACATTAAAGCAGGGAAATTTCCAGGTGCACCACTTTCCCAGTGTGAATCGTTAACTTGTGCTCTAGGTGGTATCATTGAGTTGACATACAGCAGAATCCGACACATGGTTACTCAGAAGTAAAACTCCCTGTGTTCAATGGGGCATACTTCCTAGGGTGATTAAGATTACAGCCTAAGACTTATGAACCCCTCCATCACCTGATTCTAAGATATGTTTTTCCTACCTTTGCTTCAAAGAAGTTCTTGGCGCCTTTCACTCCCTCAAGAGCGACATCTATTTCGGAAAGTTTTGCCAAAGCCAGCAGGCCACTGTCTTCTTCAAGCTCCCCAGCTGCAGCTTTGTGGAAAATGAGTAGAAACTATACAAGATAAAAAATGGTAATTTAGAAAAAAGTAACAGGATGAGCACTTAAGCCTAAGCTTTCATGACTGGGAGCTGTAATAGCTTAGGCAGGAAAATCAGTAATAAAGTGGTGAACTTATTTAAGACAAAAATATGTGAGACTCATGAATGTGCCAACATTTAATTGTAACGTAAAAAGAGCTATAAGGGATGAATTTGATCAGAGCAACTGAACTGGGGGAAGATAAATCCATTTCCCTGATCTGAAGTCTCTTCCTCACCCGTGCCAGTGCAAAGTCGGTGGGGCAGGAGACCAAAACTGGAGAAATGGCATGTCATCTCCACCCTGCCACACACTCCATTTTTCTAATAAAACCTGGAGCCTTTCATGGTTTAGGTAAACACTTAAATATTAGGAGATCTAATAATGGATTTCCCAAATCTCTTCTGTTTTGTCCTCAGTATAACTTATTTTATATCAATGACCATTTTACTACTTATGTAGATCATCTATATATGAATAATTTGAGTCCAAAGAAGAAACCAAAAGGAAGATAGCTCCACTGCCACTGCTCTGTGCCCACTTACTTGTTTGGTCCTGGAAAATGTAACAACAGCCCTGCTAGATCAGACCAAAGGTCCACAAAGTCCAGCATTCTGTCCTCCCCGTGGCCAAAGCAATGCCTATGTGAAGTTCATGAGCACATGATGACAACAGCAATGCTCCCCACTCAGTACAGTCAGTGTGTGTGTGCATGCGCGTGTGTGCTTTGACTCAGGCCCTTTCACTTGTCAAACAGCCCTATGACACTTGAAGAAACTAGACTGAGCTGGGAAAGCTGGGAGTATATGGAGGCACAAGCTTGTGTGTGACTGGTCTGAGAGGGAGAGATGACTCATGCTGCCTCTCTTCCTAATACCTTGCACCTTCTTCATTCTCCATGTCTCCCCCTGCCCCCCATCCACCCCAAGTTACATTTAAAAGGGTGAATTTGTGACATAGCACTCAATAGCACCTTATCTATCTGGCCTGCTCATTTCTTCAGGCTGATGCTAAACCCAGTTACTTCACCAGATCACTGACTTCTTGAGATGCTAGTGCACCGTGCCCTAGCACTTCTAATCACTCCAGCTTCATTCCTCCTCTGGCACAAGCAACAAGTCATGAAGCCTTGGCTTATCATTATATTCAAACATGGGATGGTGGTTGGTTTCCATCTAAAAAAGGGTGATCACTTTATCAGCATGAAAGGGAGGAGCAATCCCAATTTGAACCTAATAGCAAGCCAAGATTTCATGGCTTCTTGCCCCTACTCAGACCTAGGGGAAGGACCAGAGCCAGAGTGAGCAGGCAAGGTGGCCTAGCATACTGCTCAGTCCCAACACACCACAGCTTACTGCTGTGTGCAAACTGGCCTAGTGGCTCCAAACTAAATAGCACCAATACTGCAATACTCCAACTCTTCTTCTGTAGTCAAAGGACTCATCTAAGGTCCTAAATAGCATAAAAATCCAAACAGGGAATGCCAGTACTACAGTAATTCAGCTTTCAAATTTTGTATGTGTGTGATCAGAGTGGATTTCCATCCTCTGAAAAGCTCACATTCTCTCACTACAGGGCAGCATGCAAGATACCAGAAACTGCATCCAGCTTCTTTCATCAGGAAATTAGGCATCTGGCAGAACCCTTTGTTCCCAAGCTTCCCCCGCATGCCCCCCCTGCAAGCTCCCAGCTGCTTACTAATTCAGCGTTTAAAAAAAACAAAGTTGAAAAATTCCCAAAGTCCCTCAGGGATGGGAGGGGGAGCATTACGAAACTGCTGGGCTCTTTTCTAGCAGCAAATATAGGATGGGTGTGTCCAGCCAAATGTTTGGTAAGTTTTGCTGCCGCAGTGTGCTTGACAGGTCCTTATACTGAATCACATTCCCAGCCTCAACACATCCCTCAAGAGTGACACCACCATGACACTGCCATGACTCACTCCAGAGGCTGAAAACTGGGAAAGGATAGAGGGAAGGGCTCTACGACTGGGCTAACACCCCTCCCACTAGATTCCCCTCTGAGAGTAGCATAATTTTGCTTCCGATACTTGGCAAGTGGCTAAAAGCTTTTCTGCAGCTGGAAAAAAATATGTACGCAGTTACAAAGCTGCCTTTTATAGTGATACATTAGTCCATCTACAATACCATCTACTTTGCCTGGCAGCAGCTCACCAGTCTCTAGCAGAGATCCATTCAACAGAGACCGAGGAAGGTGCCAACCCTGAATCTCTGAGTCCTGGGTGTATAAACTGGAAGAAGCTGGTTTTTAACCTGCTGTGCCCACCTGAGATCTTGGTGCAGGACCAACAGAAAAGGGTGGTGGTGATCTGTAATAATTCTATACCACTTGGCTAGACTTTTTGTCCAGTCCATTGCCAGGTTGGAGGGCTTGTACCTGGTGGTGGGCAACTAGGTCCAAATAAGGATTTGATCACAGTGCCACCTACCTGGCCTGAGATGACAGCGGTAATTATTATGGATTTTCTGGAATCTACAGAATCACTACTTTCTGTTGAGGCTGGCTCAGGAATATATAAACTTCCCCACTTGACCTGTGAAACCATGCCCACCTGCCCCACACCTTATTGTCATATGTGATGTCAGGTGCTGGGCAAGTCCCAATGTGGCTGCAGAGAAACAGGTGAGAGCTGGAAGCGAGCTCTCAAAGGTTCCTTTGTTAGAGCAAGGTGCACTCCAACTTCTGTTGTCTATGCTTTGATAACCTCTTAGGTTAGATGACTGAAGCGTGTTACATGAAGAGGCTCTGGAAACTGCAGCTGGTGCAGAATTCGGCAGCAAGGTTGCTCAATGGGGCAAGACGGTTTGAACATATTACACTGTTCCTGGCTGGACAGCACTGGTTGCAGATTAGTCTGCGGGCCCAATTCAATTCTTTTTGACCTATTAAAGCCTTAAATGGCTCAGGACCTCAGTACCTCAAGGACCGCCTCTCTTCATATGAACCTACCCTGACCCTGAAACCATTCCTCTTTAGCCATATTTTGGGTTGATTAACATCCTATATTCTTTTAAATGTGCGGTTGGGGGAGGGGTGTTACTGGTCTGTTCTTGTTCTTGTTTTTATTATGTATTTTGTTTGTTTTTTAATCTTGTATTTTTATGCTGTGAGCCGCCCTGAGATCTACGGATGAAGGGTGGCATACAAATAAATAACATCGATTAAAATAATAATAATAATAATAATAATAATAATGATAATGATAATGATAATAATAATAATAATAATACTCTGACATGTCAATTACATTCACCACCACTGAGCCATGAATCCTCTCAGTTTCAGTGGTGACCTATCAAAGTGATAAAGAAACAGCTACCATATTGAAAGAAGCCTGGTATAAGCAGCTGGTTTTCCGGCCTGTCCATTTTGGTGACCTTTGTGAGCTAGAAGCTATACACAAACAGATTTAAGATTTATTTAAATAACAGGTCCAGCTAACTGGGAGAGCATCCCATTCACCCTTTCCTCAAACACAAGTAAGCACATCACATGCAGAACAGTCTGTTCCAAACAAACTGAAGCTGCAGTTGCAATGTGGCCAATGGAGATCCCCCTGGCTTTCAGATTTTCTGACGCTTGCTTGGATCACTATTATACTAGATATTACTTCCCCTTGTTCCAACAACACCCCTTCACAGAAGAAGCACCCAAAGGTCTATTACCAGCAAATGTTCTGAGATCCAAGACCCACTCTAGTCCAAGGAATGTCAGGTTGGTCCCTGTAAACACGTTGGCATGACCAGCTTGTAGCAGAGTGAGCAAATACTCCAGAGTCTTCTGCATTGGGCAGGTTCCTCCATTTGGCTGAGAAAGGAGGGAAATATGCTGTTGTACCAGCTGACACAGCCAGAAAAGGCATGTGGGAATGACTCACTAAACAGCTGGGAACAAGTCATAGGTGCAAGTTGCCAAGTCCAGATCATCTATGCGCAGGGGTAGAAGGCATTTGCCATTCTGTGTAAATGGCAAATGATTTGAGCACGTTCACATTGTCCGAATGCCTTCTGGAGAGATTCTTCACATTGCTACACAAACTTTTGGGGACATCATCCACAAGGCGTGGGTGTGTTCAGGTTTTGCAAAGTCGTATGCCTACTGCGTGCTCTTCAGAAAGTAAGTAAAGAAACCCATACATCCAGCATAGTAGCTAAGCCTCAGAGTAGTGATTTAAAGGATGCTTTAGACCACTGTGTGGATGATGGGGCTGAGTCTATTTCCACACAACACAAATTTTTATAAGTAGGAAAAGGGCGGGTCCACATGTATCATATATAAATATTGGCCCTATGTTACTAACAGCAGACACTGATACAGAAAAGTTGCAGGCATATTGCTTAAATGCAGCAACTTTCTTCACCTTGGGATCTGGGCTAGAATGGTGTGGAAGCAATTGGTGATATATTGATGGGTTGATAAGTACAAAATTAACTTTATTAAAACACCTCTTGGGAAAGGTACGGTGGAATAACTAACCATTACAAAAGCAAACAGCTGCACAAGTTTCAGAGGTATGAAATGAACCTCCCTGGGGAATTCCTTTTCCTGTAGCAGAGGGCACAAGGTGCAGCCAGAATCAATATGGAAATAAATGCGATGCTCAACTGCTGCTGGTGGCCAACAGCAAGAGCCACACAGGCAAAGTAATAGGAAGTAAACAGGGACAAGTTGCTTATTTCTAGGTTGAAACTTCTAGTTGGCTTCAGCCTAAACAGAATAACATATTCCCCCAGAGAGCAATTTTGCAGCCTTTTATAGGCTTGTTCCTCAGTTGCAATAGATCTGCACAAATCACTCTTTTCATCTACTTCCTTAATCTTATTTTTAAAATGCAGAGAAAGCAGTTCTAATTTCCTTGAATGTTGCATGTGTAATGAATCATCTTTTTTGTGCTGATCTGCAAGACCATGGTGGGCAAGCGAAATGCTCTCTTGCAAAGCAAGTAACTTTGCACTATCCCCTCCTCCTGCTCTTTTAGCTCTCGTGGTGCCATCATGATGAGAAATAAAAAGTTTCAAACTTATTTCGTGTCAAAAAAAAGTTATTGCTCTTCCATTTCTTTCCCACTGTAAAAAGCATCACATATATGTTATACACTCCATAGTCCCCAGCAATCTGCCTTCATACTGCCTTGCCATATCTCCTACTGCTCAGCTCCCAGCTCTTCTCTCAACACACAACCATTTTGCACCCCAGCAGGGACTGGTTTCGCCAGCCCCTACGCATGCCTTTAGCTCAATCTATGGTTTAGGCTCCCAGCTTTCTGCCCTACCAGTCACCATGGGCCCCAGCTACCACTGTGTGTATGCATATTCATGCATACAGGCGCGCGCGCACACACACACACTTGAAGAATGACACATCCTTAGACTGCATTTCCCTCGCCAATCCTGAACCCAAACAAAATCAGACAGCCATCCCAATCATAAAACTAGCTGTTGAGTGAAAGTGGCCTTCATGAAGACAAAACAGGCCCCTTGATCACTTTTGTAATCTGCATAGTTTGTAATCTGACAAAAAGAAATAAAAGGAGAATGGTTATGACACCTTTCTCAACTTATTTCCGATCATTTACTCATTGTCACAGGTAGGTAACAGGAGAGGCAGAGTTGGAGAAAGCTGTTCTGCCCTACTTGTCCTTCAGTAAGTCAAGATAATACTTCAAGGACAAAGAATGAATCCTCACACATTAAATTAGAGCAGCAGCAGCAAAGCAGGTGTCTGGGTTCCATTAAGAGAGAATTAATTTAGCATAATGACCTAATCAGGGGGTGGTTTGCTGGACGCTTTGGGCATATTTTGAGGCATGTGGGGGGGGGAAGGGCCAATGCCCCACAGCCCAAGTGACCTGCTTGAAAAATCTGTCACCACTGCCACACCTGCTAGAGGAGCAACTGGGCCATCAGGTAGCACTTCTCTAAATGGTGCCTTTTGGGCCATACTTGGCAAACAATATAACATAAAATAAAATATAAGCATAATAAAAACATTAGAACAGTAAAAAGGTAAAGGTACCCCTGACTGTTAGGTCCAGTCTGGACAACTCTGGAGTTGCGTGCTCATCTTGCTCTATAAGCCGAGGGAGCTGGCATTTGTCCGCAGACAGCTTCCGGGTCATGGGGCCAGCATGTCTAAACCGCTTCTGGCAAACCAGAGCAGCACATGGAAACGCCATTTACCTTTCCGCCGGTGCGGTACCTATTTATCTACTTGAACTTTGACGTGCTTTCGAACTGCTAGGTTGGCAGGAGCTGGGACCAAGCAACAGGAGCTCACCCCGTCACAGGGATTTTAACCGCCGACCTTCTGATCAGCAAGCCCAAGAGGCTCAGTGGTTTAGACCACATCACCACCCGCGTCCCATTAGAGCAGTAGTCAAGATTAAAATGTCATTACAGAATGACATCATATATAAACAACAATAATAAGCAGGAATTATAGTCAACAGTATTCCCTCTCTCTCTCTCTCTCTCTCTCTCACACACACACACACACCCACACCCACATACAACCAATTTATCCACCAAAAGCAAAAGTAGACAGACTTTGCCTTGCACCCGAAAAGTAACAAAGGCACCAAGCGGATCTTTCTTGGAAGACAGCTTCACAATTGACATGCAACCATAGAACAGGCCTTCTCTCCAGTAGCCGTCTACCTAACCTATGAAGGTAAGGGAACCTAGAGAGTTGTGCTCAGAAACAAAATGGAAGCCAATGAACCTTTCTTGGGTACTATGTACCAGCTTGGGTGCCATATTCTACACCAGATGAAGTTTCTGAACCCTTTTCAATGGTGTACCCACATATATTACAGCCTGAAAGTTACTAAAGCATGGCTAACAGTGGCTAGGTTATCCCTTTCCAAGAGAAAAAGGTACTCCAATGAAACATTTTGAAAACCTATCCTGCCAAATCATACACTAATGAGAAACAATGTCCTTGCTGATTAAGTGAATGACATGTCCAAAGATGGTACCATTGGAACTCTACTCCCTACAGCAGGGATGTCCAACTCCCAATAGACTGTGATCTACTCACAGTATTAAAAAAATGGCAGTGGTCTACCCATTGTCATTGGATGGACCAAAGTTGGAGGCACTCACACTCAGAAAGGATTACATCAGGCAACCCCAACCTTGGCCCTCCAGCTGTTTTGGGACTACAACTCCCATCATCCTTAGCTAACAGGACTAGTAGTCAGGGATGATGGGAACTGTAGTCCCCAAACAGCTGGAGGGCAAGTTTGGGGATGCCTGAATTACATTTTCTGGCTGTTCTGCCTCTTCAAGCAAGTGGAGCTAGACAATACCCATGTGGTAGTGTCTTAGTGCACACTTGAGAATGCCCCCTTCTATACCTACTGCTACGAGGGGAATAATTTATTACAATGTGGCCCTGAACCCCTGAAGTTGCTACAAGCAGGTGACGTTTGCAAACCGTGACATGAACAGCTGAGTGTAGTGTCACAAGAAAATAAAATTGTTCAGAATTAGTTCAGCTTTCTCTTGATGAGGAAAAATAAAGGCAGAAGTTTTCATATAAGAAAAATGAGATGATTATTTCTTAACTCTTCTACCTGCAACATGGAAAGTCTAGGTTAAAAGTTCTTCTGGCCTTCAAGCCTCAGACTTTCAATCCACATAGCTTGTGCCTTACAGGATGCAGAGGATGTCTCCATATCTAGCATCATGCCACAACACCCGAGCCTGGGAAATTGCTATCTGGTGTTCAACAAGCTGGAGTTTTCCACGGAGGTTAAAGCACAGCTGCTCCAAACAGCATAGGCTTGAAGGAGGAAGTGAGTTGGTGAAGGGACACATTCGTTGTGATAGCAGAAGTTCCACATTTTTATTCCCCATTTGGTTTTGCATTACATTTTATTTTCTGCTGACATTTACCTCACGGAAGCTGAGTTTGCCATCAAAGTCTTCATCCACTTCCTTGATCATGTTCTTCAGGCCCAGATGAGTCTGAGGTGCCCCAAGCTTCTCCATCATCAGCTTCAGTTCCATAAGGTCAATGTAACCATCCTTTCCAGAGTCATACCTTAAAAAGGAAGGGGAAAATGAGAGACATGAGAGATGTCAGAGAGACATAGCTTTGTAGGCTCAAAGGCCTTCAGTTTAAGGAGTGCTCAATGCTCCCTTGTACATAATGTAGTTCCAGCTAGTCAGTGCTGTCTCAAGACATTTTGGTGCCTGGTACAGATCCCCAAGAATGCTTTTAAAAGTCTCACTGGCACCATTCAGGCACAAATTCCTGCCTTCATCTGTTTACCCACTCCATGGTGCAGCCGGAAGGTGATCACTTCGCACTGCCACATGGCAGGGCCAGACTTGAAATAAGCTACTTCCAGAGCTCTCAAGTCTGTCACAACAGAGCATTCTACAGAGAAATGTAGGTTTAGGATGTCCAGAAAATTATCTGGCACAGAAATTTATACCACTGCCCATTTAAAAATACAGTCAAACCTTGGTTCTCAAACGGCTCTGTTTTGGAATGCTTCAGCTCCCGGACATCAAAAACCAGGAAGTAAATGCTCCGGTTTGAACGTTTTTTGGAAGATGAATGTCCGACGTGGCTTCCGCTTGAGTGCAGGAAGCTCCTGCAATCAATTGGAAGCTGCGCCTCGGTTGTTGAACGTTTCAGAAGCCGAACAGGCTTCCGAAACGGATTACGTTCGACAACCAAGGTTTGACTGTACCGTCTTTCCCCAACCTGCTTCGCACCCCCAGATGTTTTAGATTAAAACACCAGAGATCAGAGATGTAGTCCAAAACATCTGGAAGGGGCAAGTTGTGGAACGATGTTTCAAATGGATGAGACACCTATTCAGTACTATCCAAATGTGCTCATACTTGATGTTTACTAATTTCTAGTGTAACTTCTATGTAGGCAGTCAAGTGTGCAATCATGGACCACAGACGACTTGAGACAAAAGTAAGTCAGATATCCACATAGTAAATATGTCTTGGCTTTAGAACCTATTCTTTTGAAAAGATACCTAAGAAGTGGGCACTCATTTCTGAAAGGAGTGGCTGAGATCCCTTCAACTAAAATATTAACAACATTGATGTTGAAATGCATTTTCCTTTTATCAGCCTATTACATTATTCCAAAGATATGAAGCGCCTTTTAACGGCAAGTGTCTGGCTTCTGATTGCAAAACATGTGCTCAATAGCATGTTCAAACACACACACACACACACACACACACACACACACACAAACAGCTGAACTCAATGGCAGTGAAAATAGGACTGGAATCTAAAATTGGATAGCACAGTTCCAAGGACAACAAAGGAGCAGTTCATATATATAAATATATATATGGATGGTTCCTTATCATGGGGGATGGGGGGGATGGGGAGCTGAATAATTACTGAAGCTTCTCTGTTCTGTGTTATCCTCCTAACTCTTTGCCACTCTCGCCAATATCCGGTTGCTGCCTTTTTTAAAAAAAGAAAAAGAAATGAATCCACAAGGGCAGAAACCCAGTTTTGCAGATAGGAAAGACTAATATAGAAGGAATAAAAAAGGGAGCAAGGAGCAATTAAGAGGGCCAAAGTGTGTGTGTGTGTGTGTGTGTGTGTGTGAGAGAGAGAGAGAGAGAGAGAGAGAGAGTGTGTAGGGGCTGGGAACAGACACTCCCCCCTGCCCAGTATAGAAACCAAAGGGGCTGCTACAGGACTCCGACTCCTCCTCTGCCCTGGGCTCCTTCAGAAGGGACAGAACTTATGGGCTCTCCTCTGCCAGTCATCAGCGGACTAGTAAAAACAGGTTGATAAATTCTGACAGCTTATTTACAAGGCTGCTGTAAACCGAGGTCATTATAACCAGAAACCCAACAAACAGTGATAGGTACTTGGAGCAGAAAGAAAACTTTAAGTCCCTTTTCCTTAGCATGACACTCCACCTATGGGGATAGGGGAATTGAAGCAAGGCAGTGCTCACAGAATCATAGAGTTGGAAGGGTCTCCAAGGGCCATCTAGTCCAATCCCCTACAATGCAGGAATCTCAGCTAGATCATACATGACAGGTGGCCATCCAACATCTGCTTAAAAACCTCCAAGGAAAGAAAGTCCACCACCTTCCAAGGAAGAACGTTCTACTGCCCATGTTCAAGGCAAGGCTATAGCAGTCAAGTGGATTATTATAATCTAAGGAGGACTCAAGCACTTCCACCTACTTTGTTTGTTTCTTACCTGCACTTTGCCATGAGGTCTCAGGGAGGTTTACAATGATTTAAAAATACAGTATTGAAATCAGTTAAAACAAATTACAGCCACAATTCCAGCAAAGATGGTGGGCACTGCTACGCTCCGACGTCAAGAGAGAACAGATAGCGTACTAAAAAGAAATACATCACGGGGAGTCACAGCCCAGGATAAAAAGGTATTTCCACAAACATAGGCTTACTAAAGGTATTCTGGAACCTTGGAAGCTGCCTTATATGAAACCAGAACACTGGGTCCATCTGGCTCATTATTGTCTCTATGCCAGAAGTGAGGAACCTTTGGCCCTCCAGATGTTGCTGAACTAGAACTCCCATCAGCCCCAGCAAAAGGATAGCCTAGCAGTGGTGGCCCTCTAGCTGTTTTGGGACTACAATTCCCATCATCCCTGACCATTGGTCCTGTTAGCTAGGGATGATGTGAGTTGTGGTCCAAAAACATCTGGAGGGCCAAGGGCTCCCCATACCTGCTCTACACCGACTGGTTGTCACTTTCCAGGATTTCAGATGGGAGTCTCTCCCAGCACTACCCAGAGATGCCTGGGGACTGAACCTTGGACCTTCTGCATGCAAACAGAGTAAATACTCTGCCACTGAGCTACAGCCATTCCTCTAGCTCAAAGCAATGTTCTGAGAGCTGCCCCTTTTGAAAAAGAGGGGCTCGGACGCTGCTGCACAAGGAGGAAGGCAACTTTGCAGGAGGAGCAATAGCTCCACAGGGGTTAACCGAGTGTACTCAGGATTCACAGCCACCGGAGCAAGTCTCACGTATCTGTCATTCCAGCACACAGGCAGTACAAAGCAGGGATTGTGAGAAACTGGGTCTTGCCAGCAATGGCAAAGCAATGCACTATCCCGGCCGTACAATAGGAGTTTAGTGCGCCGTGCCAGAGACAGCCTTCAAAGCACAGCTTCCCAAAGTTGTGCCGCCTCAAAAAGCAGAGTGGCTATGGAATACTCAATCTGTTCTCAATTCAGCAGGACCTAGGAAGCAGATGAAACAGCTCAGCACAATACAAAAGGAATTAGAGGGAGATAATGTTTCTCCTCCTCCTCCTCCTCCACTGAGTCCTGAGAGGCAGCACTGAGACATTTAAATGGGGGGGTGGGGGGGGAGAGAGAATCTCGTTCTGTGGGTGTGGAGCAAGAAAGACAAACTTGTTTTTCCAGAGCAGAAAGAGCTCAGCACAAATTCCTGCAGGGAGTGAAGGTTGCATCACATTGCTGGCCTGCAGCATTCCCCACAAAGGGAGAAGTTGTTTTAAGGCCCCACGCTCGGCCATTCCAGAGTGACACGGTACCAGGCATTATGATGATCCTACCACACCAGTGCTGCATCAACTGTCCATTTCAGGCCTCAATTCAAAATGCTGGTTTGGGGGCTAGCATGCCCTTCTTCAAATATGCCTGCCTAGATACTAAGACTTTGATATCTGAGGCCCTTATCTGGGTATCCCTGCCACCCCACCCAACATGCAACAGCTAGCTAATGGGAAAGGACCATTTCTGTGGTGCTGCCTGTTAAAAGAAGGTTCTCCCCAGCAAGGCTTGCCTGCCACCTACATTGTCATTTCAGCATCGAGCAACATCTTACTAAAATTCTTCCAGGCCTTTTAATCTAATGCAATGCATTCAATCTCTGCTGGCAATACTATGCTTCTTTTTTATAATATGCTTTTAGTATGTTTGTTTAAATTATAGCTTCTGATTTTTTTTATATATTTTTTTATTTTGTAAGCTGCCTGTGAAATTGTTTGAAGGGCAAGGGGGGTAGAAGTTATAATAAACTAATTTGCAACACCCTTTTACAGGAAGCTGCATGTATAATTTCAGTCATATAAAGAGGGCAGAGCTTCCCCTAGAGCTTCAGTTAAGCCTCCTATGTTTCAATCAGTACCATGGATGAAATCTACATGTTTTGGAAAGTTGTTTTGTCTGTCTCCTATGTATTGAACACCTCTTAAGATATCATAACCAAAATTTGCAAGATGGTTCCCAAGATCAAGGAGCAGAGTTTCCACATAAGTTTGGATACAACTGAACATCATTTTGAATCAAGATGGCAGACTGGACTTTTCGAAAATGGACTTTTCTTAGAATTCCTGAACAACATTGGGTACAAGGCCTCTAGTAAGTCATACTGCCCTGAGCACCTTTCCTTTGCTAATGCCATCTTTGCCCACAAAGCATCAAGCCAATTCTAATCTCAATTTACGTGAAATTACGGTAGTTGTTAAGAAATATTTAGGATTCTAAGTGCCAGCATTTCCAAAGCCAGCCTCTCTTGAGGGATGTGACTGACAGTGCAATCCTAAATATCTCTCCTTAAAAGCACATTCTGAGTTAAATGGGACTTACTCCCAGATTAAGTGGGCACAGGATTGCAGCCTAAATTTCTTCTCGTAGGAAAAAAAGAGCCAGAATTAGGGGAGCAAAAACTGCTGGCATCAGTATAACATTGTAAGGAATGCATGATGCTTATCTGTATAATTTGATGGATGAAATGAAATTTGAAAAGCAAAATGTAATTTCTTCAGTGCTAATAATGTAAGGCGCCACACCAAAAGATTCATGCAGACCAAGCTACAACATTGTTGCAGAGATAGCAATCAATGTGTTAACATTATGTGAAAAAAGAGGGCTTGACCCAGTTCAACAAGCTCCCAGTGATAGAGAAAACGCAGTTAGAAGCCACATGTCCTTTTTGAATATGTTTGTAAGGAGTGTGTGAGAAGCCCTCCAACGGGGACTGATGAACACAACGGCTCAAACTGTATGTCCCACTCTAAAGATGGAGGCCAAGGCTCCATCCAAGAGAGTTGCTTGTTTCAGATGTAACAAAAAAGGACACATAACCAAATTTTGTGAAGCCCTAAAACTAACGAATTCCCCTTCATTTAAGCAACCAAATCCCAAGACACAAGGAAATCAAGATAAGGGGAACAGGGCAAAGAAATAATTTTATTTTTATCCCCCCTCAAAAAAAAAGAAGAATCTAGTTGTAAACAGCTGTGATACAGTATCAAAGGACTTAGTTTCATCAAGTGTTTTCTTCCCTCCCTTATAAAGAGATAAAGCAATACTCAAAGGAAGTTGCTATTATCTTGGATTTTCAGTGATAGCCCAAACAGTTGTACTTTTTTTTTAAAAAAAAATGACATTAACACAGCAACTATAAAAGACAAGTCATTTTTTTTTTAAAAAAAAATGTGATTATGATTGTAATGCAAAGGACAAAAAAGTTGAGACTATGGGGATGGATGGATGTCCATGTATTTGCAACTGCTATCAGATGGCACTAGGACTACGCAGGCACTGAACAGGTGGAGGAAGAAATGGAACATTTGCTGTCTCTGCCTCCATTGATGCACCTGTTGTCTCGGTCCTCCATGTGGACTCAGCAGAAGTGTGAAAGGGGCTGTATGTATATAGAACTGTACACACATAGGATCCGCTTCCATTTGATCAGGATCCCCAATGGCACCAGAGTTCCTTAGCATGTGAAGACGCAAATGCACTTAAGTTGTGTGTGCAACAGCCCATTTCAAGCTACACTGAAGTCTGGAACATGATCCCACTCTAGGAGTTCAGAGAACCAGAGGGAACGTCTGCACAGTCCTAAAATGACAGTGAAAAATATAGGCTGCCACCTATACAAGGATATTATTGGCTTCGGAGTATTTGACTGCAGTACTTACCACATATTACTTTGAGAGTCGAATGGCCTAACCCTAGCATGACAGGAGCAATTAGAGGTATTCCTGCCTCTTGCCACACTGACCACCTCATAAACGAAACTGAGCTAATGAAGCGTTGTTGCAGGTATCAGCAATGCAAGACCTGAAGGCAGACTCACAAGCTCAATCTTCAGAACTTACTGTAACTAGCAGCTTGCCCTGAGCAGAAAACGGTTTGAAGGTGAGCTGCAATACTCTGAAGAGCTTCTCCAAAACTGTGAGGAACAGGACCATAATAGTTTTGGAAGACTTCTCATCCTGAAACAGCCAGCTAATTACAACACAGACTGGAAACACCAGAATCTCAAAGAGTAACCTGCTCCACATAAGAGAGCTGCGAAGCAGAGACCACTTGAGATTGTACCTGGGTAGTAACTGCTCTGGGACGCGGGTGGCACTGTGGGTTAAACCACAGAGCCTAGGGCTTGCCGATCAGAAGGTCGGCGGTTCGAATCCCAGCAACGGGGTGAGCTCCTGTTGCTCGGTCCCTGCTCCTGCCAACCTAGCAGTTCAAAAGCACGTCAAAGTGCAAGTAGATAAATAGGTACCGCTCCTGCGGGAAGGTAAACGGCGTTTCCGTGTGCTGCTCTGGTTCGTCAGAAGTGGCTTAGTCATGCTGGCCACATGACCCGGAAGCTGTACGCCGGCGCCCTCGGCCAATAAAGCGAGATGAGCGCTGCAACCCCAGAGTCAGCCACGACTGGACCTAATGGTCAGGGGTCCCTTTACCTTTACTAGTAACTGCTCTACACAGTTAGTGTGCAGCCAACTGCTTCGCAATTCAAGCCAGTATGCAAAAACAGATTGCCAGGCAAAGTAGATGCTACGTGGATGCAGTTCTTAACAGCTTTTTTTTTTTAAGTGAGCTTTATGTGATAAAAGCCAAATACAGCCTGCATGAAATAGTGAATATAGAATCAGGCATATTCATTAATTTCATTTCACATTTGTACAACGTTTGATTGTAATAGAACCTCAAAGCATAGACCATAGAGGTGGGAGATCGTATCCCACTTGATCAGGGATAGCTCAGTTGGTAAAGCATGAGACTCTTAATCTCAGACTTGTGGATTTGAGCCCCACGTTGGGCAAAATATTCTTGTATTGCAGCGGGTTGGACCACATGGCCCTTTTGGTCATGTCAATTCTATGACTGTGTATGCATACTGGGTGAGCTTGGGCAAACCAGCCCAGCCTTGTGACAGTAAAATGAGGGGGTTGGGGAGGTCTGCTGCCTTGAGCTTCTCAGAAAGGTGGTGCAAAAATGTGGAAAGAAGGAGAAATTACTACAGCACTTGTCAAGAACGAAGTGAAATACACCAGGCTTCCCAGCCTCACTCCTCCTACCCACCCTCCAAAAGAATTCCCCAGCATATGCCTCCTACATATCAGCAGACATTTGTTCTAGAAATAGACATATGGTTTAGAAATTCCTGTTGGTTCTTACTGTTGATATAAGAAATGAGAAGGCTGCTGGTCTAAGCAACAGCTACTAATTTTAACCAACAATTAAGGTTGGCTAAAGTGTGCTCTCTTGTAATGTTCCAACATCAGCAACTCGGATTTCATTTCATGCGCTCAATGTTGTCAATCTAGAAAATTTAGAAATACCTTTCTCTACTCTCTGTTTTCGAGGCTAGACATTTTTTGTTTCCAAACATGAAAAAAAAATCAGTGGCATTTTTATTTTATAAATTATCTTATTTACTGTATTAACTATTCATTAAGGACCAATTCTTATTATGATTTTATTGCAGTTCCATCAGCATGGAATGTGCTTTACAGAATACAAGAGCCCAAGTCCAAAGAGTTTTTAATCTAGAATGCAACATGGGAAAACAACACAGGAACGGAAGGGGAACTGCTCTAAATTGAAGACTCAAGAGCTTAGCAAATCTCATTTAAATAATCACCCTTAATACACGGAACAGATACCTGTAAATAATACATGAACTTAAACTATGTCAAGCTTCAAGAGCAGCAATATAGTATTCACCAGAAGTATACAAATTTTACACTAGAGAGTCCATTAACAACCGGAGGCATACCTAGGGGATGGCAAAACCAACTATCAGATGTATTCCAAATTAAGGGTGTCTAATTAGAATAACAAGAAAGAAAGAGTAACACTTAAAAAATTACAAAGGATTTGGATACCTGGGCTGGTCCATTTATATACATACATTTGTGTTTGTTTCAGGTGGATGTGGGTGTATAAATAGTCAGGCAGTATCTTCATTAGGACCAACCAAAACATCAAAAAAAGTGAGCAAGTTTTCAGGCTCTCCAGAAAGCTTCATCAAGGTAGGTATTTTGAAGAATATCTAGCTTTGTCTTGCCAACCTAGTGCCCTCCAGTTGTTTTTCCAAGTACAACCTATCTAGAGGGCAGCAGGATAAGGAAGGCTGTTCAAGCCTGAGGTGGAGTTCTGGAGAGCTTGAAAGTTTTCTCACTATTTTACGATGTTTTGGTTGGTCCTAATGAAGTTGTTGCCCTGCTGTGGATCTAAAGAAACGCTGTCTGCAGTGGAAAAAGTAGATTAAGATACCATTCCCAATCCCAGCCGAGCCGGCATTCTAAACTAGCAAAAATTGCCCATGAATTCTAGCATCTAGACTGTAACTCCTTTCACAGCGAGGACTTTTGACTATTTTTCAGTGCTTGCAAAACATCTGGAAGTGCTTGGAGGATCAACTACAACTTCCCTTTCTCCAACAGGCTGACACAGGAGGATGACTGATTGCAATGTCATACCACTGCTCCCTTCCTGGCATGTACTAGTGCTGAAAAGAGTCAGGCTTTGGGTGTGCAGATCTGGCACATTCCCTATATAATTAAAGAGGAGTGTTTAATCAAAACAGAAAAGTTAGTAGTAGTGGTGGTAGCAGCAACAGCAACAGCAAGCCCTGCTCCACTCTTTCATACAGTGTGTTCCCTCTCTCTCTCCCCCACACACTATCCTGCAATAATTTGACTGAAGGAATGTGCAAATCACACCAACAGTGTACAGAGATTATTTTCAGAGGCTCTCATAATTAAAATATCTCTGCAGCGGAACCATCACTGTACAAACCTATCCCTTCTGACTATTGCACATGGCAGTCCATTGGTATCTCTGGCAGAGAAGAATGATGGATGAGGTTTTAAAAAGAGGCACTTCCCTTTTCGGTTGGGGACTCCCCCCCCCCCCGCAATCTTTCTTGCCAGATTAACACAGCAGTAAAGAACTTTATACTACCCAGAGCAGCTGGCTGAAAAGGCACAAAGGCAGTGGTCTGGCAGACAGGGAAGCAAGCCACAGCACAGCTGGATCACAGCCAAAGATAAAATCAAAAGACTAGGTATCCCTTCAAGTATATGCACTAACAAAATTGGGGGGGGGGGGAGACACGACGACTCCCATTTCACAGTCTACACGTCACCACCCCCACCCCAAGAGGGTATATTTGTACATGCTAGACAGCAGGGAACAGGTCTGCTTACTGAGTGCAGTAAAATTGTGTAAACACAACACAGATCAGTCAAGTTTTGCTGCAATATTTACACATCATGCCAGAGCCAGAAAGGCAGGGTGGCTGTTTTTTTTAAATATGGTCTTGGACAGGATACACCCGCATTGCTCTGATAGGGGCAGTGATTTCTCCTTACTCCTTTAATTTCTTGCCAGTCAAAGAGGATGAACATTTTAAATCATCAGAAGAGAGTAATTTTCTTTGGCGAGAAGCTTGAAAGAAATCAGATCATTCAGGCTGAATGACTTCCACTAACAATTATAGATTAGTGATGCCCACATATACAAGCCAATAGATTTGAACTTCTCTGGGATTCTGGAGGTTCAGGTTCCCAGATTCTGATATTTGGAAGTTGTTTTGCATGCTGATGCTTCTGTCGAGAAAACACGCAAAATGTAACATATATCTTCCCCATGCAAGCACCTGGAGAAGAATAATTACAAAGCCATTGCGTTATTTTCCTAGTAGTATTAAGATTCAACATTGATTCACTCCTGCATATCCATCACTTGTTACTTTTTCAGATCATTATTACTTTAAACAAAAACAAGAAACAGATTCAGAAAAGTATCGTAGCCATTCTTTACAGATGAATGTGTTGTTTTTTTAGCAATGAATATTAAGTTGTCAATGCTTCAAGATGTCATCCTTCCTTTGCAGAGGTAGGGAGATGGCACCCCCTGGCCTAATTCCAAATGGATGGCAGGTGGGGGGGGGGATAACTGTAGAGATAGAGAAAGCAGGGTGCACAACTGACACTTGGTTCTGGCCCCACCCAACATTAATAGTAACCATCGTTTAGTATAATACGTGAAAAAAGACTTCGTCCTCAGCTATGGTTAAGCAGCCGTCACCCTCTAAAAGCTGCAGAGTAGCCTATAATGAGGAAAACAACAACAATAACAACAACAGCCCACCCTGAAACTTGGATGCTTTTTCTTGAGCTTTTAACTATTCTGTGGTGTAGCAAACCATAGCTGAAGTGGTTGTCTGTCAGACACCTGAACTTTAATTATGGCTTATCAACCATGGTCAACAATGTCTGTGGTTTAGCATCAAATGTAAGCCAACTTGCCATCATGATAGCCACCAGCCTGGACAGCTTTAAAGGGGGTTTAAACAAATTCATGGACAAGCCAGATGTGTCTTTTGCTGCTGTGCTACCCTGCAGGCCCCCTCAATCACCTGGCCAGGCAGGTGAAGATGCTAGGCACCAAAGGTGGTACCTGGACATCTCCATCCAGTCGCAAAAGGCCAGTTGCCAGTCACAAAATGTGACTGCTGCCCAGCTAATTTCTGACTATCCGTTGCTAAGAATCCTGAGTAGCAGAAGGCTATGGACTTCCCATAGGTATCTGGCTGGCCACTGTGAGAGAACAGAAAGCTGGATTAAATGGAGTTTTCGTCTAATCTAGCGAAGTTCTTCTTTATGTTCTTATGATCTGAAATCGCTCTTCTGGATGACTAGCAATGTTAGAACTAGAATGTGCTTTATTATGTTGACGTGCAGGGAGCAAAAGGAAATATTCTTCACAGCACACAATTGGCCTTTGGAGCTTATTTAGTTTGTGGCAAACAGCCAGCACTAGAGCTGGGTTCAAAAAAGGTCAAAAAGAATGAATGAGAACATTGAATGCTATTAACCAAGATGTTCAGGGCAAAGTATCCCACATTTATTCACTGATTGTTGAAGACAAGTCTGGGGAGTGGGGAACAGCATTTCCAGATACGACCACCTGAGACTAAACTATTTTGTTTGTTACTTCTGCTGTCAATCGCTTTTCCTACACTAAAGCATAAAGAGTTGGTCACTGGCTTCAGTAGACCACCATGGAGGTTCTGTAAAACTGTTATTAAGTGTTTAAATACAAGTTGGTATAATAATAATAATAATTTTATTATTTATACCCTGCCCATCTGGCTAGGCTTTCCCAGCTACTCTGGGCAGCTTCCAGCAGAATATAAAAACAAGATAACATAGATGTCATTAAACAAAAAACAAATGGATGTTGGACTCTGAAGCCAGCCAAGTTTTCTAAAGCTAAAATTCTGCTGTGTGCATTTGTCAGGTTTTCTGGCAAAACTGAGGAAAACCCTTTTCCGTAGAATCCCCACGCTGAATAATAATTGCTTTGTTTTCCTAGGTGTTATTTGATCTGGAAGACACTCATAACTATTCTTTTCCCTCCTGGAATTATCCGCCGTTTCCCCACCCCAAGATGATTTTGTTTAATTAGCCGCTGTGCCTTCTACAATTTGAAAAATGGTTTTATTCGAAGGTAAAGGCGACTGTGAACAAAGCTTATCTATACCTAATTAGGGCTGAACAAAGAAAGTTGCATCAGCAGTTGTCTGCACTGGCAGATCTCCCCTGTGTGCGTCAAAGAAGCCTCCTTCCCACATGCTATAGTCCTTGAGGTCTCCAAAACCCAACTCAACCAGCTCCTGAGCTTTCTGACAGACCCAAGGTGGGAAGCCACGCTTGTAGTTGCTGTGTTTGTCCTGTTGACATATGAAGTGGGGGAGAAGTTTCTTCATATTTATATCAAAAACACGCCCCTCACCTGCCTTCCTCCCCATTCTCAGTTGCTTCCATTGCTTCTCTCTCTCTCAGCTCTGGCATCAGAGCCAGGCTGGGGAAAAGGCATATAATAAGGAGGTAAGCTGGAGGAAGGGGAAAGGTTTAAGCCTCCCTCACCTTCACCACACATACCCTTTGAACCTACAAATGAAGATGCCATTCCCAATGTTATACACAACTAGAGCAGACACATCAACAAACAAATGTGATAGACACCTTCAGCTCTAGTTCTACAGAGCAAAAGCTCCAAGGATCTGTTGACACGAAACACATTATATGTTCCTATGTTTTTACTAGGGGCTGCTGCCTCTGCTTTGCCGGGCCCCCATTCTCCACACCTGGCCAACCCCTCCCCTCTTTACATCTGACCAAGCCCCCCCACTTTTAAAGGCGGTTGGGGGTGCTTCAGAGAGTGGTTTGCCAAACTTCAATGCAGCCATGTTTAACAGAGAGTGGGAGGCACTTCAGAGAGCAGTTTGGCCTTCCCCATCTCTGTTTTACAGCTCACCTGGGCCATCCACACTGCTTGCTTGCTCGCTCACCTGTTGTTCTGTCATCCCCCTGGAGCTGGCATAGTGGCCTTTTGACAGCCTCAAATTGCAGCAAGACATGTTTATGCATACTGGAAGAAACGCATAGCCCACTTGTAATATAGTGCCTTAGAACTGAGGGTTGGAGATGTCCTGACTCTACATGGGAGCTGGACTGGAACTCACCTCTAGGCAAGAAAGTCATGTTGGCAGAATGGGAAGACAGTTGTTACCAGCAAGTTGTTACCTGGAAGGTGGAGGCCAAAATCAAGGGGGCATAGCCTGCAAGGTCTATAGCCCATGGGGTTCATATGCATTCAATATTGCATAGGAAAGCTAGATACTATTTTCATTGTCTCTGCAATGTTCTTATGGGGAGGTGACGTCTCTCTTCTTCTGTACAAGTATTACTGTTACAGAGGTCCTTAAAAATCCTAATAAGGCTCACAGTGTTGACATGTAACGGAAGTGGAAAACCAGGCCTTGGACTGATGAGTGGTCTTAGTTAACACCGAGCTTATTTATATCCCTCCCATTATGGCACTAGCAGCTTTCCTTAGACTGGAGGCACAGCTGCTACTGTGGTTTAAAGCAGGTGTGGGGAACCACTGGCCTGCCAGAGGTTGCTGAACTACAGCTCCCATCATTCCTGGCCATTAGCCACGCTGGCTGGGGCTGATGGGAGTTGTAATTTAGTTACACCTGGTGGCCCAAAAGTTCCCTACACCTGTTTTAAAGTGAAGTAAAATACACAGGATTGGCCTCTGTCTTTCATAACTAGCCCACAGGCAGTGCTTGTCTTTTTGCTTCTAGTAATAAAGATTTCTGTTAATTCTGCCCTTGGGCTTTGCATTAAGAGCAATGCAGTTGCCCTTCAGTGTACTGGTAAACGTGCAGTTATTTCTTTCTACCTACCACAAGAAGAGGCACATGGATGTTATTTAAGAGCAGCGTGGTCTCAGAAGCACTTTCAGTGCTGGGATAGAATCATGGACTTGCAGAGTTGGAAGGCACCCCGAGGGTCATCTAGTCCAACCCCCTGCAATTGCTCTGTGCTGTAAGGCTCAGGTGGGTGGGTTAGTAGCAATTACAGCAAATTATGAAGGGTGGGCTACAATTTTTGTTATTAAATAATAATGAAGTATCAAGCAGCTTCTCCTTAATTCTGAGGTTTTATGCAACCGTCTGATGGGGACAATCTATTTCAGTTCTTTGTCTCAAGGGGAGTGGAACAGAAAGTGTGCCTCTTTTTCAGTTTCACTGGTTACACAATCTCCACTCTCTTGGCTTGGGATGTGCTTTATGTCTTCAGATTTCTATCTCAAGGATGTGATCAACTTTGTACTTGGTCCCTAGCTCCACCAACAGCCTCTCCTTAAACAAAACAAATACCAATTAGGGAAAAACCATAGTCAAAGTCAAGGGATCTTTGTTGCAACACTAAACGCTGATGGAGTTGTTATAGCTATACACCTCATAATGCGCTGTCCTGCCTCATTACAATGGCTATTTCAGCACCATCATAAATAGCTGTTTGGGGTCACATTTTCTTCCAGGACTACAGGTTTATGGATAAAACAAACCTTTATCAACTAGATAAAAGTAGTGCTAACATACTTAGCATAGTAATAAACAAAAACACCACTACCACCCCAGACAGTTTAAACTACTAGCCAATTACACTGCCTGAATAGTGTTTTTCTAGGAGACAATATTAAACTACAACCTACAACTTTCAGAACACGTCACCCAGTACACTTCCACATCCTACGCATGTTAGGAAGTAAGTCCCACTAAGTTCAGTGGGACACGTAATTGCAACACTGACTTAAGGAAGCTATGCTAGCATAGACTTACTAAGAAAAGGCAGCCCCAAAAGTCCCTTTTCAAAGGGTGCTTAAGCAAGACTGGAACAAGTGACAAATAGTCATATTTCACGACTTAAAAGGAACATGCTAAATATAACTGCAGTTGGCTTTGCAGAGATGGGGAAGGTCAAACTTTTGTTGTTGTTGCACTGTGGCTTTTGAGCATTGCTACCAAGTATAAACTGCTCCAAAGCTTAGACCACAGAAGAAAAACAAACCTTGAGATGACTGATACAAGAGGTGCAGTTCACACACAGTGGTCCCAGTTCTGCAAGTTGAAAACGGCAACCTGTTTTACAACTTAGTGAGTGTAAACTTTAAAAATAAAATAAAAAGAATAGAGATCCTTTTTTTACCTTTTCTCATTCATAAGACTATACAGTACTGAAGAAAGAGTAGCAAAGGAAAGAAGTGCAGGCACCTGAATGCTACTAACCTGGGGGGTACTTAAAAGCTCAACTTTCCATAATGACCAGGGTAGATGTAGTTCTGCAAGGCTATTCTCAACCTACTTTGCGCAAAATAAGCTAAAACCCAGACACAGGCTTCTCCAGAAAAGAGCTGCAATTAAAGAACTCCTAGTTAAGAAACCAAGCTTGACATCCATTCTACAGAAGCAGTTCTTGGTTTTAGGCTGCAATCCTATGCACAGTTACCTGGGAGTAAACTCCGCTGAACAGAATGGGTCTTACTTCGGAGTAAACATACAGAAAATCATAGTTCTCTTTTCATTTCATACAACCACTAAGAACGGGGGGTTTGGGGGGCCGGACAAAATTGCTGCTTCTCACTAGCCAACCACTCACACCTACCCCCAGATAGATCACAAGAGCTTCAAAGCACTTTTCCCGTGGCTACCAAACCAGCATTCGTGTGAAATAGTACTTAACCGGATTCTTCCAGTGAAGGCTCGGTTGCAGAACGTTTTGCTAGTTAAAGGCCGCAACATTAAGGCTGCCATCACACATACATACACACACATTTACTAGAGAGTAAATCCTAGTGAACTAAGCAGGTTGGGTTTTTTCCCCTGCCAATGCATTGCTTGCATGCAATCCCGATCTCCATCAGCAGAGGAGCTGCTTACTCCGAGGAGCTCAACGGGATTTTCTATTTTTTTACACCTCTGAACTAAAGGCGCTGAGAACCGCGCCGCATCCGTGCAACTCCAAGCGCACGTGCAGCCGCCCGGTTCTACTCCGAAGCAGGCGCCTTCCACTCCGTACAGGGACCCGGGCTAAGGAGGAAAGGAGGGCCGGGGGAACGGGGCGGTGCTTACAGTCGGAAGAGCCGCTCCATGTCCTTGATCTGCCGGCGGCTGAACTCCTTGAACTCCGTGTAAGGATTGAAGATCTGGGCGAAGCGGGGCCGCGCCGCGCCCGCGTTGATGTCCTGCCTGCGACTCAGCTTGGCGCTCAGCTCCGGGTCCGCGGAGGCGTTCACGGGGTTCTGGTCGTCGTCGTCGTCCGGCTCCGCCAGGCTCGCCTCGGACCCCGCGGGCTCGTCGCCGTCCTCGGGAGGAGCCTCCGAAGTGCTGCCGTCCCGCAGCAGCCGACGCTGCAGCTTCTGGGCCAGCTCGGCCGAGGCCATGTTGCGGGGCGAAGAACGAGCGGCGGCGGCGAGAAGAAAAACCTCCGCGGGGCCACTTCGCTCCTGCGCTGAGGAAAGAAGTCTGCCGGCCCCGAACTTTATTCTAAGACTTGGGCGAATTGGCGGGGAAGGCGAGTCAGGGCCAGGGGGCGGGGAGGCGGAGGCGGAGGGAGGCCGGGCCGGGACTTAAGGAGGCGCCGGGGAATTGGCGCGCTCCAGGCTCGGCCTCGGGAGACTCTGCCTTGCGGGGGAGCCGGAGGTTGTTCTCCATTAGTTTCTCTTCCCCCGCACCTGTTCGCTCTGACTCAACGTTTCGCCTTTATTTCTTCATGGCTGGAAGCCGACTTTCATTATTCCAGAGCGCATACATGCACTCACGCGCGTATATATATATATATATATGCAACCAGCAATGAGGTTATCCTCTTCAGTGGGGTTGTCCCAAGACAGATCACCACACCTTTACAACATCTGTGCTACTGACTGACAAACTTTGTTGAAATATAAACACACACACAAAAATCAAGTTGAGTCGTGTAAAAATAAACAAATTAAGCAATGTACACTAAGTTCGCTTCTGGGGCCGCTCTGGGATTAGGGGCCCCGAACTTTAAACTGCATCAGTTTTATAGTGGATGGGCCTCTGATACACATACACAAGCTAAGGAAGCAGCTGCACCTCCTCTAGCTGAAAGCATGAACTTAAACTTCCCTGGGTCAATGCGCTCTGTATTTCACACAAAGTGGTCCTGTTTACCTCATGCTTTGGATCTTTCTCTCTTCCCATCCCCCTCCACCCCATTTTAAATCAAGTGAGCCGAGTACTATTTAGTTGAGGGTTCAGGAGTGTCATTTCAGATTATGGTGAGAGAGAAGGGAGATTTATAGTAAAAGGTTCCCCTGTCTGGTGTTCTTCAAATGTAAGGTTGTAGAACAGTATGCTGTGGCTATTAGGACATGCACTGTGTCTCAGAAGCGAAGGGACCTGCACTTTGGGTATTCAAGTAAAGTGCAAATAGACCCGCATGCAACAGGAACTTGACTGTGTCTACTTGGAAGTAAATCTGGCAGTATTCAATGGCGTTTACTTAAGTGTGCATAAAGGTAAAAGGACCCCTGACCACAGGTCCAGTCGCAGACAACTCTGGGGTTGCGGCGCTCATCTCGCTTTACTGGCCGAGGGAGCCGGTGTACAGCTTCCTGGTCATATGGCCAGCATGACTAAGCCGAGCCAGAACAGCACACAGAAACACCGTTTACCTTCCCGCCGGAGCGGTACCTATTTATCTACTTGCACTTTGCCATGCTTTAGAACTGCTAGGTGGGCAGGAGCAGGAACCGAGCAACAGGAGCTCACCCCATTGTGGGGATTCGAACCGCCAACCTTCTGATCAGCAAGCCCTAGGCTCTGTGGTTTAGACCACAGCACCACCCATGTCCCTTTAAGTGTGCATAGGTGTGCAGTTTCCACATTTGCCACCCAGCACCCACAGAACTGTGAACTGGCCACAAGTAGAAGCTCCATCAATACATGGATCACATGTTGATCCAAACAGTGGAGGAGCTGCTCCCTGGTGGCCCTACCTTTTCTAAATGAAACCGCTGGCTGTGATTTCACCCTAGAACTGAACTAAATTTTCTCTTTCCAGTTCTTGGTGCATCAAAACACATTGAAGAATTTTTGTTTATTTGCTGTGATTTCAGCTGTTGAAGCAATAGCACCTTACATTTGAAACACATTGTTTCCCCCGAAGGATTCCGTTAAGGGTTCTGGAATTGTAGCTCTGTGAGGCTTCCTGCTAATCAACCCTCTACAATTTTATCTACCAATTTATGATATATTATTTGTTCCGCAGCTTTTTTTTAACATTTCAAATATAAGCCATCCTAATTGAATAAAAGCTAGGGTGGAAATGATGATTATGATAATGTTTATACAATTTCTAACAGGGCTGGGAAATAACAAGGAAGGAAAATAGATCTGTACATTTCCCACATGTTTAAATTATGAGCGCTTAAAGCAGTTATGAGGTAAATGAATAGTAAATGATCTACTCCAAAATATGGCATGTATAACAAGCTTTATTAGTTACGTTCTTGATAACATGCTTGGCTACCTTCTAAGGCAGAAGATGGAAATACAAGATTTAATTTGATTAAATGATTAAAGAAAGCCCACACTTTCAAAGTATATTGATGTATGGCGTTAGGGCTGTGATTATTGAAGCTGTGGGACCAGTTATTCCATGTTAATTCAGAATAAAATGATGTGATCCAACTTTACATCTTTCCACAAACTACTGTCCAGCTCTGACCCTCCTGTATGGCCTCCTTTTTGCTGGGAAAATCTGCTTCTAATACTTAAGAGAAGGTGTCTTGTTTCCTCGCCCTCATCAAGGCATGAGGTCTTTGAATTTGCCCATCCCAGCATAGAGGAGCCTCTTTAAATTTGCAGTGGCACGCCTCCTCCCGCATATCTCCTGGGGTCTAAAATAAACTAGAATCAAGTCCCAAGTACAATACTATGCTTTGGCTCTGTTTTCCAAAAGGGAACCAGCAGAGGTTTTCTTTTCTGTGTGGGTGTGGTCATGTCTCTTTTTAAGTTCTTATTCAACTATTTCCCCAGAGATCTGTCTGATAAGAAGTGATTTATGTGTTCATTTTCTTAAGTGCATTTTTGTCAGAACAGGAGCTAGTTAATTTGCATGATCAAAAGGGCTTTGTTTAAAATCCTAAATACTTGTTTGTGTCTGTCATGGGGAAGCTTGGCCAGGGGACTTCCAGGCTTTTCCTGCAGTTAAAAGAATATTCAGAAATCCTAAACCTAAGGGCTACATATAACAAACGTGCTTAGGGCTAAGAGCCACATTTTTTTCTGACTTGAGTCATCCTGAATGCTTTCTCCCATCTCCAACCACTGCTCACATCTCTATTGACTTTATTTTACTCTGCCTTAGTGCCAAACCACTTGTTGGCATCAGTCTGTCTGAGAGACAATGGAGTGCACCTGTAGGGAGGGGTTGAAGTCAAACTGCTGCATTAGCAGCACTGAAGTGACCTCCTTGGAGGTCCTGGGCTGCCCAGAAGACAATGTCTATCCTCTCCACCTTGCTGATGTGGTCCAAAGGAAATCAGAGCAATACGTTTGACACCATCTGACACTACAGGAGTTGTCAGAAGGTGTACAAGGAACTATCCAACTATTTTAGGGACTACACTCCAGATTTTTGTATGGTTTATTCCTTAGCCTTTCCTTCTCCCAAATATATCCTGCAAGGCAGCAGAGATTTAGGATCAAAGGGTTCTGTCTTCTAGATAGGTTATCTTCCCAGGTTGATGAGCCCCATCTTTTCATACTCATCAGCTACCCTCACCTGGTTTAGCCGGCCAGTCGAAGCCGTTCTTGGGATGTGGCTGCTGTCGCATGCTGACAGTTTCTAGGATCCACAGGTGAGGGCAGGGTGGGGACCAAGATGGACAAACTACCCCAGAAGGAGAACAATGTGTCCCCAACCAGAGGTACTACGAGCACCCCTAACACCCTCCCACACTGCTTTTCATCATATGTGATAATCCCAGATAAAGTAAAAGTAGAACTTTAGGCTGTTGAAGGAAAAACATGAAAGTCTTGTAAGACTACTAACACATTCCTGTAGCAGAAACAAGTGTAGAAGCATACAAAAAGGACCAGGCCAGGCCATAGGCTGAGCAATCCTTCACCAGGGCTTAACAATAAACTTGGGTTTTTTTTGTGTTTGGCTTATCTCTGGAATATGTAAAGCAACCTGATATTGTCCCTGGCAACAACCAGGCTTATCCATTCCCATCAGTGATTAAGGTACAAGGCCTTTACCTCAGACAGAGGATGTGGTGTCTAGGCAGCCTGGGGGCTTTCACCTGGTTGGTTGGTTTGCTTGTTTTATTTTTGCTAGTTAATAACTGAACCAGTCTATTTTATTCCTAAGGTTCATTTGAACAAGTCATCTCAAACTAACTGCTGTGTAAAATCTTTCTGCAGGACACCTAGCTGTACTTTGTATCAGTCAGGCAAAATGGCTAGGATTGTGTAGGCTGATTTGTACGGATCATTCTGCTTCATGACAGAGATCTTGGTTAGATAGTCATTCTAAGATTCCATTTGTATCAAAGCCCTTCTTTAAATACTATTTAAAGATGCATTTAAATTAAAAAACCTTTTGATTGAAGGTGTTCCAATTAGCTGAGCAGCAGTTGTTTGTTTGTTTTTTAAGTGTTAATCATTTTTAATTTTATGTATTTATTTATACCCTGCCCTTCATACCACCTCCTGGGGTGTGTCACAACAAACAACATAAACAGAGAAAACAAATACAAATTAATAGCTAGAAAAGCCTGCAGTCCTCCAGGCTGGACCTATAATTATTTAAAGGTATTAAAAAAAAATTAAAACACCCTTCACTTGGTACTGAAGTTTGGAAGAGAGGATATTCCGTAGCCATGATGCTAATGATGAGAAGGTCCTTTGGCAGGACATTGTTTTTTGACCTCTGCCAGTGATGGCATCTTCAAGAGGGTCAAGCAGGATTGTATGGGGAAATGTGTTACTTCAGATACTTGGGTCCCAAGCTTAATTGAAGTTTGTCTGTCTGTACCAGAATCCTGAATTAAGCTTGGTGACTAATAGGCAGCCAGTGTAGATAATTTAACAAGTGTAATGTTGTCTCTTGCAGACATGCTTGTCAATTCATTCTTGCTGCAGTTGCCTGATTGTCTTCAAGGGTAGCCCCATGTAAAGTTAGTTGCAATAATTCAGCCCATATGATACCAGGGTGTGGATAACTGTGCCCAGGCTATCTGTGTCCCCCTGTCCAGGAATGGCCATAGCTGGCAAACCAGCTGTAGCTGTAAAAAGCCATGAGTCACTGAGGTCACCTGGTCCTCTAGCAACAGAGCAGAATCATACACACCTCCTTGATGGAGGGTGACATTTTGCCTTTACTCCTGAGGCTTCCCATCCCAGTTATAAAGGTAATGAAATTGCTGCTTTTTAATTCAGAACTTGTTTTCATCTTTGGCAGAAATGGGGGTAAGTCCTAATTCTATTTATTATCTACTTTCACAAACTTCTCAGAACTTATGCGATATCCATACTACATG